GGAGCGTCGCCGCTGTCGTATACCCATCTGATGGGCAGGGGTTGCATTCCCTTTTCTTCTCTTGTGGGCCAGAAACTGTTGCGAAATTTGTCCTGGAAGTGGTACCGACATTCGTGCGTGATGCACTGGAACCAGGGCAGGTAGATGTGACTTTCTTTTCGTGGGTCCACCCGCTCGTGGTCTTCTGATAACAACTGGAATCCCTCCGTGTTGTTCTCGCCCCGAAAACCCCACCATTCAAGGTCGGAGGTCTGTCGTCCGGCGCGCACGATGTGCTGATGTCGCGTCCAGTATTCTTCCCAGCTCTGCTGTTTTCTTCCTTTCGCCGCATTCTGTTCCTGTGCGTAGTCGAAAAGTTGCTCGGGGTATCGTACTCCGTTTTCGTATCCTTCCGCCTCTTCGGTGGGTCCATCCCACGGTGTGTGGTGCGGAAGTGCCTGGCGGATGTCGTCCTGCAAGGCCTGTGCCTCTCTTAATGTCTTTTCGACGTGATCCCCGGCCCTGTTGTTGGCCTCGGTGATCTCTTGGACTCGTTCCCTGGCGAAATCGAGTTCCGCGCAAAGTCGTCCGTACTGGTCGTTCCTTCTCTGGAGAAGTTGCTCGAGTTCTTCTTTCTCTCTTGACAACTCCTCGATCCTTTGTCGTTGGCTTAGGACCTTCTGTTGCAGAAAAATGAGGTTCGGGCTGACTCCTCCTTCACCCTCGTGGGTTCGCCATTGCCCGTCCTCTTGCTGAACCAGGGTGATGCCCCAGTCCTCAGCGACTTGTCGGATGTGCCGCGGGGGAGCCAGTTCTCCCTCGTCATCCGTCTCGATGAAAGCATGGTGGGCGGTGTCGTTTCCCTCCTGGTGGTTGCTGCTCATCAAGTCTTCTTGATCCGAGTCGGTGAGTTCATCGTCCTGCTCGATGACTCGGTCAATGTCGATTTCGAGGTCGTCCTGCGTGTAGCTGGCGGCTGCGACCTCCAGAAACCGGGTTCTTCTTCCGACCGTGTCTTGGTCGATGGTGGCAGCTTCCTTCCCTGGAACCGGTCTCCACTCTTTCTTGCTGCGGCAGTCACGTTTGAAGTGACCCTTCCTCCCGCAGTTGTAACAGGTGATGCCTGATTTGTCCTTGGCACCATCTCTCTTTCCTGCCCACTGTGCCTGGGCAGCGCTGACGTCCATGGGTCCCGAGTGCGTGCCGTATGACGTGCTCTGGTGCTGGCGTTTCTTTTTGTCGTTGGGCTTGTGGTAGCCTGCGGATCGCTGAACCTCGCTGCCCTTCTTCTGTTGTTTGCGGGCGAACTGTCGGTCGTCAATCTTGACAGCCATGGCGATGTACTCGTCGAGTGTGTCGGGTCGGCTCTCCTTGTAGAGCTCGTCCTTGACCTCCTCCTTCAGCCCTCCGTAGAACAGGTGCATCAGCCCCTCGTCGTCTATCTCTGCCTTCATAGAGTCTTGTCGGAAAATCGTGGCGTAGGCGGTGGCTGACCTAGTCTGCTTCAGCCGTCCTAGCCGTTCCTGGGCGTGCAACTTCTCGTCCTTGTCGCCGAACACCTTCTGAATCTCACTCTCGAACTCGGAGTAGTTCTCGAAGACCTTTTTGGTGAAGGGTTTGTGGATTGCTCCGCCGAGGAAATCACTCAGTGTTCCCGTGAACCACTTGAGTGCCTTGTCCTTGAGTCGGGTGGCGGCGTATCTGGTCTTGGACTCCTCGGTGGCGAATTGGTGCGAGTTGTGGTCGAGGTAGTTCCGCATCGCCGTGATCCAACCTGGCAAGGCTTCCTGATCGCCCCCGTACTTCTCGGGTTGCTCCAATTTGACCTTCGTCTTGGCCGGGTCCTTGGTGTGGACCTCGGTCGCCGCAAGTCGGGCTGCCAATGCCGCGTTGCTGGCCTTGGTCTTCGCAAGCTCTTCTTCAGTTTCATCGAGTCGTTCGGTGACTCTCTGAAGCGCGGCCGTGATCTGGCCCGGCGTCGGTTGAGTTGCCATGTCGTTTTACCTTCGAGCCTGAACTGTAACAGATCAAAGGGAGTTAGCAACGTGTGACGAACCTGTCTCTGGACCCGTCCTGTTAGGGTTCAGTATCGGTCGAAGGTATTCTCTCAAGGGTGCGTAGGTTCGGTGCAGCCAAAGGGTGCACAACAAAGACTTGTCTCAACAGTAGGCTCTCGAGCTTGTAGCGAACTGTAGTTGTGATTGCTAACTGGAGAACTCCCAGAGCTCTCCAGAACGAGTGACTATATACTATCTAATTCCTAGGTACCTCTGTACCTGGATCTGCGTGATCCGTGGTGGGTCGTCAACAGATCCAGGAGGCCGAGCCCCTTGATCTGTTACCACTGCCGTGGTCTGTCCATAGATCATTGTAACCACCACAGATCTCCTTCTCATTGGTAGCTAGGCGTCCCGTCTTGATTGGCCCGGGACGCTGCCAGCGCGCCCCGCTGGCCGGCTGCATGTGACCATATCCGTGACAATATCCTCTACAGTCAAGGTGGCTCGCCACATACCGGTATCGTCGGGCAGGGGGAAAAATATATTGATCGCCTTGCGTAAGTCTGTACGCTTTCCCTTTTAGGGACGGAATCTGCGGATAAATTGCTTAAGTTCATCTGGAGGTATACAAACACCAGTAGCTTGGAAGTACTGACTGGAAATCCATTTGCTGATATAGTCTTCCCATTGCTCGGAGCTGCCGATAGTACCTGTAAGGGACTTAGTCGGTATTAATCCTTAAGTGTATTGGTTTTAAAATCAACGGCAGAAAGTACAGCAACTTACTAAAAGGAATACCGAGTCCGAAAAGACTTTTTCCATCCGGATAGTCTTGGTCCCGAGCAATACCAAAGAGATAACCGTTCTATTTGATATTAGTATTAATATTACTGCCATTTACAGGAAAAGGACGGCTGTCCTATTTACTATATGGTAACCTCCAAAGTCAAAAAATAGGATTGAATCATATTGGTTGTTTGGATTAAGCATGTATGCGTGGTTTTTTTATAGGTACCTCGATAGAGCCTCTACCTTGGTAAAGAAGTGGATATAAGATGTATTAACTATCTCAAATACTTCTATGACGAGGGTACGGTAGACACTCTCGAACCTAAGACCCCCCTCTACTGATATAGTAAGGCCGATCTTAACAATACAGAGCTTATATTCGAGATATACAGCGCTAGCAGCGTTACGGAGGGCAGAAAGCAATATAATTATACCTCTATGGAGTTAACGACCAAAATCTGGTTCGCCTTTCCTCTCTATAAGATAGTGAACCGAAGGATATTGCTCTAGCAGTACGTCTAAGGCGTTTGCGAGGAAATACAAGATATGCTTTGCCGATACGTATCGCCGGCTGGGATCTTCCTCCTCGCGGAGATAGACGTCCTGAGAGATATCGTTAAAGATATGCAGACTCGACGGAAAGTCACAGGGCATATAAGGTCCTGTAAGGCTGTAGCATCGTAGGTCCTCAACAATAATTTCTGTTCCTATACTCATTCTCTAGATACAGATATAGGTACTGTAGCTGCTAATATCTATACCCAGACAGCTGTCGCCCAAATATACTGTTAAAGAAGTGATATTAAAAGTCGGTCCGAATGTAAGGAACTTACGCATTCTCAAAAGACTATCTCCGATTTTGTTGGTATAAAACAGTCGAACCTATGACAGGCGATGAGCGGCGGTGGTGGGTGCGACTACGGAAATCGTGGTGACAGAGGATGGTCTCCTGAGCAGCTGGGGAAGATCCATTTGCTAAGGAACAAGCTGTGGGAACCTGAAGAAGATGTGTTGGCTGGCCCTGCAGGTTGGCCTGTGCACAAACCTGTACCTCAAAACAGAGTCAATCACATAAGTCCCAACCCGGTATTAGAAACTGTCGCTCCTCGGTCGCAAAGACCCGCCGAGTACGCCAAGTGCTGGCTGCTGGCACCCGTGTCTCCAAGTTTGAGCCCTGCTGAACGATGGCTTCTCGGACCATGAGGATGCTTAGCGCCTGGGGACTGTGCCTATTGAAGAGCCGTGTTCTAACAGGAGACGGAGGCGACACTAACATGGGAATTGATGAGAGACCGGGGTCACGAGGCAATTCAAGTTGTCGTTCATACAAGTACGCCGCCGACAGGGTGCCGCCGACCATGTGCCACCGGCGGTCGACGATGGCCCGCATTGTTGTTGGTGGATTGGTGGGTGTCGATGCTTAGAGGTAACCTGTACTGTGTAATCTGCACAGCGGGCGCAGCCCCCTCGTTACGATTGATTGATTGTGCGACCCCAGATGCCTAATAAGGTTAATCCAGGATCAGAAGACGATGTGAGTCTCGGATGAGAAATAACGTTGTGCGCTAGTGTAAATTGGGAAACCTCGCTGACTGCCCGCTCTCGTATACCTGGAGTTCTGCATGATCGATCGCAATACGATTGGCTGGACGGGCTGCTAGGCATCCCCCCGGAGCTCCCGCACGAGGAAGAGGGTTTGTGGTGTGGTCGGCCTTAACATGGAGGACCGATGTGTTAACTTAGAGCGATAGATGACTGGGTCCTGACTCTGATACAATTCGGCCCCCTCTTTCCTTGTTGGTACTCAGAAAATGATCCGCGGGAAGAGAGATAAGGAGGCGCCAGCCCCCGGGCGCCGGGACGATCCCGGAGCCTCAATGCCTCTCCTCTGCGCTCACAAAATGGCCCTCCTGTGAACGTCACATGAAGCACGCACGAATATCTACTATATTCCAGCAAACTGATAGTACAAGGCACCCTACCTCAATTGCACTAGAGTTGGGCTCATAATTTATATGGAAGACAATCCCGCCCTCTGGTGGAATTCCTCCAGCACCTCAGGACATGCCTCGAAATGCCTGGCAGGTTCCCAAGTATTGTGCCTGCGCCTATACCCTTCCCACTTGACCAGGTACTCCAGCCTCTTTTCTCCTTCCCTCCAACGCAGGATGAGGGAAGGCACGCCCCGTCGAGGAAATCACCGCTGGTGATTTGCGCCGTTAATTTTGAGAGGTGTGGTCGTTTCCTCCATGACTCATACAGGGGTTCCACGTGAATTCCACCTAAGAAGCCGCCATCCTATCCACCAAAACGCGGTTGAGGCCCTCGAAGTTTGCGTAAGCAGTCTTGAAAAGCAGTCTTGAGTATCTCCTCTTCCAAAGCGGAACCCCTGAAGGTTGCGGTTCGGAAATGCTTCGCTGACTTTGGCGGCGCTTTGGGCCTTGGGTTGGTGGTGGTCCTTGAGTCTGTGGTGATGGGGATTTGGTGCAACGCAGACGTGTCTGCCGCCCGGGCACCGTTCTACTGCGGCGCTTCCCTCGTGGCGGTCATCCTTGCCTTCCTTGGCGTCACTTCCCACCATGGGCGAGCAGTCCTCCTCGTCGTCACCATCGCAACCACGTCAACGTGGACGACGACCGATGTTATGCTGAAGGCTGACCGACCGGCTCCTGACTGGCGAACGACTGCATGGACGCCTCGGTATTGGCCAGCTCACGTTCGTTGTCGCTCTTGTCGCCCGACAAACCGGGCATGCCTGCCCGACTCTTCCGCGCTTGCGGCGGCGCGGCAGGGCCCTCTTCATCGCTTTTCTCTCCTCTGTCGTCCGGAGCGAGAGAATGACGTTGTTCTAGGTCACTCGCTTGGTCGTTGTCGTCACGGTGATCACTATGTTGAGAGAGGCCGCAGCTGCCGGACCTCTGTTGTGGATCAACCCCACGGCCGGAGGCGGCGCCGCATGGGCTCTGGGGCTGAAGGCGTGGCTCGGTATATGCCGGTTCGAGCTCGCCGGTGCTCTCGTCGTCCGGCAGCGTGGGTGTGCGTGTCCGGCTCTCCGCTACGTGCGGCCGCACGGTAGGACAAATCCCATTGGAAGGATGGTGGTCCGCCTCGAGTTGGCTGTTAGGCGGCTGCAGGGGCAGTGCAGCATCGGCCGGCTCGGGCTCGTCACCCTCAATACCCTCGTCATCTATCGTAGCCTGAGGCGACTCGGCATTTCGATACCGACGGTAAAATGCAGACAGGTGCGGGTGCCTGACACATCCGTCACCCCGACGACAGGACGACTTTGGTCCACAAGGGAGCGCGTAGTGGGATGCCAGGGATGCCGGCTCCAGAGGCGAGGCATGCGATTTATCGCCTGGGCCGGCAATGCTGGTAATCAAGAACTCCGGTGCGTCGCCATCGCTGTAAGCAGCGTTGACAGCGTCGCCTGCTCAGGCCCGCCGCCACAGGAGGGACGTAAGCCATCTGGCTGTCGAGGCAGACGGTTCTATGATGCTCCCGGTGAGATACCGCGCTGTTGAATTGGGGAGATGTCGAAGGGAAGCATTTGGCGGGCCAGCTGGCCAGCTTCGAACTACTGCGGAGGCGCCGGGGAACGAGCGAAATATATTTGCATGCACGGAAAAAGGCGGGCTCGACCTCAGAATCGGCAAGGAGCCTGGACCCAGCCCTCCACTCTCCCCTCCGCTCTACGATCCCGACGGGCTTACAAGAAACGCGCCCGGTCGTGAAACGCCTCGTCGTATGTGGTTCCTAGGGGGTGCGTGGGGTCGCCGGTGACGGGTGGCGAGGGGGGGGGGATGAGGCATCGATTTACCGGTCCCTCGTGGCTCTGCCAATCATGTAACTGCCGAGACAGTAAGGAGGAGCCCGGGAAAAAGGGGAGCGGCCGCAGGATACCGTATCGCCACGAATCACGGCCCTTGGCTGAGGTCGCATGGTCCACGGGTTCGCCAGAGGTCGCCCAGGGTGGCTTAGCCGAAGCAGTGTTGGCGCATGTTCTCCTGCAACGCCTTCTCGCGTCCGTCCGCGTGCGCCGCCCTCCGTGTTCCGCCTCTGGCACCGCCCATGGCAAGGCAGAATCTTGCCGTTTCCACCCACCCAGTTCCTCCTCGGGCCCGATCTGCCTCGCCGTCGCGAAGGCAGCAAGGCCACGCCATCTCTTCGGGGACCGTACCGGCCTCCTTGCCGGCAAGGCCTTGCGACCCCTGCCTGCCCCCAATCCGGCGGCGTGTGACCCAGAAATAGATTCGCAGTTGGGTCAGGAGGTCAACCTGCCGCTTTTCCTAACTAGCCGCCTGCATGCCTTGCCGCAGCTGCGCTGGCATTCGGTCCGATTGTGGCCAAGGGAGGTCCTCCGATCTGCAGACTGAGACGCGAGAAAAGGCTTCCTGGTGGCTCGGCGTTCGACGCAATCGATACCTGCGGCATTTTTGTGACTGGTCAGGATGCGCAGGTCTTGCAAATTGCACGAACAAACGGACGGGCGACCTACCAGGAAGACATGGACGAGGTAAGATGCCAAACTCTGCGAGGTAACTACGTCGTATTGGGAGGCAAGAGCGGGCGACAGCGGGCGAGATCGCGGGCGAGATCTTGATGACCCCTAGCGCAAACGCAGAGTCGAGCCGTAGTCGAGCCAAAAGCCGTCATCGACGAAGATGGGCGGGAAGCTGGAAGATCTCAAACCCCGAGTGTGTATAGGAGAGCTGGGCTCGGGAGTGCGCTGGGCTCGGCGACAGTGGGTGCGGTTCGAGCACGAGAAGACAAGGGTGGGGCGGGGGACGCGTGGAGCACGGGTGGTGGCTTGTAGGCGCATTAACGAAACGAGGGACGAGGGGAAAAGTGACAAGGTCCGAAGGGGAGGAGGGGAAGGGGGGGAGGGAAGAGCAATGAAGTATTTATCAAGACCAGTTGACCTCGGGGTTTGGCGTGTGGTACCTGGAGCCTCGTGTCGAGGAACAAAGTGGGGCCGAGAAGCCAAGGCTGTGATTGGATTCCATGGTGCCTGGTGGGGCCTGATGGGGCGGCAGCGGAGGAATCAGAAAACGGCATGCTCGACCCCGACACACGATTTACACATATTCTGGGATGATAGCTGTATTGAATACCACAGGTATGTACCAGTGGATACAGCTGATGGTTACATGGTCAGCGCTAGCATACCGAGGTACGTCAGCGGAAAAAAATGATCACGCAGACGCGTTGCCTTTTGTCCACGGTGTTTTCAAAACGAAATCGTGTGAGCGAGAATCAGGTTGTGTTTGGGGTCCGCGTAACAAGGTTTGTTGAACGAGACAGTTGGAGTGGGAAGTGGGCGATTCCGGTACTCAAATACTGAAATCGGGCCCAACAACAGGGTCGGGCCAAGGATTGGTCGGCCCCGCAGATGTGGAGTCTGCTTGTCGCAGATTCTGCAGCTACCCAATCAGTGCGTTTAACTCGCCGCATGACAGGGCCAAGACCCGACCGAAGACCATCACCACCAAACACTCGGCCAGGCCAGAGAGGCGACCGCGCAAAACATGGCTCCATGGTCAGGCTGCTCTCGACCATTGACTTAGTCCTTCTTTCGAGAACCAACGCGGATGTCGATCTCGGGTGATCGCCGACCTTTTTTTTCTTTCTTTTTTTCCCGTACACCGTGGTCGACCTGGTGGTTGAATTTTGGGATCGATTCCCTCTCAAGGTCGACAGGTCAGAAACCAACGCTGAAAACGACCCAGGACAATGCGACTTCCCAGTCACGCATTGGATCAAATTGATAAAGCACAACCCACCTGATGCAGCGAAATGGGTTGGGTGGTGAATCGCAACGATGGCTGTGCTGCGCCCGCAGGGTTAGGGTTCTGTGCCGTAGAGGCCGAAACATCGAGACCGTGGGCCAACAGCAGCCCCCGAAGCGGTCGACGCCATGACGGGCAACCTGGTGTTCTGTTTCGAAACGAATATTAATGGCAACTGCCACAATGTTTCGACCCTGGTTGAAGCCGGGTCGCCTGGTGGCCATGACGATCACCGTCATCCACAGTTCGCCCATCCCATTCCTCTCCCTTAAGAGTCTTGGGGGCTTCTCATGCGCGCCCCTTCGCACCTATTCTCGTTACTCCGAGACCCCGGATTGCTGCTTGTTCAGGAATCCAGATCCCCATACCACACAACACACTTGAGAATCCGCCCTCGCAGCCCAGCTGGGAGACGAGGCCGCGGATGAAGCAGCAACGATGGGTCCAACAAATTACCCCCCCAATCTAATCGAATATGTGTGGCCTTGTGGTCATCATGAGAATGTCGATGTGCAACAAGCTCCAGGTATACCCTTCGTGCGTGGGCAGCTCTCTCTGCCCGTCGCGAAACCGCCAGAGGAATTCACGGAGGAGGAGAGGGCGGGCGTGCCCTCGCGGCGGAAATGCTGCAAGTGCTGGGAGACTTGCAGCCTGTTCAAGCCGCTCGAGGTGTGCGAGGAATGCAATCACCCTTTTACCGATTGCCCAACATGCATGATCGTCGACTCTTCGGGGTCACGCGAGATTGCAACTATCGATCACCTACCCGCCGGCGAGTTCGACCAAACGCCAGAATATTGGAGGTGCAACACCTGCGAGCACGTCAACCCCTTCGACAGCGATGGGCCCATCAACGGATTCTTGGCGCCATTGGTGTCAGATTACATGGACGACATGGAGTGCAGGAAGTGTGGTGGGCCATTCACTGAGAACAATTGGGTCATCAGCCCGTTTTGGGTGTACCTCGGGACTTGGAATGGAAAGGTTGTCGCTGAGGGTGGCCCGTGGCACTGGAGCGCAGCGTGGCATAAAGATCGCGCCGGGGAGACTCACACCAAGGACGACTGCTACTCCGCGAGGAAAAGCGGCAGGCGAAGGCGCGAGAATCCTTGCATCAACAAGAGCTTCGCCGCTGAGCCCGTGGTAAAGCCTCCCATACCGCCTATCCTGGTCGTGGACACGGATCACCACTCTTTACCTCCACCTTCCGCCGGTCTGACACCCCTCCAAGAGGAACATGGATACGGTAGCGACAGGGAGACCGCGCCGGGGTTCCAACAGCAAGCCTTCCTTCATCCCGATAACCAGACTCTGGGAACCGGTGGCTTCACCATCGGCGACTATGAGCGTGACGATGGTGAGCCCGAAATTCCCGACGGGCAACGCGGCTTGGCAGTTCCCGACGACGACCAAGAGCCAGACCTGGGATCATATTACGATACTCCAGCTGATGACAATGAGTTATCAGGAGATGGAGTGCAGGCGCGGGAGTTTGAACCTTCTCTCGTTCAAGCCGGACAAGCCCCGCTTAATGTTCAACGCGGCGCGAGAGAAAGCACCATGGGCGACAACTACTACGCCCCATTAATCCAAGACGACATTGCGAGCGAGGCTGGGCCACCATCGGACACTGGTAAGCACAAATATCACTAGGATACTGACCGGTTCGTTGAAGCTGACTTCTACTTTATAGAAGAGGATCTACAGGAAGACGACCTCCTGAACGCGTATGGGGATGAGGAGGGACTCCCGGAGAACGATGTTCCCGAGGATGGCACACGAGACTTGGATTTTGTTGAAGACAACCAAGAATTCCTAGCCGATGATGCGTCTCTCGAGCCACAAGCAGACCTCGAACTTCCTTTGGAAGACGGCATCCAACCTCCCCTTCCACTGGACGAAGACATGCCCCTCGAAGAAGAGATCTCCTTCGAGGAAGAGGTGCCCTTCAGCGAAGAGATTCCCGGCGACGAGGAGATCCCCTTGGATCCGGAATTCCTACCAGAGGACGATAGCCGCGAGCTCGAGCTCGAGGATATCCCCGAAGAATTTGACTCTAGCCTCAACGCCGACGAGCTCAACGCAGACCCCGACACAACCGCCACTCAAGATTTCGCTCAAGATCTCCCCCAAGAAGAGTTCATGGACGATCTCCCAGAAGAAGAATTCGCCGAGGATCTTCCCCAAGAAGAGTTCATGGATGGCCCCGAAGAAGAATTCATGGACGATGTTCCCCGAGAAGAGTCCATGGACGATCTACCCCCACAAGAAGAGTTCGCCGAAGACCTCCAGGCTGCCGATGCAGACCTTCCCCCACCAGAAGAAGAAGCAAAGCCCGCGCTGCCCTACCTCACCGACGGCCACTCCGTCATACCCCGCAACGGGTTTGCCATCCTCGACACCCCCGAGGCGGCCTCCCACTGCCCGGCCGGCATGACCCACGACACCTCCTGGGACAGCGACGTGGACGGCGAGGATGAAGATGAAGACCTCCTCGCCGATGGCGATGTCCAGGATGTGGGTGAGGAGGAGTTCCTTCCTGAGGATGGGGAGCCGGGGTTTGAAGATGGCGAGGGTGAGTTTGCTGAGGGGGAGGAGGGGTTCGAGGGTGAGGATGGGGAGAGGGGATTGGATGAGGAGGGGTTGGAAGACGGGGAGCTGGACGAAGAGGAGCTCGGAGAGGGGGAGGAGGAGTTTGCCGAGGGAGAGGAAGGCGAATTCCCTGAGGAAGAGGCGCTCGAGGATGGGGAGCGCTCCCTTGAGGACGAGTTCGCCGAGGGCGAGGAACCGCTCGAGGGGGAGGAACCCTTTGAAGGCGAGGGTGAACCCCTTGACGAGGAGTTCCTCGATGGCGAAGACGGCGAGCGCGGCCTCGACGGGGAGTTCGCTGATGAAGGCGAGTTCGCTGAGGAGGGTGAGTTCGCCGATGAGGGGCTTCCTGAAGATGGCGAGTTTGCCGAGGATGGAATCCCCGAGGATGGCGAGTTCGACCCCGGGATGGGTGAGGAGATGCTCGAGGATGGCGAACGCGGCCTCGACGAGGAGTTCCTCCCTGAAGGCGAAGGTGAGTTCCCGGCCGAAGGGGAGGAAGAGTTCCCACCAGAAGATGGGGAATTTGGCGAAGGTGAGTTTCCACTGGAAGGGGAGGAGGAGTTCCTCCCTGAAGGTGAAGACGGCTTTCCCGCCGAAGGCGAGGAATTCAACCCCGAAGAAGGAGAGTTTGTAGAAGACGGTGAACGCGGCCTTGAGGACGGCGAATTCGCCGATGGTGAGCTCATGGAAGGCGAAGAGTTCCCACCAGAAGGGGAGGAAGAGTTCCTGCCGGAAGGGGAGGAAGAGTTTCTGCCTGAAGGGGAGGGAGAGTTCCTACCAGAAGATGGCGAATTCGCTGATGGTGAGTTCCCCCCCGATGACTTCCCCCAAGACGATTTTGCTGGTGGCGAATTCCCCGAAGACGGATATGCCGATGGCGGATTCGACGATGGTGGGCTCGCAGACGGCGGGTTCGACGAGGGTGGATTCCCTGCGGACGGCGAGCGTGGTTTCGCCGACGACTTCGGCGGGCAACCCATGGACGACGGCTACGGCGGTGGTGGGGGCTACGGTGACGATGGTTATGCCGACGGAGGGGGATATGACGACGCCGGCTATCCACAAGAAGGTTTCGCCGATGACTCATACCCTGGCGGAGACAGCGGTGGCGGTGATTACTCTGGAGATGGTTATGGTGGTGACGACTACGCTGGCGACGACTACGCCGGGGACGGATACCCCGCCGACGACTATCAGGACGGCACCCCCGAAGGTGAATATATCGAGGGCGAGCCCGCCTTTGACGACAATCCTGAGGAGTTACAGGACGCCGACTTCGTCGAAGGAGAATTAAACGACGACGAGGTTGTTGACGACCAACTCCCCGAAGAAGAACCCCTTCCTGACGGGGATTTCGAGGAGGCCGTGGACGACGTCGATGGGGAATTCGCTGACGGCGAACTTGCTGACGATCAACTTGAAGGCGAGTTCGCTGACGGAGAGATAGGCGAAGAGCAAGCCCTCGAGGACGGGGGCGAAATTCTCGACGATGGCGAGCGCGGCCTCGAAGAAGAGCCGCTTGACGAAGAAGCACCACTGGACGATGAACTGCCCCTAGACGAAGAGCCGCCTCTTGACGAAGAACTGCCCCTGGAGGAAGAACTACCCTTGGACGAAGAGCCTCCTTTTGATGAGGAACCCCCTCTCGACGAAGAACCACCTCTCGATGAAGAGCCACCTTTCGATGATGAGCCCCCCTTGGAGGAAGAACTCCCCGCCGACGAAGAATTCCCAACGGAAGAAGAGCTTCCCTTGGAGGATGATATACCTCTTGAGGATGGCGAACGGGGTTTTGACGACGAGATGCCTCCAGACGACCAGCCCTTTGATGAAGCACCCCTCGACGATGCCCCGTTTGACGAGGCACCACTCGATGATGCCCCATTTGACGAAGCACCACTCGACAATGCCCCGTTTGATGAAGCACCCCTTGACGATGCCCCTTTTGACGACCAGTTCCAAGAGCAGGCCTTCGATGATCAGCCATTTGATGATCAGGCAAGGGGCTTCGACGATGGTGGAGGATTTGACGATGGTGGAGGATTTGATGATGGTGCAGGTTTCAACGATGGGGGAGGATTTGACGATAGTAGAGGATTTAACGATAGTAGAGGATTTGACGACGGTGGAGGTTTCAACGATGGGGGATTTGATGATGGTGGGGGCTACAACGATGGTGGAGGTTTCGACGACGGTGGAGGTTTAAACGATACTAGAGGTTTCGACGACGGCGGGTTCAACGACGGTGGAGGTTATGATGGAGGGGGTTATGATGATGGCGGCGCTTACAATGACTCCGGCGCCTACAACGATCCCGCTCCTTACGACGACGGGGGCTACAATGATTCCGGGGCCTTTAACGACCCCGCTCCTTATGACGACGGGGGCTACAACGATTCCGGGGCTTTCAATGACGCTACTTACGACGACGGCGGAGCATACAACGATACCGGCACGTTCGATGGCCAACCGCCTGTCGACGATCCGGCTCTCTACGACAATGCTGCTCCGTATGATGATGCCGCTCCGTACGACGATGCGCCTCCATACGATGACCCTGTTCCAACTGCAGAGTTAGAGCCGTTAGAGTCACCAGTTCCATTTGATCAGGATCAGATCGTGGATAATCAGCCACTAGACGACGAGGTTCATGTGGATGAACTGCCCCTTGAGGAACCTCCACTTGACCAAGACGAACCATTCGAAGACCAACTAGAAGAGCCTTTCGAAGAGCCGCCATTGGAGGAAGACTTAAGCGGCCAGGAAGGAATCGAAGCGAAGGCTTTTGATGACCAGCTCGCCGATGAGCTGGAGGGACAGCCTGCAGTTGAAGAAGAGCTCCCCCTCGAGGAGGAACCCCCGATCGAAGATGATATGCCGATTGAAGACGATCTACCGGCTGAAGAAGAACTACCGGCTGAAGAAGAACTACCGGCTGAAGAAGAACTACCAGCCGGCGACGACTTTCCAGCCGAGGAGGAGCTCCCAGTTGATGATGATCCGCTGGTTGAAGGCGATCTACCAGCCGAGGAGGAATTCCCAGTCGAGGATCTGCCAGCTGAGGAGGAGCTTCCAATCGAGGAGGACTTCCAGGCTGACGAGGAACTTCCACTTGAAGATCAGCCCTTCGAAGAACAACCAGTTGAGGGAGAAACCTTCGACGAACTGCCTATGGATGATGCGCCGTTCGATGATCAACCGCCGATGGACGATGCACCCTTTGATGACCAGCCGCCTATGGACGATGCGCCCTTTGATGACCAGCCGTTCGATGAACAACTCACGAATGACCGAGGCTTCGACGAAGGTGGAGGCCAAGACAACTTTCCTTTTGACAACGGCGGTAATCCCGGTATGGACAACGCATATCCGCAAGACAACGTTGATCAAAATGGCGGGAACCAGTTTCATGATGATGGCCTCTACTCTGGGGAAGGGTACGGGGATCCGATCGACGACTTCTCTCAGGGTGGCGGCCAAGAAAGCTTTGACCAGTACGATGATCACCTTAACGAGCCGGCTCCAGAACAGAACTTTGACGAACCTTATCAGGACGACTTTGCTCAGAATGAGTTCGATGAGCCCGGCATCGTGGATGATGGTTTTCAGGACAACATGGGCTACCAAAACAACGAGTTTGAGGAACCGCCCCCTGGCGAAGCTCTGATGTCCCCAGAGCCGCCGCTTACACCTCCACTGGACGATTTGGGCGACAACCAACCCATGAGCCCTGCTCCGCAATATGACGGGAGCGAGTTCGGTCCAATGACGCCGCCCCTAGATGAAGATGTCCCCCCATTACCGTCGCCCGGTCCTGAAGATGGATTTGACGACCCGGGGGACGGTTTCGATGACCAGTTTCAGGATCCACCACTTGAAGACAACTTCGATGACCAATACGATGAGGCCCCGGTCGAGGATGACTTCGCCGCGCGAGATGGCCAAGACATGCCACTCGACGACCAGTTTCAGGAGCAGCCATTCGAAGAACAACCGTTCGAAGAGGAACCGTTCGACGAACAGCCATTCGAAGAGCAACCGTTTGAAGAGCAACCGTTTGAAGAGCAACCGTTCGAAGAGCAACCGTTGGACGAACAACCATTCGAAGAGCAACCGTTCGAAGAGCAACCGTTGGACGAACAACCATTCGACGAACAGCCATTCGAAGAGCAACCTTTCGAAGACAACTACAACGAGCAACCGCAGGATGACTTCCCGGTTGACGACCAATTCCAAGAGCAGCCTTTTGAAGAGAATTACAATGATCAGCCGCAAGACGACTTTCCAGCCGACAACCAATTCCAAGAGCAACCTTTTGAGGAACAGCCTTTCGAAGAGAATTACAATGATCAACCGCAAGGTGACTTCCCAATGGACGACCAATTCCAAGAGCAGCCGTTCGAAGAGCAACGTTTCGATGAGCAGCCTTTTGAGGAACAGCCTTTCGAGGAGAATTACGCCGACCAACCACAAGATGATTTCCCAGTTAATGACCAATTCCAAGAGCAACCTTTCGACGAGCCGCCGCTCGAGGACAACTACAACGATCAACCACAAGATGACTTCCCAGTTGACGACCAATTCCAAGAGCAACCATTTGAAGAGCAACCTTTCGAAGATGACTACAACGATCAACCGCGAGATGACTTCCCGGTTGATGATCAATTCCAAGAGCAACCGTTCGACGAGCAACCGTTCGAAGAGCAGCCTTTCGACGACAATTACAATGATCAACCGCAGGATGACTTCCCAGCCGACGATCAATTCCAAGAACAGCCTTTTCATGACGACTACAATCAGCAACATCACGATGATTTCCCTGCCGACGACCAGTACCAGGAGCAGCCTTTCCATGACGCTTACGACGAGCAACCCCATGACAACTATCCAGTCGACGACCAATACCAGGAAGAACCTTTCCAAGACGATTACAATGCGCAACCTCATGATGACTTCCCGGCCGACGACCAGTACATGGAACAACCGCACGAGGAGCACTTCGACAATTATGATGCGCGGGAAATGCGCTCCCCGGAACCCGTTGACAACGACATGCTCCCGGAGTTTCCAGCCCCAGAAGACCAAGAAGAGTATGGCCCGGACGGCTATGCCTCAGGCAATCATGCCCCAGCTCGTTCGCCGTCTCTACAGGAGATGCAACAACCCGAGTTACAATACGAAGAATACCCACCCGGCGTTGAACCGGCGCACGATGTGTACTATGATGCCGATGAACCGACCGAGCACCCGGAGGATATGGTACCCTACCAGACAAATGAGCCAATGGAAATGGTGGGTACCTACGATGAGCATCAGGAACGGTTGCCCGTGCCCGCCGGGCATGGAGTGAACAGGGTGCATAAAAAGGAGAAATACCAATGGCTGCTCCCGATCATGTCGACCGCAACCATGGGCTGGGCTACGGAAGAGCTCGAGGAACACTACCATGCGGCGAACGTGAAGGCTTCTGGGTTCAGTTTCACCGCTCTTGCAGCCAAACTCTTCGGCTCGAAGAAACCAAAGGACGGTGCCGACGCTGACAAGGACGACCAACACCTCGCTGCAGAAGGAGTGGTGGGGGCCGGAGATGAGATGCGTTCGCCTGATCCCAATGGCGAGATGCACCCCGACAACACGCTGCAAGATCCCGCGATGGTTGATCAAAATGGGGAGATGGCCGATCAAAATGGAGAATGGGAAGACGTGAATGAGAATGACCCGGTGGACAAGAAGGAGAGCAAAGGCAAAAGGGGCCTGTTCGGCCTGTTCGGCAACAAAAAGAAGGAGGGGGATCTCGAAGCCCAGAATCAACAATTTCAGGGGGACCAAGACCCAAGCATGCAAAACGACCAGTTCAACCCTGACGCCCCAATCGGCGAGGATGGGTACGCCAACGGCCAGTATCCGGACGAGCAGGGCATGAACGGCGACGGATACGACAACCAGTACATGGACCAAGATTTGAACGGCCAGCAGAACGGCCAGGAGAACGGTATCAACCAACCGGCGAAGAAGCAAGGATTCTTCGCTGGCCTATTCGGGTCGAAGTCCAAATCTCGAAACCAGCAAGGTGCTGGCTTCAACGATGGCTATGGCTCCCAGCAGCCAGCGAAGAAGAAGGGATTCTTCGCTGGGTTGTTTGGGTCGAAGTCTAGACCTCGGAACCAGAACGAGGGTGGCTTCAATGATGGCTTCAACAATGGTTCCCAGCAACCCACCAAGAAACGAGGCTTCTTCGCTGGACTATTTGGGTCCAAGTCGAAATCCCGGAACCAACATGGCAATGACTTGAACGGCCCTCAGCAGTATGGCGATGACTTCAACGGTGGTTCCCAACAGTATGGCGGCGACTTCAATAACGGTTCTCAGCAATATGTCGATGACTACAACGGCGGTTCACAACAACATGGAGATAACTTCAATGTCGATCCCCAACGGCCGGCCAAGAAGAAAGGCTTTTTTGCTGGACTGTTCGGACCGAGCAAATCCAAGCAACGCAACACTCAGGTCCAGAACACCGGCGATCCTTACAATGATGGATCCAACAAACCTGCAAAGAAAACCGGGTGGTTTGCGGGTCTGTTCGGCTCCAGCAAGAAGCAAAAGAAGAAGAATAACCGGAACGCGAACGGGACCGGCGAGGAATACCCGATGGAAACTTTCTCCGGTCAGGAACCCGTCAACTATGACAACACCATGAGACAAGACGGCTACAACAACAACAACACCAATGTCCATGACTCCACCCAGAAGCCAAAGAAGAAGGGGTTCTTCGCCACCCTCTTCGGCTCCAAAAAGAAGACCAAATCCACCACACAAAACACCAACCCGGACACCATCAACCAGCAGCCCAAAAAGCGCGGTTTCTTCGCCAGCCTCTTCGGTGCCAAGCCAAAGAAGAACAACGACATCGAGATGGGCAACCTCAACCAATCGGACGAAGCCCGCGTCGGCCGCGTGAGGACGGGCAGCCCGCAGCTGCACCAGGGCGAGTCCGGCGCGCGGCAGTCGGCCATGGCTGACGTCATGGACGACGGCAACTTCGAGGACATCCCAGACAAGAAAAAGAAGAAGAAGCAAGACAGGAAGGACAAGAAGGCCGCGAGGGCGGACAGGAAGAACAAGGGCAAGGGCAAGGAGGTGCGGCGGAGCGTCGTGTATGACGAGCACGGGAGGATGGTGAAGGTGCCGCCGAAGGCGAGGAAGGCGCCTGGCAAGATGCGGTACGCGCCGAATCTGCCGAGCGACCGCCTGTATCAGCATGTGAACGGGCCCAAGCCGATTCGGAAGGGCGGTGGACGGACGGCGGCGGCGGCGGCCAACCCGGGGAATTGGTTCTGGATGGATGTGTATTGGAAGTAGGCGAATGGGTGTGTCATGCCAAAGATTGAGACAAAAGCTCTCGAGATGGAAGGGGAATAATTGGATGGCGCATGGATATGGAAGGATTGTGGTGTTGGACTTGTACATGTACACGGACGAAGATTATAGGTGATTTCACGTAGCTAGAGATGGGCGCGGATAATTATATCGCAGGAAAAGAGTATTTATTATTACTGTTAGAAGAAAGGAAATATACCCAAAGTCACTTAACTTTCTTCACCCACGATGCCTGCCGATTAGAACGAGCTTTGTGTTGCCACGCCGCCCTATAGAGGCCGTTTTAACGCACATCCGAACGCGACGAGGCCTTAGCTGGCACCTTCCTGCAACCTGGCCTCGCCCATTCGGTCCTTTTGTGACGACTCGTCGAGTAACAAGTGACATAATGGGCGGAGGACTGTATTCACGACGAGTTGTTTCTGTGAAGGCAGACGTACCTTGTTGTTACCTAATGGTTAACAGGCTTGGGCTTAATGAAAGTGCCGGGGTGAAAGTGTACCCAGGTAAGCACATGAATGAGTATGACGAGACACAAGCAACCGATGTGAACTCGAGTAGCTCGGAACGATAGGATCAATTTCCAGAACTAGATACCGACCTACCTCCATAAGGGAACTTCCAATTTACATCGCCAAAGCAAATACCTTAAGCTAACCAAGAACCACAAACACTTCGCTTCCCTGCAGCTAATCAAATCTGCTCGCCCATACCACGCCCAGCAAGGGATCTTTACCCCTAGACACTCGACTCTCGAACCCGAGCCCGAACCCGGCAACTTCCCGACCTGCCATACGGACAACCCAAACCCCCTAGAAGTCCCAAAAGCCCACAGCTACCCTGTTTCACCATCCCACCCATGCTCCTTCCTAGCAAGCGCCCGCAAAGCAGTACCATGTACCGAACCTCGGCCGTCTCCCAGGTCCACAACATTCACGCCCCGACGCCGTGCTTCCCACAGCGCCGCGGCTCGCTTCCCCGTCTAGCCCTCCTTCATAAGGGCAACGAGGTTAACTGGGTCTTATGGGCCCCGGCGTCGGGCCGCGGCGTTTGGAGGTTGACAGCGGCAGGGTCCTTGGGAAAGTAGAAGGCTGAGCTGCGGCGCTATAGGGATGGCGGGGGGTCGCAGGGTTGCGAGGGAGCGCGAAGCACCCAGACGGCGGGAGCATGTTGGTATATGTTGTTGTTGCTGACTCCTAGCTGCGGCAGGGTGTGCCGCTCCGAGGCATCGAGGGGTTCGGATCCTTGCAATAAGGGGCGGAAGGTATCGCGGTTACTGTTTGGGATCGGGTTGATGAAACGGGGAAAGTTCGGTGGTGGGTCCTGGTCCTCTAACGTAGGAGGAACGTGGGTAGCAGGGTGGGTGCTCACTGAGGACGAAGGACGGGGTCCGTATGAGTTGTGGGGCTGGCGGACCGTTGCCCGGAACGGAGGCGAGGTGGCAGGGCTTGGCGGGATGGATGTCATCGGGACACCATGGTGGTCCTGAGGGACGCGTAGCGACGCGGGAGACCCCACAGACGGCCAGGATTGGAGAGACGAACCCGATGTCAGGAGAAGCTTGGTGAGGTGGTCGTGTCCCCGTTGTGTGACTGGCTTCGGCGTCACTGTAGACGATGAGGGTCCCATTACTGAGGTCGCTATAGGTGCTCAATGTGGGACTATAGTCCCTGCAATGCGGACGTTGGGGTGGTCTGGGATATATGGCGGCGGCCGCTAGAGCTAGCTGGCGGCGTTGGCCGGGCCTGACTCGGGAATGACGGACAAGTCCTCAGTGCTGTAACTGAACGCTAGCTTGTCCCTATAAGATATGTCTTCGAGCGATGAATTGCTTGATATTGATAGCGGCAAGCCATCGTTTATATAGAAGTTGGGCTGGTCGAAGTGGTTGAGCTCGGTAAATGGGGGCGTGCGAAAAGGGGCTGAATCATGAGCGACATCATCGTAGGTTACCTAGCCAAGCTGACTTCAGGCTACAACTCTGTAAGTCATGGTTGAGTTTATCGTCTGTAACGGTTCAAGGAAATGCGGGAAACTCTCTGCACTCATGTACGCATGACTTCTTACAAGTCAACAGTCACTCAGTCTCCATTTCCCCCGGGATGGCGACGAGGCTTGGTTATACATGGGCACCCTAGGTGCCATCGGGCAACAATAGCATCATGTACTTCGAGGCGCACGAGCAGAGTGACTTATTATATACGACCATACCTCGTATTCCATGTTGTGTGGTTCGACCTTGTCCGAGTATGTCCGTAAGAGAACCTTGAGTGGGGTTGCTCAACTGGGCCGTGTTCCCAAGTTCCATGGGCCGAACTCCCCGGTTTCGTCGTTGATCACGCAATACCCCCGGCTGACAACTTCGCCTTATTAGTAACAAGGTGCGATGGCAGGAGAGATAAATCGTCAGCTTTCGATCACATCGAAGGGCCAGGCTGGACAAGAGTTGTCTCTATAGGCCATGGTCATTGGATTCAAGTAGCGGTGAATGAAGGCACATCTGTTCTACCATCGCATTCGATTCTGTTAGATGAACTTCTAATACTGTCCGGGGCCATCGTAGCACGACGGAACCGTTGGGGCGAAGGCAAGCTCGCGAAAGCGGGATACGGCTACATAATCCACACGTGAAACCCTCTAGAAGTGGGGTGAAAGAAACGGGTTATGCTTCTAGAACCTCATAGGCTGCAAGATTACCACTAATTACCAGGTCCATGAGATAGGTACTTTGCAAGAGTTAAGCGGATAAGAAACAGCCGTTGTTGATCTCTCAGAGGAGGGCAACAGCCGCGGCAATTAAGGCCGCCAAAGACCCAGACCGAGCCGGTGCAATGTTGGATGCGCCAGCGGTTTCGACCGGTGGTGTCGGCAAGGTCGTCGACCCACCACCAGCGCCGCTATCGTTGCCATTGTCACCACCATGACCGTCTCCGCCAGGAATGCCACTCGGAGAGCTCGAGGGGCTCGGTCCAGGCCAAGAGTCATCCTCATCATTGTCATCCTCCCCTTCCCCGGAACCGTCATTGCCACCACCATCACCGTTGCCATCCTCGTTACCGTCGTCGTTACCATCCTCGCCGCCATCATCACCACCATCATTGCCATCATCGCCATCATCGCCATCATCGTCGTCACCATCACCCCCATCACACCCCAAGCTACAAGTAGGCCCCGCGGTAGGCGTCACTGTCTCCTCACTACTCTCACAAACCGACGTCGTAACCTTGTCCGTCCTTGTCTCGGTAACAAACCCCGACGAAGACACCTCACCCTCCGTTGTAGACGTACCCGTCTCCGTCACTCCCCCTCCCCCACTCCCCGTCACCGTTTCAGTCACACTCACACTCACACTCCCCGTCCCCTCCCCATCCCCCCCACACCCCGTCACCGGCGAAGCCGTCACACAAGCACACAGCGCCCCCACGGCATCCACAACTCTTAGCGCCTCGTCCAGCGCGCACGCGCCCAGCACACACCCGACGGCCGACTGCTGAATGGCGGCTGACGAGGCACACCGGCAGGGATAGTCGTTGTTATCGCTGCAGCCGACGGCGGATGCCGCCGAGACGATGCAGCTTGTTGCGCAGGCGGGGACGGCGCTGATAGAGGGGGCGCAGGGGTGTGGGCAGGTTGTGGGGGGTGGGGTCGTGGTTGTGGGAGTGGTGGGGGTGGGTTCGGGCTTGATGATGGTGGAGGAGGAGGATGGGGAGGAGGAGGCGGAGGTAGGTGTCGGATTTGGGGGCCTGGAAGTCGAAGTGGTGGTGTCGATGGTGCTAGTTGAGGTGGTTGTCTCGATAAGGGCGGACGACGTAGGCTCGTTACAAGGAGTGGTCGGGTTGGCGGTCACGCAGCTGCAGAGGGCACCGACGGCATCTGGGACCTGCAGGGCACCCCCGAGCCCGCAAGCACCCAACACGCAGTTGATGGCGGAGTTCTGAATGGCGTCGTACTTGGCGCAGTGACAGCTGTAGTCGTCGCCGACGCAGCCAAGATTGCTGGCGGCTGATTCGATGCAGCTGGTTGCACAGGTAGGGACGGCCGAGACCTGAGGAGCGCATGGGTTGTCACCACCGCAAGAAAGGCCGGGTGTCACGATGGCGGCGCCGCCATCGAAGGCGAGAGCTCCTGCTGCGGCCAGGACGAGTCCGGCCGCAGCTTTGGTCGTGGACAGCATTGCGGAACAGGAGGAACAGCCAACTGAAGCTTGAGGTAGGTAAATAGGCGACAGAAATACGGGAATCTTCCGGTTCGACCAGACGGAGACGGGCCTCGTTTAATAGCCTAGACTCCCTGCCCAGTCCGCTGCGCTACACCCGATCTCGGCCTCGCTGCGTCCACATGCTTGTGGTAAACAACCTAGCCGACCAGTACTTCCAAGTTCTCCTGAAGCCCAATGTAAGCAAGGGTCATCCACACTGGGAAAGGTAAGTAGGACCGCAGTAGCTGCACTGTGTGATTGGGTGGTTGGGTAGCATGTGCAACGTAGGTGGAGGTTGGGTTGGCCGTGCTAACGAGGCCGCGCATGATCGGGATCTCGTTGCCGTGGCTATTGATCGTGATCCCCCAGTTTGATCCTTCCCCAAGGCAGGTTTGCCAGTATCACTGTCCCAATGTCGTCCCAAGCTCTTGGGAGATCGTCGATCCACCGTCCATGGTTGTGGACGATCATCAGGGGCAACCCGGGATCCCGGATCTCCACAACCTTTGAAGTAAACCGTAAATACACGACATCAGCCAAACCAATGTGGGTTTGACTGATGCGAGTATGTTTGGTGCTGGCTGCCATCCTCTGCTCCCAACGACATGCACCTCGCTCAATCGATATCGATCAGATGCCAGACATTGACCCAGATTCCCATGCGGGCCTCGGCACCTGGGGACTTGTGGTTCCCATCTGGCACGGGTTCATGAGGGGGGCCGCCTTGGCATCGGACAAGAGGTCGTATTTTCGATGAAAGTTGGGGAAACAGAGCCAAAAGGTTGCTTGATCCCTGCGCCCCCGGGGATACAGTCCCAAGTTGGGCAGAAGCAGGACGATGTGGATGAAAACAGTACTGTCTCCGGCGCTATTGACCCCCCCCGGAGTAACCCCAGGCCGCAGGTGCTACGGGCCACATCGGGGTGCGTCGTGATTAACGATATGAGGGACGTTTCTATTGGCAAGAGGTTCTCGAATCGCGCCGTCGAGAGTCGGTTTATTTGTGCGCCGTATCCCGATGGTGTGGAGGGAAGATGCCCAATATCTATAGGCAGAGAGACCAAGACGGAGCTACAGGGCTCCGTTGCCCACCATAGCTTGTGACCTCTACATCTATTTTAGCGTAAAAGAGCAGGTAGCATTATCCGGTATATACATTGCCGAAGAGCCGTTCGAACAAAGCAGAGAGACTCAATGTATACTCTCACTGATACTTCACACTATGAGTTTTATCCCGCAAGAAGGAGCTTGGTAGAGCTACCTAAGGTAGGTAGGTACCTTATTTACCACGCGTCCTATCGAGTAGCGTCCGGAGACGGCCACCGTAGCAATAGTGACGGACCAATAACGCCCGACGCTTCTGGAAGTGACCTCTTGACCTCAGCCGGGAGGTCGATAACAACCTCATTGCCAAACCGTAGATCAACAAAGTCGTACGCAGACTCAAGCCGCTCTAGAAGATGCCGTATGCGCTTCTCAGACCCCTCAGGCAGCGCCGTACCTCCATCCCCTAACCTCCTCGTCAGAAACTCATGCATCCCACCTATCCCCTCGCCCTTACCCCGACGGCCAACCTCAGCAATGGCATCTGACCCGCCGTCAAGCGGAGTAACCGCCTCGGCGAAGGCGGCCACGAAGTCATCCGGGATACGCTCCTTACGCATCCCAGGGACTTCGTTCCCGCCAAAGGTGTGCTTGCGCTTCAACGACTTGCCATACATGACAGCGTGGTGGGCCAAGTTGCGAATTCCACGGACGCCGTAGCGCTCGGGTTTGAGATACAGACAGTTTCCTCGCCGTTTGTCGTTAACGATGGCAATCGAGAGAACATGACAGTGGCCATGGGGAAGCGGAGGAGGTGGTGGTTCTGAAATACCGAAATTGCCCGCGGGGAGACGAAGATCAATGCCAGTGGTGCATCCCGGGGAGCTTTGTCTCTTCAAATGGCTGCTGATGCGTGGTGTGCCCATGCCGCCGAAGTAGGCCGACAACCGGCCTTCTGGATCTCGACAGAGATACGCGCCCGTCACAAAGGTCTGGCCGCGTTCGATGCCAAGGAAGGTGAGGTACCACATGATGTTTGTCACCTGGAGGATGCCTTCGGGGGAGTGTTGCATCCTGCGGGCGACATCCCGTATCTCATCGACCGACCATGGTTGTGTCATGATGGCGAGTACATCTTGAGCCCCCTGGGCGATGGCGGAATGGATTTCGGTTCTCCATTTAGCGAGCCCGATGCCTGCCAGGTAGGCATCAAGGCTGTTGCGCTTATCTTCGGTTTGATCAAGAGATTCCAGACCCTCTGAGTCTGACCGCGGGAGGAAATTGTTCGTCATGGTGGCACCTAAGGTCACCCTAGTGCTGGACTCTTGGAACCTGAAGTTGGGATCATTCGGTTAGCAGAAGCGACCACCACAACAACGAGTTACGTCGCACAAGACACCGCCGTCGGGCTTCAACCCCCGCACCCTCACGCCGATCCGAGACACGCTTCCGTCCAATTGCGGCTCGCCTTCGCTCTCACCTAGGTATACTTGCCGGCAGCAAAATACACCATACCACCAATTGTAGACTCTATCACTTGCAGCAACCTAACCAAGCCTAGAAAGGTGGCGTTGCGGTTTCATTACTCTATATAACTAGCTTCCTACCACCTGTACAAGTGGACATCAACTATCACCATTCCTACAGCCTAGAGAATTAATTGAAGCGAAGCGGTCGTTCTTCACTTCCTCTGTATATGGTATATTCCGGACGCAGATTGACCAGACCGAACGTTCAATGAATTCGGGATACCACCTCCACTCTACGTTAGCGGCGAGTACAATGCCCATAGTGAACCTAACTTATAGGTAGGTAGTTATGGCAATGTCTTGATGGCCGCGATGCCGGGGGTATTAAAAATGAAGAAGAATAAATGTAGCGTTCAACCATTGGGCCGGTTACGGCTGCGGTTCTAACCACCACTAATATAATCATCCCTTTTCCTCCGAACTCCTACATACGACCATACCTACTTGAAAATACGGGATCCCGTCCGCTCTCCCCGAGTCAAACAAGTAAGGGCCAGACTAGTAGTTGGGTCGGTGACGACCAGCGAATCCCTGGTGTTGTATGTTTTTGACGTTTTGCCTCTCTCTTCCAGGTTCATCCTGGTCCACCCTAACCCACTCACCCAACGTACCACTCCGTTTGCCCGAACAAGAAATTAGCGGTTACTTTTCCAGAGGCGTCTTCTTGCGGATGGCTTGTGTGTTAATTTGGGTACAACTCATGGAAGGATCTGGTTATTCAAAATCATAGGTGGCTTCCTACACCGGCGGCCCTGGGCCCAAGCCTTTTACCATGACTCTGGGTGAAGAGAGTATAGATCTGGGGATCTAATACAAGGAATGCGAGTTCTAACGTATGAACCGATTACGCCGACGGCGGCGTCATGCCAAGGTGGCTTTGTAAGGGACATTGTAGCATATTTCCGTTGACAGCACTCGGTAGGTACCTAGTAAGGGCTAACAACCTACTCTAAAATCTTCTGAAGCGGCCCAAACCCCCCTACGACGAATTGGTATGCCAAGTCCAGTCCATCTAGTTCGCCGGTCCTTGTCCCGGAAGGTATTCGAGCCCTAAAAAAGGTTAGCGTTTCCGTTTCTTCTCCCAGGCTATGGGCACACCTACATCCATCCGTCTCCTCCCCGACAAAGTCCTCCACGGTACACTCATTGGCAACAGACATCGCCTGCTTGGTGATAGACCCGCAACCATCATAAAAGCAATCCTCGGTATCCATAGCGCGCTGCAGCGAGTCGCCCTTCCAGCCGAACATGTAGTCGGCGTGGGTGCCGTAGCCGCTGGTGCCCTCGAAGCTCCACACGAAGGGGTTGGGCGCGCCCTCGGGCCACATGTCGTTGAACTTGGTCGTGTCCCACACCGTCTCGTACGTCACCTGCGGCACGCGCACTGGGTGCGACTCCGGGCACGGTGGCGCGTTCATGAAGCCGCCCCGGTCCATCGTGTTGAACATGTGCGACTGGTGGTCGGGGCTGTCGATGTTCTTGCCGTCCCAGCATCTGGTGATGGTTAGCGACACGCTGCAAGGTTTTATGATGAACTCGGTTACTAACGCGGGGAAGTGTTGAACGGCGAAGATGCCGGCTGGGCATGGCTTGTCTGGGAAGTCGACCAGTTCCCGACCTCTGTCCAAGAGGGTCTGCAGGCAGTTGTAGCGCAGTCCGACGTTCGACTTTGCCACATCAGGGTCGGTTGTCGTCGGGCTGCCAACGGTCATACGAAAGCCCTAACGGCGAATTAGAATGGGAAGGGGGGATAGCATGTAACAGACCCACTGGTGGAAAGGCTTTGATGGGTTGCTTCTCTGTGTTGTCATCCCAGAAGTCAAACTGAGTGTAATAAACGGTAATCCCGCCAGTGGTGCCTGGGGCGAGAGCGGCGTTGTTGACGACAGGCACCCGGTGGTAAGAGCCGTTGGTCGGATGTTTGAAGTACAAGACGGCGGTCCAGTAGTTGGAAAAGTCTTCAGACATCTCGCAGGTGGTGCAAGTGGCCCTCTCGCCAACGTCGCCCTCCATCGTAGCATTGAAGGCATTTCCACCGACGATGTGATGGACGTGAGAGGAGGGGGTCCTCCCAGGCTCGACGACGGGGTCAAGTCGCTGGGTGGTCAAGGACGAGCACCCGAAGCGAAGGCCTGCCTGGACACGGGCGACTAGCGCAAGCGTGGCGACGCAAGAAGACTTCATCTCGGCTATGGATTGGTTTGATCAGGGGGGATATACGAAAGTAAGGACATGAACGAGGCAGAGACCGTAGGTCCGCCCGGTGCCGGCCCCATGGACACTTATAAGTGCAGGCCAACCCTGGGAGAGACTGGTTGTATAAAGCGGTATAACTACCACATCTATATGCCGGGCGGGGCGATAAGATGATCATCGAAACTCTATCGCCTACATATTAACCAGCGCCCTGTTGGGGGAGGCCCGAGACAGATGATTAGTTCGCATCGCCATTACCCGGCGACGTAGCAACTTAACCAAGGCAGCCAAGGGATCAGGCTTTTCGGCCGACCCCGCTCAAGGGTTGCAGGTATGCGTGTTGATCCGGATTCCGCAGAAACCGTGAATTGTGATGCCATATCTCCGTTGTGTTGCCACAAACAGATAATACGAGAGCCTTGTCTCGCCAGCTGGCTAGCAGCCAGGCCCCTAGTACCAATTCTTTCGCATCTGGTTTAGTAATCTACTGGTCTTCTCGCGGGCCTTCCTCACGCTACCCAAACAGTGCTCCCTATCGGCCTGTGGATTCCGCAGCTCCATAAGTAAATAGATGCAGGACCCTGACCAAGAGTGGGTTACTGGAGGGACAGCGGCAGTTAGCCAGTATGTACAGCGCTATCTTTGAAGAATAGACCGTGATCTATGCATGCGCGCCAAAATGGCGATGGTATGACTTGTGGGACTTGAGTCAACCTACGATCTTGCCTCTTGGGAGCACTGTGAGCGTTTTCTAGGTGATATGCACGGTGTTTGACAGGTTTAATATGTAAAAAGCAGGTACCCACCATCGTACTTGCACTACTAAGTAGGTATATTCATTTTCGCTACGGGCTTGCCAAAGATCCTTTTAAGAATTCACGAAACGGGCCGGGTGGCAAGGGTGGTCACGGCTGGTGGGACATCATACGCTGGGCTGTTGGGGGGTAACGTTGAAAAGTGTACCTAATTTAAGAATGGGTATCTATTTATGTGAGAATGGATGATCATTGCCGTTTTCCTGATGCGAACGCCTGAAAGAACTGACTTAACAAAAACCTGTCCCTCCCAAGCAGTCCCTGTTGTCCAGCGTTCCAGCATCTGCCTGCTATGGTATCCCATGGCAGCCACGGCATTCGTGCTCACACGGCCGTCGGCAGGGCTTTCAACACATCGTCACACTCTGCGGAATGGTCCAATCGTACACGGCGACATCAGTGATCCATCTCTTGTTGATCCAATAATAGGTAATGAAAACATCAGCCAGAGCCGCCAGCACCTGCAAGCCGGTGTACTCGCCATCCCCAACCAACGGGATGCTGAACTGTGCCGACTTCTCCACCAACGGGTCGCCGAGTCCGGGTATGGATGAACAGTCGAGGACGCCGTCGTTGCATTGCACTGTTGCTTGTATGAACTGGGAAATAGAAATGTTCCCCAGAGATAGAGACTCACGAATCCTGCCGGAGAGATCGGGACGGTGCAAGATCGCCCAGATCAGGTCCCGCCCGTCGCCCGACGCGGCTCGATTGCCGGAGATGATGGGCTTCAGAGAATGCGAGGCCTTGGCGAGGATGCGCATATCATTGACGGAGAAAACAGCATACGATGTCTTTCGTGTGCTCTGCAGATTATTGCAGAGGATCATGGCACTCCGAAGGTGGATAGCCTCCGCCGGGAAGGTTGTATTACCGCAATCTGGGAAGATCTGCATGGCTTTGTTGGACTGCTGCTCGATATGACCGTATGCCTCCATCAGGTCGGACATCAGCGGATGGGTAGGGGAGAAGTAAAAGCCGTCTGGTCTGAGAAGCAACAGTGCATCCTTCACGAGCTTGAGCAGATCTTTGCCCATATAGAGGTCCCCAATGTGGTGGGGGTAGAGACCGGCATCAATGTCCTCGTCGTCGGGGACATATTTGCGGTCGTGCTCTTCGCACGTATGGATTTCGAGACCCCGGCTATCCGCTAGCTCCCCATTGATGGCAACAGAGAGGAGGCCAGGACAGGGTCTGAGAAGTTCTTTCATCCTGCAAGTGTTTCCGAGCTTACCCAACTCCTCCCTCAGCAAATCATCGAGGATACCCGGCCTTCCCGGGTTGTTAGCACCACGCTCGACCTGACTGGGGTTGCTGCGATTAGAATCGCGCTGGAGGGCCTTGGGGCGGTCTTTCTTCTTTCCGTAGAGCTTGAGGAGAATGTTTTCGCTCGAGAGGTCTTCGGACGTAAGGTCTTCGAACAGCTTGGCTTGCGTTCGCTCTTCCTTGGCGGTCTCGGTCTCCATGTCACGCGGTCCCTTGTCTCTGTCGGCGCCACCAAGGTAGAGCGCCCTTCCGCCGGCAAGGGAAAGCCCTCCAATAGCGTTCCACAGGCGAGAATGTAGAAAGTGAGGTTCTTGTGGCATGTCGAAGTCCTGCCAGTAGCGGTGGATGTCATGCGGGATTTGGTCGGATACTGACATACGGCTCCGAAACTCCACGACACAGGCGTTTGTACTGGACCTAAACTGCAACCAGCCTAGAGGCCCCGACCATTGCATGGGCAAAGGCATTGGGTTCTGGTAGCTTGGCCTTTTCTCATGCGACTGGAAGCCGAGAATGGAGCAGATGGCAACAAGGTTTTTGCCCTCCCATGGCATCGGGATAACGCCGTTGACGAGTTCCGAAGCATCCTGCATTTCGTACAGATCTTTCTCCTCTGGTGGAGACTCAGGGTCCATGCCGAGAGCCTGCATGAAGGTAACCCAGCTCGCCTTGGCCTGAACGTTATTCGGACCGTCCTCCAGATCAGGGTTTGGCACCCTGCTTAGCTGCGCATACCGGACCTCCACGAGCCGGATTATATTAGCTCACGTCCATAAGCTGGAAGTAAACAGCTCACGATTAACGAGCGGCTCATTCAGTGAAGCTGTTCCTTCCTTGAGCCGTTGACTGATGGTTCAAGGGGGCAAGAGCGGTTAGCTTCCCGCTCGAGGGAAGGAGTCCCCCACGATTTGAGCTGCTTATAGGCCCCAAGCCGGAGATCAACCATCAAACAATAGCTCAAGGGCCTTGAACAGTTTAATTAAGCCAGCGGGGTGATATTAGCTCAAAGGGTGAGCCGTTATACGTTTTTCAGTATCCGGTATAAACGGCTAAGTGGAGAATCCGTCGGGGAAGGTGAAGCGGGGCTTCCAACCAAGTTTGACGAGGGAACTGATCGAGACAACAGGGACGGAAACTTTTCGGCGGAGCCCGAAATAGCTTGAACTGGCGACTTTCTGTTTCCAAGGGCCGATGGCTCTCCAGGAGAGGCCGAGTCGATACATCCTATTTTGGGACGCGAGCTGCAGCGCGGCAATGTACACCGTGAACAGCGTGATCCCGGCAATGAAAGCCGACACAACTGACGCAACTGTTGAGACGATGCCGACGGCGTCGGTAGTGCTGGAGGCATCATCCATTGCGACGAAAAGGGTGAAGGAGTGGGGCGGGGAAAAGCGATGAGAGACGCTGCGGGGGAGAGAAAGAGTGTTGCGAAGGGGGGTTCGAGGATGAGCAGAGAGATGCCGTATATGTGGTGCGTATGTAGGGATTTGCTTCTGGCCTGCAAGGTGGGTTTGACCTACGTCGAGTGGAGAGCGCAAGTTGGGACTGAAACGGAGGCGCCGAGTAGACAATTATGTGCAGATGGTCTGCCATGAGATATTCAGTACCTAGGTACCTACCTTACACGGCCGCCGAGACTCTTCTCGATAGATGGGGCCATTCCCGCCGCTGGAGAGGCAGCCGATGGCCCGACGCCAGCGTCCTGAAAGTGCCTTGGATCGCACCTCCGACAACGAATAGAATGTGTATTCGGCCAGGCCGTACCCGTCCTCGTCACCATCGTTATCACCGTTGTTCAGCTGTGATAGTACTGACTCGGATGCATTGATGCCTGATCAGGAGGCCTCTAGCAACATGAGTCTCAGGATGATGTGTTTACGCTCTCAGGGGTTCCTTCATTTTGGGGAACATTGAAATTTTAATCGCACCAAGACGCCTGCAGCTGTAATTCGCCCGTCACTTTTCACCGCCCCCTCCCAGATGCCTGGCTGTGCTGGAGCCCAACTAGCTGACAGCTCCGTAACCAGTCATGGAAATGTAGCTCTGGGGTCATGCAAAAAATGCCTAACTGACCAGTCAAGCCAAAGGGACCCAAACTCACGGTAGCGGGCAGTGTGAGTGACGTGGAACGCTAATTGAACCGCTTCGTGTCACACAGCGGTACAGCACTGCCACTCAGCACAGGAAGGCTGGAGGTGGTAACATTATCTGAGTGATTCTATAGGCTTTCGACTCACCATGCCATCAATATCACGACTCACAATTGCCACCGATGCCGGACTCTGGTGGCCCTCCGTTCCAGGTTACGCAAGTCAGGTTTGGAGGCTGAGAGTAAGTTGGCCGGGCGGTGGTGGCAAGCCAAGAAGGGCAGATCTTTGTGGCCCCTATATCTCCAGTCAGGGAGGTGTTAAACGTCGAATATCTCCGCATCGTTCCATCGTTCCTCGGGGCAACACCATCCGCCGTTTCAATATCATTGTCAGACATCAACGAAAGTCTTAGGCCTTGTCTCAACCAGGGGCTCGACGATTGCAATTCACCACTTGATTCGGATCCCGAAGTCCCTTCTCTAGGCTCTCTTTCTCGCCCCCTGCCCGCTTAGGAGAAGCGCCCTCAGTTGGCTAGAATGGCAGGGACCGAACTACCGCAACCATCATTGGGCCTGGGCGATGCGCCGCCACCTTCGGCGCGGCCCGTGTCCCAAAATGACTTTCTATTCCTTCATCCGCCGGCAGATCGGGAAGTTTCTGCTCAGACTTCTCCGTTTACTTCGAGGCCCACGACACCGTCCAGCTCCGGCATCCAGTCTACAGCACCGAGCAGTCCTCCCCATACTCCCAGCCCGGGTGAGATGGCCGGCAATATGGGACCTGGCGCGCCTACCGGACAGGCCGCGGCGGGTAGTAGTAATTACGCCTTGCAGGATTATCAGATGCAATTGCTGTTACTGGAGCAGCAAAACAAGAAGAGGCTCATGATGGCTCGTCAAGAGGAGGACATGGTCAAGACGCCCGGCGGTAGGGCTCCCGGGACGAACGACGAACCCTCCCAAGGGGGCTCGCCTCCTGGTGGGCACACTGCCTCTCCGAACCCGGCCTCCAACGCCGTCCCTGTTATTCTTGAACCACTTCCAGTCTCGCGCACTTCTAGTTTGGATATTTTGCTTTCGAACCATGTCGCCCCGGACTCTAACGCAACCTCAATCTCGCCGGCTCTAATTCCCCTCCCTCCCTCTCCTAGTAACAATGCGACTTCTACACCCCCACCGATAAAGAACCCTTTTGGGATCGTAGCGTCGAGCGCTGCTGCAGAGTGGGAACTCAGGAAGCGGAAAAACCACGAGGAGAATAGCGTCATCGACGAGCTGATGGGCTACGTCGGCCTTGAAGAGGTCAAGCGCCAATTCTTGGCGATCAAGTCCAAGGTTAACATCTGCGAAGAGCAAGGACGGGACATCGAGAAAGAAAGATTCAACATTGTATTTCAGGGAAATCCTGGAACAGGTTCGTACGATCTCTATGGTCCAAAGCTGCCCTGGAAATTGGCTCCTCTGGTTGCTAACTGAGCCGCTACGAACAGGCAAGACGACCATCGCTCGCTTATATGCGAAGTTCCTGCATTCGGTCGGTGTCGTCGGCTGTCCCGAAGTCAAGGAGAAATCGGGGATCAAGCTTTGCACCAAAGGTTCCTTCGGCGTCAAGAGAATGTTCAAGCGAATGCTGGAGCGCGACGGCGGTGTCCTGTTCGTCGACGAAGCCTACCAGCTGACCGCGCCGTACACCGACGGCATGGGGCGACAAGCATTGGACGTCATTCTCACAACCATGGAGAACGAGATTGGGAAGTTAGCCGTCGTCTTCGTTGGATACAAAGACGAGATGGAATCCTTCTACGAGCACAACCCTGGTCTGTCCAGCCGCATCCCGTACTCCATGGAGTTTTCCGACTTCACCGACGCCGAGCTATGGAAGATTCTCCACGACAACATCAAAAAGGAATACAACGGCAAGATGAAGGTCGAGGGCGGCCTCGACGGTTTGTACATGCGCGTGGTTCTTCGTCGCCTCTCTCAGGCGCGGAAGAACCGAGGTTTTGGGAATGCTCGCGCCGTCGAGAACCTGCTGGCCAGAATATCAAGTCGCCAAACCAGCCGCATTGAACAGGAGAGGCTGTCGGGCCAGAGTCCGGACCCTCTCTTTCTCACGAAGGAGGACCTTATCGGCCCCGAACCAGAGTGTGCCGTTGGAAAGAGCCAGGCTTGGGCTGACCTGCAAAAGCTCATTGGACTCGAGTCGGTCAAAAGGTGTGTGCAGAGCATGCTCCGGATGACCCAGCTCAACTACCGTCGCGAGCTGAAGGAGCTGAAGCCCTTGCAGTTATCGTTGAACCAGGTCTTCGTTGGCGCACCGGGAACCGGAAAGACTACAGTAGCTCGGCTGTATGGGAGAATCCTCGCCGATCTTGGCCTCCTGAGCCGAGGAGATTGTGAGACTGCTATTTTCGTGGAGACAAGAAAGTAAGCTAACATGCTCCGAATAGTGATTCTCAAGACCCCTGCGGACTTCATTGGCGAGTGTCTCGGCAAGTCGGAAGCCAAGACCAAAAAGATCCTTGAAGCCACAGTGGGCAAAGTGTTGGTCATCGACGAAGCCTACATGCTCGATGCAGGCGATGGGAGCAAAGAGCAAGACAAGTTCAAGACTGGTGTGATCGACACCCTGGTTTCCATGGTTCAAGGCTCACCAGGAGAGGATCGTTGCATTATCCTCGTGGGGTACGAGGATAAAATCAGCAACATGTTCCAAAATGTCAACCCCGGCCTCTCTCGTCGATTTCCCATCAACCGACCTTTTCGATTCGAGAACTTTGATCTCTCACAGCTCACGAGCATTTTGGAGAAAAAGATGCTGGAGGAGGACATGGAGGCCGCGCCAAGAGCTTTCGAAGCTGCCCGAGATGTTCTGGAGCGAGCCTTGATGCGCCCCAACTTCTCCAATGCTGGAGAGGTCGATAGCATTCTCCAGGTTGCCAAGATGAACTTCGAGCAGAGGCAGGCCAGCAGACCGTTTGACGAACAGGCATGCAATGGGATGGTTGAACCTGAAGATTTCGATAGGGACTTCGCCAGAGGCACGGTTGGCACTGGTATAAATAGTCGGCAAGAACTCAAGGGGCTAGTGCACGACCGGATCATCGACAAGCTGGCGAGATACCAAACGATATGCATTGCTGCGAGAAGGCAGGGCTTTCGGCCTAGGGAGCAAGTGCCAACCAACTTCGTCTTCAAAGGATTTACAGGCAAGTCACAAATAGTTCCTTTTGATACTACGGTATTTAACTACTGTAACACCGCTAACGTCATTCACAGGCACTGGCAAGACCACAACTGCTCAGCATATGGGGAAGATCTTTTATGATATGGGATTCCTGGCCACGCCGGATCTCATCGAATGCTCCGCCACCGATCTTATTGGTCAATATGTTGGTCAAACATGCCCCAAGACCCGCAAGGTGCTCGAGAACGCACTCGGCAAGGTCCTTGTAATCGACGAGGCATATCGCCTCATATTTGGCGAGTTCGCCGCGCAGGCCGTGGACGAGATCGTTCAGTTTCTTTCCCGGCCCGCGAACACGGGTAGAATGGTAGTTATTCTTGCAGGACGCACCGATGACCTGAAGGTCCTCATGACCAGCTATCCCCAACTGTCGGGTCTGTTTCCCGAAGAGATTGAGTTTCAGAACTTGACGCCTGAAGAGTGCATCAGCCTGCTCCTTCGAGAACTCGGAAAAAGCGACGTCGTCACCGAGAATGACTTTCTTCTCCGACCGCAAGACCCAAGCTACGCTATCACTGCACGGCTCTTCAAGGCGTTAGGGGTCATTCCGGGATGGGGCAACGCGCGTGACGTCAAACAGTTGGCGAAGCAGATTCTCGGCAAGTTTCTCGAGGCTTCGGGCCCCGAAAGGCAAGCTGTGCGCACGGTTACAGCGGCGCAGGTTCGGCAGTCCGTATTTGAACTGGTGATCCAAAGACGAGAGCGGTCTCTAAGTCTGCATCCCGGCGCCAACGCCAGTCTCCCAATCTTGCCACCAATTGGGTCCGACTTTATTCCATCCTTCATCACCCCGCCACAGCTTGCAAGCACACAACCTGTCGAAACCCCTATCGATATTGACACTGCGGTGGATAGCGGTACCGCTACCAGTAGCCACGTTAGGACCCAAACTCGAACCGACCTCGGCCGTCGTCATAGTGGCGGCGCTCCGGACTCAGACAATGACGACGAGCACACGCCCACGGCCCGAGACAACGGTGTTTCTGATGCTGTCTGGACCGAGCTCGAGGAAGCGAAGCGGAAGCAAAAAGGCCTCTCCGGGCGGCAACGACAACTACAGCGAGATTTCGATGCCGCCGAGACGATGCTCGCCGGCAATGCTGGCGCAGATGGGGGGAACAACTGCGACGGTCTTGATGGCCGATGTGACGCACTCCGTGACCAGTTGACGGCGCTTCAGAGAATGATGCAAAAGGAGAAAAGGGTTCGGAAGAAATTGCAGACCATGAATCAGTGCATCAACGGCTACTCATGGTACTCCGTTGGAGGGGGCTGGAGGTGTGGCGGCGGTGCGCACTATGTACCAGATCAGGAGATCATGGGGGAGGTCTGATTCGTAGGTACCTATATACACAGACACCAGCGGCGAATTTGATCAACTAGTGAAGAGTATAACGCTCCCCCATCATCTCCAAGCTCTTGTGTTAGTCACTTGTGCCATTCTCGGGATCTGTGTTTCTCGCCTTGCAAGACTTGCTGTTCTTCAATGTTGGATTGCACACAGCCTGTAACTGGCGCGTCAAGGTGACCTTGCGTTGTGCATAGCTCGTTCCATTCGCTAGGGACCTTGAAGCCCAACATAGCCGAGACGGCTCCGCATGCTACCTCAGCCATGATCTCGCGGGAAAATGTACGCAATTCTCTTTCATTCACCTTCTTCCAGTTCCGAAACCCGCGTCGAGCTCATTGATGGAAAACAATACGACGACCCCGGGCCCTTTACTCTTTAACGACGTTTATTCAAGTCGTTGGGAGGCGCTGTCCCCGGCTCTTGGTACTGCATTCTTCCCCTTTCGCCGCCTTCCTGTCGAACTACGCCTGCATGTCTGGCTGCTCTCCCTCCAGCGGTACCGTATGATTGAGGTCGATATCTCTAGTCGTACCGACGATGGCGTGGCGAATAGCCTCGAGTCTCGCTGTTACATCGACCCCAATCATCTTGGTCGGGTCATTAGCGGGGGGGGCTATACACTTGCGCTTCGGGGCCACGAGTCTAAAACGACACCCTTAATTCTTCAAGTCAACCGCGAAGCAAGGGGGGCGGCGCTCAGCTTCTATCAAATCCATCTACCTTTCCCAAAATGGCAGTATAGGGAGCAGGTACTTTACCTGAACCCAAAGTACGATGTTGTATTTGTCCGACCTCGGCGTCCCAAAACCCCTCCCGGCTGGAATTCGATGAACCCACGTCCCGAGCCTAAATTTGCAAATCTACTCGTCGACCTCCTGCATGATGCAAGAGCCTATGACTACAAAGACCAAGGGTATGCATTTATCTTTTCTCCATTTTACCGAGTATCCTCTAGTATCTGTTTCTAGACCTAAGGTTGACCTCTAATACCTACTTAGGGTCGCCCACCTCGCACTTGACCGAGATTATTTCTCCTTCTTGGTCGACCGGTTCACGGGAGAGGTACACCTAACTCCAGCAAGCCTCCATCCAGTTGCGGCAGCGTCGTTCACCGAGATCCTCCGCAATAAACTCCATTCTCTACTCCAGGTTATCCATTTTCGGAATAGTAAAAGGGGCCTCGGCGAGTTCCCAGCACCCGGGTGGAACTTCCACTTCGCTCAAACATTCCCTCTCTGTCGGCGAGGCAACCCGATAGGCAGTTTCCACTGGCTTCCAGCCGACCCGCGACCAGGCATCGAGATTGACCTCCGCCAGGTCCCACTCGGCGTTGATCCCCGCGATAGTTGGCGTGGTTGGTGTCAACTAGAACACGCATTCGGAATTGCACAGCGAGCCACTGGAGGGAAGGACGGTAATAAGTCCCGCTTTTATATCTGCCCTACCCAGTTTTGGCCCGACACGGCCGACACTCAGGAGCAACAAGAGGAAGTATGGTCCCGAGGCGAGCTAGTACAGTTCCTGGATCGCGAGGCCGAGAGTTGGCTCCAGGAGCGGCAGTTCTTCGCGGGTATCTACGGTTCGACCCCGCCCAAGTATGGCTACGAGTCTGAGACCGAAATGTTGGAGGCGATGGAGAAGCTACCTTGTACGGCCATTGGTATGTGGCTCTTCCCTCCCGAGGCCTTCAAGGAGCCCACCAATCCCCAACGAGTTTGTTTCGACGTCAGGACTACTCGCCCTGGCCTGTTTCTATTTGAGGTTTGACGACGTCTTGTTTCCTACCTTGGCAACGCTACCGGCGAGCACCGAGGTAAACACCACCAGGGGTCAGCGGCTCGATCTTGATGGGATTCTCGACAAGGTGCTAGGGAGGAGAGTCGCTGGGCCGCTCGGTCTTGTGGTTATCTTGTACTCTCAGGCTTGTTCGAGCTCCTTGCTCCTGCCACCATAGGCGTGCTTAAAGACGAGGATGATGTATAGTGCACAATGCAATCTGCCGGTATGGTAATACTCCCCAGCGCCGAGCCCCTCCCGAATTACAAAAAGGATTCGTTTTCACGGTTGTCCGGGTATGTACATCGTTGCTGGACCGGCCAGAGCAATATTAGATATTACCTGCAACCAAGGGACGGGATCACCTCTTTCCAGATCCGTAGCGCCCTTGAGTGCCTTTCCATGCCCCACCAGATCTCCCAGGTGCAGTATTCGGGAAGCTACGGACTCTCGTATTCCCGCTTGCTGTTTTTTTTTTTTTGTTCAGGCTAGCAGTTGCTATTTAGGATCTACAAGCAAATGGGCCAGATTGTAGCATTCCAGTGCTGCACGCGGGAACCCCTGACCAGGAAATCCGGACCAACTGTGTACCTAGGTACCCACAAACTCAACCCGTCTCCTTTGAACACGAGAAAAAGGGTTTCCGGCCGGTTTCTCTTTTCCTCTCCTGCTTATCAATCAACCATTTGACGGAGGCCAAGACCATGGACCCTCCATTGCATAACCACGGTTCCATGACGATGTTGTATTCGGCATGGTGGGGCATCAACTGCCGGCCCGAAGCGGCGATTTTCGACCGAGGGGCATTGACGCAGTTCGGTAGATTTTTTCATGGCCTCCACAACACTCACATCGATTGCGCAATCGGTGGCTTTCCTGCATCACCATCTTGCATCTGCGGAGCCCACTAACGTCATCGTTCTCTAGAATGATTACTTGATATCTCCTCGGGCTACTCCACAAAAAAATTGACCCGCCTGAGAATTCCATACGCATCTATGGACCGGAGAAAACTTTGGAAGCGAACCCAAGTACCCTTAAACATGCCTCGGTACCGCAGCGGGAATCTGTAGGGGGCTTACTAACTATATTTCCTGTAAGGCTTACAAAGAAGATTTTGACAAATTGTTTTGCAAGGCTTACAGAAGGCATGTAAGGCTAACCCCTCACGTAGATGAGGAAGTATTAATTGACGACTGCAGCGAACGCCCCCTCCTAAAAATCATCTCAAACACCCCATCAGCTACGAATTAGCAAAGAAAGAACCATCAACCGCCACAATGCAAAACAAAACCCTCATCTTCAAAGCAATCCCCACCCACCTGCCCGTGCCAGGCGAGCACCTCGTGCTTGAGGATCTCGGCTTCGACCCCGCCGCGGCACCTCCGCCGGGCGGCCTGACCCTCGAGGTGTTATACTCGTCGTTCGACCCGTACCAGCGGGGGCGCATGCGGCCGGCCAACATCAAGTCGTACAGCCAGGCCTTCGAGCTCGGCAAGCCCATCGCCAACTCCGGGATCGGACGCGTGCTCCAGTCCGACACCGACGCCTACCAGCCCGGCGACCTTGTCCTCGGCTTCCTGCCCACGGGCGAGTACGCCACGCTCGGCAAGGACCAGCTCGGCACCATCAGCTCCAAGCTCCAGAACCCCCATGGCCTGAAGGAACTCGGTTTGTTCATCGGCCCCCTGGGGATGCCCGGCCTGACTGCGTGGAGCTCGCTGCATGAGATCGGCAAGCCCAAGAAGGGGGATACCATCTTCGTCAGCAGCGCGGCGGGCGCGGTTGGCCAGGTTGTCGGTCAAATTGCCAAACGAGAGGGGCTGAAGGTCATTGGCAGCGTGGGGAGCGATGCCAAGCTGGAGTTCATCACTAAGGAGCTGGGATTCGACGGGGGATTTAACTACAAGAAGGAGAAGACTGCAGATGCCCTGAAGAGGTTGGCGCCCGAGGGGCTGGATATCTACTACGAGAACGTTGGCGGGGAGCAGTTGGAGGCGGCGCTGAATGCGATGAAGGACTTCGGGCGGATTGTCGCCAGTGGCATGGTGAGTTTCCTAGCTGAGTTTGCGGCCGGGGTGCAGAAGAAGGGACTAATGAATGGATAACAGATTTCGGATTACAACACGCCCGCGGAGAAACGTTATGGTGTGAAGAGCATGTACCAGGTTGTCAGCAAGCGTTTGACCATGCGCGGGTTCATCGTCGGCGACCCGGGCTTTGGGAGCAAGTACGCCCAGGAGCACCAAGAGAAGATGCAGCAGTGGTTGGCCGATGGGAGTGTTAAGGCGAAGCTACATGTCGTGGAGGGGATTGACAAGGCCGCTGAGGGGCTTGTGAGCCTGTTTGAGGGTAAGAACTTTGGCAAAACGGTGCTCAAGATCAAGGATTAGTACCTGGGCAGACAGTGCAAAAGGACCGTCATGCTAGACATGGAAAGAAGGTACAAGCGGCGAAAGACTGTTTTGATAATCCAACACAAGGCAACACACCTCAGAGGCGACCGCCCGCGTCTTACAAACCCATAAACAAATTGACGGGGTACAAATGCAGTCAGATAACAAAATCTAGCAACATAAGACCTTCCACCAGGTTCCCCGAATCGTACCTCAATCTACCCTTTGGTAGCCGCGAACCCAAGCTGGCCACTCCGCCCCAACCTAGAACCTAACCGGCCGTTTCCGCTTCCGTGTCGTACGCCTCAACCCGCCATCATCCGCACCGTCGCCCCCATAGCCGCCCTCTTCGCTGCCCTGAGGCTCACTCTTGATCTCCACCTCACTGTCACCTTCAGCCAACCCCCGACCTACAACCTCACCCCCACCCGCACCCCGACCTACCCCCCCTCCAGCACCACCACCACCACCACCACCACCCCCCTCCCCCTGCCCAACCAACCCGCCCCCATCCACAATCCACCTCAGCCCCCTCAATATCATCCCCACATCCAACCCCTCCATCCCATCCTCCTCATACCAATCCTCATCCTCCACCTCCTCACCCCGCCCCGGATTCCGCCCCGGATTCCGCCGCCGCTTTCTATACCGCGCCCGCTCCTGCGCTCGCTGCCGCCCGACCGCGCGACGCAGTTCTGCCTCGGCTGCCTCGAGGGCTGCGACTGCTTCTGCGATGCGTTGTTGGAGGGTGCGGCGGCGGGAGAGGTATAAGGGGGAGGTTTGTGTGGCTGTGTGGGTGGCTGTGGTGTGGGGGGAGATGGGCGGTCGGGAGATGGGTTTGCTGGGGAGTTTGCCGGGGGAGTTGTGTTTGGTGACTTTGGTTCTGGGGGAGGCTTTTGTTTTGGGTTTGGGTTGGGCTTTGGGTTTGCTGGTCGGCGGATTTCTGGCGTAGGCTTTGCCTTTGGTTGGCTTGCTGGTTGCGGCTAGGTTTGCCTCCTGCGCGGCATCGGATTCGGTGGACGCTTGGGAGGTGGAAGCCTTAGCGGCCTTGTCCTGCTTCTGGTCACCATCCTCGTCGTCCCCGTCGTCCCCGTCCTGGTCTTCACCGTCGTCTTGATCTTCCGTCTCGGTACCGTCTTCGTCTTCCTCCTCAGTATCGTCGTCATCTCCCTCGTCCCTGTCGGTGGCTTCACTTTCCGCCTCAGCGGCGTCAAGCCTTTCAGCGACGGTGTAAAACTCCTTAGCCGCGGCGTGAATGTTCGTGATTCCGACGGCGTCGTACCGGTACCACACCGGGACATAAGGACCAAACAACCACTTCAACTCCTTTTCATACTGTTCCAGAATCTTGTCCTCCCTGTGCCTGGTCGTGGCATATGGTATCGTTTCAAAGCTTGGGTCAGGCTTGACCCAGGACACGTCCCCGATATCGTCTCTCTCGGGCACCGGGTTGTCGAACACCGGGTCCTCGTTCCACTTGTCGACATACTCGGCGACCTTCCTCATCGCAATTGGAAGGACCTCATCCCTGAGGAAGAACACGCTCTTAATCTTTGTATGCACTCCAATGTCTGGATAGCGGGCGCCGTCGCCCTTCTGGAGTGCTGGGAGTTCCCACTTCATCAACAGCTTGATGAGGTCGTCCGAGTAAGCGGGCTCCTGGCCGGCGCCCAGCTTTAGATTGTTCGAGAGATATGGCGACAGCTTCCCCTCCACATTAACGTCGTAGTCCAGGCGGCTCGCCCACTTGTTCTTCCCGAAGTCGGAGACCGTCACCAGCCGACGCAGGAGCTCCCCGAACAGGTGCATATCCTCAAAGCTGGAAGGGCCGATCTCAACCTCCTCGCCGCGGTTGGTGATGGTGTTCTGGGCCCAATTCTCACGGTTATCATCGATGAATCCGGCCTTATCGAAGCCCTCAAGGATGATGTCCGGAAAGCAGCGGTCGACAGGGTCGTCGCCATCGGGAAAGTTCAGGAGCACGTTGTCTGCCGTGATAGCCCGGTGGATAATCGACCGCCAGTTCAGGTTGCGGGTTCCTTTGCCCTTGCCTTTTGTGTTGTCCGGATAATAGAGCTCGAGTAGGTCCTCACGCGTGTATCCGCAGTGAAGATACAGGATGGCCCGTGACAGCTGCTCCGTGACGTGCCAGATGAATGACTCCGGGACAGGCCCACCGATCCGCCGGTCGCTGTACATCTCCATCAGGTTGCTCAAAGTCCCGCCGTTGTAGTGTTGGAAGTACAGCGAATAAACGTCTGACAGTCGGATCTTATTGTACGGCTCTTTCCGTCCCTGAGGCAACCCATACGCGTGCAACTTGGGGAAGTATGGCTCGTCCGGGAGCTGGGCCTCCACGTGAGGGTCGTACAACGTGGAGAAGCGCAGCTCGGGGGGTGATGGCGCCGCGTACTAGATGTCAAATTCCGGGTGTTTGAATTCGTGGTCGTCTTCCTTGAAAGTCGGCTCCTCCCGTTTGAACCGCTTGTTTACGAAGAGCTTGCCCGTGCCGATGCTTTGAACAAGCATCGACTTGCCCATCGGATAGCTTGGTTTCAGATTCTGCATGAGGAGGAAGCCCCCAGAGTGCTCGTCCAGCCAGTCGTCGCTCGGTTTGGTGTCACCCCAGTCTTCTGGCGCCGGCTCCCTAAACGTAGGGGTTGGGAGTTTGATGTGCAGTTGGCGGAAAATGGCCGGTGTCACGCCGGAATCGTCAATCTCCATGTTGGATTGCTGGAGATCGTACAGGACCTTATCGCGTATCAATGATCCCTCCGAGTGGGTGGTTCGCGATAGCCCGCGGACGTAGACACTTGGAGAACAACCAAAACTACGACGAGGCACAATTGATACTGCCTCCCTTCGTGGCAAGATAGATCCTTAAACATCTGAGTTCCTTGTTTGCAATACCGTTCCGGCACGAATGGCTTCTTTGTCGTCGGGCTTCCTGCCGTTTCCGGCCCCTGGACGGGCGAAGTCAAGATAATGGATCAACAACCAAATCTATTGCGATACCTTAATGGTGGAACAAAGACAATTAACCACGACCGTAACAGTCGGAAGCACTTCCAAGCATCAGGCAGCTGACGTGAACTCTGAAGTTGTGACATTTCAAAAAAGCACAACCTGCAAGCTCCCAACTTCTCAAGCAAGATCCTCGACGTTCATCCTCACAGTCTCCTCCAGGCTGCTCCACCCTTCCTGGCCCATCTCCTTCAGTAGTTCCTCGGCCCGTGGGGCGGCGACGATGTGGCTGGCGTCGAGCTTGGCATGCTCAATATCACCGGCAAAAGACTTGCTGGGGTACAACCCCCGAATGGCATCCTGGATACCGCGCCAGGTGTAAGGCTGGGCATAGGCAAAAATACGCTCCCCCTGAACGCCGGGGTGGATGAGAGCCGCGATATGGAGACGAGCATTGTCCTGGACATCGACGAAGAAGTCTGGAGCATTGGTCAGACACACATCATTTGTCGCCTAGGTAAGGGATGCTTACACTGAGGACCATTTGCAACAACGTCGACATTTCCTTGGAACACCGCCTGGACCATAAACGATGTTGAGGGGTGACCTTGATTGACGGGATCGAGACTCTTGCCAAAGTTCATGCTCGGAAGAACTAACAACGGAGTCGTTATCACTAGGACGCTACCCCCAAATCCTACACTTGTCTCACCTGTATTCAATACAAATTGAGGTTTGTGCTCAGCATGCCACTTCCACGCCTCTCTCTCCATCTCCATTTTGCTCGCCGCGTACACCGCAAAGCTGCGCTCCGGGCCATAAGGCGGGGGGGCCCATGCTTCGCGGCTCACTTCGTCGTTCCACGTGTTTGTGTCGATGGCTTGGGCAACCCCTGGCTTCGCGGTGGCGGCCGCTGCGCAGGACGATGTGAGAACGAAGCGTTTAACGGAGGACTGTTTCGCCGCTGCATTCAGCAGGCTGAGGGTTCCCGCCACCATTGGGGTGATGACCTTGTTGGGATCCGGGTCCATCGTCATGTCAGAGGCAGCGTGCACGATGCCAGATATGCCTGCGAATATCGATTAGTGGTCGAACCCCTAGGCTGGGGTGTGGGATGAACGTGCCATGAAAGAGGTGGTCAATAGCTCCAGAATTAGCGATATCATGGACTTGGACAATGCCAAACTTTCCCTCTCCGTATTTGCCGTCGAAGAGAGTTTGGAGCCAGGATAGTTTAGAGATATCTCGAGTCGTTCCAGTGACAAGATACCCCTCGGAAAGCAGCTGATCAGCAATGTGGCTGCCAATGAAGCCACTAACGCCAGTGACGAGGACCCTTGAGCCAGGCAGGAGAACGGGGTTGTTAATCGTAGGCATTATTGCGGTTGTCTAGTTCAGGTGTTTGGTTGTGCAAGATGGTGTGCCAGAATACATCAATCACGACCGGCTGTCTGAGCAGACTTATATACATTTTCCAGCAACATCACGGCTTCGAGTCCCGCTTGTTTACACTTGGACTGATATGACTCTTGCTTTGAACTTGACACCGCTGAGAGCCCGACCCTCGAGGAAAGAAAAGTGTATTTCTCAGCAAATGACCAACCACGCCCGTCCTTGTCGTCCCAGGCTGAAATGACCTTTTCTGTCGCGGTCATGCCAGGGGTCGAAGGAGACAAGGGGCTGTTGTCATTGGCCACTTTGGCAACATGCTCGTCGGCGCCGGGTTGATTCTCGGGCAAGCGGCTCAGCAGTGACTCGCTCTCTCTCATCTTATTGGTCACTTTGACAGCACTTTCGGTGGTGATTGGTCAATTCCAGAACAAGGGCGCGATCTCCATTCGTGGTGTTTTTGCTCCAGGGGCTCCTCCTCCTCCTCTTCTCCGATCGTGATGACTGTGGTCGTTCTTTGCTGGGACTGACTTGCACACACAAACCGGTCGTCAACATGTTCCAAACTTCACATTCTCGATGGCGAGCTCTTGAGATGCGCAACCCTCTTGCAGCTCTTGCATTTTTGTACGGCGTCAAGACCACCCACATCTATTGCCGTCCGACATGCCCCTCTCGCCTAGCGCGCAAGGCGAACGTCGTTTTCTTCGACTCGACAACCGAGGCCGAATCTGCTGGGTTTCGGGCTTGCAAGCGCTGCAAGCCTTCGCAGACCGACTTCGAACATCGAGCACGACATAAGAAGGCCGTCCGAAAGGCGTGCGAGATGATGGATGCTGCCGGAGGAGCAGTCCCTCTCGAAAGTTTGGCGGGCAGCGTTGGTCTGTCGCCGAGGTATTTCCACGGCGTGTTCAAGGGGGTCATGGGATGCACTCCGAGCGCGTACGCGATAAGAGTACGGAAGAACAAGTCCCACTTCAAGGGATTGCCGAGACAAGAGAGTGACAAGCCATGTGTTCGCGATGAGGGGTTACCTCCAAGTATGAAGGAAGATGAGAAAACAGCGTTACCATGTGAGCCTGTCAGAACCCGTTACCTTCGCATATTTTACCACGCGCGGGCTGCTAACCTGGGAGCCGCAAAGCATTTGACTTTTCTCTCATCGACCTACCGCCGAACGAGACTCTTCCGATTATAGACGATGCTAGTTATGGTGCTAGTTTCCTGGGAACCCCTTGCTGCCGAGATGTTGGTAACTGTTTCCAATGCACACCCCTTTTCACGGGCAACGGTGCCTTCGGTGACACCCTTCTTCACCTCAGTAACGATTGCGGGGTGGCTTCATCATGGGGACTTCCTGATCCGAATACTGAGGCTATTGTAACCCATGACCACCCGGGGGATATTTCTCCTACCACCAATATCCCCGGTCCGCAAGACGACGGGGACTTTTCCGGGTTCTTGTTGACGGATCTACTAAGCAACTTCAGCTGTAATTCTGATGGTTTTCTTCATGTTGTACATTATACCTGACTAGTTCATCATCACATCATACCCGGATGAAAACTCCTGGAAATGGCGGACGACACAGGCAAGTCCACACTGTTCATCCATAGTTGGTGAGTTTCACAAAGTCAGAAGCCAGGGTCATCACTTGCCTTCCACCCAGCCTTTTTCGGGATGCAAGTTTCTAGCGAAGGAAAGATCGACCAGCTCTTTACCACTCCCAGTAACAATATTCCACAGCCCCCGCACCGAGTATGTTCATCCGTGCGCGGTGGTACATACGAGCCGTTGCATTGGAGGACGCTCCCCCTGGATTATGTTGCTCTCGGGGAGCTACGGCCGTCCAATTATTTATCGGTCTCCGAATCCTTCTGACTTTGCTGAATTATGCGCGTGAAACCTTAGGGGTAAAAGGAAGTACCAAGGGCTTGGTTGATTAAACCTGGTTGGAGTAATTGATGCATGCGCGTCACAACAGACAACGACTGGTTGCATAACAGCATATCCCTTCCGGTTTTGGGTCGGACTGCCAACGTCAGCACAATGACTCTACAGCTGATGGAAACCGATTTCCAAAAGGATTGGGTGGAAAGGATTTCTTACATAGCACCAGAAACCGGATTATTAACCTCACATCACATCCCACGGGTGTGGTGAAGCAATTGATTGGATATTTCTTCGAGCCTTGTGCAAATCCCCTAGTTGGTACTCACAAGAAAACCAAGACGAAGACATGTCGGTGTAGGGCAACCGGCCCAAGGGAATGACAAAAAGGTATAAATATGTAGAGACACCCACGCATGTTCTCATCCAAGGATCCAATCGCAACATCCACGCCTTCACTGACCTCGGAGATTCACACACCGAGTCTCGCAACACACAATCACCAGTGCCACCTTCGATCCAACCCCCCCACAACAAACAACAATGCAATTCACCACTCTCCTCGCCCTCACGGCCGCCACCCTGGCCTCGGCCGGCGCAGTGCCCGACCGACTGCTCACGAAGCGGCAAGAGGGCCCGAGCCCGTGCGACGAGGCGCTGCCCTGCAATCCGGGCCAGTACTGCTGCTACGACCGCGGCGACACCTACGTCATCCAGGTCTGCAACTCTCAGCGCCGCTGGACCCTTAGCGCTGAGTGCGGCAGCATCGGCTGCTGCATTGAAGGTGTCGGCGACACCAAGTTCTGCAGCTGCTAGGCGGCTGCGCGAAATGATGGTTCCGGGTCGTGCCATGGCTAGATGGGTGGAAGCGGTACCTGGCATCATGGGCTGTAGTTTGGGTTGGGTCCCCAGTCAGTCGATTCTTGCAAACCGGACCAATACCGGATCTTGTTCCAATGGTCGCTATCTGTTTGAGACTGAGATATTCTTCTTCAGGCTCTGGTGGCACTGGAATCAGTTCAATGTCTCGCCGAGTGTTTTAAACGGGGGAACCTACGCGCAAGCAAGGAGGCTAGGCGGCAGAGCAAGTTGAAGGGCTTGGAAGGTTACGCTCTACGTCCCTTACTTGCGGACAGTCTATATCTACCCTTAAGCTAGATCTTGACAGTTTACGAAACGAATGTCATTCGTTGAGTCCTCCTGACTCACTCTCACCATCCCCATACAATACGGCAGGTACTCCGGGCTGGCCGGTAGTGATGGTAGCAATGGGTCGAAACGGCTACTCCTCTCGGGGAAGATGGCCCGAGGATTCCTTACTGCATTAAAGCTTACTTCAGTGTTGTCAATCCATAATTCGTTTCATTCCCCGGGTGCGGGAGCCAGTCGGCTAGAATACCATCGGGAACGCTCGAGAGGTTCCTAAACAAACACAAAGCACCAGGCAAGGAAGCTTAATATTTTAGTCGCGGTAACCGCCCTCTATATTTTTGCTTTCCCAGTTACCCGTTCTTCTGGTGGCACTCCGCCTGTGTCTGGCCCCGTCTCTGTCCCTTCTCGATCAGTCCCTCTCTTCATAGTTTCCACAAGCCACTGTTCTATCGCCCCAATCAGCCCTTCCACCTCGGCCATGGAATTTCTCGCGTGAAGACATATTCTGATCCTTTCCTCTCCCTTGGGTACAGTTGGTGCGACAATGGGACGCACCATGAACCGCATTTGCTGGCAGTGTTTAGCTAAGTTCCGGGGCTGGGAAGTAAGGACAGGAATAACAGGTGACTGTGGCTTTCCCAAACGGACTCGTAATAGGTCAGGCGGAGGACGATGTCGGCTGCAAGCTTGTAGGAGGAGCCTGTGTGCCCCTTGTATGAGAACATCTAGATGGGCAAGTAGTGGCTTCGCTTGGCCTGCGGCAAGAAAGTTGTATGTGGCCTCGATGCTCGCGAGGGAGGGGAATGCCATGGCAGTTGTGTAGATCAGAGTACGCGCGTAGTTGATGAGATAGGAGCGTGTTGTGGGCGAGCAAAGTACCATGCCTTTAATCCTCCCAAATCATGTGTCAACATTACTTTTCCTCGGGTAGCCGCCGTGCCTCTGACAGGGAGAAAACGAGAGCATAGTTTACCTCCGGCACAACCAATGGCCTTTCCAAAACCAAGGACCCTTGCCCACACCCGTTTCTCGAGACCCAACTCGCACACCAAGCCCCGGCCGCAGCCACCAAAGATACCGGCTGAGTGTGCTTCATCGACCATGATGTAACCGTTACCCTGGTCAAGGTAACGCTCGACACAGTCAACAATGTCAGCCAAGGGGGCCACATCACCATCCATGCTGTAGACACCCTCAACGGCGATGAAGACGTTTCTCTCTCCAGATCGAAATTGGTCACCCTCGGGTCCCTGTGTCAGACCCCTCAGGACTCCCTCGAGACATCTACCCGCGGAAGATACGTTTGCAGTCGAGGCTGTTTCCCCGACCGGGCTCTCCTCCCAAACCCGGCTATGGGCGAACGGAATTCGTCTGCTGGCTCTACTCATGCGCATTCCATCGTGAACACTTGCGTGGATCAGGCTGTCATGAACAATCACGTCGCCGGGCTGTGGGACGCACGAAAAAAGACCCACGTTTGCGTCCATGGCCGAGTTGAAGAGAAGGCCGGCCCGGGCGCCGTGGAAGCCGGCGAGCATGGATTCAAGAGACTCGGCAAATGGAGAGTTGCCATCCAACAGCCGCGAACCACCTGATCCCAACAGCGATGACGGGCGGGTGTTGTGGTCAGCCGGGGTGGATGATACTGCCGCATGGAGGCGAGCTAAAAAGGCTCGCTGTACGGTCGGCTGCGAGGAGAGTGAGAGGTAGTCATTGGAAGAGAAATCGACGGTGCCCTTTGGAACGATAGTCAGGCTTCTCAGCTGGTTTCTCTCCCGGCGGCGGTCGAGGAGGGAGGCGAGGACATCGTCGAGCGGACTGTTCAGGGGCTTTCCCGCCATTTTGAGGAATTGCTGTTTTTCAGGCGTACCTTTTTCCAGGTTAGGGATTTGAACCAGCAATTGGGTTGAGCGGAACCAGCCGAGAATTACCGAAATTGTTATCATATGTCACACAACTCAATTCGAGTCAGAGGTGGTGCCGCCGAAGTCGGCTTGCGTCGGATTAACGATGTCACTCAACCCCTTCACCCGACTGGAGGGTTGCAAGCCCTACCGAATATAAAACGCGCATTTTGGGCGTTTCCTGTCAAAGCACGCGACTGAACGGGAGCAATAACATCCGCAAGCATACGAATGCCTTTAATCCCGCCGGCCAGGTCGCTGTTGTGGCGCTCCCTGCGCATTTACCAAGTGTACGGCGCCAACACCGAGGTCGGCAAGACAGTCGTCACTACCATCCTCTGCAAAGGTGCCCGTAGATTCTGGGCCGATGAAGAGACGGCTTATGTAAAGCCTGTCTCAACAGGACCGGCTACCGATGCCGACGACTTGTGTACGGTCGCCTTCCTCGATCCCCTCACATTGGATATCGTAAATAGTAACCCTTGCCTCATTTTTGCAGATGACCCACCCCGTCCCCAGTGCCTTCTTGCAATGTGACTTGCAGGCCATCCAGTAGTTGTGCTGACAATATGGATTATTCGAGTCTGAAGACATATCCGAAGGTTTGCTCCTGAAATTGATACCAAAACGCTTTTTCAATATGAACTAGCCGTCAGCCCTCACATTGCGGCTCAGGCCTCGGGGCAGGTACGTTTACTTGTCCTATCACGGCACACCATTAAGTGGCATGGCTAAAACGTCCACTGTTTCCAGCCTATTGCATCCGATGAAGGTGTTTTAGTTGAGGTTTCCAAAGCGGCAGCACGCCAGGCATCTCGTGGCCCAGGATGGCTGTTTGTCGAGACCGCGGGCGGCGTGCACTCGCCCTCTCCGTCGGGCTCAACCCAAGCAGACCTGTACAGACCTCTTAGGTTGCCTGTCGTTCTCGTTGGTGATAGCAAGCTCGGTGGCATATCACAGACTATCTCGGCGTTCGAATCACTCAAACTCCGCGGCTACGATGTCGATACGGTACTTCTATTCCGAGAAGGACAGTTCAAAAACTACGAATACCTCGCCGAGTACTTCAAGGAACATCACGACATTCCCGTCATGTCATTTCTCCAGCCGCCGAAGCGCATCCACAACGATCCGAACGCGGACGCGGAGGCAATGTCACGGTACTACGACGACACCACTAAAACCGACGACAACTTGCGCGATATCCTCGGCCACCTCGACACCCGCCACCAAACCCGCATCTCGCGTCTCGAGTCCATGAGCACCAAAGCCTCCCAAACAATCTGGTACCCCTTCACCCAACAAAAACACCTCACCCCGGACAAGATCACCACCATCGACTCCGCCCACAGCGACTTCTTCCAAACCCTCACCCCCGCAACAACCCCCCCAACAGCCCCGACACCCACCAACCCCCCCATCACACCCCAACTCCTCCAGCCCTCCTTCGACGGCTCCGCCTCCTGGTGGACGCAAGGCCTCGGCCACGGCACCCCCAAGCTGGCCCTCGCCGCGGCCTACGCGGCCGGCCGCTACGGACACGTCATGTTCGCGGAAGCGGTGCACGAGCCGGCGCTGGCGCTGGCCGAGACGCTGCTGGGGGGCATGGGGAACGCGCGCCTCTCGCGGGCGTTTTTCTCGGATAATGGGAGTACGGGGGTGGAGGTGGCGGTGAAGATGGCGCTGCGGGCGGCGAGGGTGAGGTATGGCTTGGAGGAGGGGGGGGAGAGGTTGGGGGTGTTGGGGTTGCGCGGGAGTTATCATGGGGATACGATCGGGGCGATGGATTGCTCGGAGCCGTGCGTGTTTAATGAGAAGGTGGAGTGGTATGAGGGGAGGGGGTTTTGGTTTGGGTATCCCGTGGTGGAGTATAGTCAGGGGTCGTGGAGGGTTAGGTGGCCGACTGAGATGAGTGATCTTGGTGGTCGCGCGAGTGTGTCATACGACTCCCTCTCGGCTGTGTTTGATGTTGAAAATCGGGAGTCGGGTGAAGATGGGCGCATCTACGAAGAGTTCATTCTCGCAACTCTTAGGAAGCTTGTTGCCCAAGGGCAAAAGTTTGGGGCGCTCATGATCGAACCCGTTGTTCTCGGCGCGGGTGGGATGCTTTTGGTGTAAGTGCTCATTCCCCGCATGTTGAAGACAACGTGAACCAGCGAATGTAGGTAGCTAAAGCTAACGCGTCTGGCCGTCAGTGACCCGCTCTTTCAGCGAACTCTCGTCAAGGTCGTCCGGAAAAACCCAACTCTGTTTGGTGACGGTCCGAGTCATGGTGACAGAGCTGGTGACGAAAAGACTTGGTCGGGTTTGCCCATCATCTTCGATGAGGTGTTCACAGGACTGTACCGGCTCGGCCGCTTCAGCGCGGCCTCGTTCCTGGGCGTCGACGCAGATATCTCGGTCCACGCCAAGTTGTTGACAGGTGGACTTGTTCCGCTGAGCGTGACGCTTGCATCCGAGAGCATTTTCAACGCCTTTGCGAGCGACGACAAGAGTGATGCCCTCTTGCACGGCCACAGCTACACGGCCCATGCGGTTGGTTGCCAAGTAGCCTTGGAAAGCCTCAGAGAGTTTCAGAAAATGGATGCGCGGGGAGACTGGGACTGGGCAAAGGCAGCACATGAGCGGATCGAAAGCGTACCACAACGAGCCGGGTCACGGAGCCCTTCAAGCAATGCCGTTTGGTCTGTTTGGAGCCCTGAATTTGTCTCTTGGGTGGGTCAGCTGCCAAGTGACTTCGTGAGCGGCGTTTGGGCTCTCGGGAGCGTTTTGGCCATTCGGATTACCAGCGCAGATGGCATGGACAGCTATAAGAGCAGCGCTGCCAGGTCTGTACAAACCGCGTTACTACAGAATCGCCAAAGTTCCGGCCATGACGGGGTGGACAACTCACCGGGCAACGTGCACACACGGGTATTGGGGAACACTCTGTACGTCATGACCGGCCAGACAACGACACGGGAAAGCGTTCAGAGGCTGGAATTTTCATTGCGCGGGGCGATTCTAGAGGCAAAAAAGGGAGATGGGATATGATTACGTATATGGGCGTGTCATATGTAGTACCTAGGCAATATTTTGGTGAGAAAGTTGGTCTGAGGCCTGGCGAGCAGCAGGAAATAATTGCCTCCTCAAGTACGTGATTTTGCTCAGCCACCGGGTACATGAGCGGAACGGAAAGTCCCATACAAATGTAATGCTCGCTATAGCCAATCCTTTGTTACCAGCCCTCATCCATATTTGCGGTACGCCTGAAACATCAACACCTTGACGCTACAACTTCCATAAGTACCTAGGTACTTACCCATGTACGTACATACCTTACCACAGCACTGGACTTGGTTGACACATATTAACGCTGGGTAAGAACGAAACATAGTGATGGTATCGCGCATCAAACTTGTAAAATCCGTGACGTATTGAAATGAAACGGACTTAACAGAGGACGGCCAAGCAGATGCCCTTCCATCAACCAGCACGGCCAACGAGCTATCAGGACTCGACTTGCCCCCCCTCCTCCCCCAATACACAGTAAGGATGACGAGTTTGAGTTATTCTTTTATTTATGGGTACCTCTGAGTTAACATTTCCAATTTGCCGAATTTTGGATCTTTTAGCTGGAAAGGGACGTTAGGGACCCTGCTGGTGCGGAGCCACCAGTTTGATTTGCGCACGCACAACGAGATGTACCTTTTGGAAGGACGCACAGTGCTATATTATGTTTTCCGTAGATAAGCTTTTGAACGCAAGCGATCCAGCCGAGCCGCCCACAGCTTCAACAAGGCCAGCTCTGGCGGATGAGACGGTGAAGAAACCGGGTCGATGGATTCAACCGGCGCGTGCCCCGTTTGGCAGAACAGGGGCCCCGGAATCTTCCGCGGCCTCGGGTTGGTGGAAGTCCCTCTTGGGGATGGATTCAGTCCCGCCCGAGTTCGATTGGCTCAAACCAAGGCCCTGTTCCCTCTGGAAACATTCAGTGGGCCTCCCCCAAGTTCGAGTCTCAGACGGTCAGACCTCGGGGTTACGGGACGCAGGGATTAGGTACATGAGCTTCGATTTTCAGGGGGAAGTTGGAACGCGACAAGACAACACCAAGAACCGCGACAACGCAATCGAGAAGCCCTAGACTCGATGAGACCGGTCGCAAATTTCTGCCGCTGCAACAAACCACCATGGCCTGGACCGATGGGGGCCCGCCACTGTTCGCGTTCAGCCTAGTGATGCTGCTGCTATCGACGGTGGCTGTGACACTGCGGTTCGTCTGCCGCGGCTACATTCTGCGTGTCTTGGGGTTAAGCGACTTATTCATACTCCTCACCCTCGTACGTCCATGACCCCGGGCACATGGGACGATCATGACACCGCCACGGCTAATGGCGACGCTAACGTTTGTTGGACCTCAGATCTGCTCGCTTGCCCACGTTTGCATCCTAGGAATTAGTATGCCTTCATTTCCCTCCACGCAACCTCAAATGTCAATTGTTTAGACCAGCGGCTGATTAGGAACTGCCGCCGGACAGTTGTATCCAGGGGGTTAGGTCTCCCCAAAACTATCTTTGAGTTTACTCCGGACGAAAGAGAGTTCTTCTTCAAAGTAAGTTGTGGTGGCCGTCGCTCGGGGTTCCATGTCGCAGAGGCGCCACAGGTATTGAACAGTAGTTAGCTTACTGACGTCTCCTAGATGCGGTGCATGAGTAAATTGGTTGTCAACCTCAGCATTGTAATGACCAAATTGTCCGTTCTGCTTCTCTTCCTCGACATATTCCTGACGGCTTGGCCGCGCAGAGCAACATACGTTATCATCGTCCTGACGGCGCTCTTCGGCGTTTGGATCGCCGTGACCAACATCTTCCCTTGCATCCCGATTGACTCCTCCTGGAAATCGGAGGAACCGGAGCGCAGATGTATGGATATCGGCCAAGGCAAGTCGCTGACCGACGCCGTGGTCAGCTTTGTGCTCGACATGGCCATCTTTTGTCTGCCACTGCCTGTGGTCTGGCCCATGACACTTCCATGGCGCCAGAAAGCTTGGCTGTATTTTGCCTTTGCCTTGGGTTTCTTGTAAGATCCTGTCTCCATTCTCGTACATCAGGGGTTGTCTCTCTCTGGGACATCTAACACCTGTGCAGTGTCTGCGTCGCCTCGGCAATACGCATTGTCTTCGTTATGACCAGCGCCGGAGACCCTAACTCAGGACCCGGTATTCCGTATTGGGTGGCGACTGAGATCAATGTCGCCATCGTCGTGGCCTGCATCCCGACGCTCCGCCTCCTTGTGGTTAAGATCTGCCCTCGCATGTTAGAAACAACAGAGCCGGCCAGCAAAACAAGCAACCGTCGCCGTAGTCCTCAGCCAGAATAAGACCTTCTATGCCTCAAATATGAAGGTTTCGCGACGCATGTTTGATTATAACGGCACAAGTCAGCGTCACATGTGGCTTTCTTCGCCCGCGTCTGCATGACCGGCACTATCATTCTTGTTGACCAGACGTCAACCAGGCAGCAATGGTATGATCGAACCTATGCAGTACGTGTTTACCGCCGGCCAATGGGTAAGGGGTTCGGTTGGCGTCGTAGCTAAAATGGCATTCTAAGAGGTTCTGTACGTAGCATTGTGCCTCGTGCTTTCCTGCTTTAGACACTAACATTTACATAGTGATGGAGGGCAACTCACCAAGCGTTGACCATTCTTCTATGAAATCCACGTGCAACACATGTATAATCATCCTGAGCGAGGCCCCCCTAGGGTTGTTAGGTAGTCGCAGAGGTCTAAATTGGAAGTACGGTCGAGACTCCAAGGCAACTGTCGCATCAACAATGACCATTCACGCCTGCGATCTCGACTACCTAGGTACCAGGCATGCGAGACTCGTCTCTGGGTGATCGCATAGACTAGGTAGGTATCTACCTAGTATCGTGCACGGTGTGCTTCGTCACTCACGATTTGAAGCCATGCTTTCGAACGCGGCCACGAGCGAGATCGCCATGCCTTTAGGGAAATTGCCGGCTATTCAGATAATACTTAACGACACCATCCATGTCTCCACGCCCCGGCACTCGTCAGCGCGCCGGCGATCAGCGGCCCAATAACGGCCGCGACACCCGCACCCAGACCAAAAATGAGCCCCATGAAAGCGCTTCGATCCCTCAATGGCACTAAATCGCGTACAATCATGTTGGCCATCATGTTGATGCCGCCAGCACCTACTCCCAGCACCCCGCGCGCGGCGATCAGCATGGCCCCTGAGGATGCGCCGCCGATCAGGCGGCTGCCGAGGACAAAGAAGCGACGCTCGAGATGAAGATCCAGCGGCGGCCCCAGAGGTCCGAGAGCTGACCAAAGAAGGGTTGCACGGCAGTCTGCGTCAGGAAAAAGATGTTGACGACCCAGACGTAGTCGGGGCAGAGATCAAGCTCGGCTAGAATGGTGAGCAGGGCTGTGGAAAGAGCCGATCCATCGAGCACGCTGATGATGACGGCGAGGATCAGACCCGCCATGATGATCTAGAACCGGCCGACGCGGGGGGGCACCATTCTTGGGCGGTGAAGATGGGATCGCGCCTTCATGGTTTCCGACGGATTATTCCGGCTGTCCTAAGGGTTCGTCAGCGTCTTGGAGCACGGGTTCCACGTCGGTACTGTCGGTGAGCTTACCATCGGTGTCGGGCGGGTTTGTTGGGATCGCGGCTTCCCCTGCCATGGCAATTGTGTTTAAGGTTAAGCCGTTAAGGTGTGGCTGCAGAAGGCGTTTAACTAAGTAGGGGAGAGCTTTGCAACTGTGAGACGCCATCTGTCGCGAACCAGGGGTTTGGCTGCGAGTAACGGATTCATACGACGGACTCGTAGACAGTACCTAGGTACCTCGGTACTTCATGTCACTACCTGAGGTATGTACACGTGCATACACATCCAACACTGCGATCCGAGACCCCTGCCAGCACGGGAACGATGCAGGAAAATCACGACGTGGCGGTTGGCTGAGCCTGCGCTTTTTGACCGGAGAGTAACAGCCGATGCGACCAACAGACCAACAGGCGAGGTGCCTGCTGCCTCAACTCGTCCAACCGCTGGGGGCTTGCATCTGGCCCCCAACTTACTTTCAGCACCGCCAGCTCGCACAGTGTACTGTGTCCGAGCGAGCTGTTGGCTTCGTTTTGTTGGGCCGCGCAATCTCGTCGAGAGCTTAATTACAAAGCTTTCCCCTTTTTCGTTCCTTTGGCCTACCAAATTTCCTCGCACCACGCGCAGGCGGAAAAGAGAAATGACGACAACTCTGATCTTAATTGCTGCTACCCGCGGCAGCATGCCTGCTGGCCACCATCTGGAGGCGGGTCATAAATGTTCCCAAGGTTAACATCACATACTTCGCTTTCGAGGGAGACAATTCGAAAACGAGGTACATCGCTGAAGGTGGGAGCCTTCTTGCCAGGGGCTATGAAAAGGTGCGTCTCGTGACACTGGTTCTGACCATATTAGCACACTTCCTTCTGACAAGACAATCGAAATTAGTATACAAAAAAAGGACAGCCCTTTGCCTTCCGCAACGCATCAGATCCCAGGCGCCCGGTGGCTATCTTGCCGTTGCGCTATCTTGAGGAAGTCAGGAATGCGCCACAGAGCAAACTGAGCTTCCCATTATTCATGGAAAAGGTACTCGAAATCGGCTTATGGATGTGGGCCGCACGGGCTTCTAACCATGATGTTTTGCTAGGCTTCGGTTATCAAAGACATTTGTGGCCCTGAGATGACGGAGGAAGCACAAACCATCGCCAGGATGGACCTGAATAAAGCCCTCAGTTAGTACTACTTATCCCTTCCAACATTAGAAACGGTTATCAGGAGATATGCCGACTGACGACGTACTGTGATAAAGACAAGCTCATTCAACCAATGCAGGAGGTGGTCGCCAAAGCATATGATAAGGAAATGCCGGCATGCTCTGGTAAGTGCCTTGTTTTTCAGCCTCTCTGTTTTTGTGTTGCCCACGGCTGACACAGATCGACTGATAGACTGGACATCAATTAACCCATACCATCTGATCGCACAAAACTTCGCCCGGATTGCGACACGCGTGATGGTTGGACCCGAACTGTGCGAAGGCAGATGGCTCACACTCTCTCGCGACTATATCAATTCCGTCACCAAAGCACCCGGGGTGGTCCGGCACAAGTACCACCCGTGGCTGCGGTGGGTGGCCAAGTACGTCGAGCCATCCGTCCACGCTGTCTTGAAGTACCGGCGAGAGGGCGCTGAACTCCTCCGGCCGGTTCTAGAGGCTCGTATTGCCGAACTAGACAGCACGGCACCACGGACGCTGGGAGGGAAAGAGCGGCATGAGCGGCAGCACGAAGATGCGATACAGTGGCTGCTGGAGGAGTTCAGGGCACGGGGAAAGAAGCCGACACCCGACGCCGTTGCACAGAGTATCTATGTCATCATGACGGCTGCCATTGACAGCACCTCGTCGACCGCATTATGGATGCTGTTTGACTTGCTGGACCACCCTGACGCCATGGCCGAGATCAGAGAGGAGATTCTGCGTGTCAGCGGAGGGTCTGCTGACTTTGCCTGGACGCGCCAGGCCCTGGGAGAGCTGCGGGTGCTGGACAGCTTCATGAGGGAGAGCCTACGCGTCCATTCGTTTACACAAAGTACGTCTTCAACAATATTGTCTAACTTTGGGACGAACTCCTCGCTCTTGGTATGTTTTACTCACTGACACTGCTTAGTAACCGTCGAGCGCATGGCCGCTGTGCCTTTTACATTCAAAGACGGCCTGCATATCCCCAGATTTTCCCAGCTGGCATTCCCCCGCTACCCATACGGGATGGACTCAGATTTGAATCCAGACCCCAAGACATTCTACTACAAGCGCCACCTGAAGAAGCGTACGGGCGAGGACGCGGCCAAGTTCCACTTTGCCTCCGTCTCGGATGACACGCTTGCGTGGGGCACGGGTATGCACGCTTGCCCCGGGAGGTTCCTTGCACAGGAGGCGCTGAAGCTCATATTCCTGCGTCTCGTCTCGCGTTACGACATCAAGCACGACGGCGAGAAGCGCCCGGGGCCGGACCGCATGATGGGGTTGTTCATGGGACCCGATTCTTCTGCGAATATTCTTGTCAAGGAAGTGTCGTCATCTGCCTGAGCGTGGGGCCGTAGGGGATTGCAGGGAAGGTTATCGTTTCCAAATTCGCAGAGATGAGGTTGAGACACACCTGAAGATGCATTCATGTTCAGCCAGGGGTTGCAAGCTCAGGGGTCATGGGTCGGGGGCTCAGGGCCCCATGTATGTACATCTACAGTCCGAAATAAGTAAATACTGGAGATTTCGACAAGCTACTACATATTCCTTGCCAGGTTACCAGTGAGTGCCGAAACAAATGAAACTCCAGGGTTTGTCTGAATGACCATTTATTCGACTGAAAAGACGTCGGCAAAAAAAAAAAAAAGCATGTCGCCTTCAGCCCTGAATTGCCCAACCACACTCGGCACAACTAAGATAGCCCCCACAGATCCGTGTCCACCCCTTTCTCGCCTCACTGGCTCAGCGAACCGTTATTGTCTTGTTGATAAATGACGGCAAACGAGCTCGTCTGCACAATCCCCTTCCCACTACGAGTCTCGGGGTGGGAAGCCTCGAGAGAACCCGCAGCGTTAAAGCTCTCATTCTGCTCCGCAGTGGTATCGTGATTCGGCCAGGTGGCATTCGCAGGGTTGTTGTAATTGCTTGACGTACGGCCGAGGCCGAGGTCCTTTTCTGGCAGGCCGCTGCCCTTGCTCTTGGTGCTGCTGGCGGACCGGGACGAGCCGCCGCTCAGCAGGCTGACGATGGACTGGCCGAGGCGGCTGAACTTGAGGTGAAGCTGGAGCTTCTTCATGGGGCCCAGGGCAGGGATGCAGCCCATGATAATGACTAGGCTCTGCTCGATGCCGCTCGTGATGTAGATGGACGCGCCGTGACCGGTCGTGAGCCCGATCTTGCCCTCCATGACCAGGAGTACAATGGCAATCTTGGTAACGGCGGCTGCTGTGGCGACGAGGGTTGCGGCCATGAGGGCGATGATACCCAGTTTGCGATGCAACGGCATGCACAGCGAGGTTATGAAGATGACGGGGAAGAGGACGAAGGTGAGGTCGGTAATGGCGATGACGACTGTTGTTACCCGTTGCACCATGTCAGTTATTGATCACTTATCCCGTAAGAGAGAGGATGCCATTGGGGACGCACATTGTGATACCAAGCTGGTATACTGCTGAACCCGAAAGTCGATACGCTGGCGGCCGACGATCCGGAAGTCCCATATCGACTCAACAGGCCATTTCTCAGTCCACGATAGCACGACCGAGATTGTGCTGACTATGGCCTGCAGCGTGGTAAAGGATATCAGCAACCACTTAAACCACGGCCTGGCAACGCCAAAAATGCGGATGAGGAGGATGCTGATGGAGATTCTCGCGAGGACGTCGGCCAGCTGCGCCCAGGTGATGCAAGCATGCTGATAGAAGAAGGCGCTGGCCATGGCGTCAGGGGTCATGGTGACTCGCGGTTTCCCGTAGCCGTACCAAACCGAGGTGGTAAGGAAGGCTTGGTAGATGGTGTTGAAGACCACGGCCAAGGCCATAATCCAGTCGTCGGAGAGCCAGGCATTGTTGAAGCGCTTGCGCACGTAGAACCGGAGGCCGACCATGAGGATGGCAAGGGCGGTGAAGGGCCATGTAACGCCATCGACGATGTGGCCGATGCCACGTTCTTGGGCGTCGTTCGCGCCCGGTGATACTTGGCTGCGATCCATGGCTCGCAGAGCTCTAATCTGAGCACGCGAGTGAAGGAGGTTGCTGAGCAAGAGCGGAGTAACAGGCAGGACAGCGGGTTATTGGGAGCCCGTATTATCGGACTGGCGTCGTGGGACGCCCCTGACGGGTTATTAGGTAGCCAGTTTCACCGGCGTTAATATACACTGTACATACTCCGTAGAATGGATTGGCGGCCAGTGAGCAGCCGCCAACAGCCACATGCACGTACGGATATCGGATTCAAGCCCTTGTGGGGCGCAATGACAGTACCTATGTTGTTGGGGGCCATTCGATGTGGGAAATGCATGCCAAGTTGGCGGAACTGCTGCTGGGCCTCACATGCGCATTCTCCTGAAGAGGAGCTCCGTCGGCCCAGTAATAGGGAGCCTGCCGCAGTATATGCGGCCTTCTATGGCGATCAACCTGGAGTAAGGCCTCCCTAGAACCGCCAGGCCGCAAAAGGTTGCCCGGAAAGCAGTCGATCTAATCCCCTTGCCCTACGGTACCACTACAATCTCTAAAGCCACGGCGGCGTCAAATTTGGAAAGTCTCTCTTCGCCCTCCAATGATCTGGAACAAAAGATGAGTTTGCTATGGGATGAAGCACTCCCGCAAGGAAGAAGACAAGGCAGCATTCACAAGACCTCAGATGTTTTCTTCCTCGACGGCGGCAGCCCACTGGGTCTCATCACCATGCAAAGCCTCATCCGGCAGCGACTCGGTGCAGACCTATCGCTTGACCAACCTTTGGGCGCTAGCACCCTTAGGTTAAGGTAGTCAGATGGCAGCATTTGTGGTCGAATCCGGCGACAACAAGTATCAACAGAGCCTAAGAAGTCCAGACTCGGAATTGGATTGGAGCCAAGTGACTTCCATACCATCCGATCTCCTCGAGCTCCTAGCATCCACTACCCACTCTCCTTCTACTGATGTGATCTCCCCGCCACAAGTGGTCGTCCTCGCCGGAGCGACAGGTTTTATCGGCAGAAAGATCCTCAACCAAATAGTTAACGACGCCCGAGTGACGAGGGTATGCTGGGTTGCGGTCCGGCCCCGGACACCATCAAGTCAACCGGACCGCTAACTAGGACCGCTCTTCTCCCATCCAAAAGTGGCTGTTTGCCAAGGCGACCTAGGCACGAAGCACCTCGGTCTGTCTGACGAGCAAGACTCAGAAATCTTCGGTTCGAAAGGCGCAGATGTCATAGTCCACGCGGGCGCCGACGTCTTTTTCCTCAAGACTTACCAAACCCGACGCCGCGCGAATGTTGATTTGACAAAGCAACTCGTCCGGCTTGCGCTTCTCCGGCGCCGGGATCCCCCTTCACTTTGTGTCGACCCAATCCGTGGCCCATATCCGTCCAGGACAACAACAACAACAACAACAACAACAACAACAACAACAACAACAACAACAACAACAAGAACAACAACAACAACAACAACAACAACAACAATGTCTCCGGAACCACTCTGACTCCCCCGGCTAAGCTGTCAGATTTTAAAAGATTGAGATGAATACTACCTACGTGAGGCCGGCACCACGATATGATTTGCAGGTCCGGAACACGACGAGGGAAAGATAAAGAAGGCATGAGCAATAAAATGGCTATAGATGCAATCGAGGGATAAGGCAGCGGGTGGAGAGCGAGAATAACCCTGCTCTATACAATTAGGGGATGATATCATGGTCATGCCAGACGCTGGGGTTGTGGGCTGTGGCGCTGGCTTCTATCCGGGGTCAGAGGCGAGATGCTTGAAAGATAGACATGTGCTATGCCACATTGGGCAAAGGGTTGTACTGGAACTTTTGCTGGTGAGATGTCAGCCTTGGCTTGCGCCACTCTCACTGCCTCGTCGCGAAAGGAAGAGAGTGATTGGATAATTGCAAGCGAGCGATCGTCATATACTCGGACTTCAGGTCAGGTACATATTTAAACCCAACCTCAAGCTCGCAAAGTTGAAGACCAGCAAGCAGTCTCGCAGCACGGGCACTTTCCAAAACCTCGCAACAATATCACGACACCCGGTCAGACGCCATTCTTAACAACTCACCTGAGGTACCTTAATACTTTTCCCTCATCAACCAGAATCTCCACCAACACGAGAACAACACCACCATCGGCATCCACCACCCTACAAACCACCTAGTACAATTACAACCAAACCCCCAAAATGGGCCACTCCCACTCCCAACCCTCCGCCGCCCTGCACCTCCCCCCCTCCCTCACGCACACCGGCCTCCCCCCGCGCATTGCCGCCGCCTACGAAAAGTCCTGGACCAAAATCACCATCCTCCTCAGCGACGCCACCACGCCCAACGCCCCGACGGGCTACGCCATAACCCTCGACCAAGGCTGGTACGGCTCCATGACGATGCGCGCGGGCCCACGCACCGAAGACCCGGCACTCGCCGAGGTGCAGCCGGCGGGGCGGATGCGGCAGGATTTTGCTGTGGGCTTGCCTGCGCTGGGGCCGGATGCGCCGCAGCGGGCGGAGGTGTTGAGGTATGTGGTGGGGTGGAAGAGGGAGATGTACTGGTTTGCGATGGAGGTTGGGAATGGGAATGGGGCGCGGCAGGTGGAGCGGTTTGAGTGGCGGCGGTCGCGGGGCGGGGAGGTGAAGGGGGTTGAGGGCGGGAGTGGGTGGGGATGGAAGTTGGTGCGCATGGGGGCTGGCGAGGCGGGCGCTGCTGCTGCGGAGGGCCATGGTCATGCGGAGGAGGGGGTGGATGGTTTGACGAGTGATGGGAAGGAGGTGGTGGCGGTGTGGGCGAATCCGGGCACGCTGAGCTTGACGAAGTTGGGGCAGTTTGAGTTCAGGGGCAGTGGTGCGACGGGCGAGCTTGGCCTGCTCTGGAGCATCATGGCTGTTATGAGCTGCATGTGCATTTGGCAGAAGACGATGCAGAGCGCCATCACGACAGGCGTTGTGGCCGGTGCCGCTTGAGCTTGTTCAATGAAAAGGGTCAGGGTGGGTACCTTAGGTAGTATGAGGTGAATCAGGTGGGAGCGCTGGATTGCCAGTTAGAGCAACTGTTTGGTGCTTTTTTGGAAGGTGCTAGGGAGGACTTGACTCGTTCAGCGAGCTTCTTTTGTCAGTCTAGGTTAGGAAAGCATGGCGTTTTGGAATGAATGGATCAACACGTTACGATGGATGGCCGGCGTGGCCTACTGGGCACGTAGGGGACAGCATGCACCACAGCGTGGTCGGAGGGAAACATGATACAGTTGGGACTGGAAGCAAAGAACATTGAAAGTAAACTGGGGTGTCGAAGAAGTATAACACTGACCAGGAGTTTCAAACATTACAGCACGATGGCTTCTTGTTGAGAAAGCTGGGCGTGTGCTGGCGAGCTGTGGGCATCAAGTACGTAATTGTTATTTAATTAGGTAACATAGAGACTAGACTGCATGTCATTAATAGTCGGATTCGTGAGAGTGGAATCATACGTGCTATCCGTCCTTGGGTACAAGGTACTTCTAACCTTATCGGATGCGGAACCTGTTGTTTGGATACACCTGGAATCTACAACGTCTTCCACGTTATGCAGCGAAAGAGAGCTGGTGACGACCTACCATCCTCGTAAAAACAGGACAACGCCTAGCCTCTAGATATCCATCCTGATGATTTAGACCGAGAAGAGGAGTGGCAGGGCGAGGAGACCCCCCAGTACAAACGGCCAAGGAGGGGGACCATGCTGCTGGTAAAGGAGACGGGGTATGCCCAACCTATATAGAAACCTTTTGTCACGGGGGCCGACATATTCCTAGTGCGCGATTACCGTTGTTCAAGTAAACCGAATAAGGTCCCACCTTTTCAGTTGTGGTATTAATATGCCATGGTTAGTCGAGCCCATTGTCGCGATACCTTCACAGGGCCTCTTGGGAATTAAAGCACGAGATCGGTACAGGATTTCTTATAGGAAAGAACCGGTCATCCCCAAAGAAAGGAGCTATTGTAACGGGCTAAGAGTTGTGTTGGTCTACGGCCACTCTCGGCTAGAACCAGGACGTCTCCGTTATATGAAGGGATCTGGACACTTGAAGGTTAAGCTTAGACTGTACAGGCTTCTTACTTCTTCTCTTCCTTTCCCAAATTTAGTATACTTGTAGAGTCGTCTATAACCTCTTGCAATATACATGGACGTACCTTATATAAACCAGAGACACACTCCTCATTAGGTGTATTGTGTAGGTGGTCCCTTACATAGGATAGGTATCCTGGTCTACGTGCCCACAATTGGTAGGGAGCCCAGGCTTGCGACACAATCGCATCAAATCAATCTTTGTTACTCTCTACGTTCCGCATCTCTATTCCCGCATTTCTATTCCTGTATTCCTATTCCCGCATTTCCATTCCCACATTCCAATTCCCTTAGCATTCAATAGAGTGTTGCCAGAACAGCTCCGACCTAGTTGTGCGCTCCCATAGCGCGCTTGAGTGCCTCATGTAGAGAACGAGAACTAGATGTACCACGTTAGTCGATTCCAAATTGTAATAAGAAGCGTGTATGTAACCCCACAATGTCATATACAATATCAAATGCGGAGAAAATAGCATGGGAGAAAACAAGCAAAGAAAGAAAACAAACGATGACTGAATCAGAGGAAAGACACATACCTCTCTGCGGCCTTTTCCCATGCATTCGCGTGTTCTGCCGAAGCCTGCCCCGCGCTCATCCAGTCTCGACCCGTCATATAAGGGTCGCTCTCTGTCTGCTTCAAATCCTTCATGTAGGCCGCCTTGGCCTTAACTTCTGCGTCAATCGCTGCTTTGTACTTGTTCAATGCATCCTCAATAGCAGGTGCCTGACGCGCCCTGTTGTCCGCCTCTCCGTTGAGCTTGGCTACACGCTCCTTGGGCATGAAGGAGTTGTGCCGGACCGCAGTGCTTGTGTTGGATCTGCTGGGCTGCGGTCTGGCCGCTGCGGTGTTCGTCGTGGATGACGACGTCGTGGGGCGATTAGGCGCTGTGTGGCCGCTTGTCTCTCCTGCCTTCTGGGTTCCCTGTCCGGCTTGTTGCTGGAGATCAAATCAGCTACCTGGTCTATAAACATGGGATGGGGAGTCGGGCTTACTCTATTTGCAGAGCCGTTCGCAGCGGCGCCGGAGCCCTGCCGGGGGATCGGGGTAACACGAGTAAGCATGTTAAGAGATGATAATATTTAATATCACGGGATTTATGCAAGAATTTGGGACAAAGACGGCGGAAGGCGTAGGAGATAAGACCTGTTAAAGAAGCCTAAGGAGGGGTAAGCAACGCGTAGATATGATTCCGATACTGATATATAAACGGTGAATGATGAATCTGACCAGCGGATCAGGGAAAGTAATAGGTAAACTGACCTAAGCGGGAGAGGACGCGGAGTAAGCACTGTTGATCCGCTTCTAGTACGTGCGATGGGAGGATGTGGGCTTTGTTACTTTAGGATGAGAGAAGACGACTTGAAAGGGTGATGTCAGAAGGAGTCTTATAAGTCTGCAAAAGCTAGGTAGCCGTTCTCGAGAAGCTCCTACACAGCCTGCTGTGTTGGTCCGTTGGATGGCCCGATAATCAGGCCGCGGATCAATGCTGTGACTCCCAGGCTGCTCCTAACGACATCCAGGACCCAGGAAGCGATCCTATGACTGTTGGGTCATTAATCTCGCATTTGTGTCTTGACAACCGGAGTGAGAGGCACGGGCGGTGCGGCGCGGCGCCTTGATGGCTGGGGTCTTGTTGAGGCGTCCACCCAACTGAAACAACTCCTTCTGGCGTAGTTCTTAGGTACCTACAGGTACCTAGATAGGTAGGCAGCCAACGCTTCAAACTGAAACAAGCCAAACCCGACGATTCCGAAAGGTTAAAATACCCAGTAAATTCTATAACAAGCGCTACTTAATTATGTCCGACTCCGCTCAACCGCCCAACCCCCACCCTCAAATATAAAACATCGACCCCCTCAACCTTCCCGCAACCCGACTCTCCCCCACCGGCATCCCCGCCGCCACATAACACCTCGCCCGATCACAAACCCTGTCCGCTAGCCTCGCGGGGGTACACACCCCCGTCGAGCGCGTCGACCTGCCCAGCGCAGACGACAATGCATGCGTAAACGCTTCGAGCACATCCGCGGCATTGGTGAACAGCGGCGTCGTCGTAGGCCTGCCCCGGGGCAAGGCAAACGTATCGCAGAAGAACTCGTCCACGACCACGACATAGTGGGCTGGGCGCGCCGTGCCCTGAATGGCCTCGTGCGCCTGCAGGTAGAACTCTCAGAGGAACGGGCTGGTGATGGAGCGGTCGACGACGGTGCCGGGCAGGGTGTTGCCGTTCCGGTCGGCCTGGCTCGCGTCGCTGCGGCTGGGGTAGAAGCGTGTGTGGTGGCGCTTGCCGAGGACGATGACGGCGATCTTGGGGAGAGCCTGGTTGCGGCTGCCGTATTTGGCTGTGCACACATCGCGGATCCCTTGGTACTCGCTGCGCACGACATGGTTGTATTGGCCTTCGGCCACGCCGTCGCGGTAGATGATGAGGACCGAAGGGTCTTTGTTGTTGAGTCCCTTGGCGTAGCGGTCGAGGTGAGGTTGAAGGAGAGTGCGGAAGGAGTGTGGTTCCGTAACGTCTTTTTTGTTTTTGCCGCTCCTGGAACGCGATGGTCGCTGGCCAGTTAGCGAGGTGCTCGTCGGCGTTGGAGACCATGCTGATGATGCTGGGAGAGACGTTCCCTCTGCCTAAACCGGGAGGAGAGTTCGTGACGTCAAGGCCGAGAGCCATGGCCCCCCAACTGGAAAAGATCTGAGAGGTAGGGAACCACATTTTGTGGTTGACGCCTCCTTGCTTGAGGTTGGCCTTGAGTAAGATGTTGTCGAAAAACTGTGCGTCGACCCGAGCCGTGCACTTGCTTGCAACCGTCGATTCCAGCAGGCAAACCGGATGGATCCCGCCCTGAATGTCCGATGCAGTTTTCGTCATGCTGTAACTCTACTCCATCGGGAATCTAAGCTAAGCTTTTCCGTCATCAAGCAACATGGAAAGAACGTGGAACCATTCCGATGACAGAAGGTAGATATATTCCTACGCAAGTAGAAAACATGTTAAATTTCCCTTCCGGGTTCTTGTTTTTTCTTCCTAGTTGATCCACCCCTTCGGTCCGCCCCAAGTTCCTTTCACCATGGACTTATAATACACCCAGGGAAAGAAGTCCTTCTTGAGATGGTAAAAGGCCCGGTTAGGTGTCGCTTGGTCCAAGCCAACCTTGCTGAAGGTCTCCTGAGGCACGCCGCCGTACTTGAACTCGGCCAACATGACCTTTCCATACTCGGTGAGCAGCGGGCAGGAGGTATACCCATCATACCCCGGCTGTGACTCGCCGCCCTCCATCGCCCTGACAAGATTCCCGACCAGCACTGGCGCCTCGGCCGTAACCGCTGCCGCAGTCTTGGACGTCGGCAGGCTGCTGGCATCACCAGCCGACCACACGTTCGCGAACTTCTTGTGCCTCAGCGTAGCATCGTCCACGTCCACAAACCCGGCCTCGTTCGCCAGCGGGCTGTTCTTCACAAACGCGTGCGGGCCCATCTTGGGGACGACATGCATCAGGTCGAAAGGCCTCCTAACCTTCTCCTTCCCGTCGGGGCGCGCAAACACAGCCGTGTTACCATCAACCTCGACCAGGTCATGCCCAAACAACCCCTCAACCCCCCGCTCCTGGCGCAGGACCTCGAGCGCGGCGTTGTACTTGGGCACACCAAACATGACGGGCAAACCCGTGGCGAAGGCAATCTTGACGGGTGAGGCGTCGTCGTTCGCCCGATACAGCCCCGCGCGCTTCCAGTGGTCGAGCGCCAGCCACATGACCTTCTGTGGCGCCCCCGCGCACTTGATCACCCCCGCCGGCTGCGTGAAGATGGCCTGCCCGGAGCGCAGCCGCTGCACGGTCGGGAAGACCTTGCCGACCGTGTCGAAGGTGTAAATGGACGACACGTTGGAATCGGTGTTGGACACCGCCTCCGGCAGGCCCTTGATGTTGGCTAGGTCGACTTTGATGCCGGGTGCGACGACCAGTTGGTCGTAGGTTAGCTTGGAGCCGTTGCCGAGCGTGACGGTGTTGTCCTCGGGGGCGAAGGTGGCTAGGAAGTCGGGGTAGAGTTTGAGCTTGGGGTCGACGAGGGATTGGAGGGGGCGCTTGAGTTCGTGCTTGTCCTTGAGCCCGCCGCCGACGAGTGTCCAGCCGGGTTGGTAGTGGTGCCATTCCGCTGGGTCGACGATGGCGATGTCATCTTGTGAGAACTTCCCGGTGCGTAAGAGCTGGTGGCTAATTGTGAGGCCGGCTGACCCGCCACCGACGACGACAACCTTGTGATTGCGAGCTGGGCTGACCGGGGAGGAAGAGACCGAGGCGAAGGTCCTGTATGCGGTTGAAGTTTGATGACCGAATGTTTTCTTGACAGACGCCGCAGCGTTAGCTGTTTGCCTTGTGAGAAGCCGGCTGGGACCCATTATGGCGATGGGCATTGGGCGAAAAGGGAGGCGTGGCTGTGACTGAGAGCCGCCGTGATGAGTTCCTGCCGTGGTGGTGATATCAAAAAACGACAAAGGGCTGAAACTAGGGCATTGGTCAGCAAGCGAGCCGTGCGTGAGCACGCCATGCGCTAATTTCTGGAACGGCCGGTTGATTTGCCACCTAGGCAGTGGACCCCGACGGTTCAGCTGCTCGCCGAGTCGCGGAATCGGAAGCTCTCCGTGGCGCCACCATCGCATGACACAGACAACCCGGCTCACCACGAGGGAAACTAACCCGTCCTCGGCCTCACCCGAGACAAGCCGGCCCTATCAAGCTGGGAATCCACTCATGGAAACTTCTCTTCAACGGTAATCGTCGAGATCTTGACTTCACCCGGCCGGCTCTCGGTGCGGGTATCGGCGCGGGTGCCGGCAGTAACCCCTGACTCCGGTCCGGGCCGGGACGGGGACTTGCCATGTGGATCCCCGGGATGCCGAACGAACTTCAAATATTCATCAGCATGTCGTGGACCACTAGCTTCGCGTTGTAACTAGAATCCGCACGCCAGGCCTTTAGCAGTAAACGGAAACGCAAATATGAAGAGGTTATCACTGCACCACCACCTTGGAACGAGATGGCAATCTACTACTCGCCTCCTGGTACCTCTCCCCGCCGCCTGTCAGACCACGGGGTCTAACCTCGGGCTCGCCGCAAAGCAAATCCTCCACCTCCATCATCAAACGGCGGGTACCCGACCACAGACAGTCTCCTCCCTACAAATCTCACGACCTCCCATCCATCCCTGTACCCAAACCTCCCCTAAGACCATCCCTTCCCGAACATACACCACCATCACCCCCCCAACCACGAACCCCCCCGAGCCCACCATCCACAGCCTCTTCGACCCGCAAACCTCCACCTGGCAGTACCTCGTCGCCGACCCCGCCTCCCACACAGCCGCCATCATCGACCCCGTCCTCGACTACAACCCGACCACCCGCACCGTCTCCACCACCACCGCCGACGCCCTGCTCTCCCTCATCCACGACCGCGGCTACACCATCTCCCACATCCTCGAGACGCACGCCCACGCCGACCACCTCACCGCGGCTTTCTACCTGCAGCGCAGGCTGGCTGCGGTGACGCAGGAAACACGGCCGCCTGTGGGGATTGGGCGGCGGATCGGGCAGCTGCAGAGTTTGTTTGGGGAGCGGTATGGGGTGGGGAGTGACGAGTATAATGGGGTGTTTGATCTGTTGTGGGAGGATGATGCGGTGTTTTGGGTGGGGGGGTTGAGGGGGCAGGTGGTGCATCTGCCGGGGCATACGCCGGATCATGTGGGGTATTGGATTGGAGGTTAGTTGCGCACGTTGCTTGCGTGTCTGTGTGTGGCTGTTGTGGAGAGATGCTAACGGGGGAGGCTATCCTAGATAATGTGTTTTGTGGCGATTCGTTGTTTCATCCCTCGCTCGGGACTGCGCGGTGCGATTTCCCTGGCGGGAACCCACAAGATCTTTATCAGTCGGCGAGAAAGCTGCTGGCACTCCAGGATCATGTCAAGATTTGGATTGGGCATGACTATCCAGTCGATGGAGAGAGGGGACCCGAGCCCTGGACCACCGTTGGCGAGCACCGTGGGAGCAATAAGCATATTAGGGATGGTGTTACCGAGGATGAGTTTGTGCAGATGCGTAGTGAGAGGGATAGGAACTTGGCGGCGCCGCGATTGATACATGAGAGCTTGCAAGTCAATATCCGTGCCGGGCAGCTCCCCAGGGTTGACGCGGCGGGTATGAGGACCTTGAAGGTGCCGCTAAAGGTTCAGGGGGAAGGGTGGTAGACGGCCGGGGTTAGAATTAGCGGTATGGAATGTATGAGCAAGAGGTTCAAATACTTATCGAGGTAACGAGCTGTTAGGAAGTCTCCATACCTCGGGCACTTTCCACCAAAACCGCTTTCCGACACCCCTTACATATCACTCGGGTTATGTACCTATCAAGGGTACTTTGAACATGTGTAAACGGGGTAGAATGGGGAAAACGTTCAATTGCCACAGATCCTTGGTACGACATTATGGCAGACAATATTCTAATCCAAATATATGTGTAACTATCTAGCACGACTACCAGACCTCAGAACGTCATTATTCTTACTAGAATCGTACGCCACACTACTTAGGCCCCGGCCGCTTCAATGGAGTAGGTAAATAAAGGTTCATGTTTCTCGAGATCATGCTCGAGTCGACGCTTGCCCAACTGCGTGAGCCCCTGGAGCGGGCAACGGCCTTTGCAGGCGACGGGCTACGCGTGATCCGCGATTCAGTTACAGCGCAGACGTTGCTATAACCGTGAGTGGCTTTAATGAGCCTGTCATACCGGGCAGTGGCGTGCTGTAATTATCGGGCGTACAGAGGGCCAGCACTTGGACGGGGACTGTTCTGGCCAGGAGGTGTATACGGCGGTGCCATGGAGGTGGAAAGGATTTGGGGTTATACTAGACTCGACGTGTAAGTGACGAGGATCAAGATGGCGAGGTGGAGCTGGTTGAGAATAGGAAGGGTCCGAATGCCGGCGTCCCTGCCGCTGCAACAGACCCTGCGAGCTACCTTAGGTAGGTACTTAGCTTCGAGCCTCCGGAATACCCCCCCATCGAGCAATTTGCCTCGACCGCTGTCAAGGTGGATGGCGGGGCGGGGGCAGCGGGAACGGTCGTTCAGGTCCTCAGGTTACAAGTTGCGCGTTGGTGTGAAGTCCCATCAAGTTTCAGCCACAAAAACAAAAGTCAGCTGCATCCTCGCTTTTTCTCCGTCCACACCCAATAACTAACGACGTTTGTGGCTTGCGAGTGTGTGGAGCTCCTTCACCCTGACCAACCAATATCAGTTACATGTCTCGGCGTGGGTGTCTTTATAATTTAGCCTTTTAGGTAGGGATCTACGGCAGATGGATCACCGCCGCCTCGGGTTTCTTCACCCCTGATTCGAAGCAGCCGCCGCAGTAATTGAGGAACCCAACTAGTCTAACCCTGCTCCTTAGTCGTGACTGAACGCGAGTTTGGATCCGACAAATACTGCTCCCACGTCCCTGGAGGAGACACATCGTGAACCATGCCGGTCACGGGCTTCCTCAAGCTGCTTGCTGGGGCTTGGTTGATCGCCGGTGCAGCCGGGGAGGGCTTTGCCGGCGATGACTTTGCCAATAACTTGTTTTCGGACCTCGCACCGTACGTTTCCGGGTTTTGTCCACCGTTGGGCAGCGCCACTTGCTGACAATGGTATCCCACAAGTATCCTCGCGCTTTTTGGCGAGAGGGTGACGATGCAGTTTATGAGCCAAAGCACGGGGTGGGCTGACAACGTTATTCTGGCAATGGTGCCGTTGGGTATCATCGCCGCCGTCGTAGGTGCTATCCGCGTTGGAGGCCCGACCTGGCTCAAGGCTCTCATCGGGAGAGCGCGGGATAGCCGCGCGATCGTAGAGTCGGAACTGATGTCGTCCACCTCGCATGAAGTTTGCGAGCTCTGGAACGGTCAGCAGATTGTCAAAGTCATGGGTGAAGGTCAAGTTCAGGAGTTCATTATTCTCAGCGACGACGACAACGACGACACCGCGACGAACCTCGGGTGTATGGAGCTGGGAAGCATATACGGAGAAGATCACTTTGTTGAGTACGGTACGAAACCACACACTGCTATCTACCCTATCTTAGGGTTCAACGAGCAGCTCACAGGCTGACCCAGCCGTTTATCATTGATAGAACCGAGCGCTTGGGATGTAATGTTGGGCAGTTGCCCACCTCGTCGGAAACACTGGTCCACGAAGGCCGGCATGTTTGCCATCTTGCGATTTCCGAAACCGGGCAGCAAGGCGACCAACACCGAACAGTCCACGCCGGCTGAGGATTTGCACAAACTGTCAAAACGCCCAGTTGCGATTCTCCGTAACACAGTGAGCCATACCCCAAATATCTCGCTGAATATTCGAAATACGTCAACTAGCCGAGAGGCATATATCATTTCCGTATTCGCAACGCTTCTTCAGGCATGCCTGCTTGCCTATGCTGGGTTGACGGCTACATATTTCAGTCACAACACCCAGCTCCAGGAGACGCCACCGGCCGGTTACGCATTTCCTTGCATGGCAGCCGGCACTTTGATGCTGGTCTCTGGTATGCTAGTTTGCGGCCATGTTGTAGAAGGTAGCACCTCAGAAAGACGATTCCGTCCAGTGGATGGAAAAGAGGCCCGGGTTGTCTGGCTGCAGCGATCCGGCATAGTTAACGATCAGCGGTTTGAGTCGTTTGCCATTTTCCCAACCAAGGCTCAGCGCGTGATAACGACTTCACAAAGGACCCAGCAGGGGCGAAACCAAAACCAAACATCCCAACAGGCGTCCGTGGGGATAAACGTGGAGGTGACGACCGTGGTGGCTGTCGCAACAACTATGTGCGGCTTCGTCGTCCAATTCGTGGGACTGCGTGGGATGAACTGGACCGTGTCAATCGCTCAACTCCTCGCCATCCTCCTCATGGCCGTTCTCAGGTCTTTAGTTCGCCGCAACCTCGCGGAGCGCCCAAACTCTCTACCACTACCCCCGGGGCACGAACTGGACTGGTTGGCAATAACTCTGACCAAATCTTCCGATGCTCCCTGGCTTCACCCCGACAAGCCCGTAGGGAGTGACAAGAGGCCTAATGAAGGTAACGAGCCCCGTGCGGACCGAGACGACTGGGGCTATCGGATTGTCCCTGCGGAGCAGGCAAATAATACTGCCCCCGGCGGCTACACGGACGCTCGCCACTCGAGAGCTCACCAAGCGATGCTGATCAGAATACAACTCGGTGTACTGGCTGGGTGGCGGGGCACTGCCTCGGCGGAGGCTGTTGCTCTAGCTTCTGCGATCGAGATCGTCATGGGCACTCTACGCCTTGACCATTGGAAGTCTAATGGTATGTTCACCTGGCACATCACGTCCTCGAATTCCAGCGTTCACGAACCGGTGGAGTTCTGTGCAACGTGGCGGCAAACGACATGGACCACCTTCCCTCAGGAGATCGAGGCTGCGCTTTCACTTTGGTTATATTCCGTCCGCCACCGAGAGGAAAACCAGGAAGAAGCTGGGTATTATAGCTCAGAATCGTGGTTGGGAGGCGCCACGCCGTCACAATTGCAAAGTAAGCGAGCTCGGGGCAAATCCAGTCTCCAAATCCTAGGTTCGCTTGATGCGAGAATTCTACAACGAGATCTATCTTGGTGGTTGCCAGACAACAGCTTGAAGGACATATACGATATCTCGGAAACAGAAGCAAATAGCAATGTGCCCCAGCGCGTGATCCTTGAGGGGCATCGCGTGGTGGGGTGTACACGGAAAGCCATTCATTATCCTTCTCCGAACAACGACGTGTCTGGGTACGAGCTCCGACAGGGGGAAATCAGCAGGCAATCAACCCTGGCGGTCTACTCACAGAAGGACATCAAGAAGCTATACGCCTGCCACATATTCTCCGCCTTCATGTGGGCCTTATCTGCGGCGATCACAGAAAGTCCAGTTGATACTTGTCCGTTCGGAAAAGCAGATGTACGGGCATTCGTTGTTCCTACGGAAGAATACGAATACGATACCTGGGACCGCAATCATAAATTTAGCAACGACAGGCTCTCTGCCTTGATCCGGGATATTGAAAATACGGGACTTGGCTCCGTTGAGGACATTTACTTTGCCATCCTCCCGCCACTGAGCGCATGGAATTTGTTGCCACCCGTTCATTCTATTCTGAAACGCGGACTGGAAGTCGGACACCAACTTGAGCGGCGGGGTGACTGGAAGAAAGCCGGCCGCACATACGTACGGATCTTGAAAAGAACCGCGTTTTTCCCGCGGAACGATAACACCGACATAGCATCAGAGGCCACGGCCCTGGTAATGGAATTTCTGAGGGTGCTTACCGAGACAGTTGAGCTGTGGAAGGACCAACTTCTCTATGACGACAAGGAAGTTTTCGAACTCATCGCATTTAGGGAATGGGTCAGGGGCCGGCTAGCAGCGCACAACGATGAGGCTATTTTTCCCCGGCTAATGGGCCTATACGAACGCCAAGGCCGTGTTTGGAAATGCAACTTAGTCGGGGAGAACACGGCCTATCCCACGATACTACCGCCTGAATTTGGTTTCCACGTCCTTCACCAAGCCGCTTGCAGCAACAAGGGTGCCGAGATATCCCGTCTCTCCAGCCAAGGCTTGGATAGACAGGACTTTCTCGGCTGGACGGCGATACACTACGCCGTCGCCTATGGCTCGGGCAATGCATTTGATATCTTGCTGGACTTACGGGCTGATGCCAACGCCCAAGACATCCGTCAGCGTACGCCACTCCACTATGCGTACCGCCACGATGACGCGCGAGTTGTTCTGGAGTTGCTGCGAGCGGGAACAGACATCAACGCCAGGGATACGGATGGTATGACGCCGCTTCACCATGCGGTCAAGCACGGCGCGCGAAAGGTGGCGGCGGCGCTCATCGAAGGCGGCGCCGATATGAACCTGGCCGACAACGGAGGACGGACGGCTATGGCGTGGGCCGTATGCAGTGGGGACGCTGACCTCGCGAAAGACGACCTCTGGGATGCGACCAACCTAAAACGCCGCGACAACCAGGGCCGCACCTTGTTGCATCTGGCTGTTATGTCAGGCAGCGGCGTGGGCAAAGACTTCGGGGACATGTTTGACTTCCTGGTGCCTGCGATCGACAAAAACGCCAAAGACCGACGAGGCTACACCCCTCTGCATCTCGCTGCTGCCAAGGGACATTTGTCCGCCGTCCAGTGGCTTTTAGATCGCGGGGCTGACCGCCATGCGGAGGAAAATGGACGGTATAACAACATGCAGGATCCTACGCTTGATGAGCCGAGGTTCACGCCGCTTCATCTCGCCAAGCTGAGGCTACGGAGGGCTAGAGAGAAGGAAGGGGACGCGACGGATAATGAGAGCGATGATGGAAAATGGGGATTGAACTTGGGGGATGAGGGCGAGGGGGACAGCGACATGGATTGGCGGCTTATCAGGCTGAGAGACTGGTCGGGTGTGGACGAAGAGGATGCTTTGCGCTATGAAGTGCGGCCTGGTCCAAAGGAAATCAAAGGGCTTGAGGACGTCATTGAGGTGCTAGAGAGGTTTGAACAGCGGGATGGTCCAGAAGAGCGTGATGATGCGTGAAGGGATTAGGAGGTTATCGAGAAGGGAGATGAGCAGCACAGCGGTGATGTAGAGTGGGACGAAGGATGGAGATGCGGAAGATACTGAGGAAAATGCGTGATGAAAGTAGCGGCGATTTGCTACCGTTGTCCTGGGTTTACAACGAAACCCCTTTTTAGTGTGACACTATTGCTTTGCGGAGTACCTAGCGTGTTTCCCAACTCATAAGCGCAACCATCATCGCTGATTGTTTACGAAACCCCACCGATATAATCCTTGTACCAGTGTCTCGAAGATGCCAGGACGGAAACCAGCTCCCGTTAGGCAAATTATAGGAACCTATTGGGACATTCGACGGATAGGTAAATAGTAGGTTTCTGTTTGTTACACTTCTCCCTTCTCCCCTGCGTACAATCCCATTTCACCCTTTCCCTTTGCAAGGTGCCCGAGCATCAACTGGCAGACGCTGCTTGTCCGTGCTGGTTGTTGCAAGGTGGGTGCTAACCACGTTGTTGATAGAATTGTGGTGCGCTGAGAGAGTACCTAGTAGGTAACCTAACAACTCGTGGCACCTTTTAAGACTTCCCCTCAATGCTCACCTGGCCAAGTAAAAGCCTCACTCGGCGATACGAAACATCAAGGCTTCAAAACCCCAGGCCCCGTTCGTGCCTAGGATCATCAACGCACAAACATTGCCTTGGCACATCGTCATCCCAGCCCCGAGGTTACATGCAAGATGCGGCATCGAATCACAGGCGTGTTTGGACTGGCTTCCCCGCGCAAATGTACATGGTTTGTGCTGCAAGCTACCGATAAGCTCACACACACGAGATACGATGTTCCGCCGCCACCGGCAGGTGGTATCCCTTGCTTATCTCGATTCTCCGCAGGGGAGATCCCTCGTGTGACCCGAGCTTTTCTCAAGGCTGAGGACATGCCAGTTCCCCTCCCCGTAAGTCGTGACCTTGACATTGTCAATTAACTTCGTTATTATTTCTCAGGATGCAGGCAGAAGAGATGACCGTGGAACGACGTCCCTTTAATAGGGACGATCAGGGGGATGAGAACCGCCTTGCGCAGTTCGGATACAAACAGGAGCTGAAACGGGACTGGGGGCTAGCACACAATTTCGGGGTTTCCTTCTCAATCATCGTGAGTAAACCAAAGCTCGGCCTAGACGAGATCAAAGCAGAACTGACCAACAGAGCGTCATTACGGGCATTTCCACACTTTTTTCGTATGGATTGAACACTGGGGGGCCAGCCGGTACGTCAGAAAACGAGGTCCCATGCAAGAACGAGGCGAACACTGACAGCCGTTCATCTCAGTCATGTCCATCGGCTGGATCGTCGTGTCCTTCTTCACCCTCCTCGTAGCCATCGCCATGGCCGAGGTCGTCTCGGCCATTCCCACCAGCGGCGGACCCTACTTTTGGTCTGCCATGCTCGCACCCCCGCGCTGGTCACCATTCGCAGCGTGGCTCACAGGGTGGTATAACCTCCTCGGCCAAGTACAATCACCCCGCACCATCTCGCGTCCCCAAACCCCCTTCACCACCACCACCACCACCACTAACACCCTGTTCCTCCCAACCTCCCAGGTAGCCGTAACCACCGGCATAACCTTCGGCCTCGCCAACCTGATCCCCACAGCCATCACGCTCAAGAACCCGTCCTTCGTCCCCACCCCGCCCATCACCATCGGCATCTACGCGGCGCTCCTCCTCTCCCACGCCGTCGTCAACACCTTCGGCGTGCGCATCCTGCGCCATCTCAACAACTTCTCCATCGCCCTGCACAGCGCGGGCATCACGGCGCTCTGCATCGCCGTGCTCGCCAAGGCGCCCTCCCACCAGCCGGCGTCGTTCGTGTTTGGGCGCTTCCACGATGGGACTGGCACGGATGGGGCCGAGGGGTGGAGTGGGCGCGCGAGTGCCGTGTACGTGGCGCTGTGTGGTGGCTTGCTGTCGCAGTATACCCTGACGGGGTTTGATGCGTCGGCGCATTTGAGTGAGGAGACGCGGAAGGCGAGTTGGAGTGCGCCGATTGGGGTCGTGTCGAGTGTGGGGTTCAGTGCATTGTTTGGGTTTTTTGTGTTGATGGCGTTGTTGTTTTCGGTGCAGGACTTTGAGAGGACGCTGGACAGTGTGTATGGGCAGCCGGTGCTGCAGATTCTGGTGGATGTGGCTGGCGAGAATGGCGCGTTGGGGTTGTTTGTCTTGATCATGGGTGAGTTGCCTACCCCCGAGCCTTGCGTGACTGGCTGCATGCTAACTTCGATTGAGTTTGCGTCTGGCATTGTGGTTTGTTCAGCATGACCAGCAACAGCAGGATGATGTTTGCTTTTGCCCGTGATGGCGGGATTGTAAGTCGCCTCTAGTCCAGATTACCCCTGAGCCCGAAGAATGTCGCCGCTGACTCCTCGCTAGCATCCTTTCTTCCACAAGGTTGATGCTCGGTTTCGATCACCAATCCGTGCCGTATGGCTGTCGGCGACGCTGTCCTTCTGTCTTGCGCTTCCTTCGCTTGGGTCAAGCGTTGCGTTCGCGGCAGCCACCTCGATAGCGACCATCGGCCTTTACCTCTCCTACGGAATCCCTCTCTTCATTGGCTTAGTATGCCACCGATCTTTCAGGGCAATGAAGGGGCCGTTCAACCTCCACGCCCTGTCTAGGCCGATCGCCGCTGTGGCCTGCCTGTGGATTCTGTTTATCACAGTGGTCTTTTGCCTGCCAACTGCCAACCCCGTTACCAGCCAGACGTTGAACTACACAGTTGTTGCCGTTGGAGTCTTGACCATCTTCGCGGTTGGCTCGTGGGTTCTCTGGGCACACCGGTGGTTTACAGGTCCTTCCGCTGAGGTGGCGGAGGCAATGAGGCAGGGGGTGGACATTACAGAGCCGGGTGCATTTGAAGCGCGGGTGAAGCAGGAAACCGATCAACCGAGAAAGCTGTCCGACAGCTAGAGATACTTAGGGAGGCAAGCCGTGTGCAGAATAATGGCCGGGAATGGGACCTGTTGCAGTTTGCGACAGTGACGAGCAGAATTCAAATATAATCCACCAAGACAGACGACGATATTCTCGTTTCTGATAGCTGGCAGGCGCTTGAACGCCATCACCTCCTATAACCCATTTAAGAGGCCATCTTTCATTAGCCCTTCCGGCCTCAGCGTAATCCTCCCATCCCATGTCACGGCCAAAAACCGACGTAATCCGCCGAAGGGACGAAATAGGAACGGTAAAATACCGCGTTATACGACTTCACGACTGACTATAAACCGACCCTCCCCTTGAATACAAACCCCGACCTCAAGGAGCAGTCCGCCGAGGAAGAAGTAGTAGGAAGGGTTTAGCTGTCGCGAGGATTGCGCACGTAATTTTGAGGTTTCATGGTACGGGGCTAGGCCAAGGGTGTGACGATGGCGGCTTGGTGGGCGAATATGAAGGGTGTGCGGAGGCGAGGAAACAGGTGCCCAGGTGGGAGGTGGGAAGATGATGGTTGGGGGCGGTGCGAGCCAAGTTGGCGTGGTGGGGGAGGATGGACGGGGCTCGTGTGAAGTGCGAATGGGAGCGTGTCGGGGACGGGTGGGGGCATCCCCTCGGTGGCGGGCTTCATAAAGGGGGTGAGGGAACCCACCAGCGACATCACATAACATCCCACCCCCTTGATTCGGGTCAGAAATATGATACAGATCTGTAAGCCGTTAAACTCTACGTTGAGTGTGGTCTTTCACTACCAATATGTGCCCATTCCAAGGATGCCGAGACGAGACAGCCGTTGGGAAGGATCACAGGGATGGCTGGTTATCCCTTCAACCCTCTCGAAAGTTCCAGGCCCACTGATCTGCGTCCCTGTTACCTCCGGTCCCCTTGGCGCAACTATTCGGACTTCTGTACACAACAAATATCTTTTCGCAACTCTTCGATTAGGAGGCTGGGATAGGGAGAGATGGCCCCCTGACGGTGACTCAGTCCGATGCTGACATTCTCACAAGCAGACAGCGCTGCCGTCAGCCTCCAAACTGTTCCGGCCGCACGACTGCAGTGAGATATGGGTTGCATCCCCCATCTGCACCAACTGGAGTCATTCCCCGGTCTTCGGCAAGAAACGCCGCGGCAAAACCGGAAACGCCAATCCGAATGCAAAGCCTCACTTCCGTGCCCCATCGAGGTGCCGAGTCAGGGATTTTTGTTAGTAATAATTTCACGTAAATACAGCGCAACGTACCGCGCGAAGTCAGTCCCTGAAAATCCTGCTCGTGGTTCTCAGTTGGTCGGTGTCTTTTGCGGTTGACGGTATCTGCAACACCTTCCACCACGTTGTTCCCCTGTTCCTCGCCCCCCCTGCCGCATGACCATGGCTTCCGAACCCGACAGCAGTACAATTTATCTGACCGAAAAGGAGGCAGAACGCATCCGGTCTACGGTTTTAGATAACACCAAAAAGCGCTCGGGACTGACCGGCCATGCTCGCAACCCCAGAGAGGCGAAAGATGCCATCGGTCAAGCCACCGGGGCCGCACTCATGGCGGACATGGGCAGTATGACCATGGGGAACGCTCAAGAGAGTGTACCTGCTCTTGCCGTCGGAGAGCCATATCCCCCATGCATTATCTCCCTTTCAGAGCTCCAGCCGATGAAGCTGTGTGATCTCCGCATGGAAACTCACCATCGCGGACGCCAGCTTCGCATCAAGCGAGCCAGCCCCGTGGTCACCCTTTCCACGAGGTCATGGACTATGGTGCAAGACGATGCCGGAGAGACGGAGCGTTTGGAGATGGTTCTCCACAAAATCCAGCACGGCAAGGAAGTCCTCGAGGCATCCTCCCATTTCACCATCAAAGAACCCTACTTCACCCTCACCGAAGAGGGCGAACCCACCCTCCGCATCGACCACCCCTCCGACGTCATCAGCCACCCCGACGCAGACCTCCAACCCCCCACCCAAACCCCAACCCCCGAACAAGCCGAGAAGCGCGCCCTCGCCCACAAACAAAAGGGCAACACCGCCCTCACCAAGAACAACCCAGCCCTCGCACACACCCACTACACCACCTCTCTCGCCTTCGCCACCCACCTCCCCACGCCGGACCTCGCGCGCGATCTGCACCGCAACCGCGCCCACGCCAACCTCCTCCTGGGCCAGCACGACGCCGCCCAGCGCGACGCGCTCGCCGCGCTGATCAACCCCACCGCCGAGGATGACGTGCGCTCCCGCGAGCTGGACGCCAAGTGCTATTTCCGCGCCGGCGCGGCGGCATACGCGCTGGGCCGGTTCGGGGAGGCGCAGGGGTTCTTTGAGAAGCAGTTGGCGCTGATGCCGGGGGATAAGGTGGCTGTGGCGAATGTGGCGCGGTGTGAGAAGCGGGTGAGGGAGGGGAAGGAGGGGAGCCATGATTTTGGGAAGGTGAGGGCCGGGTTGGTGAGGGGGGATGGGAGGGTTGATGCTGCGAGTTGGGAGGGGGCGACGGAGGTTAGGGGGAGTGGTGTGGGCATGGGGCGCGGGTTATTCGCTACGAGGGGGGTGCGGGCGGGGGAGGTGGTGATGTGTGAGAAGGCGTTTTGTGTGGTTTGGGGTCATGAGGAGGGCGCGTTAACGGCGGTGACGTGCGATGTGCGGGATGAGAGGATTCGGGTGGCGCCTGTTGGGTTAAGGAGGGCGGTTGTGGAACGGTTGATGGCCAATCCGTCCCTGATTGGGGATGTGATGGGCTCGTATGGGGACTGGGATGGCGGTGACGGGCGGGATGTACACGAAACTGGCGATGGGCCGGTTGTCGATGTGTTCCGGGCGCATGACATTATCTCGAGGAACGCGTTTGGGGTGGGGGGCAAAGACGGACAAGGGGGTAAGGGGGGCGGCGCTGGGTTATGGCCCCGGGCTGCCCTCATTAACCACTCCTGTATCCCCAACTCGGAGAGGGAATTCATCGGTGACTTGATGGTTGTCCGGGCAACGAAAAACATCGCCAAGGGAGAAGAAATTGTGCACCGGTACGACGAGTCAGGTGTGTACGAGGCCAGGCAGGGTGCCCTGATGACCACTTGGGGATTTGAGTGCAGCTGTGCGCTTTGCGTGGTGGAGAAAGGGGAAGATCCGATGGTACAGGAAAAACGGCGAACATTGACCAAGGAGGCAGATTTGTTCTTGAAGTCTGCTGGTTCGTCAGCCAACAAGAAGATGGCGACTACAAGGGCCAGGAGGTTGGTTAAGGCGCTTGATGAAACCTATGACGAAAAGAAGTATCGGGGATTGCCTCGTTTGGCAAAACGGGGGGTTGAACAGTGGCTTTCCAGCAGCACTCGGATATAAAACTTTCGACCTCGGCTTTTTGTTGTTGATATTAGAACGTCGAGCATTATGCTAAGAAGATAAAGGAAAAAGTGAGGAGTTCTAGTGAAAACGTCAGCCTTCGACCCCATGTATACCGTGGGAGTTGGCAGAATCTCTCGTTTTTGCCAATGGTGCCAATGGTGCCAACTAGTCGTATTCACAAAGGCAAGACAAATGCAAAACGCTCACCGTCCAGCCCTTGTTACCACACAACTGAGGGGTAGACGGTAGATACGAAAGCCCCGCCGATTTATCTTCGTTGGGCCCAGGTCTCGAGCCCGAGCAGTTAGCCGACGTCTGTAGACCGCTTCTCCCGAAGTTGGAACCGCTACGGCACCCGCCATGGTACTTGGGGAGTGGGTGACAATTGAGCGTGCGAAACCTGTATATAAACTCCTTCGCACTGTTCAGAGCAAGCTAGGTGGTGATCTGCCGGAGATGATGTGGGCACGTAGGGTTCACGTATTTAATACCTGTACCTTCGAGTCCAACCCGGACCGGTGGTCTTGGGGATTTACAGCGTAGCTCCCATCTACCAGTGCCCTGTGTCCCCATTACTTACCATTCACCCCCAGCCCATCAGCATCGTTTCCCAACGCCGTTTCGTCGCCCGACAAGCCCGTCCAAGCCCAGCACGCGTCCCATAGCTTCTTCTGGATCTCCGGGTTGCGGCTAACCTCCGCTGACACTCCTTCCTTTTGACCAACAAAATAACCCCTCTTGTCCTTGAACTCCGGTCCAACACTCAGCGCCACCAAATCCTGACCGGCATCGGCGGTCGTCCGCACTGCGCTATTCAGGTGCCTGAACAACGGCATCATGACATTGATCACACCAAATGCCCACCTGATCCCGGCCTTCTGTTCAGAGTGCGCCCTCGACCCAACCAGTCCTCCGGGGTCCATACAGGTCACCGTGATGGACGACAGTCTCGCATGCTATTCAGCCAAATATGGCAGTCAGCACTCAGCATCATTTCGCCTTTCCCTCTGGCCCAAGAAAGCACCACTCACCCTCAACAACCTCGCATTCAAATCATGCATAAACACGACATTCGCCAACTTAGCCGTGCCATACCGCTGAAACCCCAGATCATAAACCTCACCCTGTGCGTCGGGCGGCGGGCGCACGAGGTGCTCCAGGTCATCCGGGATCGCGGCGCGCAGCTTCGACAGCGGGCTCCCACGCTCTGGGTCGTGCGGCTCTGCCCCGACCATCACTATCCGTCCGTTCTGTGCGTCCATGCTGCCCAGCAGGCCGAGCACTAGTAGCATGTGGGAGAGGTGGGAGACTTGGAAGGTCGCCTCGTAGTTGTCGGCGGTGGTCTTTTGGCCACTGAGGGACCAGGTGAAGGCGTTGCAGACGATGGCGGATATTCGGGGGAGTTTATTCACGGCGATCTGGTCGGTGATGCGGGAAGTGAAGGCGCGAACGTCGGCGAGGCGGCCGAGGTTGAGAGTCTCGAGATGGGTTTGGGACTTGGGGTGTTTGGCAAGCAGCTTGAGAAGCTGGGCGGTGTTGGGGTCTTGCTCGCCTGATGGGTTGCGTACTGTTGCGACCAACGTGTATTCGGGGTGGGAGGCGAGGAGGGATTTGACGAAGCCAAGGCCGAGGGAGCCATTGGCGCCGGTGATAATGACCGTGCCCGCCATTCTGGAGCAACTGGCTTGGTGGTAAGTTGTTCTCTCAACAAGAGATTCAAGCAAGCGAACATGAGCCACTAAAAGTCGTCGCGGTTGTTGACTAACTAGGATTCACTCGCGAGGAGTGCGTTTAATGGTGTTTTGTAGAAAGATAAAAGACGTGAAATCCGCTCCACACGAGGCTACTCCGGCCATTTCATGTGCCCGACCACTCACACAGCGTCGTATTTCCCATCCTGGGTAGTGAAATGCAGGAGTCCATGTGGAACTGGTTGCTGGAATCCCGACCGGACGGGAGTCATGATACTGCTCCAACATGAATAACATAAAAGTACCCCTGAAGCCATGGGACCCCGGATTTGGGGGGCGCCAAGCATCACTCTGCCCAGCGTGTCGGAATTCCGACAGCCAGCCACATTGCAGAATTCCTCGCCCACCAGTTCAAGCCGTGCCCGAGTCCTGCTGTCCTCCCACAAACAACGCTGTTACACCCCGAGACCCATCAACCACCAAGTCCCCGAACCCGAGCACCTCTTCTCCGTTATCATGGACCCGCTGGCCTGCGGGAACTGCGGTAGGACCTACTCCACCGGTATGGACCCGATTATCAATACTTCCATTGTTGAGTGTTGACAGCAACCTTGTTGCTTTCCCTCCATCTCTGGGGCTCTTAAATTGACCCCCATAGTGCCAACGCTTGCCCGTCACCGACTACGATGTAAATCACGGCCGAAGAGCCGAAAGAAGGCTTGCTCCGAGTGTGCGCGGTCCAAAGTGCGATGCGACCAGGGAGTCCCGAGCTGTTCCCGATGTGCTATCCATGGCCTGCCGTGCGTGTACCCCCACGAGGGCGGATTGCATCAGATTGCTACACCCCCTAGCAATGCATCAGCTGTGACGCCCAGTGCGGTATCCGCCCATGTCCCCTTAACCCCTTCCTCAATCCCGTCGCAGCCAATTTGGACGTCCGTTGTCGACCAAGAACCGGATCTGACTGCTCCGCTGAACCCATTCTCCGAGCCAAATTGGGTCCCAGACCTGCCGGATGATTGGAGGGAGCCGTTCTTCTTGTTCGATCTTGGTCAGGGCGGTGCCGAGGTTTCTTCTGCCAACGTTTCGGCACCGATGTCAACAGCCAGCAACTCTCAGGGAGACACACAGAGTTCCGAAGTCGATATTCTCCAGGATTCATCTGTCCACATCACCGATAAGTGGTCGACCGCCGAACAAGGTCTCGATCTCATCGACCGTGTGCTAAAGTCATACGTGGATGGTGTGGCCCAGGGGCTTCACCGGCCCCCCTTCATCCACCACTGGAACTGGGACCACAACCGTCGCCCTTTGGTCCTTGCTGAAGCTACGGCAGTTGCGCAACTCTACGCCACCACAACACCACAATCCGATGCCGTTCTCTTGCGGTTCATCAATACGCAGCTGCTTTCGCTGCAACGAAACGCAAGTGTTTCACTCCTGACCATAGGATCAAAGTTCTGACAAGCAGGGGCAGATAACAACGCAACCGCGTGCCGATGACATATCTATGATGCAAGCTACTCTTTTGTATTCAATGATGCGCATCTACCGGTCGGGGCCGATGGCCTCGGAATGCATCGACAGAGTCCCGCTAAGGTTGTTGCAGGTATGAAGAGAGAGCCCCCTACTACTTTATGCTGTGCTCACAACAAAGCCACCTAACAATCATCCTACCTCTAGCACGTCCTGAGCAAAAGCATACATTGCATGACACCTCACACCAACGTCACACCAAACGACTGGGAATCTTGGATCCAAGACGAAAGCCTACGCAGGTACGCCCGACCCTGCCATTCCCACCCATCCATCCCCTGACCCCCCACCCCAACACCACAGCCCCCTTCACTAACAACCAACCCCCCTAACAATCAGATGCTTCCTAACCCTCCACGCCCTCGACCACGTAACCCACGCACGCGCCGGCCTCCCCGGGGTAATATGCGCCCTCTTCCCAGCCTCCCCCCTCCCCTGCCCGCCCGACGTATGGGAAGCGCCGACGGCCGAGGCCTGGGCGGTGCGGCACCGCGCGTGGGAGGCGCGCTGCGCGCCGGGCGGGCCAGTCCGGGCTGGGGAGGTGCTGGCTTGGGTGCGCGGCGAGGGGACGGAGAGGGAGGGGCTGTTTCGGGAGTGGTTCGTGCTGGCGGGGGAGGCGGTGGGTGGGTTGGTGTTGGAGTGTGCTAGGGCGCAGGCGAGGGTTGTTGGGGTGGAGGGGCTAGTTTGTTGAGGTTGAGGGGGTGGGTGGGGGATGGTTGGAATGTAGCGTAGTGGGTGATAAGTTCAAAAGAGGACTTGGGATGAGTCCGGCGTCTGAGGTCAGGGGCCGGAAAGGTACCGGTGGATGGTGAATTGGTTTGGGACGGCACAGGGGGTGAGTAGCAAGCGAACAATGGTGTAATTACCCGTCGGCGTGTCCTGCTGCTACGAGGGGGCAAACGACCGCCAGGTACATGTAATGGTTGTAGTTATAACCTAGGGCAGCATGTCAGGCCTGCCTCCTGCACACCCAACTACCTTACCTGTACAGATGCAGCAACGACGAGGTTATGGCGATCCCGCAGTAAAGGTTACAGTTTAACACTGACGTTGTCCCCCCGCGTTGACTCGCTATTGGCAACTGACCCATACTTTCAACGTATACCCCGTTGTCAGTCCCTTGTTACTTCAGGGGACCACAAGATCCGCCGCAGCGTTGTTAAATGTCTTAGCTGCGCATACCGGACCTCCACGAGCCGGATCATTTAGTGAAGCTGTTCCTTCCTTGAGCCGTTGACTGATGGTTCAAGGGGGCAGGAGCGGTTAGCTTCCCGCTCGAGGGAAGGAGTCCCCTACGATTTGAGCTGCTTATAGGCCCTAAGCCGGAGATCAACCATCAAACAATAGCTCAAGGGCCTTGAACAGTTTAATTAAGCCAGCGGGGTGATATTAGCTCAAAGGGTGAGCCGTTGTACGTTTTTCAGTATCCGGTATAAACGGCTAAGGTAGCACCGACCAAGCGACAACGTCCCCCGGACAATGTCTTGCCACAAAATGGCACGACTACCCCTCAACGACAAGTAGATGACACGGAACCGGAGTTCGAATCTGTTCATCCCTAACCATCAACCACGCATGAGCTTTCGCCACGCGATATTCCTATCGCTGCTCGACCGCCCCCGTCGCTTCAACAAACTCCGCATATGTAGCCATATACTGCGGCGCCCACTAGCATCCGTCCTGGCTGCGCCACCAACTCCGGTCCCTCGAAGCACGGAGACGGAGCTACTTGCGTGAACATTTGTTCTCGTTGAGGTAAAAAGGGCGACGCTCCATCCTTGGCCGCAGCTACCGCTCCCTGTTACGTGGGGCTAGTAGAGGTGATGCTGGCTACCTAGGTAGCGACGGGGGCCAGACTCGGCTGAGGTGTCCTCCTTAGGCGATACTCGGGCAAGATCGGGGGGCAAGGTTGGTAACCAGGGCGTCCTCCTTGTGTGAGGGTGGTAGGCTTAACCCTAGTGTATTATGGCCTGAATCAGCCGAAACTGCTAGGGATATAGCGTAGGAGAGGTGTAGCGCTAGTGGGAATCTCGGGGGGGTCAGTACTTGGCAACGGAGCAAGAACAATGACTATGCCGATTTGTCTTATGGACGGGCTCAAATACAAACTAGGATTTATCAAATACAGGAACAGGTCTCTAATTTGCTATATCTGGTAGTAGAAGTCCTGAAACTTCTCCTATATTACACGCCCACCAAGAGCAAGTCTCCTTAACAGCCCTCCGTCTTGACCCCAGAGACGACACAAGTAGAGCCATCAGGCCCACTGCCAACCTTCTCGGGCTCGTCCCCGCTGTCGTTGCCAGTGTACAACCAGCAGTCGGCACCGTCGAGGATGCACGAGTCCGTGATGCTCGTAGTATCGCCGAAGTTGACATTGATACCCGCGACAACCGACGACCCATCGGCGACCTTGATGTTGGTAAAGGTAGAGTGACGCTCGTTCTGCGTGTCGCAGTTTCCGCAGGACCGGTAGAGCTTGCCGATGTCGCTGGCGAAGAAGTTCTTGACGGCGACCGTGCCGCCGCCGTTGTGCTGAAGCACCTTGTCCGACGCACCACGGGCACCACCGCCGTTGACGTAAGAGGTGCCGGAGTCCTGGAGGAAGGTCGCAGCGTCTTCGCAGACCTTGGACCACCAGCTATGCGTTCTGTCAATATCCCTGACGGTTATGTGGGATGAGTCGTAGACGTGGAAACTTACACGTTGTTCAGGGTGCATTGGCCCTTGCAGTGAATGCCCTCGCCGTTGTCAGGCCCAATAACCACGTTGCTCAATGTGGCACCATCCTCGAGAATGAAGACTGCGTCCTTGTCACCACCCTCAGACTGGTCGCTGCACGTGGACGGGCTGCGGTCCCACTGAATCATCTCGCCATCAAAGGTCTCACCGGCGGCGATGGTACGAGCCGCAAACAGACCAGTTGAACTAGCGGCGGTGGGAAAGTTTGTCTGCAATTCAGTGTTCGTCTGCCCAGCCACAAGGCCGGCGGAGAGAAGCACGGCGAGAGTTTGAGAGTGCATTGTGTTTGTGGGATGGTTAAAGTCAGGAGGAGGTTGAGAGTGGTGTTGCCGATGGATCCGAAGTTTACTCTTCAAGCAAAGGAGCCATGTTTACCTCGCCTTTATAGACGTCAAGAGCTATCAACAACCGCGTCATCTCTCCGCGAACGCACCTTGACCTAGCATCTTTGCGGTTTATCCTTCCCGAAAATGGATCACGCCCGCGCTGGCGGTTTCAACTTGAAAGATGATCCACTGGCGAAGATCATCTGGCGGCCAGGGGGCTGATCCGGGATCTGGTATCGCCAGCGATGCTCCGAACCACTGCCCGGTAGTGATTACCGAGGCGCCGGTAATAACGCATAGTGCAGAACCCTGCATATTCCCCTGTATTCTAAGATCATGCGAGGAGCATGTTGTTTCCACATACACGAATAACACCTCGTGCTTAGATCATGGCCGATCAACGGGAACATGGCGGGAGATTTTCCACATCAACTTATGATCGAAACCCTTGGTGACCACCGTTCCTGGCGTCCCTTGGACCGCAATAATCACCGCTTCCTGCTCAGGGCGACGAATGCATTGGTGATCTTCGAAGCGTTGCCGGAAACGGGGTGGGCTCTTCGAACGGCGGGAGCAACGGCCCTTGTAATGCTTCGGGACAGTGGGACCAAGCCCGGTATGAGATTGCGTCGAGGGCCGAGCGATGCAACGTCTTGGCATCTGTACTGACCACTGTTGGTGGGATTTATTGACCGCTGGGGCCTCGTTGAAGAAAAGGGGCGGACAGCAAATGAACAACACCACGTTTGGCCACCAGTGGACACCACAACTTCACAAGCATACCCAATCCCGGTGTTGACAACATGGTGCTATGCATCTGAAGGCCGGAAGTCGAAACTCTGCCCTCGAGGCATTATTGTGTTGGCTATCCCGTCCCCTGGCCGGTAACCATTACCATCGACTTCATACGTGGCCTGCCTCTCAGTAGGTTCTGCTAGTTGCGGGCTCTACACTGCCACAGGGTCATGATTGGCCATGTCAACAATTCATGACTGCATACTATTATTTCCAACCTCCTCATCAACTCGCAGTCCGCGGACCAACCCAACTCTCCGCGCCATCACTCTTCCAGTCCTCGTCTCCCGGCTGTATGCAAACTACAGCCCTAGCTAGGAGCCTTAACCCCTGAGAGGCAGCCCCCTGGCCACAACGCTTGCGCTCCAAAGCGGAACAAAGTCTTTTACTCCTGATGCAACGCCCTATTCGGCGTTGACTTCGGAGCGGGAACGAGGAGCCAAGTGACGGCGGCAGCGACATACAGCCCGACCAGGATCGGCTGCAGGACAGCCACGCCGACACGGGTTGCCAGGATGCCGGTGACGATGGGAAAGGCGGAACCCCCAATCTGTCCAATGACAAACACGAAAGGCAGAGCCGCCGAGTGGATCGCGGGTGGGAACAGTTTCGAGGCTACCGAGATGCCCTGTCGAGGTGGTCAGGGGAAGTCTGCTGAGCTGGGGGAGGGGCATATCGGAGATTGTGAGGGTTGACCTACCGTAGCAAAGAAGGGACCGGAGAAAAAGCCTAGGAAGCTGACTGCAACGGAAGCGGCGATGATATTCGGAACCCTGCGGATGGATGGTAAGCGTGATGCTGTCAAACCAAGACGAGTACTGGGCATGTTTGCAAGAAAAGACTCACAACCAAAACAACAGCTGCAGCCCAACGCACAGCACGGCGTATATGAACACCATCCTGCGCTCTCCGAACCGCTGCGTGGGCTCCGCTAGCAGCAGTCTGCCCAGGAAGCAGCCGCCGTTGAAGCCCGCCGGCACGTAGCCCATCTGTGCGAGCTCGCCGCCCCGGACAACCACGAGGTACTCGACGAGCCAACCACCAACCGTGATGGCAGCACCGAGAAAGAAGAAAAAGAAGAGACTCAGGACCCAGACGCTCGGTGTGCGGAGAGTGGTCTTGATGAGGTCCATAGCGGACGCGTTTTTGGATGTCGGCGATTCTTGGCCCGGCGTGTCGGTCTCCAAAGATGTCACGCGTGGCACGCGGCCGACGTTGGCTCGGAAGGCGACAAAGACCCATATCAGGTTGGCGATGCCCAGGCCGAGTGGAAATGTGTAAAAGAGGTACCAGCGAGAAACAGTCCCCGCGGAGGCAACGGCGGTTGCGACAAACGGTCCTACGAGGCAACCGGCCATATACATGGCGTGGATGAACCCCAGCCAGCGGTGCGCTCCGGGGACCCGCGAAACGAAGGTGTTGGCGTGGGTGTCCTGGTACGCCTGGCCGACGGTGATGAACCAGAAGCTGAAGACGAGGAGGCCGAACGGTGGGTCCCAGACACGCAGAGCATGGCCAATGACTTGACAGGCTGCGCCGAGTGCGAGCAGGGCGCCGAAATCGAAATATTGGCATAGGTGCGTGTTGGTGATGGCGGTGAAGAACCAGCCGAAGAAGTTGGCGGCAAATCTTGTGACAAGGTTTCGTTAGAAAGGAGTTTATCCGTCGATAGTAAGGCCCATCACGACCCTTGGTTAAGTATGTCACTTACATGGCGGAGACAGTCGTCGTGTTGACGCCATACTGGAGCATGAAGTATGGTATCAGGGGCCCGGTGCTTCCATCGTTAACGCCCGCGACAAAGAAGCAAAACCCGGCACTCATCAACTTCATAAGCGTAGCACGGTCAAATTTCGGGGTACTGGGGGGGTCCGAATCATGATGTTCAGCCGACCCGCTGCCTTCGATCACGCTACCGGCCTGTCCAGGGCGCTCCGATAGTTCGACGAGCTCAATCTCATGTCTCTCGATAGTTTGAGTTGCCATGGTCTAGTCTAAGCCGGCAAATGATCCAGAAAGGTGGTCAATGTGCGTAGAGGCATATGTCCGGGCTTTAATTCTGGAGAACAAGATCGATCCTGAATCTCAGCGGCCCCAAGCAATTGCTCCCAGAGTTGCGGAGATCCAAACTATTATTAATGGAATGCTGGAACCGAGAATCAAGCGAGGAATCCCCGATTAAATGGCTTTACGGCCCGCGGCCCCGGGTCCCTGTTGGCCTTCGTGCCTTCGCAACCAGCGGTGGGCAGGCACTGAGAAAGAGGCGGTCACCCAAATCCGGACATACCGCTTCAACCATGCCAGCCCACTATGGGTGCCACTCTAGAGTGGGGTGCGAGTCAGAGGGGAAGCAATGAAGCCGTTCCGGACGCCGATCCTCAAAAGTTGGGGCAAAGGAAAACAGCTCTGGCCAAGGGTACAAAAAAAAAGCAAAACCGACGGAATACACGTGCTCTATGGAACACACCGGAGCCGTTGAACAAGTGTGGGACCGAGTGATGTTCCTGGCACTGCCTGGGACACGGGTTGAGTTAGAAGTCGGAGCCATCAAGGAACCTCAACATATCAGCAAGCGTCCAGTGTCCAACGACTTTGTGAAATGGTGATGCATTTTTCCTCGCCGGCCAACTCGACGCTGTCTACGGCGTAGATTCTGGTTCAAGCGGTGCAACTTGCTTAACAACCCGAGCCGGGGTCCCAAGAGCAACACTCCAGGATGGTATGTCCTTGGTGACTACGGAACCCGCGCCGATGGTGCAGCCCTCTCCTATGGTAACACCAGGTAGAACCACGACATGGCCGCCGATCCAGCAGTCGTCACCGATGGTTATGGGCTTTGCGTACTCGACGTTGTCGCGCCGACTACGCACGTCGGTTTCATGGGTCGCCGACAGAAGCGAGACGTTGGGACCGAACATGACGCGGTCACCAATGGTCACGATGGCGCAGTCCAGGATGATCAAGTTGAAGTTGGCGTAAAAGCGTTTGCCCAGTCGGATATTGCAGCCGTAGTCGACCCGAAATGGCGGCTCGATGAATGTCTCGTCACCAACATCGCCCACAAATTGTCGGAGCATCCGCAAACGTTCCTCTGCGAGTGAGTCGAAGGTTGCAGCCGGGTCCGAAGGGAAGTGATTGTTGTATTCATGGCACCGACGCCGGGCCTCAAAGCGGGAGGTTGCCAGCCCGGTTTCCATAGAGTCATAGCTATTTGTATGTTGATTAGTTCCAGGTTGCATATGCCTGCGAGGTGAATATAAAGTAACAACGAAACTCACAGCATGCCCGAGATCATCTTCTCATACTCATCACCCCCTGGTACATGGGCCAGGCTTGCCGCTTTCGCAAGCTCCTCTGGTGCCTTCTCAGTCGCAGCCATGGTCCAGTGGTTTTCTTTTGGTTGAATAAAGTAACAGACAGTCAAGAGCTTTAGTGAAGTAGCAACCAGAAGTCACCTTGTGACACGCGAAGTTGGTCCCGGTCGATCAGAGTGTGGAGGGCAAGTTCTGCAAGCCCAACCGAAAGGCCCGCCCGCAATGCGGAGGTGGTGCGGGGGGAAAGTGGGTGGGTTCAAAGGAGTTAGGGTGGAGCAGTTGAGAGTCTCGTACCCGAAACACCATCCGTTGCTTCTTCCTCGTATCACCAAGGTAACACAACCTCCTCCTCGAGCTCCATCCGAAAATGGTGTTTACGTGATGGACACATCAGTGATCTATCAGCGTTTAAGTATATACCCAGAATGCAGTTTCTTACTTCTTTAAAGCCCTTTTGTGGTCAAACTACCTACCTTAGGTATCTCCCTGACCTAGGTAGGCGGTCGAACTACCCCCTTTCACTGCTCAGCCCCTGATCACAACTGCTGGTTACCGAGTTGCCCGCCGTTCTCGCGCCCCGCTGCAGGCCACACGGCTAGCGTGGAAACTGTCGTTGTAGAAAATGGGTACATACGGTTTTGAACACGCTATTCATGAGCCAGGTAACACAGTCGCCACAGCCGGCTGGACAACACCTTGGTAGGTGTACAGTGTTATCATGTGTCGGGGGCCATCCTGCGTCCGCCTTGTCTGAACTCAGGGGTAACAACCCGTTGCTGCAATGCGGCTTGGAGGAGTCATTTCCCGGTTTCCCTTTCGGAGGCGCCAGCACCAAATAAGACCCAAGAAAAGCTTATACAACGAACCCGATTCCTGCTGGATCATGGCGCCTGCGATGGGTATGGACACTGCACAAGTAAGCCGAGTCCGATTTCCTAGCCCGTGTGTTGTCTGGTTTAGGTCGGCGATACCTTGAGACCTGTCGGAGTTACCAAAACGGGAACCGGTCTCCGTTTTGGGACCTCCGACAAGACCCCTGCTTACTTAGTTACCGACGAAGTCCTGACACAGAATCCATCTTTTCGTGTACTCTCACGTCGCGTTTATCCCGGGGCCAAAGCACAACCTGGCCGAGTCATGAACACACTTCGAGGGCTGGCTGGTATCAAGGCGATCCATGGTCCAATTTGGAAGATTTTGTGAGGACTTCTGTATATTGCCAGATTGTCACTTCCATGGCCGAGGGGACGTCTATGGGGCTTTCTGGCGTTCGGGCCTCGCAGCGGTAAAGGCCCAGGCATCCAGAACGTCAGGCCAGCTTTGACAAACACATTGTTGCCATGAGATCTTTCGCGCCGCTTTCCGAGGGCAAGCATTCTTTCGTTTCGGAGGCCTGCTCGCGAATTGGGATATACAAAGGTGCTTCAGAGTTCGTCCAGTGCCGCACCAAGCGTGCGTATGTGTCGGAGTAATCTTCGTTCGCGTCCCATTTATTTGCAACACCCAGCCAGTAAACATTCGCCGTTCAGTTGCCGTATTTCGTATTTCACGACCCGACGGTATGGAATACACCGCAGGGACGCCCAACACCAGCGCCGATCTTCGCCGCTCCCCTGCAACCCCCCTGTCGTCGCCAAAACCGAGATACGGCAACGCCAAGTACGTCCCCGATTCGCGGGACCAGTGGGGCACTGGAAGGGTGAAAGCTTCATTCAATCAGTGCCTCGATCGTATCCCTCGGTTGGCCAACATCTTTCGTCATGGTAAGCACCTCTGTTGATCATCCACGTCACTGGGACAAAGAAGACGGGAAAGGCCCCTAGCCAGACTCAAGCGACCACAGTTATATAATATTACGGCTAGCCACCCTCCCGGACGTCATGTCATTGCAACAAGCTTCAGGCCTTCGACACCAAGTCTCCCTCCGTCAACATGGTCAAACTCACTCATCTCTTGCTGGGCATCCCAGCTGCTCTGGCTCTGGAATGCCGCCCTGAGGGACCGATCGTGCCTCCGCCGCGCAACCTGAAGCAGTCGGACACATTCTCCAGAGCGCTCGCCAACCTCACCGCGACCCTTGACTCGGCATTCAAGGGCGAGTTTCGGTCTTCTTTAGATGCCCAAAACGTCTCGATGTCGGTGGCCCTCGTCGGCCTCGACCAGACTGAGGCATCAACTCCGCTCTGGGAGTACCACCATCTCGGCTCGGGCAATGTCAACGGCACCAAGTCCCTGGACAGGCACTCGCAGTATCTGATCGGGTCCGTCTCGAAGGTTATTACCGATGCCATACTTCTGCGCAGTGGTGTGAACATGGATGATCCGGTCACGAAATACCTTCCATCGCTGGCCAACGATACCTCGCGGATCGACTGGGAGAGTATCAGCCTTCGAGCTCTCGGAGGCCAGCTCGCCGGCATTCCCGCCAACTGTATGTCCCCCTATCCGATTCTGCCCAGCAACTAGCCTTTAGTACACAAACACAAACTGACATGTTTCGCAGTTGGTTTCTCTGTATGTCCGGGAGCCCACCAACCCCCATTCCTTACTCACTCGGCCTCCTCCCGACCCAACCGAATCCACTCAACCACCCACAAAACACATTACTAACAAACCCCCAGGAGTACCACTACATCAAGACCTGGTTCGAAACCCTCGGCTTCCCCGCCCTCAACGACAGCAGCTACCCACCCTGCGGCGTGATCGGGCTCAACACGGCCTGCACACGCGAACAATTCCTGACCGGCCTGCTCACCGCCGACCCCCAAGCCCTGCCCCAAGCCCGCCCCGTCTACTCCAACATCGCCTACACCATCCTCGCCTACGCAATCGAAGCCGCCACGGGCAAGGACTACACCGCCCAACTGCACGACTACCTGACCTCCCCCCTCGGAATGGCCTCCACCATCGCCACGCCGGGGAACGACTCCCGCGCCGTCATCCCCCCCGGCGAGAGCACCTGGGGCTCCGACTACGGCGACAACGCGCCCGGCGGCGGGCTGGTCTCCACGCTGGCCGACCTGACGTCCTTTGTGCGCGCGATCCTCGCGCGGGACGCGGCGCTGGGCACCCCCGCGGAGATCCGCCAGTGGCTGCAGCCGAGGACGTTTTCGGGGAGCCGGTCGAGCGCGGTGGGGTTGCCGTGGGAGATGTTCCGCCCGGAGCCGCGGTTGTTGTTCCCTGGGTATGATGCGGAAACCGGGGAGGGCGGGCATACGGTGACGATCCATGCCAAGGATGGCGCGGCGTACGGGTACCATGCGCGGATTGCGTTGTTGGATGAGTATGGGGTCGGTTTGGTCCTGCTGACGGCGGGGAACCAGGATGCGTTGGGCGAGGTGTATGATGCGGCGTTGACGGGCTTGGTGCCGGCGCTGGATGCGGTTGCGAGGCAGCAGGCTGTGGAGGAGTACGGGGGGGTGTTCGCGGGGGTGTCGACTGAGGAGACGGGCGCGGTGCCGGTTAATGCGACGGTGGAGTTGGATGGGTCGTCGCTGCGGTTGATGGGGCTGCACCGAAAGGGGTCGGATATCTTGGCCGCGCTGCAGGAGCTGTGGGGAGTGACCTTGTCCGAGTTCCTGCCGTCGCTGGACATGACCGGTGTGTATAGGTTGTATCCGACCGGCATCGAGAGGAAGGCGGTGTTGGCTGATGGAAGGGAGGTTGTGGAGGAGGACTGGAGAGTGTGGTGGGAGGTCGAGTACACCTCGCAGACGGATATGCCCGGGAACGGGCTCAGCGAGAGTGACTGCTTAACCTGGACGCTGGCAGACTGGATGTACTACGGCAGCCAGTCGGCGGACAGGGTCATGTTTGTGAAAGACGCCGAGACGGGCAGTGTCCTGGGCTTGGACGCTCCATTCCTGAGAACGGGCATTATGGGAAAGTCTGAGGTTGAGTGACGCCTCAAGGAATGCTGGACGCGACGCAACTCTTACACAACCCACTTGCAACACCCGTTTGCTCAACCACAAGGAAACGAGCATTGTTAGATTAGAGCAAGATTGTAATTATTTAGTTATAGAACTCTGCCCTTCTCAATCTTGGCCCGAACCCAATATCCACAAACCTTGCCACGATCGCCATGTTTCTGGGTGAGATAGCTACCGAGTTAAATCGGCTCGCTGCGGTGGCCAAAGCAGAACATATACCCGTCCCGGTTTTCAACGAAGCTATCTGGGGGTTGTCAGCGAGGAAAAAGAAACAAGCCTTTTGCCCATTCATGCTCAGATCAGGGCAGGGAAGGGGACACTCACTGAGATCGAGAAAAGTATCTAGCTCATAATCCTGGTAACCGGTTTTGCAGAAGCACGTCATGCTGCTCGTCGGGGGTGAATCGGCAGTGAGAAGGCCGCCCGCGCCCTCGCTGCAACCATGGCAGGTGTTAAAGAAATAGCCGCTAGACTCGTGTTAGCCATGGCCGCAAATACGTTGGTGACCATGGGATGTTTACTTATTGGCCGGTGCCAGGACGCCGCGGAAGTTGGTGACGCAAAGGTTCATGTCCTGACGGGTTCTCCGGTACTGGCCGTTGAGTCTCTTGCACTCGGCGATCATGTACTTTCCATCCATGTACCACTGTCCCGACGTTGTTAGTCCAAGTTGGGTAAATAGGGAAATGGAAAAGAAAGAAACCCACGCTAGATCGGCAGGATTGGAAGAAACCGCCGGCGGCGACAGCCAGGTGCGGAAAAAGGGTAAGCCCCATCAAAAGGGCGGCTAAGTATTGCATGTTTATTGCTGGCTGCCGGGTGTTCTGAGACGGGGTGGCAAGGCTTGTTAGTGCTGGTGTTGTGAGACTGATGGGTGCTTGAGGGTTTGGGAATGGAAACGAGGACGAAGGGCGAAAAGGGCCTGGTATTATAAGCTGCACAGGCCGTTGACTCTACTCCAGGTGACAAGGGGAAGTATTGCTCTAGGTCGGGACGAATAACAGCAGTCACGCACAAGCTGGTCACGCAGCCTCCGAGGGTCAAGGCCGCCTCAATGCCAACATCTCGAGAACGTGGTCAGTCGACCGTGGGAGCCTTGACAGAATAGACCGTGCGAAGAGTGACGATACAAAAAATAACCCAACTGCACTCAGCTCTCAGCCAGCATCACCAGCTAAAATCTGCGGTTGGTTTGAATGCCTAGAATATATGGTGAGCTGTGCGGAATAGGCGAGGTCTGGGCAGAGACAGCATAATACGTGGCAGAGCCATGGAGTCGCCCTATCCCACTGCACCCAAAGAGGACGCAGGAATCAGAGACATGATGGGTCCCGACACGGCTCGGGGGTTATGTACATAGCAAGACACGTGGTGAGCTGAAATCAAATTCTTCCGAAGCGAAGAGCAATAACATACCGGGCTCGTGTTCTGTATGCCCAAAGCCGACTCGGAAGAGCGGTAACCTCACCTTCCTCCCAGCACATGGTGCGGTCATGCGCGAGCGAGACACAATGATTCGTTGGGATATTATTAGACGAAATGCGGGGACTGGAAGTCGTACTGTACGATATGCATGATATGGACTACTTTTTCACGCGGGCCATCCTCCCCACCGCAACGCCAGGTCTCATTCATGCCCAGAAGAAAGCAAATACACGCTCAAGGCAGCCCCATAAACCCACCACACTGCAAAAACCGGGCCTGATGCTCCCTCAAATCCGCCCACGTCCTCAACTCCTGCTCCTCATCCTCCCCAGCCGCCAGGTTCCCAACACCATTCTCGCCCTCACCACCAGGCGGGATCCTCTCCAGGCGCATCAGGAGCTCCACAAACTTGCTGAGCGACTCTTCCGCCTTGATGGCGACTGGGCCCTTGCGGTGGGGCGAATCGTTCACGAGCGTGCTCGCAACCTGACGGATTTTGTGGATGAGCGAGCCGCCGTTGGGCTCCATGCTGCGATGGGAGATGGACGCCAGCACGGTGAGCAGGTGCTGAACGATCAGCTCGCGCTCGGCCGCCATGTTGGCGTCGATCGGGTCGGTCTGCTCGGCGGCCGCGTGCAGAGCGGCGGCTGCGACAGATTTGTTGTCTCCCGGGTTGCTGCCGCTACCGGTGGTGCCATTGCCGTTTTGCTGCTGCTGCTGCTGCTGTTGGCTCGCAGCGAACGACTGTGCAGCCTGGGCGCGGGCATGTGCGCGGTGGGCGTCTCGTAGATTGAGGTACCGCTCGACGTAGTAGGAACGGGTAGCCAGCTGGGACGCGTAAATGTTGGCTTTTTGGATCTCGTACTGGAGCCGGCGCCGCTCGGGGCGTGCGCCAGGTGTGCGGTGGAAGTCGGCAGTCGATTGTTGCTGTTGTTGTTGCTGTTGCAAGGGCGGGTAGCCGATGGGGCAGTATTGAAGCCCACTGTTGCCGTCGTCAAACACACTGTTCTGTGGCGCGGTGGGGATCAAATTGGGGAGACCATGATTCGGGGTGCTTCCCGGGCGAGGGTTTACGTCGATTGTGAGTTCCGGCGGCAAGCCGTCCAGCATTTGCTTTACCGCCTGCAGTGATTCATCGAGCATCACCTGTTGATCGTGGAAGGGAAGGGTTGAGATGCCGTACGACAACTCGACACTGACGAGACCATTCATGGTCATGTAGATCTTGATACCCTGGTTGAAGCCAGTCAAGAGCGAGACACTATGGTCAGGCTGGCCCAGGATCTGGTGGGTCAGGATATATTGGTCGTCCACTTCAACGGGGAAGTCGGGATACGGCTCGCTCGGAGTCGGCGGTGGCAGAACAAGGTCGCTGTGGTGAGTACCAAGCTGGTACATAGATCTAGGAAACATTAGCGAAAGGGGCGGGTTGGGGGAATGCTCAGGACGCACCGAAGGCCGAGGAACAGACACCAGAAGATGCGCTTTCCGAGCTGGTCTTCGACGTGGTTGAAGGGGGGGCCACGGTAGGTGACGCCGAACATGGATGAGCCCAGGTCGCGCGGTTTGTGGTACCCTAGCTCACGAATGAAAGCCATTGATTCGGCCATGAAACGGCGGTAAACTTTCCACCGCATGGTGTATGCGGCGGCGAGGGCAATGAAGTAGCTGGTGGCGGCGTCATAGACGGTGATATCGTCCTTGCCGTAGAACGAGGCGCCCCGCGCCTCGAGGGCTACTGTTCGACACCGGTCCACCAAGTTGATGGATTTCGGGTACATGTGCATGCCGTGTTGGTGTGTCTTGAGGTGCAACCGCGCTGTTCTAGGGAACGATGCCACCAAAGCGCCAATCATGCTGGCCAGGAGCCCAAGGAATGCCCGATTTGTGCGGTCCTCTCGTGCTGTGAATGACATGCGGAATGTGGTCTCGTGGGGAAACGGCGCGAGCGGGTGGATATATGTGAAGAAGTCGTCAATGAGCAACGTCAAGACCGGCCACGGCGCGATAGACTCGGCATCCAGGATATGCTGCGCATCTTGGGCGCCCGAAATCGAGATGAGCGTCTCGGCGGCATTATGGGGACCAGGACTGATGTTTGGCTCAAGTCGTTGCTGCTTGGCCGCCTTGGCCGCTTCTGCGTGCTTGTTAGGCGGGCCGCGCCGTTTCATTGTCCGGTTGAACGTGCAGTCGACGCCGAGTTCGATGCAGGGCTTGCATGGCTGGGTCTCGTCGCACTGCGCAGCGAAAAGGTTAGCTGAAGTTGTGATTCCCCGGCCCCAACCCGATGCGTACCTTAACTTTGCGCTGGCTGCACATGTCGCAAGCCCGGCGCAGACGGGTTGCCTTTGCATTTGCCCCGCCACCGGGAGATGGCCCGACCTCATCGCCGGTCAAGTAGGAGGAGGGGTCGGCGAGGGATGCATGCTGCGATGTCACCGAGCTCGGTGATGGAACGGGAGCGGGCGCTGCGACGGCAGCTTGTAACGCCTGGAGGCCATGATGGGCGGCGGCGACTGCGGCAGCGGCAGCTTCGGCGGCGAATTGAGGATGGGTTTGCGGCGGATGGGTTTGGCGATTGTCGCTGTCGGCGCCCTGCTGGGGATTATTTGGGGTCGGCCCTGTGCCGTCGCTTGTCGAGGGCGGTGGCGGTGGGTAACTCGACATGGTTGCTCCGCAATTAACGCGTCACATTCGACGCGCCTTGGCCTCACGGCTTCACTCCGGATGTTCCTGCGGCTGGCTGGCCGTCTCGGTGCGCTGGCGACTTTTCGGCGAAGATCCGGTAGAATCGCGGATGTTTCCAGAGGGCGGTCGATGCGCGTGCCCCGCAAGATCAATTGGGGTTGAGGGACCGATCCAGAGCACGTGACCGCTCGGTGAGCTCAGCCTGGACACGGATTCCTTCCAAGTTGTTCTTGGGTTGCGTCGTAGCCCAAAACACAGACGACAGACTACCAAGAAAAAAACGCGTTGCACAATTATGGATGCAAAAATCCCTTGCTGCGAGAATTCAAAATACTAAATTTGACTTTTAAGCATCGACTGCACTGCCAAGTGGAACACGCCTCCCAACCGGAAGAGTTGTTCCCAAGTGCCCCACTAATTCGCGGGCTCCTTACTTGGGACTGTCCAACTGCCATCCATCAATCGCAACATATCCGTTTCCTGGAGTCAAGACCCCGACAGCGACAATCTTGTTAAGCCAGTAATAATCGCTGCTCCCAGTCTCAAACTGCATGCGCAGATGGATTTTGCCGTCGGCCTGCGCGGGTCCCGACGTGCGGATGAAGATGTGGGCGCCGTCGTCAGTTTCGAGCTGGTACCGTGTGTCGGCCGAGAAGGTACCATCCTTGTCAATCAACCCCCAGTCCGCCCCGAGGTCGAGCACCTTGCCTACGCGTCGCCCCCGTTAGCATCTTGTTTCTCGTGTTTCCATTACATCACGACTTTTAAGAAAGTTGAGAGGCATACCAGACATTCTTGGACCAGAAAAAGTGCCACCAGTAATGGGGATCACCGTGCGGGAGCCATGCGGGCCCGCGCCAACCGGGAGCGACTGTCCAAGCGTGCAGTTCAGCGAATACAGGTACGTCAGGCCTGGGGCTGCTGGTGTGGCCGCCGAGGCGATCGAAGCGACCGATGCCAGCAATAACGCAACGCAGCTCTTCATGATGTCTATCGGTGCCGGAGTAAAAGAAAGAGGCCGTTGTGGATGCACTGATTGCAGCTCAACGACCACGAATAACTCCCCTTTTAAACACGGCGAGATCTCCATACCCGTGGACGTGCCATGCCACTTACACCGCAGATCTGGGTCAGCACTTGCCGCGATCGAATCCCGGCGCACGGGAATCACAGCACGGATGCAACCATCCCCAACTTCATTCGCCCGCTTGCTGTGCCTGAAAAAACGCCTCCCCGGTGTCTGCGCGGGGACACCCGGTTCATCGGCCGGATGAATGCCCAAAGCGCCGAACCAGATCCAAAACCGGAAGGCTTGCGAAACTCGGTCCGTGTAAACAATCCTTTCAAATTGGTTGCATCACCGTTTAAACCTCCCGGGCATGACGTTCCCCTCCGATGTCGAATTCCACGGGGCCATCTTAAGCTTCCCGATTTTCCATGGAGCTCTGCAGGGGTAGTACGAGGGCTTGCGGGTCGAAGCTTTTGGAGGGCGCAGTGTCTGGGCAATAAATGGCGAGACAGCTTTTGTTTAGGTAATGAACAACTTATTAACTCATATCCCACGCGCCAGCGATTATGGACGGGACCATGGGTCTGGATCAGAGGAGCGACAATTAAGGTGGTTAATTCATTGTTGGGCAGTCGGAGTCAGGAATCGGGAATCTCTCGCGCTGCAGCTCCCGGCCTCCCATGCTCGAACTCCCGGTCGTGATCTGTGCTCCTAACTGACCCCTGACGTCACGTCACTCTCAGTCAACAACTTCGATGTATTTTATCGCTGGAGCTTCGGGTTTCCAGAATATCGCCTTCAAGTTCAATGTGATTCTACCTATTTTCACACAAAATCCGTCTTTGCAAACCAACCCTTATCTGCAAATTAGGTGTCAAAGAGCATTACAACGAGGCAGGCCGCGCTGGTCCTCGATCCTGTGGAATGAAATAACGTGCAACGGATCGGGGGCCTTTCTCGGTTGCAAAATCATGAACTATGACACCTCAAGGCCAATAAGGGACGGATAGTTAATTGTCCGTTCCACTTCGTCCATTCCTTCCTTTGCAAGAATCCCTGATGAGTCTAAAAATCACTTTTGTCTGCTCTTGCTATGAGGCAAGCAATCGAAATATTACGTACCCCTGAGGTATGTAGACCTGACCCGAGAAGTGACCGAACTCCTACTTTCGTTGCCCGTTGCTGAACAACGGTGGATGCTGTTCACGCAATGCGCACGGATCCATATCAATGACGCGCTGTGTGAGCCACACCTCGTTGAGATGGCTGCCCAAATTCACAACTCCTGCCAAGCATCTTGGGCTGGAACAGCACATGACAACAACGTGGCACCACGGCTTTCGGCTGACTGTGTGCTTTAGCAATAAAATACGGAACAGCATGCCCCAAAACAACCCAAGATGCTTGACTAGATAACAAAAACTTAAAACCCTACCCACCTCACCTTACCTGACTACTTAAAACCCCAACGTACCTTCCATCCTAAAGTTCACAAAGTCTCAACCCCCCAACCCGCGTGCGCTTCCGATCCCGTCTCTTAGAATTTTACAGGCAGCAAGCCACAGAGGAGCGCTGCCCGGCGTCCTTGCCAAGTTCCTCCTGCAACCAAAATGCGTACAACGCCCACAACGCCCACAACGCCCACAACACCCACAATGCCCCTGATGTCATGCTCGCCCAGTCCAGCAGATCGGACACCAAACGGTCACCGGGGCCGAAAGCAGCACAAAAAAACAGTGCTGATCATACCACAACAAGTCGCGATCGAGCCGATTGTCTGGCCGGCGGAACTAACGCGACAAAGACACGGAATTGAGCGGCAAAAGATTTCCAGCGGTCCGGCATCAATCTTCGATCTTACGTATCTCTTCCTACTCCCGCTCGACATCCGCCATCACATATACCGTCTTATGCTGCGAGAGGCTGGGAACCGCCAGCATATCTTCTGCCCATCGGTCGCCCGTAGAGGGATACCGCGCGAGCTGCATCTCCGCTATCTGCTAAGTCGGCCATGCGGCGAGTCGACCAACGGTAGTTGCGGGCACTACGACTGCCTGAAGAATGACAGGCAAGAAGAACGCCAATCAAATTCCCACTATCTCGCCAATTTTCTCCCTTTGATGAGGACATGCAAGTTTGCGTACGGAAGCCCCGCCATCCACAGCTCGAGCGAGTCCATATCTTATTAACATAACGGTGAATTGCAGGTACCGCGAGGTTGCCCACTTCCTCTACAGCGAGATCAACTTCACCTTCGCCAGCTTCGGCGAACTGAAGACGTTCCTCGACTGGATCAACCCGGAAACGGCGCTGTCAATCCGCTCCGTCACCTTCATCGCCCACATGCTGCCGGAGGGGACGGAACACTGCCAAGAGTTGATCAAAGGCCACTACTTCCGGGGCACGGGGTGGGACCACGTCTCGCTGTTCCGGCGCATGCCGAACCTCGCGTCTCTCGACATCCGCTTCTTCCCCAGCATCATGCTCTCGTTCACGACCAAGTTTGCCGAGATCATGGAGCCGCTGAGGGAGCTGGCCAAGGACACGGCCATCACGGTCGCGCTGCCAAGGATGTACTACAAGAAGGATATGACTGGCCGGGGGCTGCCGTTTGTCCGCAACCTTGCCCCCGGCCGCGCGCCGTTCTATGCACTGACGAGAGCGGTGGTTGACGTGGAGCAGGGAACGGCGGGCTGTGAGGCGTATCCGAAATTTGTGTAACAACGCGGCGGGACTAATTTGTGTGGAAACATCTTTGGGTGGGACGAGGGGAGCCAGAATTCGGGCATGGAGATGCCGTGACAGAAGTGTGACATGACAGGAAGGTGCATCGGGAAAGGCGTATGTAGAATAGGTGCAGAGACACGCGATCGAACATGCTAGGACGTCACTTTTAGCTTTTTTACTCGCATGCTTGTGCTGCATGCAGGCTGGAAAAGTGTTCGGCTGGAACCGAGGGAACCTCGTGGTCGGGACCAAAAAGGGGGTCGCACAGCACAACCACAACATAATCAACATTTAAAACCCATCATTGACTTGGAAATCGAGCTAAACATGAGGGTCGAACCCACAGCCTTGACGTAACTCGTCCATTCCTATTCCTCTACAAGGGATGTAAGCGTTCACGCTCTGCCGATTAAGCTAGCCGGGCGCACCGGTTGGTCTGTTGACAGGACTCACCAGCGTGCGCGCTGATGAATGCGTGCGTGGACCCCTTCCCGGCACACGGCACCCCGGTCCGGGCGGCATCAGAGACGGGAGCACAAACAGCAAGACACCACTCTCCTCGTGCAACCCAATCCTCGTGTGGCTTCGGCAGGCGGCGGGCCGTGGCATGTGCCCGCCCCACCACCTTCACCTCCGATTTCTGTCGCCCTGCGTTTGTCGTTGGGTACATGCCTACCTAGGTGCCTATCCTGACCTGCCCACCTTTGCTTTTCCGCCCCGCGGAGGCCGCGCAGTGGCTGTGGTGAATAACGCCCGGCTGTGCCGGCTCCCGCATGCACAACCTGACGGGATGGTGCGTTGACATGATGTTGGGGTGTGTGGTGAAGAGGCGTGCAGTGAAAGACGCGGGCGTCCAAGGTAGGTGTCATCTCGGGCACTGTGGTTTCCCGACGGCATTTGCGTGTCGCTAGACCGCTGGGCAGACAGACGCTGGGCGGGCACGAAGACGGCGGCCTGAGTTGTGACCTTGCTCAGGTGTGCGGGATTTATCAGCAGGGCCACCCGCATGAGTCCCCTCTCCGGGAGCGGTTGGGACGGTGGTCTGGACCCGGATGGTGGCTTGGTTATCCGGCCAGGCCAAGGGCCAGTTTCGGTGCCAGGACACGTACATATGTGTCCGGACCTCGGTCCAGGGGGGCCCGGACTTCGGCATCGAACCGGCACTAGTCCAAGCAAACATGCAGGGACGCGGCCCAGAGAGGGCTCACTCGTCAACACGACGCTGCCATCGGTCAAGAGCGTGATTGCGCTTCTGATCTCTCGTGGCGCTGCAGGGCAGTGTCTTCGGCAAGTTCCCGGCCGTCGACAGTGCATCCACAGCAACGTCAGCACCGGTGAGGTGCGCGGTTGCTCCTGTTGCAGGCTCCCGACGAGTCTCTATACCGGTCAATTTCCAGTGGCAATCGGGATTGCCTCGCTCTGTAGCGGGCCATGCTCAAGTGGAAGAAACCGTGCGCGTCTTAGCAGCAACCATTGGATAGGACGGCGGGTGTGTGTTGGCTTTCCGCTTCCGGCTGCCGGGTTCTTGTAGCGCGGCGGGGAGGACACGCCATTTCATGTGCTTTGTCTCGGGAATCGGCACCGCCACTGGGAGATGCCGATGGGGCGGAAAATTGCTGTTTGACCACGCAGCTTCCCAAACCCGTCCGTTTCCGGCCCATGGAAGGGCGAAACAGGCTGGCAAGCCGTTCACCGATGATCCTGCCTCAAAGGAGAGATCAAGTTTGCGAAGCATTCGGCAGGCATGAGCACTAGGTTCGCCCGCATCCCGGCGATTGGCCGCGAAGTCAAGCCATCCGAATGGACGGCGAAACAAGCACACATCGGACTTGATAGCCTTTTTGGGTGCCCGGGGGGAGGTACCGTACGGCGTGTGCCCATGGCACTCAGGCACTCAACGCGGAAGACATGAGTTGGAATGGCGTCACTGTCAAGCAATGGCTTACGGGAAGAGCCACAGCAGACGAAACGTGGTGATGGGTTTTCAGAACTTAAGAAACTACCTAATATCCGCGGAGAAATGACGGGTAATGCGTCGCAAACTGTCAGTCCGTCTCTTGGTTTGTGCTCTCGCCAGCGTTGGCCGCTGTAGGGGACTCAGCCGTTTGGTCATCCGTGCCCGGCGTCTTCGGCATGTTGTCGCCCTCCTTGCCTTCCCCGTCGTACCGCGCTGCCGCTTCCCTGATCCTTGGCCACATCCGTGCGTTTCGTACCTCGGCCGGTAGCAGCTCCCATCCCTTTTCGTAGCCAGGCCGCAGAAATTCCTTGGCCTCGGGCCCGCCAAAGGTCCAAGGAGTAATGACCTCCATATGAGTCACGAGGGAGAACTCGCGGTCGAAGCTCAAGCCGTCAAGGCCGCTGGCCACCAACATGGGCTGGCTGACAAGCTGAACTGGTGGCAACGGCTCGTCCGGTTGCTCACCTCGTCGGGTGGGCGGTACTTCAGATGCGTTGGCCGGCCGCATCCAGTCTTCGTCAAAGGGGAACTCGGAGGTCTCGTAACTGCCGATGGGTGAAAATCTGAGGGTATAGCGCCCGGGCATGCCATGCAGGAAAACCTGCGCCCTGAGGGCGGAGCGGAGGAGACGTCTGATTACGTAATTGTAGGAATCAGTGTCGTTGTCAATGACGCCAATGTAATCCAAGTCCTCGGCATGGGGATCGTCGGGGAACATGTGCTCGCCATCGACGACAAACTGGCGGTGGTAGCTCTTGAAGTGGGCCACCAGATGTGCTGGCGCAACGGATCGCTGCAGTCCCAGCCCACCTCGGACAAGGTGCTCAGTCAAGCGACTCCAGACGGAGAATTGGATGGGATAGATACGGCCATCGTGTTCGCTCTTGCAGATTCCCAATCCTTGATAAGGTGTTAGCATCTCTACCCTGTGGGAGGCTGCGGGACACTTACGATTCAGCTCTCGGCGGAGGCCACGGACATACTCCCAGACTGGGGAACTGGGCTTCACAAGGACTCTCTCTTCCAAGTCGGGCGCAAAAGAGAACAGATTATCGTCAAGATAATGCCAGATACACGCCTGGACGATGCCTTCGCGGTGTGCGAGGAAGTCCGACTCCCACAATTCTTGAGCCACGGGCGACCAGCTTTCTAGCCGTCCGCGGGTGTCGGGGCTCAGGTCTTGCCATTTCACGAGTCCCGCCTGACGCATGGACTCTGCCAGAAGCCGTACCTGGGTGGTCAGGGGCTTCCAACAACCCGTGTATTCCAACTCTTGTGGTGAAGGCCCATTGTTGTAGAGGTCCAAGATATAATGGTGTGTGATCCATTCCTCGCCGCGCTGACAGCAGTAAGACTGACAAGGCTGGCCCGGAGTGTCCGGAGGCTGATAGAAGGGGTTCGTGTATTTCAAAGGCATGGTGACTTTGCCGTCAGTGGCACTATCCGCTGCTGGCGTATTGTGCCTTTGACGCTTCTGGGGCCTTTGCTGATTGGGCATGGATAATGGCGGCAGGCTGCAGAGACTGGGGAAGCTTGATGAGACGTTTAACGTGGATGAAGAGTACGGGAAGCTGAACGCGTGGAAGGTCACAGGGCTTATTATCATCTGTGCTAGCCCAGGCCGGGGGATGCAAAGTCTTTCTTCTATTTTCGGTTTCCTCGCCACCGGAATGCTTAAGGAGGTGGCCGTTTCCGGTCACCAGACGCCAAATCCGTCCAGGGGTATGAAGACGCTTTGTCGGATGGCCCCCCCACTCGTGCGGCGGTCATGTTGCATATACACAGGTACGATTACACGTGTATGTATCTGGGTACGTATTGAACTTTATGTCCCATCCACCGGGGCTATTGTGGACCGTATACGGCGTGTTCTATGGGGGAGTGGCTAGAGTATGTAGAATCATGGAATGATGCTGCGACGGTGCCGGTGTACCTCGGCCGAATGGTCACGCGTCACGGACGCATGTATTGATACACGTCCTCCGAGCTATCCTTTTTGACCGGATCGCCCTGATCTTTCGGACGAACCTGGACAAGCTCTGTCCCAGACCCCAATGAGCAATGTGATGAGAGGTCCAGCGTTGAGATCGTATGACATCTCCTGATAACCAAGGACGGCGCCGCGATCGCGGCCGCCGCGACTTTTGACAGCGCCACGCAATCGACGCTGGGAAACGGCCACGGTCGAATCGATTCCCGCATTGCCCCGCATAGCTATGGCTTGTGGACCGGCAACAAACCGACGGGAGAGATCTTCGAGAGTATCAATAGCTGGGAAGACATGATGCCCCATCCTTGTGCCCGACAACGTCCCCTCCGTGACATTTGTTGGTTCCGCGATGGTAACTGCTGTGTTCCCGCTTCTTACTTACATGTAGACGGGACGCGTGCTTACCGGCCTTCACCCTTCCTTCGCACTGGGCCCCAAATCCTTAGCATGACTCGTAACGACGAGCAGTCCTATTTTCCCATTTTCTATGTTGGGCGCCCTGTACCTCTCACAACCCCCGAGATTGGTGGGGACGTTGAGCCGTATTGTCATCAATGGGAAGCGCGTGGTTCCCGGGTCTGTCCACCAATACACCAACCTAACCTTTGGTGTGGAGCTCAAGGAGCGTGTTGCTGAGTCTGGGGTTCTCGTTGGAGATGTTGTCCGCAAAGATGTTTAGGATGGTTGTCAGGGCCGCTGGTTTGAGCGGGAGGGGCGTGACCTAGACAAGAAAACGCATTGTTGGGGTGTCCCTTTTCTCACGCTAAATATGACCAGGGGATACCTCCAATCTCAAGCCAGCCAGGGCCACGTTTTCCTCTCCACTCCCGGCTTTGGTAGCCACTCACTCCAACTCGTATCATGAATTATGCCACCTTCACTTTGCTCTTGCAAGATGGCTCCGATCACGTGATCCCGCATCCTTAATTAACTCTACCAACCCCAGTGCCCGAGAGCTTCGTGGCTTTGCACGATGTCTCCCAATCATTGAGCAACCCCAGCCGAAGCACTCCCAAGGATCTGACCGAAGGCCGCCTCCACGTAATATCTAGATCTGCTTTTGTGGCGAGAAAAGAAAGGAAAGAAGGGGGAAGAGAGACAAGTTTGCATTGTGCCCTAAGCACATAATAACCAAATCATATCACTCTACAACAGGATTCACTTGCGTCGTTGACAAAAACAGCACAGTCTCTCGATTGGCTGCGAGGCGGCCTTTGCTTGAGCCTCTTTTGTCTTCTGCCGGGCTTCCCTGAAACTCACTCCCTGGGCACGCTAGAGGATGAAGGGGGGCGTGGAAACTTCAAACACGGATCGTCCCGCAACACGGTGATCAAGCCTAGGCACTCAGGGGCACAATGCATTACACAGTCGATACCACGCCGAGAATTCCGAGGCCGGATCAACCTTGTCGTACAAAAGCACCAAGCGCCCTGCCCTTGCTCGGATCGTACCAGAATAAGAAACTGCCATCGTTGATCGATCTCTCCGTCCTTTATTCACGTTTGTTGATATTTCGATTCCCTCATTCAGACAGGTTCCGCAAACATGCTTTCCATACGTTCATTCTTTAACCCTCCCTTGGTATTCTTGGCCTTACTTCTCCCCCTAGCAGCCGGGCAACTATGCCAGCTCCAATTTGACGGCCGGATTCCAGACGATCTAGCCACCACCGATCTTGATGTACCCAACGATATCTTCAGCGAGACTTTTGTTATCGGCCAAGGACTCTCCTTTAGCCAAGCGCTGCGGCTGCTGCCCGTCGACACCGGGTCATTGGTCTGCTCAACCCCTGCTTTGGAAATCGTCTAGCTGATCCACTGACGGAGGCGTGATGTATTCCGTAGTTCGATCTCAATGCCAACGCCAAGCCTGTTGCTGTGTCAATTAGCGATCAGTCCATCTTTCAGAACCAAGTCGCCTTCCGCCGCGCTGAACTCATCCCTGCAAGTAATGACGGTACCGATGCGAGCACCCAGGGGGTCAAAACACTGCACTTCAGTGTCCTGAAGGACAATGACCGACCATTGAATCTATCGCACGAGTATCAGCTCGTGTTTCTTGAGAGCCAGGACTTCAGCACCAACCAGTTCGTGTTGAAGACGGGAACCATCCTAGGACAGGACACGGCAGACCCAGACACTCTACAACTATTCGGCAACGTCAACCAGGGCGAACTCCTCTTCAGCACTCCGTTTACCGCCAACGTCTTCCACAACTTTGCGCTAAATCTAGACTTTGATCAACTGTTCGTTTCCCGCTTCTTCCGGTTCCCAAACCGTCGTGTTAACCCCCGAGATAGCACAACCCAAGTCTTCTTCTCCACTGGGGAAGATGCGCTTGTTTCAGTCACCGACGTGATTCAGAACGACGTTAGCGGCCAAGGCCAGTTTCATTTCGGGGTCCTCAAAAAGCCCGTTGACGGAGTGGGCGATATCACCCAGAACGGCTTCCAGCCAGATGGAATCGAGGAGGGTTTGGTTTTCGGGGGAATATTCCAGGAGGATAGCGCAGACGGTTGCGTTAGTCTGTCACCGTAAGGCCAAGCTTTGTTGCGTTAGATACACGGGAAAAGCGGAGGATGAATTGGTCATATCATTGTATTCGGATGCGCACAGTCACTACATGTAGCCACAGCGTTCGCCCTGCAGGTGTAGCCTACCTAGGTAACTAGCGCAGATCTCGTGTATGACACAAGAACTCCTTCGCAGATCAGGACAGCTCCGCTATATTAATACTACTTTCACTCAGGTAAAGCCCATGGTGTATATCCGGTGAGTCTTTCCCGGCGATGTTTACCCAATATTCATGGTTACAGGCGCATAAAGCTCCGTAGCCGCTACCAAAACCTCTATCTCTGAACGTAACAGATTCACGAGAGTTGTCGGGGCACCGCGCGATGCCGATGACCCCCTGGCATCTCCGAGGCACGGGGCACATCAAAACATATAACAAGCAATACAATTAATTCTTTCCGGTTCGGTCGACGCCTGAACATTCCCAGCCCTACTAAACCCCCCCCCACCCCCAAACGTCCCTTCACCTGGACCATGCTACTAAATTTCCATGAACGACAACCCTCAGGTTGCCAGAGTTCCTGCTGAGCTGCATCAAAAGATTGAGTTCTTTTCTTCGCAATTCAGCTCACAGGTCACGCAAAACCCAGGAAGGCCGGTCACAATCCTGCAGCTGCAAAGGCTGCAGGGGCAAGCCCACTTGCTTTTCTTGGGAGGACTATTGCTATCCTGTGAAGGCGTATTGCTCCCTTCGGGAGGTTCGGAGCCTTCCTCAGAGGGCTCATCATTTTCCTCGTTTGGTACGCCGGTGAGGTAGCCCTCGCTATCATCCACTGCCGTTTCGCTTTCTTGAATAATCCGCTCGGTTGTTGATTTGGCTTCGGTCCCCCAGGTGGCAGTGGAAATCTTCGGTGGCGTTTGAGCCTCGTGAACTTGACCAGAGGTAGACATAGTTGATCAGTGGTGTATTACAGTTGTTTTTAGAGGATGGCAGGTGTTTATTACGGTAGTGAATTATTATATACCAGCATTGTGAACAACTGCTCTGTTACAGAGGCCAGCAAGTAATCGCCACGCCTACTTGTTGAACAGGATTGCGGGCACAAAGGAACAGCGTGTTGTCAATGAGTTGGTCCTTCATGTGACCGTGGAGCATTAATTGTTCTCGACTTCCATCTTGGAATCAAGAAATTGTCCTTGTGTCGGGCCGTAAGGTATGTCAGTGTCTTCCTCAGTTTCTCGGCATTAGATCTTAACATGAATCATATCACGCCTCGTCATATCATCAAACAAATCATCACCACCCATTGTTTCTGGCGATAGACCGTATATTTACGCTACGTATCTTTTTCTCCCCGCAACGGGCGCCTCCAGTCCCTATATAAATCATCACTAGCCCCGAACCACCTCTCCCCTACTATCCCAACACCTTATCTCCCTCTCTCAATTCTGGAATTTGCCCGGAAACCGTACCCTACTTAGCAGACGACACTGCATCCTGGAAGAGGAGTAAATAATTAGCGACGGGTCCTTCCACGAGGTAGTAAGACTTTAGGGATAATAAGCTCGCACTCACCAAGGATACAGCCACCGCAGGCAAAACCGTCGGTGCCGCAGTTTGTCATGCAGTTCTTGGCCAGGCAAGTGTCCTAATCACAGCAGACGTCCCAGGTATTGTCGCAGCAGCCCTGGGCGGCAACGAGGCTCGCGGCGTAGAGGCTGGCGAACCCGAGGGAGAGAGTAAGAAGCTTCATATTGGAGAGCGTCGAAGAAGAGAAAAGACTTTGTAGGTCGCGTTGTCAGGTGTTATCTAAGTGAATGGATAGGTAGTTGAGGCGATATGGAGTAGATAGGAGCATCTAGACAGGAGAATAACGTGAATATATAACTAATTTTGTTACTAGTAAACACACTTAGAGGAAGAAATCCTCACAGAATGGGGGAGTACGCTTACGACCGTAACTAGACATAATAGATTGAATTGAAGAGGTGTGGTTACATTGTAGAAGCTGTTGAGCTCATCCTCCTATCTTCTTTAGATCTACATGTACTAATTTCTCACTTGAGGAAGCTCTGCTTACACGGAGCTAACTGCTTAGGTCCACGTTAATGGAGTTTTAGGTTACGCAAGGAGGAACACGGTGACGCGTCGGTGACAAAGCGCGCGTTAGGCCCCTTAGGAGTCATGGGTAGTAAGGTGTATCTACCTGTTTTGACGTCGATACAACCTTATAACGACGCACCGATGTGGCGGGACGATGTGATATGCAGAAAGAACCGAGTGATAACAGAAGCATGACGACGCTGACGCTGTAGAAGGATTCGCTGGCATGTTACGATGGATTCAATCGTTGTGTCTGCGCATAAAGCGCTGGAAAGGCGGAGTTCAACTCATATTATGGGAGTGGTCCGGAGTGGTCCGGAGTGGTCTGGACGATCAGCGCTTGTATTTGAGCGTATATAGACCAATAGGTTGGTGGGCATTCTTGAATCCCGGCAAGATATTGGGGGCTGAGATATGCGAGGTTTGTATTGGGGCCCGAGATGTGCGAGGTTTGTCCCCCCTCAACTAAGGCTAGACGATACAACCATGAAATTATAGGAAGAGTACAGCCCAGTATTGTAGAAGGAGGATGACTAGCATTCAGGGAGGAGGAGAGCTGGAGATTGCTCTCTGACATACAATTAGTGGCTAAGAGGCTCTTATTTTACGACTCATGAAAATCATTGGATAGAGGCTATTGATAGCTCTCGAATTTCGAAAGGAATTGACGTCGCTACCGCGGAATGGCAGAGCAAGTAAGACAATCCTGATAGTCGACCTCAACCTCGCTTTCCTCAACCTCGCTTTCCTCAACCAGAATCACAATGCAAGGGACCGAGTTGTCGATCTTCCCCGCTACATCTAGGGTCTTACCCAACAGCTATTTTGGGTGTGTGATAGGATCCTCTTCGTCAGCGGTAAGGGCAACTCGATTTGAACAGTGCTGCGGCTTTCGACGCCAAATCACCATGGCGTTTTGTGATATCCTAGTTGCCAGCATCGACGCCGTGTGCATGGTCGGCATGTAGTTCGATGATTGGAACAGCTGCTATGGTAATGTCAGACCTTTTAGCCTCAGGCAGGGGAACAAACACGAGCCTGCTTGAAATAAGTCATGGTGTGCACTTGCGAGGCATTGCAGACAACCTGGTCAGAACTGAGGATCTTCTTTCTAGTGTGCAAGCATGGGAACTTGGCAGTAATCCTTCAGGATCACCTCCAGCTCGTTTTCTGTTCCACAGCTCGCTGAGCTGGTGATGCACCTGCTCCGACTTCCCGAAGCTAACCCACCTTTTATCTCACGCTCCGAGTCTGACTTGCCTTCACAACTACCTAACAAGCAAACCTCCGGCCTGGAGAGTGCCTTAAAACAACCATCCCTGAATATTCGGCGCATAAAAGAAACTGTGCGCGACCAACCTTAGCTTAGCCCGGACCCTCGTGGCCTCGCTTATGGTGACAGCTACGCCTAGCAAGATAGCAGAGCCCTGCCACGTCATCGTAACGTTGCTTCTGACTCTGTGCCTTCGGTGATGCTGACCACATCATACACGGGCGAGGCAGACCTGAGGAAAGGAGAATTCAGGGGACACGAAACCTCCGAAGCTACGGCGGGGGATGTGAGACCCGAGACCAAGTTTCCTGTCATCCCCTGGCCTCCCCGAAGCTAACTCTAGGTCCTGGTTGAATTGCGCCTTTCATAAGCTAAGGTATGAGGTAGCCCTATCGTCCCGGTATGCTGGTGAATACACAACCTGGGAGGCCTTCCCGCCTCCGTCACCCAGAAGCAGATGCTTAGCGGTGCCTCTCGCTCTTCCCAAAGTCGACCCACTCGGCCGGGGTGTGTTCATGCATAGGTGGTCTATTATGACCCTGTCCTATTTCTATGCCTCTCCAAGGTTAAAGGTACCAGTGTCAAACGAAGCTACGTTGTCCGAGTCTGCCTTGCTCACATTAAGAAGCCTCGGGAATTTGTTCAGGGAAGATGCGGGGACTCCTTACATACTGGTAAAATCATTCTAGAAAGTTGCCCGTTTATTAATTGCGACGACAGAAAATTCGCGGTAGTGGTTGGGAAAGCAGAGTTGGTTTCCGGGTGTGTAAATACACCTCCCCTTCCCGGTTTAGATTGGGGGGAGGGGGGGGGGTCGCGCAATAGAACCTACATTTTTACGTTGGAACCTCCGAATGTATTAACTGTCCTTGTCTGGAATAGCAAAAATTGGGTCTATACTAGGTAATCATAACTCTTTTCCTTAGATACTTCATTGAAGCGAAGCTTCAATGATGAGTCTCTGAGATGTACAATGTACATTGAGGAAGCGAAGAAGGAACGCTTCGTTTCATTTACAAGGGTTTCCCTCCAGAGTTCTCAGAGGAGCGATTGGATGCCACAGTTTCGACCGCATTATCGTGCATAATCTTGCATGCGGTGGCGTTGTGGCTAACACAGCAGCTTCGCTTCACCCTTACTGTGGCATACGAAGCAATATGGCACAGTCAGATACTTGTTATTGTTGCTTTTCTGTTCCGCAACGGTACCGGCGAAGGTCCTAATCAACAAATCCAATTGCTTCCCTGCTGTTGCAATCATAGTCCCGACAAGCCCTAGTATTGCTTGTTTGCGTTCGTTAGAGTCTCCGCTTTCGGCCGTCTGGACAAGCAACCTTTCGGCGTTTTCGTACCGGATACACACGTCAGCGAGCTGGAGTATTATCTCTTCAAACTTTGACTTAACGGGCGAGCGTCCGAGAGTGGCCATGTGGTTCTGTACCGTCACCAAAGTCTGTCGGACCCTTTCCCTCGCCTTCACCGCCTGGTATGCCAAGCAACAACCGCAGACAGGAGTGTGGGCTCCTCCGGGCCCGGAAGATAACCGTCCATTAGCCTTGCTGGCGTGATGGTTCACGTTCATGATTCGATGTTACTGTAAATTTGGAGTGTGTTTCGTATGGGAAAGTAACGGAGGAAAACGGTGCGTTTGGATTGAATACTTAGAGGACGGCTGAGGCGCGCTTTTATACCTCGGGGGAATGTATTCTGTAATAACCGCTGTGCTGTAAGGGAAGCTCTTTGTTTCTCGTTGATAACCAACCTGCCCCGAACTTGAACAACATCGTTCCATGTGGTGTCCTGTATCCAACGTGTAACAATCCCCTTTGTTAACGCGTTGTAGGATACAGTTGGTGCAATGCAAACTGAGGGTATCTGATATGGCTTTCGAGAGACTAGGTCTAATGCAGTGTGCATTGCTTTTGTAGGATGTCTAGCCTGTGCAATTCACCTGGGTATCGGTCGAGCCCAAGGTACAAAACCACATCCGAGAGACTGAAGGACTGCTGAAGAACTGCTTTACGGCCAGAGGGGCTCGCTTTTAGACATTTCAATTCACAACCTTCACGGAGTGACCTGTTGCAATCTCGATTCGAGTAAAGCCTCCATAGCACGTATCTAACCTGCGAGATCTATGAATCGCTGCTGAGACAGGAGACTCATCGACTAGGCAATCCTAATGGTTGCGGCAGATTCGCCAAATATGACGTTAGCGGGTCATGGTGACAACAACCCGGTTTGTGGCTCGCTGACATCCAGCCGAGACATGCGGTGATCCGCGCCGGCTGCTTCCCTACCCCTACCTACTCGGCCCGACTCATGCAGAGTAAGGCAAAACGACGTTGCCACAAAAGCCAGTCAATCCTCCCTTGCCCCCTGGGTCTCCCTCTTCAGATACCCCGAGCCGCAGGAACCTTCGCCTCGCGCCATTAAACCTTGTCGGGCCGAGTCATGAACTACCGATTGCGGGATCTTGGGTATAATCCCTGGTATTGAGATGATAAAATATTGGTATCGCGAGCAGGTTATCGTCCCGCCTCTTGGAACTACGCCTATGAATGCTCTTTATCGTGACTGACTGTCAACGGTTTGTCCCCCACGCTCCACGAAGTAGTTCAAGACTACTAAACGCTAACATCCTGATTGATGATAGTAACCCGTCACGGTTGTAGCTTTCCGGCGGCGCTAATCTCGTACTGACTTTGGTCCAGGCCACCGCGCGATCTCTTCCAGATCTGGGCGGGTAAAAACGACTGGCGCCACAACGGGAACGGAAGAGGGATGGGAGGCATGATTTGCGTGGGAATGATCCACGACGGGGGCGGCATTTCTCTGGTTAGATGCGAGATGCTGACGACGCCGGTCGATAGATGGACGTGGCCGCGACCGAGGATAAGGGACCAAGGCGACGTATGGCGACGGAGCATGTGTGGAGTGTCCATCGCGCCTACCGCGCGGGTGGGCCGGCTCCGTAGTGGCCGCCACCGGAGAGTGAGGCTGTCTCTGTCGGGATGCGTGAAGAGTAGGTAATGTGGTCGTGGTGAGCTGAAAAGGCGCAGTGATTGATCGACGATAACAGGTACTGGCAGATCTCTGTCTCTATTTCTTCCTAGTTGGTGGCTTCTCCCGTGTCCAGTACCATTCTTGTCTTTCTAACGCCCGTTGTTGAAGGTCCATGTCCGAATGTAGATCATACTCGTGTTACACAACTCCTCGGTCAGTCCATCTCTGTCAACCAACGCCACCGTTTTGGATATCCGTAGGATTCAATATTCCCTTATCCGCACACCCGGCAACGAGATACATTATTTGATGAGGGGAGAGTTGGCTTGTAGATACCCGCTCACCACCGGCCCCAGGTGCCAGGAGTGTGGAGTACCCATTTGACCGCCTAACTCGTTCAGACAGCCGGTGGCGTATGCCGAGATCTAACGTGCTTTCACCAAGATCTACCGTGTTCACGATAGAGGTTACCAAGACCGGCCATAGCAGAGCGAGAGCGGTTAAAGAACAGGACTGTAAAGTTGGTTAAATACGCCAGTGCCGTGCTTCTATTGTTGTTTGACATCATGATTGGGGACAGTAAGGGCGGTCGGTTGGTTACCTTATTAGACCGAACTTGATTTCCAAAGGGCTGTCGCTGCAGTGGAACACCGAAAGGTTTGAACTGAATCGTTAACTCGACGGTTGATGTTACTATTTACTCTAATTGGTTATTCGACTTAGATGGAGGCCGCCCGCAACACTCAGTCTCCAGCCTCTCGTGTGCGTCTATTGTCAAAGAGTGGTGAAACTGTGATATTCTAAATACAGTCGAGATCAACAACAAGCATATTGAAAAGGAACGGCATTGTATTTGTCACGGCTAATACATAGGGTACCGGTTAATGCCACCAAAACCACTCTATCATTGACCACATCCGTACATACATATGTTTGCCCTTATCGTCTGCTCACTGTTCCATTCGCCATCGTAGCCCCTCGGTTGCTCTGCCACTTGGGTCCCGGCGTTAGTTCGGAGTTAGGGTTGGCAGCAAAAACACGCTTTTAGCAGCATCCACGACCTGTACTAGAACTGGTGTGCACGTTGCGGACCTGGGCTATGGGCCGTCAAACACCGGCGGTCAGACGGAAGAGATGGAGCGGGGATACTACACCATGTAGACGGCCCGGTTCGTCGGTTCCGCCGGGTCGGCCGCATGGCTCTAACTTCACAGGGACCTTGATTACTCTTTATTATTAGCTGCGGGTTCCGCACTTTGGGGTGAAACTAAGCCGGGCGAAACCGATGCGTTGTTGTGGGAGGGGTTGTGAGACAACCCCCGCCCGGGGCTGCTAGGGAGGAGGGGTTGTTGGCTGCGGAGGGGTTCGCCGGTCTGTACTCGATATTGGGAATGGAGAAACGCGAGGTAAGGGGAGGACCGTTCACACGGAACACTGGCCCGTTATGCCAGCTGAGATATTAGTGAGCTGAGGTGGAGTTCGATCAGACGCTCCTGAGCGACTTCTAGTTCCCTCCTAAAAGACGCTCAAGATGCAGACCTATAGTTGCAAAGGTGGCACAGGCACAGCCGCAGCTTTTGGGTATATGGTCAGCAGCGGGATGTGTGTCTTGGGCGATCGAATCAGGGTTCGTGTTGTCCCAACTTGCGCTGACTTCGGCCATATTCCCACACAGTTCGGCCAATCGATCCTCATGACAGTCTTCTGGGTCGAAGATCATCCGACCATGCTTCCTAGGAAAAGAGGAGAACCGGCTGAATGCCAAATGGGCTTCGGCTGCAGCCTAAAGAAGCTAGGCAAGGATATTCGGGTCGAAGGCCGGGGCACAAGCGGACTGATCCGAGTGGCCCAAACCGGGGAGCTTTAGTGTGGCCTGTGAGATCTTGACGAAGATGTGACAGTTCCCGCGGGAGACATGGTGGGGTGTGACATCGGCTCGGCGAGGAACGCAGTTGTAAGGTGGAACGTGGGTGACTTGCCTCGCCGAGCGTCCCGGAGGAATATCATGGTGGCCATGGAGGAGACGACCGAGTAGATGCAACACTGGGGAATATGTAGGCAGGCTCTTGTGTTGGAAACCAAACCAGAGCCTGAGACTTGCCTAGCCGTAAATACACTGCAAGGGATTCGGCGGGTGGATATGTTTTATGATAAAGGTACCCATCCGGCCCGGCTCGGAACGAACCGGCCGGGATTTGGCTATCTCTTACTTGCCATGGCGGTTTAAATATGCAAAGTCCGGTGCGACATGTTACCACCATGGCTTTGGAAAAGGAGTTAGGGCCTTGAACCCCAGTTATCAGCGACACGAGGAGATACACATCGGTCAGGGAGAGAAGTCTTACTGTGTACCAAAAGCCTAGATGTATGACTCAGGTTCGAATCCTAAAGTACTTGCTCTTTCGATAGTCGCCTGCGCTCTAGGTGTTTGTCACTTCTGCTTAATTATGCGGCCTCGATAGCCCGGGACCTTATCAACATCAAGATCCGCTATGTTAGGTTTACACTGCTGGTGTCATGAACCGTGTAGGAGGGACATGGGTTGAAAGCATGGGGACCAAAGGTGTTGAGTGTTGAACTGCAGGTGGTGACCAAGGGTTAAATCGGGATACCTTAGTGGCTTCTGTACCATTTCGGCTTTTCCCTTCAAATACCCAACAGCTGCCCTGATGGAGAATACTATTTGTCATCCGATGGCCGTCGGATGGGGAGAGTTTCGTCCTGGGCCGCAACAGATCGTCCGTCACACAGGACATGCATGTACCCGACAACCACGGGTTTGTGGCCGCATACTCTTAGCCGCAATGAATGGTAACACAAGAGTTTACGGCGGAGTAAAACTGAAAAGGCCCGATCCGACACGGTGCTGTATTAAGCGTCAAGGGAGGACCAGCAAGTCGTGAGGGCCGGAGCTGAGGGGTCCGAAAAGGGCCTAGGGAAACAAGTTGAAGAAGCATAAATGACGTGCGCGCCGAATCGGGCAGAAGTACCTAACCTGATGCTAAGCTGCCGTGTTAATGGGACGAAGGGATGTAAACCTTCTCTAACTCCTCAACTATCAAGGAATTGGGTACGATGCGATTGTGAGGCTTACGGAAGTTCCACCGCAACGTTGGCGAACAATTAGGGCGCAATGACACATGAGGGCTTCGTGTTTACCGAAGTGTCTTGGGCGCGCCGCTTTAGGAACAACCTCCGGTGGCTTTCGCTTGGGGGGGCTAGTCAAAGTTGAAACCAGGTAAGGAGGGGCTGTACTGTTGCCACGATGGGGTTCGTATGGTTCTAGGCCAGCTCGGCTTTAGGATGCGAAGGCCGGTGGAAGGGTGCCCTTGCCGGGTCTCTTTCTCCTCTGCGTAGTTTTACCATATCCTATTCTGGCAGAGTAGAAATACTGGACAGATATTCCAAGCGGAGAATGCTTCCGAAACACGATCGGCGCTGCAACCCGGTGTTGGGGACCCTGATAGGCAAGTTTAAACTCGTCACGGTAAGACATTTCGGAGACACGGCTTCAGGCCGCCGCCACTAACTTGACAGTTCCCAGTGGAAGCTGGATCAGCCTCCCCACTTACGGCCATTTATCTGCCCGTCTTCTGTATGAGACACTCTGACCAAATCCAAAGGCACGGATCCTACACACGATATCCAGAGGGTGGGAGCATTGTGGGCCGGATTGGCAAGGCGTGTCTCTTCTTACAACCAGATGAAGATGGTGTGGTCGGTAAGGGTGGGGGCGTGGAAATTCGGGTTCGAGAGGGTGAGGAATGGCGGTGCCGAGGTATATATCATATAAACCAAGCCTTGTATTAATCGACCAAGGAACCTACCCCCGTCACCATCCAGTCCCCAAGCATTCAATGGGCTCCTTCGATATTCGTCATGCTCGACAGCGCGGCTCGACACTCTGTCGGCCAGGCCAGCACGCAGAACCCGCGTAAGTTACGGGACAGCTGCACAGACTGCGCGAGCTCGAAGGTCAGATGCAGCAAAGAGAAACCAACCTGTGCTCGATGTGCACGTCGGGGGGTGGCCTGCATCTACATGGTATCTAGGCGGACTGGACGCACCTCATCTAATGCGTCTAAGATAGATTCTGCCCAAATTTGGACGGGGACAAGCCGGCTTGGTATCGAGAGCCCCGGGTCGGTTCGTATCCCGGCCGGCAGAAACCATCCCGGCTCGACCGGGTTCTCTCACGGAACCCGTGGAATCTTGGCAGCCAGGGACCGACTGATCGCGAGGAGACGGTCACGACATGCCGGGTTCCCATTGGACTCTCACATCAACACTCAAACCCGCATCAGTCAAGTCCCTGCCGCCCCTGGGATCGGTATTGAAACGGATATCGATGTGTGGAATTGCATCTCCCCGAGCAACCTCTTTGCCGATCCACGAGGGTCACCACGGCTGACAGGCCCCGACAACGATGTTGACCTCTTTGCCTGCGGGTTCAGCTCTCACATGATAATCGACCGGCAGGAATCAAGCTCACCAGAGACCAACTACCAGACCACCGTTACCACACCCGACATATTCGGCGACCTCGCATTCTCTGTCATAGACCCCGACTTCTCGACCACTCACAGTTCTGCCCTTGACTGGATCCCTCCTAGCGGTAGTAGCACGGGTGGCAGCGGCAACCCGACACCGCCCGACTGCTGCCTCACAGCCATCCTCGAACTGCTCGCCCGTCTTTTCCCGAACCCCGCCCATGGCTGCACGCTCACAACTGGCAACACACTCCCAACCAGTTTCCACCACAACGGTCGGGCCATCGAATCCGTCATCTCCGAGAACAAACAGGTCATCGAAACCCTCACCAGCATCCTCGAGTGCCACTGCTCCCACGACGAATACCTACTCTCCCTGATGACGCTAGTCACACTAAAGGTGATGGGATGGTACGTAGCAGCCGCAGCCGCAGCAGCCAGCAGCACCAGCCACCACAACGACGGCGGCAGCACAACACCGCCCACGCCCTCACCATCAACCTCCCCACCCCCTTCATACTCCCACTCCCACTTCCATACCCAAAACAACTCCCACCTCCACACCCAAAACCACACCCTCTTCACCCCCCCAGCGCCCACCCCAACATCCCCGCACACCGCCCTCGCGGCCCCCGACGCCCTCGGCGAGCACGTCCTCCCCACCCCCACCCACGCCACCACCACCGCCGCCACCGCAACATCAGTCGGCGCGTACTGCCTCGCCGGCCCTTCCACAGCAACAACAACAACAACAACAACACCGTCCGGCCCGCGGCTGGTGCTGGGCGAGCTGCACGGCGTGGGCCGGCTTGCGCAGGCGCTGGCGCAGCGGCTGGAGGGGGTGCGGGTGCGGGCGGGTGCAGGGGCGGGTTATGGTGGGTTGGTGGGCTTTGGAGATGGTGGCGGTGGTGGTGGGGGGGAGTATGGGTCGGGGGGTGTGGATGTTGGTGGTAGTGGTGGTGGTGGGTTGGGTCGGGAGCCGCCGTTGTCGGTGTCGACTTTGTTTCAGTTGGAGGAGGATTTGAGGAGGCGGATGGGGGTGTTGATGAGGGAGGTTGTGGGGAGAGTTGGGGGGTGTTGAATGAGTTATGGATGGGATCAAATAAGAAGTTGTGGGTTTCCTGGCCGGGTGTGGGCTTCTTGCTGTTCTTGTGGTATGGTCTCGTGTTCGTGGTTTTGGCTCATGAGAGAGAGTTGGTTCAAGGATGGGTTGTGTGTTTGGGTGGACTGGTTGGCTCATGTTGTTCTTCGTATATCTTACACAATAACCATACCAATCTTTATGGGTTTTCTTGTTGTCCTCTGTCGGCCACCCTACCAGGACAAGTATTACCTACATAACCACCTATACAAATACGCGGATTCGCAACAATGGCTTCTTTTCCCGTTCATACAGAGGCACTGTCATGCATTCACCGTCCGGACGACATCCCACCACTAAGCCGAAGCTCTCGGGTCAAACCCGCAATCCATCATACCCCTAGAAATCGTACAGTATAACACCCCCACGACTCAAGCCTTCTTCGCGGCGGCCTTGCCGGAACCATCAAACAACCCCACCAACAGCACTCCCACAACTGTGATCATCGGCGCATACCCCCAGTGGTTCCACTCCCCCTGCCCATGCAGGTAGCAGACAGCACCATCAGCCCCAGCAACACCGCTGGCTGCAATGAGGGTCCACCCGAGCGACTTGTTGGTCCCGAAGAGTGCGGCTGAGTAGATGGCCAGGCCCATGAAGATGTCGCGGACGCCGTAGATGGCCATCAGGCTGTCGACCATCTTGGCATCGTTGGGGGAGGTGGGCGGTGAGAATTCGAAGAAGGTCAGGGCGTGTGTCGGGCGGAGGATGGCGTTAATGCCGAAACCGACGAAGATGGTGGCGAAGGCGTGGGCTGCCAGTTGGAGCGCGGCGGACTGTGAGGGCGCCATTGTGAGTTGTGGGTTTTGGGGCTGGGTTGGTCGGGGTTGTGGGAGAAAGGGGTTTGTTTATGAAGGGTTTGCCCGATCGATGTTAACAAACCACCTTGCTCTTGGGCGGGGAGGGTGAAATAAATGCTCTCTTGAGTTGGACCAAGGTTGCGGTGCCTCCCTTGCAACTCGCACCCGATTCCCTGTGCTGCTGCCTGCTGGACTGACCAAATCCGGTGTGCACAATCCCCGCCAAGTTCAATCACGGCAGGCATGGAGCTCCAATTTCGGGGATTGGAGACCATCCGTCGGGTTTGTCGGCCCAGAGTCGGACACCGGGCTCAACAAAAGCAACGGAGGGATGTGGTGGTCATGGGTGACATCTTGTGAAGCACGAAAAGGCATCTTCATGAAACGAAGAACGTTAAACGAGTAACGAGAGAACTTGAAAGATCTAACATAAAACCTGAGATGAAAGCAAAAGCCACCGCAGGTACCTTACCTCTCTCCCTAACAATCATGAACAATACGTAGGTCTACAACCAACATTGAACTGGATCCCACACCTCCAATTTGGTCCCCATCAACTGATCCCCTCGAAAAACTTGTTCACGCAAGCTCAGTCCCTTGAGATGCACACACCTGGATCGCAAACTTGGTGATAGTCAAAGTCTCGCCGAGTAATTGCTGGAATGGCACATCAAGACGATACTCCTTGAAGATCCAGTTCCTGAGTTCCGCGCCGATCATGCTGTCAATACCGTACGATGCGATGGACTTGACATCCGGCTCAAACTCATCACGGTCGAGCAACAGCATGCGGGCCAGCTTGCCAACGAAGTGCTCCGTCACAGCGCTCACAGCCTCAGCGGGGGACGCGGCCGCCTTGACGACCGAAATAATACTCTGGGCCTGGCCGCCACCCTCGCCGTCGCTGCCATCCTCGGCCGACGCGTTCATGTCGTGCACGGCGTGGCTAAAGCGCGCGTCCTCCACCCAGAAGCTGTCGGTGGCCGCGTCGTCGCGCACCGCCTTCTGCAGCTTGGCCGGGTCCAGCCCGACAACGATGTGGTCCATGCTGCTGTCGATGCTGCGGCTGGCGATGGCCGCCTCGAACGCGCCGAGCAGCTCCTCCTCGTCGATTCCGTACATGCCCTTGCGCTTGAGCGACTGCTCTAGCTCCACGTTCTCGGCAACGACGCCCACGCCTAGCACCATGGGTAGAACGACGGAGACGGCGGGTTTGCCTGCCACACGGCGCTGCCGGGCGAGCGTGTCGAGGTAGGTGTTGGCCGCTGCGTAGTTGCTCTGCGTCGTGTTGCCGAGCACGCCCGAGACGGAGCTGGTCATCAGGAAGAAGTCGAGCGGCTCGTCCGCGAGAACGGCGTGCAGGTTGGCAGCGCCCAGGATCTTGGGCTCGACCGACGTCTTCCAGTTGTCGAAGGTCATGGAGTGGAAGAGACCGTCCTATGGAGATGTTAGCTTCTTCGCTCCCGTATCTGTAAACGAGAAGGCAAGAACGTACCCTGAGAACCATAGCCGCGTGCACCACACCACGGATCGGGTGCTCAGCGGGCACCTGATGGACGGCACGAACCACATCCGCCTGCGAGGTCGCGTCGCCGCGCACAACCTGCACCACCGCGCCGGCGCGTTCCATGTCCTCCACCAGCGTAGCAGCCGAGGGGGAGTCGGCACCAGACCGGGAAAGGAACGTAAACCGCCGCGCGCCAGACTCCATCATCCACGAAGTCAAACTCCTGCCCAACCCACCCAGGCACCCAACAAGCAGGTAGGTTGACTCCGGGCTAAAGCGAAGCGGCGGGCGCGCCGGCACAACCGAAACCAACTTCTCCGCGGACGCCTCATACATAACAACCGACTTCACCGCACCAAACGCATCCGAGAAACCCGCAACAGCCCTATCCAACTCAGCAAGATGCACCATCTCCACCGGCCCCGGCACCACCGCACCCCCGTCCCGCACCAAGCCCACAATCCGCGGCAGCAGCCCCGCCAACACCTCCGGACGGGCATCAAACAAACCCACCAAGTCAAACGACAGGTATGACGCGCCGCGCTGGCTGACGGGGACGGAGTCGAGCGCGCGCCGGTGCAGCACGTCCTTGCGGCCCGCGTCAACGAAACGGCCCAGCGGCGCGATGTACCGCCACGCCTCGCGCGCCATGGCCGGGTCCGTGTTGCCGGCGCTGAAGACGATGTCGGCGCCGTGGCCGGCGGTCAGTGAGTTGAGGGTGGCGAGGAGGGTGGAGGCGGCTGCGTCGTTGTCTTCGGGGTTGGTCGTGGTGTTGGTGATGGTGAGGAGGGTTTGTTCGGCGTCGAGTCCGAGGTGGGTTTGGAAGAACTCGGCTTCGGCGGGGGTTTCGACCACCACGTAGGGGACGGCGTGGTGGTTGAGGGCGACCTTGACCGCGGCCACGCCGCTCATGCCCGTACCGTGCAGGACGAGGACTTTGTCGTTGGCCTTGACCTGACCAAGCGTCTCGAGGCCGTGGATTGCCGATGCATAGGCGGTTAGCACGCTGACCGTGGTGTTGAGGCCGATGTCTGTGTCGAGCTTAGAGAGCATGCTAGCCGGCACTTGCTGGTAGCTGGCGAAGCGGTCCGCGTGGAACCCGACCACCTTGTCACCGACCTTTAGGGCAGTAACGCCCGACCCGGTCCTGGTCACCACGCCGCCAATCTCGTGGCTGAAGGTGGTCGGGTAGTCGGTGCCTGAGATGACCAGGACACCTTCCTTGGTGAGGCCGCTGGCTTCAACGCGGACCTCGACGTGACCAGGCTTAACGTCTTCGACCATAGCTTCCTGGTGGAAGATGACGGTGCCCTTGACGATGGCGCCAGAGATGTGGTCCTCCGAGGAGAAGGCGGTGGGCTCAGCAGCACGCGAGGTCGAGAAGGAGTTGTTGAGGCTGTCGTTGCCCACGAGACGGCTGATGTAGGTCTTGCCGTTGGCGACGCAGAATTCCCGGTCTGACTTCTCGTCGGTTGGGGCCGACTGCTGCTTAGCAATGCGCACAATGGCACTGACGGTGTCCTCCAAGGTGACAGTATCCTGGTCGATGTCGACGGTTCTAAAATCAAGTGAAGCCTGCTCGGAACTAACCGTGCGAGCGAGACCATGAACCATGCCGAACTCGGGTTGCTTGCCCTCGAGAAGCCCGCCGGGGGTAACCCAAAGAACAGACGCGGCCGTGTTGGTGATGGCTTGAACGCGGCTAAACTCCTCATCCGTGATGTTGAAGAGGAAGGGCTTCTCAAAGTCGGCGAGGATGATGACATGGGGAAGAACTTTAGAGTCGGTGAGGTCCTTCAGGCTAGTGACCTCCACAGTCCAGCCTAGCGCCTGCAGGGCGGCCCAGACGGACGAGACAATGGCAGTTTGGGCGGTACCGTAGACCAGTTGAACGGAGTGTTGTGCAATAGCGTTCGTCTCCTGGCCTTCTTGCGGGATTCTGGCCGACTTGGTCATGCCCGAAGATGTCTCGAACAAGACATAGCCGCCGGCCTTGACCGTCTCCCAAAGGTTGCTGAGGTCCTCATCAGCAAGTTCTTGACGAACAACGAGGACATCGAAACCGCCTATCGCCAGAGACTGCGCGCTCAGCTCCTGTGAAAGGTCCAGTTTGACGACCTTGGCACGGGGATACTCCTTCATCGCCAGCTTGGTCGCCTCCAGCTCGTCATCGGACGCCACGGCGATGGTATAGGATGCGCGCGGGCTCTTGCTAAGGATCTGCTTCACGTCCTGGACATCCGAGGAGCCGCCAACCTGCAAGACCTTGGTCTCGGGACGCTTGAACAGGGCCAGGTGCACCGCCTCAGGAATAGTGAAGCCCTGCAAGTCAGCCGACTCCACCAGCGTGTCAAAGTCGACCTCCCAGCTGAGTTGTCCGTACAAACGCTCAGTCAGGGCAGAGGGGGCCTTTTGGGGCACGGCAGCCTCGTAGCTGACACCACGGAGGTTGACGATCTCCAAGAGGAGACTGTTGTCAGCCGTCTGCATCTGCGCGCTGCTCTCGAAGGAGCGGACACCGCGCTTGTCGACCCATGCATACGCGCTCGCCGTGCTGGCCTTGACCTGCTCCTCCGAAGGCGGCCAGATTGTGACCTCGTCCAGCTGGATGGGGATGACACCGTAGTTGATAGCGGTGGTGCGTCCAGCAAAAATGGCGGCGATGCTGAGCTGCAGGACAGAGTCGACCGTGGCAGGGTGCAGGACATACCGCGACTCACCGAGGGAGGTGTCAACTTCTTGCTTGACGGCGGTGGTGCAGCTGGCCTGGAATTTCTTGCCGTCGAAACGGATGTCATCCATGTCCTGGAACGTCGGGCCGTAGTCGAAGCCGACCTCGCGCAGGGCCTGGTTCCACGCCTTGCCGCTGGAACGTTGGGGGAAGCGAGGCACCTCCTTGGGCGCAACACGCCGCGGCTTGTTGTTGATGCCGACGGTCCCAGCCATATGCTCTTTCTTGACTCCCTCGTCATCGACGGAGGACACGGCAAAGTCCCACCATCCACTTCCATACATGGAGGGGTTCAACCCCAGGAGCACCTCAATGCCATCGTCACCGTCTGGCACTACAAGGGCCTTCTGAATCGACACGTCACGTAAAACGTAGTTGTGGATCCCAACGGAGGTGCTGCTCAACTCGTTGAGCTGGGTCAGAGCCTCGATGGCCATGGCGAAGTAACCAGCGGCCGGGAACACGACTTCACCACCCAGCGCGTGGTCGCCGAGCCATGGGAGATCGCGAAGGCGGAGCATGTTCCTCCACGTCGGGGTGGCAGGCGAGCCTCCAAAGGTGCGCTCGCCGAGAAGGTCGTGGCGCGCGTGGGTGCGGAGACGGTGCTCACGGGAGGCACGGCTCTCAGCCCAGAACGGGCGCGCGTAGTTCCACTGGTAGGGCGGCAGGTCGACAATGATGGCCGGCGCGGGGGCCAGCTTGTTGCCCGACTCGACGTAGGCTGTGGCGACGTGGTCCATGTCGAGGGGGTAGGCCCGCAGGAACATCTCACCGGCCACCTTCAGGAGCTGGACGGCCGAGTCGGTGCCCCTGAGAAGGGTAGGGATGTATTCGAGCTTCTCGCGGCCCAGGGCGGCCTTGATCTGCTTGATGGGGCCGGACATGGCCGAGTGGGGGCCCACTTCGATGAGCAGGTCGACATCACTGAACTCTTCAGCCGTCAGGATCGTCTGCACCGCCTGGTTGAACAGGACGGGGCTGCGGAGGTTGGTGCTCCAGTACGTCTCATCAAGGATGGTGGTCGTCGGTAGGATGCCATTCGTGACGGACGACACCATCTTGGCGGTGGGAGGCGTCGAGGGCGTGTCGAAAGGGTTGTACTCCCTGGCGGCACGGACGAGCTCCTCGTACGTGGCGGAGACGGGGGCCATGTGGTGGGAGTGGTAGGCCTTCCCGTTGGTCTTGACGAGGCGGGCAAAGACACCATCAGCGTCGAGCTTCGCCTTAACCTGGTCAACAGCATCAGCGTCACCGCTGACCGTCACACCAGCCGGTGAGTTGTGGCAGGCAACAACTGCCTTGTTTTGGGAATCAACCAGATACGGTGCCACGTCCTCGGCGCCCAGGCCCACCGCCAACATGGCACCTTGTGTCTCGACGCGGCCAGTAACCACACCACGATAGTAGGCGAGAGTGATGGCCTCCCGGGCGGAGATGAGCCCGGCAGCATAGGCAGCGGCCATCTCACCCGAGGAGTGGCCGACGGTCACAGCAGGGCGAATACCCCAGGACTCGAGCAGCTGCACGAGGGCAACCTGGACGGCAGTGCACAAGGGTTGGGAGAAGGCGGCCTCGCTGACGCGCGAGCGCTCCGCAGGTTCAAGCAGGACGTCCTCCAGGGACCATGATGGTCCGTCGTGCAGGTCCTCGAGGGCCATGTCAAGGTCTCGGATGGCACTCAGGAAGTAGGGGCTGTACTCGAGTAGCTCGGCACCCATGCGGGCCCACTGTGCGCCCTGGCCCGTGAAGACGAAGCCAACAGTGGGCGGCTTGGGTCCGCGCTTCTTGCCGTCGGCAAAGGTGAACGAGGTGGCTAGGTTGCCGAAGGCATCGTCCAGTGTTTCGTGGCTGGCGACAGTGAAGCCCTTGTTCAGGAGAACACTGCGGCGGTTGGAGAGGGTGTAGGATAAGTCGAGCAGGTTGTACTGGGAAATCACCTTTCCGTGGGCCTCAAGGTTCCGCAGCAACGTGGGCTTGTCATGAGCCGAGAACGGCAGAAGAAAAGGACGGCGACGGTGAGCTGCACGGCGAGGCATGGCCGACTTCTGACCGCTGCCAGTGTTGTCGTCGCGGAACCGGTATTGCTGTCTGGGCATGTTGCGGAGCAACGAATCTGCGTTCTCGACGATGGCGTGGGCGTTGGTTCCTCCATAGCCGAAGCTGTTGATCGAAACACGCTTGACTGGAAGGTGGGCCGGGAATGGCGTGGGCTCAGTCGGCGCCTGGACCTTCCACTCATCCCACTTGATGGCGGGGCTGGGGTTGACGAGACCCCTGACAGGGGGGATGACACCGCGCTCCGCCGTGAGGATGGCTTTGATAAGGGCTGACAGTCCACTAGCCGCCTCACTGTGTCCGATATTCGTTTTGACGGCGCCGATCAACAGCGGGTCTTCGCCTGGCTGGCGGTCCTTGTTCATCGCGAGGGAGACGGCGTGCACCTCGAGCGGGTCACCAACAGACGTGCCCGTTCCGTGGCACTCGAAGTAGCCGGTAAGCCGGGGGTCAAGGTCACCGCCACGCTCGTACGCGTGGGCAATAACGTCGGCCTGGCCTTCCCGGTTGGGGTGGGTGATACCAGCACCCGGGACCCTGCCGTTGGAGTTAACGGCGCTAGATCGGATCACACCACGGATAGGGTCGCCGTCACGGACCGCATCCGAGAGAGGCTTCAGATAGACGGCGCCCGCAGCGTCGGCACGGCCGTACCCGTCGGCACTCGCGTCAAACGTATGGCAGGTCGATGTGGGAGACAGAACGCCAAGCTTGGCCGTGTTCATGTGCTGATCAACCGTGATGATCAGGTTGACGCCGGCAACGATGGCGGCATCGGCTTCCCGGTTGCGTAGGGCATTGCACGCGTTATGAAGGGCGTACATGGAGGATGAGCAGGCCGTATTGCAGAGGATGCTCGGACCGTTCAGGTTGAAGACGTGGCTAATACGGTTGCTGATAATGCCGGGGTCGACACCCGTTGCTGCCAGATTATGACGGAACGAATGCTCCTTGAATGCCATCTGCTGCCAGTCGGCCGTAAAGCTGGCGGCGAACACACCTGTCCGTGTGCCTGAGATCTTTTCCAGTGGGATACCACCCGACTCCAGAGCCTCGTAGACGACCTCCAGGAGCTTCCGCTGCTGAGGGTCCATCCACATGGCTTCGATTGGTGTGATGCCGAAGAGGCCCGGGTCAAAGTCGGACAGCTCATCTTTCAGAAAGTATCCTCCTAAGACGCCAAAACTTCCCGGGCGATCGTTGTTCTCGTGGAAATGGGCATCGATGTTGAACCTATTGGCCGGCACCTTGGGTGTCTGACCAGTCCTCTTGTTCATCATCATGTCCCAAAACTCGGCGGGACTCCGGACATCTCCCGGCAAGTGGCACCCTGTGATAACACTTGTCAGTTACTAGGACTATCAATGACCGTTATCTCATGGTGTGTCTTACCCATGCCGACCACGGCGATTGGCTCGAGCTGTTTGTCGAGCGGCTGTTCCGCATAGCCCGGGAAGGTAACGGCGGGATATTCGTCATATTCCATGACGCCAGCCTTCCTCGTTGGGCTTCCATCGTACGAGTCCCGCGAGGAGGGCCTCGACGGGGAGGAGGTAATCCGGCCAGGCATTGTAGGTGGAGCTTGGCGGAGTTGTGCTGCTCTTCAAGCGTGGTCTAGTATTGTGGATGGAAGTACAGGATAGTCTGGAACCTGCTTCGATGGGATGAAAGGAGAAGACCTGGTCAAGTTAAATCATACGACCTGACAGCTGATTCCCTATATGTATGCCAGCCGCCATCGGGTCCCTATGCTCACTCTGAACCGCTTATCGGAGACGTATACTCGAGACGGAGCGTCAGATCCGGCCTTGATGGCGAGAGCGATGCCATTACCGAAAGAGGAAATCCCGTATCCTTCTAGATTCTTGAAGTGAATACCGAATCGCAATGCTCTCATTGGGTGTGGTGAAGTTGTAGTTTCCTATCCCGTCCGGATCACCGCGGCCCGAAACGACCGAACCCATGGTGGTTCAACGCACGCCCATGCGGAAGCACCCCTTCGATTCGGGCTCGGGAGACATCGGCGCGCTGCATAACCGTTACCCGCATGGCATCAAGCTTCTCGGCCCTCGGAAGCCGGGGTGTCGATGTGACCCAACCCCTTCCTAGCTGCGGGTGGCTGACTACGTGCCTCGAAGGATGCCCCCGTTACTTTTCCATCGTTACTATTATGCAACACACTTTGACCAAGGTCCGCTCTGCTCCAGAAGGCTTGGTTCCATCCGAAACTCCAGCCCTACCCGGAATTCCCCTGCACACCACGACCGTTGCTATGGAGGCCGAACAAGTTGATGTTGTGGTAGTTGGCGCCGGTAAGGGGACTTCACTCCAGCTACTCCGGTAACTAACACGATCGATAACCTTTAAACAGGCTGGAATGGCCTCATTAGCGCGAAAACATACCTCGACTTGGCCCCAGAGGCCAACCTGATCATTATTGACCAGAGCACCTCGTTTGGCGGCGTCTGGGGTGCTGACAAGATCTATCCGAGCTTGTACGCTCAAATCAAGTTTGGCCAGTTCGAATATTCTTTCTACCCTATGCGCCGCGAGGGCATCACCAACGACGGCTACATCTCGGGCGAAACCATCCATCGATATCTCACGGACTTCGCCCACGACTTCCACCTCGCAGAGCGAACACGGTTCAACACGTCCGTCAATAATGTCAGTCGCCTGCCAAACGGCCGAGGTTGGAAACTAGAGGTGGAAGGCGAAGGGAATAAGGTGGTGGAATGTGGAAAGCTGATCTATGCCTCGGGGGCCACTTCGCACGCCGTTATCCCCAAGTGGCCCAAGTCCAACTTTGACGCGCCCATCATCCACTCCCAGGAAACGGGGACACACCTGGGTGCTCTAGCCAAAGTGAAACGTGTAACCGTGCTTGGGGGTGCCAAATCCGCCTTCGACACCGTCTTTTTCCTCTTGGACGCAGGAAACCACGTCGACTGGGTGATCCGGCCCGATGAGTCCGGATCAGGGCCCGTGGCACTCATGCCGCCAACTATTTTTGGCCTTGTGAATAGCATGGACGTGATCGCAACGAGGTTTATGGCCACGATTGGTGCGAGCATCATGGCCACCGAAGGTCCGGGCTACCGTTTCTTCCACCAGACACGCTTGGGGAGGGTGCTGGGGCGGCAGTTCTGGAAGATAGTCAACAGCATCGCCGAAAGGCACTCTGGATACAGCAAGACGCCAAACGCCGAAAAGCTCAGGCCGCTTCCACATGGTAACGGGTGAGTCACACATGATTCGAATCCGGCCCCGCTGCCTATATCACCCGCAAGAGGTAAAGCAAGCTAAAAAAACAACGGTCACGTAGAATCTTCTGGGCCAACGCAGGTCTCGGAGCCGCGAGTGTACCCAACTTCTGGAAGGTATTCCACGCCGGGGACTGCACCGTCCACCGGACCGGCATCGAGTCGTTCACCGACAACAAAGTCCATCTCTCAGACGGCACCCAAGTCTCGACCGACTACGTGGTCCTCTGCACCGGCTTCGACAAGTCATACCAGCCATTCAGCCGCGAGCTGCAACGAACGTTCGGCCTCACCAACGACCTAGACCCCGCAGACCAGGAGAGATGGGCCAAGGCCGAAGCGCGCGCCGAAGTCGCCGTGGACAACAAGCTGCCCACTCTCCGGAATCCTCCCCTCAGCTCAGGCCAGGTCGAGAGCAGCGTCCACCGCGAGGCTGGCAGCAACCACGGCCCCAGCCGCCACTACCGGCGTCTGATCGTGCCGGGCATGGCCGCCGAGGGCGACCGCTCCATTGTGTTCCCGGGCTTCATCCACTCCATCTACACTCCCATGGTGTCCGAGGTGCAGGCCCTGTGGGGTTCCGCTTTTCTCCTTGGTCTGCTGGACCCGCCCGACCAGGCCGAGATGGAGCGGGAGGTGGCCGAGTGGAACGTCTGGTCCCGCAAGCGATATCCTGCCCAGGGAAGGAAGCACGCTTATGCTATCTTCGATTTCCTGTCCGTAAGTAACCGCCTACCTTGGTTCGGATTCTTTGTGGAGCGGCAAAAGACTTATGAAGGGTCCCCGATAGTACATCGACACCCTGCTCAAAGACCTCGGCATCAACACCAGACGCAAGCAGAATGTGTTGGCCAACCTCTTTGTGCCCACCTACCCGAGAGACTTCCACAACCTGCTCGAGGAATTCAAGCAAGCGCAGGAGAAGACGAAGTTGCAGCAATCAGGTATGGCTCTTGAAGCAGTGCCCGAGAAAGGTTCTGTGGGGAGCATTGTGCTCGCCATGGGTATTGTCCTCACGATTGCTGTGCCACTGACCATATGGCTCCGTGCTGGCACCTACTAATACGTATGTGCTAGGCCTGTGATATCATATGATATTAGCGCGGATCATAGAGGAGCTAAAGAGATTAGCATTCTATTGCTATTGTTCCGAGAAACGTGCCTTGATGAGAATGTTTGAGCATGCTGTGATATACATAAGCTTGAGGCTTTAGTGGGAGCCATTGTTAGATCCTTACCAATAATAGAAGTTGGAAGGCGATGGATATCTGAATCCATGAACCTCCGCTTGTATCAACTCACCAAGGACGGAATAAAACGTTCATACATGGACGAGGCGCTCCTCATATACAAAAGGCGGTCCCCGTTTCCATCAACCCGAGCAAGGTTAAACCCCTTGTTTACCCTACACGTGTTTGTCATGTACAGAGAGGCCAGATCTCCCGACGACGGCACAACCACAGCTCGGGAATGTCTACGATCTCATTAATAAAGGTATTTCCGTTTATGCACATCCCGATTGCCTTTTTCCATTCTCCTTCCGTCCACCCGCGTATTCAACCGAAACTGCTAAAACAAAGTACGCGTCGGTAAGGCAAGGTTGAGTTGACTTGCCTTCCTACCTCACGATGTCTCCCCCGTAGAACCGGCTCCGTTCCGTCCCCAGTCAACAGAACCTAGTAAAGCTTCTTGCGCTGCATCAAACAAGTCAGTAAAACCCAACCCCCCACACCGCCGGAGAAAGAAAGACAGAACTCACCCCCAAAAACAGCGACAACACGAACGTAACCGCGCTCGCAGCCATGACCAGCCCAAACGGGTTGCGCGTGGCAAACGTCACCTGGTCAACCACCTGCACCTGCTGCTCCGGGGTCAGGTGCTGGAAGATGGTGCCGTGGATACCCGTCGTCAACTGCAGCAGGTCGTCGTACGAGTGGTCGGGCAGCACGCGGCCCAGGCTCGCGGTGCCGATGATGATGTACAGCGCGCCGGCCACGCCCAGGAAGGTGATCAGGCCCATGTTTTGCGCTGTGTGGTTGGTGCGAGAACGGGGGGGTTAGTGTTAGGTAGGTAGTTAGGGGGGGATCGGGGTGGAGGGATGGGGTGGGCGTACCAGCTGTCATGAAGCCTACGGCGTCGCTGATTTCGTGGGGTTGGACTAGTGCTTGGGCGACGGCGATGCCTGCTGTGAGATAGGAGCCGACACCCATGCCGATGAGAGCGGTGAAACCGTAAATGTGGGAGTCGGGGGTGTTGACGTCAACTCGGACTGTGGGCTGAGGTTAGCGGTTGTAGGGCCGCGTTTTCTTCGGCTCCGCAAAGCGAGTGAGGGTGGCTTACACATGCAGGTAGAGCCGGCCAGGATCACGGCGTTGCCAAAGACATACCACGGCATGTAGTAGCCGAGTTTGGGCATGAAATAACCGTTGAGGATGGAAAAGGCGACAATCATGCTCATGATGGGCAAGAGGCGCACACCAGCGTCCAAGGCGCCGTCACCCCTGGTGAATTGGAAGAGCAGGGGTATGTAGTAAACGCTGGTCATCATGGTGCCCGAGACAACGAAGAGCTGGAGCTGGAGGTTGTTGAGCTCCAGCCGCTTGTGGAAATGACCCGGATACAGCCGGTTTTCCTTGGAAACGAACGGGTGATAGATGACGACCAGGATGAATGTGATCAGCAAGACACCCGTCATAACCCACAAGGCAATCTCTTGACCGCTGCTGAAGGAGTACACGATGCCGCCGAAGGTAATGGCCATGGCGTAGCAGGCAGAACCACCCTCGAAGATAGTGATGCCGACCCAATCCTGCGTGCGGAGTTTCTTGGCGAACGGCAGGGGGGACGGGTTGATGGAGGGGATACAGAAGAGGAAGCCCGGGATGAAGACGGCGGCCACGGGCAAATTGATGTAAAAGGCCCATCGCCAGGTCGCGCTGCTCTCTGCGAAGGCACCGCCGATGACGGGACCGATGACGCTGCCAATGCCCCAAATCGCAATTATTCCGGAGAAGTACAACGGTCGCTCGCGGTTGGTGGTGAGGAGGGCGACGACGGTGAGGGAGCCCGAATAGACGCCGGATCCAAAGATACCCAAAATGAGGCGACCAACGATCAAGGCGTTCATGTTAGGCGCAGCGCCGCAGACGGCACTCCCGACCTCGAAGCCGGCGACACAGACGAGGTAGTACCATTTGACGTTGAATATCGCGAGAGCTTTACCACTGTGGAAAAGCAGTTAATGGTTGAACGCCCAAACATATTGTGCTGCGCGAGACGGGGTAGGGGTTCACGGGGAGGAACTTACTGGGGAAGAATGGAGATGGTACCGAGACTCATGGCCACACCGATCCATGGTAGCTTAGCGACCTCACCGAAGGTGTCGACAATTTGGGGCTGGACATTGGCAACCTGTTTAGGCGTGAGCAAGCCGCGCACATGGGGCGCACAGGCAGCGGTTCACTCACGATGGTGCCATCAAGGGCGAACAGGAAGACGGTGGAGAGAACCGACATGTAAGCGAAGAACCACTGCGGTGGTACAAGGCGTCAGTAAGGGGGGTCGGAGACGACTGCCATTTCGTCTCGGCCAATACCACGTACCCTGAAGCCGGTCACTGTCCTGACGGGGCCATCGTCGCTCTTCGCCGCCACCTCGGGATCGGAGGAGCTCGACCGCACCGCATCGTTCTTCTCGTCGATCTGGTTCACGCCCTGTACCGAGTCTGGGATATCGCGCTCTGTTTTGGGCACACCGTTGCTGCTGACCAGCGGGTCGTTGCTGACCGCCATGTCTTCCGAATTCGGGTTGTCGTCACAATGTGGAGAGGTGAGTGTTGTGGAAAAGGAGGAACCATGAAAAACGAAACAGTTCAAGAATCCAAAATCGCTGAAGTATATACCAGACGCCATGCGGTGTTAGGCGACAAGGTGATTTTCGGCGCTGCCATTTGTAAGCCTTCCAGTTTAATCCCGAGGCGACGAATTGGTACCTAATTTGTTCACGCCCTTCAGGTTTCCCACCCCTCTCCGCCCACTCCCTTTCCATATTTATTTTTTTCGTCCCAAGAGGGCATCGTTTCAAGAAGCCCCTGGTCCAACAAGAGGGAGGGAACCGGGAACACTCGATAGAGGGATTCCTAAGCAAGGCTGCAGGAATCACGTGGTTACATGCCATGTGGCATATCACCGACGACGGGCGAGGCCTCATTCTGGAACTGGGGGGGTGAACCTGGGGTTTAGGAGAGACTGCCCGTGTAAGAAGAACCAACGACGTTGACGCCAATGGTTGGAACCTAATTATTGGATCGTTCACAGCAAAAGCGGGTCCGTCTAATGAGGGTCTCATGTCCATGTAATCCGTACCTCTCTCTCAGTCCCACCGTGTCCGGCAGACCCCGACGTGGGAACATGGGAACACTGAGGCAACTTGCCCGTGAATCGTGTCCTTCGCCCGTTGCAAGACTACCCCCGATTCGGCGCTCTACGATTTGGAATCTGGGCTCAAGACGCAGTCCCCACAGATAACGACGAGAATTGATACCTATCTCAGTTGTCATGGTTTGAGAAATGGTGTGGTCCGAGTGATATGGACGACAGCTTGGGGTCCAATCTTGAATGAACGTGGGAATATCGAACGTGTTTGCTCCCGAACCAGGCGTAGACAATTAACGTTTCGGGACCTATTCTTTCAAGATTGTGCCACGGTGTTAAGCTTTTTCGGCGTTAAAAGGCGAGGGGAATTCTGAGGGCTGTCACCCCTGATTGGCCGAAGGATCAGGATTCAAATTTTCAGATTTGAGTTTGCGGGGTGGCCGCTGCTTTTTGCCAGACCTGTCCTTGAGAGGCGCGGTTGTCCGAGTCCGCCAAGCCCCTGCAAGGGTCGTTGCACCGATGATGCAGCGCGAGTTGAGAGGGATCTGGATGCAACTTCCTGCAAAACAGCGACGGTCGGTGTCCGATTGGTCAAGGTCACTTCGTCCGTATCTGTGAGAGAGGTCCCTCCCTTCACTCCTTTCCGTTTCCACCCGATTCCGTAATCGGCGGGGGGTTGTCAAGGTGTCGTGAAGCCGGACGGTCCTGCCTCATGCAGACGCGCAGAGCAATGTCGCGCTGAAACTGGGTTGGGCGAGGAGAGTGGGTGTCTGCCTCGCTTATTTTGCCGTAATCCATGGCCCGGGTGATTCATTCCTCGAACTCGGCCCCCGACTTCCTCCCCAGCGCCCAAATAGCCCGAGGACCTTGGGCTGCAGCGCGTCAGACTTGGTTGGGGGAGGGGAACTGGAGAAAGTGGAAACGGAAATTCAATTTGTGGTCCGGGAAGTCGCACCTCACTCCAGCCGAATTTGGCAGGAGGGGCAGGACTGCCTAACGTGGCTAAAGTTTGAACTCCAGATTCCACAGCATCTGCCACTCCCGCACGGGATCTTCGCATGGATAACACGGGGAACACACCACACAACCCGCCCGGTGGCACAGATGCGGAAGGTGAGTCCACCCAGCGCACTAATGCAAAGGCCCGGACCGGGACAACCGAAGGATGCAATCTGGCATCCAAGATCGAGGCCGGTCCGAGTTGGCCGAAACCCAAGTGACGCCCGGAAGACGCCGAATTCTGTGGGGTTTACGGCCATCTTGTCCGTCGTCGAGTCGGGGAGTGGGCGAGTCGGCGGTAGGTTATTTTGGAGTCGGTCGGTGGGGAGTTAGATAAGAGATTTAGTGCTAGTATGGAAGTTATTTGATGCCGTATAAGATCCGACCAACTATTGCCGATGTCAATCCGTACCCACCGTAACCTCTGAGGATTATATGTTCCAAGTTTGATGCGAGCACCGCTGTCCTTCGATGAACCCCGCAAGCATGTCGGACTCCAAACGTTCCTTCCGCGTCATTGTCGTCGGCGGCGGCGTGGTGGGCCTGACGGCGTCGCATTGCCTCCAGAAGGCCGGCATTGACCACGTGGTGCTCGAGAAGAGGGCGGTTGTGGCCCCGCCTGAGGGTGCCAGCATCGCCCTTTACGCCCATGGCTCTCGAATTCTACACCAGCTGGGATGTCTCGAGGCCGTCGAGAAAGCTTGTGTGCCCGGCAGGAACTGGTTGACCCGGGGACCGGATGGGAAGAAGTATATGGACAACGGTTATTTCCAGCATCTCCAGGACAAGTGAGCTGACCATTCCTACCGTGTGGCCTGTTGGGTCGACTAAGGAAGCTGACGGTTTCCAGCCATGGCTCTTCACTTCTGGTGCTGGAGAGGCGCGAGTTCCTCCAGATCCTCTATGATCAGCTGCCTGATAAAACTTATATCAAGACATCATCTGGCGTCAAAGACGTCAAAACGGTTGCCGGAGGAGTTGTGGTTACCCTGCTTAATGGCGATATTGAGAGGGGTGACATGGTTGTTGGCTGCGATGGTGTGTATAGCCTGGTGAGAAGCTTCATGTGGGATGAGGCGAACAGGGCCGTACCGGGGCTTATTACCGTGAAAGAAAAGACCAGTGAGTATGTTTGTTTATTTATACCTTTCATTCTCGGCCCCCCAACACGACCTCTCTCCCACACCCCACATAACCCAACAAACAAAAAGAGGAGCCACAACTAAACATCGGAATGTCTTCCGCACCCAGCCATTAAGACGCGATGGAAGTCACTGATCGGGGTGGCCCCCAACATTCCCGAGCTTGGCGACTTGGATGTTACCGTGGTCAACAACACCGGGAGATCCTTGTTGGCCCTCTCACAGCCAGATAGAGCCTACTTCTTCTTCATATTCCGCGTCGACGAGCCGTTCACGTGGCCAAAGCGGGCAAACTACACGGAGAAGGATGCCGAGGACTTGGCCCAGCAGTTCGCTGACCAACCCGTCTCCGACACCCTGGTCTTCGGCGAGTTGTGGAAGCGGCGCATCCGTGGCGCCCTCGTACCCCTGGAGGAGGGTGTCCTGAGCCATTGGCACCACGGACGAATCGTTCTCGCCGGCGATTCGGCACACAAGGTAGGTAACCCGCCTTCATTTTGTCTTGACCCCCTGCCGCACGTGGTTAACGCCGAAACCCCCAACATGCAGGTCACGCCCAACATTGCCCTTGGCGGCAACTCTGGCATAGAGTCGGTAGTTGTTCTGTGCAACCACCTGCAGCGGATGCTGCAGGATGGCGGGGTGGCAAAGCCAACAGATGCGGCTTTGGATGCCGTGTTTGCGGCGTATCAGTCGGAGAGACTCAAGCGCATGCAGAACATCCTAGCCGTCTCTAGCTTAATCACCAAGGTTCAGGCCTGGGACACGCCCTGGCACCGCTTCATGTCGATCTGGGTGCTCCCACTGCAGGCCGACCGCACGACGGCCGATCAGATGGGCGAGATCATCAGGAAGGGCCCGAAACTAGAGTACGTAGATCTCAAGGGCTTTCCTAAGGGCCGCATACCCTTCGATGACGAGAAGGCCGGCGAGCGGGAAAGGGGGCTGAAGGGTGTGGGAATAGCAGCCAGCAAGCCCATCTCATCGGTGCTGTTGTTACTGCGTTCGTTGGGCGCCCTGCTGGCTTTCTTGCTGGTTTGGCACGGCACAAGACTAGCTTTCGCGGCGAATGTTTGAGACTTTGAGTAAACAAGCGGTGTTTTCGGAGGATTACGCTCATTTGGCTCTACAATAGCCGGTTGTTGGCGTTCGAGAGCCCATCTCTTACGTCGCCAGGAGAAAACACAAATATATCCCCGAATCCGCTCACCACCATTCCCAGGTATGTAATTAGGCGGCTTGAGGGGGCCAAATAGTGAGTCGCCAGGTTTATTCTTCGATGTGAGACATTTTATTACCTTTGGCAGTTGGGATTCTCATTCCACTTAGTGGAACCGCATGCTATGAGTTCATGTTTCTTTTTTTATTCTGTGGGGGAGAGAACTTTAAACAAACCCCTGGTTTAAACTTTCCTCAACAACTAACATCCCCGATAAACAGGGCTCTTGATAGATGGTAAACAAAACAAAAAACCTGAAAACTAGACTAAACACCCGGGTAGAACACGAGCCACTTCACCCCCCCTCGATTCATACATGCACATACATCAAACTCACCTCGCCAGCCTCTCACCATCCCTAGTCCCACCTGCACCATCAAACCATCTCCTCACACCCACCCAACCCCTCTCCATGTCGAACTTGAACCCCTAGCAACGCTCTGCCAGACCACCATCCTCCCCGCCGTTACCGGCACACCCACGACTCGTCCCTGCCCCTGTTCCTGGCTGATGGGCCGCAACCCTCCCTGCACCGGGTACGACTGACTGCCTTGGAACTGCCACCCGGCACCGACAATGACACCGGCATTGGCTGTTGTTGCTGGCCCTGTACCCGCTGCATCTGCAGCCGAGGCTGATGGGTGTGGCGCTGGGGGTAGGGTTGGGGCTGGGGTTGGGGTGGTAGGGAGCTGGTCTGCGGTTGTTGGGCCTGGGGCACATGAGGTCGTGGTGGGCTGTTGTTGCTGCTGCTGCTGATGTGGCCGAGTATTGATTGGTCTCGGTCTGACCTGGATCTTGTGCATTGTGGTGTAATCAGCCCTGAGCCCCTGCAGCCTAACGATTGTCGATGCGGCACGTCGATTGGTTCGGGGCGACGGATCGTTGGTTCTTGTGGTACCGGATCGCATGCCATTGACCGCTCCAACGCTCAACTGCCTCAGAGGTCCCAGGTCCTCATATCTCCGGGTGCAACCAACAGCCAAACACCTCGATATTACAATAAATGCGAAAGATACCCCTCACGTAACACTTCCAAGCCCGTTAGCCTATCTCTCCCCGCTCGGCCTGACTCCCAAGACTCGTCCCAGCAGACTCAGACCGAGGCCCGTCCAGCCACAAGTCACAACGCATCCCCGACTCCGCGCCCGTCTCAAATTACATTATGCCACACCCTTCGGACCTCGCCGTGGTTCTCTGTCACGGTTCTTACCACACTCCGGCCCCGTACGGCGCGCTGCTGGAAGCCTTGCAGGTTCGGGGCATCGCGGCGTACTGCCCACAGCTCCCCACTGCCGACCTCGCGAAACTCAACGTCGGCGATGTCGCCAATCCCGACTTCGGCCGCGAACCCCCGCCGGGAGGCTATCCCCAGGGCGAGGAGGACACAGAGGCTGTGCTGAGCATTCTCAAGCCGTTGGTGGAAGCGGGCACGGAGGTCCTGATGGTCGGTCATTCATCTGGCGGCTGGGCGGCCACGCAGGCGGCGCAGCCTGATCTGCAGGCCGATGTGCGAAAGTCTCAAGACCTTGCTGGAGGAGTTATTGGCATCCTCTACGCAGGCGCATTCGTGATTCCAGTCGGCGAATCGGTGAACAGCTTCTTCCAACCCAAGGACGGCAACTTTGTGACGCCCCCGTTCATGACTTTCCACGTAAGTACCTAGGTACCTTGTCTAGGTTATCTGGATATCATTAACTAATATACAAAATAGAAACACGGAGCCGCCGGACTCGGCACGATTGTCGACGCCGAGAAATTCCTCTTCAACGATCTCGACGAGTCCACCGCGAAACAGTGGGCAGCTACCCTCACGGCCTCTCCCATCCTGACTTCGAAGCTCACGAACGATGCTTACTCGGCGCTCCCATGTGCCTACCTAGTCCTGGAGGGGGATCTGACGCTGCCTCGTGAGTATCAGGAAGGCATGGCTGGTCTTCAGGCCTCTAAGACGGGCAACTTTTCAATCTACAATTGCCCAGCCGGCCACTCCCCTCACCTCAGTTGGACGGAAGGCATGGTCGATACCATTCAAAGTTTTATCGAGAAGATCAAGGTGGATCAAAGGGCTAAGGAAGCTTCTAAGTGAGCCTAGGTATGGGGGTAGAGAGGTCGGATCGGGAAAGGATCGCGTAAAGGGAGAGAAGGCGTGTTTGACTTGCAGGTCGTTTAGTTCGCCCAGTCAATTTACTAAACGTGCCGGTCCCGGCCTAGTTAGCTACCTACCCTATCGATTGTTACTACATTGTGGTTGCTCTTCTTGCTCTCAGGCTTTCCCACAGAGCCTTCCATCATGCTGCTCAACCCACCGTTCGCTCTCAACCGCGCCCAAGGCATAGAAGACGCCCCTCGGATCATACTTCATTTTGACCTCGCTCAGCTTTCCCCAGTTGGCCCCGTACAACGTTGTTTCCCAGTCGGGCTGCTGAAAGTCGTACTCATTGAGGTAGGCCGCCCCGCCCGGCGTCAACAGCTCTAGCTGGGGGACGAGGTCGTCCGTGATAGTGTCTGCGCTTCGTCGATTGGCTTCCCAGTCGGTCCAATCAAAGAAGGTCCCGAAGACGGCACTGAAGACCGCCTCACGCCAGTACGGGTTGGCTCCGACGCCGGATTCCGGGGCATGCGACGAGACGTTGAAGGTAACACCCGAAAAGATCGCTCCGCTGCTGGTTATGTTGCGGATGGCGGCTGCGAGGGGGGCCGCGCCGTCGCTTTCCACGAGGGACCGCGGGATGAGTCGCCCGCCAATGTTGAGATTTGAGACGTTGGTTGCTAGCTGGGCGAGGAATCCCTCGAGGAAGCCCGGGTGTTGCTCCGAGGCATATGCGTAAGGCAGCCCAAGTCCGTCTAGGGTCTTCAAAAAGGGCCGCATGAGGGCATCCAGGGTCTTCTTGTCGAAACCTGGAGCGAACACGGTAGCCAGGTTGAACGCAGTCCCCTGCGCATACCAGACCGCCTCGGCTCCGGCGTCGCCGATGGCCGGGCTGTACTGGAGGAACGCCCGAACAGCTTCCCAGAATGCGTCTGGTGACTCGACCGCGACTGGCAGGGCGAATGTCAGGTTGGCGGTTGACAGGCCGAGTGGTGGATGGGCTTTCACCGTGGCTGAGAGGACGGCCGCGTATGTGCCACCTCCTCCTCCACAAAGCGCCCAGTACAGGTCGGCGTGCTCCGCCGAGCTCGGCGACGCCACGACAAAATCGCCGGACGCGAGCACCGCCTCCCATTCGAGTACTTGATCGGCGCCCAGCCCGAATCGGGAGCCCAAGGGCCCGGTACCCGCCCCCTGCGTGTAACCTCCCACCAGGCCGATATCGGGCACGTTGGCACCGACAACGACGTGGTCGTGGGCGAGCGCGAATTCGTACGCCTCGGAAATCTGGACTCCGGCGCCAAACTTGAACGCTGGCCCGGAATAGTACCTACTGCGCTACTCAAGCATCTCCTTGGCCTTCAGGTGATGCGTCCACAGCGCCAAGCTGCCGGCTCCGCTCGATTTGCCGTTGTAGTCCGCCGCCGTGTTGCGGATTACGAAGCGAATGTTGTGCTCCTGGGCGAACGCGAGCGTCTTTTGATAGTCCTCGGCGCCGGTGGCGTTCACCGAGTAGACGGGGTAGTTGCCCATGGTGCATGGAGCACTGGCGTCAAGAAATGGGTTACAGGAGTTGTTCGTTGGCAGGGCTCATGGAGGAGGAGCCCCTGAGATGCGTTTGCGGCAGAAACCAGGTGTTCTGGAGCGCACTGCACGCGGCCGCGTCGTGGGGGGTGAAGGTGCTGTTGTGGCAAACGGCGGCAATGGGCATGTTTGCGATGAGCTTGCCGCCGAGGGAAACGTTGAAGGCGCTCCATGTATCTGCGGTGGGCCAACAGGCGTCGCCAGGGAAACACCGGCCTCGACATGCCATCGTGCTAGGTAGCGCATATGTTGGACTTGAGACAACAGGGGCGGTGGAGACAAGGGCAAACAAGGCAAATGATCTAGCCATGGTGAAGTAAGCTAGAAGCTGGAATCACAAGTCGGCAAGTTTGTCGGAGTGAATGCGGTGTCGGGTGTTGTTGGTCCAGTCGGTGACGGGCAAGGAACACCATGTTAGCGATGTTTACCTACCTAAGTACCAGACACGAATACAGGCCACCGTATAAATAGATCTTAGGCGGCACCATAATAAGTGGATGCTGCAGTCCGGCAAACCGCGTGCAACGTAATACACGAACGTACCTTGGTACTGACTAGTGCGGAAAGGCTGGGAGAAATTCGGCGGCGTAGCATCACTCGACGGCATCCGGGCAACCAACAAAAGATGCTGTACGACTTCGCTAACCAAACGTGCCTTGCTGCACCCCCGCCTAATAAGCCTCTCGGTTCTAAGTATGTAAGGCATCAGCGGATTGGGACCAGCGTGCTCGGCAGCTGCTAGGAACTGCCATTTAAACACTGTGAACCCCAGCAGCTAACAACTGGCTTCTCATTTACCCCTTACGGTTCCTAAACATTAATGGATTTAACCCCCCTATACATGTTCTATATACACATCTCGTCCCCCTTAGACTCGGCAGCCCCCCCCCCCCCCCCCCCCCCCCCCCGAGGTTATTAGTGATATATAACCAAGGCTGTCAAACTAAGCGTTGCTAAAAGCCTTGGCAACTAGCTCCATGGTCTTTATCTTAGCTCTCTATTCCAGGGTTTTGGTCAACTGCTCCTTGGACTTGGCCAGGTCGGCGTCGTTGGCATTGAGATCCTCTTACAGGACGATGCGGGTGGGCACGTGGGTCTCGGGGTCCGCAAGAGTCACGCCCCAGACCACCGGGTGACCCGACGCTTTTGCGACGCTCTACAGCTGCGCGATGGGCTTTGCGTCAACGGTACCTAGGTTCCGCGGGAGCGTCCGGGCGGTGGCACCGCTGGTGTCGGTGGGTTTCGGCGACCAAGGTTAACTGGCTTGTGGCGGCAACATAAGCGTTCATAGCGACGTCGCTTTTGATCCCTCAATGTCGGCCCTTCCCATAATACCGAAACAGAATGTGGTGAGCGTTGGATTGCTCATCCACTAATACGGGACGTGACCTACACCTCATGCGGGACATGCTCAGGCTGATACCGAGTTGACACCTACGCTTATTACAAAATCATCCTGAGGCAGTGTTCCGGGTCTTTAGAGCCGGCCTCTCATCTCCTAGTATATAGTTCTCTGTCTTCTTTTCTTTCTTCATCCGGAGCACTCTAGTCGACCTTTCTTCGCCTTGTGCAACGTCAACGCATGGACCGCAATACGTCTACAGTAGCTGAGTACGACTCCCCGGAAGCTATTTTGATACACCCTATGCCGGTGAGAAGATAACGGTCGGTATGGTCAAATGACAAATGTGCTACTGAGCAGGCACTTGCCTGAGGCGGGGTTCTAGACCTTGATCGTGTTCTCGGCCGAGTCCGACGCGGGTCGCCGGCCGTCAGGAGGGAACGCCACCAATCGAAGTGAACCAGATTATTGATATGGGCTTCTAATGTTTGGAGGCATGCACGGCATTACAGCCTGCTTGAACTGATCGTGTTCGCGCTAATCCAGTCAGATCTTTGTGCCTTGAGATGACTCCGCTCCCTAAAGGATATTGAGATAGTCAGGCGCAACGCGTACCTCACGTTCGACAATTCCGTGATCCTGAGGACAATACAGCCGCAGCAGGGCAACTGAAGACCAGACACCTTTCCGACTGGCCTTGGAACAACTTCGGAAGGCATATATATCGGTAGCGTCGTAGGAGCTCCTCATTTCGAGATGCTTGCTCAAGCTCCCCCATGGAGGTCGACAGCTTTAGTAATACGCGCCACAGCTCTACCACCAAAGCCGAGATGGTCCACCGCCTCAGACGAGGGCTCATTGGAGGCTGGGGCATGGTGGGGTCATGGATCTGCAGGTGATTTGACCGGAATCACCGGAGGGTGTGAGGTACGAAGTAATTACCAAGTACGTGCATACAGCGGTACCTGGCTGTGACCAACCGCCCTGCACTGTCAAGACACGCCGAAAATGGCGATCCTGTCCTGCCAAATTCGGCGGCTAGAACAGCAAGTTCTACACTTGACCTGTAGAAAAAGGTTAAAAAAATGTTGAATTTAATGCAGACAACAACAGTTATCTCACAATGCAATCTAGAACTACAACCCCCGTTCTATGCGTTCCGTTTATACGTCTAGCTGTTGTCCATCTGGCTACCCGATGCATCCGATGACGGTGCAGCAAGCGGCGTGCCCGGCTCCATCCCTCCTGTGGGTGACCTGCGTTGATCGGCGAGCGTCAAGCGTATGTCGTACTCGGTCTGGAAGAAGTGCCCGGCCTGGGCCGACTGTCTGCCGAGATCCTCCTCGAGCTCGGCGAGCCGGGCTGCCGCGCGCCCCAGAGGCTTCAGTGCCACTACCATATTCCTCCACGCCGCCCATGGTCTCGCCTCGGCTATCTCGTGCACCTCGCGAGCGCGGAACTCGAGCGTCTCGAGCATGCTCGCAATGTTGTCCGTTTTCAGGTTGGCGCCCTTGCGCATCCACGACAGATACTCGGCCAGCGCAAGTGATATGCCGGCAATGTCGGAATGCGCGCTAAACGCCGTCATGCAATACGCTTCCAACTCGGCCGTCGCGGCGTTGCAGCTATCACACACCCTCCCTACCCTATCAGTGGCGTAAAATGTCGAACTTAATTCCCGGATCTCCCGTAGGCTGGGGATAGAGATGCCCGATGTTCTCCGCGCATGGTCCGACGGTTCCGTGCCGTCCACATGGTCGTCCAGCCGCACCCCATCCAACCCGCCCGGTGGCATCTGCGAGTCGAGGAGCGGCGTATAAAGGAAGTCGTTGCCCAGGAGCTCGGGCCATTTGATCCTCGGCTCTGGGTAATAGAGCCCGGGTGTGAAGCTCGTTGGGGTCGGTGGCGTCTCGAAGGGCGGCATCTGGAGGGGTAGCCGCGGTGTCGACGAGGGGCTCATGGTGGGTGGCGGGCTGAAGTACGGCGGCGGCACTGTACTCGTATTCTTGGTGCAATTGGCTTCGTTGTCCATTTTCCGGATATACGCCTCCGCCTTTTCTGTCACCATCCCCACGCACCACGTTAACGTCACGTTCCCCCCCGGTCCCAACGTACACCGACCGGTGCAACGTGGAGTTGGAGCACCTACCCAAACGTTGTTGCAAAGTGTCGAGCTTCTGAGCAAGATCGGCCTTATTGGGCCTGCACGTGGGCAGGTAAACGCACTTTTCGCCCGCTTGCCGGCACTTCTCACACGCCGGTTGCTCCCCATTGCACCGCACCTTGCGGTCGCGGCACAAGACGCAGGCGATATGCCGTGATACTCCATTCATGTTGTCGTACCTGAATTCGTCCGAGACAACTTGGAACATAGCTCGTAGGAGCTCGTACCGTGGCGTCCGGTATAAGGTACGCTAGGTACGGGACGTGGCTTGACGTTCTATGTATTCATCTACAGTTGAGGCCGGTTAATAATAATGGCCGTTTTGCTGAGCCTCTTCTGTGCAGGATCGCAACGATACACGGCCCTCTTCGCTGCACATCAAATCCTTCCCACGCTCCTTCTGCTCCCTCTTAGCCCCGTGTCGAGGTTCCCCGGCCACCCCCTGCCGGACATGTATGTATGTAGTGTGTAATGAATAGCGCACTCATCAAGGCAGTCATGCACGCTGATATCCGAGGCCCTCAGTACCTCACTAGGCCGTCCAAACGTGGCCGAGGCGCACGCAGGTGTGAGGCATGGAAATCTTACATACATCCGCCTGCCATCTGAAGGTCCGTGCTACAGGGGAGGAACTCCAGGTACTTTTGGGGGTTGAACGAGGTTGGAGCCAGACGGAAGACACGCAATTCTGCATGCATGGACCTGCCGATCTGGGAAAGATGAGCGGCGAGCCGACGCACCTCGCCCCGGCACCCGCTCCCGGAGGGCCTGTTCCCCCGCGTTCCCCTTCTGCATAGTCAGATAACGCAATCTGCCACACATGCCCAGTCATGCTGGCCTCAGGGTTGAGCCGCAGCCCGTCGGAGGTGCGGGTAGGGGATGGGCCGCGAGAAGTGGACAAGTGTGTGTGTGCACATGCACCAAGTCCCGTGCATGCCTTGCGGATGATTCCACGGTGTTTCCATCGTGTACTTGGTACGTATGCAGAAGCCGGTATCGGGGGTGGTACCGATATCCGCCTAAATCGGTACGGCGAATCGCCTGCGAGGACGAGTCCTGTCGTGAAACCGCCACAAAACCGATAAGAGGATCTGAGTCCGATTCTTCCCCTGCGATGGAGAATCACAATCCGTGACATGGGTGAATTCATTCTCCATCCTATCCGAGCCGGCCCTGGGCGATCTCTGCCCTTTCTCAACCTCGGACACTCCGTACATGAACTCCCCCGTACATACATGAAGCTCGGATTCGAATCCGTATGCGTATACACCACATGGCTCCCCTACATGTAGTGGAGGTTCGTGTCTTTGTCCGCAGAATTATCCCCCAACGGTCGCCCCCAAGTGTCCCCCGGTGCTCTCCCCTCACCGGGAAAGCTCAAACCTGCTCTCGACAATTGTTACTCGATTGCGCACCGACATCCTTGTCGTAGGGCTGGTTGGGAGGACAACGGCTCTAACCCCAAACGTCGATTGTACAATTCCGGAGTCCGGAATCCGGAGTCCGGAATCCGGGGTTTACATCACCTGCAGGATCTTGTGACCCTCGGGAGGCAGGTCGGGCAATCGCGGTCTGTATGGGTCCAGTTTTATCCGAAGTGCCTTAGTCGGTCTCAGTATGTTACACTAATTAGTATCTCCTCGCGTTACCCGCCAGATGACCTTCCCGAAAGTAGAGCGCCATGGAGACCGTAGCTCCAGGTCCAATAAGTAAGGCCGACACGAGTAACAGCAAGACCAAACCGCCCCTCCCAAACCGCGCCGCCAAGGGCGTCTTCTCCAGCAGCAGAAGAGCCCACGATAAACTGGAGAGGCTGATGAATATGTGATCGAACTGCAGGAAGAGCCACGACCCGCTCGTGATGTTGTCGGTTACCCCAATCGGTCCATTTGGCGGCAGAGGCAAATACATGCGGGTGAGGTTTAACACCTCTGGGTTCGTCGGGAAGAACACCCGGTACATGACGTACAGATGGGCTGCGGCCGAGACAGCAGCGGTCTGCAGATGGACTGCCTTGACCCACCAGGTTGCCGCGGCCTTGTTGCGTCTTGTGGACGACGAAAGGCCCGAGAGCCATGCAGATGCCTTTGTAGCCGCTATCGTGATGCCGGAGACCCAAAACGGAGATAACATGAATATCGCAACGATCGTCTGATGCGACTCTGCGGACCGGGCTACCCAGGTTGGCAGCATGACGATGGTCGTCGGCACCACCACTCCTAAGAGGAAGCCGGGCGTCAAAGCCCGCGCCCGGTGGACATCCGTCACTTTCTGCAGCGGCTCACGGCTAGCCCATTGAAGGTGGATGCCAAAATAGAGCGGAAGGATCATGGCCGCCCCGAAAAGTTGCCACAGCACTGCCCACAGAGCGGGTCTAGGTATGGAGGATGAGAAATTAGCAAATGTACACAGATCTTCGTCTCTCGTATCACGGGTTCCCCTGCTCCGTTCTCACCTGGTAATCCACTCCGGCTTCTGGCCTGGCCGAGATGATTCCACATGCAACCACACGTAGCCCACCGCAAACGCGGAGAAGGCCTCGACGACGAAAAGCTGGAAACCGTCATCACGCCCGTCGGTTCCAGGACAGAAGAAAGCCACCAGGACAGCAAGGGGGATGTCCAGGAACGGACGTCCCGTGTACGATGTCTTGAGTGGGCTGCCGTCGTTCAACTTGCCCGTCCAGGCGGCCACAACCAGGTCGGTGGCTGACCCATTCAGGAAGCTGAATCCCCAGAGAAGAGCGCCTGCAACGCAGGAAAGAATACGAAAGTACAGATCCCTCTTGGGATTATCTGTCGAAGTTCGGTGGGCCATGGTGGGACGGCGTCGAGCACAGAGCCTCGTGACAAAGTTCCGAGTGTGATCGGGCTGGTAGTATGCGGAAGATGTGTGCGAGTAGACATGTCCAATTGTGCTCTGTAAAACCCGCGCAAATAAATAGGGTGGTTACCCCCACACTACGATTAACTCTATCTTGTTTAAACATCCCAACTCCGGGCCGCGGGTGCAACGCTCGGCCGCCCCGGCCCGACTGGCACATCCATAGGGGGAGCATCCCTGATCACCATGCAGGCACTTCACGAGCCAACGATGACAATGCGGGCCGAGGTGCATAAACTATCAGACGATGACTGCAAGAGGCGGGGCGGAACGGCCTATCGTCGGGGCTAACTTCGACCTCTAGCCTACTCGTGCATATGTCGGTCATCCGCCTTGCAGAGTAACACCCGCAACATGGCCGTTGAATGAGGCGCTTACCACGTTCCGGGCATCCCCGTGACAGTCCTGGTCCTCTTCGCCGCCTACACATTCTACAGGTTCTATCTGGATGGCCCCTCACGAATCCCGGGCCCCACCATTGCCAAAGTCAGTAACCTCTGGGGGATCAATACTGCTGCTCAAGCGGAGATGCCATGGCGCAACATTGCGCTCCACCGTATGGCCCGCTCGTCTGAATGGGCCTCACCATGGTATCGGTCAACGATCCGGAGGCATACTCCGTGATCAACGGCTTCAGACGCGTCTTCACCACGGTAGCTAGCAATCCCACCCCCCTGGACCGCAATATTCACATGTCAATACCAGAGAACGAACAATAGACTAGATTTTACTCAACAGCAGAGACATGATACCAGTGCAAGCCCCTGACGACCGTCATTACTGCGCGGGACCGCCGGTACCACTCTTACCTTCTACGAGTCTCCAGCGCTGCGTCTCAGTCGCCTCCACACCGCAGACGGAAGCCAAGATCCAGCCCCTGGTCGACTTGCTCCTGAACAAACTGAACGAGCTGGGCCAGGCCGGGCAAAAGCCCGTCGACACGGTCACGCTAACCGCACACTTTGCGTTTGACGCCATGGGCATCATCAACGTCTCGGACATGAGCCCTTCGGCCTTCTCGGCAAGGGCATCGACGTCGAGGGCGCCATCAGAGCCATCGATGTGGCCAACACCTATTTTTCAGTCATTGCACAGGCCCCCTGGATGCACACCTTCATGCTAGGGAACCGATTGGTCTAAAAGGCCATAGAGGGTCGCAACCCAGTCCTCAACCTGGCCCTAGATGATTACGGCAGACAAACGCCTCACCGCAACAACCTCCACCACCGACACCGACAACCCGAAGCAAGACACCACCGACTTCCTCGGCCGGCTCCACTCTCCTAGCGAGCGAACCCTCCGAGGCCTCCAAGCCCGGCATCCCCAAACCCACGCACGAACAGACCGTCGCCTTCGTCTTCGCCAAAATACTTGACCATAGCGCGGGGTACGCCACCGGGCCCGTCGCCCTGCGCTCCATCCGCCACCACCTCGCGCGCAACCGCCCCGCCTACGCACGCCTGCAGCGCCAGCCGGACGACGCCTTCACCCCGCGCGCGCTGAGCTAGAACCCCACGCATATCGTCGCCGAGGCCGCCAAGCCGCCCTACCCCGACGCCGCCGTCACCGGGGCGCTGCGCGTGCACCCCCTGCCGGGGCTGGTCCTGGGGCGGGAGGTGCCGGCGGGCGGGGCGGTGCTCGCGGGCTAGCATGTGCCGGGGGGCGGTGGTGGGGTTTAATCCGTGGGTGATTCTGCGTAATAGGGAGGGGTACGGCGAGGACGCGGATGTGCTTCGGCTGGAGCGGTGGTAGGGGGGTGTGGAAGGGAGGCGGTTGAAGGTGATGCGGCGGTGGAATATCTTGGTGAGTCCCCCCCCCCCCCCCCCCCAACCCAAATTTGATTCTGGAGTTGAATGGGACTGTTAGTTTGGTGCCGGTCCGCGGTATTGGCAGGGTAGGAATATTGGGCATGATGGGGATTTCGAAGGTTATCCCGGCCTCGATGGACATGACGTTCACCCCGAGGAGGTGGTAAATAGTAGGCACGGTGGGAAGTTGCAAAATATAGACTGAACTTCAGGGCTACTAACTTTAATGGACCTGCAACCACCCCTGAAACTTAAGTAACTAGCCTGTTGATGCCATTCCTACGTTGTTTAAGGGGTTGCTTGGTGGTAGTATTATCATGACTTTATCGCCGTTTGTTGAGGGTCCATGTGCCCAGGTAGCAGGTAGGTAGGTGGACAAGAATTCTCAGCAAGGGTGGGTCGTGTCCGGGTTGGTCTGTCACCGCACGTTCATTTGGATCTGTCCACTATCATGTGTGGCAGCTTGCAGAGGTATGTGCCTACCTACCTAATAGCCTGGACAACGTAGGTGGTGACACGGATCTTGCCATTGTGTTATCATAATGGGGAAGCACTGGCTGAAGCCCGGTGTTAGGATTTACAACAATCAGTTAATCCAAGTAGTGTGTAAAGACTCGAGGACGTTTGGTCGACATAATACCACATTCTCATTAGGAGTCCAGCCTTCCAAGCTCTTTATAGGGTGTCCTAAACCTGAGAGACACCTCGCTACCTACCTAGGTACCTGCTCAGGTACCTACCTCAGGTTCCTTAGTTACAGAGGTTCGTTCGGTGAAGCTAGGTAAAGTGGTATGCAGTGCATTCATCGTGGCGGTTACCCACCACGCATTGGAGTCAAGATATGGCTGTGCTGGCTTTCCGCCCCCACGACATGCAGCCAAGATCGGCGGTCGTGCAGACGGATGAATTTGAAGTCACAGAAAAACCCTGCGTGGAATCTTCCTGTTGGTGCAAACCAAACGCCAAGCAGGAAGCCCCTTGACGCGCGCGACGCGTTGGGCTGCACGCACACCAAGCACCATTTTCTAAAAAGAAGAAAAGCTCCCAGGTCATCCAAAGTTATTGATATTAACCACTTTCCCACGTATGAGTCTAAAATGTCTACATCAACACCTCCAGCGGCGTCACAGTTACCAGCACACTCCTCTTCCGAAGCAGAATATGGCGCAACTGGCCCGAACGGGAATGACGCCCTGTCGCCGGAACCGCCCGTAACTTGTAACCTTGACCAGGCGTTAGCTTTGAGCGCCCCAACCCCCGCCCGGCTATCCGATATCTTGCAATGTTGGCTGCAAGACAAGGATACGGACTACGTCCCGCCGCCCCTGGATGCATACTACTTTGTCGAAGAGTACAGGTTTGGACAGGCCTACGGCGAATACGAATGGGAGATTCTCGACCCTATGTTCAAGCAATGGACGTTCGTCAACAACGAAGGGAGGCGTGAGAGACTTAGGGGATTAGTGCAACAGCGGTGGCCGACTTCTTTTGGTCATCTCGAGCATCATTCGGACGGGACGCCCTCCGGTTTCCGCTGGGATAACACTTACCCCGAGTTGCTCCTGGCAGCATTCTATCCACCCACGCCCGAGGGCCAGCCAACAAGAAGGGTTATATTCCAAGGTCCGACCGGAACTACTCCTCCACGCTCGCCCGGTACAACCTTCACGCAGTCTACTCCTGCCCCGGAAACCCCTCGTACGCTGAATGTGGAGCCTGCCGCGCATGGCAAGATTTGGTATGATTGCCAAATCACGTACAACTGAATAACTAATACGCTAACCACGCATCCTGAACAGGGTCGTGGCCATCCCCTCAAGAACGTCACCGGACGAGAAACGTCTCAGTGCAAAAATGCCATATAGCGTGCTGGCGTTCCTCGCCAACTACTGCCAAACTGTTGGAGCCTTCGAACCCTTCCAGGATGGAGACTCGGACGGTCAATCCGGGGGTAACCATCCTTATGCCCTCGGTTTCCGGTTCGCTAAAGCCTTTATCAACTGCCAAACTTCTTGCCACCTTGAGCTGCGGACCGCGGCGCCTCCCAATGTAGAGGCTGGCCGCGGAATCGAACCAAGGGAGGTGGTGGTGCAGTATCACGCCCGTTACCTTGCTGCGCACCGCTACTCATATGAGGACAGGGAACAAGGCGCACCAATTCGTTCAGGCATCAGGGTATCTCGACCAAGGGCTCGGATCCGTCACACATGGGGGCCCGATCGACCAATGATTGTGCGCTGTTGTTCACTTTCGTTCTCCATTCTCAACACTGTTGATGCCCCATACACCATCGTCCTGTTGATGGACGATAACACGCACCCGAGCTGGGGTAAACAAAGTCAGGCGTGGCGCCACGATCGGAAAACAAACGCCCTGCTCTTCCCCCAGGCTTCCGATGACGAACTCAATGGGCTGCGTCCATGTGGGCGTTTTATAGGCTTGAGCCACTTTCTCCTTATGGCATTGACCATGTTCGAGCGCTGGGAAGCTGAGTGGATGTTTGCACTCGATCAGATTAACGATACCGTGTCGTTTTCTGTTAGTCCTACACCGAATCCCTTGTCGTCCCAGCCGATTATCTGACAATCTCATATCAAAGCTTCTTGACACGCTCGAAGACGAGAGACTCGATCTTTTCATGTTCGACGAATCCTTCCGCCTCTCAAGGGCGTATTTTGCCACTCTTCAAACATTGCGAGTAGCCTCCCAGACGATCGACGACGATATCAAAGAATGGTCTCATCTCCGTGAGCGGTGGAGTGACATCGTCGTATCCAGTGGCATGTTCAACTCAGAAGAGCTCGCTGCTTCAGCAAACAACTGGAACGTCGTCAGCGCGAGGATCGAAACAAGAGCAAATCGAGTCCGAGCTGCCATTGCCCGCAAATCTGAAGAGGTGACTAGCCTTAGGGACGGGGTATGTAAACCTTCGCTAAAATTGTGTTTCCATTTATCCTTGGGAAACGCTTTGGGGTTGATATGCTAATTCCTGGTCAGTTGTTCAACGCAACTTCTCTTCGTGAATCCACCAAAGGCATGGCCTTGAACCGAGCAGTTTACGTATTTACCGTGGTCACCGTGCTATATACCCCTATTGGATTCCTCACCGTAAGTCATCTCCCATTCCCAAACTGTGCCTATTACTCACTTTCAGCAGTCCTTCTGGGCGATGCCGGTCCTTGACGACGGCGGTGCGGATTCTGATAAATCGGGCGGGCGATATTCTTTACCCACCGGCTTCCTGGCCTCGTTCATCGCCGTGCCGTTGCTTACGTACCTGATCTGCATCGCCGTCGTGTGGGTATTGGGGTCTGACAACGTGGATAGGCGACTGGAGATGCTTTGGCCTTTTCCCCGCTATCTTCGGTATATCCGTTACCACCTAGGGCGGCTAGTGGGGCGTAGGCGGTGATAAATCATGGCGTTCAGGGCCGTCCGACGGACAACTTGCTAGTTAAATAATTGGCACTGGAATCGGTGGGAATGATTCAGATGCAAAGTACTATTGGACTGTACCGACGTATGGGATTTCAATAGTTGAATACCAGGTAGCTATTGTGTAGGTTTCCTTAGCGTTGACGATGTTGGTTTCATTAGGATGCCACATTGTTCAGACCAGTACCACTTGTTCCAGCTGCCCTTCAATGCCACCCTTCATCAGTTCACCGTTCATAACTCCATGAACGTAGCACTCGCCACGGAACACAAACGTTGCCGTCCCGTCCTGCGCCTGTCCCCGCCTCAAGACGTATGGCACTGCGCCCCCTTCCAGCACCCACACCTCATCCCCGACCTCACACGTCTCCGAGCACACCCCCATCCACTCCTCCGCCGTGCGAAACAAACAGCGATACAGCATCAGCCTCCTAACCTGGTCCTTGAACTCCTGCGGCGACACCACACACTCAGGCCACGGCCCCCCCCCCCCTCTTAGCCCTAGCCACCTCCTCACCATGCACCCTCAGGTCCTCCACATCCGGCACCAACACCTTCACCTCCAGGCCCCCAATCACCCTCTCAATCTCCTTCCTCCTTTCCTCACACTCCGCCACCCTCTCCGGCGCGTACTCCTCATCCCCCTCGCGCAGCAGACAGCCCGCATACACCTGCCCCAGCGCGACCAGCAGCCACTCCCGGAAGCTGACCGACACCCGGCCCGTCTCGTCGGGCGTGCCCCGGTTGACGTTGGTGTACTCGTGGCAGGTGAGCGTGTGCACGAGCGCCGCCTCGCTGAACTGGCCCTCCATGGTCCCCTCGGGGCCCTCCGCCGCGGGGAAGGTGACGTGTGCGTAGTGGGTGGGCAGCGCGGCGAGGAATTGCAGGACGGTCTCCGCGAGGCGGATGTTCATGGGCGCTTCGTAGGCTGTTTTGGAGGTTATGGTGTCGAGGTGGATGCCGCGCAGGTGGAGCTCGCCTGATGGGGTGGTTGTGCGGGGTGGGGGGGTGCTGGTGGTGGTTGAGGGGAGGATGCAGGCTGTGAAGGGGGTGTCGAAGGTGCCGAGGGGCCAGGGGAACTTGGCGGTTGTGAGGTCAGGGACCCAGGAGGGGAGGTTTGGGAGTTGGCGGTGGAAGGGATGCTCCACAAAGGAGAGGAGGGTGAGGTGTTCGCAGTTGAGCAGAAGGGTCTTCCCGGCGTTGATGAATACTTCCTCCGGGGTGATGGTGGCGTTGACGGGGAAGGGCAAGGGGTTTCCTTTTGGCAGTGCCTGCTGGAGGATTCCGACCGTGGCAAAGACTCTGTCCTGCTGGACGAAGCACTCTCGTCTCCTGACGGCTGATAGCGTAGCCCACCAATGCTCCGCCCACCCACTCTGCTCGAAAGTCCGGGTTTGATGCTGCCCCTGCATCCCGCCGATATCCGTGATCCCGAACCCCCTAGTTACTGCGTCCGTGTATTCGCTGCTCAACATCTCCCCCGCCAACGAATTCAGAACATCAATCCATCCCGCGTGTCCTAGGAAGTACGCGAACCCCGTCATGTCCCCCCAACTCAGCTCCTCCACACCCATCCCGGCCATGATATCAAACTTCCCCGCCACCACCACCTCTTGCACAATCCACACGCGGTGGAAATACCTCCTCGTGCGATAAAACGCCCAATAGTCTGACCACGCCGTAGCCCAATGCCCACCCATCGGCTCCTCCATAAACCCAACCACATCCGTCCAAAACTTGGCATCCACAAAATTCCCCTCCCTCAACTTCAAGATCCCCTGCGCCCGCCCACTCTCCTGCACAAACCTTCCAATCGCCGGAAACACCACTTTATGCCACCAGGAAAACACCTTCAACCTCTTCTCATCCAGCCCCAACCACCCCAACACCCTCCCCGATAACGAATACAACTCCCCCATCAACGGGATCTGACTGGCCTTCTCATCCGCATTCCCCTGGTCGATACACACCGCATCCGCCCACAGCTGCGCGACCTGGTCAAACGACAGCCGGCGTCCATCCTCCGGTCGCGGCTGCAGGTGACGGTGCGGGAAGCCGGCGAGGTAGGCGCGGAAGAAATCCGACAGGTTGCCCGTGACGGGCAGGGAGCGCAGGTCTGGCGTGTAGGCGTCGAGCAGGGCGCCCTCGGTCGTGGCGAGGTCGTCGCGCCGGCTGAAGGTCTTGAAGGCGTCCTGCGGGACGACAATCAGCTCAACGTTGTCGGGGCTCGGGGCGAGTGGGGGGGTGGGGTTGATGTCGAAGGGCTCGATGGCCGAGCCCCAGGTGTAGGAGAGGGCGGTGAAGCGGTGGGTGATGGCATCGATGGGGTGCTCGGTGAGGGTGATGTAGGCTTGGGAGAGGACTGGGTCGTAGGTCAGGATGCGGATAAGACGGATGTGGCGGGGAGAGGAAAGGGGCGTGTAAGTGTAGGGGGGCCGGGAGCGGCGAGGGTTGGGGTTGGATTGGGAGCGCGGGCGTGTCATCGTGGGAGCTTGGAGAACTGAGTGAGGATGGACTATTCTTTCTTCATTCACGATGCTTGGTTGTATTTTTGAGCTCCAGACGGTGTGAAGTTAGGCAGCCATTTCGGTGCCCAGCTGACGCCGAGCTTGGGGCGGAGTCACGAAAAGGGGTTAGGGCTATATAAGGGAGGCCGCCATCACGAACCGCCCTCCCTACGACACCTATCATGGTACAGTAGTGTATCACCGCCAGTACAATAAACTTGCCATTTCGCTTCAACCCTCAGCGCCAGCATCTGAAACAAGTTCCCGTTCAACACGGAGATCCTCTGAAAACGTACATATCCCCTAACCCCTCAACCCCACAACAGCATGACAGTTTGAATGATGAATGACGTTAATTACAAACCATTCTGACTAACCTCCCTTTTCCTTGTTCAAGTCACTAACTCCAGTTGTTATCTCGTAGGGTCCTGACAAGACCACGCCCAATGTGGAGTTACGACGAACACCTGGATCAACTGGTGACATGTTCGGGGACCTCATCCACGAAAAAGACCCGAGGTTTAGAACAAGCCCGCAGCTTCCCGCTTGTACCTCGCTTAATGAATCACCATCGAACCATGCAGTAATCTGGCGATCTGGTAGCCCACGGGTTGCATCGGATATCTCATGTTTACGCCGGCCCGGGTCGTAAAGTGATGCAATTTAACCAGACAACTGTCTCCTAGACGCCGTACCTGCGTCACAATCCAGTCCCATGGTTCCGTTGATCCACCTTTTTTTGCCACGGCAACGGCTCTTTGGCAACCTGGACCGGACCAACATCTCCAGTCTCAGCTCTCCGCTCCTGCCATGCCTCGATGTCCCGATGGTCGACCCAATTTCCATGTAATCCCAACTTTAACTTGAGCGGCAAGTGGATTACCGCCACCGGGCCTTTGTTTAGATTCTGGGCGTCGAATATGACAACATCATTGCGCAGCTGATCGAGATGGTTGAGTAACGCAATCAGATACCCTTCACCCTCGACACCCCCTTCACGTGGGATGAAAGTCGGTTCTTGGAACGTCATCGTCGGGCCCGAGAAGTACACGTCTTCTAGACCAAACTTTCCCTTCTCCTCACCTAACCCATATGTGTCATTTTTGGTCGTTGCTTCTCCCGTGTGATAGTTGTCTTCAGACCACGTGTAATGGCCGAGGCAATTGAACAGGCCGCCGGCCGGAGGACCGCATTTGGCAAAGTCGTATGGCCTGGTTGGGTCCACGACGGCTTGCCAGAAGTGACGGTATGGTTTTGTGTTGTAACGTTCGTCGATGCGTGAGAACTCACCGTTTGTGAGCCAGGTCAGCGCTGGTTTCACTCGCTCGTCCGCTACCCAGACGTCCGCGTCACCGGCCTCTGTGGTACGGATGGCCGACTTCTTGGCCTTGGGGTTGAAAACCCAACGGGTGGTGGGGGATGAGAGCTTGTTGCGCTTGGCAACGCCATCAGGAGGTGTAATGTTGTCGTCGGGAGGAAAGAAGAAGAAGACGTTGCCATCGGCGACGGTCAAATCGAACACGATCTCTCCCGACGGCAGCTCGTAACAGCCCGCGACGTGGCCGTGGAAAGCTAGAAGAACTGTCAGTACCTCACATGTAACCATCCAGTCCCAACACCGTGGTCACATACCATTGTCAGCCCTGAACCAAATGATATCCTCGCTCTTTGCCCCCCGCCTCGGAACAACACCATACCACTGATCCTCATTCGGATCCCACGCAAACTTATTCCCCCCCCTCTTCATCCTCAGCAAGTCCATCTTGATGGGCGTCAACGCCAACACAACCCAGTTCTCACTAATCCCACAGTCATGTATCATACCCGCAAACGGCGCCTTATACCAGCACTCCTCAATCTTCTTCCCATCAGCATCCACCGTCCAAACCACCACGTCCACGCTACAATCCGCGCCATCCCCACCGGCCTCATACGCAAAACACACCATCTCCCCCGTCCTCGGATCGACCTTCGGATGAGCCGTAAATGTCGGACTCAAGATCTGCCCCTCAAAATCATACCGCCCCAGCGTCTCGAGCGTAACCGGATCCATCGCAAACGGCGGGCCATCCTCCTTCATCGCCAACAACACCCCCCTCCAAAACACCACATTCGTATTACTAGCCGTCCTGATCACCCCCTTAACACTCTCATTATCCGTCCACGGATTGCGGTACCGCCCGAACAGGCTCCTCCGCGCGGCATCCTCAGCCCGAAACCGATCGGTGCGCACATAGCGCTGGCGCAGATGCGCGCGACCACCGGCGATGCGGATCGCCGACACGGCGCCGTCGCCGTTGAAGTGGATGTCGTCCTCGAACAGGGGCGGGAAGCGGTGGTCGGGCTGGACGCGGAAGAAGGTGCCGTTGAGGTCGGCGGGGAGGGTGCCGGTCACCTCGAGGTCCTGCACGTCGCCCTCGAAGCGGCAGGGCTTGTTCATGGAGGCGAAGGTCGGGGTGCGCGGGAAGCGGATCGGGGTCGGGGTCTTGAGCCGGTTGGCGCCGTAGTTGGAGATCTCGGCGGCGAGGTCGTGGATGTGCGCCATGGTTGCGGTTGGGGGCCGCGATGGCGGGCTGCTTTTTGGTGGGTGTGAGGATGATGGATTGGGTGTTGGCTTGGGGGATGAGAACTTAGGTCTCAGTACTGGAACGGAGCCAGAGAGAGTCTCAGGGAGACAAAGTGATACAGAGCAAGTGGTGATAAGGTATCATATCTTGAAAGGGTGCCCCCAAGACTCGGAACATCTACCGAACATCAGAACCCAAATAGCCTGGACGGACCCCGCAAATCTGCGTGGACTCGGATATTCGGATGCGGGCCGAAGCATGGCAGTGGAACAAAACGGAAAACACCCCATTGGTATAGATGATGCATGGATCGCCAGGAGAGTCGGGGTAAGCGAGTGCGGGGCAGGCGCTCAGTCCCCAACTTTCGGCATTCAAGCATGAAGTGGATCTGTGAGGGGACGTCCGACGGTCTGGTTAGTGTGGAAGCCAAGGTGGAAAAATGAAGGCGGAAAACGGAGCCGAGAGTGTCGACAGTCGCGCGGGGGGTGGAGATGAGCTGCCCCTAAGGTGCTGCCAGGAGGCCGAGAGACAAGAGACAATTGATGGCAAAGGGGATGGGAGGTGGGGGAGAGAGTGGCAGAATGACCACCAGAGTGCCAATATATCGAGGTATTGATGAGGTGAGCGTCTACGTAGGCTTTACTGCGTCTCGATACGAAGTCTTTCCCAAATGTAACAAATACTACAGGTAAATGTTGCCCTGGCCCCTGAGTTCACTGCATCCCCCACGGGATCCAAATCAAACACCCTTACTCGGCCTTATTCTCAACGAGTTCAGGAAGGACCTTCTCACCGGGCTTCGACTCCCGCGTGGCCGCACCGGGCCTGCTCTGTCCCTCGGGCAATGCCAACGTCAGCGGCGGATCGCTCGTGTTGACATCACTGCCATAGACAGGCGCCCGCAGATCATCCGGCGCGGTGGGCCTGCCCGTCACCGGGTGGGGGTAATGGAAGGGCACAACACGAGTGTCCGGCCAGAGCATCTTCTGCTCGAAGATCTCATCCGGGCCCAGCGGGTCCTCCGGGTAGGTGACAGTCGGCCACGGGATGTAATTCTTCTTGGTGTGACTCCAACCCTTCTCGAAGTCGGCGTGCCAAAAGGGGAAGTAGCGGTACCGGAAGAGCTTCCACGCCCCGTTCTCCTTAATGTACTCGTTCTCGTACAGGCCGCCCTCCCACCACTGCCGATGGCCGCGCGGGTAGTACTCTTCGATGCTCTGGTGGGTGCCGGCCTGCATGAGGGCGCGCATGCGGCACCAAGCGTGGGTTCCCGTCTCGTCAACGTCAACAATGTCCTGCATCATAATGTGGTCCAGCAGCCAGCCGTATACGGGCCCGTTCCGCCCCTTCACAAAGGTGTTTTGGAAGCGGCCCTGGTAGAGGCGCTTGATCCCCGCCTTGCCGCGGTACCGCGACCCGAGGAATTCGACGTATGCGTCCGGATGGTCGGAAAACATATCGACGACCTACAGTACCCATGTCAGCCGTGATACCGCTGCGCCACGGCCCGGTGACGTACTTCATTGTACAAACACTTGTCTAGGTAGTAGCCGTATTTGTGGTGGGTCTTGCGGACCTCGGCTTCATCTACAAGCACTCTGTTAGAGAACCGCAGGCCCGAATCCGAACGACAACCTGCCTGATACCCTCGCGAGTTCCTTCTGCAGGACCTGGACCTGCTTTTTGAGTTCGGCGAATTCCTGTTCCATCGTGCTGGCAAGTGTCTGTGTCGGTTGTCGAACGTTATCCGAGTCGTCTGCGGTTTCGGTGGTGTTGAAGTGTGTTGGTGACGACACGTCGCAGTCGGGATGTTGCTTCCTTGGAGGAGGAAGCAGAGCGACGTAATGTATCTTGCTTGACGGGCGTGACCCCTCAAAAGTCGAGACGGGGAAATATACCCAGCGCGCTGGAGGGGGTGGTGGTGCATTGTTCCGCCGGCAAATGACCCCAACTTTGGTTATCCCGTCTGCACCATGGTCCGGCTCGGTTGAACGTCGTGTTATTCGGGGTTGCTGGTGCGGAGTAAAATGCCGGAAAAGGTTCTGCGCCAGTTTTTCATTGCTCGACTCAAGGGAGCCTGGTGCCTGTTGCTGCCTGCGACTGCAGCCCGTCCCTCGATTCTCAGCAGTGTTTTCATCACCAGGTGGGATTCGCGCGGTGGGAGTTGAGAGTCCATCGGTTTTCGGTGTTTGCATGGGTTTGTCGCTCGTATGAGTCGTGTCTCTTGCCATTTGAGCTAACTTCGGTTGGTCCCGACGATGTCCGCATGCATTCGCAGGGTACTGATTTGTTGCGGCGCCGCAGCGGCGCCCTCTTCCCGAACGCAGCGGTCAAGGGTCTTCGTCATATCGAAAACTCTCGGTGAGGGTCCCTCGTGCAAGAAGCAGAGGCAGATAGACGATCAGCATTGGCTAAATGGAGAAGAATCGATGTTGTTGCAGCCACGAAAGGGTCCAATGCGGGGTCCCAGAAGATCGAGATCGCCAGGTCCACCCTCATTTAAGAGCCCCGAAGGTTTCCGCTCCTTCCTTCACTGACAAGAGTGAATCCCGAAACGGCCTGCCAAGCGGGAGTCGGTCCTCTTTAGCCACTCGCAACCTATAAAGTCAGACTGTGGGGCACAAGACAATGCTTCGAGTCTGCGGGAGAACAATAGGATGCACGTCAAGGGCACAATCGACACGGGCCAATGAATTCTCTATCCGCCTATTTCCGCTAAATCCAACAACACGCCCGCCGCTCCTGCGCTGCTCATGCGCTGCTCATGCGCTGCTCATGCGTTGCCTGGCTGGCGCCACTGGAGCCATGTTTCTGCAGACCGTTCGTGTCGTTAGATTGCTCTGGCAAAATAACATGTGCGCGCCGATTATCCTGTACGGCTGACTTCTGCCTGCGATTTCTCGGGTAGAGGGCCGAGTCAGAACTCGGAAGATGGCAAAGGGTTCATGGGACGAGTACCCGGGCATCCGGAAGCGAGAGGCGAAACGCTGTGGGCATCAAAGGATAATGTAATTAATGACTGCAGAGGTGAGCATTAAAGATGGGTTAAGTTGTTGGAAATAAGATTGTAACTGGTCATGGAAAGAGAGGGAGTTGGCTCTGAGCAGGGGTCGGAGATCTCTCCGAAACCCGGGGAAAAGCAAGCAGCAAGCAAGGTCCACCGGATGCAGCCCAAGAAAGACTACCGTCGACCCAACGAGTCACAATGCACGGGCGTTTGCCACAATTCTAAGCTTCTAGCCGCAGCCCTCTATCTTCGGGCGGCTTAACGGCGAGGCTTGTTTGGTAAAAGCCAAGGACAAGCCGTTCAAATTCTCCCCTCCCCCCGGCCGTCCTCTTCCCATTTTCAAACGCCTTCAACCCCCAGGGCTATCAACTTGAACCAATTCTTCTTGTGTTGACGCGGCGGTAGTGACCCTGGATGCACACTCCTAACATGTCGCCTTCCCTCAAAGACAATCGCCACACGCAGACACAGACGATGACAACCATCACTACCATGTCTACGGTTAGCAGAACAGACCCGCTCTCGCCGTCACCCCCACGCCGGATAGCCGACGAGGGTGTCCTAACGCCTACGCAGCCAGACTCGCCGTCCCAGGACCAGCCCCAGAGACGAGGACACAAACCCGTGCGGAACCGGTTATCGCGGCGGGAGCAAAGCAAGTATGCGTGTTTCAGGTGTCAGAAGAAGAAGACAAAAGTACCCTTTCTTCCCCACCCGCCCAAGACTTTTTGACGTTTCGGGGAGCCCTGACAGTTCCCAGTGCAACCGCCCACGGTCACATACACGGTGTGAAGCCTGTATCAAGCGCAATGATGTGTGTGAGTATGACGTGAGGGAGGGCGCCGTCTCACGCTACGCCCACCTGAAGCAGACTTCCGAACAGCTGGAACGGGAAAACGGAAATTACAAAGGTTTCTTGGCCAACATTGTCTCCCGGCCTGATTGTGAAAAGCTTGAGATCTTCCGGAAGCTGGGAACCACTGAAAATCCGCTTTCGACCTTGGAGGATGTCAGGGCCGTTGATGCTCTACACAGCGCCAGCGTGGGGGTTGCCACGATAGACGCGGAAGCCCTGGAGGAGAGCCTCATCAAGGTGCCAGCACGGCCCTGGACGTCAGTCGCCGGAGATGGCTTGGTCTCGCACCTCATCTCGGACTTCTTCGATCGAGACGAAGGCGACCCCTTTGCGAATGCCATTTCCCTCATCGACCCGGAACTATTTGTGAGGGACATGGCGCTTGGTGATCCCTCGCAGAGCGATTTCTGCTCTCCGTTCCTCGTCAATACCATCTGCGGCTTACGCTCGGTCAGTGGTCCCGTCCGTTGCTTCGCCTTGACAACTTCGCTAACACGGGCAATGGGACGGTTGTAGATGTTTTCGGACAAGATCGACCTTGCCAACGAGGCAACGGGCACAAACCTCACGAAGCTGTTCGTGGCTCAGGCGAAACAACATTTCGAGATTGAGGCTGACAAGCGCTGCCTCAAGACAGTTCAGGGGCTCTACTTGTTTTTCTTGTTAACTTGTCATATCACCACTAACAGGGCGGGCTCTATGTACCGCCTCGCAGCCTTGGAACAACTCGGGAAGTTAGAGGTCGAAAAGGTACTGACCAAGCCGGCGAGCAACAATCAGGTGGATACAGACAGACGTCGCGCCATGTACAGGACGTACTGGGGTATCTTCAATTTTGAGTGGTGCGTCATGGTCTCATCTTGTATCTTTTGCCACCGGCCCACCCACAACGACATCCCCAGAACTACCTACGTGTCGTCTTTGGTTATCTGCAGTCTTAGAAGGCTAACATTTCCGCAGCATTCTTTGCCACACGTATCTGAGGCCTCCACCTCTCACTTTCCTTCCACCAGCTTGCCTGTCTAACACCACAGACACTGGCCCCAACGTATTCGGCCCACCGGCCGGGCTGGGTCAACCCCCGGTTGTGAGTCGAATATCAGCCTTACAATACCGCGCCGTGATCTACAACAACAAGCCACGGGCCCCAATAGGGGACGAGATGGACATGCGGGTCCGACAAGATCTCCTCTTCCAGCTCAACGCCCTCGAAACCTCGCTGTCGCCAAACCTACGCTACGACACCAACCCCAACCGGAAGACCACCCAGATCAAGTACGCACCTCCAACAAACCTCTTCTTCCTCACACCCCGCCCCCGTTCCACCCTCAACCCAGCCCCACCCAACGCAAGCTAACCAGACCCCCCTCCCAGAATCCACCTCAACATGGTCGCGTACAACATCCTCCGCCCCCTCCCCTCCACCACCCCCATCCTCCTCCAAACCAACACCACCCCCCCAACCACCAGCACCACCACCGCCAAAGCCCTCCTCCTGGCCCTCAGCGCCTGCGACATCCACCTGATGCACAGCTACCTGACCCAGCGCGCCGCGCTCAAATACACCCCCGCGCTCGTCATCCCCTTATGGAGCGCCGTCTTCACCTTGGTGCCCTTCCTCGACGACCCGGAAACACACGACATGTTCGCGCGCGGGTGTGCGCTGCTGGAGGTGTTTGAGCGGGATATGCAGGGGGTGCGGACGTTCCGGCGCGGGATCTTGGCGGTGGCGTGGAAGATTGGGGTGGGGATTCCTGATGCCGCGGCGGAGGCTTTGGCGGGGCTGGAGGGGGAGGTCAGGGAGGGGGGCGGTGGAGTTGAGGGATGTGCCGGTGGACTTTGTGATTGCGGTTCCCGGGGAGGTTTTTGAGAGGGTGATGCGGGAGGAGAATGGGGATGGGGGAGGGGGTGGTGTGGGAGGGGCGGTCGGGTTGGATTTGGGGAGGGTTTTGGGGGAGTGGGGGGAGGCGTTGAAGGGGGAGGTGTTGAAGGCGGATGGGAGGTGATGGAGTGAAGGATCGGATACCTAAGGGGGTGGAGACTGAGTGAGGGAGGGAAGGGAGGGAGGGAGGGGAGTGGGACGGAATGGGTGACAGACTGAGACGGTTGATGGAGACAAGAAGGACAGCAAAGGGGTGGATCGGAGTCATAGATACCCTCTGCTTTTCTGTGTGGAGGGAGTTAGTAATTGTGTTTTAGGCGCCGATTGAAATTTGACTGGTATCATTCGTTGAGACAAGTTTGTCGGGGTCTCCATCTGGATCCTATATGATTGATATCTGGCGAACGTGATGTGATGCCTTCAACTTATGTTGTCTTGGCATGGGGAACAAAGCCAGTTCAAAGCCTTTGCTTGTTTACCTTATTTGGAAGTGGCGAACGCTTGTGGTGATATTGAACGCAAAAGCAGTTGTTCACTTTGCCTCGTAAATCCTCTCCCTTGTCAGCGATCTATATGTACGCACACCACACGTTAACGCGCGCTATTCCACTACTCACCTCTTCTCGCCCATCCAGGTACATGCTGTTACGTGGTCCTGACGCTAACACCGGCTCCAAACATGGCCCCGGCACACGACACGTTCATCCCTGGCCCTGAACTCCTTGACTCCGCGGCAAATTGTGTCATACTCGCACACCACTTGCGGATCCGCTTCATGAACCTTATACGTGGTCTCATGTGTCCGGAGCTCATTAAGTCCCTAAGTGAGGCCTACTACCCGGAGAAGATAGAAGCCGCGAGCCTGCAGAGTATCGCCATATGCCGCCGGTTCAAGTTGGCTGGGGAAGACTTCAGGTCGCTAGATAGTGTGACTCATGACAGTGAGTGGATCAAATCGTATGGATCCGCGATGTGTCATTTTGGCACAGGCGTCAAGCTTGTAGAGCGGTTTGAAGCTGAACCAAATAACCTGGCGGTGGAGTGGGAGGCCACGGGCATGTTTCCTGTGCCGAAAGTCGAGGTGGGAAAACCGTTCCCTGGAATCGAGGACGGGAAAGAGTGCAGGCCTGAAGGAAATGATCGGTAAAAGCACTCAAACCCGCCTCAGCTTTCCAGACATGGACCGACCTTACTTGGATGTCGCGACTGGGCGCGCACCGCCGGCTGTGACCAGAAGCACGGTTGGACGAGTAACGTACTTCCTCCTATGCTTTGCCACGGCTCCTGGAATCGCATTTTCCCACCAATACTAAGTTAATCATGAACACGAATCACTGCCGCATGTAAATCCTTCCTATTTGATTTCCATCTTAACATCCCGATGCTGCCATCTTCTTTTCCGGGTTCCCAATCTATGTCGTTCGTCTTGGCCCATCCATTGACCGTCCCGAGTCGCCAGCCACGCTCCGAGCTCGATAACCGTGACATGCCACAAATAGCCGATCGAGAGGCAGCCAGTTTTAATCAAGTTCAAAGTGCCGGTTTCCTTAACCCCCGCAGCTTATTATTCTACAACGGCCACCGAACTTGACCCGACCAAGGGGGTAGGGGTGGTACCCAGGCCCAGGGGGATCTCCGTCATGAGCAGCCTAATCTCCCGCTCTCGAGTCCTACCCGGTTCAAACAGAGTGTGATTCCAAGCCCGAGAAGTAGCAACCATCCACCTTGTGAAAAGCGACAGCATCGCCACCACCATCGGGATTGCGGCACCAGAGCCAGCCCTTGGCGTCCGGCCCGCACCCTGTCCCCCGGCCTTTGTCGGTGACGCATGCTGCTTCCCGTTTATGGCCAACTCATAGATTCATCCATTCTCCAAGGTCTGGCTTGGACAGTGATGACATCGGGATAGGGAGCGGACCTCGAGGCCGCCAGCACTGGAGAAAGGACCCCCGCGCGGGAAGGGTCGGACCAAGCGATGCTTGGAGAGTGGATCGCAAATGGGGCAGTTTCACAGACACGAATGGGGTGTCCGGTTCAACGGCCCGGCTGTTCGTCTTGCAAGCCACAGATGGCAATCAAGAGCACCTCCATCAGGCTCCGCGTTCTCGGCGGGTGCAGCGGCATGTCAGCATTTGGGGTATGGATATCGAGCTCACACCAACATCGTTCCCGGTTGGCCCCGGCTGGGACCGCCATCTTCTCGGGATGACTCGTGAAAGCAATATGATCCCTTGCGAGGATACTAGCGACGCCAGGGAGAGAGAATGAAACCAGGCCTCCCGAGACCCCCACGAAGATACAATGTTGACTTGTTGAGGTTGAACCGCCAAAATGCAACTCTTCTTTCATGAATGCTCCGTTCCGTGGTATCGGAGAATTTCCGACGTTACCCACGCCAGCCGCCCATCAGCTCCTCGGTTCCTTTGCAGGCCGTAACGTGCCGGTGGGTGAGCTGAGCTCGGCTGTGGGCCGTTTTGACGCCTGATTTCTCGTTTTCGCCGTTCCAGACTCTCGGTCAAAGAAGAGACTCCCGTATGGCGGCAATCGTTCCTGTCGGGCAGCCTGGCCTCGACTCAACGTTGTACTCTGGCTCATTTCGTCACTCGGCAGCATGTTTAACACCGGGGGTATCTCGGCTTACGGGGGGCGCCACCCAATAAGGAGGGCTCGTGGCTCGCTTTAGGCTCGCAGACGCGAGTCTGGGGAAGTCTGGGGAAGCGGTAAGAGCGCAGACACCCAACTACCGCGAATGATAGGCAACGCATATGTAAGGCCCAAACAACCTGGCCCCTTTGCACCATAGGAAGAATCGGCAGTCAGGTTTCTGCGGGATCTCCCGGTCGACACCAGACCATACCCATGCTCGTCCAACCATGGCCTCGAATCATGCCATTCAAGGGGCCAACTGGCCAGCCTTTGTTGGCTTCCAGAGTCTCCGCCGAGACAGCGCCAACCTCCTCTCCACTTTTACCCCCGCTTCCTGGTTCACAGGGCCGATAAGCTTTTTCCCCGAGTGTCGTGATGGTGGGATGGGTGTTGATCGCGTTTTTCTAGAATCCAACACGATCCGGGTGCACATGGAACGGAGTTGGAAAGGGGTGTCCCAGAATGCTAATTTTAGTGCCCTCCTCTCCTTTTCTGTTCATTACCTCTTCCTTATACTGTCGCGATGTGCTAGCAGGCGTGGGATCACGAACTGAATCCCAAGCATCCTGTGGATACCCTTTTGTGTGGGAGGGTGGCGACGTTGTCAACAGCTAGCATCGCGCGTCGTCTCCTTCAGCGCGGTGCACCGGCTGAGGATTCCTCTCGCCCGAGTCAGTCATATAGTCGTTTGCCTTGCTCAGCCCGCAGCAGATTCCGCTAAAAAATCTGTCTCCGGATCCTCGCACGTGTTGCCGCGCGGATGTGCAGAGTCCGCCGTAGAATCCGGGGTTAATTTGGCTAATCGGGGCTTAATGCCCGGGGGGGGGTCTCGACACAGGCACCCCCCCTGTTTCACTTGACCACCCCTCCCCCCCCTGGGCCCCCCGTCAAACACCGCCCTGGGCACCGCCGAGCACGCTCCTGCACATGTGACATCAGCGCAGCCTGTCTTCCAACGGGGGCGGCATGAGAATGGGACAATCTCGGCTGAAATATCGTCCTTGTATCCTAATTGGGACCACGGCCATGTTGCACACATGCAAGCACCCCAGAGGCGGCAATTGCCCGAACGGCGGTCCCTCCCCCACGGAGACCACGGTATATCTGTTTACGGCGAGATTTCGGGATGCTGGGTCATCGTATGCCAGGGCAGTCTATCTGGGCTACGCTATTCGTGCCTTGGCAGAAGTCGGTACATGTCATTTTGACACTTTCTGTCTCTGGCCACTGGGTCCCGCCGAGAGGGCCATGTAGCTAGCGTGATGGTTTAAACATGTGGACACCGCCCCTTGATGGTCGTGTTCCTGGATGACTACTTAGGTAGTATCAGTACCCAGATCTGGCCTTCCAACGGAGTTCGACTTTCCTCTCCGTCTTGGCCACAGCTCGCCATCGGGTCGTTGGAACCGACGTTGCGGCTCTGGCCCAGGGAACGCGTGGGTTTTCCATGGCGAAGTACACACACTCCTTCACTGCCAACAACCCTTCTCCACCGGCGAGCCGTCATTGACTCCTATTCCGGGCCACCGTTCCTGGCGGATCACCCTTCCGGTCGTTTCACGATTCCCCAGCTCCTCAACTTTTGTTAAAGCTCGCGGCTCCGTCAAAGATTTCCGAATTGTTGCCTCATTCAACAGTACAGCCGCTCAGCCTTAATAGCCCCTTCCTACCTTCCTTCCTCCCCCCCTCCCCACCCGGCCGTCACCACCACGGCGCCGTCACCATGTCTGCCAACCCACAATGGTCACATCACGAACAAGCCCTACCACAGGGGACGGCGGTTTCGTCAACGGCGATGGATGACGCAGAGAAGGGCATCTACGACAACACAGCGGCGTTACCGGTGATTACCACACCGCCACCAGCGTACATCGACGAGAAGAAGGCGATCCAAACAGTGTCGACGACCGATGGTACGGTAACACCACCGACTCCGCCGGCAGCACCGGCCAAGAAGCCGGCGAAACCAAAGCCTAGCCGGTGGATCCTCTTCCAGCTCTGGTTCAACACATACCGCAAGTTCTTCACCTTCGTCACGGTTCTCAACCTCGTCGGGATTGCCATGGCCGCAGCCGACAAGTGGGACTATGCGAGAGACCACTTGGGCGCGTTGGTGCTCGGCAACCTGCTCATGGCCGTGTTGATGCGCAATGAGATGTTCCTGCGGTTCTTGTACATCATCTCCATCTATGGGCTGAGAAGTGTAAGTTCCTTGTATCCGTTCCCCTCAGACTACACTTGACAATCACTGACAAGCTCTATTCTCGGGCCAGTGGGCACCGGTGTGCATTAAGGTCGGGGTGACTTCGATTCTGCAGCATGTTGGAGGCATCCACTCCGGCTGCGCCCTTTCTGGCGCCGCGTAAGTAAACAAGCCCCCTGAGTATCAACCGGCAGCACTAACAACATCCGTACCTAGCTGGCTCGTCTACAAGATCGTCGATATCATCCGGTACCGTTCCGTGCAGCACAGCTCTGTGATTGCGAGTGGCATTATTACGAATGTCGCTGTCATCATCTCGGTTCTGAGCGCCTTCCCCTGGATCCGCAAGTCAGTGGGCCCCGTCTAGCATCACCCGGGATACTCTAAGCTTCTAACACTTTCTAGTAACTACCACAACACATTCGAGAGGCATCATCGCTTCATTGGGTGGCTGGGTATCGCCGTATGTACAATCCATGTGGGAGGGAGGTTGCACGTTGCGCTAACGGATAGCTACCAGGCCACCTGGGTGTTCGTGATTCTGGGCGACATTTACGATATCAAACGAGGCGAATGGAGACCCGACTCACACTCTTTGCTCAGCGTGCAGGAGTTATGGTTCGCCGTGTTCATGACAATCTTGTTCGTCACCACCTCCCATGTCCCTATGCATCACCGCCGACGACAGCGTACTTACCAACCCCCCAACAGCGTCCTCATCCCCTGGGTCACCCTCCGCGAAGTCCCTGTCGAAGTCGAGCTCGTGAGCCCCCCCCCCCCCCCCCCGCTACCCCCCACACCAAGCCCAAGTCTCAGCCCTTGCTAACATGAATGCATTTAGCCGTCGCCCAAGGTCGCGATCCTCAAGTTCAAGCGCGGGATGCAGCAAGGGCTGCTCGGGCGCATCAGCCGCACCTCGATCATGGAGTACCACGCCTTCGGTATCATCAGCGAGGGCCGAAAGTCCGGCTGCCACTACATGATCTGCGGGGTGCAGGGCGACTTCACCAAGAACCTGGTGGCCGACCCGCCCAAGACGGTGTGGACCAGAGAGCTCAAGTTCGGTACGTGCCGCCGCCCGCTCTTGTCCGGCCTTCCTAAAATGGACGCAATGGAACTAACACGGCTGGGCTAGCCGGCGTTGGGCACGCCTCGGCCATGTTTAAGCGAGGAATCCGCATCTGCACCGGAACTGGCATCGGCGCTGCGCTGTCCACTTGCATCCAGAGCCCGAATTGGTAAGTGCTTTTTTCGATATTGAAAATTAACTCAAACTCCGTGGCCTCATGGTCTAACAATTGCGCTCCCTTACTACTAGGTTCCTCATCTGGATAGGGTCCGACCAGGAAAAGACATTCGGACCGACCATCACCGGGCTCATCTACAACAACATCCCCGCCGAGCGCATGATCCTCTGGGACTCCAAGAAACGAGGGGGGCGGCCCGACAGCGTGAAGCTGCTCAAGGAGGTGTGGGACAGCTTCGGCGCCGAGGTCATCTTCATCACGAGCAACAAGCAGGGCAACGACGAGATGATGCAAGGTTGCCGCGCAGGTACGTTGTAACTCTAAGCCTTGGCGGGTGCCCTTGGGAATCTTGCAGACCGCTAACCTTTCCTGTTCCAGCCGGGTTGCATGCCTTTGGCACGCTGTGGGATTTCTAGCCGGGCCGACATCACGCCGACATCAAAAGGGGCGGATTTTAGGGCTGCGGCGGATGAGAGTTTTGGATTACTTACACACATTGCATGGGGAGTCAGCATTTGTCCACTAGATTTTTGTTTATCTTTTCGTCACTCTGATAAAGTCAAGAAGGAGAGAGCATGGGTCAAATCAGGAGTTGCATGATCGCCGGGGGCTCGGCGGGGAGGTTCGATGGTTTCATCTTTTTGTCTTTTTTTTCCACATCACAAAACATACATTGAAGCATATGCATTGAGGGCCAATTCAACCCATTCAACCCATTCAAGCCTCACTCCCAAAGGGAAATTGGGACGCGTACTTCGCGCACAGAACACGTACCACAGTAAGCTGGCCGGCGTACCCCCGGCCAACTCCGCCCAACTCCGACGGCGACGGACCCGACCAAGGCACCTTCTCCCCACGCGGTATCCACTTATCCGGCCCGTCCCCGGCACAGTTCCGGGGCAACCTGGCAACCCCCGTCCCCGCCGGAGCCAACGCGGGAGTCCTGCCCCAGCGGAACCACGCACGCCGCGCGTCGCCCTTCGTCGAAGATGAGAATGCCAGGTTCTGGTGGTGACGCACCACCCACCCGGTCGGACCCGCCGAGGACCGCAGCAGCGCCCATCATTTCCTCCTCCTGAGCTATTTCCGCGTGGGTGTGCGTCCGCAAGCCTCGCAGCCAGATCCGGCCCCATGCGCGACATGGTCCAGTTTGGTGACGAGGGAGGTGCAAATAAAATTTTGACAAGAATTAGACTCAACAACGGCGGCGATGGCGCGGACGATCTCGACCCGCCAAGGAACCCAAAACGCGGAAAGGGACCCCCGTCGCACAAATCCCGCCTAACGCGAACCCACACCATGGAACTCCCCTGGGAGCCGCGCTGCTGCCGCCAAACTTTACTCAGCCCGTCCCGTCCCCCTCTGCCTGCGCGCGCCCAAGAAATGGTGCTGTTTCCAGAAGGCGTTCCTTCCCGCGCATTTCCTAATCGGTGATGTTCCGCGTCTGCCCGGGGGGTGGCCCGAAGTTGCCGGTGGGTGAGGGCTGGGCGATCTGGACCCCGCCGCTGGGCCGCTCCTGCTGGCCCGCAAACCGGGTTACCTGGTGCTTGGCGCTCAGGCTGGGTTGGGGACGGGAGCGACCCCGTGGGCAAAAGAAACCGAACTCCAAGCCCAGATGTCGACCATGGAAATCTCGAGTCCTCGACGGGAGGAACAAAACGAAAGTCACCCGGAAGCCTGAAAAAAACCGGCTTACCTCCTCTATGTACTTTTCTTTTACCCCATTTCTTTCGGTCGATTTCTTTTTTGTTCTTTTTGCTTGATTCCTAACCTTGCCTTCTAGGTAGTTCGGCTTTCTTTTAGCCAGAGGGTAGGTCGAGGGGTTTCTAGATTATTTAGGGTTTTTCTTTTTTTTTCGCTGTGGAGTTGAAGGGGTAACGATTCGGACACTGGAACAGCTTGGTGAAAGTCGTCTTACGCAGGATGTAAACGTTTTCCTCGAGTTTGTCACGCGGAGACAATAAGGTGCAACACCCATACTGACGAATGCAAGGAGGTGTGGTGTATGTAATACCTAGTTTTATTGGGGGAAAACACGTCGCATCCGCTACTGTTAATGGAAGTTGGCATTGCTGGAAGCCTTCCCGTACAAACTATTTCCCACACTTTTCTTTACGTAGGTACCTGGGCTCGAAAATGGACAAGGGCTCTCTAGGTACCTTTATAACACAAGAACGTTTCATTGCGCGACATAAAGCGGCAGGTGCTTTTGTTGGGTATTACGTTGTTGCGGGTAGAACGAAAGGAACACCCGTCAATGACAACTTCTTCCTGTACCCGGTATGTTCGTTCATGGTACACCATATATTTGGCAGGACACAGGAATCCGAACTCTAAACCCATTCGCTTTGACCACGATCATGGGGCTCGAGCCAAGACTACCTAGGTATGTACCTACCTGAGGGTGTAACTACGGTAGTACCACGTTGGCCAAATAGGGGCCCATGTAACAAACGCTTCAATGATAGGTACCTAGTTTATGTCTAGAACAACCGGACGACGCGAAAGAATGCTCTAATGCTCCTGGTACAGCTTTAATATCCGCTCAAATATAAAAACCAACATTGGAACATGTCGCACCCAACATTAGTCCCAAGCACGAGATATCGTTGCCAATGGGCCCCCCCTCTCCCATAACGTTGCGTAGTTCCAAAGTTGCACAAGGTAATGTACTCACGTAGGTACCGATATTCTCCTTATCTCATGGATCGACCACACACACTGTCGTGCAACGAGGGTACCTGCGGCGCAGAGCGCTTGTCGTTTGACGCATTACCAAATGAGCTACTGCTTCAAATATTTTTATATTTCCGACCCGACCCTCAGGAGGTTGGACCCAATCGCTACGCCGAGCTTTTGAATCTTTGTGTGACTCGTCGCGATACAGGGCTCATAGCCCTCCGTGCCCTTTATGACACGGCCGTAGTGGCATCAGGACGTGCCATGGCACAACTCCTCGTCATCCTTATTCGGTATCCCGAACGGCAAAGTTGGATTCGAACATTTTGCTGTCTAGAAAGTCTGTCTGATACGGCTACGTGGATAATTTCACATACCAAGCTCAAAAATATCCCACCATTACCACTACTAGCAGAGCTTTACCTTCGAGCTGGACCAGAGGAGGACCCCAACCACGAGCTGGCAGCAATGTTCAACGTGCTAAATGTCGACGGGACCGACGGCGAAGATAATTCCGAGTTGAGGCAAAGGTTATACTATGCCCTACTTTGTCTCATGCCCGTACTTCAAAACTTGATATTCCCAGCCGACATTACCACCCCATCTCGAGCTCTAGAATCGATCTCTTCGCACCAACCATCCGTACATCCCATCCTGGCTAACTTGCTGCACCGCGGTTTAGGAGGGGGCTCGGCGGGGGGGTCGGGAAACGCCCGTCAGCTTGTCCCTTGCCCCAGTCTCAAATCGCTCACCTTTTGTTTTGCCGCGGGATTTTGGTGTTCAGATCAAGCAATTCCATTCCTCCATTTTCCAAAGCTTGAAACGATAACGCTCGAATTCGGGGGCGACATGTGGAGCCCGACGCCAGTAAATACGGTGAGCATATTCGCACCCGTCAAGCATTTGCATGTGTTCCCGGAAAGACTCACCGTGGACGTCATTTCATCGTTGGCAGAAATCTCGGTGGGGGCATCGCAGCTGGAAACATTAGAGATTGGGGGTGCAATACCCGGCGCCCAGATACATAGGTTGGGTGTCTATGATTACCGGCGGTCGCCTAGTCTTAACAATGGAATTCTTCAGAATTTCGCGCATAGTTTAAGGCGCCTAGCGGTGTACCAGCAGTGGGCCAGTCTTGCTGATTCCTTCCTGTTGTTCGGCCCTCGTCAGAAGTTGGTGGATTTGGACCGCCTCGTCAAAATCGAAGAACTCGTGGCACCATCCTTCGCGATTTTCGGGGCGGTGTTCATGGAGAAACGAGAAGTCAGTTCCTGGCGACAGCGGTGGTGGCACGAGCCATTCCTCCCCATGCCGGCGTCGTTCAACCCCGATGACCCGAAAGCGCCCGAGAATGTGCCAGAGTACGCCGACCCTACCAACTCGGGAGATACAAGAAACCCAGACAAGCTTGTCCTGGTGGCGCACACAACAAAGCTATCACCGGGCCTAAAAGTACTCGAGATCTACGAGGACGCTTACAGCGACGACAGACGGACTGAGATACCGCCTGTCCACAGGCGCTTGGGGCTGCCGCGGTCGAGCGGCAAACTCTTCAGACTTATCAAGGAGTTTGCCTTCAACTTCAGGAAGAGATTCCCGAAAATGGAGCGCGTTGTGTTTTGGCGTGCAAACTGGCGCGTACCCAGGCCACCGGCCTATACCGACGGGGAATGGGCCAAGCTTGCACCGGTGGAGTGGACAGACGAGGAAGTACAGGAGGCGAAAGATGCCTTTTGGGCGCAGGGAGTGCACTTTGTGTACAAAGAGTGCACAGAACTCTCCTTTGGAAAACCATGTTTTTATTGGATAGACGCTCATGATCTTGGGCCCTTTGTCGAAAGACCAATCCGTTGAAGGGTAGATGCACAATCAGGCCAGCCAGCATACAGTTTAAATTCTCGGTTCTTGGAAGAGCCCAGTGTTCCGAGTAAACGCGTGTCTTGAACAGGATAAATTGGAATCACGGGTGGCCTACACAAGGGCAAACGACCAAAGGTACATAAAAGCCTGAAGGACTTCTAACTAAGGAAACGGGAGCGTTGATAGCTACTAGGTGTCTACAGGGTAATATTAACGCGTTTCCTAAGGCTGACGGTAAAAGACTAAATCAAGCCCCGACTTTTCAAGAAGGTGACAAAGAGAGAACTGAGAAATCCCCGGAAGCATAGACTGCGAGCAAGGTTATGTTACATTATCGCCCCTCCATATCCGTTCGTGCTTCAGAATCCGATGCTACCTTCCAGTTCGACATTGGGTTCTGTAAATTCGCGTCTATCCAAGCAGGGGTAATCTCTGTTTGGGTCGTCTTCCGACCTTCCGCCTCGATGGCCCCGTTGTGGTCTTGTAGACATGCAGGAATGAACTTGACTCAAATGGAGAGTTTGAAGCAAGAGGCCCATGTATGAGTCCTCGAGGAAGGAGTCGCAGCCAATCACACACTTGCGCTGCTCGAGATCCTGCCCAAATGGGGAAGCGGCGGGTGCGCTCCACGTTGGTAATGTCGATCAACTATTATTCTACTTTGTACTGTGTTCTGAGTTAACTGCCTTCTTTGAACTTGTTCATACCGGCTCTTGTATACACGCGCCGTGACCATATCCTATTCTAGGCCGAGAACCGTCCTGCAAGTCGTCCTAATCTCTCTCAGGAAGCTCGATTTATGCTTGCACATATCGAAATGCTGATGCCTGGAGTGGAGTTGGGCGCCACGACAAGGGAACTTTGCCTGCGATTGGACCGTTCGTAACCTTCGCGACCTTGAATCACACCCCTGATTCCACCCCGAGTACACATGCGGGGTTGTTACGACTTTCTCGTTGCAAACTCGTCCAATATTGGGGGTTCTTACTCGGGCCCAGAGGCTTGGGAACGTCCCTTGTCCGGCACATTTGTGGGGAGAAACCGGCCGCTAAGCATCAAGTGAGATGGGATCTACTCAGGGAATAACAGTCCTGGTTACTCAGATTTCGTGAGAGCACGGATCGGAATATATTTGAGGTTGACGCCTCGCCTCGTCCTTCATCACCGTCATCTTGCCACCCCTGACTCAAGTGCTCTCTTCCAACCTCCCCAGACTTCAGTCTGTGGTCAAACCATCCCACCATGGTGCAGATCTCACTGGCAGCACTACTTGCCACTGCTTGGCTCGGTGTTGCATCGGCATCGCCCACGCTCCAGCCGGTAGTTGGCCCACGCCAGGCTCAAACTAGCTTCTGGTACGCCAATATTGACCACACCTCCGCGAACATCCGCGGCTTCGCGCCCGATCTCGACGGCGATTATGTCTACGAGGTCTTCCGCGCTGTCGCCCCCGGTGATGGAGCCGGTATTCAGACTGCTATCAATGCGGCGACCAACGGCAGCACCAGGCACGGCCAATGGTTCGCTAGCCAGCCACGGGTATGGCTTGGTTCGACTTTGACCCTGAACCTGTGCTAAAAGTTTGACAGGTTGTCTATATCCCCCCTGGTGAGTACATCATTAGCGAGACAATAAAAATGAATACCGACACAATGATTATGGGTGATGCCACCGACGTGAGAGGCCCACCACAACCATACCTACGTTCCGCCCGCTAATTGATATTCCACAGCCCCCCGTCCTCAAGGCCGCATCCGGCTTCGCCCGCGATGGCACGCTGTTCTCCGGCCAGGATCCGACAACTGGGATCTCAGGCGAGCTGTCGTTCGCCGTCAGCCTCAAGAACATTGTCCTTGACACCACCAATGTTCCTGGGGACGCCCCCTTTGTCGCGCTCTGGTGGGGTGTTGCGCAAGCCGCCCATCTTCAGAACGTCAAGATCCGAATGCCCAACTCGATTGATGGATCTGGACACTCCGGTATGCGTCTCGGTCGGGGGTCTACGCTGAGTGTGTCGGACGTGCGAATAGAGGGTGGCCAGGTAAGAAGCCCCTGGTGATAGTTCAAATGCGGTAGGACTGACAAACTGACAATTTGCAGAACGGAATCTGGTACAACGGCCACCAACAAGCCGTGTTCAAGAGCATCAGCTTCTTCCAAAACACCGTCGGCATGCTCATCGACGGCGGCAGCACCATCAGCATCATCAACCCGACCTTCGACACCGTCGGCACCGCCGTTCTCAACACTGGCGGGTCTCCCTGGATCGCCCTCGTCGACGCCACATCCATCAACTCCGGCGTCACCCTCAAAACCACCTCCTGGCCAAGCTACCTGATCGAAAACCTCAACAAAGACACCCTCCACACCAACATCGCCGAAGGCCCCGCCGACTTCACCCTCCCGGCCCAATCCCACGTCGCCCAGTTCACCTACGGCAACACCGTCAACCGCGACCCCATCTACGGCCCAACCACCTCCCCGCTGAACCGACCCACCGCCCTCGCCCCCTCCGGTGGCTGGTACCCAGCCCTCCCAGCACCCAACTACGCCTCCACGCCCGTGACCGCCTTCCTCAACGTCAAAGACCCGGCGCAGAACGGCGGGCGCACCATCCTGGGCGACAACACAATCGACGAGTCGGCCGCGCTCAACGCCATCCTCCGGCTCGCGGCCGGCCAGTCCAAGATCGCCTACTTCCCCTTCGGCAAGTACCGTGTCGACTCGACGCTGCTCGTCCCGCGCGGCAGCCGCATCGTGGGCGAGGCGTGGGCGACCATCGTGGCGCGCGGCGCCTTCTTCAAGGACGTGGCCAACCCGAGGCCTGTCGTGCAGGTCGGCGAGCCCGGTGATGTGGGCGTGGCGCAGATCCAGGATATGCGCGTGACCGTGGGCGACGTGCTGCCCGGGGCGATCTTGATGCAGTTTCATATGGCCGGTGCGCAGCCGGGGGATGTGGCCGTGTGGAATAGTCTGGTGACGGTGGGTGGGACGCGCGGGGCGGCGCCGCTGACGGATGCGTGTCGGGACGCGGCGGCGCAGTGTAAGGCGGCGTTTTTGGGGATGCATTTTGCGAAGACGTCGTCCGTGTATGTGGAGAATGTGTGGAACTGGGTGGCGGACCATGTTACCGAGGAGTTTGATGGTGGGAGTAGCTTCGCGGCGGGGAGGGGTGCGTTGGTGGAGGCGACGAAGGGGACGTGGCTGCATGGGCTGGGGTCGGAGCACTGGTGGTTGTATCAGTTGAACTTTCGGAAGGCGGAGAATGTGTTGGTGACGATGCTGCAGAGTGAGACGAACTACGACCAGGGGGATAATAACCTGATGGTGCTGCCCGCGCCATGGACGGTGGACGAGGCCGGGTGGGGAGACCCGACGTTCGCCCACTGCGCGGCGGGTGATAAGAGGTGCCGGATGGGGCCTGCAAACTATTTCAACGGCGGCAAGGGGATTCACACGTATGCTTCGGCGAGCTGGGCCTTCTTCAGCGGGCCGGGGTATCAGGGCTGTGCCGGGACGTTCGAGTGTCAGAGGCACATGCACTTTGTCAAGCAGACGCCTGTGGGACTTCAAGCGTTTGGCCTCTGTAGCAAGGATGCGTATGCTACCTTGAGGCTAGAGGACGGCACCGACATTGTCACTTCGGAGGGATTCACCGGGTCCTGGCCGGGCGGAGGAGGTGATGTTGCGCGATACACCACTTAGGTGATCGGACATGTATGGAACAGGTTATACAAGGGATATAGCGGCCTCACCTGATGACTCTCTGCTGGGAGCGAACCGCCGCTTCCGTGCTAGCCTTTCGGTTATATGAGCGTCTGGCTGTGCACATGCCACTTCCGCAGTCATGGTTCCCCCGAATTTCGTGAATCATGTTATTCCTCCCATATGCTACCATCGAAACACCCATCTTCTGTATATTCGTGTCATTTATCCTATCACTTACCGTAGATTTCACCGCGAGAGTCTTCCCATCATTTCGGCAGACGCGTGGGACGAACACACTATCGGTTCTGCTCAACCGGTCCAAACAGCCGGTCCCGGGGCCTGATACTCGAGCAATCTCAATTCCTCGTCCGGTACATATCCCCCGTTGACCATCTGATTCTCCGGGATCTTGAGGCCTGAACGAAAGAAGGAGAATGTGAGTTAGTGGGTGCTCGATGTCCCTTGCTTGATAGCTGGAGTCGTCTCACCTGGTTCATCGACGATATACGTGCCGGGGAATTTGGCGAACCCTGTGGGAGTTCCTCCACCAGGCCCGATGATGTTCACATGCGCACAGTTAACATACCACTGGCTGTAGTTCGAATTCTTGGTGGGCATAAACTGTTCGATGCGCATCAAGTATTTTCCCGGTGGCGTGGTCTCTGGAATGGTGAAGTTAAACTGGATGGTGTCGTGATCAGCAGTCATCTTCCCTGCTACATTCGGGGGCCGGATAGGCCGAGGGATCATGAACTTACCTCGGGTGCCCCCCACAACATCCACTCATCGTTCGCGACCGGACCACCATAGGCAATCTTGAACCAGTCCCCATCACCCTGGTAAGTCTCGAGTTCGCCGTTAGGAGGTTGGGAGAGATAGATTTGAGCAGGGCCCGGGTGCCAGAACACGCCGTATTTTCCGTCGCCGTCATACGAGACGCGGAACCCGACTTCGGAACCGGCTAACACGTCGGCCGTCTCGGTCTTGGCGGCCGCATCGAAAGCACTCCGGCCGCAGGTGATGTCCGGGTGGTTGATGTCCATCTGTGGCGGCGTTTTGGGGAACTCGATCTCCGGGGGATAGGAGCCAGGGGCGTACGCATAGTGGTAACCCACGTCCCTAGATCTGTTAGTGCTATACGAGGATCGGCAAGTGTGCGTTTGCCATACCGGACGTATTTCCATTCTGGAGTTTCGGTGCCGTTGACGAGGAGAATTCCGTGTATTTCTGGAAATAAGAGTCAGTCTGGTCATGCGGTGAGACGGGGAACTTACGGTGGCCCAAAGCCCCAGGGGCGAGCGCTGCGCCCAGAATGGCTGCTTGGTAAAACCTCATCGCGGCAGCTGTGTCACGTTTCCGAATAGAAGAGTTTCGGAAACCAGTTACTGCCCCCAATGACGCATCTTGAGGTGGGTTGGGCCGTTTATAGGACTACTGCCCCCACATTTGTCTCCCATGTCGTGAGGTTGTCACGGAGTGGTAAAATGACGCTAGTTTGGACTGCATATGTAATATGTTGTTAGCGGCCCAACAGGATGGAAGTTAATATCGCTGCGAAGGAATGACAGCCAGTCTGTCAACCTCTGCGGGTGCAGTCATGGAGCTACTGCTCCATCGGTGGCTTCGACAATCGGACTGGTACGGTCAAGGTGTCACAAGATGCGGGGGTAATATAGAAATGAAACACCCGCTGCAATCAGACACGCGGCAAATCATCCAAGACAAACCATAACCGGATCAGGGGAGCTCCGCCCGCGTTGAGGCGTCCTATGCATAGGTATTTAATCTTGAGTCCCGATCCGGGTTGCGGAGCATGTGGAGGGTTACCTTATACAGAGCATACGGTAGGTACTGTTATCCCTGAGCTGGCTATAAACTCCGTGTTGTATTGTCTTTCTCCGCCCTATCTTTGGCGTACCCGGTTCTGACACGGCCACCGTTGCGTTGCCCCTGTACTGCTGCTGACTGGCTGCGTTGGGCAGGACAAGCATTTGGTACCGTTGCTTAGGTGACCTGCGAATGCCGTGTTCCCGTGGCAAACCGCAATGGCGCCCGTGCGAGGCAGTGCCTTGCCTCAAGACGATTCGCTGCCCATTTCCTGGTTCCGACCCTCCCGGTACCTCCCCCTCCGCTAACGGTCTTGAGTATTGTTACCCGATTGGGACTACCAGGAGTCCGTTGCGCTCCAACAAGAGATATTGAGACATGTCATCGTATCACATGATGCATTTGGAAAGTCATGACCTTACATTCACAACACCGTACCGTATTCTGAAGTACTGTACGCATGCTTTCGGAGAGGGATATCGGGGGCTAATAAACCTGTAATCAATGTTGAAAGACAAAGCCCCAAAGCAAACAAATAGAGATGACGGTCATCTCTACCTGTCAGATTCACCCAATGGGCTAACTGTTATTTTTATTGAGTAACTCGGCGGTCTTCAGCACGAAACATGTGCCGGAAAACGGCACGCTAAGAATGCCAACACTTCAATAGATAAACGTGTAGGTGGCTGACCGCCTTTGGATGACGGTCTTCATAACTACTAGCAAAGTGCCATTCTGTTCACTTATGAGTCGCATATCGAAATGTAGACATTTTTAGTCCCCGCATTCTGAATAGGCAACTGTGAGCATGGAGCTCTCTCGGGCTGGCTGTATTGATACCTACCAAGCACTTGGGTATATACCTCACTGTTTGTATGGGGAATGGAAAGTCTAAGGAAGTTCGTGCCAGACTTTTACATTGATGTTTGCAGCATGTTCTAGATCAAGTGTGCCACTTGCTGTTTTGGCCACCGGACTTCTCAGTTGGTACGGTGTAGGGGGCTTCTCTAGAACTATGCTCCGTTTCTACCTCGGGCGAAGTATGGATATTGTACAACTGGGCCAGTTTCTCACAGAGAGGGTGTGGTTGACGTAGCGCATCGCTGAGCATGTGGTATTTGCACAAGCAGAAATGGGCGTCGGGTTCGCTTTGCAAACTACCTTACCTAGGTACCTACCTTAGGTACTCCAAGCAATGGGCTTTGGGCAAAAGCCGTGCACAACGTCATGGACGGCCGAGGGAGCCTCAAATCACCCTCTAAAGCCTTTTGTCCATGGTCGCCAAATGATACCTGTGTTGTATTGCAGTGATATTGTCACACTTGACAAGGCAAGATGCAGATTGAACCTTGGTGAAAAAACTCTCCTCACTGCCATTGGACCGACGACCCTGAGCGCGCGAGATCCTTTTCTAACTTAACCCGGGGAGTTGCTCAACGTTGAGAATATCTCGGACCTCTGGGAGCGCTGGAGCGGGGTTTGAAGGCTGTTAGAGTGTGCTGTGCTGGTGCAAAATGGTCTTGGAAATTCTCCTCACCGGCCAGGATGTTCGAATCGACCGGATATTCCGATGCCGTGATTCCGGAGTTGGGGGCCAGGGAGCCTGGCATGGTTTCCGCGGCCGATGGTTACATCATGTCACAAGCGGCATGGTTTCAGTCTCGCAGGCCTTGGTATGGTACAGATTCGCTGGTTCCACGCCCTGGACTCAACCATAGGCAAATAATACCGCATCCCCATCATGCAGCACCAACCAATGAACGGCCGTCGCCGCCACGGCGAGTCCCCACGTTCTCCTGCAGGTCTGCTGTGCCCATCCGTTGGAGCGGACGACGGCCCATTCGGACCCCAAGAAGCGGGGGACTGGGCGAAATATTAGGCTGAGAGCAATTCAACAAGGTCATCTAGTCGGGATCGAATACATACGAACATGGTTATCAAGTTAAAAGCCGATCAAGTAAGACGAATCCAAGACCTGCTAACTTTCCAACAGCTAGCGCCTGTCTACCTAGGCGGCGTTGCCTCCCTTGAACAGTTGGTAACTTGGTCATAGGCAACTACAATGCTAACTTCACCTCGGTTTGTAGAAGCAGCCACGGAGGAACCTCTTCTCATCGTTCTTGGCTCGTTCCGGGGCGGGCGTAAGATCCGAAACATCAAGCAATTCGGCGACTCTCCCTTTGTCGTCCGTTGAATCCAGAAAAGACGACCTGAAGGGCCCAATCGGCTTGACCACTATCCACGAATTACCGGCGTCTAGAGAAGTCACCGCGGATATCATTTTTATCCACGGCCTGGGCGGTGGTAGCCGTAAAACATGGTGCTATTCCTCCGACCCCGACCACTACTGGCCCCAATCATGGTTGCCGGGAGACAAGGACTTCATTGGTGTTCGAATTCACGTCTTCGGTTACAAGGGTGACTGGCTGGAACGCCGAGAGAGTATTTTAGGGATCCACGATTTTGGCCAGTCTCTCCTCAGCGCCCTACTCAACCATCCCAGCATCCGCCGGGCGGACACACGGATCATACTCGTTGGACACAGTATGGGAGGTTGTGTGGCTAAAAAGGCATACATACTGGCGCGCCAGGACCCGGCCGCCGCCGATATTGCTCGCCGAGTGCACTCCATGTTCTTCCTAGCCACGCCACACCGTGGGTCTGATATGGCCGCAATCCTGGAAAGCATGTTGGCGGTTGGGTGGGGGAAGAAGCCGTTCCTGGGGGACCTGACTCCCAATTCGACGGTGCTTTCGGCCATCAACGACACTTTCCGCCATTTTGCGCCGGAGCTCCGACTGTGGTCGTTCTATGAAACTGTACCCATGCGAGGTGTTGGGTTCATCAGCCGCATTGTCGTGGACAAACACTCTGGGACTCTAGGGTATCCAAAGGAAGAAATCACGGCCATGGATGCGGACCATCGCCAAGTTTGCAAATTCGAGAGTCCAGCCGATCCAAATTACAAACTCCTTCGCAATGCGCTGGCAACTGCCGTCGACCTGATTCGAGCGACATCAAGATCCGGGCAAGGTCAACTTTCTCAGGCCCATTTGTCCCCGCGGGAGTCTCGCGAGAAGGTATCAGCCTTTTTGGAAATTCGAGACACCCCAGAAAGAGATCTCGATAGCCTCCAGAGCCTGAAAGAGCCCGGTTCTTGCCAATGGTTCACCGAAAGACCGAGCTTTAGATCGTGGGAGGCTGGTGTTTCACCCGATATATTTTGGCTCATTGGACGCCCGGGAGCCGGCAAATCCGTTCTGGCCAGTCACGCTGTCGAATATCTCCGAACTTCGAATCGCTACTGCAGTTTTTTCATCTTCAAACTCACCAGGAGTGAGACGTCTACGTTGCACCACTGTTTCCGCTCCCTCGCCTTTCAGATGGCCATGCAAGATGATACTGTGAAGAGAGCAATTCTCCAACTCGCCCAGGGGGGTATTTCGTGGGACGAAACGAACGAAATTAGTGTATGGCGAATGCTGTTTACAAACTGCATCTCCAAACTACCGTCCGTCGTGCAACACTTCTGGGTGTTAGACGGCATAGACGAATGCCCAGGGTTCAATACGCTTTTCGGGAAGAGGTTGCTAGCCAGTCTCCCGCGTGGCCTCCGCCTTCTTGCTACGAGCCGCGGTTTGGGGGAGATTGAACGGGGCCTGGAGTCCATTGGGCCGACTGGCGTAACGAGGAAGATGTTGTCGGAAGCAGACACATTCGAGGACATTAAGCTTTTTACGACCACGGCACTTTCGACGTTGGCTCAATTGCAATCCGTCGAGGCGCGCGAATATATGTGTGAGAAGATCGTCAAGAAATCCCACGGCTCGTTCCTTTGGACGAGGCTCGTCCTCCAAGATCTCGCGGGAGCATGGACCAAAGAAGCGATGGACGATGTTTTGGATGTTACCCCCCGTTGGTTTATTCGATTTGTACTCCCGGATGGTGGAGAGACTTGAGGGGCATACACGAAATATGCTTTTGACGAAGTCTCTTTTGACCTGGGTCGTCCTGGCGTGCCGCCCCTTGACGGTCGACGAGCTAACAGCTGCCATCAATCTGGACACCAACGAGACCCTCCAAACGCCGATGAAAGCAATCCCAGAACTATCGGGACAGCTTCTCTTCATCGACGAGTCTCAGCAAGTGCATGTAATTCACGAAACAGTCCGGGAGTTCTTAGTATCCGTGAAGGATGCCGGCGTTGCGCTCTCAGTCGATGTGAGGGACGCCCATACACGCCTTGGAACTCTACTCCTCAAGTATGTCTGTGGTGAGGCCCCTAAACCTCAGGGAGCCCGGGCGACCTCGAAGGGCTACCACTCGTGGGTATTTGAAAAGCCTTCGGTCCCTGGGAGACCGATTAGTACGTCTCTGATGGACTACGCATGCAGGTTCTTCTCGGAACACATTTGTCTTGGCAATACAAAAGACAGCCAGGTGGTGGACGGCATGTGCGCCTTTTTCAACTCCGACAGCTTGCTTTCGTGGATACAATACATTGTAACCAAGGGCAACCTAACGCCTATTGTTCGCACGGCCTTGAACCTGCGGGCGTACCTCAACGTGCGATTCGACCATATATCAACATCGGACGAGGTCGCTCGGGTTCTCCATGACCAAACGACGGAAGTCATGCATATCGCTGCCAAGTTTCAGCAGCAGCTCCTGAGCTGTCCGTCCGCGATCTACCGTCTGATCCCGAGTCTCTGTCCACCAGATTCAATGATATTTCGGACCTTTTGTAAAGCTCCGCGTTCATCGTTGTCACTACAGTACGACGTTAAAGGTCTTCCTCCCCGTTCATGGGATGACTGTGTTGCTCGGGTAGACTTCGCGAAAGGGCGTCCCTTGACTGTAAGGTATGGGGACAGTCACTTTGCCGTTGGGCTTTCCACCGGCGAAATAATTGTTTACGATGCATCTTCTTCGCAGATTGTGCAACAACTGCAGCACCCCGGAGCTGTTGAACTGTTGGAAAGCTCCTGGGGCGATGGACTCCTCGTCTCTTGCAGCACGAATAACCTCGTTGCGTGGGACATAAAAGCTGGCACGATTCTCTATTCATGCCCATTAAGGTCACGTCCGCTAGCGGTCATGTCTTTGGGCACGGAGGGCATTCTCTGTGCTTCCGAGCGCTGCGAGCTGACAAAGTGGTACGTTGAGAGCGTATCGAAGATGTCCTAGCAAGCAAACCTTTTTCTAATAATTTGAGTCTGTGGCCTCTTTAGGTCCTTGAACTCAGGGGAACATGAGTCGATATCGTGGGTTAACATCGACCAATACAGTCAGACACAAAGTCACAACCACCTCTGGGATACTCAACACAAGATTCCCATTTCACGGCCGAGCCGCGCCGATTTTCTTAGTACCTATGATGGTAGCCTTCTTGCCCTTGGTTACCAAAACGCACCAGTATTCATTTGGGACGCCTTGGAGGTGCAGGTAGTGGGAACTGTGGGCCAAGAAATGATTCCCACTGCGGGAGTTGATTGCATGGTCTTCCACCCGAACGTCGAGATTCCGGTCCTCTTAGTGGCATACCAACCGGGCGACCTTTGTGTATATGACTACAACACGATGGAAACGCATGCCCGACGACGCCGCACGTATGCCACTGCTATTGCTGGCTCTCCCCATGGCCGAACAATCGTCGTAGGCAATGCCCAAGGCGCCATCGAGGTCTTCGACTTGGACTTCAGCGGTACGCGTACGGCCATACTAACGTTAATTTACCGCTCCAGTCACCCATTAGACGACACAATCCGCAGCATCGCGCTCAGCGCCGATGGCCTACGCTTTGTTGACGTACGGAACCGACAGGGGCGCGTCTGGGCACCGATGGGGTTAGTGAGACAGAGAAGCAACGGCGAGGCGGACCAACGAACCAACATCGCGACAGAGATGGAACTCCCTGAACTTCGAGCGGCACCAGAGATTTCTAACGCTGGCGGGGAATTAAGCATTACCAGCCCGCTCGTACCTTCTGCTGATGGAAGTGTTATCGTAGCCGGTAAAAGCGATGGGGATGTTGTTCTGTTTTCTACCGCTGATGCCAGAGAGATCCTCGTCCTATACCAGCACACCGGCAAGTCATCCGTTATTAGTGTTGCGCTTGTCGAATCTCGCAATCTGGTAATCTCAGCCAACGACGCCGGTCGTGTCTTAGTGGCGGAGACCACAACATCTTTGAGCCGACTAGCGTCAATGGGGGCAAGGGCCGAGTCAAACGAAACATATATCGTATGCAACCGCCTCTTTGGCGGTGGTGCTGTTTCATCGCTGATGGTCAATGGGCCTGGGGATCGCGTCCTGGTCAACGGGCGCTTTGCTGCTGAGCTTTGGGAACTCCCTTCAGGGGAAGCATTTCGCCTTAATGCAACTGGCAGAACGAACGATGGGTGTTCTGCACAGACACTCCCAGGTTGTAGCATTGCCGTACCACCCACAGGGAACGACGGAACGGCCACCATTCCTCAGTTTTCGTTTCAACACCCGGCCAATCCCGATTGGTTTGTACTCGTCACCGGGCATATCGCACGCATTTACGCCTGGGCCGACTTCTCGGAGCTTACAGGACAGCAAGGCATCTGGCTTGCAAGGGACCCACCGCAACCGTCGTCAGATTCTGATAAAACCTCGAATCGTTTGGGTTCTTCGGCCCTCTCAAAATCATCTTACCATCTTGGGCCCGGCTTCGTGGTTGAGCTGTTCCGAGAAGCCCCCCTTGCACCGCCGCGTTTGTACCGCTGGCCGTCGACTGCCTTTAACCCTTTTTCCGAGATCACCATGGTGCGACCTACTGTTGAGCCGCTCCTAGAGTCTGTCAGTCCAACGGCCATCGCAGTACTGGGCACAATTGGCTCCGCAACGGTCATGTTTCTCGACGTCGACCTTTGGGTATGCAGCGTGAACCTAGAGCCGGGGGCGACGGGGCCGGCATTGCCTTCACGGGGATTCAACAGGAAGTCGATGTCAACGGGAACGGAAAGGAACTCGCCTATACAACGCCATTTCTTCGCGCTGAGCGAGTGGCGGACCGCCTCTGGGGACCTGCGGTGTACCGTGGTTGTTCCCCCTGTTCGGGTCGGTGCCGGTGGCGGAAGGAGTCGGGATGTCGTTGCATGTGCGGCTGGAAATCGGGTTGTGGTTTTCCAAGGGGGCTTTCAGTTCTCAGAGGACTATGCGAATTCCGCCGTGTAGGTAAGGTAGTTAAGTCGCCACAAGCAGTCATCAAAATAGGGGGGGAGGCTGCTGGGCTTTATCATGGCCTCCACGAAAGATAAACATGAGGACTGAAAACTAGGACTCTTGAGGTGAATGAACTCTTTAAATCTTATTCATGTTGCTACTAGTTAGATGGCATTCAGTCGGTATCCTCTTTTTTGGCTCGCCCACCAACACGGTCGTTAAGCCCTTCTTTGCCGAATCATCGCCCACCGGGGTTGCTTTTCCTTTTGTTCCTGGTGTTAGACCAATGCCTCAGGCGCCCGCGTCTATGAGATGAGGTATGGCAGTATGGCGCTGCCCAAATACATCGCGAAGTTCCATTAGAAAGAGCAGATCTTCAACTTTGCCAACGCCGGGAGCCGGGAAGAGGAGGTAGTCCAACCGCAGCATGCGCATTTCAATTTGCCTCGGTACCTATGCGGCAGAGGGAGTGCCAACCGGCCTCACGCAACTCTCCAGACTACCGTTCGTGTGTCCCGGTACCTAATCCATGAGCTCGGGGTCCGCTAGCGGAGAGGAAAGAGTTTACGTACGTTATGAACGATGGAAAAGGGATCCCAGTCTGGGTCCGTGTGTGGGGCGTATTCGATGACGTTCATGGTTGTGGCAAGGTTAGGGTCATCTTCGCCGTACAGATGCTTCAAAAAAGCATACATCATGTCGATTCCTATTACAGTCGTTAGCCCTCATGGCAACCCACACCACGCCGCGGGCTGGGGACTGTCCTCACCGGATGCGACCCCCGAACTGGTCCAGATCTTGCCGTCCTCCGTCCAACGGGCACTCGGGACCCAGGTGACGTTCTCGCCGTGCGTCGTAACCCAACCCCAGAGGCCCTTGTTGGTCGTCGCGCGGTGCCCATTCAGCAGGCCGGAGGAAGCAAGGATTGCGCTCCCGGTGCAGACGCTGAGCAGGTAGTCTAGTCGATCAAAACGCTGCCGCAAAAATGTCTCGATGGAGGTGTCGTTGTTTTGCTCAAGCGTCACGGCGCCCATGCCACCGGGGACGAGCAGAACGTCGAGGGCCGGCGCGTCGCGAAAGCTGTTCGTGGCGACTAGTTTGGGCTGTAGCATGTAGCCGAGGTCTATCGCCGGTTGGCCTGGCACCATGATGTGAGGCGGGTATGCAGCGCTGACGGGGCCCGCCTCCTTGGCGATTATGGAGAGGGTTATCTGGTAGCTGGCAGACATCTATTAACCATGCCTTAGCTTAGCGCAGAGCTCAAGGATGGTTCAAGGGACTACCGGGCTAGTTGTGTTTACCGTGAACAAGAGCTGCAACGGGCCGAAGACGTCTAAAGGTTCCCAACCGGGGTAAATAATCTAAGAGAGTCAGAACAGTTGCTATGGTCGAGAGACGTCTCTGACGGGAAGACACGAACGATTCCAACAGAGAGAGTTCGCTGTCTATTGAACTCATGCTCGTTCAGGCTTTGTCCCGTGACGAACCTGGGAAAGGAGAGGACTAAGGTCCATAACAAAAGGCGGAGGGAATTGTACATTTCGTATACAGAAACAGTTGATGCTGCTGGTAGGGAGGACTTTTGTATGGGCCTGGAGAAGCGGGAAGCAAGCGGCACAAAAGCGCAAGCAACATGTTTCGATTGCAAGGCTACTGCACGTTTTATATACCTGTGTTAGTCTCACGTCATCCTTTGATCTTGGCTACGGAGTCGCAGCGATTCTTCCGTTGGGGGCGGGTTTTCCCCATTTTGGTGGTGTCTCCGGTGCTACAACGGTAATGTGCTCAATCTTGCGCATTTACTGGGGGTCACGTTGCTAAGACGGAGCAATTCTGCAAGGACCGTCTGTCTTTCTTTCACTTCACGGCGGTGGAGGGAAGGGAAAATTCAAGGAAACAAGCTTGGCTCACGACGATAACGAGTGAAGCGGCATGTGTGGTCCCATACCGAAGGCATTCACGGCGCCAGGGTTTATAAAGGAAGCAAATTGTCCGAGAGTCTTAAAAATTGGGCTCCCAAACACACAAAGTATTGAACGGAGGTGTCCAACACAGGGAAGAAGGGAAACAGGGCGCTAAGTATATTTTTCATCAGACCTTTCCCGCAAGGCATCCTAACCACTCCGGCACAGAATCAGCGCATGCCTTTCCTCCCACCGTAACTCGGCATTTGGAAAAGACCACCGTCCTCCCGCCTCGACAATTGTCACCGTCTCAAGGTTTGACAGCGGTGAGCTCAACATCGTACACGCATCCATTCCTAGTATTGCAATCGCCCATCGGGGCCAGGGCGTGGACATAAAGTTCTCCGTAATCACAAGCAACCCACACAAGTGACATGTCCGAATAGATTGACGACGGCTCGTTAATGTATACAAACTCCTGGGTGCGCTCGTCAACGACAAAGGGTCCCGTAATGCCCCTTTCCTATTCGCGAATGGTCAGTGACATCGGTAACAGTGAAACTTGGGCAAGGAAGCAACATATTGGATCGGCGGCGCTACCCGCCATTAATAGCTCTAAATCTCACAGCCTTCCGCGGGTTCGCAACACAACGCCGCCTTCAAGATGACCGCGCGCATCCAGGCAGATGGACAGAGGGGGCCCTGTAGCCGGAAAGTAGAACCCAACTGTCCGAGTCGTCACGTCGAGTGCGGTGTAACCAAACTCGGCCAGACCCGGATGAGATGACTTCACGTAAAAGCCCGCGACTGCGTGGGAAGGCTGTGGCCGAAAGCAAAAAAGACGAGAGCTGCATTTCGAAGGAGCTGTATGGAGGATAGCTTATCGCGTTTTGGTATACGAGCCAGGCGAGTCCGAATGGAAGTCAGATGGTGAGAGTAGTGGCGAGACAAATACCGGGACCGATATGTGAAGCGTCAGCTCCCTATAACTAGAATAAGAGTTATTGGATTCCTGACTCCTCGGGACTTAGCCCGGAGGGGGAGACTTCGCTGCAACGGGGATGATATTGGCCGAGTCCTCGTCCGTTCATCCCCTGCTCCCGATGAGGGTGCTCGGTACGACCATCGCAGGCAAAGACAGCCAGCCACCGGGCTCACCGCTGCTTGAAACAATTGAAATTTGAAACATACAGAAGATAACCCCGCCACTACAGCAAGGAATCGCCCCATACATCGCCTCTCACTGCGACTCGGGACACGGCGCTCAGCGAACAGGGCGTGTTAGACTTCCGGTTGTGTCAATGAACACAAGTTTCCCATTTTATGCCTCCGTAGCACCACGGCCACGATATAGGAGAACTCACTGCTCCTTTGCCGTGGGCCGGAAGGAACGCTGATTTGATATTCAAAAGCCATGCGATGGACATTGACATGTTTATGGACATTGACATGTTTATGGGGAACAACACCCAAGTAAACTACCAATAGAGAGGATCTGGCAGAATTTTCTGACATTTCCGAGAGAACATTGAAACTGGTCGCTAGCTAGCCTTTAAGTGAGGGAGGTATAGGTAAGGTACCGAGTAGGTGAGAATTGGTTGACGTGCAGGTACCAGAACCCTTCCAAGTCACCCTCATTCCAGCCAAACGGACAATGGACACGTTGTAGAGAGCCCGTCTTCCATCCACAGCAATTCTAGAATCTCAAATTTAAACAGCAACGAGCTCGATATCGTGAACGCAACGACGGTCGGGGTATGTTCGCGGGACTAAAGTGAGCCCATAATGTCCCGAACGGGAACAAACAGCCCAGACGAGGCCTTCTTTCCCCGTGTATAAAATCTCTCTCTCCTTGTCAAGGGCAAAGGGTCCCGTAATGTCGGTTGACTATTTGCAGATTAATCAGCCGCAGTGGTGGCAGTACAACCAGCAAAGGAGCAACGTACCTGACGTTCACCGGCAGTCGCCGTTGACACCAGAGCCCACGCCTCCTGTGCCACTTTCCGCAATACAAAGTCGCCCGAAAGGTTACCATTCTCATCGAGGTCGATGGAGATAGGGCGATAGGTGTGCGGAAAGGTGAATCCGACTTCCGCAGGCGTCGTCTCACGGTCGTTGAGAGAGGCGAAGCCATACTTGGACAGGACCGAATGACGCGACTTCAGGTAAAACCCCGAGGCAGCTTGAGAGAACAGCGCTGTGGCCGACAGCCAAAGAAATGAGAGCTGCATAGCGACGGAGTTTCGTGGCCGGTAGCTTGTCGGGCTTTTACGAAGGGAGCAGCCGAGTTTGAATGGATGGCAGGTGTTGAGGAGTGCAGAGAAGAGACCGGCAGCAAGTTAGGACAGCACCGGCTTCTTATAGAACATCCTTGGTCCAGACTGGCCTGGCCGCGAAATTTCGAATGGCGCACCGCAGCTCGGGTCATATTGGTCGAGTTCAGCCCTAGTCCCGACTAGGGTGATCGACGTGACCACCTGCAGAGAAAGCCACTGGTCTCCAGGCTCACCGCTGCTCGAACCAACAGAAATGAAACATAGGATCCTTTGCTTTGTCATGGATTAGAGCTGGAGGGGTGTGCTGGCGAGAAAACGCTCACTGACCCGAAGACCCCAACAGGAATAGGAACGACCAGCTAATGAGGATACATACGCAAGACGATAGCCGCCACTGTAACACAGATACCGGCGAGAGAAACAGCAATCCTGCCATGTGATAACGCAGTTGGGCGTTCCACACATGTTCTCGAGTAGAGTATCTAGCCGACAGCCGGAAGGGGGAGGTAAGGACATGGAAAGAGTAAGGTACCTATACCGTAGCTTCTCAGGGAGGATTACAGGTGTCGGCTGGACTCTGGAGAGCGGCTGGGGAGTTCGCTGAAGAGCCCTGACGGATACCCTGTTCCCGGCGACGTCCTTCAAAGTTTACTTCCTCGCCTGCAATACACCTCAAACAAGAACCGGGCCCATGAATGATGATAACGGTTTGGCTGCCTAGTAAACAGTCCAAGCGGGATTGCACTTGCCAAATCGGTCTCTCTTGTTGCTTGCTTATTATGGGACATTGAATCCGGCGCTGGCCGAGATTCTTTGCGACTGAAAACTTATCGATACGCAGCTGCTCGCATTCTTGCAATATCAAAGAATTACAGCGAAAGAATACATTTCCCATAAGGCCATACGTGGTCAACTAAGTCCGAAATACCTGAGCCGCCCATCAGTCGAATTTCGTAGCCTTGATCGTGATGTCTTGATACTCGCAAATCTCCGTTCGCTTGCCCTTCATCCTCATATGAAGCCGAAGGCCGTTGTCTCTATTGCCACAGGCATTCCACACGCTACCCCCTTCACCTTTGTACACGAACCGGCCGTCCGCCTCGATGGCAAACGGACCGGTAATGTCGTTTTCCTGCCCACGAATTGATTAGCAAGAGACAGCAGCCTCGAGGAAATGAAACACGTACTTGGATGGATGTAGCCACCCTTGACAGCATGTGCCACTCATCAGGTTCCACTTCCCTGAAAACAAAGTCATTTCCCAGGTGGCCCTTCGCATCGAGCTGGATCTGGGCGAACGGCTGGGCGGGGTTGAAAGACAACACGACAAACGCGTCGAGGGCAGCGAACTCGAGTCTGGCGTAACCAGTCACTGCGTTCGGTTCTGGCCTCGCCACATGCATGTTAAGCAGGTGGTAACCTGAGGCTGCCTGACCAAGCAGGGCTGTGGCCGACAGGAAAACAGACAAAAGCTGCATGGCCGCTGAACTTCGTCGGCGATAGTTGAGATAGATCTGATAGTGGCTGGGCGGGTTTCAAGGGAAGTCAAATGCTGGGAAGATGGTTTAAGAAGAGAGTAACGAGAAGGGAAACGGGAGGAAACTAGCAACGGCCTCATTTATAGGCCCATCCACGTTGTGCAATGGCAAACTTTGGCCCAGGGAGATATTGCCGCGCTCTTCCCGATGGTCCGTGGCCACCGCGATTGCCGCGATCATCCGGGCTGAGATCTCGACGCGTCTCTCCCCGAGTCCCGATGAGCGTAGGCGGCACAAGTGTTGAGCGCCGGACGCAGAAGCAGCCGGTAGTCTCCGCCGCCATGCCCAAAGGGGTGGATACCAATGACGCTCATCGCTACTTGAGCAAGCTACCTAGGTAGGCTTCACCCGTGACGCTTTGGTTTGGGTTGAAGTGGGACGCGGGGGTCGTGCCGCGCCGGGAACAAGGTCCTTGATTCGTAGTCGCAAACACGAGCGAGGGGGCCGAGCGCACAGGCAGAGAAAGCGGAAGGAATGATCACCACATTTGCACAAACGGGCCGCGTGAGGCCAGCTGAGATCTCTACGGATCTACGGATCGACGGGGCTGGATCGAAGATCGCCGAACGCTCGGCTGAGGCAGGGAGGGAACTGAGGGAGTTTATCCATGCAACAACAGATCCCCTCGCGAATCACAAAGTATACCCCAGGAGTTATGTATTTGTGGAACTCCGCGGGTCTTTTCGGAACAGCCAGTAAGCTGGTAACGACGGACCTGGGTCCCCAACTCCTGTCACGCGGCTGAGGGCCACGAAACATTGGCTCCGGCTCTCAGTTATCAGAATATCAGATGCTTTTGTTGGAGAGGCTAATGGTCATAGTCTAGTAATTTGCAGCTGACAAACTTGGAACTAATTGGGGTCTCGTTTTGGTCCACGGTCTCAACCATGTCGCTCTGAAGGGTGCCTCTGAAGGGTGCCCGTGAATCATGAGTCTGAAACCCTCGTTATGCCCGCTCGATAGGGGTTTTCACCGCCGGAGCCTGATGGTTGTCGCATGAAGAATTAAGGCATTTTACTAGCTGGGTTACCGCACCGGACCGTGCGATGGGTGCCGATGTTTGGTTCTTCATGGGGTCACGCGACAATAAATCCAATCATTGATTACCTAGTATCAATTACAGCTCGGGGAAGCCATCGTTAACGACTTTTCAACAAGCTGTTGCGAGGCTCGCGTGGGGTTCATTACGTGGACAGTTGACCAAGAGGTCCACTGAGTTGGGAGTTGGGATGCGGTTTATGGGTCGTTGGCCAAAATGTGCCTCGTACATACATACACATGGGACCCAAGAGAGGCTGGGGGGCTTCCGCCGTTCCTTCGTCCTTGTCCGTTCATGCGCACCCCGGCTGGCCCGGAAAAACCAGGATCTTCTCAGTTACAACCACATCTGCGGCGTAGTATTCGTCGCTAATCTCACAATGTTGCTGGTCTGACCCACACGCCGGTACGGTCGGAATGGAAGCCAAGTCATGATGTTGCGCCAGAAAATGTGACTGGATCCTGAATCTGGCCGGGGGTTGGATCCGAACGACGCCAAAGTTCGTGTGGCCCACCAGGGAGCTGGGTGACGCTGGGGAAGATAAGTGAAGCTGGTTTCGCGTCGTGGCCGCTTCATTCCTTTGGCATCCGAAGGCCCCGTCGTTTGTATTTGTGGAAACAGCAGGATGCGAACAGGAGTGATTCAAGTGGTCGTCTACAGGGCCCTCGGTGCCTTGTTGCTATGGCCCTCCGTGGTTGCTTCCCAGCAGCACCAGCAGCCGCGGATCGCCTTGAAGCTGACAGAGGAAGCCCAGGCAAAGCAACAAGATGATCCTGGGTTCATCGCTTCCCTCATACAGCAAGCCAGCCCGGCGTCATTCAGGCTGTCGGCAACCGAGGAGATCTCTGTCGACCAGATCTTGAAGTCCCACCTCCTTGACGACCTTAAAGCAAGGGTAGTCGCCATGCGAAAATTGGATACCACCTTCAAAGTACCCAACTTCGAGGCGTGGTACAATATTCAGGTTGGGTCAGGCGGCACGGGGGGGCAAGCACGGAGGGCTGATGAGAATGCCGCACAAGATACCACAGGGACGGGCGAGCCGAGGCTAGCTTTGCCGAAGTACACGGTTGAGCTTATTCATCAGCTTTACCAGCTCCCGGAGGTCGAGAGCGCGCACGCGCTTCATCCCGGCCCGCCACCCGGGGTCAATGCCGGCGACGACCCTCGGAGCAGATACCAAGGTTACCTTAACGCGGCGCCTCAGGGCATCAATGCACGTTACGCTTGGGGATTCCCAGGAGGGAATGGCGAGGGGGGTAAATATCATAGACGTGGAACAAGGGTGGAACCTGGACCACGAAGACCTGGTAGGCCACGTCGCTGAGCGTCGGTTGGTTGAATTACGAAGGCCGCCCAGCACTAACATGACAGACAGGCTACCTCTGGCATTACCCTGATCTCGGGCCGAAACCAAGCTTGGTTTGGACACGGTACAAGCGTTCTCGGCGAGATGTTCATGGTTGACAACCAGATCGGCGGGGTTGGGATCGTCCCCGCGGCCAAAGGAAGGGTGGTCTCGCAGCACCGTGAAGATTGGACGTACAACACGGCCGACGCCATTCTGGACGCAGCCGCCCACTTGAGCTTCGGTGACATCATCCTGGTCGAGGCACAAGAGTACGACCCTGTCAGCGGCGTGTATGACTGGCCGGTCGAGGTTGTCGACGTGAACTTCGACGCCATCCAGCTCGCAACGGCGATGGGCATCACCGTCGTACAAGCCGGGTGCAATGGCCGCAATGACCTTGATCAGTATACCAGCCTGTCTGGGAAACGCATCTTCGACCGTTCCAGCCCGGACTTCCGCGACTCTGGCGCCATCATGGTCGGTGGCGCGAACCCTTTGGTTCCTCATACCCCATGGTTCAGCTCCAACTACGGTTCCCGTATCGATGTGTATGCGTGGGCCGAAGGCGTCGAGACGGCCGACACCGACGACACCGGAACCGCAAACTCGTACACGAGCTCCTTCCGCGGCACATCCAGCGCATCGCCCATCATCGTCGGTACCGCAGCCATCATCCAAGCCATATCACAGAAGAGACACAACACCAAAATGCACCCCATCGAACTGCGCCGAATCCTCACCACAACCGGCGGAACCCCCAGCGCGGACCCAGCCACCGACCGCATCGGCATCATGCCCGACCTCAAAACCATCATCGACACCATCTTCGCCGGCGCCAACCACACCTCCGACCCCCACACCCGCGACCACGTCAACAACACCGGCGAAAAGTAAAGCCACCCACACAACCTCACCATCCTATCCTCCACCAGCCCCGACATCATAATCCGCCAGACCCCCCTCGCCAAACCAGCCGGCACCCTCGGCACCGCGATCGTCACGACAACCAACCCCTCCCTCCCACACCCCGCCATCCCGGGAACACGCCCACTCCATGTACCTCTGCCTCCTCAACCGCGGCAGCAACCCGCCGACCCCGCCACCGCTATAGTCTACTGGTCGGAACCCGCGACGCTGGTCACGCTGGACATGTGACGCGAGATTGGTGCCGTGGAGGTTGCCGCGGTCGCGCCGGGGGGTGGGCAAGCCCGTGATGCCGCGGTTGGGGTGGACGGCGCCGGTGGGGGGGTATGGTTGTGGTGGCGGGTACTGGTTTGTGGCGGTGGTTTGGGCGGGGCCGCATCCGGTTCCTGTGATGCCGGCCGGGGTTGGGGAGTTTGTGGCGGTGGTGGTGCGAGGGAGTAATATTGTGGTGTGGATGAGTGTGGTTGTGGTGGATGAGCCGGCGGTGTTGTAGGGTAGGAATGGGACTGGGATCCATCGGTTTCCGGTGAGGATTCGGCGGGCGTTTGATGAGTCGAGGGAGTTTATAGTCAGATGTGTTAGGAGGCTGCCTGAGGGGTCGAGGGTCAGGCTGCAAGTCCCGCAGGTGCTGGCGGGGGCGATAAATGTGAAGGCATGTGGTCGTCGTGGTGCGGATGGTCAGGGGGTTGTGGTTGTGAAATTGGAACCGGGAGAAATGGTGAAAATCGGGAGGGGGTGTAGAAGCTAAAAGTGTGGCGGACTATGAGTTGCAGGCGAAGGTTCCGGATGAAGCGTACGAGTATGCTCTTGTACAGCAGTGGCAAGGGGTTGCGGTGGGAAGGTAAAGCGGAGGTTTGGTCCTGTGGCTGAAGTGTGAGATCAATGTCAACGTTCATGTCAATATAGTTATTATCAGGCTATGGTTGAGAGAAAGGTCCCTAGCGCCGCCATTGGAATAGGTCGCTCGAACACTTGATCCGAACGACAAGTGAGACGTGAACGGAATCCCTCAACAATGACTGGCTGCGGTACGGACAAGTGGGGGGGACAGCAGCCTGAGAGAAGTCCGAAACCCCTCTTCTCCTTTGCAGCTGCTTCCATTGTATGCCTCCGTTCACTCTGACAACTACCTACCAACAGCGATTAACACGGGTACCCCTGGCCTACACGATGCCAAAGCGTGACCGCTTCAGAGACCTACTTTCTACCGTCCCCAGACCATGGAAACAAAAGCAGGAGCGGCGGACACGGGGGGATGAGGAAACGGAACCACCCCAGGAACTTGCCGCCATCTGCGAGGAGTGCCGGAACTTGGATCCTAACGACTCCGAATTCAACGATCTTTACGTGTGGTCGTCACCTCCGTCTGGAGAACCACCTTCTACCTGCCGGTTCTGCCAGTTTATTTACGACGCTGTGACAGCAATGGTCCCGTCTTTTGCTTCGGAGGCTCAGATACATGCGTCTGTTGAGTCGGTTCCGGCTCAGAACAGGATCGACTTGAGATTTGGTGGTCGCCTTGCAGTTCATGTGTATAACGCCCCCGGTATGTTTCTCCGTCAGGACCTAAGTACAGAAGGACCATCAATGTCCCCTGACGATGTCTTAGCCCTTGTACCAGATCGCCAGCGGCAGCCTCTCGCGGGCAATACCAGAAAGGAAAACGAATCTTTTGCGTTTGTTTTAGAGCAAATCCAGAATTGCAAACAGAATCACGCCGTGTGTTCTCAGCGAAGTCCAACTTTCCAACCCACGCGACTCATACATTGCGCCGGCAAGACGGGAAGTCTACGACTTGTTGAACTTGATCCTATAACCGAGATTTCATGTCCTGTTGAATATGTGGCATTGAGTTATTGTTGGGGTGCTTCCGCCTCGTTCAAAACCACGCGCGAGAACATCGATCAACACAGGAAAGGATTCGAGGTCTCTGAGTTACCAAAGTCACTCCAAGACGCTATTGAGGTTGCAAAGAAACTCAATGTTGAGTATATCTGGATAGACGCAATCTGCATCGTCCAAGGCGACGCAGCTGATTGGGAAAGGGAGTCCGGCATGATGGCTGATGTGTACGGCAACGCATGCGTGACCATTGCGGCCCTATCTGCTTCCTCCGTCGCGGATGGGTTCCTTCATCTAAAGAGAAATCCTCTACAGATTTCCCGCTCATGGTCGGATGACCACGGGGCCACAACCGCCTTGGTTGCGCAAGAAAAAGTACGAACTGGGCTACATGTCTCGACATTGCGCAACAATTGGTCACCGACAATGGGCACTCAACAGGGAGACTTTGACCCTGTACAAACAAGAGGTTGGTGTTTCCAGGAAGAAATTCTCTCCAACCGTTACGTCGCCTTTTCCCGACAAGAAATGCAATGGTCATGCAGGGCTACATCCACCTGTCAGTGTGGCTCACTCGATCATGGCGAAAGCACGGGGCCCCTTCGTCAAGCACCAAGCATACAAGACGACCCGTTCGGATTCTGGGCAGAGATGCTCCCATTCTATACCCAAAGGAACCTCTCGTATCCCCATGACAGACTCCCGGCCATCTCGGGACTGGCACGGACGATTCAACGGTGCACTTCAGCTGACTACGTTGCGGGGATCTGGCTGCAAGACCTGAAGCGAAGTCTGAACTGGAAGCTCCAGGACGATATCAACACCTGTCCTTCCACTTACAGGGCACCGTCGTTCTCTTGGGCTTCTATCGACAGCCCAATCTTCATGTATACAACCTCCGACCTCCTCCCGGATATCGTGTCTGTTGTAAGCTGGGATGTGGAGCCCAAGCGCCAGGACCCGTTCGGCGAGCTCAAGCATGCGAGCCTCACGCTGAACGGGTTTGTCCACACAGCAACTCTGCGACACCGGTCAGAAACCTCAGATGGATTCGAGTTCCGCGTGAACATCGCGAGCGAAGCAGCCGTCCTCGACGATGACACGCACCTCGTCAAATTCGAGACCAAAAGCTCAGACGGCACCGAGATGTGGTCAGTACGTCGGTCGGACAAGGAGGTGAAACACGTCAAGGGCGAATGGGGGCCTGGTGTGGCGGTACTGGCACTTTGTCTCGCAGTTAGCGAAAAGGCTGCCGAGTTTATTATCCTCGGGCAAAGCCCACATGATGCTACGAAGCTTGAGAGGATTGGGTCCGCGAGATTCACCGCCGTAACTCCTTCCTATGTGGATTTCGCCAACGAAGTGACTCGGGATTGCTACAGACAAACTATCACCTTGGTATAACACGGTCCAGCAGTTCGGGATGAATAGATGGCGGATGATCCATGTTACGTTACCGGATTATTAAACGGGAACGAGCAACCTATATGCCGTGAAGACAGGTGATTTTGTGGAGGGCGGCAAAAGCAAGGATGAGGTATACCGTAGAAGCCCTTTTCTAGTTCTCATTGCACCGTTTCACAACGTTGAAGCTTTTCGGAAGTTGTGATCCTACGTGAGAGACGACGAGGGGCCTGTCCCTTTTTACGTGCCAAGATCCAAATGGTGCCCTGCATTCTTCCAGAATGCCTGGACGACCACCAAGTGAGCTTCACCGCTGCATACCAACACCGGCCGCGCCAGCCGCTTTTAAGTCCTGCCAAGAGATGTGGTTTTATTAAAAGCGATCCTCCCATCTTTCGGAAGACCCATATTATGCGTCTGCCAATTGGTGTATACCTCAAAACCAGGGAGAGCAGTGAGCATCATGTAACACAAAGCCTGTCGCCATCTTCTCCATTCGCGGGTAAATAGGCTCCCAGGTTTGCGTTGGTGCAGTGGTGGCACCAATGAAGTCCATGGGATAGTAATACACACACCCAAGGTAAGTCGTTGAGCTGCTTCCACTCTTCTAACCCGGCATATGGTGGAATGGAACAAACCCATTTTCGCGTGGAAATTACCAATCCATCCGGGTAGTGCTCATCAGCGTTTTATGGCCCCATACCTACCTAATGATTATACGGGACATCGAAGGTACCTATCAAATATGCAAAACAGAGATCCTACGTTGGTCAATATAGCCGGCGGTTGCCGAGTCGAGGAGCTGACCGTTAACTGCCGGGCCGCATGCGCTTGCATACGACTGACACTTGGCTTACCGGAAATGAAAGCGCCTAGAAGCTTACAGTGCTATCCGAATTCCGTGGTAAATGAGCGGGCAATCAAAAGACTGGGCCAACGGATACCACCGTAGTAAACCCATGTGGACACAACGTGGTAACAGATATAGAATAAAAAGGGGTCGTCCCACGTCACTTTTGGGCGTATTGGGATTGGGCAACGCAACCACGAGTCAGAAACATTTGACGCACTTCTCATGATGATCCAGTACACGACCTGGGCGACTGCCCTGTTTGCTGGCCTGGCTGTGGCTCAGTCGTACCCTCCAGATGCGGTCGATCAGTTGGCGACCGACAGTCTGCCAAAGCTGAAGGAATGGCTCGCAAAGAACCCCCAGGACGGTTGTACTTTTGAAACGGCCGTCAGACGGAGGGAATGGTTGGTGTCACCCCCTCACGTTGGGTATGTCACGGATTGTTAATACTTGATAGGAGCGACTTGACTGTCGAGGAACGCAAGGAATACACGGATGCCGTGCTGTGCCTTCAGTCGAAGCCCGCCTTGACCAGCGCGGCAGCACCAGGCGCAAAGAGCAGGTTTGATGATTATGGTATGCCAGATTTCAAGCTCTGCCCATCCCCTGACGGCTACTCAAAGATTGCAACAACTCCAAAACCTTTCCATCGCAGATATGCAGAATGGTTGACTAACAACATTGCTAGTTGTCGTCCACATTCAGCAAACGCCGAGGAATCACGGTTCGGTAAGGTACTTGCCACGGTAGTCATGATGGCGCCTAACATACGCTAGACCTTCTTCCTTCCGTGGCACCGCTACTACGTCTGGCACTATGAGAACGCGTTGAGAACGGAGTGTGGATATAAAGGATATCAACCGGTAAAGGAAATCTTGTTCTTGACTCACCGTGACCGCCACTAACAGGCCGTGATGCAGTACTGGAACTGGGATCGCTACGCCAAGGACCCCGTTAACTCGCCGCTTTTCGACGGCACCGAAGGAAGCATGGGGAGCAATGGCGCAAAGGAAGCACACCAAGGCATTACCATACCCGGTGCCGGCACTATCCCACCCGCGGATGGTGGCGGTTGCGTCACAGAGGGTCCGTTTAAGAAGTGCGTACATGCAAGACACGAGCTAACTCACCCCGTTCTCAATCTAACCACCCTCAACCCATCCAGCATGACCGTCAACCTCGGCCCGATAGCCCCCAGCCTCCAGATCAAGCGCAACCCCCAGGCCGACGGGCTCGGCCACAACCCACGGTGCCTGCGGCGGGACGTCAACAAACACGCGGCGGCCGTGACGACAGCCAACTACACGCACGAGCTGATCACGACCAACCAGGAGGTGTTCTGGTTCCAGACCGTCATGGAGGGCCAGTTCCCGCAGGGCAAGTGGGGAGTGCACGCGGGCGGCCACTACACGGTCTCGGGCGACCCGGCCGGCGACTTCTACGTCAGCCCCGGCGACCCGGCCTTCTGGCTGCACCACTCCATGATCGACCGCGTCTGGTGGATCTGGCAGATGCAGGACCTCGAGAAGCGGCTGACCGAGGTGAGCATGACGCGCACCATGAACAACATGCCGCCGAGCGCGAACGGCACGCTGGATGATCTGAGTGGGTTGGGCGTGTTGGCGGAGGATGTGGAGGTGCGGGAACTCATGAGCACCATGGGTGGGTTGAGTGGAAAGTTCTGTTACATTTACGAATAAGGGGTGGAGCGCGCGAGGGAGGAGTGATTGAAGGTGCTGGTTGAGGGCTTTGTGGACTGGGCATTGGTTCCCCTGAACAGACGCTTCGGTATCAAAAGAGCTTCCTCGGGAGTGTACTACTGGTTCGGGGCGACTTGAACGATGCAATGTGTATGAATCGACCTATCGCAGTTTACGTACCTACTTCTGGGGAGATTCTTCTTGCCCTCGGGTCTTGGGGGCTAGTACGGCATCCGAAGGCACAAATCGCAACCAAACAGAGAGCATCTGGCTTGACCCAACCAATTTGGAGCCCGGCTCTTCCCCTCCATGGCGTAGGGCTTCACGGCGCGGTGGAGATGTCGATCTTCACTGGCAAGCTCGTTCCCGTCTCAGTCATAGAACCCAAGAAGACCGCGGTCGCCGACGAACTAAAGCATCGCCGTACGCTCCGTTAACAAAGCCAACAACTCGATCAAAAGCCTCGTTGCCAGCCCCCATGGAGTGTCCGACATAATTGGCACCGGAACAGGTTTCTTCGCGTTGCCCAACGTCTCATTCATCAACTCGGTTGCCGTCTCCCCGCGCGAGATATAACAACGGAGTAGCCGGTTTCCCCGGGTTCTGTGACCTCCTCTGGGCGCTGCGCGACGACTTCGCCAACGCTCTCACCTTTGCCCTTTTCGAACCCCCACGGGGCAGCAGCAGTGGCGCGTTGGTGAGCGTCGAGGTGGCGTCGTGGCAAGTCATCTGGCCGGCACATAGCCTCGTGCCGGGAAGGGATTCTGGTAAGTGCGTGTTGAACGCTGTGTCGTAGGAGGTGTACCTTGGGGCGGAGGGAAATGTTGGGCAGCCGTTTGAGTGCGGGGTGGGTTTGAGCGTGATGAAGATGGCGTACTGGGTGCTTTGATACAGGGAAGTGGCTGGCTAACATTGCCAAGGGGGGGACACAAAAAGGAGGGCAGGAGGTGGCATAAATGGGAACACGCGAGCCTTAAGGTTCACGCTACGTACGTCCCTAAGTACTTGTACAAGTAATGAGGGTTGAGCTGGGTAGGGGCATACGCGCCATCGCGGCTCCTAGTACCACGTTCTCTACAGCTCAGATTAAGGACCAGTATAACAACATGTACATAACAGCTTGAAGATGTACCATGGGGACACATAGTCATGCTTTATATAACGCCTGCTGAGGTAGTTTCAATTTGTTGATTCAGAGACGCCCTGTTGCCTCCTCACGAACAGGGTTAACTGGGGAAGCTAGTGGCATACGCGTGGTTTTTCGTTGGCCAAACTACAAGTAAGGACGGCTAAGACATATCATTATGTGAATAAGGGAATGTATAGGATTGGCTTCGGAACCTCGTTTTGATTTGTCCCCTCCCATAGGTTTGATATACTCGGGTCATCACCCATGGGATTGGACTTTCTCGATAGACGCGCTGTCCAAAAGCCGAACGCATACGGAAATGTACTCTAGGTCGGGAAGAAGTTCCTTAGCGATACGAACCATTTCCCGTAGTTTTAGTCGTGTGTATGTGCTTAGATGGGTGTCTTGCTCCTCCAGCTTGAAATCATATTTCAACCCGTTGTTTATCATAAGCCGTCCATCACTATGCTGACGGACAACTTCACAAATCTGTACAAGGTCGCTCGGATCGTAAGGGGAGTCTGCCCATACGTAGTGCGGTGCTATAGCGCCAATCCTAAACACCCGGGCGTCTTCTTCCTTGAATTCAGTTTCAATATTAGGCTCGTTACATGGCTGCGTAAAGGGTTGTGTAAGAATGCCACGGAACACATGGAATAAGTCCCGCTCCAACACTCCTAGAAGTTCTCCATGTTTCCTACTGAGATATGCGCGCCCTGTCTGCGCCGATGTAACCGATTCCACCCCCGGGTCAAACATCATCGCGTGCCATTGCTGTCCGGCCCCTGATACATGAATCCGCCGTATTTTGGTTCCAAATATATGGCGGAGCGTAAGAAAGAGCTCCTTCGCTGTAATATCGCGCCCTATGTCTTGCAAGACTAGCTCTTGGGTGGCGCCTGCAAAGACCGGCAGCGGCGGGCCATTCTGTCCGAACTGATGATACCGTGGGTCGGTGTAAGAACGCCCATCTTTTCGGACAGCGAATGAAAAGACCTCTGTGCCCAGAACCGCCTCCCGGGTCGTTTTGGAGAGTTCCAACAACGGCTGCAGCGATTCGTGTCGCGAGACTGTTCGGTAAGCCTTAGCCCAGTACTGCTTCTCGGGGCTCGGGTTCGAGTTCCCAGCGTTAATAGTGTCGGATTCCCGCATCCAAATCTGCCCGTAGGTCGTCGGTTGTGAATATCCCCAAGCGAGTTCTGTTTTAATCGCCGACTGCATAATGTCATGCCGAATCTCAGCGGGAAGTCGACGTATCCATGAATCTGGTGATTCATTGGTGTTTTGGCCACATTCGGGAGACGCCATAATACGCGGAGAGGGTTGTTGTCGACTCCTACTTTACACACGGAAGTACCTAGCTAACTGCCTAGGTAATAGCCAGGTAATGAAAGTGAGGTTAATGACAACAGAATGGATGTACAGCTGAGGACTGGTGCAACTTATATTTACGGTAACCCGATGGCAATGTTCCCAGAAGGGTGGGGTGTCCTATGAAGTTTTCTGCCTTTGTATTCAGCACATGGTCCGTACATCTACAATGCAGCATTCGAATCTCTTTGTCAACATGGCAGCAAAGCAAGTGAATGAAGTTCTCCACGGCGCCAGCAGAGTCCAGTCCTGCAGTGCCAGAGCCTCTAAGCCTGAGGATCCAAGATGGACATCACTTGTCTGGACACCCGTTCGCACCTTTCCGGATAGGACGTCGACTCGCATTGGGATTGAGTATCCAATCACCTAACTTTGAGGGGCCTGAGCAAGTGAACAGGGGATGGCCGACCTTTGGCCACGTTAACAGCAGATATCACAGTGCAAACCATCTAGGGCAACGTTCGTTCTGCAGGTTGCTTGACTTGTTTTTCTACTCCTTCAGGTCTTCGTCTTATTTTCTTGATGGGCAGCTGCCGAAGTCACCCAGCACGATGCGTATCGGCCTGCACTGTTCACACTCTTTTGTCAACCCCCCTTGGGACCAACAAAACCAATGAGCACAGCCTCCCTTCCCCTCAAGCAATTGCAAAGCCCGTTGATGTTTGCCCAGCCTCGCGTGGCGGGCCATGGAGGTCTATTCTTGGACTTGCGGCTGTCCAAGCGGGGAGGTCTCACTGGGCCACGATTTCTTGCCCTGTCCTGCATAAGTCAGTTTCGGCTGCAACACATCCGACGCGCCAAGGTTTCGAAGCACGGGGTAAAAGAGGTGAGCAGGCTCCCTGTCAAGTCCAACGCTTCTTGATGGCGCGCTGTCATCCCGAAGCCAACGGGCATCACAGAGCGGAATGTGATTTGCAATGGCCCATGTCCCTTGGATGCGTCGCGCGGGTTGTTGGTGATAACTCCTCCAGCAGCCGCAGACATGCAGATGAGGCGTTGAGAATCCAATCTCCCAGCCTTACGCTCTTCCTTCCGTGGGGACCAACGGCCAACATGCAGGATGGCGGTCCAAACCCCCCGGGGTTGGCCTTCTTTCTCGATGGTAACTGGATAGAAACTCGAACAACAAGGCGTGAGAAAGGTGCCATGGGGACGCGCCAAGGACAGGGGACCCGTTCCTCCAACCCCGAGGCTGCAGATGGGGCCCTTGATGCAGTCGTCGTTTGTGTGGTTGCACGCTTCGAGCTTTGCATCACAGCCACGCTGAGACCAACAACCTGCGACCATGCGGCGCATTCTTGCATACGCCCCACACAAACATTCATGAACTTCCTATCCCGACTTTTCGTCCATGGGATGCCTGCTCCCGAACCCTCGCGGCCATTCGCGATGCCTGAGCTGGAAGATTGGGGGCCGACTGCACCCATTGGAAACAGCCGTCGAGGACCAGAGGGTGTGAAGTGTCCGCAGCATAAAGAATACCGGAAGCCCGTGATGGAGTAGTTTTCAGGATATCTCCGTTTCCCCAGACCCTCGACTCTTGTACACCCACTCACCATGGTCAAGCTTGGTGTCTACTCGGCCCTCATCTGGGCCGCCGGCCTTGTTTCGGCCGCGGCCACGCCGGCCCCTCTTGTCGAAGTCCGGACACGGAACCTGCCCGGCACATCGGACGAGCATACCCGTCATCTCATCTGGCGCCGTCTCGCGGACTTGGCACGCACGCGACGACAGAATGTCTTCGAGAACAGCGCAAGCCTTGACAAGAGCTGGAATGATGCGACTGTGTTCAGCTAGTGGGTTTCTTTCTTATTTGATGTTATAACCCGCGGTCGTGGATAGGTGGTTAACGCAAGATAGTTCCTATGAAGCCGACACGGCTGGCACGAAGCTCGAAAACCTCACAGCCGAGTTCAGTATTGAAGTCAAGTGTGTGACATGCTACTTCAAAGCCGGCGCCACTGCCCAGTTGACCATCGGGGGAGACTTCGACATCGGAGACACAATCCGCAATGTCACTGGACAAGTCAAGGATGAGCTGGGCGATCTAGTCCGAACTACAGTGGAGAGCATTGACGATGCCATCAACTTGGATGAGCTTAAGCAATTGGTCGGTCCCGGCGACTTCGAAATGGACGAGTTCATTGATTTCAGCAACGTCAGTATCGATACTGATATTGACATTAACTTTCCCCCGCTCCCGGAAGTTCAACTACTGTTCCAGATCGATCACATGGATTTGTACATGGAAATGGACACGACCATTGCCGCCGGCGTTACGTTGACCATCCCGTTGTACAAATCACAAACAGCTTTCGGAATCACCTTGATGGATGGGCTCGAGGCGGGCGTTTTCGTGACCCTGGATTTGATCCTCAGCGTGGAAGGCGAGATCACCATTCGCTCGGGATTCCATCTGCTCCTCGATGACCCCGTCGGTTTCAAGCTTGCTTTGTTCGGCCAGAATGTGTCCGACGTCATCTTGTAAGATATGACACTCTGCTCCACCGCAAAAGAGTCCTGTTCGTGCTAACGCATCGACCACTCAGCAACGGCGGCCAATTCGAATTCCTCCCTGTGACCGTCATCAGCGGCACCGTGGCACTCAAAGCGATTCTACGAGTCGGCATGCACGCCGGTTTTGAGAGCGGCAACGCCCTAATTCTGAACACGCTGGCCGCAGCTGATGAAGCCAACCCATTCGGCAATTCGGAGACACTGGCGAAGATTCGGGAGATGACAAAATTCACTTATGGGATGGATGTGGGCGTCTTCGCGACGTAAGTACCTACCAAACCGCCCCCGATGCAACCCAGCCCCTATCCCGCCACGCCAAACCCCAACACCACCAATCATTGATCACTAACACGAAGTTACCTACAGTGTAGCCGAGTTCCTCACCAACATCACTGGCGGCGCCGAGCTAGCCGCTCAGGAGGGCTGCGCGCTGAAAATCGTCCAAGAGTACACCCTCGCGGTCGGCGCGGCCGCCGGCGCCACCGTCGCCGTGGGCCCACACACCTGGGGCCTGGAACCCAACACGACCATCCCGCTCTTCTACACCACCCTGGCCGACATCTGCGCCATCACCGCCGACGCCACCCCCACGCCCACCGCCGCCGTGGCCGCCCGCCAGGAGGAGGACGACCCCAACCTGGAGACCCACACCCTCACCACCAAGGTCCTGTACACGGGCATCAGCTGCGCCTCCCCCGGCCTGCCCGCCTGCCCGCAGTCCCTGCAGTCCACCACCCTCCGCACCTCGACCCAGACCCACGTCACGGCCGTGCCATCGGGCGTCACGCCCACCTTCCCGGCCTCGACGGCCCTCTCCGTCGCCAGCACCATCCCCTTCGGCAAGCAGGTCAACAAGCTGGCTGCGACTAGTGGCGCGCCGGTTAGTTACGTTCCGCCGCCGCCGCCGCCGACCAGCTCTGCCCGCCCCAGTGGAAAGGGCGATGATGACGGTGTGGGTGATGTGCTGGATGATATTGGCGAGGTGTTCCAGGGTGAGACGGGCGGGGTGTCGAATAAGCTGATTATTGGGCTGAGTGTGGGGTTGGGGGTGCCGATTCTGGCGGCGATTATTGCGGCGTTGGTGTAAGTGCCCCTCTGCTCCTTCTGTCCTTGCTTGGGTTCCTGTGGTCCCTTGACTGCCTCTTGATGGCCGTGTGGCTAACCATTGTGTGAAAAACAGGCATTACCTCAAGCGGAAGAAGTACGCTCCTGTGCCCAAGTCGGATGTGCACAAGTCGGATATGACCGCCGTGGAGTATACTGGTGGATATGACAGTCCGATGGCTGCCGAGAGGGAGGCCATGGTCAAGAAAACGCCTGATGTGGCGACCAGCGAGGTCCAGCACTAAGCTGGGTGGATCATTGCTATGATGTGGATGGGTTAGGACATATGACTAAAGGCTGGTAAGGATGGTTATGGTTCTTGAGGTATTAGCTTGGCGTTTTTGGGAGGATTAACTTTGGATACCTGGTCGGAGTTACTCCTATGTGGGAAGTTCATTTCTATGGGGGATGTTGTATCTGGGCCGGGTGTGCTATAACTAAATTTAAGTCGGTTAGGAAAACATCTCACCTCTTCTTTTTCCTATGCTGATGACCCCCTTCCCATTCGGTCTTTGGAGACATTGCTTTTGTGCATGTCGGCACATTAGAGCATCGGGGCGAGAGCATTTTGCTTAAGTGATCTGACAAAGCTACCCGGTTTGATGGCAACGGCTCCAGGACCTTCCAGTCCTTGCAAAAGTAACCCTACCTACTCATTAAATCACGTTGATGGCCTCCTCCAACTCACGAAGAGTCAAGATATTTCCGGTCACTTGCCATTGCTTTTCTGTGGACTCCCAGCACTTGCACCTGGCGTCTTGCCGAGCTGCCTCAGCAAGTGGATAGTCAGTGCCGTGGTAACAGCCGTGAGAGTCCAACGGTCGCCCAGTTCCCCCGTCAACCCGGCCCCCTTGAGTTCCAATGTGAAGAGGTGTGTGAATGAGAGGACAGAGTTGAATGCAAGCATCGCTACCACGTCAGGGGCCCCAGCCACGCCACTTGAGGGAGGTGAGGTTGAGGTTGAGGCGGCTGTATAGCCGTGAGCAAGACGGTGCAGTGTGTACAGACTCTTGACCTTGTGCCCGGTCCCTTCTTCGTTATCTTGCCTTCCCGAGCTTGCTGCGGCCCTCCTCCATTCAAACGTCTCCCTTTGCATTTCCTTCACCCCAACCTCGATTGAGAATCTGAACGTGACCCCATGCTCTTGGGTGGTCCCAGCATCCAGCACCTCATCCACCAGATCCCGAGGGTTCTCTGCCGTCTCAAGGGGTGGGATTTTCACGATCGTCACTGGGTTAACGAACGAGACGAGAAGTGGGAACCGAAAGTCTTGGCCAGTGGCAGTGAGGATGTCATCCTTGAACGTGGTGCCATTGCGGAGGTAGTATCCGCGGCCAAAGTTGAGGGGACCCCTTCGTGTGTAGCCGATATGGTATTCGACTAGGTAAAGAAAGTCGCTCTCGCTTGCTCCGCAGAGTTTGTGGCTTTTTATTGTATTGAGAACACCGGAGTAGTTGGCGTGGAGATTCATCACTGGGGGAAACGGACGCTACCCGAAGGAGGTTGCCGTTGGGTGCACCTCGCGAGGGGTCCCGTCTGGAGCACCCCCAATGGAGGCGTGATCGCCCTCCGTCATGTCCGGCATTGTAACTCTGGGCAGTGTGCTGGAATATAATAATTCAACACCAAGAGAGTAGTGGTTGAAGGACGTTCGTGCAAGCGCTCAAGTGGACTGACTAGAAGAGCTACAAACTGGGGCATGTGATAGAATTAAATATCCGGTTGAGAAACCGCGCATCAAGTTCCTTCTAGGCATCATCATAACGTGGGACTCGTGGACCCGTGACTTGGAATGCCGATTTAACCGGATTCAAGGCTCGTTGGGAACCAACAACAACGCACCTTCAGGCCGGGGCCGACAGAGATCAGCGACAATCAACGAATAGCGGTTTCACGCGTCGTGAACAACAGCGTTCTTTCCCCCGGTAACTAATAGCAGAGTATTCCAATACGGTAATTTAAGTTGTTTGGTATTGAGATCCTGGATAAGACCCAAGCCAACATCACCACAGAGGTGCGCTCAGAGGCGTCAACACATTTCCCTTCCTGCTCTGCTCCAATCAGGTCTACATTTTGCCCTGCATGTTCCCCCTCCAACCCCTCCACGACAACGTCTCACTCCTTCTCGGCCATTACTGTTAACGTTATCTGCTATTCCTACCTGGGTGTCAGCTTCCTCTCCGATCTGAGATACAGTCTATCTCGGGCGGGGCACATGTCCCTCTCGGTGTCAACAGTACCCGCACAGTACTGAACCCCTGCACACATAAGCGCCGGACGTCCACCTGTTACATGACAACAGTTACAGGCATCCGAATCAGGCAGGTGGGTCTCTCAGTGGTGGCAGACAGAGGGGATTCGAACAGGCTGAATTGTGTGTGTTGTGTGCATGTGTCCCAGAACAGAAGAATGAAGTGGTGGGAGCCCCCACAGACCCCCAAAAGCCGGCCCTGCATCAAGACCTTCTCCCTCAGCTTGCCCGCATGTCACGGTGGCTGAGCTCGGTCCCGCGGCTGCGGCCTCCAGTAGGTAGGTACTCAGGCGCTGAGATAGAGCGCCTGAGGCGCCAATTTAAATTCCGTTAATTCAACAGCTTGGGGCGTTGGTTCCAAGCTGTTGGTTGGGGGCCTGATCCCTCTTCCTCTTTCCCGCCTTTCCAACAACAGGAGCAGCATTCTGGTCAACAACTCGAAACTCGTCATCGTGTCCACGTTGTCGCTCCATCAGCAGAACCTCTTATTGAAGCTCAGCTTCAAACGCGGTCCGTTAATTATTGACCATCGGCTCGAATAACCCCTCTATTGCCTGCAAGTTCGGACGGCACAACGGTACAACAAACACCTTCAACCCACACTCTTCCGAGCCTCAATCTGGACACCGTCTAACCTCAACCGCCATGGAGACTCCTGGTGTTGGAGACCGACAGGGTCAGCAGCGCAAGCGGAAGTCGCGGTCGCCTGAACCGTCCCCGCCTGCGTCGAAGCGCCCATCTGTTCATCCGCAGCCCGAGCCAGCTTTGCCAGCCGGTCAATCTGATTCCAAGCCCGCCGGTGTGGATACTACCTCGGAATCTGGGACCTTCAAGCGCAAGGGGGTACGGATACGAGGATGGGCGAAAACAGAAGAGAACAAAGCCGAGATCGATGCTTTGGTGGCGAGGTATCACGCCGAAGCGGAGCGCAGCGAGGCCGAAGAAGAGCGCCGCCGTAACCTATCGCCAATCGAGGCACTCAACGAAGCCGCCGAAAGGCTCGAGAGAACGGGCCAGAGCTTGTTCCGTGGGTTTGAACGCTCCAGGGGGACAATTATCCTCCAGGAGGCACCAGCGAGCCGTAACGGCAGAGCGCGATGCCGAGCCGAACACGACTGCCTACAAAGGGTCATGGTGGAGGCGATGTTGCGCGAGAGGTTGCGCGAGAACAAAGGTTTTCAATATAACGAGGACCGATATATGAAGCGTGGGTACATTGACGACGACTACCGCATCGTCGTCAACCGCGGCCCCTCCGACAAGAAATACTATCATGTCCGCTGCTTCGAGACGATGGTGGACCTGGCGCCGCTGATTCCTGACAAATTCTTCCTTGATACCACCGCATCCAACGTAGGCCCGCCTTTATGGGGCCTCATGTTCAGGAACTGGTTCCAAAACAAGGGGTGTGTCGATCTAGAAAAGATTGCAGCATACATCAATGCCGCGAAGGCGTACCGGGACATCGAAGGGGACTCGGATTCGGACACGCATCCTCCTAATACCTCAAGGCCGGTTCTGAGGGACCATGTGACAGCGGCCGGTGGAGGTTGCAGTTTGTCTGATGTCGTCCGGCATCGCTCTTGTGATCTGATGCCGAACGGTTGCATTGCGATGCACCGACCATCTGGGCTCCATTGGACGATAGTATTTCCGGAAAACGAGGGTCGCGTGGTGGAGCTAGACGTGCCTAGGAATGAGGAGGAAAAGAGGGCTGCCCTTATTCGAATCCTCTTCGACAATTCCGACCGCGCAGAGGGCGGTAGTAGGGCCGTGGGCGGGGAGGAGGGACCGAATGGTGCGGGTGTGGGAGGAGAGGGAGAAGAGGCGCAGGAATAACAACGCGCTCAGGGACAACCAAGACATCGACTAAGCACGGAGATGGGGGCAAGGGCCTTTTGGCATTATAGTCTCGGGAGCGTCTTATGCTGGCAATCTCCATGTCGGACTTTCTAGCGAACTCCTGCTTGTTGTCTACTTTGACCACTCTCTCTAACAGCAGGCATCCGTAATGCCCTCTAACCCACAGTAACACAGCTCTCGGTCTTCCTTCCAACTGTTGCGTTTAGGGCATTTCCCATCCCCTTCAGCCGCCCGTCCTTGCGCAGATGCGCTGCCCGTGCAAAAGAACAAATTGATTCATCCTCGATACCTACCTTATGTTACCATGCCGGCCCGGGACGAACCAGCGCGCGCTGGACGATGACGTCCGCAACCTGGCGAAGAGGTTGAAACGTGCTGACCCCCTCGCCTTCGGGCTTCTCAACTGCAAGGGTGCCATGCGCGTGTTCAAGCATAGTTCACAAGTGAGCCTCGCTGGCTTCGACCTGGTCTTCAAAGTGCCCGATGGGACCGACCCGAAGCAGGTCCAAAGCCTGAGGGCCGTGCTACTATTGCCGCAAAGAGCGCCGTCGCTTTCGTGGAGAGCTCGCGACGTCGGCCAGTTATGTGCACGCCTTCAAGTCTGTGCACAAGAACATGAATCCTAAATCGGTGCTTCTGTTCAAAGAGGACATCAGTTAAGTAGGTACCCAGCTCGCTAGCAGCAGTATTTCTGCGACCAACACAATTACGGTTACTACCAGCCGGCGGTCTAGCTTCCTCGTTGGATCTGAGAGCTTCCGCTCTGCGGCTGGAGCGACCAGTATGACGGGGGACCAGGACTGGGCCCATATTAACGTTTACCACCACCCGAAGCGGATGGGCGAGTACCCGGCCGAACAGTGCAAGACGCAGCACGATATCCACAATCTTGGGATGTGTCTGTTTGAAATTGGACTGTGGGAGCCGCTGGGTGGGCACTGCGAAGGGGCGGAGATCCCAACACCTGGGTATGGCCGTGTGGTCCGCGACTTTGCCGAAACACCATGGCCCTGGCCGTTTTTCAAGGACTATCTAGTCCAGCTAGCACGGACGGAGTTGCCGTGGAAAGCAGGCGACAAGTATGCTGACGTTGTAATAACTTGGCTTACCTGCCTGGACACGGACAGCGACTTTGGCGATCCGTATCCGACGCCTATGGGATTCTCGTTGGAGTCCGGTTCATTGAGACGGTATTCGGACCTACACATTTGGTACAGCGGGGGAAGAGGAGCGGCTCCGCATGGTCGCTTAGTTTATGAAGTAAACCCTTCGGCGTTTTCTGAACCCGGTTACCGCCCTGCCAGTGCTGGCGGGAGGTTAGTCGGTCATAGCCTCGAGTTACACGGAAGTCCTGAGCGGCAACGGCTGGGGTTACTAGCCAACTATAAAAATGCATGTGTGCCGCGCACAAGGACCGAAAGACGCGCGAGTGTCTGACCGGTTAAATCCTGTGGTTGAGCAGGAGAGGTTTGGTTGGCTTGCTCGAGGCGAGGGGCTCGTCCGCTGTAGGTCTTCATTGGCAAAGAGGAGAGCGGCAACTGAGGTGGAGTTAATTCCCTACCGAGAGGGCAGGGTAACTTCCCGTCCCTAGGTAGTCGTTCCCGCAGACGGCCGCCTTGGCAGACCCCGGGGACCTTCCAGGTTGGCGGCAGCTTGACTCGCGATCTGTAGACCGGGAGCCTGGCTGCTTTCAGCAGCGAGGCCTACAAGCCTCTCGGGGCTTCGAACGATGAGGGCCGGCACCTTGCCACGGGATGCCCACATTATACAATGTTTGGACAGCGATCTCACAAAGCAACGGCTGGCGGACACTGGCTTCGTCGACATTAAGTAAAGGTCATCCGGTTACCCCTCAACGGCTGGCCTGCACAGGGACCCGGCAGAGACCTTGGCCGGTGGTTCAACCTTGGCGTCCAACGAGCCTGCCGACCACTCAGTTTGGCGCCCTTGACTTTTCGAACCAGTATACTACTTCTGTTACGGCACCCTTAGGAAACCCGATATCCTCGGGGACGTCCTCGGCCCCGAGTCGGACCCGACCGCGCGGCCGGCCACCATCTATGGCTACGAGCTCGCCAACCGGGGCCACTACCGGACGCTCCTCGACGGCGCTTCGGACGCCACCGTCGCGGGTTGCGCGTTCCTGGTACCGTCGGCCGAGGCCGCGCACAGACTAACATGCTACGAGACCAACGCCTACACCCTGGCGACGTGCACCATACGCCTTGACGGGGAGCCGAAGGAGCCGCTGCAAGCGAGGATGTTCAAGTATGCCGGGGACGCACGTGCACTCAAGGAGGGGCGGTTCGACCGGACGCTGTGGGAAAGGCAGATGGGCCAGCAATTGCCGCAGAGGAGCAAGTCGTGACGCGGAGCTGAACGGAATAAAAAGTCATAAGATGGCGGTTCGATGTAGACAAGTGGAAACAATGGCCTGTCACGGATTCGAGGACGACAATGTCATTTGGGCACTCTGTTACCTACTGCGGCTTGGCCCAGCAGCTGGTCGAGCATACCTTATCTAAACCATGATTTTGAACCTCATGCCCATTCGTACAATTGACATGAAGCGAAGCTTCGATTCGAGACTCGAGAGCTTACACTGTGTAACATCGAAGAGCGAACAATGAACGCTTCGTTTCAATTAGTGGGGTCTTTGGCGCAGACTTTCGAAGAGCCTTTGGATGCATCGAGCCTGCCCGAGACAAATTGAGAGTTACACAAACGGGTGGTTTCTGAAGGTCATCGCTTCACTGTCATAGTTTGCGACCCTTGAAGTCTTTGCTGAGGAAGGTGGTACAGTTCTTATTAGCCTGATGTTCGCCCGGCTGTCACCCCGGAGGCAAGTGGCGGGCGCTCAGACAAAAGGTCCTCGCTGACCTCCTGCATTCATCCATAGGATCCTGCTCTTCACTCGTCCCTGGCATATTCCTCTGTATGTTTCCGACACCGGCGTAAGTTGATTGGTTATTAAGAGTCCGATTAAGCGGCCTGGGAACGACCAACGACCCCCTTTTGGCTCGTCCTTTCGCTGCAGATGCTATGGTTAGGCGTTGATGGACGTTTTACACTGTTACAACAGCTCGTCCAACGTGTGCGGCGGGAAGTTCAAGGGTTGCATCCCATAGGTACTCAGCTAGGGGGAGCAACGAAGACGTCCTCGGCTCCACGAAAATCCCGTGTCACAAAAAGGGGGACATTCTCAACATGGAAGGTCTGTAAATACTGCTAGACCGCATCGGTCGACCAAAAGCATCAACTCCCAAGTCTTAGCACAAGTTCAATGCAGCAAATAGAAGCAAGCTTGCATATAAATAATACTACGCTGTAACAGTGTGGTCAGCAAGTCCACCTGAACGTTGTTAGTTATTGGTCTCAACCAAAACCATACACGTTAATCACGTCCGGGCTCGGGGTTTCAGCAGCCGTATGCCGCCGAGTCAGTTGTATCAAGGTTGTTCGTTGATGACCAAGAAGAGCATACCCAATGTCATTGAGAAATTCTAGACACGCAGCTCCGTGTATATAAAGGGTTCTTCTCCTTCCCTCCAACCCCGAGTATATCCTCATCAGCATCAGCACCAGCATCTTCACCTTCTATCTTCATTCCAACACCCACCCAGAATCAACCCCTTTCTAATCGGTGGCCCAAATTATTTACCATGCATACCAAGCAGATCCTCGCCATCTTCTCCCTCTTCACCTCCTTGGCTGTGGCAGCCCCTGCCGGTGAGGTTGGGGACGTGTCACCCCGCGACGCCAGCGATTTGGAGAAGCGCTCCGCCAACTTCACTATGTACGGCGGTGACAGGTGTACCGACGAGGTGCATACCTACTTCCATCAAGACGGCACCGGCTTCCGCTGCTACCCCGTCCCCGCCGGCAAGCGTTCCATTCGCGTTTTTGGAAGGTACCTATGTTTCGCTACATCTATACCCACACCCAAACACATCCCTCGTCCCCTATCAAGAATATGGTTGATAGACACGGAGAACTAATATGTCTTGTTCAAATTCTCAGCTGCAGCGTGCGAACTTGGAGCGGCACGGACTGCCGTGGCGGGTCTGCCGTCATCACCGAACGCGATGGCTGCGTGACCATCCTTTACGGCTCCGTGTCGGTCGACTGTTAAGCGACGCGTAAATGCAGTGTCGAGAAAATGGATAAAGATTATGGGGTTGAAGGGGGGAAGGAGGGGGGGAGGGGAGATAGGAAAGGAGATGAACAACACCCAAAGACTCGGGCTTTGCACTTTCTTGGCGATGAATTTCCGTTTCTCACACTCGCTTTCTGTCACTCTTCTACGCCCGCCGCTTGGGGCCCCGGGTTGGGAATGTGATGTCAGACCAAACTTACAGCAGTAGCCTAGGTAGCTTCAACATCAAGATAACGTGCTCCGTCAAATAATGATAGCCCTTGTGGGTGAAGAATTATCTTGATCCCTGTTCCCTAGGGCGCCGCTGTCTGTAACGGGGTTTACTCTGTGGGAGTGCAGCAAAGTTGTTTCTTTGCGTACCCGGAACATGATCTAAAAAGCTATACCGGGGATACACACACGCCCGCCGACTTCATCGCGAGGACGTCGGTTACCAGGATGCACTCAATGACGCATGTCCGTCCAAGCAGCCAAAAGCTACCCTAGCCTAGGAGCGGACTGTAGTGCTATGCCTCGCCCCGGGCCGCTCGACATCAGACCGCGCTGACAAGGCCGACGCCAACAACGATGACAACGGTGTTGACCCTCAGCCCCATAGCCAGCCCTCAGTGGCTCACGTATGTCCTGCAGGGGGGGCAGCATACGGCCTGTACACGGCATCCGGCGTAAGAATCCGTCAATGTCCCGTCGGGCGTAGAGGGCCGGGGGGACGGGACGTTCAACGGTAGATGCGAAGATGCTGACGGCATCGGTAGCGAGGGAGCAATGCGGCCGGAAGGAAACAATGCCCAAAGTCAGGGTCCTCGCCTCTGTCGAGCGGACGGCCACGTCTGTCAATCCACGCATCTCATTCATCTACATTGTCGAATGTTCGCCTTCCCCGTCCAAATCCCACCAACCTCCTCCGCATAATGATTGCTGTGGAGATGGACTTTCAGAAAGCGAGTGCCATCTGGTCGCCCGAATTCCGGTGGGACGGACGCTGACGGCGAGCTGACCGCAACTGCGTAGCTTGGGCCTACCTACCTAACCTAAGGTACCTAGGTACCCAGCGCGTTTAAGAAGCCCCCAGGGCCAGGTCATCCGTTTTGTCGGCTTAGTCCGCTCTATTCATGCCTGTGTTCTCCCCATTTATCCTAGAGGGTAGCCTATCCTTTCCTCTACAATCCGTCCACTGGCAGTATAACTTGAGGACTTGGGAGTTAGGTAAAGACGGGACATTTGGCTGGGGAGTAGGATCATGATTCATCCGCAGAGATGGTTGCGCCAGCGATGACTTGACGGACCACTGCCTCGGCGCAGACACGGGACCCGCAGACGGCCAACCCCGACCAGAGGCCTACAACAGTTCCACACCGCCACACAATGAGGCCCGGGCCGTCCTGGCACACATGGAAAGCAGAGTTACTCGACATTAGACAATGGGCTCTGCACCGCAGCACCATGGGGAGGCGACTCCCCAGGCGCTACAGTCTGGCTTTCCATATACCGAGCGCTCACCCGGCTCACTCCCATTGGGGTGAGCCGGAGCCATGCACGCAAGAATGCTCTAATCCCGACCTCCGTTCGTACTCGGGACGAGACCGCAAGAGCCAGCGGACATCATTCATTGTTTCGGATCTTTCAGCCGTCCCCTCAGGCTGCGTCTCAAGCGGAAAACAGTCCGGTTGATGAACGTATGAAACTCCACTCTAGCAGGTATGGAATGCCCGCTAGGGGCTGGGGGCGTTGGGGAGCGTGTCCCGAAGAGGCTGTTGGATAATCGATGCACCGTGACCTCGGCTGCCCAGTGGCAGACGAGTATCTGGGTATATAGACTATAGTGTGAAACCCATATCATTAACACCTGTAGCGGTTGTTCCGGTGCCTCGAGAGGGGAATGGGAATTAACCTTCCCATTCCTTACCCCACGGCAGCTTTTCTCTTTGGAATAGTTCAAGCCATGATCTCGTCATGGTCGTACCAATAGGCAAATTAATGAAAACATTGCAAGATGGGAGCTTCTCTCCTCCCAAGGGACGATGACAATTGTGAGATTAATTTCCGAGGGAGCTTGGGGGCCAAGCACAGCTTGGTCAGGAAGGATCACAGCCGTGAGATGAGCTTCTGGGGTTGGACTCGGCACCCAGCGACACTTTCTCCCCTGGTTGGTCGAAAACAGACACAGCCCCAATCATTCCTCGCGAATGCAACGAAGCCCAGTTTTTCTCAGCCTGGAACAATCGCGGTTGATCATCGGGTTACACAAAGTTCCCGTCGATGTGTCAGCGTGAGCAAGAAATCCTGATCATCAATTCTCAGGTCAATGTTCACAACATAACTACCGGCAACCGGGAACAACAAGGCCTCGGCGCCACCCTCACACCCACGAACATTCGTGAAGTTCACCCCTCACCGCCTAACCGTACGTGTTCTAGCTTTCCGCCATGTCGGACGGGAATCCCGGTACGAGCACCAGCCCATGCGGCTCAGCATGCACAGGTTACTGACACAGTCATAGTGCCTGATAGCGTCTACTTCTATGCGCCCAACAAGGTGCCCGCCATCTTGTTCGCGGCCGCCTTCGGAGTGACGGGGCTATTTCATCTTTGGCAATGTTTGTCAGTGCATCCCCTTGCTATTGTCTGAACGTTCTAGGTGCGCTAAGCTGACACCGGACATCCGTCCTTTAAGTTATTACACATCTTGGGCACCTGTGACCGGATTTCTCCCGTTCTTCTGTGCCCTCCTGACAGCGGGCTATGCGACCCGCGGCTATGGAACGGATCATTACGATGATCCGCAAGTTTATACAGCCAGTATACTGTTGCTCTACGCCGCACCGTATGAACCCCCCCTTCCCCTACCTAAACCCCGCCCTCCCTCCGGTGCAATGCCCCTATAACTTTACACTCCCTCCAACCCTCCACCCCAGTCTACGTCGGTACCTAACTAACCACCCTCCCCACCGCCAGCCCCCTCCTCCAACTCACCAACTACCTCATCCTGACGCGCGTCTTCCACTTCGTGCCCTACTGCGCGCCCATGCACCCCTCGCGCATCATCGTCGCCTCCTCCGCCTTCGCCGCCGTCATCGAGCTGCTCACCATCGCGGGCATGGCCTACCTGACCGACCGCACCGCGCCCGACAAGTCGCTGGGCATCGGCGAGACGCTGACCCGGGCCTCGCTGGTGCTGCAGGTCATGGTGACGGGCGTGTTTTTGCTGCTCGCGGGCTTCTTCTACTACAAATGCCGCGAGGGCCGCATCCGCAACGCCCGCGTCGCGCGCCCGTTGTTCGTGTCGTGCGCGAGTATACTGTTGGTGTTGGGGCGGACGATTTACCGCACCGTGGAGCATTTTGGTGTGCCGGCGTCGAGGGAAGGGGTGGATCCGATGAGCTTGAGCCCCATGGTGCGGTATGAGTGGTACTTCTATGTGTTTGATGCGGCGTTTATATTGCTGGCCACGGTGCTGTTGAACATTGCGCACCCGGCGCGCTATCTGCCTGAGAATCCCCGCCTGTATCTCGCGCAGGACGGCAAGACGGTGTTGAAGGGGCCGGGGTGGAACGATTCGCGGTCAAAGACGGAGACCATCTTCAACCCGTTTGCGATGCTCAAGTCTGATGGCCCGCGTCAGAAGAAGTTTTGGGAGCAGAATGGGTACCATATGCGTGGTGTGAGGAGGCCCGGGGCAGGGCGGTAGGGTCCGGCGGGGGATTCGGTTAGTATTCGGGGTCATTGACAGGGTTTGAGCTCGGGATATTTGGAATGCGATTGTAGGGTCCGGAGTCCCGTATATGATCACAAGTAGGCTAGTCACGGTAGTCCCCGCCTGCATTGCCGAGGCACTAATGCGAATAAGTATCCGGGTTGGCTTAGAAGATCAAAAAACTAGCACAAAAGGGTTACAGCTTGACTGCCCTTCAACTAAAACCAATCACTCTAGAAAGCCACACATGGCGAGGACAACCGCCTCCGAGCCTTTCTCCCCGTTTACATCCCCAACATAACCAAGCTTGCCAGCGCCAACATTGGCAAACACCACCGCCGCCTCCGTCGAGTTTTCCTTTTCAACGTACCACATCGTTGACTTGTCCACATTGTCGACATAGAGGGCCTTTTGGCTGTATGCCGAGGGCAGCTTGCTTGCCAAGCGGTCACCGACAACGTTGCGGCGGAGTTGAACGGTTTCCCGAAAATAAGACCCTCGCCGCCACGGAAGACCGATACGAGTAAAGAAGCGATTGAACTGACCCAGTGATACCATGCCGCTGAAGCAACCCCCTAAGATAACGGTTGTGCCACCCCGCAGCAAGTCTATCAAACGCTCGCAGAGCTTCTGGTGGCGTGTGACGGCCCCGTCGGTAACCAGGACGACGGATGGAGGAGGCTGTTTGCTCAGCATGCTGAGGGCGGCCTCGGCTTTCGTGGCTCGCTCCATTGTAGCTTTGGACGCAAGCTTCGCGACGAGACCGCCAAAAATATCGTGGAACATGTCTTCGTAATCCAAGCACAATGTCAGGATGCTGGGCTTGGTTTCTGCTCTGCCGCCCGTAGGCTTGGTCGTGCTCTTAAAAGCCCGGATAACGGGATCGCGGAACTCGGGCTCGCCCCTCTCTCTGTTGGCCGCCGCCTTTGCCAGGGCATCAGCTTCCACATTTCGCTCCCGTGGAACTTTCCATAGGTCAACCCTGCAACCACGCCTGTCCAACTTTTCCACCTCGCCCAACAGTAGCTCCCACAGGTCTTTGTTCTTGACAGGGGCTCCGGACTGCGTCATCCACCCGTTGAGCATCCAGCCTCTGGTCCAACTGGTGGCGCCGTCAACAACATACGACGAATCCGTTGCTATTACAATCGTGGAAAAGCCCTCCTGCTTCCAATCGCGCACTCGCAGCGCGGCGATGGTGGCGCGTAGCTCAGCTCGGTTGCTGGTTGCTACGCTATCGTCCCCGAACGGCCCTTTGTCCTCGAGGCGACCAGAGGCGCTATCAGTAGGACCGTAAACAACTGCCCAGCCCCCGCGAGGGTTCGGCTGTCCGTTGTTCGTGCAAGCACCGTCGACGTAGAGGAGAACCGTCTGGGGGTCGTGTGAGGAGATGAACCGGACGCTCTGGCCGCCGCTGATCATAGTCGCGGGAAAACAAGCGGGCGGAGAGGAAGTCGGCACGTCATGTTCGAACTGGAAGGGGAACATAAGGCCACGGCCTCGCTTTATCTCTAGGTCGCCCTGCCTTTCCTCGGCGCCTTTATAAGCCTGGACGAACTTGTAGGTATCGGCGTCGGCCATCCCCACAGCCTCCTCGCTCTCCTCCCAAGCTCGTTTGCAGTGATACAAAACGAACTGGGCTTCTTCTGGAGAGCCATGAGTGTAGTATTCCGGAATGGTGGGAGCGCCTGCACCCTCATCCAGCAACGCGTCCCAAAAGTAAGGGTTAGCCTTGTTGACACGTTGGCAGAGCTCATGGTATTGCCCCTTCAAAGCCTTAATCGTTGATGAGATCTCGCGGGGGCTGAAGGTCCGGATCTTGGATTTCACGAGGTCTCCTACGGGACGATCAGGCTCAGCAAAACCGCCAACCCCGAACCCAAATTCCGACTCATACGCCTGAAAGTCGAGAAGGAGGCGCAGTTTCAGGAGTGTTAACGCGACAAGATGACTAAGTCCCCCCAACGACGGGTCAACGGCCTCGAAGACGTTGGCGCCCTTGGTGTCCAGATACGGCAGGTCCATGTTTCCCCAGTCATACGTCTCGTGGTCGACCGTCGCCCACCACTTGAGGAAGTCGTAGCACTCCTGTTCTCGACCGAGCCGCAGCAGCACCGAAGGGATGATGTCGCGCACGCCCATATTGTCGCTCCGACACAGACGTAGCATGTCGGTCAAGTGGTCGAGGGCTTTTTCTACGGCAGCCACGGTCCCGACTTTGAGAAGTGCATCGGCGGCGTTGAACCGGGCCCGCATGTAGTCTCTTGTGCCGAGTATGCCCCAGAAACGCCCGACGCTGCTGTTGAACACGTCCGCCGGTATGAAGTTACTGCCGGCTGCGTCTCGGAGGGCCGCCTCCTCCCGCTCAAGCTTTTCTCGGGTGTCCTTGATGGTAGTACAGGCTACCTTGTGCTTCGATCGGTGGGTCGACTGATGCTTGGGGTTGCAATAACTGACGACTTTGCAACCGCCGCAGCGGAGCAAGCCTGATGTCGATGGGCAAACAGCGCATCTTTTCGAGGTAAGTCCGAAGTCCAACCACGACATGGCGTATCCAAGGCTAGTTGGGCGTTTCTGGTTTCGTAGCGGTCAATGGTCGGCAGTCGGCCGTCGGTGGTCAACGGCAGTAGTAGTCAATTATTGGCTAGAACGTCGGGTTGTTGCTGGGGGCTGGAAGCCTTTCCCCAGCCCATTTGCGGGGACATCCATCCCCGGATTTCGGCGTCTTGCTGGTGGAACCCACAGTGTGCGAAATCGTTCTTGTTCAGCAGAGGAAGGGCCTTGGTGTGCTGCGCCGGTGAAGACTGCCCAAGCCGACGACATAATAGCCGGGGATTTCATAACCACCGTCTGATCGTGCCAAAAATATACGCCTTTTTTCAATCGGGGCGGGCGTTTTCTTGGCTTCATAAGTCGATCAGAAGGACGTACACAGATCGGGCTAGTATTATCGAGGTGGCAAGCACACTGTGACATCGGCAGTTGTCCCGAAATCCCTTTCCCTCTCCGGCCGAAACCGGGTGTTCGGAAATCCCCACTGCTCCCGGAGCAAGCACCCAACCCCGGCGCTCCTCGCCCCGGCCGGGTATCACTCTCGATTTGTGTCCGGACCGAGAGAAACTTCACAGTGATTTGTGGTCGCTTAAGGGCGTCAGGCGCCAAATAGGTTCTAACGAACGCCCGCACAAATTGTGAGCTATTCGGTTATGAGCAGACATTCTACCTCTCGTACATGAGGTAGATCGGTACTTGACGTATTTGTGCACCTTTAATTCCGGGCCCGGAGATCTTCAATTCTCATGGTTCTGTCCAACTTCCTGAGAGTCCCGTCCAACGATGCACACCTTCCGAAACTGGCCCATGCCATGTCGTCCTACACCTTCCAATGTCCGATCATAAGGCAGCCTACCTGAGGTAACCGCACTTGCTTCAAATACGGTCCCGGCCCGACTTATTCGTGACGGATTTGCATCCCAGCTCTTCTGAAACATGTTGGGCACCAATGACAATCGGATCCCAGCCCAAGCTTTTCACTTCAACAAGAAACCTGACCCGTAGGAGCTCCCCGCCATTGCCACACCACACCACAAGAAACTAAACCACCATGACCTCCAATCTCGATGCAGCAGCGCTCTTCCGTGTCGACGGCATGGTTGCCGTCGTCACCGGCGGAGGCACCGGTAAGGAAGCTCACAAGCAACAACCGACGTTTGTGATCCCCACGCCCAACACCATACTAACACTGGCCCGTAGGCATCGGCCTCACCATGGCCCGGGCCCTTGCCGTCAACGGCGCAAAGCGCGTCTACATCCTCGGCCGGCGTCTTGACGTCCTGACCACTGCCGCGGAAGAACACCCTGGCGTCTTCGTCCCCATCCAGTGCGACGTAACTGTCCACGCTTCCCTGCAAGCCGCCGTCGACCAAATCACCTCCGAGACGGGCCACATCAACCTGCTCATCGCCAACAGCGGCGTGGGCGGCCCGTCCGCAGGCTGGAACCCATCCCTGCCGGTCTCCGAGGTCCGCGCCAACCTCTTCTCGCAGGCCAACATGGACAACACGACGTCGTCCCTCAACGTCAACGTGACGGGCGCCTTCTTCACCATCGTGGCCTTTCTCGAGCTGCTGGACGCGGGCAACAAGGCGGCGCTGGCGGGTGGGTTCGGCCGGCCGATCGTGGAGGGCAGCGACGTCCCCGCCGTGCAAAGCCAGGTCATTACCACCAGCAGCATGGCCGCCTTCAGCCGCATGTACCTGTCGACGCCGGCGTATGCGGCGGGCAAGGCGGCCATTATGCACCTGACGAAGCATGCCAGCTCGAACTTGGCTGCGTACGGAATTCGGGCCAATGCGTTGGCACCGGGGCGTGAGTTTCTTGCTTCCGGCGATTGAATCGCGGTGGCCGAGAAAGTGCTAATGAGTTTTCAGTGTTTCCTTCGGAGCTAGCCAGCGCCATGATCGGCACCCGGGACCCGAGCAAAGAGTCGCCCGATGACCCGCGGTTCCTTCCCTCGCTGAGGTTTGGGGGCGATGAGGAGATGGCCGGTATGCTGCTGTACCTGGCGAGCCGCGCGGGAGCTTACACCAATGGTGTCGTGTTGCTGGCTGACGGTGGACGATGCGCGGTGATGCGCTCATCGTATTAACAAACGGTTTCACGGGGGGACGAAAGAGTTATCATTACGGGTTGCGTGTGCCATAGTTAAGCTGAGCTTGTTATCGATTAACAGATGATGAAATGAAAACGCAAAAGCAAGTTATACGGGAGTTCCTATTCCCAAGCTCTACCACGCCTACAGAATACCCTTTCTCTCCCCCTACATACCGGACCCAGCAGCATACTCCTGGCTCGCGCCCCCCGCCTTATCAGCCGGTGCTAAGTTCATCTTGGCCGGCCCATTGACGCAAATACCCTCCTTGGAGAAGCGGCTGCCATGGACAGGACAGTCAAAACTCTTTTCCACGTCGTTCCAGCAGACAACTCCCTTCATGTGAGGACACAGGCCGCTGTACTTGTGAGCCTTGCCTTTCTCGTCCTTGTAGATGGCCAACGGCTTGCTAGTTGCCTATGGGGTGTCAGTGGGGGATTACGGCGCAAAGCGACGCTATCGAGCTTACCGAATTCAAGACACCACCACATCCAGTCGCCAACTCCTCGATATCCGTGATATCGGTTTGGAGGAATCGCTTGTACTGCAGGTTGATCTGCACGTCATGTTTTACCATACTCGGAAGCGTCTTTATGATACTGCCCAGCCTCTTCGGGCTGTACAGCGACGCCCACTCGTTCGGCTTTTCCTCGATCTCGTCCGCAATCAGCCGCCCCGCCAGCACACCATGCGTTAGCCCATCTCCAGAATCGCCCGTGATGACGAAGACCTTGTTGTTGCCCTGGTTCTTGCCGATAAATGCCATGTAGTCAACAGGCTCAAAGATCTGACCGCTCCAGCGGTAATCTGTCGTACCAGCTTGGGTAAACCGCTCGCGAGTCCACTTCTCTAGCTCATCAAAGCGCGGTGTCGTCTCTTCCTGCCCGACTTTGTGGTCACACCCTCCCACAACCAAATAATCATCCTTGTCGTCGCACGCCGTCAGCCGGACGTACTTGTACGCCTCAGCGTTGTCGTACAGCAGACAGTCCTCAACGGACCCCTTGGGCACCCGCACGGCGATGCAGTAGGAGCGGAAGTACTCGAGCTCAGCCACAATCGACAGCTTCTGCAAGGGGATGCACGTTGCCTCGACGGCGTATTCAGCCTTAACCGTGTGGCCTGCCTCGGTCTCGAGAGTCACCGACTTGTGACCCATGCCGAGCACCTCCACACCCTTCTCGTGGATGCCCGAGACGCGGGTGCGCGTGAAGCACTGGAAGTTGGGCTGCTGCTTCAGCCAGGCAAGCACGCCAGCCAGGTACCGTGTCGGGTGAAAGGTGGCCTGGCTTTCGACGACCATTCCGCCGCGCTGGTCCGGCTTGCCCGTCCAACCCCGGACAGTCAAATTCTCCTATCACATCGTCAGCCCTGCACTCCCCCATCCCCTCCCCAACCAACCCCCCCCATCATGCATGACAATTGAACTCACATCAAACCGACTCTCAATCCCCAACCGCCCCTGCATCCCCGCCTCCTCCCTCAACTCCCCCATCTCCCCCTCATACCCCCCCTCCCCCACCCGAAACTGACTCACATCATACGCCCTCACCCTCCGAAACTCACACTCGATCCCCAACTCCGCCACCACCTCCCCGACCCGCTCCCTCGCCCACGCATGGCTCTCCGCCGCCACCCTTGCACCACCCTCCCCATGCATCTTCGCAATCTGCACGTACCCATCATCCAGGTCGTTGGTCAGGTGCCCGCTCGTGCGGCCGGACTCGCCGGACAGCACGTCGCGCGCTTCGAGGAGCGTGACGTGGTGCTGTCCGCGGCGGATGAGTTCGTAGGCGGTGTGGATGCCGGCGATGCCCGCGCCGATGATGGCGATGTCGGTGGTGAGGTTCTGGGTGAGCGGGGGGAATTGCGGGTGGGCGGTGAAGGGTTGCTTGTGCACCCAGACGGGGTCGGTTATGCCGGAGGTGTGCATGAAATGCTCGGGGTCGGGGGTTGCGGGGGGTGGGCTGGCAGCAGTGGTGGACATTTTGGGAGTTGTTGAAAGAGGGCTGGTTGGTGAAGGCGGTGTTAGTGTTAAGGGTGAGGTTGGTGGCGGTGATATCATGTATGTGTAAGTCTCAGGGTATAAGTGACGTGGGTGCATTTTGAGGCAGGGGTTGGAGCCGGGGCACACATACTGATGTTGAAATAGGGGTTGGATCAGTGACTTGTTCTGGTGAGCGATGGTAAGCCGAGAATTAGAAGATTGAGTTCGACTAGGTGATGAGCAGAATAGTTGGGAAAATTGACGCCGAATGGTCAAGTTATGTAGGTGTCGCGATGGGCGGGTTGCTGTGTAAGTGACGTCACTACTGAAGTTACAATGCCGAGTTGCTCCCAGCCTGGATGGTTGTCTCGAACAGAACATCGCGAGTGCCATTTTGCAAATGAAACAAAACAATCCTCTCGAAACACAATGTAGAAATGTCAGTTCACTGTTGTCGTCGCTAAAGTCTCGGGGAAGGTGAAGAGAGCGGTTTTGTTCTTCATTCGCAATTCGGATCCATAAAATAAGGGGGGGATTCTGGCCCCTTGCCTGCCCTCTCCTCATAACCAGCGTCTCACTTCTATGACGACACCGCTTCGCTGCCGGAACGACAAACCATGCCGAGGTAACAGCATAAGCTGCTATGGAAGTAAACAAAACACTTCTTGGATTGATTCGTTACATGTACTCCACTATTACTTGACCAGGAAGAATGTGTTCCCCTTGTCACTTACATGTACACAAGCTCTAGTCGGCCAAAGGTGATGGCCTTCGTGGCTATAGAACCATTTGCAAAAGGATGGATGTAACAATGCTAGTATACTCGCGATGCAATTGCAAGCTCGTGCTACCCGTTGCATCATACTGCGTCGGCGCTCCGTTGTACCTACTTACAAACCCCCTGTCCATGCGAGGAAAATGCGTGATAGAACGACAGTGGAGCGTCGTTGGGCAGCTGAAAGGATGTAAGGGAGATACAGCTGGAAATGGTGCCATGGAAACGAACAAAATATCTTGTGAAAAAGTCGACAAGCTTCCATTTGCCTTACGACTCTAGCTCTCCGACTTTAATTTGTTTGTTTGAGTGCAGTCCCAGTCGCCGTGTTCCCCCCTCTCCGGTTGGTGAATGCACGGGCGAACATTGCTCCCGTCTCTGACATGGCTGATGGGGGCGAGTCGCTGGCTCGTCAGAGAGGGATCAAGGAGAGCGAGTTAACAGTTGCACTTATCGGGATAGGGACGAGCAGGCTTTAAAACTGAAGCAAAGCGAGCTGGAAACCTCCTTGTCCCGGACAACTTTGTTGTCAGATCGAAAACCCGACGTGGTGCCCGAGGTTCGTAGGAAAGATTCGGCGGGGGAGGAGGTAATATCAAGAAATACAGGACACTTTTAAAAACGCTGTCGTACAGTTTTGGGAACAAGGTTTCGGGCCAGCAGGGCCCGGGCTTCAACGTACTCTAACATCAGTCCCAGTCAATCTGATAGAGGCGGGTTCCCGCAAAACCCGCAGGAAATTGCCGACCCTGATTCGAACGGCAGCACTGCTTTCCTTAACATCAAGTGCAATGGCCCCCCGTGTGTAATAACCCCATTCCACGCCTGTCGCAGCTATCCGGTGGAAGCTCGCAAGAATTTCAATTACATGTTCCGCCACGTTCTCCCCCCTGGTCGCTGCGGATCTTCTCCCCTTTTCCTCTGCAGCCACTGAATAGCACTCCACAGGTTGAAATTAATAACTAGTTGGTACTAACTTCATGATCAGGGCTTGGAGGGCTTGGAGGGCTCAGTTCTTTGTTCGTTGTTTCAGCCGTCGGCGGTGTGCGCATCCCATCAAGTGAGCTGTCACATTTGCATCCCCACGGTTTTCGGTTTTTTTCTTCTGCCGTTTCCTCTGCGTTTGGTGACCAAGTCGAAGCAAACAGCAACGCTTCCACCTCTTCAACTGGCTTTTCCCTTTCCTTTACACAAAACCCGTTGTCACCGTTGCCCGACTTCAAGTTCCTTCTTCCTGTTATCATTCTCCTTCCCAACCCCTCGCCCAGCCCCAACCGTCGTACAAAAACAAACGGAGCTCTCGGATCTCTGCCGTCTTCCGCTCACACTCTCCGGTCGCCCACCCGACCTTCCCACCATGGCGACCCTTGCAGTTAATCCGGACGAGGAAAGCACGGAGTCGTGCATCGTTGTTGCACATCGCAGAAGTCCACGATCCAAGAGTGCGAACATTCCGAAGGTGAGTCCCCAACGCCGAACAAACGGCCGTTTGCTGGGGAGTCACGGCGAGAACTGCTTCCTTGTCGAACCGCCCATCCCCATCGGATTTCCCCCCAGGCTTACTTGGTGTTTCATCAAATTCTAGAAGACTACGATACCCATGAGACCCGCTACGAGGGGCCGACCCCGCGGTCAACCGCAGCCGGTCAAGAGGCCGCGCGGGCGGCCGAGAAAGCCAAGAAACAATACGGCCGAAACGGCCATCATCCTCTCTGATAGTGATTCAGAAGGAGAAGGCAGCGAGCCACCTCGGAAGGACAAGAAGAGACCTATCACAAAACTCGAATCCCCTTCCTCCGCCCCCGATCCGAAACGACCCGCACCGTCCTACCACGCTTCCTCGTCTTCGAAAGCCGTGCCTGCACCTTCCCGGCCAGACATAGACGAAGTCCGGCAGCAGCTAGCCTCCGAAAAGAAATTACGAGCCGATGCGGAGGGAAAGCAAGCTCAACTCCAAGAGTTGCTCGACGAGAAAGACTCCTCCTGGGCGGCCGACTTGGCCGCCCAGGCGATGCCTCTTCAACTGCAGCTGCAAAGAATAACAAAGGAGAAAAAAGACCTCGATGTCACTGTTGAAGACCTTGAGACGCGCCTTCAGGCGTCTTTGGGCAAGAACCAAGAGTACGAGTCCTCTCTCGAAGCCCTGACCGCGAGCGCTGCGGGGGCAGAGGATATCAAGACCAAGGCCGTCGCGCAGGAAGCCCTCATCGTCAACCAGGGTGCCGAAATCGCGCAGCTAAAGAGCGCCGTCGTGTCACGCGCGAAGGAGCTTGCTGCAGCCAGCCAGCGGTTTGGCACACTGACGGCGACCCTTCGCGACCTCACCACACGCCATGCCACAGCCACCACCATCATCCAGCAGCACGGAGCCAGGATCCAGCATTTGACTCACGCACTGTCTGAGGCGAAGAACAAGCCCGCGGCTAATGGCCCACTGGTTGCCGCCGCAAACGCCCTTAAGGACACGAGGGAGCGCCTCGCCCAGAGTGAACACCAGAAGGCTGAGCAGAACGCTGCAATTGCCGACCTTCAGCACAAGCTTGGTGCCTCAAAGGAGAAGTGCATCGCGGTGGAGAAAGAGCTCGCCACGGCCGAGACCGACCGCCTCCATGCTGAGAACGACTTGGCGAAGGCAAAGGAAGAGCTGGCCGCGGCGGAGACTGGCCGCCTCCATACGGCAAAGAGGCTCGCCAAGTCAGAGGAAAGCCTGGCTAGAGCCGAGAGCAACCGTCTTGATACGGACAAGAAGCTCGTCAAGACGGAGGAGAAGTTGGCCAACGCTGGAGGGAAGCTGGCCGAGGCAGAGCAACAGCTGGCTGCAGCAGAGACCGGCCGCCTGGATACGGAAAAGAAGCTCGTCAACTCACAGAACAAGCTGGCCGCGGCGGAGACCAAGCGTCTCCATGCTGCGGAGGAGTTGGCCAAGGCAAATGAGAAGCTGACCGTGGCAGAGACCAACCGTCTCCATACTCGGAAGGAGCTGACCAAGACAAAGGAGAACCTGATCGCACTGGAGAGCGACCGCTTCGATAAGGAAAAGAAGTTGGTCAAGGCCGAGGAGAAACTGGCCGCGGCGGAGACCAGCCGCCTCATCATGGAAAAGAAGCTGACCGCGGCGGAGACCGGCCGCGTTGACGCCGCAAAGATGCTGGTCAAGGCAGAGGAGAAGCTGAACACGACGGAGAAGGAACTACGCGAGGTAAAAGCTAGGCGCAAAGAGACGGACGATAAGGTGGCCCAGCAGCTAGCCACAGCCACCAACAAGTGGGAGCGGGTGGAGAGCAAACTGAGGGCGAAAGAACAGCAACTTGCACATTCAGAGGAGCTCCTCGCGGAGCTGAAGACAAACTTGCATCTTGTCAAGAAGCAACTCACCGAGGCTGAGCAGGCCGTCCCAGCCCAGGCACAAGAATCCATCAACAACCTCACTCGCGAGCGCGACGGCATACTCCGGGAGACGCACGCACGGCTGGAGGAAATGGGGGTGCTGCAGAATGAAGTCGGGCGCCTGAATCAGGCCGTTGCGACCCTGGAACAGGAGAAGCAGACACTGACCGCTGCTGCTTCTGAGAAGGACGACGTCGTGAAACAGCTTACTGCGCACCAGAATTTGGTCGGCGTGTTGCAACGCGAGCGGGAGCAGGCCGAAGCTTCCTCGTCTCGCGCGTGGGAAGAGATAGTGCCCCTGAAAAACCAACTTGCAAACCACAAACAGGCGTTGTTGGACCTGCGCAACGAAAACTTGCGGTGGACTGCTGCGTCAGAGAACGCCCTCCAAAAGATCACGAGTGTCCAGGGGGAGCGAGACCATTTCCGAGATCTGGCCGGCAGATTGCAGGGCGAAACAGCGTCGCTTCGCGCAGAATACACACAACTGGTCAACAAGGCCAATGCCCGGGAAGCTCAGCTCACGGAAATAATTTCGCAGATGAACCACAACCTGGACTCGAGGCACGGCGACGTAGTGCAGCTCCGACAAAACCTTGTGAGACAGGGCCTTAGGGAGGACACCTTGCAAAAGGACATGGCTGCTAAGAACACCAGGCTCCTGCAGCTGGAGGCAGAACTGAAAGAGCAGCAAACCGTGGTGGCCACGAAGCAGCAGGAAGTCGACAGCCTGCGGGAGGGCATTAACAACCTCCACGCCGAAGTCACCAAACTCGAGAGCAACTTTGCAACCCAGCGCGAGGAGCTGCAACAGCGCGACGCCATGCTCACCGACAAAGAGAAGGCCATCGCGGCAAAGCGCACCCAGATCCAGCAGCTACAAGAAACCGTCTCGGAGCTCACCACGGAAAAGAGCCAGCTCCGGGACGACATTGCAGTCCAGAAGGCCAGACTGCTCCAGCTCGCAGCCCAACTCGCCCAACTCACCAACGACAACGCAGAGCTCCAAAGCACCAACACCGCCAACGAACAAACCATCGACTCCCTCCGCCAGCAGCTCTTCAGCGTCACGCGCGAGAAAGCCAACCTCCAACAACAAACCACCACCAACCTGACCGAAATCGCCACCCTCAAAACCCAGCTCACCGACGCCAACCACACCATCGAACAGCTCACCCAAACCGCCGCCACCCTCCACGACACCACCTCCGCCCTCCAAACCGACCTGCACACCCTCACCCTAAAACAAACCTCCACCACCAACCTCGTCACCACCCTCGAAACCGAAACCACCGCCCTCCGCACCCAGCTCGCCACAACCACCACCCAAGCCGCGCAGGACATCGCCGCGCTGGAGGCACGCATCGCCCAGCTGGACGTGGAGTACGGCGCGCTGGAGGAGGTGCGGCGCAAGCAGGAGGGGGAGGTGGAGAAGCTGCGAGTGACGGTGGCTGAGGTGCTGGCCGAGGGGGAGGCGCTGGAGGAGTATCTGGCGAAGCGGGACGGGTGTATTGAGCGGGTGAGGGGGTTTGTCAAGACGCTGCCGCAGTGGATGGAGAGTACGTTGATTCGGAAGTGAGTGAGGGGAGTGTGGTGGCGGGGGTGGGTTTGGGGGGGTGGTGAGGCGTGAAATGGAAGGGAAGGGGGGGGGGCGGTTGCTGGTGTTTTGGTGGTGGATGCATGTGGTGGGTGAGGTGGGTGGAGGGGTTTGCTTTGCTTTGCTTGCGGGATGTACATTGGGGGAGCGTTCCCTTTTTCTCGATGAGTACCTACCTACCTACCGACCTTGCCTATCTACCAACGCAATGAACTTTCGGTTTCTCCAGCCACGCTGTGATCCTAACTGGGATCAGAACCGCGATACATACTGTTGCCTGTCCCTGTTCCCTGGTGAACCCTACCACCCACCCCAGCTGACATACCTATGACATCAGCGTTGAACTCCCTCCCGCTGGGGCTTGTGTTCAAGTCCAAAGTGTATAAGATATAGCTGACGTAGTATGACATTATTACCTAGGTAGGTATTCACCGTTCACTTTATTTCAAGAGTAGCCTGAGACTAGCTTGGTCAGCTATCGCAAGTAGGGGGGGTGCCCGCCGTCGCCTGCGATGGTGTGCTGACATACCAGAGTTACTGCTCTGCATGTCATGTTACTGAGTAAAGTTACCTAAGTACCAGGTAGTGATCAAAAGATGGGGATGAAGAGCCCGGGTCAAACGGGTGATCATTACTAATTCTAGAACCCTCAATAAATCTTCCTTCAAGAGCAAGTGAGGGGGCACGCTCTGGTCGAAAAAAAGGCGAACCGAAAAGGAAAGAAAAGGATGAAACAACAAATAACAGAAGATCGACGAGAACGCCAAAGAAAATAATCAGGGCAAAAAAAAAGATCAATGAGGTAAGACCTATTTCTTTGGGTTTCAGCATGACTTTCGTTTCTTCGGACAGTCGAGGACTCAGGTGTGCATGCATTATCACAGTGCATGGTCGCCATCTCCACTTACTTTCGTTGGAGTTCGGCTTTTTTTTGCCCATCGGGTGCGGGGATATTTGGGGGCTGTGAGGCTGGGGGAGAAGAGATCAGGGCTTCCCACTCAGTCACATACCTACCCTGCCGTAGGAATGAGCTGGGCCACATTCTGGTTACGCGGTCTGTTCGGTTACCGGTACTACTTCCAAACACAATCATGAGTCGAGTGCGTCCCCTACTAAGTACCACCATAACAATTCCTGACCCTTTCACGGTCTCACCAACAATGCCGTTCCCCGACCCGCCGCTGCCCGCCCTCCCTTCGACCGCCGAATTCATCCCCGAGGAATGGCGGCCCTCACAACAGACCCAGTCGCACTATTTCGACCTGCCACTTGAGCTTCGCCATCTGATCCTGCGCACGGCATTCGGCGACAGGACAATCCACATCGACCTCCGTTCGCGCAACAGCCTCCACCCTCAACCGCTCCACACCGACCCTTGTCCGCCTGACCGCCTGTGGATGTGGTATTCATGCTTCTGCTACAAAAGGCAACGGGATGGTGGCCATGCGGGTGCCAACACTCATTTTCACGCCCTGTTTGCGGATGGTTGTTGGGCGGGCGGGAAGCGGTGCTGCACTCCTGACCAACGCGATCTCCTTCCAGAGGAAGGGCGAATTGGGGTGATGGGGTTCCTGCTGTCCTGCAAACGCGCGTAAGTAGTCGACATTATCCTCCGTCCGTTTAACCCCCCGAGGTCCGCGGAAGCTTACTGAGGTCTTTACTCAAGCTGCGATGAGGGACTCTCAATCCTCTATGCAACAAACACCATCTCCGTCCATCGCGAGCCGTTCATCTACGGGCTGCTACAGCAGGGGATCGTCCCCGACGCGCCGAGGCTCACGGGTTCGGCCATGCAACTCGTCAGATCTCTTCAGATGAGGTCGCCGCTCGTGCTTCGGTCTGCGTCAAACGAGGAGCGAAGCCCCCGCGAGATTAAGAATCACACTGTCGTTTTAGAGGAGCTCCGTCTCCTACCGCGGGCATTCCCTAACCTAAGGCGGCTAGAATGGATCCCCGCGCGGGGTGTGTACACTCGGGCTGAGCGCATGGGGCTGCAGGCTGTGGAAGAGATTGAGGACCTCCTGCTCCGCCCGTTACTAACGGCCAGCGCCATGATGCCCGCCTTGAGGGAACTCGTGGTGCCATTACCGTTCAACTTGTTTGTCCTGGCCACGGCCCTGGAGCGGTATAGGCCGAAGCCCAAGGTCGATTTTCAAGGGCAGAAGCTTGGGTCAATCCGTATGTGGTATCCCTTTACCGTACGGCCGGGGACACCAGGGCCAGACGGCGGGGGGTTTTGGTTGGTTTTTGGCGAGAATCAGGCTCGAGAACAGGAGTTTGATAAACGTTTCATCATCAAAACCGGTCCGTTGAGGCACGTCTATGCCGAAGAGGAACCTTCCACCTTGGGTTGAGGTGATCGAGTCTGGTTCGTACTCCGTGTGCCGGTTTCGGGAGGCGAATGTGGCTCCTTCTGGGTGCCACGCCCCCTTTCCTGCCGTTGCCATTCCTCGAGCACAATCATCTTCCTTTCTTATGTAACTAGCTGTCTTCCCTTTTTCTTTAACTACATGTATGTCTGTGCCGAATCCTGGCGACACGCCGACTGCACCTCATTGCCGTAAACGGGAAGTGAATGGGAACTCGAAACCATCAAGATGACGACACGTCTCGGGGCCATATTACCCGGCTGGTATCGTCTTTGCTCCAGTATCCCCTGCCCCCTTTCTGCCAGACCTTGGACCTCTCGTCAAACGACTCCATCATAGCCTTGTGCTCGGCCTCGGTATAATCACGTCGGTTCTCCGGGTCTTCTCCAAACCCGCCTTGATGGTTTTGCAACCGCTCTCTGTCCCAAAACACGTAGGCGCGCTCGCGTAGCCAGGCGGCATCACCGAACATGCATGAATCCGCCAGCCAACGGTCCGCGTTGGCCTCGCGCCATGCATCATAAGGACCCCGGTCCGTGTCATCCTCGGCCTGGTCATTGTCGCGTTGCGCGATCGTGTGCAGCTCGGCGTCGGAATATTCCGCCAACCTTCTACCGTCGTCTTCGTCGTCATCCATCACCTCCTGCAGGGCCTGGGGCAAGCTGGTTTCCCTATCACTGGGCCCCGAAGTATCGGCCAGCATCCTATACTTGGCATCCCAAGTGTCGGCGAGGGTCAAGTTGTAGACAAACTCGACGCCGTGAGATAACTAAAGTGGAGGCGTTATTAGCAGGGGCGTTAAATGTATAAAAGTTAGCACTAACCCAGCCTTGTGTCCATCGATTATCCGCCCCAGCTGTGACGTAGTCGATCCCCATTTCCCCAAAGTCGACATCATGGGCGACGACATCAAGGGAAGCTGTTAGATAGGTAGTGTTAGCCCATGTCAGTCCTTACGATATCCGCCCTGGTACTCACCTTCGGCAAACCTTTCCTCCAAGTACTCGTAGACGGAAGCGAGCTGTTCGTTCTCCCACGGGTGATGCCTCCGAAAGAACCAGGGGTTCATGTTATCCTCGAATACAGGATCCCGAAAGGCAGTATAAAACAGCTCGACCCTGTAGAAGGCGCGACAAAAGCGAAAATACTCGGTAGGCGATAAGGTGACGCGCCCTGTCGTTGAAGGGGAAATGCGCTGCCAGGCGCTTGTCGCAAAGCCAGTTGCCAAGGAGTGGATGGCGTCGTGGGTGCGCCCCATGCTCCGCAAGACAGGCAGTGGCAAGGCAAATACACGCGCCGCGAGGCGGGCGGGAGAGCAGTAGAGCTCGTCAATTAAGGTGAGGACGGAGCTGTTGATTAGGGGACGTGGCAAACGCGATGCCTCCATCAAGGTGACTGCATGTGGAAGGAGTGCCGGTGTCATTTGATGGCGGAGGATCGAGGCTTCCACGCCACGGCTCTCCTTAAACGATGTAGAGAAATGGCGGCAAGCAAGCAAGGCGGGGGCAAGAAACCGCAGATGGTCAAGGTTCCCGAGAATCGTGCCCACGATCTCGCAAGGGAGGTCTGTGATGGTAGGCATCGTGGTCGCTGGTATGCGGGCATGGAGTGTTTGTCAACCGTGGATGAAGAATTGGAGAGGAAGACATGAAAGACAGACGTTAAAGTGGTGGGGGCGGAGAAAAGTGGGACGGAGTACCGGCCCAGGGCGCTTACAGCCTGCTAGGGACGGCTCGTTGGTGACGACGAGGCACAGCAGAAGGATAAGATGGACCTCCCTGGACCATGCCACTCAGCCGGCCAGCCACCGTCAATACCTCCGCGCTATTAGCGCTCGTTAGGTGGGTACCTACCTAGGTACCTTGGACGACCCCTTGCGTACCTAGGTACCTAACGTCTCCTTATGCTTGGAGTCGGGCCTCTTCCCCTTTGACTTAGACTTGCTCTGTTTTCCTCCACACGCGAACCACATGGCTCCCGTACACCGAGGTTTGACAACTTGGCCAATTATTATATTGCCTACCTACGAGCTTCACGCTAGATATGACAGGCTGATAACATGTGAATTTGGTCTCTTGTGACCGAGCTTAGCTTTGCTCGTAGAACTGGAAAGTGGTTTGTTTGCGGTGGTCGGTGCTGCGAGCTCAGGTGTAGCATCCACATACGCCGCCGCTTGAGTCTCCACCTCGTAAATATCGGACCTTCGCCCCTGATTCTCTCTAGCAACTTAGGAAGTCTTAGTAGATAATATATAATATAAGGCTAAAGGCTTTAGGAGAAATCTGCCCCCAACTTCGTTGTTTGATATTCTTGGCTTCGTACCTCATAGCCTAGTACACTAGTTGATCCGAGTCTCTTGAAATGACTGCGTCCAGTGGCGGAAATTGGAAGGAAACCTTTTCACACGAGGGCTTGCTCCGTTATTCAACCTCTATTAACCAAACAATAGTAGAGAAGACGATCAACATCATCATTACGATTCCGAACCCTCGGAGTAAGGATCCGTGAGCCCTGACTGACTCGCCGTCAACTAGATAAAGTTGACCTCCTCGTCAGAATCATCTTTGTAAGCCGCACGCTTAGACAAAATCATGGCATCTTTCAGTGCTGTGCCCCATAATTCTTTCTGGGCTTTGGTCCCGAAGTGTATCCCACAGCTCTCAATCCCTGGATCACCCTTCCAAAAGACGCTGAGAGCTGAAGACGTAAACATCAGTTATAAAACTTTAGAGAAGGTAGGACCGGGGACAAATCTTACCGAGGTCGGAGCACGGCACAACGTCTGTCATATTGGATGTGAATATCCTACCAGTTAACCGTAGCTGTACGTCGTGATTTAGTGGTTGCGGCTTCCTACGCTGAAGTAGCCGGACCCTAGGTGGCCTTGGGGGCTGAATCTTTCTGCAACAAATGAGAATAACTTCGAATAGATATATTCTGTAGGGCTTTGACTAGGGTTCCTTGCAGTTAGTAGAGATCTTAACGAATGGCCAGAAGCATATGTCCCTCACCCGAGTCGGATCTGATTGCCAAATCGTGACTTCTGGATCATAAAGCAGTAGCTTTCCGAATTGCTTAACCCTAAGGCTTTTCCAGTCTTCCACACGGGCACTAAGATCTGCGGCAACGTCGAGCATCTCTTCTTTCCGGGCCAGGACGGTTATCTTATCGCGGCAGCGCTCCAATTCCCTCTCGGCCACAACAATGCCCCCGAGTCGATCTAGTGCATCATTTGGGGGCGTTGGGGAGCAGTAGTGTGATTTGAGTGTCTGTCAAAATGTCAGCTCACGTCCCGTATACCCATCTTAACCGAACTAATTACCGATAAGAACTCGAATTTCATTTCGACGAGACGCGAAGGGAGGGAAATATAATCCAAAGCCTTCGCAATGGCTTCGGTACGAGGTAGATCGGCGCCGTCCCCAAGGGACCTGAGCAGCTTGCTGTTCCGTGGTTGGCTGCCAATTATATGTCCATAATCCTCGATTTGAGGCTCCCAGACCCCCAAGAACATTCCCCAGTGTCTGTTCCATGGCGGTTGTAGGAGGTTGGCCTCCGCCTCGACTAGGAAATTCAGCTCCGCCTCCACGATGCTCAGTATTGGCATGAATATTGCCTGCCATTCGGTTGGGTTAAGAATTCCGAGCTCATCGACGAGTTCACCGCTCGTGAGCCGAACAAGCGGCTGAATCAACTTCCATGACCGTCTCGTGAAGTCGTCCAAGAGGAGGAAGTCAAAGCAATCCTCAGCCTGGCAAATGCTATCTCGGATCGTGTTTTGTACCTCCATATCCACATCCACTAGTAGCGCCGGTTCTTTTCTTTCCAGAGACAGGATCTTCTCTATCATGTTTATGGGCTTGAGAATGCTGGTAAGCTCACTGCTCAGAATCTGGTCGACGGTGGGAAGCTCCGCAGACTCAAAAGTCGAGGACTCTGAAATCGCTTTGAGCGCCCAAAAGTCTAGCGGCTTTCCGGTTTCTGTGCTGTGTTCGTGGCAGTGTCTGTCATACATATTGAGGTCAAACTGCTCGAAGCAGCGACATAGTGAAAAGAGAAGCGTTCCTTGCTGGAGTCGACCTTGAATGGCCTTCAAAGGGTGGAACGATGATGCTGAGAGCGTCTCAAACCCGGGGAATTGGCGAAGTTGAACCTGAATCTTGAGACATCTGCGCAGAAGAGAGTCATCGTCGAGAGCCTTGGTTCGGGTCTCTGCCAAAGGCTGCAGGCTAAAACGCTGGCCACCGAACTCGTAGTGACGAGAGTTGGTGATCTCGTCAGCGTATACGGGTAATGCAACGACAGACATGACGGAAATGTCGCCCAGGCTAAGCCCAGAGAAAACAGACCAGGCATGTGATCGCGCAACGGAACTGCAGAATGAGAAGTCCATGGTGTCACGTCGGGCTCGGCGGTAGGGGCCGGATGTTTTGAGGTCGACTTCGAATTCGAAGCCCGAGACGAGAGGCGCTTGTGGGTTGTTCGGTGTTTGTGAGCTCGCGGCCGACGAACTGCCAGCTTTCCTAGGCAGTAGGAGACGTTCGGTCTCGGCTTTGCTGACAATAGTTCCAGCAATGCTTCGTCTCTTCGTCATAATAGTCTGGGCGTCAAAGCTGTCTTCAAGATTCATCAGTCGCCGAGAGAGATCGTGGTCGTTATCCAGGAGCTGATTGACGCTGCTTGTGAGTTCGGCCTGGCGCTGCTCGGCTCGCAACGATGTGTCACTTTGGAGAATTTCGAGGATCAAAGAGGCGGAGGACTTGAAGCTTTGCAGGCGGCCGAGGAGGGTGGTGAACTCGGTTTCTTTCCTCGCCCACTGGAAACGTGATCGCAATGCCAGGCGAGTGATGGAGGACGAGTCGGGGAGAGGCAGGGTGCTGACGGAAGCCTCGAGACTGGAAAAAACAAACACGCCGCTGGTGAGCACGGCGATAACTTGGTCAACTTCGACTAGTGCGGCGCGCTGAATGGACACGGATGCCATGTTCTGGGCCAGCGACTGGAGGGCCGAAAGAATGATGGCGGCGGCCTGCACCTCGGCGTTGACATGGTGCGCAATCTGCGGCGTGTCGCGCGCCGCATTGACGTATGGCCCCAGCACTTTGCAGATGGATGCCGCCGCCGTGAGCAGCCCGGCAATCGACGCGGCGACGCTCAACGGGTCCGCCATATTTCATCGCCCATCATCATTGCGGGAAGGGTTAGGATGGAGGCAGGAGCGGAGATGTTCAGCTGAAAACACCCCGCTCCCGGCTGGACGGCCAAGGTCTTCTCGCCATTGGTCGACGCTTTTGCGGCGTCAGTTGACGCTCGGCTAGACGACCGCCTCAGGCCGGGAAAGAGAAAAGAGAGAGTAAAGGGAAGAAGAAAAGAGAAGAAACGAAGAAAAAGAAAATACCGTCTCCAAATTCTTATATTTCACCGGTTCACCACCTTGTCTCACCCTCGTGGCCACGGGTTGACCCCCGAGCCCCGACTTGCTTCAAGAAGAGTACACGGGGCTCGACAACAATCTCTCCTACTAAGAGGCGGGTACACCATCTACAAGAACTACACCGGTTACAAGGGTGTCCAAAAGACATCTGACAGCGCCGTTGCAGTCTATAAAAGAAATGCCAAAACGCTGCCACCACCCAACGACAGGTCACCCAAAGTCGGTGAAAAGCTTCACCAAAGAAGGTCATCAAACCCTGTCGCCTCTATGTGGCAGGCACAACATCTCGGATTCCCCAAGAGTAGGTGCTTCCCCTGGTCGCGGGCTTTTACAAATGCGGCCTTATATTTGCTCCGTTTGCATTCTGGCGTGCTTTGGAACACGTCGCGGCCTGCCGGGCAGGTTCAATGTTGGCTTCCACCTTGGGAAACGAGGAATCGCTATCGACATGAGGAATGCTTTTCGTGTGTTCGCCTTCTTGTTCTCGTTTGCTCCAGGTATGATCACTGTCCGACGGTTACGAGGTGTAACGGCCTAACTCGGTCCTGCAGATGCCTCGAAGACCCTCACCCAAGCCCGTCGCCGTTGAGGCCGAGCGTCGCTGTCTGTGCCGAGAAGAGAGCAAGGAGACGCAAATCACGAACCCCCCCTGCCCAACCTACTTGGTATTCTTCTTTGCCTTTCACCAATGTCGGTGAATGGGAAAGACAAAAAAGTGGGCCTGGCTGTTGCTGCCTGGACTGCCAACGGGTAGCAAGTGCCAACACCGGGCAAAAAGAAGTCAGTCAGTCGGTTTGTTGATTGGTGAATTGTTATTTCGTTGTTGGTTTAAATGTCGTCCAACTTGAACCTCCTCTCTCATGTCCCCTCTTCCCCATCTCTGCTTCCTGTGCCTTCACATACCGTACGTCCATGCACCCCATTCAACCCGTCACAGCAGCAATGGACATGGCCGGCACCGACATGGAGTGCGGCGATGCCAGCCGAAGTTCAACGACCGCGACAATATCTCCTGCCAACTTGGCATCACTCCCCTTCGATGTTCAGTGGCTGATTGTCTGGGATGAAGGACTTTCAGCAGACGACATCAAAGCTCTCCGTCTGACCTGCCGTGCTCTCGTTCTCTCTACCACAACTCGTCTGTTTTACCGCATCGGCGTCTCCAAACTCAACGTCGACCGCGAGAGCTTCCTTTCTATTTGCCACAACCCAGATTTGGCCAAGCACGTTCACGAGGTGGAGTGGTGTGAGCTCTCCTGGGATCCTGGGTATTTCGATCGCCTCCCTGGCGTCTCTCAGTCACGTCGCGATACCGAAGTTGAAGACGACGCCGACCTTTTAAACCTTTGCCGGTATTTCCACAGCCAAGCAGAAGAGGCATTTTGGCTGCCCAACGTTCCTATTTCTAAGGACATTGCATACGATGTCACGAGGCGAGAACGTGAGGAAGCTGTTGCGGGGTTCCGGGAAACATTCATGGCCGCCGTCGATCAGCTTCCCAATCTCCATACCTTCGTTTCGCGCCCCATGACTTCAACCCGCACCATTAACCCCGGGTCAGACTATCCAATGGACGCCAATATCTTCCAGACGTTTCAAAACATGGATGGCACCGGGCGCACAACATCCCAGGCCAACGATGGCAATATCTTCCAGACGTTTCAAAATATGGATGACGCCTGGCGCACGGCATCCCAGGCCAACGATGGCCTGTTCTTGTTCATCTTCCCTGCCATGGCTCGGCCCAGCTCCGCCATCCACCGCCTGCGATGGGCTGACGAATTGCCTGGCTATAGCTACTTGCGCCAAATCCCTCCTTCCGCTTTCGAGGGTCTAGAGTCCCTGGACCTGTGCTGGGCTCCCTTCAATCGCAAGAAGGCCGACAACGCTTCCCTCACGGCCGCTTGCTCCATTGCGGCGCCGACTCTACGCCACCTCGGCCTTTGCCTCGCTCACGGCAACCGCAAGTCATCTCCTGGCTATATCGAAGAGGAAATCCTAGGGCATAATCTCGCGGCGTCGTCCAGGGGTGGACTTGAGTCGCTGACACTCAGATCAATGAACCTGAAGTCGAGCCTCCTCGTCGACATCGTGAAGATCAACGCGGCTTGCCTGCGTCATGTCCACCTTGAGGACGCCGATGCCAGAGTTGCACTTCTCTCGCGCATGGTCAAGCTTCCGGGCCTTCAACTCACCACTTTCCAGGTTTCTGACGAGCCGAGAGACGTGAGCACGATTATTTGCGCCCATGCCCTCGCACGGTATATGAACGGCGACATTCGTGGGATCCGGCGAGAGTGTGACGACGTCATCCACAATGTTGTTGAGCAGAAGAGCATGCAGTCATGCCGATTCGCTACGAAAGACAACTGCGAATGTGATGGCTGGGAAGATGATGACTGGGAAAATGGTTACGGCGAGGCTGCGTCCGATGCTGCGAGTGACACCTCGAAGGATAGCTTGGATATGCGCCGTATCAACGGCCCGAAATGGGCATGGGGCCGGTTTTATAACGAGTCGGGCTGGGGTGATATCTGGGCGTTCCAAGTCCCCAGCACCCATCCCGACGGCCACCCCACGTGTTTATGGAGGTTTACGTCCCGGGACGGCGAAGTCGGCTATGGGGAAGACCCGCTCGACTGGTTCGACGAATGGGACCCGAGCGCAGGCGACATCGAGGAACCGACGCCTTACTGTAGGGCCCTGCGGGAGTTTGACGAGCATGAGGTCAGCCACTTCACCATTGCCGACATGTTGGGAATGGGCTCCCCACTCTTGGACGTGGTTGAGAAGGTGGAGCCCCCTGAGGGAGCTTTCCCCTATGACCCCAACGTCGCGGACGAATATGTGGACTGTTAACTGTTCCTTCCCGTCACTTAGGAAGGAAGGGTGCGCTCGATCCGTTTAGTTGCAGCGTCTCCTAGTCTGAGAGCCTGTGATAGATATCTTCCCCGCTGGACAACAGGGATGCAGTGTACCGTTGACTCAACGGTTCGAGGAGACAGAAGGGATAGACCAAAGTTGCGTGGAGTAGTGTATAGGTACATCTAGGTAGCAGTTCTTCGACAAACAACACTTTAATTTAAGGGGATCGACGTGGTGACCGAGCAGTCTTGCCCCAAAGCTGCACTGCTTCCGGGCCGTCGGTGTGTGTGCGGGAGTACATGTACATTTGCCTGTCCCTGCCGTGCGGAAAAGCAGGAGTCGCACACAGTCCCCGATCGGCGGTTATTGATCACTCCAACTATTCCACGTCGAATCGGCACTCGTAACGTTGCAGCACAAGGTAAGGTAGGTAGCTAAACCATCTAGGATCCCGTGTGGCTATGGCAACCCAACCGGCCATTCCAGTTGTGAACGAAGTCATCTACATGTATACAGCACAGTGTTAGCCCCATTCAGGCATAGTAGAGAGTTCTACTGGAATACGGAACGTTTCTCACCCAGATTGATCCGACTGTAGCGCTTTCCACCGCTGTAGTCGTAGGAACACGACGTCATGCAGGCGTTACTGCACGAAGCTCCGCGTGGCGCGCTGCAGTTGCTCATGCAATCGGTAAGGCAGCTCTTCGGTCTCAATCAGCGCAGTTCACACACAATTCCTACGTAGGTATGTATGGATGCGGTGGTCCTACCCGTTTCTAAGTATGCGGTGTTAGTGATGGCTATCATGGACATTATGAGGGGAGTGCACATGCCTCTATGGTCTGCGCATCATCACCGACCGGGGAACCGATGGTGACAGCCGCCAACAATGCGACGAGGAAACCCGAAGAGAAATGCATTATGAAAAATGAGAACGGTTTGACGAGACTGTCACCTCTTCGTAGTGCACGAGTATGCTAGGGTGTAGTGAGGAGCGAAAGACGCAAGTGACACAACCCGACGTCAGCTGAAAGATGCGGCATGCGCCATCTTATATGCGACTGCGGCGCTTCTTGCAATTTACTCCATTCCCAAGCTGCCTCCGAGGGTACCCTTGTGGTACTCTGCCACTCGACGTGTGTACGAGTAAGTCTGCCCCGTCTCGTCTTGGCTTGCTCACCCCGCTAGTTAGTGCATCTAAGCGATCTCCAGGCAATGGTCTTCTTCTTCTTTCGGCCCCCAATACCCAGACTCCGCAAATTACCAAAACTCGCTTGCCGGTTACATCGCCCTCGACTATTGAATCCTCCCCCAGCAGAGGCCGAGTAAGCTTACCTTTATACAACCTTGCGATGCCATTCCTAGCTCACCGACCCGGGTCTCCGTCTCAGCCTCATGGATACAACCAGTCACGAGGAGCCATTGCTATAGAGGCTGAACTTACTTTGGTTCTCGCCTCCATTCTGGTGTCAACGACCCCGCGGAGAACGCTAAAGGTCTGGATCCGCGCCCAAGCTCTCCCCAACTAGGCTTCCCGGTGCTCCCCGTCCTCGGTTCGCGATTTTATCGACCGCCCAGGGGATAGCGTTACGTATCAGCAGACCGCCTCTCTCATTACCGCCAGGTACTTCCAGTAAGCCCAACGATACATCCAAGAGGCGCGCCAGATGAAGGCAGCGGTCAAGGGAAAGGCCTTGTCCCCTATTGTGCCGGTAACGGGCGTCCCTTGAAGTCCCGACGCCGAGCATAAAGATGCCACCCCGCCCCCAGCGAAGCATGTAAGACCGTATATCGACAAGTTCACACGGAACCGCCAACTGCATCCCTCACGCTATTCGTCCTCGCCTTACACCTATCCGCGCAACGTTAGAAGACTCCGTTTCCTCAACCATTCACCATGAAGATTTCTATCCTCGCCGTGACCCTGGCCTCGCTCGCTGCCAAAGTTACGGCCAGTTACGCCAGCAGCTGCCGGAACTGCCGCCTTGAGAAGTGGGACAGCATGCCGTTCTCGGGGTTAGACTACGGGCACTACCTGCTGTGTGACTGCAAGCAGGCAAACGGCCAGTGGCACGCGTCCCGCCTCGATCTCAATCGCTGCATTGCCAACAGCGATGGCTATATGGTGTCGCGGGCAGAGTGAGTGATGCCCCCGTATATATATATAATATATACGGGAATGCCGACCTGGTTTTGATATAGTCACTTACTCTCGGTTGTTGTGCAATAGGGGCAACCTTGGCCGCTCATGCCACGGTTACGGCTTGCTCGAAGGCAAGACTTTCACTGCTTTCTGCAAAAAGGCGTGATCAGGGTAAGATGGCCCCGCAACTTTGTAGTACCAGACACAGTGAAGGCTAACCGTGATGCGGAGACACAGAAAATACAGCTGTATGGAAACCAAAATCCCCGCCGTCCACTCCATATCTACATATGGTGTGGCCCATAACCGCAGGGGTCACGTCAAGGCGGGATCATGTTAAGGTTACCGTCCACCGGCATGGAGGACAAAAGCCCAGTACCTCGAGGAGGATGGAAGACAGCCCACATTAATATCATGGTTCTTCTGTCGAAGAGGTCTCAAATAACGAAGTTAGTCTATATCATGAAGTCGGAGCACCCTGAATCAACGAAGTGCTTCTTGCGGATCCACCCTGTTCGTGTTACCTCCAAACCACTCGTATATAAAGATTTGATCCCTAAGACCGGTAGACAAACTCTGCTTGCTACGCACAAAGACTGATCACCACCCGGCTCTTCGATCAATAGATCCGTGACCTCGATTCCTACCTCGGTACCACACAACCGCTACTGTATCCAACGGTCCGTCAGATAGCCCGTCACAAACGCAAAGACAGCTTTGTGGAGCAGGTCTACCACCTGCTCCCCGACAGGCCACGTCCTATCCCCACAAGTCAGTAGAGTGGTGTGCGTTCGGAATGGCCCGATGCTCACCAAGGAGGTGCCCCGACCCCGGTCCAGTTCTCCAACGTTTGGTCGATCATCAAGCGAACCCCGACGAACATGAAGTCGGTGAACGGCCCACGAAGGCCATGGTAGCTCGCGACCCCTCGAAGCACCGCTGCTGTTGCCCCTTGCCCATAGTGCATGGCCATGTTTAAGCCCCATAGTTCCTCTTTCGTCTGTGGGTCAGCATTGATAAGCCTGGCGAGAGTCTTTCCGGGCACTTCTGAGTTTGCTCTTCCGGTGAAGAGCTGCTCGACCTTCTCGGCAGCGGTCATTCTACGCAGTCGCGAGGGGCAATTGTTAATGATACAACTTGTGGGGCGTAGCCATTTGATAGGGACGCTCACGCAACCACGCCAACAACACCAGCACTGGCGCCATATATCACTATTGTGCCCCATCCTAGCCTCGGATGCGGCCGGACGGGGTCTGTCGTGCGACGGGACATGTCGTATCTCGGGATCTGACGTGTTCTATTAGCGAGGAGTTGCTGAGGAAAGTGATGATCCTAACGAGAGCGTTCAAGCTCATCAACGATCCGGGAGTCGTCATGAACTCCAGTATCAGACGTCATCGACAAAGGGTTAGGGTGCGCGCGGCGTATCACCATTGAGGGATCACGGGTCGGGGGTCAGGGGTTAGGGATAAGGGGTTGAGGACGGCACTCCTGAAGGCCGTTGGATTAAACAGGCAATATCATGGCACAAATGCCCTCAAAAATGGGCCTCGGGTAGCCCGGAAAGAAAGAAAACTATGAGGCCCGGAACCTCAGCCCCCACCCCCCTCCCTTTCCCGGCCGGAACTGCGATCAACTAGAAACGCCAAACACAAGAAAAAAAAGCCACCAACCCCAGACTACACAGCGTCTCTCCAAGGACAGCTCTCCGACTCGTGCACTTTCCGGTTGAAAACGGTGCTAAATGACTTGTTACAGCCCACAATGCTGCACGGGAACCGTTCGCACTTAAGTTTCTTGCAAGCTGTCCTGCGGTGCTGGTTTCTAGCGGCCAATGTACGGAACGTCTTGGAACAGTCGGGGCAAGAAAGGCGGGAATCTGTTGGCGGCGCTGCGAAAAATGTTGAGGGTGAATTCGAACTATTTTACGGCGCTCAGGGGTCAGTGTGATGGGGGAATTGAGCCGATTCAAGGATGGGGCAACGCACCTGTTTTCCATGAATGGTGTAGAAGATGATGGAATGCTGTGGAGGGTTGTATGGTGGCCCTCTACGGTGCCCAAATCGGGGTGAAGCGAGGTGACAACAACATTGTGAGACTCACCGCTGCTCGTAGCGAATGAAGGTCGGCGCTGAAAAGAGGGTGCATTCGGGTGCGGCTCGGCAAAGTTGGTTGTTCCTGGGAAGGCTGATAGAAAGAATGCCTTGAGTAGGGAGTAGCTCTTTTCCAATGGACGAGCCAAAGTCAAGTACGTCGAGAGGATGGTGCCAAATATATGGCTGTCCACTCCGTGACGACAAGCTAAGATTGATAAGCCGAAGTGACACTATCAAGATGGTGAGGTGGAAACGGAAGTGCGTACCTAGAAGGGCCAAAATGACCAGGCCGATGGCCACGGATGCTAATAATAGGACTACGAGCTCGGACGACAGTTCTTCTGGGTGAGTGGAAGCATGGTGATGTTCTCCATCATCATTTTCGTCGTCAACGGGAACAAAGGCTCCCAACATCGCCGGTGTTGGGCTGTCGTCTGGCCCTGATTCCCAAAAAGGGTCATAGAGAATAGCCAGGGAAGTCAGGACATCCAAGCCCTGCTCCAAGGTCGTGAAAGACCCATCAGAGCAAGGAGGGTCCATAAATTCCGAGGGTAGCAGCTCACCACTACCGCTGCCACCAAGGGCATTACCCCTCCCCCTCACCAAGGCAATACCTCTGCGGTAGTCGGGCTCTCCAAAAACAGCGTGTAGCTCGTCTTCTTGGTAAGGCATCTCCTGGTCATGAGGTCTGGAACCCTGCTTCGGAATTGTCGGTATGAACTGTCTGACAAAGTCTTGGAAGGACAGCAACAGTTCGTCTGGTTGAACCAAGGGGAAAGACATGTTCCATTGACTAGGGTCAAAGTCCCACAGAACTGCTGTCACAACATCGAAAATTTGCTGTTGGTCAACACATAAAACGTGCCTCCATCGGGCTAAGTCTTGAACGAACCTAGATTGGTGGTCAATGACAATGTTACGGGGCCGTAGGGTTATGTAGGTACTTACTGAACTCTATCAAAAGCCGATTGGAGTGGACTACAACCGGCGACAGCCATTGCGTAAGTTGACATCAGCAACGTCAACATCTCGTATCCGGTTCTCGGCGGGGTGCCGGTCATCAGACGTCGAATGGCGCGGATCCCATGCCTCCACACAAGCCGATAATGACACAGATTCTGAAGAGCGGGAGGCCGGTGATCGCCCGACTTTTGGTCACCGAAGCCGACCAACTCAGAACAGAAGGTCTTCAAGGTAAAGGCGATCCCCAATCCCATCATCCGCCGAGACGAGGACCCGTGGGCGGCATCGAATCGGCGTCGCACCGTGAAGGTCTGAGCAGATGGAATTATGTCGCTGAAGTTGAGAAGGTGGCGGCCAAATACATCCCACGGAAAGTCGTGGCAATTCTCACTGGAATGGTTGTCCAAAAAGTCCTCGAACGTAAGGGAAGAGGATCCGTTGGGGGTGCGGTCCATGTTGGGTTCGCAGCAGTAGGTCCATGTCCCATGGAGAAAACGCAAGCCATCAGGCGGGATGGCCCGCATGCTCTCGGGACGCATTCTGAAATAATGCCACAGGTCTCCAAAACCAAGCTGACATAGAAATCCAACCAAGAGTGAGCAGACGGAAACATTTCGGGTCCCAACGGCGGTAGCAAAGGCACGATCATGCCAGATTCCCTGACTGAGAAGATTGCATACCGTGCCGTTCTTCTCAAGTGCAATAGCCCGGAGGAGGCAGTGCTGGCTGGTGATGTCGGGGCGCTGTTGCGAAATCAGATCGGGGATTCCGGTAATATTGTGCTTAAATGCGAATTCCATCATGTCGACGGAAAAGACGCCTTCCTCGCAGAGGATTGTGAGGAATTTGACCATAATTTTGCCGGAAGCGCACTCCAGAAAATAGAATAGCCAGGGAGTGAACGGTTCCCAGCCTTCGAGCGGAGATGTGGCGCGGATGCAATAGCGGAAAACCCCTGGTTCATCGTGCAAAACGGCGAGGGCCAAGATGTCCCAGACGTTTCTGATGTGGGACAAACACCAATCTTCAGTCGAGGACGTCTCTCTCTCGAGGTGGCACAACAGGGCACGGAGCTAACAAATCTCAGTTCGTCTTCAGCACGACCTATATAGGAGCGTATCTTACCGCATAACGCTCCATCGAACCCGCAGTAAAACGAAAACTGTAAGGATTGCTGTTGTGAACCCAATTGCGGCAGCACTTGGGCTGACACCCGGACACGGCCCGGGACTTTGCAACCCAGGCATTTCCCAGCCATCCGTATTCGGTTTTCGCAGTGTTGCGCGGGGGAAATACGGGCAACGGTTGCGTTCTCAAGAAGTCCATTGTCAATTGAGGGGGGTGGGCCCCGGTGAAAAACCCACAGCGTTCAATTACCGCTGGAGGGGGAACGATCTCGATGTGAGGTCGACGGCAATAATTATCTACCTCCTGGTTTGACCAGCGGGTGACGCAGCACTCGGCCCTCCAGGTGCAGGCGATTGCCATGCAGGCTCCAGGAATGCGGCTGAAGGAACACCTGCAGCTTCCTCCTCGCAATGATTGGTTTATGGTGTCTCTCTCATTCCTAAAAGCTGATTTCTGAAAGCTGCAGCGGGACGTGCCAGGCAACGATCCTCGCCCACCTCGAGTCTGCTACCTCGCCAATCACCAACCTGGAAGCTGCCGTGGAGCCTGGCTCCCTGCCTTAAGCTTTCCTCTGAGTGAGGCGGGAGCACGGTATGTCCACCCCCAGAGTGCCCGTACACAGTAGGAGTGTGTCGGACGCGGATGGAGAGGGGGGACCCAGAGCCCGCACAGAGTACGGCATGCCCCGTAGTTACCAAGTTGCCCGGCATCGAATGACCCGCTTGCTCGAAGCAAGGGTAGCGATGCTGACCCCTGGAGCCAAAGACAATATTTTGGCTCCAGGGATCACATATGCCAAGAGGTACGTACCTCTGTGTATATTCTTTGGCGAATTCAGAAACCAGAAATCAGGATTTGATAGGTAGGTAGGTAGGCCAAACCGAGCTACCTGTAATCAGAAATCGGGAATGGCCTATCAACAGCTCACGCAAAACCTGAAGAATCGGGTTATAAAAGAATACGTTTGTCTCGTTCAGCTTGAATAGCACTCTTGGACTAACAATAAACTTGATGATATCTTGGGATCCAAGCCGCTATTGTAGCACCCCTTCGTTCCTTTTCCTTTGCTCTGTTTTCGAGTCTGGGTTTTGCACAGGCTACCCCCCGCCAACAATCGAGATGGAAGTTGATCGCAGGAGCCCAGCGACATCTACCAGGTAGGGCAGCGCAACCACACACCACCTTTGCCGTGGTCTTTCGGCTCACCCTTATGAAACAGGACTTCAACTCTTGCAACCGCCGGAAACAGCAGTCGTTCAACCACAACTCCCATAGGCGAGGTTGGCCCGAGCCGCAAAAATATAGGCGTTTCTGGCGGGAATGCCCAAGCGACGGAATGTAATACACAGAGTAAGCGGGATATTGCACTGCTTCACATAGGGAGCTGGGTTCCTGCTTCCGCCTCGCAGAAGCGCGAAGAGTGCATCAAAATTGATTGACGAGAAGGGAAGGAACTGGGCGGTTTGGAACTCTTGTATTAGGTTCCATCATTCAATTGCAGATTACCGGAAGACGTGCTACATGCGTGACATGGACCTAATCTACCCGAAGCGAGAAATTTGAACCAGAAAGAATTCGGACAAAAACTGGAGATGTCGATATGAGGTTGACATCTCCCCATCCTTGCCATGTAATGGCGCCTCGAGGCAAAGGTGAACCGACAACCATCGCACCAGGACCCTCTTCCACGAACGCAGGCCGAAATGGAGGTCCAACCCCCCCTAGCATGGCATACGCCTGCCAAACATGTACATACAAGGCGCAAGGTCAAATGCGACAAGACCATGTCGGCCTGCCATACTTGCCGTAGAAGCAGCCTTGTGTGCATCTATGAGCCGCCTCGGTCGGGGGGTCGGAGACGGAAGCTCAGCGGTGGGCTTCTCGAGCAACTGGCCCGATACGAAAGTATCCTGCGCCAGCACGGCCTACTCGATTCGGGTACCCGGCCGGTATTTCTGTTTGGGGACGAAGGCGAAAGTCAGAAGCCTAGGTACCGAGTCATATATTGGCTTGCGAGGGACAATCAAAACACCTGTATTTGAACAGCAAACTTTGGCAAACGCTCGAGGAACACCAAATCAAGGACGGGACCGACGAGTAGGACACGGCACCCGCTGACTAAACGCGGGTTCCGTTCCCCTCTCGATCGTTCCCCTGGCCAGTGCATTCGATGGAGACACTGAACTGAACCTCCTTAAATACCACTCCACGCCAACGAAAGCCTGGCGGGTCTGGGAGACACGTGGAAAATTCCGAGCCGCTCTGCAAGATTCTGCACATCCCGTCCACTGGTGTCATGGTGGACAGGCTCTGTCAAGACCCGGCGATGACGTCCACGGACGAGGAGTGCTTACTCTTTTCCGCCCATCACTTCGCCCTGTTTTCTATGTCTCAGGAGGACTGTGATTCCAGGTTTGGCCAGTCCCGCGGCACCTTACTCCAGCAGTATGAATTTGCCACCAAGCAGACCCTCTTCTTCAACGCCTCCTTCCTTGGGACGACGGAACTATCCGTACTTCAAGCCCTCGTTCTCTCTCTTCTAGTCTCTCGGGGCAGTGCACGGCTGTTGGCGAAGCGGAGCAAGTCGTCAAGCAGGCGGAAAGTGAAGTCGAGAAGTACATCAGCTACTGCGATGTCATAAAACCCCTGCACTTCCTAGTCATATGCATGGCTAGATCCGGGATCACGGCCATGCGTTTGCGAATTCGTCTGCCCAGCAATGGACCACGTCGACAGTCACGGTGTGGGCGAGGTTGGTGAGACCCTCCAACTGGCGCTCAAGATCCTGGATACAGACGCGGCAGCGTGCTCCTACCACGGCCTAGAGAAGTACCACTGGCACACAAGAACCTGTTTTCTCTGGGACACCTGGGTCGTTCATCTTTGTCCTGACCTATCTGCTGAAGGGTGGGACTATCTCGGACGGCGAACTCGACGTGATCTGGAAGCGGGTGGAGGCCATGCACAAGCACCACGATGAGCTGCTTGAGTCAAGGCGGGCTTTCCACGTAGGCCTCGGAAGCTTGACGCTTAAGGCGGGGGAAGCTCGATCGCTGGGAGAGACAGAAAGTAGGATGGAGGACCCGAGCTTCATTCTTGCCTTGCGCGCCGTCCGAGATGTTGGGTCGACAAAACAAAATGGTAACCACAACCGCGAAGACACTTCTCCAAGGGTCACAATGCCGACACAGCCGGCGGCCTTTTCCGCTTCGGAAAGCGGCCCCTAGCCGTCTCAGGGTAGCAAGTCTAGGTAGCGAGATAAACCTTAATACAGACGCCTGGTTTGATATTGATGGCGCAAACTGGGCTTTTGGGATCAGTTGATCCAAAATCACGACGCACGAAACGATCAGTGCGCGAGTAAGGCTTCGACATTCGGTTGTAACTTGTACGCGCAACTCGCAGACTTGGACACAAGCAGGACTCGGTCCTAGTTTGTTCGTGATTGGTCAGAGGCTCGGGTGGCCGTCGGCCGAGCAGGGACTTGCCAGCGGACTTTGAGACCCGAGACGGCCTGCGAGTGTCTTATCGGTCCCCGTCCAAGGCATCTGAGTGGCAACCATGTAAAGACTTACCTTCCACCGAATTGGAGACGGCCCCGGCACATCCCACAGCATCCACCTCCCGCACTATGTCTGCGGAACGCAAGCTACGAGTCCTCATCGTCGGCGCCTCCATCGCGGGACCCGCGGCAGCCTACTGGTTCGCCAAAGCAGGCGCCCAAGTGACAGTGATCGAGCGCTTCCCAAAACTCCGAACCAATGGCCAGAATGTCGATATCCGGTCCGTCGGCGTGACCGTGATGCGCAAGATACCCGGTATGGAAGCCGCCGTCCGCGCCAAAGCCGTGCCCATGACCGGCATCAGCTTCGTCGACACCCACGACCGGCCCTTCGCAACCATTCACGCGACAGGCAACCCCGACCAGCAATCCCTCGTCTCGGAATACGAAATCCTCCGCGGCGACCTCTCCAAGATTCTCTTCGACCTAACCGACCCCAACCCCAACATAACCTACATATTCGACGAACAAATCTCCTCCCTTAGCACGCCCGCCAACCCCAACGACCCTATCACCGTAACCTTTACCAACCACCACCTCCCCCCACAACCCTTCGACCTAATCATCGCCGCGGACGGCGCCTCCTCCCGCACCCGCGCCCTAGGCCTCAACTGCCCCGTCGACGCCTACACCCACCCCCTACACGCCTGGGCAGCCTACTTCTCCATCCCGCACTCCCTCCTACCCACTTCCGCCCCAACCACCGGCCGCGCCTACAACCTCCCCGGCGGGCGCTTCATCGCCCTCGCCCCCTCGGCCCAACCCAACACAAGCCAAGTCACCATCCTCCGCACCCACCCCCGCAACAACAACAACGACCCATCCAACATGCACCCCTTCCGCACCGCCCAAACCACCGGCACCGACGCCCTGCGCACCTTCATCGCGCAACAATTCCCCACCGCCACCTCCGGCTGGAAGTGCAACACAATCCTCACCGCCATGCAGCACATCCCCGCCGACGAGTTCTACGCCAGCGAGATGGTGCAGGTCAAGATCGCCCCGGCCGGTAAGCTATCGCAGGGCCGGGTGGTGCTGGTGGGCGACGCCGGGTATGCGGCGGGCCCGACGGGGGGCGGGACGAGTCTCGCGCTGGCGGGGGCGTATGTCCTTGCTGGGGAGGTGGGGAGGTATATGCGTGGGGAGGGTGGGTTGGAGGGGGCGTTGCGGAGGTATGAGGTGGTGATGCGGCCGGTGGTGGAGGAGTTGCAGACGCTTCCGAGGTTTGCGCAGGGGGTGTTTGCGCCGCAGACGAGGTGGGGGCTGTGGGTGAGGAATGCGGTGTTGTGGTTCGTGTGCTGGTCGGGGTTGTTGGGGTTTGGGCAGCGGTGGTTTGCGAGTGCGTTTGGGGAGCGCGAGGAGGGGAGGTTGCCCGAGTATGAGTGGGTTGCTTGAGGGTTGGGTTGTTTACTGATGTAGTTTGGGGGCTTAACTCCACTCAATCATAACAGAATATGACTTAACTCAAATCGCCACAGAAGAGGCAGATAGTCGAGGTTTCTTATTCAGTTCTCTCATCCCTTATGCGCGAGGAACACTCTGCTCGTCAACGTCGCCTGCCTAAACCACCCCCCTTACCGAAACACTACCGATACAGATTCAACCTTGATCTTTAGCTGTCCACGCCATCACCAAAAGAGTCCCTTCGTAAACCCCAAACTTCCAGCATCCCTGGGCAAACCTTACTTCTTCGGCGCATCCGTCAACGGCACATACCTGACCGGATAATGCTTCGTCTTAGTCACCTTCCCGTCCTTATCCTTATCCACCCACCAAATATGCTGCCCCAGCTGGCTGATATCATCATCCACCGGAATAAACATCCTCCCCGGCGCATTCAACTGCTCCAGCATCTGTGCATGCACCTCGGCCGCGGCCGCACCCACATGAATCGCATCCCACTTCTCCGACTCCTCCCCCTCCTCCACCCACCCCTTCCTCCCATCACCCACCCTAAACCGCGCCCTCCCGGCCTCCAAAAACGCCCGCCCCTCCTTCGACTTCGCCATATTCCCCTCCCCCAACTCCTTCAGCGGCTCGATATGCTCCACCCCGACCACCACCCCGTTGGGCCCGACCAGCTCGGCCATGACGTGGGTGAGGTAGCCCGAGCCGGAGCCGACGTCGAGCACACGCGGGGTTGGGTGGGCGTCCGAGGGCAGGATGTAGGGGAGTAGCGCCTCGACGGCGTTGGCGTGCATGTGCGGCGCCGAGATGGTCGCGTGGTGCCCGATCGGCTGCGGGGAGTCGTCGTAGGGGATGGAGGGGGCGTAGTGCGCGCGGTCGACCTTGAGGGGTTGGGTGTTAGTGATGGGGTTTGTGAGGAAAGAGGGGGAAGGGGGGGTCAATGGTGGATTGTCGGTAGGTGGATGGGATGGAGGGGGTAAGGGGCAGTACCGTGAGAAAGGCATCGCGGACTCGGGTGTCCTTGATGAGGCCGTTTCTGTAGAGATTCTCAATGAGACCCCGATTGGAGCCGGAGGAACTGCGCCAGGCCATGTTGATGGTGGGAGGCTGGGTGCGGGTGATGGGCAGGTGTACGACGATGGTGCGGGAACAAGACCAGTGGTCGTGATGCTGCAGAGGCGCGAGAGCGGCACTGTTCCTAAGAGTAGCGGGACAAGTAACTTGCGGTTGGCCAGTGTTGCGTATCGAAAGGGAAATGTTGACAAAAACGGAGTTGCCCGGAGTATGGGGATGGGAGGTTGGGTGGCCAGATGCTTTATAAGAGCTTGATGCCGTGAAGCACGTGGACGGGATTGACAGAAACACCAGAAACGGTCTTTGTGATGACGGATTTGACATTGGGGGTGATGTAATCGAAAGGCAAGATGAGCCCTGCAATCCAAATGGCGGGCAGAGGGGAGGTGAACCCCCGCACCAACCCCTCCCGCGAAATACTCAAGCTGCGGGCAGTCCTCTCAGTTTGAGTGAGGGGCATGGATGGCCGGGGAAAGTGGTTGAGGGGCAGGAACCGTGTTAGAAAACGATCTTGGGAGCGTCGAGTTCGGTGCAAAACGCTAATAATCACATTAGGGTATTGAGACGACCAAACTGCTGTGTTGCGATTGTAGCAAAAAGAAGATGCCCTTGACCTTTGAAACCCGCCCATTGTTGCATCCCGCAAACGCCGTCGCGTATCCATCGCGCTTGAAGACCTCGAAAAACATAAGAACCGCTATACCACTCTCTCCGGGTTCTCGCCCGGGGCAATGATCGGAATCCCCAACCCCCGGTCCGGGCTTTGCAGGACCAGCTGCTCATGCCTCCGCACCTTCAGGTAGTCGCTAACTGCCCGGATCAAGATGAACCAGCCCACAACCATCAACACGTACGCCGCCCAGTCGCTCCCCGTGATATCATCGCTTCCTCCACCGTTGACATCGTCGTCGGTAAAATTGTGCGAGTTTGGGTCCGACGGGTTTGCGTACCCATTCCCGTCCACGGACGACTGCATTCCCCCTCCAGAGCCGGCCCCGGGCGGGGCGCTCTTCATGTAGAAGCCATACTGGATCAGGGTGATACCCAGGCCGGCGCGAGAGCCATTCTTGGCTGCGTGGGTCGAGTGCAGGAGGTAAGTGAGGAGGAACCCGACAAGCTGAAACGCCATCGAGATCATGGCGTTCCAGACGAAGCCGAAAAAGGAGCCCACGGGCAGACCATCAATAAAGACGTCGTCGGGGCCACCCATGCCAGGGGCGAGGATCGTCGTTTCCCAGTAAGGGGGGGCTTGGTCGGCTGCTGCTTGTTCGTAGGACTAAAAAGCGAGTCAGTATCATTACCCAACGGACGTCATCAAACCAACTTACCGGTGGCATCTCGTCCTTCTCGCCATCACCGGTCTCGGGTTTTGCCGAGAGATTCGAGAAGACGCCGTCCGACTGGATGCCGCCGCCGTATACCCTAGACGTCGTTGGAGCTCCTCCCACCGGCCGTTCTAGTTGTGTCGGGTGTCCCGTGGGTTGGGTTATGGCAGCCGTCCGGGTCGCATCGTTAAATGACGGCGTCGAATTGCCGCGCACCAGCCGCTGCCTGTCATCCGCCTCCTCGTCGCTCTCGTCTCCGTCGGCATCGAACGCATCGGCGAGATGGGGGTCGACGGTATTGGATCGCTCTCTCGACGACGCCCGGGAGCGGAATGATGGCGGTGGTGAGTTCGGGACCGGGTGCGCCGGCCTTGGCATGGGGTCCGTTGGTGTTTCGGCTTCATCGTCGTGGGCGTTCACCTGCGATTTTGTTAATCCAAATCCATTCCGAACCTCGGCGGTCCGTAACACCGAAAAGGCTCGTACCCGTTCGTAGCGGCCCGACATGGTGGAGGCGGGCGATCGGCGAGGGTTGGAAGGGTGTTTTTGGCCCCTCAATCAGTCGGCAACAGGGCATCAAGTGCCGCGAGGCGAGGTTGCGGCGGAGCGAGGTGTGTAGATTCGACAAGGGAAACGAAACAAGAGAACGAATAAGAATTGTCGCGTGCGATGTTCAAGAAACGGCAAAGGAAATGAGCGCGCGGCTCTGTCAGGAATTCTAAGGGGTCGAAGTTGGGGTTGGGTTGGTGATGAAGCAACACAAGGGACCAACAGGGTCACGAACAAGGTGACGAACCGCTCAGGAGAGTGGCGGCTGACCAGGGAGCCAAGGTTGCGTTGCGCCAAGGCCAAACGGCGGCCTCAAAGGTCGGGCGGGGCCCACAACTTGCTCAATTCGCCCTAGCTTCTGAAGTTCTTGGCCAACTCGAGGCAAGATCTGTTCGAAATTTCAGCGACGAACGTATGAATACCACACTGCTTGTATGAACATACATCCATTGACAAACCCCTGTTGCTACATATCTCGACTTTCCATCTTGAATTCCGCCAACAGGCGGAAAATAACGGCCAGCCTCTATGGTTTGGGGCTCACCAAGACACAAGCGAAATATGAATACCAGAAAAGGCAGCACCGGTCGCCCGATGCCACCCTGCAAGGATTGTGTGCACCGCCAAGTAGTGTAGGAGCGCGACTGGTTGCGTTTTGAAGGTTGGATACTAAGAAGCTCTTTACCCTCGGCGCTTCCCCTGGGCCCTCGCTCTTCTGTGCTCAGCAACTCAACACAACACACCAACTTGGAGCCTCGGCTCGAGCATTCACGACGGCCACAATGTATTCATGTTGGCTCTGGGTATCCGCAGGGCTGGCGGCGCTGGCGGCCGCGGCAGAGGTGGTCACGACACCCCGACAATTTGAAGTCGACATTGTCTTCCCGCACAACGAGACATACAAGCCAGCCGACACCATGCCCATTGTCCTAGCCATCCAAAATGCTAGCGTCGCGTGGTCGATTGGACCCTTCAGCATCTTCTGGACCATCACGCACCTGCAGGGGAACTCAATCTCGGGGGGCGGTAGTAGGGATTTTGGCGATTTTCAAGTTTTCGGCAATGAAACGTTGGTAGACTCGACCTTGTTCCTCGCCGACTTCACCAATGTTACGGACTGGCTCCGGTACGGAGTGCCAATCCCACCAGCCACCGAGTACACACCCGCAGTGGACGACAGATACATCTTGCAGTGGAGCATCGTTTGGACGAGCCTGTTCGGGACCTGCACGAAATTCGAATCTTTGGTTGCTGCCGATTTGCCATCCGAGGGAGCTCTGACGTTCAACATCCAGACGGTGTGGGGGGAGGAGGGAGCTGGCTGGCAGGGCGAGATCCACGACGTGCAGGAGGCCATCCCCGAGTGCCCGGAATTTGGAGGCCATGTCCAGATTGGGCCGCCTCCGAACGCGACGAAGCCGTCCTGCCCTGGGTTTGAGATCCTCGAGAGTAGGGAAGGCAGCCCCTGCGCCGTCAAAGTTGACCAGGGCGTGGCGAGCAGCATTTCAAGCCGCGTCTCGAGCTCCGTCGCGAGCTCCATGTCGAAGTACCATCCGACCCCTACCGCCACCGATGTCGTGGAGTCGTCAACGAGCGAGGCCGGCGTGGGTCCCGCTCGGACGGTGCAGACGGCGCTGGCGGCTGCTTGCGTTCTCTGCGGCCTGGCATTGTGAGGCGTGTGGGAAGGACCCTGGGGAGGAGTCCGGGACGTTCCCGCTGGGCATCTCGTTATTGTCTTGTGTGGTGAGACACACTTTACCGTAATTCATAATACGCGTAATATTGATCTCCATGTATCTATAAATAACGACAGAGGTAATGACCTCTCACATTCCCATATCTTAGAATGATGTATAAAGGAACGGACATACCCTAAACACAGTAGTCCCTATATATGTACGGATTGATAATTAGGTACCTCGGAATTGAGAATTTCGATCGATCGCAGAGCATCTGTACAGAAAGCTCCGCGTCAACTTCTGTGCGACGTGTGACCCCACGGACATTTGTGCAGCAAGCCCGACCCACTCTAAATTACACAGCAGCAAATTACAGTCCAGCTGCGGCGCTCGAAACTTGCGATTTTGGCGACGGGCAGTCCAGCAAGGTTCCAACAAGTTCGGCGCAACCATGTCCGGCGCAGTAAGAGGTGTCAGTATCACCATTATTCAACACTGACCCTAATCTCTACTAACAGCCCTCTCCAGGCCGCAGCGAATCACTTCCGGGGCGCGCTCGCCCGGTGGCCCAAGGACCCCCTCCGACCCGAGTGCCAACTGCAGGATGTCCTCGCCAAGCGCCTCGAGAAGGGCAGGTTAGCGCCCGTGACGGCGGGGGCGACGCAGGAGCAGGGCGATCTAAAACAGGCCAATGCGCTATACTCGCTGCTGGAGGACCGGTACAAGAACAAGGTTTGCGCATCACGAGAGTCGCATTGAACTTATGTGGAGGCTGACTCCCAACAGTACCGACCCGCGGCCAAGATCTTCGAACCCAAGAGCAACCCGACATACTACAAGGACCTCGTGAAAGAGCTGGAGGAGGCGCCGACCAGGTCGTGGCTGGACAGGCTAGGCAAGAGGCTGAGCGGCATTGTTCGGTTGTCATGACGAACCCCCGAGTGGCATCTGTACAATACAACACGACGTTTGCATGGTCAAGGCGTTTGGCGTTCGGGACACCACGGGCGGTGTTCAACATCTCCCATTTTTTCACCCAAAACACCTCCGCCTTTTGTCTACCGATCCAATCGGGGGTATACACTCGCCCGCTCAAATGCAAACACACAGGAACGCCCACCAGGTGTCCGGCCTTGGCCACCTTGGCCACCTCCCCCACCCCTTCTCTCCCCTCTCAAATATACCTCCTCTCCGGATCGAACTTGTCAAACATCTCCATACTCTTCTCATACATCGTAAACACAATCCCCCCACTCATAATCAACCTCGCCAGCCGCGGCAGCGCCCCACTCCAAAACGTCAACACCCCCTCCTGCCTAAAAATCAGCGCCGCGCAGCGGAACGAATTCCCATACAGCGCGCGCGCCTCGATGCTCTGCATGCGCGTCTTGATGGTATCCAGCGGCTGGGTCACGTAGACGGTAATCAGGCCCGCGATGCCGCCCATGGCGAAGGTCGCGGCCGCGCCCAGCTTCTCCCCCGGCGCCGTGTACCCCTCCGCCAGCTGCTTGAGCGCCGTGTAGGAGCCGAACCGCGTCGCGCTGTTGGCGGCCTGTCGTGCTGTTGTGGGCACGAACCCCTGGAAGAAGCCGCGGATGCCGCGCTCGCGCGCGATGATGGGCACGGCGTGCAGGAAGCCGCGGAGGCGGGGGTTGGCGGATTTGCGGTCGTCGATGCTGGGGGTGCGGGGTGGTTAGCAGGGGTGGGTTTGGGAAAGGGGGGCAAGGAGAGGGGGGCGGGGTTAGCTGGGAGAAGGCTTACAGAGTTGTCTTGATGCTCTCCGTTGGTGTGACTGCGAGCAGGGACTCGGTCACGCCCGCGCCGAACCCCGCGAGCACCGTCCGCGGACCGGACATCTTGCCGTCGGCGTCGGCCAGCAGCTTCTTGTATTGGTCAAACGCAACGAATCCTGCCGCCCCCAATTAGCCCTGACTCGGACCCCCCCTTATACCGGGTGTATATGGTCTCTAAGGCAACGTACGGATGCCCGCCTTGGCCGAATTGCCAATGATCAAGGTCGTGCAGCCCGCATACCACTGCTTGCCGAATGGCGGCCATGGCAGCTTCTGGCCTGCGGCTAACCTGCGGTTGAGCTGTGTCCGGGTCTTGGCGACTGCGGCGCATGTCAGAATGTCCGTTCGGCAGAGGGATCGGTCGTCGAGTGGCAGTCAACGTACATTCGGCCGGGTATGTGATTGCTGTCGCGTGACTGTGTTAGCGGTTGCGCATGGAGCATTACAGCGACACTCACCAATCTCCACGGCGCCAGCTGTTGCGCCAGCGAGGATGGATCGCAGGGCGCTTGGCCCCTTGACAGCCGGGTGTGTGTCTCCCTTGGCTGTTGTGGACGACATTGTGGGCGTGTCTGTCGCGGGCTGCGTTTGTCGGAGGAAGACCGGAGTCCCGCTCTTGAACTTTTGGTTTGGGTCTGGGGCGCCAAGGATGTGTGGGGTAATTGATGCAACGCCGAGGTTGTCGTCTTGGCATCTGCGTCCACCATGATTCTACACAAAACGCGACGCTCCATATTCGGAGCCTATCAATGACATGTGGTCGCTATAAGGAGAGGTACATTCTATCAACGGGACTATTTGGCGTGCACTACCAGGCTAGCACACCCCAAGCTTCTTCAACAAGAACCCATCCTGCTGTAACTTTTGAAACACCTTGTCAGGATCATACTTCTGCGAGACGTCGCACACCTTCGCAACACTCTCAGATCCATAACTCGCCAGTGGATCTTGATCCCGCGAGCAGTCGTTCATGTACTCCAACCCTATATTCGACCGCTTCTTCCACTCTTCCGTCGTGGCAATAGACACGCTGCGCACGACATCGTCGTCGGCCGCATGCTCCCAGTCGATGAGAGTAGTCCACCCTGTCAAGGTGGGAAAGCCAGGTTAGCTCTGGTTGGGCAAAGATGAAGGGGTCAGCCAGTCGGGTTTGATCTTACAGGACATGCCGGACGGATCCAAACTCAAGGGGTTGCCGCCATTCTCTAGACCCTTCTGAGCCAGGTTCGAGGTGATGGGTTGAATCACAAACGACTGGTTCGCGACCGTCTTGCTGTGAACATCAGCAGCGCGCTCCGCCCAAAAGTCGAACATTCCAACGTACAGATCTCCGTCGATCTGCGTGGAAACGGCACGGTAGTCATGGCGTTGGGCCGCCTCATTCACCTGCCCGGCCCCAACTTGCATCAGTTCCAGCACCGCGAGATTAGTTGGCGGCAAAGCTGTGGCGAGTACGGGGATATCAGCAAAGGCCGCGAAGGTGTCCGGCCTCGCAGCGACAGGCTGTGAATAAATAAATGCTAACGTGGTGCCGCCTAGGGACGAAACGGCGAGGACTGTGGCTCGAAGGTCTGAGGCCCCGGCGCCCAGCTGCCAGGCGGCCAGGGCGCGCAGAAATGTGTGTGTTTCTGCTGGGGCGTAGACCACAACTTCGGCGTACACCCTTTGAATGGGGATCGTGACCAAGTCAAAGCGTGTGACGATGCCTGCAGATCACGTTGAGTGAGAACTCTCTGAGGCTCGGCCTGGCTGTGAACCATACCAAAGTTCGGACCACCGCCCTTCAGGGCCCAGAATAGGTCCGGATTCACCTGGGCACTTGCCTCGACAATAGTGCCGTTGCCCAATACAACCTCTGCGCTACGCAAGTTGTCCGCGGCAAGACCATACTCGCCCGAGAAGAAGGAGAAACCGCCTGGAGAGCCCGAGGTCAGAAAAGAATGCTCAACCGGACGTTGCTCCCTGCAGAACTGGTCCAAAGCAAAGCTGGGGAACCACCTACCGCCAAGTAGCAGGCCTCCCACCCCAAGGCTGGGCAGCCTTCCACCAACGACAGTAACGTTGTGGGGGCTCAAGGCTTCGACAACCTTGCCCCATTGCTGGCCGGGCCCGACGGACACCACGGAGGCATCGGCACTGATGCTGACCGTGTCCAGACGCGACATGTCCAGCAAGATGCCCGGCTCGCCGATGCTCGCCCAGCCCGGGTTGGGTGAGTGGCCCCCGCTACGGATCGCGAACAGGACCTGGAACTGCCATATGATCTGGAGGACTGCCGACACGATCTGGGCCGAGGTGGGTTGGATGACACACGACGGTGCGGCCCGGCACGTCTCGGACCTGCATGCCGAGACGGAAACCAGGTGAGTCAGGGGCCCCAAGACAGGAAGGTGGGAGGACTTTTGGTTTCAGTGGTGTCACTGGTGTGCACGTACCAGTTCACGTCCACGATGGCCTGGTCGACGGGGGCAAGGAGAACGAGGTCCGCGCCGAGCGCCCCCTGGGCGGCAAGACATGCCTCTACTGCGGCCGTAGCAGGGGCGTTGTTCCGAACGGACGGTAAGTTGTCGACAGATTGTGCCATCGTTCGATCATTGCTGGGCGTGATGTGCCGGACGTGGGAGAGGAGGAGGCTTCCTCGTCTTCTTAACCCTAGCCCAGCGCGCCAGGACGCGAACGCGACTGACTGACTCCGACATGCCGCACCAAATCCTTACACACTAATGTTAAGTACTTGGTTGACGAAGGCGCCATAGTACAGTGTGCCAATGTCCTGCGCGGTTCTTCGTTAGCGGCACTTCAGGTTGGAAGACAAGGACTTTGTCACAATTCAGCCCCCACTGACCATGACGCTGGTCAGCTCAGCACGCCCAATGACAAATGCGTCCCCAATGTTCCGACGGCATGTAAATTGTGGCGCGATGCTATGCAATCCGTCACGGTAAAGATCTGATATACCCAATCGCGACCACCAGTCTCTATCTGCACAAAGTGATTGACTAAATGCACGCGGTGCCTAAACCCAATTAGGCCAACCACATTATAGCGAGCTCATTGCCATGCCCACGAAACACTTCTCGACCCAAGAGCTTCTGCCACAGTGCAAATTCACAAACCATGATCATGGAACAATGGCATCCGCAACCGGGCACGGCACCCGCCGTCTGGATCAATGGCTTCCCCGGATCTGCAAAAGCCACCATCACCATGACAATAAGAAAAACGACCTTGTCTTTGACACTACAAACTGATTAACCCGGTCGAAGCACAGTTCTCCCGTACTCATGATAACTCATCCCAGACATTCCCAGCTATCAGGATGCGCGTCGTTCCTTCCGTGAAACCATTCTAGAAGGAAAGTGTCTGCAACGTGGCCACCGCCCTGACAAGCTTCGAATCCCAGATCACCATTCCCCCGACTCCCTACGCCGTCTTTGTCCTGTCAGCGAAGCGCCGCTGGAAGATAGACGTCTCCATCTTGGCGCACGCAAGCTCCCAATCCGTCGTCCAGCACCTGTGGAATGGCTGATAGCCCAACAAGCCCCCGATCCACCGGCCCACCACCACCCCCATGATGAGCGAGACGGTCGACCTGAAGGGCACCCACCACGGCAGCGTGAGGTACGAGTCGCCCGCGTCCCACACGGACAGGAGCTGTATCATGTCCAGCTTCTTCCCGTGGACGACGACCTCTTCCTGGTAGCCGTACCAGTTTTCAAAAAACGTCAGGTCCAGCGCGAACGCGCCCGCTGTGCGCTCACCGGAGAGGCAGAAGCGGGTCGGATCCGCTGGTACATTCTCATCACCGGGAAGGCACAGGCGGTGGTTCACGCCGCGCCGGATCGCGAACTCGGCGTCCCCGGGCCGCACCACGTGCTCGACCCCTTCGAGCTCGACGCCGAGCGCGCCCTGCAAGACGGTGACGTACTCCTCCTGATACGGGTGGAAGTGCGCGGGCGGCTGCGGGAGACCGCGGAGCCGGGGGTGGTCGGGGTGGATGGTGACCTCGAAGTGGAACTCGCGTGTCTTGTCTGCGCTGGCTTCCGGCAGCACGCGAGTGACCATGGCTCCTCCAAGTCTAGCGTTGAGACAGCGGTCAGCCAGTGTTGCGATTCATCCTGATGGCTTTCGGATTCATTTTCCAGAAGGGTAGGTAATAAGGAGAGTTTGAATTTACGCTGATATAGACACAGTCCCATCTTCCTCCACCACATGAGGTAGGACGACACGTCCCGACCTGGCGGCGCTTATATCCGTCATTCTGCTGGCGGTCAGTGTTGGGACCGGGGATGGAAGGGTAGGTAGGTGGGTATTTCGGTGAGAAGTAGCTAGATACGTACTCCTGGGTAAATTTAAGTCAAATAAACGACAATTGATAACCCAGAATAATGTCAAATAAAACAAAAACAGAATATGAAAGAGGGCCAGAAGCAACACAGGTCAACGATGACGAGAAGCCAGGGAGCTAATGCACCCGCTGATGAACACGGTCACCAAAGAGCTGTACGAAGGTAAATTAATTGACCGGTACCATGAAGTTCAGAGGCTTGGATGAAAGGAGCAATGCTGGGCCGCTCACCCCTCCATTGCCCTTGTGAGGCAACCTTACGGTACATTTAGCATCTTTTCAAGTAGGGCTTGCTGACAGCCCGCAAGCACAAGGGGGATCTGCAAGATTTGCAAGCGAAGCGATGGGTTTATACGCACTGGGTACCGACGAATACGCCCCGAGTGCTGCCCCCCTTGGGCCTTTTGGCCCCCGCGCTGCCCGAGGTCGTTGGTTGCAGGGACCTGCATTATCGATTTTATTAAATTTGCTGATATTTTGGCAGCGTTGGTAATACTCACTGCTGCTCAAAGCCCGCGACGAATAACTTCCAAAGGTGATTAGAGTCGGTTTTTGCATTTCGTCCTCTGCCCCTGAACCCCTGAGCAGCTCGTGACCGATAAGCCGTTTGTGCACATCCTACCGGGACTTGCAAAGTACAAGCCAACTCTCGACAGCTTGACCGGCGTTCTACGCGGTAGTTGCCTAAGCCTTTACTACGGGTGGTCACAACCATGTCGGCGTCACTAGCGCTTCTGCCGGCCAAGGTTTCGCCCGTGTCGGTACTCGTCAAGACCCAGCTGCGGACCAAGCCCACGCCGCCGCCGCCGTCAACGTCGCTCGCTGGCAAGGCGGCCATCGTGACGGGCAGCACCGCCGGCCTGGGCCGGGAGGCCAGCGAACAGCTACTTGCGCTCGGTTTGTCGCGCCTCATCATGGGCGTCCGTGACGGCGCGAAGGGCGAGCGCGTGGCCGCCGAGCTGCGGGCCAAGTTCCCCGGCGCGCGGGTCGACGTGTGGACCGTGGAGCAGGAATCCTACGACTCGGTCCGCGCTTTTGCCGCGCGCTGCGCCAACGAGGTCGACCGCCTGGACGTGGCCGTCCTAAACGCTGCGTTTGCGACCCCTGAGTGGGTTGTTACCGAGAATGTAAGTGCAGTCTGCATGGCACCACACACCTGTACCCCGACTTGTAGTAGCAGTGACGTTGGAGTGGTGAAGGAGCAATACAAGTAGAATCTTAAACCTAAAAGAGTTTTAGCGTCACTCCTGCTTACGGTCCTCGTGCTGACACCGGACTCACGCGGCACCCCAGGGACACGAGGCCATGCTACAGGTCAACTACCTATCGACGGCGCTGCTGGCCTTCCTGCTGCTCCCCGTACTCAAAGCCAGCGGCGTGAAGCACGGCAGCGGGCCGGGCCGTCTCACCATCGTCGGTTCCAACCTCTCGCTCACCGAGCCCTTCCCCCCCACCGACAAGGACCCGATCCTCCCTTGGCTCGACGACCCGAGCAACGCCAAGGCATGGGGGGTCCTGGCCGCACAGCACCGTCAGGTCACGGCCAAGATCTTCGGGCTGATGCTGACGCAGAAGCTGGGCGAGCTGGTGGATCCGGACCTGGTCATCGTCAACACGGTCGATCCGGGTACGTCGCGCTTTCTCCTTCCACAAGAAGGCATGCGCCACCACCAGTGCTAACTGCTTCCCAGGCATGGTCAAGGGCACCGATATAGGCCGGCAACTACCCTTGGTGGCCAAGGCCTTCGTGTGGGTGATCTTCACGCTGCTGGCGCGGACGCTGGAACAGGGCGCGTGGACCTATCTCGACGCTGCGGTCGTCAAGGGTAGGGAGAGCCATGGGGGTTTCCTGGTCAACTGGGAGGTGCACTCGTTCCACCCGGACATGTACACGCCCGAGGGCCGGGCCACGACCGAGCGCGTCTGGCACGAGACGCTGCGCGACCTGAACTTTGCCGACGTCCTGGGCGCGCTGGCTTCGGTGCGTCGGGCGCCGAGTAAGAGCGCGTAGTAGCGTGCCGGTTGGCACTCGGTAGGTAGCGAATGGGTAATGGGATGGTGAAGTTGACCGGGTTAAGGTCTTTTGTGACTACCTAGGTATCTAAGCATTTATTTGGTATTATCATTTTGTTCGCCGTGGGCGTCTGGGCATATCTACGTTATGTACCGCCATAACTTTGCATACATCCACATATACAATTAACAAGGGCCATGCGCACCGGGGCTAATCACAGAGCCCCCCGCGCATGCATCTCCGTCAGGCTGGCCAGCTCAACGTCCCTTGGATCCCCGTCCTCCGAATTTCCCGCCTCTGCGGTCGTGGTGGAGACGGCGATGTGGGAGGACTGCTTCGAGCCCGGGTGGAAGTCGGGCCTGGCCGACGAGTAGTTGTAGTCGGAGACGGTGTAGGATGCGGTGGAGCGGTAGCCGTGGCCGTGGCGCTTCCGGCGGCGCACGAAGCGGTCCCATAGCGGCCCCAGCGCGGGCACGGAGCCGCAGATGACGATGAGCGTGATCTCGACCGACGTCAACACGGCCAGCACGTACATGTCCCAGGTGACGTCGGCGGCGACGCCGAGGCTCTTGCTCGCGAGCCAGGTTTTGACCGACGCCGCGACGCCTGTGACAGTGGTGAGCCCGAGCAGCGCCATCAGCGCGAGCTTGCGGCCCAGGCGCATCTGTAGCCCCCAGATGATGTGCACGGGCAGCAGGGCGAGGTAGAAGTCGGCAAATGCCTGGAAGGCGGCCGTGAAGGTGTTGTAGTTGTACACGGCGGCCTTGTCGAGACACGATAGGCTACCGCTCGCCTGGCCGACCAGGTCCCAGAGGTTGTTCGGGTCGCCGCAGTGGAACAGCACCAGGAACACGTCGAGAGCCGAGGTTACGGCCGTCAACACGATGAGCGCCCACAGCGACCACACGTGCCACTTGACCGACGACTGCTTGATGATGCGCAGGATGGTGAAGGCGACGGCGATCTTGCCAAAGGCCGTGCACGGGATGGCAATCGCCTGCAGCACAATTTGTAGCTTGATCTGGTACTCCTTCTCGGCTAGAGTTAGGTAGGCAAAGTGCCGCGTGCCACCGGACTCGCCGATCAGGGCGGCCACGACACCCAGGGCGACGAACGTCAGCTGTGTGTGCTTGCTGTTAGCACAGCAAAGACGGGTATGGATGATTCTCATCAGATAGGTACCAGTGAGAAAAGGCATCACGAACCCAGCAGGCGGCCATGTACAGATCGTCGGTGCCCAGGATGCGACTGTACGTCCTTGCCCAGATCCGCAGGGCCATAAAGGCGCTAGAGAGCCCTACCAGGGCCCATACGATGGCTTCGAACGAGACACGGCGGTCCGTGTCCGGCCCGATGGCGGGCGTTACCGGTTTCGGATCCATGCCGCATTTGCTGGTTGGGTCTGTTGGAGACTGACCTAACTTCTAAGTATTGGAGGCGCAAAAGCCCATCGCCTTTGGCAAAACGGGGGTGAGTTATGCTTGCTTTAGGTCCTGTTTGTTCAGGTTGCCACCGGACACGACAAGGCGGTGTCTCTGGCTTTCATGACTGGTCCCCGGGGGAGGCATGAGAACCAAATGCGAGGCCGCAGCAGGAACCCATGGCCCCCAAAGGCCGCTGCTGTGCCTTGGGCGTGCCAGCAAAACGAAGGATTCTCGGGAGCCAAGCGCCGTTCAGGAGCGAATCACTGGTAGGGCAGCACAACACTGGGGGAGCGGAGGTGTGTGGTACATACCATACCATGTCTGGTTGGTTTGTGGGAGCACGAGTTAATGTGATTGCATAAAAAACAGCCAAGCACATGCAGGCCCAAACCAACACAAAATGCTTGAATCCTTGCTCGTCATCACCCCCTGGCCAAAAAAAGGCGAACGGGAAAGGAAAGCAAGAAATCAAGCAAAAAGAACAAAACAAATAGAAAGAAATCAAGAAAGATAAATCAAATACAAGAAGGGGGGTAAAATAAAAGTAAATGGTGTAAATACAGTTTATTTGGGTTCCAGGTTAGCGTGGCTTTTGTTTTCTTCCTACAGTCGAGGACTCTAAGTTTCCATTGTCGACATCTGCGCTTGGAGTTCGGCTTTTTTTGTCCAGGGGGTGGTTGGTCATCTTACCTTTCACCGTGTGAATGAACCGTGAACATGTCGCCGAGAAGCCCCTAATTCGTGCAGTTCGAGTTGGACCATGATTACAAATGTCTCACTGCTGCTGCTAAAAGGCGAGTGCTGAGACGGTAACAGACTTCCTATTAGTTACTCCGTACCATCCTCGTCTCGGTCCGGATCACTCGCTGCTATTCGTGCCTAGGTACCCTTATATCCTCCTATCTCGACCCGCGTTTCTTGCGTGACGGCGCCTCATCCTCGGGAGCCAGGACAGTCAGTTAGCGCTCACACCTACCCACCAGTAGCGATGGGCGACAAGTCCAAGGCCAACAAGGCCAACGAGGCCGTCCGTCCGTCCCGTGGTTTCTCGCTCCCGTTCGCCGCTGCAGCAGCAGCAGCCATTAGCGTGGTGCTCGCCATTGTTTGGCCCAGCATTGGTCCATACGTCTTTAGCACCCTGCAATCGACAGTCGACAACCTCGGTTTCGGTCTGGGTCCCGAAGCACTTGCGTCGACTACCTGTCACCGGTTAAAGGCAGAATTGGAGTCCATCATCACACTGCCGTCAGAGCCGACATACACCGCCCTAACCCAAGAGAACTGGTCCCATTCATGTTGGCTGCCGGCCGCATGTGTGGCGCAACCAGCCCGCGCCGCAGACGTGCAAGAGCTTGTATCGACTCTTGTTGCTGCCAAAGTTCCCTTTGCCATCCGGTCCGGGGGCCACTCGCCGAGTCCCCGCGACGCATCCATCGGCCGAACCGGTGTCTTGATCGCGTTGGACAAGTTGGACCAGATTACCTACGACCCGTCGACGACGCAGGTCACGCTTGGCGCCGGCGCCAAATGGGACGCCGTCTACACGGTGCTGGACTCGCACAACGTCGCCATGGTCGGCGGTCGTGTCATGCCCGTGGGTGTCGGCGGGCTAACTCTTGGGGGCGGCTTGTCGTACCTGTCAGATCTGCACGGGTTGGTCTGTGATAATGTCGCCAGCTTCGAGGTGGTGCTAGCTGACGGCAGACTGGTCGAAGCCAGTGCGACGTCGCATCCACATCTGTTCTGGGCGCTCAAGGGGGGCTCCAACAATTTCGGTTCGTCCTCCTTCCCCTTCATCCCATGATTACCATCCAGGCTTGTTCCCATCTCCCCGGAACCCGCTGCACGGTACTGCACTACTGTCAGTCTGTGTAACACCCCTGCTGACCGCACCCGAACGGGCCGTGATAATGCAGGGATCGTCACATCCTACCGGGCTGCCACGTACCCGATCAAGGACTGCTGGGGCGGCATGCTGGTCTTTGGGCAGGACCAGCTTCCCGACGTGCTCCAGGCCTACAACGAGTACCAGCACACCCCCGAGAAGGATCTGCAGGCCAACCTGGTGCTCAATATCGCCGTGACCAATGCATCAGTGCTCCTGACTCTGGTCTATCTGCAGCCTGTGGAGCGCCCTGCAGCGTATGCGCCCTTCTACAAGCTGACTCCGGCCGCCGATCTCACCGGATTCCACACACTGCATGAGATCATGGCCATGTTTCCGCTACCGAACGTGCAGCAAAAGATGTGGTACACCAGCTCCTTCGAGCCCAGCCCGTCCATGTTTACAGGACTCGCCGACATCTTCAGGACCGCACCCGAGGTGTCGCAGCTCGCCGAGCTCACGGCAGGGACCATGATCCTTACCCTGCAACCGATCCACCCCAACGTTGTCCACCAGGGAGAAGCGAAGGGCGGCAATGCGCTTGGCCTGGAACCGCGCACGCAGACATGGTTCGGCCTCAACTACGGCTGGTGGAATGCCGAAGACGACGCCACCGCCTTGCGCCTGGTGCCGGCCATCCATCGCCGCGTCCAGGACCTGGCCAAGCGCGAGCACGTCTGGCTCAAGTACATCTTCATGAACGACGCATTCCACCGGCAGCCTGTCATTGCCTCTTACGGACGCGACAACGTCGACCGGCTCCGAGCGGTGCAGCACCAGTATGACCCGCACCTGGTCTTCCACAAACTGGTGCCCGGGGGCCAAAAGATTCCCGCGTGAATCCTGATCCGTCCATGCATGTGGCTGAGCTCCATCTCACAGTGTCATTTGTATCCGCCCGAGCCGGGCATGATCCGGACTAGTAGTTGTAGGATTAGTGTTGCTTATATACGCTCTTACATGGCTTAGATACGCCCTTGCTTGGCTTATATACGCCCTTACTTGTGCGGTGCCCATGTCCGACAGTCTCCACGCGCCATTCCCGTTCCCGCTCAGACTCAGGCCCTACTTTCCCGCCTTGCCCAATATCTTCGATGGACAACAAAATGGGTGCGACCACGGCCCGGCCACGGCGCGGGCATCGTTCCAAACCCGAACCAGAGCGGGCCCCAGCGGCTGGCCCCTCCCCTTCGGTACAATCCAGCAACGGCCGTGCTACCGGCTGGACTTCACACCTGCCGCCGTCCTGGGTGCCCTATGTGGAGCTGGCGCGCCTCACCATGCCGGCCGCCCTGTTTCTAATCTACCTCCCCACCCTGTTTGGCGTCGTCCTCGCCGCCGTCCTCGCCCGCCGTGGCAGTGGCAGCGGGAACGCTGACGGTGGGTTCGATTTCCCCAATCCCTGGTGGTACACCTGTCTGCTTTTGTTCGTGGCCTCCTTCTTCTTCTCCAACGCCGCGCACGCGTGGAACGACCTGATCGACGCCCCCTTCGACGCTCTCGTGTCCAGGACGGCCCGGCGTCCAATCCCGCGCGGCGCCATTTCCCGTCCGGCAGCTGTGGCTTTCGCCGCAGCCAACGCCACCATCACCGGCGCTGCGCTCCTGGGCTTCCCCGACCCGGCCGGCGCGTTCCGCTACGCCCTGCCCAACATCATTGCCACCATCTACTACCCCTACGCCAAGCGCCACACCAACCTCCCACAGCTCGTCCTCGGCTTCTGCCTCGCCTGGGGCATCGTCATGGGCGCCGTCGCCGTCGGCTGCGAGCCCTTCGCCCTCAGCAACACCATCCGCCTACACCCCCGCCCCCCAAACCTACCACACGTCTTCTCGCCACACCTCCATCACACCCATGATCACCCCCTTTCCACCACCACTACCACCACCACCCCAACCTTCCCATCCATCCCATCCATCCCATCCATCCCATCCATCCCCACCACGCTCACCCTCGGCCCCCTCACCCTCTCAACCCCCTTCCTAACCCTCTTCACCGCCAGCGCCCTCTGGTCCGCCATCTACGACACCATCTACGCCGCCGACGACCTGGCCGGCGACACCCGCCTCGGGCTCGGCAGCCTGGTGGTGCTGTGCGGGGGCCACCCGGGGCGTACCAAGACCGCGATGGGGGGGCTGTTGGTGCTGTTTGCGGGGTGTCTTGTGTTGTGTGGGTTGAGCCTTCCGGTTGGGGGGGCGGGTTGGGGGTTTTATGTCCTCGCGCCGGGGGGGTGTACGGTTTCGCTGGGGGTGATGGTGGCGAGGGTGGATTTGGGGGATGCGAGGAGTACGCGGTGGTGGTTTACGTATGGGTGTTGGTTGGTTGCCGGGGGGGTGCTGGGGGGGTTGGGGGTTGAGTTGGTGGGGAGGGTGGGTTAGGGGTGCTAAGGGGGTGTTTGAGCGGGGTTGGAATTATGGTTTGTGTGGCTTTGGGGCAACTTTGAGGCTGCAATCACTGGGATATTTGGAATAATAGACAGAGGCACGCTGCTGGCCCTGCCATGTCTGGATATAGCTCAGCTACCTACCTAGGCTGGCAAAGTCCTCCAGGGCACCGATTGCCCCGTATGATATTGCCGTTTTGGGTACGGGACTCCTCCCAACTTTCCCCCATCTTTGCTACGTTCAACCCTGAACGCAACTAAATATTGGTCTCGGCTCCATAGGCCTATGAAACATGCATTCCACTGGCAGCTGGTCGGCCATATCTTCCGCCAGCATAGCCCTGCTGGCCCCGTCGTGGGGATGCCATTGGAGGTCGACGCGGAAGTCGGTGAAGCAGAAACAACAGGATCCGATGTTTCCGGTGAGTGAACAATAAGGTAGGCCAACGATGGCGAGAACGGGCGTCTTCTCTGTAATAGCGGCATAGATGACTCCCGGGAACATTCCTAAATCTTCGGCGGGTATCCGATTACAATTCGGTTGACGTTCCGACACCCGTTACACGATCATAAGACCGGGACTGGCGTGTTGTGCAATCTTGACATCGAATTCATCAGTCTCTGCGTTCATATTTACCATCATATCAAGGCACAATCTAGCCTCTGCAACTGGACATCTCAACACCGCTACGCCCTAAACAACAACCCTACCGACGCCTTCCCTCCCTTCCCTAGCTTAACCACCCCCATCCCTCGCCCCTCGCACCCCATCCCTTTTAGCACCTCACGCCATCACCCCCTCCCCTCCATGAACCATCACGCCGAAACCCCCCCCAACCCCCTCCACCCCCCCTTCACACTAAACGCCTCCACCCCCCTCTCCCTCAACGTCGCAGTCCCCAACCTCCCCGCATCCCCATCTTCACACACCACCAGCACCGCCCTCCCCTCCCTCTTCACCCTCTCCAACACCGCCCCCACCTCGGGACGCGAAACAAGCGCTTGGATGCCCGTCCACGCGCGGTGGATGGCGTCGGGGTCGCCGAAGAGGTCCCCCGCTGCGCGCTGGGAGGGGGTGAGGGCTTCGAGGGCGAGGGGGAGGGAGTGCGGGATGTGGTTGGTGCTGAAGGAGGGGGTGGGGCGGAGGTCGATGATTAGGGGGGTTGTAGTGGTGGTGTTGGTTGGGGGGGTTGGGTGGGCGGTGCAGCAAACGGGGTGGTGGTTTGCTGGTGGTGAGGTTGGGGTTGGGGGGCTGGGGTGGAAGAGGCCGGCGAGGCAGGATCGGAGGGTTGACCAGATGGTTGGAGGGCGGGTGGTGGCGGGGGTTTGCGGGGGTTCGAGAGAGGAGTCGAGGCTGGTGGAGGAGATGTTGGTTTCGTTCTTGTGGGGGGATTGGGAGGGTGATGGTGTGAGCCGGAGCATGGCGGCGACCTGGGCTGGTTCGAGGATCCAGCGCTCGTCGTGGCGTGCTTGATCGCATTGTAGGAGGATCTGTGGGCCCGGGTTGTTAGCTATACAGGTAGACTTCTTAGGTACCTAGTCAGGGGTGCGATTTACCTTGTTTTCAATGGGTGGGAACTCCTCGGCATCTAATTTCTCAAAGTATTGCGGGAGGTACTGGTACGGTAAATCGCTGCATGTAAACACACAGGATACTTCCCCCGTTGTCTCGTCGGCAAGCTGGGTTAATGTGCCAGTTTTCTTGAGCTGCCCAAGATAGTCGAGTAGACCTTTCAGTGCTTGCCCAGACGAGGGGCCGGCGATTAGGCCTTCCCTCGTCAGTTTCATTGACATGCGAAACGAGTCCGTTGATGGCACTTCGACAAATGTATCGACGTTCTGTGTCCAAGGAAAACCGCATGTATTGAAACCTTGGAAGTGCCTCGGCCCAGGAGTCGGATCACCAAACACATTGAACACTCTATTGAAATTGTTAGTTGTCAAAAATGGGCACCATGGCATTGATCACTCACCCTAGTGTGCGACATGACGGCTTTTGTGCCTTGAGATAGGATGCTGTCCCAGTGATACAGCCTCCGGTACCCACTGTGGTGCACAATATGTTGATTTCTGGAAGTTGTCTGAGTATCTGCGGCCCTGTCCATTGCTCATGTGCTTTCCAGTTCTATAAATCTGTCAGCGTCTCTTCAACTAAGCGTCCTGCGGCCAGAACTCACATTTTCGTTATCATATTGCCCCGGATATGTGGTATCATCCTGATTCGCCGCGAGCCGCCGCAGCCGACACATAATCCCCGATTCGTCTGTTGGTTCTTGCTGTGCGAGCCCACCATACAGATGTCTATCCATTCCGTTTCAGTACACGTTTGGGGGCCAAAAACAGATCAGGGGTCATACGGTGTTATGCCGAAAAAGCGAAGCAGGTTGAGTGACTCGGGGTGTTTCTTATTCGTCACATATGCGTTGACGTTCTCATGGCCCCAGAGTACGCGGGCAATGATTCCAAGCGATAGCACGGTCGATCCGGAACTTGCTTCAACGATGGCCTTATCTTGTGCCTCTGGGATTCCTCGAAGCATCTTGAGTGCTGTGTGTGGGTCCCGTCAACACCCTCTTCTCTCGTCTCTGCACTGCACCGCACCGCATCACACCCAAGAGGACGTACCGGGTAAAGATTTGACGTTTTGGGCAGGCAGATGCGTGAGCATCTTGGCGTATATCCGCACACCATCTTGCCTGTACGGGTTCAAGCGTTCGGGAATCTCGACCAGTGGCAGTGGGGGGTTCTTGTCGGGGTCGTAGAAGTCGGCCACCGAGTCGGTGCCGCGGAACACATTATCTGATACGGCCATGATGGGAAGATGCATCAAGAGATTAGCGAACACTGGGGAGCAGCATCAAGGACGGTGCAATCTTTGGCCGGCTACCCTGAGAAAGGAGACCCAGCACTGTGTCAACTGCAGCGATCCTCAGTGATGCAGACTGATCTCCTCGGTGACACTTCACAACTACTACCTTATCTACTGTCTCCGTGTCGGCTCCCACCCCACGATCTTGCCACCAGCCTCCCCGACGGACCGGACAGCGTCCTCGTCACGCAGTGCCGGATGGAATGTCAGCATCCCACGACATCCCCGTCACTCTGCACTAAGCCGAGCGATTTACCTGCTCAAATGCGCTCTCATGCCCCTCAACCATATACTAAGTGGCCAAAACACAGCTTGGCGTGCAGAAGGCGTGCAGAAGACGTGCTGTTGTCTCCGGATGCCGGGGATTCTGCCAATTCCTGTCAATTCCTGTCATCCCCTGTGCCTGGTTCGCGCGGTCCCGAACCCCGGACACATGGCCCCCGCTGTCCGCACCGGGCTCCGGATCGGGAAGGGAGCGGCGGACATCTCCCGTCGGCCCACTCCCGTGCAGGGCGTCCAGGGGAACGGCGCTGGTGAGCAAGTTGAGCATGTTTCGGTTGCGACGCCAGTGCAGGCTTGGCTTTGGCTCGGAGGATGTGGGATTTCACCCCAGGAACCGGTGTCTTGTCTCGACCGCTTCTCTGGGTTTGACGGCGGCGCTACACCGCCTGCCTATTCAGGTCCCAAAACGGAAGAAGGAAGAGCTCCGTTTCAGCGTCGAACGCCCGGAACGTTTCTGCTTTCTTGACGACTACACCGTCGATGCCACTTGCACACAAATCCTCGCATTACGCCCAGCCCAGGGACACATGGCTGCTGTCGGCCTCCAATGGGGTGGATTCAAAAGTGACACATCTCTCCGTATTGTCTCGGTATTGCCGTTCTCCAGTACTCACGGCAGTAAGCTAACTACAACATACAAAAGTACACAAAAGCCACGCTCAGGCTCTGGTCAGTAGTCCCATATATCCGCATCTTGGTATCTTTGAATCCGTGCACGCGCTCGGCGGCCCGCGGCGAAAAAGTCGTCGGGGGTGGGATAGTCCACACTGTCGAGCACATCCCGGCGTCTGGCGTCACCCGAGTTTGAAGGAAGCTCTTTGCGCTCCCAGATATCACGATAAATACGGGTGGTTGCGATCGGTTCTTCCGGGTCCACGCGGATGCGGTTGTCCTGATTGCCGAGGATCGGAAGCGGGCTGGGGGGGGCGGATTCGGCCAAGAGGAAATCGAGAAGATCGCTTCGCTGTTCTGGCAGCAGTTGGTAAATCCGATACGTGATTTTTTCGCGATCAGAATGGAAGAAGACGGCATCGGGGTCGACCTTGAAATCAGTTCCAGATTCCTCACAGGGCTCAGTATCAGGCTTGCGCCGGTCGAATAGAACGACGCCGCCGAGGATGCGCGCCTCGGCCCAGTACCCTACCATATCAGCGACACCCCTTGGGTACTGGTCGTAGTCCTTGTACCACTGGTGACGGAAAAGTGTAGGAGGAGGTCCCTTTGGGTAGCACCTCCAATACCTTTCATCGGACTTGGGAGGCGCCCAGTCAGTGACTCCGTCGTCCTTGTGTAGACTTGTATCGAGCTCAAAGAGCAAAGCGGCAATTTGATGGACTGCAACAGCCACCATTTCAATGAAGCGGGACTTGAATCCTCTTGAACCTGGAGCGCAGGAGCGGTATTCATGGACAAGCTATTGTGATGAAATGTCATTAATCAGGAGCGGGTCGCCAAATCCCCGAGATGGCTCTTTCTCACCTTGGCGTTGAACGTGAGAACATCGGGTTGGAAGTCGGCACGGAACTGCCGTGCCTTGTCCAGCATGCCCGGACAGAGTTCATCGTGGGCGCTGTCGATTGGATGGTTGTCGTAAGGCGGATTGTAAGATTCATACGCGACATCACCGGTGGGAAGCCCGTCGATGATTTGCGCATATGTCATCTCTGCGAGTTCGGTGGACAGGATCCTCGCTATGGCACGTTCAAGCAGTCGGCGATGTTCTCCATCGAGATCTGCGAAGGAAAGCTGTCCCGGCGTCGTGTCTGCCTGCTCCGCAGACGGAACAGTTGTGGGCGTCGCCGACATGGTTGTTGATGAGGAAAGAAATGGCCCAAAAACTGCAAGAAAAAGGATTATGTATCAATCAAGGCCGTCAACTTCTCTTGGGTTGATGGGACGTCGGATGTTCGAGTGAAAACAACGGAATGAGGAGGACTCGGAGATGGGAGCGGGCTGAAGAGGAGACGCTTTGCGTGTTGGCTGATGGTTCCGAGTTTGTCGCCCTTGAAGATCGCCCCCCCGGTGCCCCGCAGCCGTCCGCAACCGCTGGCGCTTGGCCGGGAGTGGGGCCGCACACGGCCGCGCGCCAAATGAAACTGAACAGAAAGGTGTCGCGGTTGGGAGTTGCAAAACCTCGTGAGAAGGCTGTGCAAAAATATACTGGCGGCTAAAGCAGTGTTGATTCGCAACCCTGGCAATTCAACACTCCGCTTGAGGTTGATGGAGGTTTTCGTGGACCGAACCTACCGGCGAGGGGCATCGCGCTGGAGGGGAACTCGACGTGCAGGAGGCACGGTGTGCGGCCAAAAACACTGACTGTCTACTTACAAGCAACGAACGGGGAAGAACGCGGGCTTACTACATACGAAGTCCTAACACTCAGATACCTGGGTAGTCGGATGGCGTGCGTAGTCAATATAAATGATTTTTTTGCTTAGTTAATCGATAACGATTCATGTCCATCAGTTATTACCGACCTTCGAACAGTAAAGTCGAGTTCTGAGAGAAGACTCCAAGCCCACCGATTTTGAGTCTCGGTGGAACTACCTAGGGTGCACTGTGGACGCACTGTGTCGCCTGCAAGCCACCTAGCACCACCCTTGAATGACTGCGACTCCAACACTCTGTTCGCGCCGTGATAAACAGGGGTCAACACGGGGAGACTGCCCAATAATAACCTTGGCGTTACTGAACCGGGACTTGCAAAGGCCAGGAGAGAGGGCAAAGAGTCCTGGCAAGGTAGTCAGCGTCTAGACTCGCTGGAGTTTTCTAAACGCGCGGGTATCTTCAATCCTCATCCGTCGTTCTTCGGCCGAGATGGGGTGGGGAGTTGTCGACAGAGGGACTAACGACAGCAGCATCGGTCAACATTTATCTAATGACTATAAGAAGAGTGCGCACTATAGGAATGCTAGCTGTTCTCCAAACCTTCACACCCATCCGTCTTTTGTTTCATTTTCCCCCATCGTCATATTTGATCCTTGCGACCGACTTAGCCCATTTGATTCATTTTTACCCTTCAAACCGTCACTTACCGCCAAAATGTCTTCCCCTTCCAAATCGCCCGCCCCTCCCCCGCTGGTCGGGAACCTCGGGGTCCACGTCCGAGAGGGCCGCGATGAGCAAGAGCTGGACCCGACTTCCACCCGATACCAAATCGTCGAGGCAATCGTCCACCTCGCCCTTACTCTGCTCGAAACTCGGGAGGGTAGGCGAAGCTTGACCGAGGTCGCCACGGCCATTATCCAAGAACGTAAGGCGTACGCCGCAGCCGGAAGGAGGCGCCCTCAGGGACACATCTACGAGGACAGCTTGGCCAACATGCCCATCTGGATTGACACATTCCTCCGACGCATGAGGAGAAATTTCCCTCCCGTTCTTATCGGACGCACCGACGGCGAGGCTTCGGCTGCAAAGCGCGACTGGGGAACCGACATGAATGCGTACCAGGCCGGGCATGATGCGGGAGTCCTCTGGGTGAAGGATTCCATCATCAGCAACATGGTGTACGTGCGCCAGCAGCCCCGGGATATTGCCGGCGACAGTTACATTCTGTACAAGTTCCAGATGGTTATCAGCGTTGCCCATGAGATCGTGCACTTCCTCACAGGTTTCCTCACCGGCACCATGAGGCCACATACCCCCCCACGAGTCACTGCGAAGCCATACGGCAACCCATACGGCGACACCACACGAAGCGGCGAGGCCGGTAGGTACTGGGAGCACGACTTTCTTGGCGGTTTCCTCGAGATGTGGTCTCTCCCCGACGACCCGCTTGACGTCCGACAGCCAGGCGTACCGTTCCTATTCCTCTCCGGGAAATTGGGGGAGGCCACGGGACGGGAGATATCCATGGCGTATATCGACGAGTTTCTGAACAAACGCAAGTACCCCTGTTGCAGTTGCCCTTGGCCGCAAACCGCACAGTTTGGACCATTCAAACTCCTCGCTAACTCTACTCTCAGAGTTCTCCTTTCCTATCCGCACGTCCACTCGAACGCGGCCCATCACGAGGAACCAACTGCGGCGGTTGGGACGCCTGGAAACCAGCGTGCTGCGCGGCGGTCCGGCGTTCCGTGCGGCTGGTCGGGTGGACTCGCCGGAACCCGGAGCAGCTCGTGAAGGTTCCGAGCCCAGATTCCGTCGCATCATCACGGATTCAGTGTCAGGGTACAGTGGTTCTGGGTACGGTGGTTCTGGGTACAGCGGTTCCGGGTACAGTGGCTCCGGGTACAGTGGCTCTGGTAGTGGCGGAGGAAATGGATATCGCCGGCCCTCCTATCGTTGACATGCGGTCCTAATATCTGAATGTAAGGGTCGAGGGTGGGGGTTGGGGGAATGATTGAACTGTTACGGTTGAGTGGATTGGGATTTCTTACGTATCATGCATGGTTGGCTTGCGGTAACGGTGTGGTAATTGTATAATAGCTGGGCGGTAGGAATGGGACACAGAATGTTGACACCTGAAGACCCACTTGGCTTTCCTCCCTCTCTTGTTTCTCAGCTTTCTCCCTTCGCTTTAATTCCCACCTCGTTATCCTTATATTGTATTTCTGTTCCTTTCCATTCCATTTCCTTCGTTTTCGCATTTTGGGTTTTCTTTCTTGCTTTTTACTGAGGCACGTTGCCGCTTCGTAGATTGGGAGCCTGGAGTATGATGCCGAGTTCCGTTCGCCCACCATTCTGCGGCTGAGCCTGCAGCTGTCCGCCTTGTATTAATGCTGTTGGTGTAGGGTGGAAACTTTAGTGACCAGGGCCATGCCCGACTCGTACGATAGGTGGTCGTTGTGATTGGCCTCGAGGTAACACAGCCAACGGCCAGTGTTTGCGTGGCGGAAGTTGTAGGCCTCCCAAGACCCCGCTGGGCAGCAACCAACCTCCTCCAACATCTCGGAGGACGGTAGTCAACTGATGGTTTGCTCTTCAGTTCTCAGTTTAACTTCTCTTTGCATCCCTATTCCAATCCCTCCATTATCAAGCATCGTCCAGCGGCCAGCCTTGTCCAATGTTAAACGGCGAGCAACACCGCTACGATGCCCCGCCGTGTGACAAACCGCGGCCGATCCCGTTCGACCCGGGGTTCTCATCAGCTACCATTGATTGACTCCCTCGAGGGACTGATCATGTGGTTGCCTCCGCGAGAGGACTTACCCAGGCACGCCGAGCTCCCCAAGGGGTGCTACGGTCACCCTGTGGTGATACTCTCCCCGCAAGCGTCATTGCCCGCACACTGCGTTGTTGTCCTAATTGTGGGTTCGTTGCGTTTCCAAAGCGAGCCCGGAACGTGTGGCTAACCACTTAATGTATGACCAAAGGTGACGTCCTTGGGTGAAACGGATGTGCGCGAGAAGTTTCCACACGACATCGAACAGAGACGAGCATACCTACCCATCCACCCGGCCCGGAACCAAGACACGAGGATTCAACTCCGTCTTCAGAACGGCGCTACGATGCGGAAGAAGTCCTACGCCAACACACGACAGCAACGAACCATCCCGCTCGACTGTCTACAACCTTACGATCGCAACGACGCCACGGCCCAACACGTCCTGACAAGCGACTCTTACGAAAAGCTGGCCCGCCACGCCGGCTTCGTATTCGACGCGGCAGAACCCTCCGACAACGCTCACACACCCGACCCGATCGCGGACGGCGACCTGATCGCCGGGGTTATAGCCCTCTTGGAGCACAGCACAGGGCCAACTGATGGGTTCCCCAGCTCGCGACCAGCCACGTACCACACGCTTGCCGACCGGAGAAGACTATCCGTACCGTCGTCGCCGTCGCGGTCGCCATCACCAGCCCGGCCAGCACCACCCCCGCCAGCACCATTCCCGCCATCACCGCCACCAGGCGGGTACTACAACAACACCCTCATCGAGCATCACCACCGCCAGCACACCACCACCCAACCTGCGCGACAACAAATCCCACCAGCACCACTGCCCCCCCAGCCGAACCAGCCCCTCCTCCCCCGCTACCACTCCCGTCCGCCGGCGCGCTACACCTGTCCGAGCATTGGAGGCCTCGTGTCAGGCGTGGCGTGGTGTCTCAACGAGGTCACTGCGCACGGCGTGCTGCTGGGGCTGATGGCCTTGGGGCTGCTGTGGGTGTGCGTGAGGTGGGGGGTCGAGTTGCTGGGCGGTGCGGTTTGGTTTGCCGGGGGTGTTATTGAGTTGGCCGTGGGGCCTGGGTTGGATGATGAGTGGTTGTTGGCATAGTTGTTGTGTTATGGAGTTGTGTGGATGTGATGGTGTTGTTGTCAGCATTTTGGATTGGGATAGAACAAAACACTGCATTGGACAAGTTCCTGGCTTAGACGTTAGGAGTGCCGTAGATAGAAAGAAGAGGACGTTGGATGTGAATCAGTTGCGCTTCACAGTATGCGCCATGACTGGCCATTCAGAATCCCGAGTTTATTAATCCTCCGCCCTCATTGTTCACTCTCCCGCCTCATCCATCATCACTTACACCACACTCGTATATCATGCTCCGGTTACGCCCTCTAATCTCTTCACCTCTCAGAACAACTTCACAAACACGTTCTACCTTTGCTTTGGGGTAATTAGAAGGGGCGAGGGCTATATAGTTACATAGAATGGCAATGCCTCTACTCAGCAAGCAACGGTAAAGACTCGAGACACTTGCTGTTGACAGCTTCACCGTTAAAAATGGGCACAAACGGAGTGCGACCGTTCTGGTAACGGCGCCGAGACTGTGAAATGTTCTGCCGGCAGAAAAGGTACGTCCCCCCAAGTCCGAAGCAAAAGGGCGGGGTAACGGACCCATATCGCTCGCAAGAATGGCGCCACTTCTTTCCTTTCCAGGCTTTCCTTCCAAAGTGGGAAACAGCAAGTCGCGCCGCTCTTTTAGTCACAAGAATGGCCACGTCTGGGGCCGCAGACGGAGATGCCACTCAGCATGACAGGGACGTCAAATTCTGAGAACCAGCAGTTGTGACCACGTGGAGGTGAAAGTATCGGGCATTTAAGAGTTACATTCTCGTCGCTCCGGGTTGCTCTTTCAGGCACACCAGGCATCCAGTTATGCGTACACCTCGGGGCGAGAATTGTACCCTTTTTTGGTTTTATTTTTAGGGATTGAGTTCTGTGTACCGCTCGAGATCGCGGCGATCGGTTGTTGGATTAGACTCCGGCCCGGCACTTCTAAGTTCTCACTTTTCGAAGTCTCGTACCTGTTACGACGAACTCCAAGCCAAGATCCAATCATCTAAATTTCCAACATGGCGGAAGCGGCGTCCTCTTCGCCCACTCCCGGGCTTGATTGGACGGTAGCCCTACAATTCAATGGAAGCACTGGTGAGTGTTGTTTCCTTCAATATGGTGGAACACTGCTAACCATGACATCTAGCTCACCTACGAACTCTCCAAGCGGCCGTGGCCGGGGGTACGCAGTCCCACTGGTCCTTGGACTTCGAGGCCGTTCTTGTCGATGATGCCACTACTGCAGCAGCCTCCACCACGAAGCTCATCCATCTGGACGTGAAAGACCTCGAAGATGCCCACTCCACGCTCCTCACCACCAACCTGTTCGACGCCCTCGCGCACGGCAAAGATGCCAGTGGCAACCGCTCCACCATGCTGAGGCTGCTCTTCCCAGCCCACTCCGGCACCCCAGCGCGGTCCGATGTCCTGGAATACCGCCTCCGCGGCTCCTCCATCGTCCACACCGTCCGCAGTTTCCTCCAGCCCCTCACCCCGGTCACCGCCACCACCCCAACCTCCGCCCACGGCATCACCACCCCGCAGACCCTCCTCCACCTCCTCTCCACCGCCATGGGCGGCATCGTCGCCCAATCCCGCGTCCTCAACACTACCACCCTCACCGACATGCTCACCACTGACCTCACCTACCGCCTCTCCCTCCCCTACCTTCTCCCCACCCAACCCCACCAGAAAGAAAAGAAACGCATCTTCTGGATCCAAGGCCGCGCCAACATAACCGCCTCCCACCAATTCTACGCCGCCGCGCGCGCCCTCGGCCTCACCCTCGTCGTCGCCGACGCCCCGGGCCACTGGATGCAGCCCGACGACGGCCCGCACGCCCACTTCCGCGAGGCGTTTGTGCCGCTGGACATTGCGGGCGACGCCGGGCTGGCGGACCGGATTGTGGCGGCGGTGCGGGCGTATCCCGAGAAGGTGGATGGGGTGGTGTGTATTAGTGATGTGCGGTTGCCGGCGGTGGCAAGGGCGTGTGAGGTGTTGGGATTGCCGACGGAACAGGCGGGGGCGTACGTGGTGGCGGGGGATAAAGGGCGGACGAGGAGGGCGGAGATTGAGGCTAAGGCTGCGGTGGGGAATGAGGGGGATGCGGAGGAGGGGTTTGTGTTGGGGGAGGCGGGGGAGTTGGAGGGGGTGTTGAAGGAGAGGGGCGGGAGGGAGTTGGTGTTTCCGCTGATTGTGAAGCCGTGTACGGGGTGGAACAGTGATTGCGTGGTGAAGGTGCGGGATTTGGAGGAGTTGCGCGCGGCCGTGCGCAGGGCCTCGGCGAGGCATAAGGACTCGCCCGCCAAGAATACGGGTGTGGTGGTTGAGCCGTATGTGGACGGGCCCGAGGTGGATGCCAACTTCGTGTTGCTGGACGGGGAGGTCTTGTTCTGCGATGTCACGGACGACTTTCCGTGCTCGGGCGATCTGGTCGAGGGCAGCCCGGCGGCCAACTTCATGGAGACGCTGATGGATGTCCCGACGGCCCTGCCTCAGAACGAACAGGTCATGGTGGTCGAGTCCCTCCGGCAGAGCATCAAGCGGTGCGGGTTTGCCTCGGGCATCTTCCACTGCGAGGCTCGCGTCCGGAACTCCAACGGGTACTACACGCCGAGACTGGACAACGGAATACTGGACCTGCACGTCCGGAGCGGAAGCGTGGAAAAGTCACCGTCGTGTTACCTGCACGAGGTAAACGCACGCCCCCCGGGGTACATCAACTGCGTCGCCGCGCTGCTGGCCTACGGAGTGGACTACTACGCGATCCGGTTGCTCCTCGCACTCGGCCCTGGCGAGAACGACAGGATCAAGGCCTTGGCGCAGCCGTTCCTCGGCGGCAAGCCGCAGTACACGCTCGGCATCGCGGTGCTTCCCCCAACGCGGGAGGGAGTCATGGGCTCCGAGGATGCGGTTGGGGAATTTCTCGAGGCCAACCCGGATCTCCGGCAGCATGTGGTGTTTCATCAGACCGTCAAGGAGCGGGGCGAGGTGGTCCAGGGCCCCGATTCGAGCGAACTGTGGTGTGTGGGTTATGTCATTGTTGCATCTCGCGAAGGCCGGAAGGCGTGCTTGGAGCTGGCCCAGAGCGTTCGGGAGAGATTCGATTACAAACTCCTGGATGAATGATGGTTGGAACTTGGAACTTTGGACTTAGCAAGAGGAGTGAAACATGAAATTCTTGGCTTGCTACCATGCCAAGTTCTTAAATTATCCATCCCAGTGGCCTCGATCTTCCGCCAGATAATGCTACCTAACTGATGCTACAGCGGGGACTTCCCATCCGGATTTGCTCCTTCGGGTCAGGTCCCGTCTTGGCCCACCCCCTTTTGGCCCTGGTTTGACCAATCCGCCTACCACCCGAATGCCTCATCAATCAACACATACGGCCTTGTTACGGGGCCGTTCCTCGACAGCTGCACCACCTTGTGACGGACGTGGTCCGCCATCCCGGGCGGGCCGCACACCACGATGCCGAGCGGCCCGTCATCCGTCCTGTCCGCCAGGGCCCTCTCGAGAATGCCATCCAGATCCAGCCGCTGGCCCACCGTCGTTATCGCCTCGACGCTCGCCGGGAGCGCGGCAAGGGCAGGCTCGAGGGCTGCCAACAGGCCCGCCTTGCGAGTGGCGAAAAAGAAGCGCGAGGGCACGGTAAACCGGCGAAGGTAGGGGAGCAGCGCAGTGATGCCCACGCCGCCGGCAATGTAGAGCACGCTCGAGCACTGCTTCAGCTGTGTGGTCACGTCCCCGGAATGGTTGTACGGTCCATCCACCAGCACCCCGAGCCGGACCGATCCCGACGCGGCGCTGGCGCGTTTCGCCAACACGCCCGTGAAACCCGAGCGAACCCGCGCGAGGAATGTCGTCGTCCCCTTTCCTCCCTGAGAGGCGCCCGATGGTGAGGTGACCGTCACGGTTTGCTTCGTCACGGCCGTTTCCTTCTTCTCAGGGTCCGAGTTGGACTGGGTCGGCGTCGATGGCGGGGAGTCGCTGGTATCGCTGGCCCGGCTGGTCTCGCTGACCTCGCTGGAGTTGAAGGCGACCGAGAACGGGTGGGATTCCCACAGGCGCCAGCTCAGGGACGGGAAGGTGAGGTACGCCACGCCGTCTCCGAGCTGCGCGTTCTCGATGTCGATGCGGAGATACTCGCCGTCGGTGTCGTGGAGGACGGTCACGGTGGCGGTGCGGTAGCCGCGGAAAGCGATGCGCACCAGGCGGAAGAGGCGGTCGCAGCCCCAGATGCCGAAGGCGATGAAGGCCCAGATCTCGTAGCCCCACGCGTACTCGTAGCAGTACCAGATGTGGTAGTAGTAGCCGATGAGGAACAGGAGCGAGAGCGCAAAGTGCGACACGACGAAGAACTCGTAGAAGGCTTGACGCACGGCCAACAGCGAGAACGGGAAGATGGCGACCGCAGCCACCGTCCCCACGATACCCCAGATCCAGTAGTCGCGAGCGAACTCGGCCGCGTAGTCGCCGTAGATCTGGTAGTTGAACCAGAGCATGAACGAGTGGATGACGGTGTGGATGACGGCCCAGTATCCCAGCCAGCGGTGCAGCAGGAGGTAGGTGCTGTAGCTCCAGTCGGTGACCCAAAGCAGCACGCTGTTGCGCGCGGCGAAGACAATCAAGGCCACGACGTTGCCCATGGCCATGACGCCCGCGCGATTGCCGACGATGCTGAGTTCCTGCGCGGCGCGAGACTCGAACGTGCTCTGCGGGTGGTGGTAGACGTAGGGGGCGAGCAGGAACACGATGTTCAGGATGCTGATGAGGAAGATGTACGCCGCCTGGCCGCGGGTCGGAACCATCCCAACACCACCGGCGATCGGCTCCCGGTGATGCTTTCCAAACAAAGCAGGGTTGATGACAGCCGACTGCAGCGAGTTCCACGCGCGGCTTTTCGCGATGCCGGGCACGAACCGGAACAGGGACAGCGGTACCGGGAGGAAGATGGCGACCACCATGACGGTAATGGTGTAGGTCGAGTGGCCGACCTCGTTGGTCTCAAAGTCGGACATGCCACTGTACTGCAGCTGCCAGTCCGCCGGTGCGATAAAGCTGGTCGCGTGAAGAGGGGCTTTGGCCTTGATGATGGGTAGGGGGCTCGTAACCTCGGGGCCGGACGCTGTCATGAACTGGCGAGCCCTGAGCCTCCTCTTTTTCATGCCATGGCTACTATGGTCGTCCCCATGGCCGCTCTGGTCGTCCGTGCCGGCCGTTGCATTGTTGGCAAGGGCCTTCCTCTCGTCGGTGCGAGCAGCAGCCAGTGCATCCTGGTACGAAACCGCCGGCACCCACTGGTAGTCGCCGATGGTGCCAGTGCCGAGGTGGGAGGCCCAATAGTCCTCCAGCAGGTCAAGCGGGGGGTTATCGCTGATCGGGCAGTATGTGTCGAGGCAGAGGGCCATAGTCCGGAGGAAGGCATCGTCCGTCACGAAGCAGTCGGGCGGGGTGCTGACCGGTGAGTGTGCCGTGCCGTGGTTCACGTTAGTGTCCTCGGGCGTGCAGGATAGGTGGCAGCCCTTGACGACACCTCGGCAAGCGAATGCGCATGTCGGATTGTACAGTGTCTTGCCGTGTCCAAGCAAGCCCACCCCGTCACCAAGCACACCGACGGTGTGGAGGGCGACAAGGGCAACGGAAAGGAGAGAGCTGCGTGTCGGCCCCATGGTTGCGAAGCTGTCTCACTCCCAACTTTCACGGTAGACGCATCAGAGAGGTTGAAGGTTCACAATACGACGCCTGGGGGGGCTGCAGCCAAACATGAGAAAGACTCTGGTTTTATCCAAGGCCCCCCAGCAGCAACAATAACTGCCAGGGGCGTCTGGTTGAGCAGGTTGTGGCGTTAATCCTACTCAATGGTCCCAACCGGCCACACTTGGCATGCCTCCCGTTCCATTTCGGGGATACGGCCGGGCTGTCGGCTCTTGGGGGCGTTTCGAGCTCGTGGGTGCGTGGGTTCAGTGGGTGCATGGGAGCGTGGGTAACGGGGGTCTGTCCATCAACGCGCACCACGGGCCGCCGTGGGATTCGGATTTGTTCTTGTCAGGGGCCAAGACCTCTTAATTTATCCCCGCTTCGGTTCACGGGGGGCCAACCCGCGCGCCACCATGCCGGCAGTACAGGCATTGTACATGTACATGTACCTGAGACAACACTGGGCCCAAGCAAAATGAGTGTGGCCAGAACAGCTGCTCTTGGTATTGTGACTATCAAGGCCAGAGTTGTCTCCGAGACCTTACCCGCAGCGCAGCATACATCATAATGTAGCTTCGTCACGCCTGCAGATGACCTCTGTGCAAATGAGTAGCCTCCAACCGTCGTCGGCCGCTATCATCCTCCGCATGTTTTCCCGCAAGACCTCTATTTGGGCCTCGGTGTACCCAAACTTGGCGGCCGCCCTGCGGTACTGGGAGTTCTCGTCGGCGAGCATTGTGATCATAGACCCCGCATACAGCTCCCTTTCCGGTGCCGTAATGTTGCTCAAGACGCTGGCCGAGGCCGTGATCTGGTCCCTACGGAAGCCGACTTCGAGGGCCTTGCTGAGCAGCTTGCGTCCCGTTTGCGTGTCCAGCCCGTTCATCTCGTAAATGCGCTCTTGTAGCTCCGCGCTCTCTGGGCATGGCGGCCATAGCAGTTGTGAGTGGGTGTCTCCCTCGCGGCAGGCCACGATGCCCCCATCCTGCTTCGCAAGCAGCTTCATCATACGGAGGACCCCGGTGTTGTTGGGGATGCAGATGAGTGTCGTGTGCTCGTGCACCACATCGAAACCCACCGCTAGTTCGTCCTGCGAGAAGAGAGACCCGGGCTCGAGGATGTTGCCCGCCCGGAACTCAATGCCAGTACCGGGCGCATAAAGGGGGATGTTGGCATTGTTCCTCTCGATGACCTCCTTGCCCAGGTCCACGCCGATAATCTTAGCTTGGGGGAAGCGTCGGGCAAGATCAAAGGTAATGCTCCCCGGGCCACAACCGACATCCAGCAGCGTAAATGTTGGCGGGAGCGATTCGAGGGTGGGGACAAGGTAGCTCAGACAGGTCGTGACATTCCGGAGCTCAAAGGCTTTCAGGGTGTCCTCCTTGTAGCCGATGTGGTAATTTTGTTTCCCGTCGGTCTGGTTGTCGGACGCCATCTTCGCTCTGATTGTCTCAAAAGGCCCAATTTCCGCGTTCTTTCAAGTGTTGCCGGTCGAACAGGACATGAACTCGAGCCAAGTACCCCCCTCCGCACTTCACTTCGTCTGCGATTACAGCTTATATGCGGCACACCCGTCTTCTTGGGTAGGGCTCACACGGAAAGTACCCGGTACTTCCTCTCGACATGTCGGCCTGGATCGCCCACGTCACATTGGTGCAGGGGCAAGGATGAATTTGAGCAAGTTGTCAGGCGCTCGGAGGAAGCAGTTTGAGCAAATTTGAGCGGAATTCACAGCTCTCCCCCAGTCTCTTGGCTCTTGGCAAGAAGCCACCATTCTTGGCGTCTCCCTCCGTCTTCACTCTCCATCACCCCTACCCCTGACTCGGTATTGGGGATCTGGAGGTACCTAGGTACCGCGACTGACCGCCTTGACTGCTGTCAAAAGAGAAAAAGAGGGTGTCGTGAATAGGGACCCCTTAAGATTGTCCCTGCATGGCGTTGTAGTGTATGTACACGACAATCCACGTTTTCAGCCCTACTTCTTCTTCCCGCGTTGCCAGTGTTGCACCTGTGGCTTGCCCGCCGCCCCCTTGCTTATTATTCCCACGCCATGGCACGGCCCGAGACGGGCTCTGAGAAAGACCCTATCCCGTCGATAGAACCCGTATCTGATGTCGAGTCTACATTGCCGCGTGATGCCACGGACGAAGAGGTACACACTTTGCCACGAGTGGTCGATCGGATCCCCATCGCTGCTTGGGCCGCGGCACTGGTAGGCGCTGCTGAAAGATTCAGTTATTATTCGACCGTTTCTATTTGGCGTGAGGGCATCTTGTGCCATATAAGTGCCAATGAATACCCGTTACTAACCATCACCGCAGAAAACTACATGCAGAATGAGCGCAACTCTCGTGCCATTCCCGGGGCACTTGGACTTGGCCAATCCACTGCTACGGCCATATCCAACAGCTTCTTTGTATTCTCCTTTGTGACGCCCATGATGTTTGCCATAGCGTCGGATGCTTGGCTAGGCCGGTATAAGACCTTGGTAGTGGCTTTTTGGTATGTCGTCGATGACTCTATGACGTGAACACAAATTGGCTGACCCTGCCTTGACAGTCTATTGATATGCGGAACATTTGTCATGTTTGCAACGTCTCTTCCGGTGGCATTGGACAACAACGGCGGAGTTCCAGGCTTGGCGGTTGCCATGATCTTGATAGCACTCGGAATAGGGGGGATCAAGTCAACAATAACACCTTTTATCGGTTTGGTTGCCACGTCTTCAACTTCCATTTTGCTCCTTGCTAACATTATCCAGGTGACCAATATAAACACAAGAAGCCCCAGCTTATTCGGCAGAAGAATGGGGAGTTGGCCGTAATTGACGGTTCACGCACCATTCAGTTTCTCTACAACGCATTTTACTGGTAAGAGCGTCATCCAACCTCCGCTGACGTCCTGAGACACATGCTCACCGCCGCAGGCTCACCAACATAGCTTCCCTATCCTCCATACCGGCCACATTCCTCGAGCATGAGTTTGACTTCTGGACGGCCTACCTTATGTCCGCCGTCTCGCTTGTCATCTGCTTGGTAATGCTGCTGAGTTTGGAATCCAAGTTTAGTAAGTCTTAGTTCATGCTTCGGCCTTTCGAACATATTTCATTAACCGTCTCATCAACTACAGTCAAGGTCGTCCCTCACGAAAATGTGCTTCCAAAGGCCATCAAGGCCCTAAGCATGGCGGCGCGGAACGGGTTCAAGTTGGACCACGCGAAGGAGGCCTACCAGCAGCAAAAGCACGGGCATGGCGTGCCCTGGGACGACAGCTTCATCAGCGAGCTCAAAACGGGACTGACCGCATGCCGGGTCATGTAAGCAACCACCCTCGTACCTCAACGACCCCCAACCGGCTACTAACACCCCCACCAGCTTCTCCTTCGCCTTCTTCTACCTCTCCATCACCCAGATGTACAACAACCTGATCTCCCAAGCCGGCCAGATGAACCTGCACGGCGTGCCCAACGACATGATCCAAGCCATGGCGGGCGTCGCGTGCGTCATCTTCGGCCCCGTCATCCAGGCGCTCTACAACCTGCTCGCCCGGCGACGCATCAGCTTCGGGCCCATCGCGCGCATCTCCACCGCCTTCCTGATCTGCGGCGGCGGCATGGCCTACGCCGCGGGCCTGCAGCGGCTGATCTACAACACGGGGCCGTGCTACGACGCGCCGCTGGCGTGCGCGGCGTCGGATGGCGGCCGCCGCCCCAACGATGTCAATGTCTGGGTCCAGCTGCCCGTGTATGTCGCGCTGGCGATCGCCGAGATCTTTGGGCTGGTTACGGCTAGCGAGTACTCGTATGAGAAGGCCCCGCGTGGTATGCGGAGTGTGGTGCAGGCGATGGTGCAGCTCAGTGCTGGGGTGGGTGCCCTGCTGGGTATGGCCATCAGCCCGGCGGCCCGTGACCCCTTCCTGGTGGCCGTGTATGCGGCGTTGGCGGGTGTTATGGCGGTGTGCTCGCTGTTGTTTTGGTGCTTCTTCCGCAAGTACGACAAGATCAATGATCAGCTGAATCGGACGATCGAAGAGACGCAGGGGACGAGCAACTGAAAGGGGGGACAGGGATGGGTGAGTCGAGCAATGTTGAGTAATAGATAGATAAGACATAGATGAAGACTGTGGATCATTCCGAGGGATCCCTTAGAATGTAAGCTTTTATCAGAGGTATACACCGGGTTCTTATCCCGCTCAGCTTCATCCACGGGATCTCTGCGTGCACCCGTCTGGATCCCCTTCGTGGACCAGGAACTATCCGAATGACAACCAACCACAGGCAGGTCCTCAAGGATAACAAGTACAGTTCTGGATTCATAACTTTTGTTCATTTTAAGCCAGATCTGGCACTCATAGAACCGAGTTCACGCATTGGGGCTCTCATTGCTATTTATTGCAACACGAACGTCGACACGTACACTCATCCTTCCTTAGGTACCTAGACATCATCCCCGCCCAAACACCCTCACTTCGTACTCGGATTCGGGCTGATCTTCTCCTCCGGGAACTTCCTCATTATATCCGCAACATGATCGATCGGCGCCGCCAGCAAGCCCAGGGCCGACTCAAAGTACGGGTTCTCGCCCGCGCTCGGGTGGCTGCGCGACGGCACCAGCGCCTTGGTGAGGCCGAACTTCTTGGCCAGGCTCTCCGACTCGCCCGCCGCCGGCGCCGTGGTCAGCGCCGACTCCAGCGCCGGCAGGTCCTCGTGCTCCTCCTCCTCGATGTGCGCTGACAGTACCCCCCAGAGTTCGTTGAGTTTGGGGATGTAGTCTGGGTTTTGGGGTTTCATGTTTTGGAACTCCTTGAGGAGCTCTTTGACCTGAGGGTTTTGTTAGTGGTAGTTGGCTGATTGGGGGAGGGGTATTGGGCGTACCCGGTGGTGGTCCTTGCGGTCGGCTTCGGCCATCTCGTGGCCTTTGGTGCCCATGTGCTTCTCGAAGGCGGGATAGACGAGTAGTTCCTCGGCTACGCTGTGCCGGGCCAGCTCCCAGGTAAATTGGTTTCCAAAGCGCTCCTGGTGGTCATGGTCCTTGGAGCCGATGACCTCGTTGTAGCACCGCTCGATTTCGCGGTGGTCCTTGGTGATGACGTCAGAGATGGAAGACATGGCGGCGGCGTTAAAACGGCTTGGTATGATGAAGCGTCTCAAAGCAAAATTAGAATGTGTTTGTGCAGTTGTTCTGAGAGGTGAAGAGATTAGAGGGCGTAACCGGAGCATGATATGCGAGTGTGGTGTAAGTGATGGATGAGGTGGGAGTGAACAATGAGGGCGGCCAATTAATAAACTCGGGATTCTGAATGGCCAGACATGGCGCATACTGTGAAGCTTGCCCCTTGCGTAGGAGGCTACGTGCTATAGGTGATTCGTTGGCAATTCCTGGTTTGGCAGGAGATGATGTCGTCGAGGTTCCATGACATCACCACCTACAAGTTACACCTTGTTCAGAGCTTGGCTTTTCGCTTTCATAACCTCCCGCAGTAACTTCAGGGGTAAGCCGCAGCAGTGCATTTATGATAGTTGCCGTCATTTCTGGCTGCTCTTTTGCCGTCGATCTACACCGGAGCATCATGTCCGGATGCCATCATGACCCCTAGCAACATCCAAATTCACGTAGAAACTTCTCCTTTGTACCCTGCCATTCGGTGGCGGGTGAACTACATTTGACTGTGTGTTTGTTGAGTACCTACGTAGTAGAAAGTGTGGCAGATCTGATACGTATCGATGACGATGAAGCTGGGTCTGTCCTGTGTAAGTGATCCTAGCCAAGATATTGCATACGCGTTTTATCTCATTGGTTGTTGTTGGAGCAAGACAAAGACACATGCCCTGGTCATCGTGTCATCCACCTCATACACGAGGTGTACTTTGGACTTCGTGTCCCCGGTGCCCCTCCACGCCACTCAGGCGACAAGAATCATGCACACAAGCGGGCCCCCAGACATACTGCTCGGCATCCTTCAGGGCAAACACCGGCTGAGGACGTTTGGCAAGGTTCTTGGCCTAGCCTGGCGTGATGTTGCACCACCAAGAGAGACGTTTCTCCCAGGGGCAAGACTCATCAGGGGCTGCTTGTTCTTTTTGGTCAACCGGGCCCCCGGCCTCCAGGGTCTAGAACAGGAAACATTCAACAATGCACGACTTCCAGCAGATATATGTTTTAACTTATGGCCAGGGCTATGCATATTTGATACGTTCAGCTGGCTATTTTTATCCCGGCCCATCTCGATGGCCATGACTCCGAGTCCCAAATTCCCCACAACACACCGGGCCCGGCCACGCACAACATGCTTACTGGGGAATGCAGTAGTAAACGACGCTGCAGATGTTGGCCCACTCGGGCCCGCTGGTCTCGTACAGCTTGCGGCCGTTGTCACGATAGCAGTCGAAGTTCTTGAAGCCGTTGGTACCCCAGCTGCGCGAAAGATGTCAGTCCCGATCGTAGGAGATGAAGAGAGCAATAAAAGGATAACGCACCCGGACCACGAGTAGAGCGGGCGTGTCTGGGCGTCCGAGTCGATGTGCGTGGTGAAGGTCACGCCGGTCGGGAAGCTGCACTGCTTTCCGTCCTGCTCCCACCAAGCGTAGTTGCTGCTGTCGACGGTGCACACGTCGTTGGCCGCGGGCTGCTCGCCGTTCTGGGACTGTCCGCTGACGGGGTAGTACTGGTGGAGAGCCGTCAGTGAGTGTTTCTCAAGTGGCCTTTTGTTGGAGCTAATGGACCTACGGCAATGCGAGAGGAGTGTGCCTCCGGCTGGCAGCAAGAGGTCAGGTACCTGCAGTTGGTGAGGTAGATGATCTCGGTGTCACGCTTCTCGAGCGAGCCCGACTCCCTGGGGGAGACAGCCAGAGGCGAGGCGGTGGCGAGAGCCACCAGGAAGGTGAGAGCGGCAAACGGCTTCATTGTGACGCTTTGTTGAATGGCGGACGGGATGTTCTCAGCAGGCTTGGTTGCGAGGCAAAGGTGCAAATGTGGACAGTTGTTCCTTGACAGCTCACAGTTGTTATATACCTACTCGAAGTAGCTCTCGGCCATCTTCCACAATACCTCCCGAGTCGCTCCGATTGTCACCCGTGGATATGGTTAGGCGAAATGCGGTGCCACGCCATTTCTGATAGTTCGTAATGCACTGACATACCGACCCGCCATGCTCCAGCCCATTATGCCCGAGTTGGGAAACAACACGCTCGCTAAGGTCAGCGGTTGCACTTCACGATGCATGGTTGGTGTTGAAAAACGGTTGCCTGGCTCGCCCGGGCGCGAGGTAGTATTGTCATTACTCAGCCCGTCTCACTCATCCCTACCTCAGGCCACCCGGGACTCCAAAGGAGTTACTCAGCACCGTTACTAGACCGCGAGAGACCCGCAACTACGGGGCAGCCCGCGTCAATATTGACTACTGCATGTGATAGTATAGATTTGTATACGATGTGAGGAGGCGAACCGAACCCCCCTTTCCCCTGACACTCACCTGCCCTTTAGTTAGCCACTCGGGCCGTCTAACTTACTTTTTCTGGACATTGCGTTTCTTGACTTTCCAGTTTCGCGTCCTTTGATCGTCTGGACACTGCCACGACAACTGCTGGGTGGTTGCGTCCTAAGGTGGTTGTAAATCAGCTCGCCGCCTGACAGTTCCCCCGTCACTCACCGCAAACCGCAGCGAGAAAGATTCTGACGAAATGGCGCCCGATCAGATCACCAAAGTGCAGAGGAGACGGTGTTTTGGTCATCATAATTCACGACACTATTGTGTAGCCGACTGTTGAGCCGGCGTTCCCGGCCCGGGGCAACCGAGAACCAACAAGTCCAACCTCGCCTCACGTATCGTGAGCCAAAAGAGCCAAGTGTACCGGAGTAGGGTTCATCTAGAACCAGTTTGCAACTGTCTTACAAAACACTTAACAACAAACAAGCAGACGATCTTCCAAAGCTAGGAGATGACAAGAACCCGGGGTATCATCACCAAACGCCGGATGCCAGAGCGTAACGCCCTCCAAGTTCCCAACCTGAATGAAGCCATCCAACTCCGACTCCCGCTCTCATCATCACTCATCACCCATCACCCATAACCACCCTCCTACACCCCCCCACAACCACCCCCCCTCTTCCTCCCACCACTCCCCGCACCACCACCACGCCCCGCCCTCGGCCACTTCTCCGGCTCGATCCACGCCTCCCCCATCCTAACCAACACCTCCCTGCCCAAGCCATCCTGCTCGACCCTCCCCCCCCGCGCGGCCATCCACTGCTCAATCAGCCGCCGATCCTGCGGGCCCCTCCGGCCCTCATACGCCCGACACACCCACACCCCCTTGCCGGCGCCGACCGAGCCGTCGGCGTAGCGCACGTCGTGCGGCAGGAAATAAAACACCTCCTGCCCGCGCGGGAGCACGTCGAACGCGCCCTGCAAGGTGGCGACAAAGGTCTTGGCCGCGGAGGTGGCTGGGAAGAAGGCCACGCCGCCGATCGGCCAGTCGCGTTGGGCTAGGGCCGCGATGTAAGTTGGTCCGTCGTCGCCGGCGCCGTCGGTGTTGTTGTCGTCATGCGCGGCATTCTGGGATTGCGCCGGGTCGGTGAAGGCGGGGAGGTGGAGGGCGGCCGAGGTGGCGAGGGCGGCGCCCTTGATGCGGGCGGTGAAGTTGGCTGAGGCCGGGTAGCGTGCTATGAGGAAGGTGGCGTCGGGGTAGAGCTGGCCGACGGCGGCGAGGTTGCGCGCGGTGATGGTGGTGACGCGGTTGCTGGGCTCGGGGATGAAGGGTGGGAGCTGGTTGACGCGCCACGGGGCGAAGGGGAGGAACGGGTCTGTGTCGAAGGTCGGGAGCGACGGGTCGTAGATGCTGATGGCCTGTGGCTGTGCGGGGAGTGTGTATCCGTTCATAGTGGGATCTCCGGGTACAGCGCTCCAGTAAGCGGCGGCCGGGTTGTGGTTGCGGTCGTAGATCAAGTCGGGGTGGACTGCGGGAATATGCGGCATGGGCTCCCCATCGTCCTCGTCGCCGTCATGGTCGCTGTCCTCGTCGCTGTCATGGTCGCCGTCCTCGTTGCTGTTCCGGTCGTGCTCTTCATTGGTATCGACGTAGCTTCCATAGTACCCAGCAGAGGTCGCCTCGCTCAGTGCCCGGGCGAGTTCTGCCGCACCCATGTCGGAGCCCATGTGCGCGATGGTGCTCATATTATCTGCCTGGGGCCCGTTCCCGATTCCGAAATGAAAGTCGCTCGCAAAGCGAGTCTGATAGCTTAGGTTCATCTGCTCAGTGCCGTAGAAAGCTTGATGCGCATTGGCATGGGGGCTTTGAGTGTCGGTAGATGTGCTGGCCTCGGTCTGGGTCAGCTGGTACTGGAAATGCTGCCCATTCTCGATAGACTCGCGGATCGCGCTCGAACCGATTGCTTCCATTCTGCCCATCTCGGTATCTCGATCAGTGGGTTGGTGGAAAGCGGGTTGTTGAGAAGTGGTTGCGAATAAATCCGGGTCGATGAACGAATCGCTGAAATCGGCGCGGGGAAAAGGGAAGGTGCTGGCATTATTTTGGCCAGAAGAAACGGTAGCCAAGTCGGTCTGGTCGGGGTTGAACAAAAGCCGGTTCCCAGAAACAAATGTGAAATCGGGTAGTCGCATTTCGAACATTGGGGGAGGGAGGGCGCGCTGGTTGGTGGAGGTGGCGGAACAGAAAGTGGCTGCGACCGAAACATGAGGAATCGCGTCACTGCCCGTCAAAAACCGCTGAGGGTACGCGGTATCCGACTCTGATTCCTCGCAGACTTCGTCCCGAGGCAACACTTCCGTCTCATCTACTCCCGATAAAAAGCAGACACCAACACCGCTGCCGCCGCCCAACTCCAACTTTTGATCCTGTTGTTGCTGGACCGCAACCACACCGCTGCCGCCGGCGAGAACCTCGCTGTTCACTCGGAGGAACCTCGCGTACAGGTTCCCAGCGTCAATGCCCATCGACTCGACCCAGCCGGTCGATGGGGCGGCGGTCGGCACAGCCGCAGAACCACGCGGGCCCAGAAGGACAGAGGAGCTCCCGGGCACGGCGTTAGTCTGCTGGACAAAGTTGTGCAGCCCCGTGGAGGTCCCAACCCTCCCACCGGCAACGGCACCGTTGCCCTGCTCACCGCGCAGTCTCGAGATAGAACGACTAAACGAGGTGTTGATTAGCGTGGGGACAAATCAATTCGTGAAGAGCCACGCGGGTGAAGAAGCGTCTTCAACAACCAACAACAGCATCGATGGCAAGACAGCAGCTCAAGCCCAGGGCCAGCTAGAGTGCTGCCATCGCAAGACTTCCCATCATTGCCCAAAACACGAACCGAGAGACACCACCAACACAACCCAACAGCCACCACCAACACCACAAGGGAAAAAAAGAAAGAAAGAAAGGACTCACCCATCCCCGCCCACCCCGCACACCGCGCCCATCTCCATCCTCACCGACGCCGAGCCCACCAGCCACGACGGCAGCGTCGACGAGGGGCCACCAGCAATAGCGACACGGCGCCCGGCCGGGTTATAGGCCGGACCCGCCGGGCCGTAGACGGGCAGCGGACGGGCCGGGAAGCGCGCCAGGGACGGCGGCGTGAAAGTGCGCCACTGGTTCGGGAGGGAATGTGTTAGTGACTGGGTGGGGGGAAGGGGGGTGACGGTATGAGGGGGGCGCTGCAGTTCGGGGGTTTGGGAGTTCTGGGTGGTGTTGGGTGAAGGAGGGCGAGGGTGGACTTACCGTGGTGGTGACGGCGGTGGTGCCGTGGTCGTCGTCGTCGGGGGTTTGCCCCGGGGAAGCGAACGGCCGGCTGCGCGCCCCGCTGTAGGGGGCCTCCGGGAACAGGAGCCGCCGGGTCGGCGGGCTGGCTGGGACCGCGAGGATGGTGGCGGCGGGAGACGATGGGGTGGGCGCGGCGGCGGCGAGGAAGGAGGGCGACTGGCTGCTGCGGTTGTGGTTGGCGCGCTGATGAGGATGTTAGTGAGAGTTCAATCGCTTTGGGTTTGGCCAGCGCAGCGATTGCGGTGGTGCAGGAATGAAAATCGGCGACTTCAACTTACTGCAACGGGCGTCGGCGTCGCCAGGGAGACCGACGCGGGGCGAAGGAAGGCTACATCCTCCTCCGAAGAATCGGAGGGAGAGGATGCGCCCTCCAAGGCGGAACAAAACCAAGAGCTCGACATCGTGGTGATCTCGGTTCGAGAGGCTTTTTTGGTTTGGTCGTGGGGGAAAAAATGGGATGAGATCGTTTGTGGGAGGTGCGCAGAATTTTAATGGCCCTCGTCGGCCGCACGCTCTTACATGATGGCTTGGGAAAGAAGCGGAGAATGTGCTGTTCAGATCACCCCCGGAGGTGCTGTGCTTGGTGAGGGTTGACGTTCTCCAGACCGGACCTGGGCTCCGGGGCCGGGCACTGGCGGTGTTGATGATTCTTTGAACGGCCGAGCGGCTCACAGGCACAAGGTGATTCACAGTTCATTGCTAGACCCAAAGTCACTAATAGCAGCAAGTACTGATAGCGGTAGTGGGTATTCCAAACACAACAAGGACCGGGGGGGGGGGGGTATTATTTACAAAATTGGTGATGAACAAGGTCAGATTTACAAAGGGGCGAGTGATTGTCTACAACCCTTTGAGTGGGGGAATCAAGTCGGCGTGCAAGCATTGTTTACTTCCCCCTGAGGCTCCCTCATGACAACATAAAATGTGCTCTCCATCAATTCAGACGCTACCCTTGCCTCAAAGATGGAAGGTCAGCCAAGTAACGTCAGTGAATATTCCCCCGAGAACTCAAGACGATTAATGACGCTTAAAAATCGAGTAGCACGATGTTCCTACTCCCCCAGTACCATCTTACCATATTTTGCTTCAAAGCGGCGAGCGAGTTTAGCGGCAGCAGTTCCATCCGATAGGGGATATTCCTCCTGCTCCTGTTTGTGAAGGCCTCGAGTATTATTCCCTTACCTGCATTGCAGCATTTCGACTTCAACCACACGTTTTTAATGGGGAGTGTAATAGTGACTAACGTTCCTGTATATACAAGGCTGCCCACCGCGAATGTAGTACTCAAAAAAAAGGGAGATCTCGCAAGAGAAGGAAAGAGTCGAGCTCAGAGGATCGTTACCTGCAGCGCTGTAGACAGTGCGCTGAGAAAGGCTCTGGCGGCCTCGCCAGATGTTTTTAATCAAGGCATTCCGCGGAATCAGATGTTGGTTGATGAATAACGGGATGGCGCCATGAGAGCACACATCCCACATCCTCGAGATCCACCATTCCAGGCATACCTCCATCGTCATGAGGGTCCTAATATAGACGGAGCGGCTAACATCTTACCCCATTTTGTATAAAGCACCCCCCTACTTCTTGAGCACCACTTAATCCACATTACTTAGATGATGAAGAGAGTTAATACACATCTCGAACATGCCCGCAGCCATTTCGTTATAGCGTGCTGTTGCCCGACCAACTAGCCGTTCGCCGGAAGGTGAAGCACGAGTATCTGGATCCCGATAGAGACGCTGCAAGGCCAACGCTATCGAGCCTGCTGTTTCTTCTTATCCCGGCTCGGAAACGCGACCTCATACGTTAGACTTCCGATATTCTATCACATCAAGTCCAGATCAACGTAGATTGGGCGTCTGGTAGGAGCTTGGCGCAGCAGATAAAGTCCTTCCCACCAGGGCAAATCGGGACAACGCCAGGGTTCCCTGCTCGTAGGATTTGCGAGTAAGCATCCCATCCAAGAGTAGCGGATGTCTATGGCTGGAGCAAGAACTTCACTTACCCGGATCTAACTCGGCACACTCCTCCCTCCACAAACACCGAGAACTTGGCTGTGACGCGTTCCTGCAGGGCTGAACGTAGCAGGCCTTGACGTAAATGGGGTCGTCGGGGCAGGGGAAGTCTGGCTTGCGGCCGGTCTCCGCTGTGCCGTTCCAATTGCTCTCGCAGACGTTTTCATCCAAACAGATGCAATCGCTACCCCCAATTATCAGTACACCGTCCGTTAACGCCGCCGATCACCTGTCGGGAGGGGGTGTTTCGCGGCGCTGAAGATGTCGAGGATCCGGAGGTGGAAGCTTGCGACGCCGAGGTTGCGGTGGTGCTTTGGACAGGGCTTGTTGCAGGTCCCGGCGTCATCATCGAGGTGGTGGAGGCGGTGGAAATGGCGGCGGTGTCCGATGTCGAAGAGGCAGCGGCCGCTGCTTCTGTGTTGCTTGTTGAACGTGTCGATACGCCGACGCCGACGCCAACGCCGACGCCGATCGCCACAGCGAAGGCGACGACCCCCAGAACAGTGAAAAAGACCCATCTCTTCAAGCCAAGAATTCTAATCCCCTCTCTCTTCCCTGTTCCCATATCTCCTCCCGATGCCCCAGCGTCTCCATACCATGCAGATCCGCTTTGGGCGAGTGTTGTTTGTGGGCGCCAAAGGCTAGGGTTGGCTTGGTGGTAGTGGCTAGCGTCGTCGTAGGGTTGCGGTGGGACGATTATCTTGTCATGTTCGTGGGAGGGAACGAAGGCTACCTTGTCGTTCTTGTTGAAAGCGACATTGCCGTGGTTCTGGTTGGGAACTACCTCAAGGTTGCTATGATCATAGTACCTGTCAGGGCCGCCGGCGAGACTACCCATCTCCGCCACCATTCGAGCGATATACGAATAGTCTGCCTCGGGTGTGCCTGGTGGCAGCGACCTGCTGTGATCGTAAGGAAATGTGGGGGCCGAATACAAGGAGGTAAGTGGAGGTAGCGTCGCCACTTATTTGTAGGTTGGCCCCTCGTTTCTCGATGCGGAACTTCTGGTCCAGCCTCGTGCCAGCACTGCCATGCCAGGACTTACCAGGCGTGCCAGGGAGCCGAGGTTGCATGGTTGCATGCAGGATCACCCAGCTCAAAAAGGGGGGGGCAGGGTCACCTTTGAAAAACGATCGGACCAATGGCACTTCCGATCCCAGTTAAAGGGTGAAACCAAGAACTGCTGTGCAACCCTCCCCTGTTCAGGCTGACTTTTGACTGGGCTGCGTTCAATGAACGTATAGTAGGTCCCCATGATAGGTAGTTCAGCGCCTCCCTTATCATGCAGGTAGTTGTTACAGGGGCAGCTCCGGTCCTGGACCGCGGGTGTCGTCCGGCAAAAACCCCTTGGACACTTTTGAGCGGCCCTCGGACTCTTACTCCCCAAGTAACTGCTTAGCTCTGGGCATCTGGCTTGCCATCCCCACTGGAAGTCGGAGAACCCTGCGTGTCTTGTATCCCCAGCCAAATACGTCTGTCTCCTCACAACATTGCAAACGGGATTTGTTTGCAGTAGCGTCGGGCCATTGTTATATGTGGAAGGAGTATACATAAGGCGAAGAGATATTGAACTACAAACACTACCTAATCTACCAAACGCCCTCCGAGTCACCCCAATACCGAACCGGGTTTGATGCGCTCTCCAACGCATACTAATGGATGGCTTGCTAAACACGTTGGCAGTTTTCGGCACATAATACAGCAACTAAGCAAGAGCAGGCGGAGAGTACGTAACATAACAAGGAAGACGAACTGATAACGTAACAGAAATACACTAAAAGACAGAAACACAAAGGACGGGTATTATATACGAATACACGCCACCAACCCCTACCTTCACGGGACGAGGTAGCAATAACACGAGGATAGCAACACTGCCGCTTTTGTTGAGCGGAACGCAGTTGGTCATCGGTGGTCGGTAGCGCTGGCTCAGCATGATATATCCAAAGCACGAACTATCCGCTTGGCTTTTCATTAGGCTGTTAGTGGACGGCACTACGAGTCCGCTAAAACACACCTTGAATCTGGTGGCTAACTGGAATAGTCTATCTAAAAGACTCAGGTACCAGCGTCCATCGGGTTGGTAGGCAGTACGGATTCAGGGGGAGGGAAAGATAGATACCCCATATCTTCTTCCATTGGTACAACCTCTTTCATGCCAGTTAGTATTAGTTATGCACGAGAAGCTGCAGCCCGTATTCCGAGCCCAGAGCGGTAACCGAGTGATGTTGTTATAAGCCGGTTCGTCCTGAGCCCGCCCGTTCTGTCACGGGCAGTGGGTGCGATGACCACTGCGTAACACCCAAAAGATGGGAGTGTTGTTCGCTCTGTCCGGCGAACCCGCCATCGCACACCATATACCATAGTCACATCCTGTAACACTACCTTCCCCAAGGCGCCTTAGCGATATTAGAAAGAGGGTCACTAGCATCAAACATTAGTTAGATAATAGTACATTACCGGTAGTCAACGTTAAGATACCGGACCATCTTACGGGCGCGCGTATACGCACGGGCGGTCAATACGAGTTAAAAAAACAGATATAACAACAATACAATCAAAATCAATCGCTACAGCAATGCGAATTACTTCAGTTACGGCCTATTGTAGGCATTTGATGGCACCGTCTACAGATTCTGACCGCCTAGGTACACACCTGCAAAAATTAGCGGCAGTGTGCCACGTCCCTACGCGCGCCAAGACGACCAGGCGTTTGCCGGACACAGCGTGGTGGATGAGGCCATCATGAGGGGGTTGCGGAAATATCGCTGCATGTGATGGAATGTCGTCCACAACCACGCCACCAACCTTGCACATTCAGGTATTTGACCACTATCACGGCAGCGTGCTATCACATACGACCATACCTACTTGAAAATACGGGATCCCGTCCGCTCTCCCCTAGTCAAACAAGTAAGGGCTGAACCAGTAGTTGGGTCGGTGACGACCAGCGAATCCTCAGTGTTGTATGTTTTTTGTCGTTTTCTTTGCTCCGAGCACCAAAATGGGCAGTCAAAGCTTTTTTGCTCGCTCCACTTACATCGGTCGTCGCATGGTACGTTTCAGACTGAGACGAAAGTGCAGAAGGAAATTGGGGGGCTTTCTTTTTCTTCTTGCAGACGAGCAAACAGATCCACCAAACCCACTGATCAACGATGGATTCCACCAAGTCAACCCGCTGCCGCAAGGTTGAAGAACCTGGGGAAGATAGCGTCTTGGCCAAACCAAAAGCTGCCCAACGGTGCGTGGGACAACCAGATAGGCAATGGACCGACAAACAGACATCACTAGCAAAATGCATCGAAGCAGCACAAGACAAGGCGAAAGAAAGCAGTGATCGTTCGCCAAGCGCGAGTAGAAAAACGACATTTATTATGTGACCCCAAGCGCCCCAACCAACCGACCAAACTGAGGTATCCATTGAAGCAGACGCATGTAATTGCATTCCCATCTTAGTTCAAAACAGACCAAGAAAAATGAAGCCAAACCCGCTCACACCGCCGCGTCCTGGTCGCGTCTCATCTCGCCCATTCCCACCCCCCATTCTAATCCTAATAAAAGACGACCCTTCTCACAACACCGCCGAGTCCCCTGCCCCTTACACCTGGATGCCACAGTTGGGGCAGAAGGGTGTGGTGACGCCGGCGCCGCACTGGGCGCAGTATTTGGTGGCATTCCCGGGCTGTTCCTTGGAGTGGGCCGGGACGGGGGCGTGGGGCTGCTGGGCGGGCTGGTAGGGCGGGGCGTTTTGGAAGGCGGTGTTCTGGTAGCCCTGTTGCTGCTGCTGCTGCGCGTTCTGGTAGGCGGCGGGCATGGCGGCGGTGGGCGCGACGGGCGCGTTGGCGTAGGTGAGGGGCTGGTAGGTGTACGAGACGGCGGTGGGGCCGCGGGTGCTGCGCTTGACGCACCACACGATGAAGAGGATCCAGGCGACGAACTTGGAGATGCCGCCGAGGGCAAAGCAGGCCACGGCGCCGTACCACATGCCGTCGGTGTCGCACGAGTAGTAGTAGGACGAGTAGGAGCTGCTGGAACAGCTGGCCGTCCACCCGCCGACGAGGCCGCCGCCGACGATGAAGAAGAGGATGGCGGCGATGAAGAAGGAGATGGGCCACCACTTGGAGAATCGGCTTTTTGGTGGCATCGCGACGGCGGTTGTTGCCGGCGGCGGGTAGGGGTATGCCATGTTGTTTTGGTTGTGGTTCATTTCGTAGGACATGTTCTCGTTGTTGGTAGAAAGAAAGAGCCCTCGGATGGTGGGTGAGAGGAATGAATGGCAGGTAAAGATCGGGCAGTTGCGTTTAGCAGCAGAAAAAAAAACGGCAACAGAAGAAGACAGGAAACCAAAAAAAAAGACACGACAGGGCGAGATGCGGAGGTGTGCGGACGTGATGATTAAATTGTCGCGCCTTGTCCCAGCAGACAGTGACACGGCACAGCCCCCCCACCTCAAAGCTAAAATGCTTGGATCTTCACAGAATGTCCTAAAATAAGGTTGGATGGACTGGCTCTCTGGGCTTGCATTGCGAAGGGCTGGAAGGTTTGGGAGCGTCTCCAAGTCTGGGCTTACTTTTCTGGTCGCGAACTTTCCCCCGGTCCGCCCACATGGCTGAGGTTACGGTCGATTGATTGGTTGCACAGCCCGAAGCCAATCTTGGCCTTGGCCCCGGTTGGGCATTGATGAGCACCCACGGAGCCACGACCTTCAGCCGCAGTCACACCTTTCATGGATCCCCTGGTTCTGGAACAGCAGGATCGGGTTGGCAGATTGGGCACGCTGCACCTGCACCTGCCACGAACTTGTGTCCGTTCAAGCGCGCTTCGAGGGGGAGGAGGGAATCGCGGGGCCGATCGCGGGTCATCGTGAGAAGATGGGAAAAAAAGGCTTCTCCTTCCATCGTCGGTCTCCATCGTTATGTGGACTTGCCCCTCGCCTCGGGCTGACCGACGACCCACTTATTGGTGAGCGGCTTGAAGTTTATTTTGGGCGGGGCACGGGCACATGGGAGACGAGCATCTGGGATGGCGGCCCGTTACGGATCGATACGGCCCGCCAACCGACTTCACCGTAGACCGTTTCGAGCCGAAACTGGCCGCGAACTTGACCAAAATCCTCTGGAAATCAAACCCCTGAGATGGAAGGGTCAGAGGCAGGAAAGGGAGAAAAGTCAGGCGTACGGCTCGGTACCAGGGACGAGGTGTAGTGGCTCGTCGATATCGACGAGTTGCCTTCTCATTTTCCCTCATTCTCTCATGGTTACCGAGGTACCTCCCTACATGTTCCCAATCGGCTCACCCTCCTGCTGACTCCCCCGATCCCCGTTTGTCTCGGGCATCAGACGACGTTCCGGTCCGTTCCAACCATTGCCTTCTTCCTGGAGAGTCCTCCCCCTACTAGTAGAGTGCACTTGTATAGTGCATGGCCTTCAACACGGCCCCACAACTAGAACCCACCCCCGGGCGACAGTGCCATCAACGGCCTGGATCCATTACTGGAAGAGAAGGGCAATACTGCTAGTTGAGACAGTTTGTTCGGGTGGGAAGTATGAAATCTCTCAGCTGGTATTCGTTCCCGCAACCTCACCGGCGTGCCCGAGCTCCATGCAGTATAATACCTCGATATCCCCATCGGCCCATAGCACTCGTAGTGGCCGTCGGCATCAAAAAACAGGGTCAAGCAGGTCCGCCGCTCGCCGTTGTGTTACGTTGCGCGGAGACGCCTGCAAACACGAGTTTCTTTTCTTATTAATGCTCTCGTAAACAGACAGATATAAGGCGCTGGTTGGGCCGGGTAACTGGACTTCCTCTTTTATGCGCAGCGCCTCCGCATCCGAACAGGCCGATTCTGGGGTACTGGCAAAACTGGCACCATGAGCGGTGCTACAAGCTGCATTTGACAGCAGTCCCGGCCGGCAAGCAAGATTTACGGGGCCACAGGTCAGGGAACAAGGACGACATGACCGTTCCCGGTCGAATACCACGGCGCATATCGACTTCTTGGGCTACGCCAAGCTTACAAGTGGTCACATACAGTATACAACTCGCACAAGTAGAACACGAGCGTAGCATTCGCTAATATTGTAGAGGCAAAAGTACGAAGTATGCGCGCCAATACAAACAAGAGAATGCGTATATATTAGATGGTCACTGAATCCAAGTGTCGACTCTCTTGCGTTATTGTTACCGGCCAGTCCTCTGCTTCATCTCAGCTCCTACGTTCTCTCACCTACCTATTCCTCGTTCAGTCGGCTACCTACGTGACCCGTCACGATGAAGTTCTTCTTCGCCGCTGTTCTGGCCCTGCCCGTAGCACTGGCTGTCCCTACTGCGAGGTAAGAGAGTACGCCCATCATCATGCTTTATAAATCACGCGATCAGTCTAACAATTCAACGTAACAGCATCCAGCGTGACTTCCCTACAACTTTCCCATTCGAGGCTCAGGCATGCCATTGCGATAACGGTCAGGGCCACGTCACTGAGGCCTCGTGCTTATACTTTGGTTCCGTTGAACGCCCCGGTCAATGGGTACGTTCTCTGGATATTCCTCATATTCCGTTCTCTACATTCCATATGATCATTATACTAATGAAGGGCATGAATTAAGTGCTACCCTTTTGCCTCATACAGCCCCCCTATGGAAACGGTGTTCACCGATGCGTATTGTTTCGAAGCCACAGGTAGCGCCCTCTCGAAGGGTGTGTGCAAGTCCGTCAAACTGTGCAAGGATACTCGTGTTCCGGAAAACCCCGACATCGGTATCTTTTACCAACTTTGCTGAGCGCCTGTTCTTCCGAGGCGCCGTCCGTGGTTGGCCGGGGGAACACGGAACCTGTAATATTAGCACAGCAAATCATGTAGTGTTACGAAGTATAGTAGCACTTCTTCAATATCGGGAGGCACCTCCGGGCTTTAATACAATGCGGTGATCGCAATCTTGTCAGCTCGTGATGGACGGAGAGGCAAAACTCATCATCCCGAAGGTCGTCGACTTCGGATGTTAGATGTAGCACATTCATTAGGTAGTCGGGTCTTTAGCACCTCAAGGGCGATATGGTGAACTTTTCCAATTCTTTATGCTTGAAGATGATTCTCACATGCGTTCCGGAGTTTTAGCGTTGGAGAATTGCTGTTGCAAACGAGTCAAGCAGATGTCAAATGGCCCACCCACACCTTTACACCACAGGAACGTGCATTTTTTCTTGATATTAGTAAACCTAGAGCAGACCCCTGTGCTCACGGAGTGATCCTATTGGGAGTTCCCATCGAGCTGAATCATCTCGAGTGCCGCCAAAATATGAACCGCAAACGATCGACGTCATGGGCAACGTTTCACCAAATCAACCGCTCAGAGTCTTAGACAGAGTCACACAGTTCTACTCCACGATCTCGTCGGGAGCCTCTTCGCTGAAAAGACGAGCGCCATCATGCAGGCCGTTCTTCCTGCCCTAACCCGACGATGGCGGTATAAAAAAGAAGCTTATCCGCCTTTTGACAGGACATCTCTGCCGTCACCAACAATGGGCAGCTTTTCTTAAGTCCATCTTCCCGCCGTGACTTCATGAACACAATGACGACTATTCCAGTGCCAGAGCATTTACCTCTAGGAATCTCGCTGCCCCCAGGAGATCCCCATGTAAGTAGCACCAACTTGGTCAACATGACAGAGACACGGGATGCCGTATCCTAACCAAGCCCAGGGTGTCAGTGTACATCTGCCGAAATGGGCTGACACCGTCGGTTGGGCATCCCGCGAGCCCCGGGTGTTGGACGTAATGAAGACGGGGTACCCACGCTTCTTCGTCCCGCGCGTGGTACATCAGTTGGCCATGCGCCTTCTCGTCGGACAGCAGTCGGACACGGCCTTTGCGAACGACATTGGAATACACGGAGACGGCGAAGAGAGACTGGCAACCTTGTTAAACTCAGCCCAGCACGGTCGGGAATGCCGCAAGGTACTCCCAGAATGGAGTAAAGAACGAATGACAAACACGAAAGCGGCACATATTGGAGTCTACGCCGTGACCTGGGATGGCAAAGTCTCGCCTGTACAAGAGGCGGATAACCCCGACGGAAACGAGCCCACCCGCGAAACCGGCGAAGAGGACATCATCCTCGCCACATATCCGGCCGAGCTAGCCCTTGAAGCTAAATCGTTTTGGCAACACACCGGTTTTGGCATCTCCAGCCGGCGGGCCACACACTGGCTCTAGAACGCGCCGTTTCTTGCCGGACTCTCGCCATCGAAGCCATCCCTTTCGCCGACCGAAAGGTCTCTCCGTACCACCCAAGCCCGGGCTGCGCTGAAAGACCGAATCGCCACCGGTCAGTCCTCACCCGCCCACAACCTCCACGTCGCGCCCTCGGACGTCTTCCTCTTCCCGACCGGCATGTCCGCCATCGCCGCGATAGCCACCGCCATCAAGTCTCTCCGCCCACCCACCCCCGGCGTCCCATACCGCGTGGCAGTCTTCGGGTTAGTCCCCCCTTTCTAACCCCCCTTTCTAACCCCCCTTTCTAACCCCGCTTTTTTCTCTCACCCACCACCACCACCACCAAGACGCAACTAACCACCCCCCCTTTTGTCTCACCACAACAGCTTCCTCTACGTCGACACCCTCAAACTCCTCCACCACATCCTCGACTTCCACCCCACCCTCTACCACTACCACGACCTCCCCACCCTCGAATCCCACCTCACCCGTAATGACACCCCCCCCCCCTCGACGCCGTCTTCACCGAGTTCCCCGGCAACCCCCTCCTGCAATCCCCCGACCTGACCCACCTCCACCAGCTCTCCCGCACCCATAACTTCACCCTCGTCGTCGACGATACCGTCGGCACGCACGCCTCCACCCCCGTCGGCACGCACGCCTCCACCCCCGTCCTGCGCGCGTGCGACGCAGTCTGTACGAGCCTGACGAAATTGTTTAGTGGGGCGTGTAATGTGATGGGCGGGGCGGTGACGCTGAACCCGGCATCCGGAGTGTCTGGGGGGTTGAGGGGGGTGTTGGAAGGGGGAAGGGGGGAGGCGGAAGCGGCGTGGTTCTGGGAGGACGTGGTTGTGATGGAGGGGAATAGTCGGGATTTTGGGGCCAGGGTGGATAGGGCCGGGGGGAATGCTGAGGTGGTGGTGGGGTTGTTGAGGGGGAGGGGGGCGGTGGTGAGGGAAGTGTATTACCCGCTGGGCGGGCCGACGCAGGCGTTGTATGATGCGTTTCGGGTGGAGGGGGGGAGGTATGGGTTTCTGGTGTCGGTAAGGTTTTGGGAGAAGGCGCAGGCCGTGGCGTTTTATGACGCGTTGGATGTGGCCAAGGGGCCGAGCTTGGGGACCAACTTTACGCTATGCTGTGCCTACACGCTGCTGGCGCACTACAGCGAGTTGGAGTGGGCGGCTGGGTATGGGGTGGTGGAGGACTTGGTCAGGATAAGTGTCGGGTTGGAGGACAGGGCGTGGTTGGAGGAGCGGGTTGCGAGAGCGTTAAGAGCGGCGGAGGGGGTGACGGCAGTTGAGGATAAGGGCAAGCCCTAAATACGACGGAGGGGAAGTATGGTTAGCATACCCTCCCACTCGTTAGCAACACCCATCATTCTCAAAAACAGAACCAGAATAGTCGTGTGCGAAATTGTGCCAAGCCGAGGGCTGCTGCAAGAGGGAGACAAACCACCATCCCGACTATCTGAAGTAGAGTACAGTACAAATCTATCCGTGACGCAACGCCAGCAGGACGCCGAGACGCCGAGACGGAGACGCGGACGACAAGACGGTCCTGTCAGCGAGGAAAAGCCAGCGAGTCTATGCCCCCATGATCCACTTGCGGCAGGCCAGGCCCGAGCCATCCATGTACCGGCTCGATCGACACCTGCCACGCCCAACCAACCCCATGCATGCAAAGTAAGGTAAGTCATCGCTGAAACCAAGACGCTCCTGCCCCCAACCCCGAAACACCCGTCCATAGGCGACGGAAAAGAAGCCACCGCCTAGATCTTGCTCTTCATCCAGGTCCGTCCCGAGACTCCGAGTCACAGCGGATTGGGGATGTGGTCCTCGACAGCGCTCAGCGCAGCCAGGTTGACCTCGCCCATGCTCAGCACGCCACCGCTGGTCGCGCCCGTGCCACTCCCCCCGACCCCAGCAAGGAGCGCCACACACTCAATGACGTCCTCGGGCTCGAGTAAGTGCCAGCGGGCGAGCGTGACCTTGGTGCTTGCGCCGACCGTAACGGTGAAGCAGTCGTCCTCCTCGATCGCGGCTTCGGTCTGGCCATCGGTGGGCTGCAACAAACCGTTAAGGGAGCGGAACATGTCCTCGTCGGTAAAGTCGTCTCCCAGGCAAAGGACGAAGTCGATCTTATTCGGAAGTGCGTCCTCGCCGCTGGGGCTATTGCCGGCCGAAGGGCTATTGCCGGCTAGGGCGGCAGCACGCAGCTCGGCGTTGTACGTATTGACGAGCCTTTTGACGATCTCGCCCTTATTGATGAAGGTGGGGCGGACCTCAAGGTTGGCTTTGCCTGCCATGACCTCGACGTCCCACTTGCGCCCGACGGTATTCTCGAGCTCATGCTGGCACTCGCGCGACATGTGGATACCCTGCTCCGGGTCGGCCAGGCGGTAGTGCCAGGTGAGAGCACACCGCTTCTGCTCGATAAAGGAGCCTGTATTGCATAAGTTAGCATCACGGGCCACGACAAAAAAGACATCCACACGTACCCGGCACCCTGTCGGTATACTTCTGGAACACATCAAGCACCTCCTTCTGCCAACCCATGTCGAACTTCTCGGCGAGATTCTCCCACTCGGTCGCACCCGGGTGTTTCATGAAGCTGCCATGCTCGGCGCTGAAGCCAAGCTCGGTGATGTGGCCGAGATGCTGGGTCAAGAAGTCCTGGTCCCGACCAGAGATGATCCAGACGGCGTTCCGATGGTCCGACGCAAGGGCCTTCAGGCTGTTGATGACGCGCTCCGAAGGGATGGCGGCGCTGGGCTCTCGGACGATGGGGGTCAGGGTACCATCGTAGTCGAACATGAACAAACGCTTCTTGGAAGCGCGGTATTTGCGGAGCATGGCCGACCGATCGAGCAGGGGCGTGGCCGTCACGTTCTTCCGGCTGCCGAGGACAGTAACCAAGCGGCGCAGGAAGCCGGCGATCCAGAATTGCACGTTTTTGCTGGTGACATGAGACAAGAGGCTCTGCTCCATCGACTGGCGTCTGCCCTCGGGCATGGTGAGCGCGTGGTTGATCTGTTCGGCGACGGCAGTCAGATTCCACGGGTTGATGTGGATGGCATCTTTGAGAGAACCGGCAGTGCCGCTGAACTCGGAAAGAATGAGCGGTCCAGCTGACTGGCGCTGGCAAATGACGTATTCGAGTGAGGTTGTATTCATCCCATCTCGGACGGAGGTGATGAGGCCGATGTCTGCTGCGCGCAGCAGGGCAAAGTATTCATCTTGGCTGATATACTGGGGGTAGTGCAAGACAGGCGAGAAGCTAATCGAACCGTAGGCGCCATTGATCTTCATGACCAGCTCGTTGACGCGACTCGAAATCTTATTTTCGCTGTCCTCTTTCTCCTCCTCAATGTTAGTGGGAGAAGTGACTTGGATAAGCACCACCTTGTCGCGCCACTCAGGAAACATCTCGAGGAAGCGCTCGAACGCCATGAGCTTCTGGGCGACTCCGCGAACGCTATCCAGACGATCGCGGCCCACGATGAGCTTCTTGCCTGCGTACATGCTCTTGAGGGCCATGTACTTTCGGGTGACCGAGTCCGTCCACGCGAGCCGGGCGACCTTGGTGGCGTCGATGCCGATCGGGAAGACGCCGACTTCGACGCGCGAGCCGTATGCGTCCACGCCGGAGCTGTCCGACGGAAAGCCCAGGATGCGGGTGCAGCAGCTGGCAAAGTGCCGGGAGTAGCTGTAGCTCTGGAAGCCAACCAGGTTCGCGCCAAGGACACCCTCGAGCACCTCCTTGCGACGCGAGAGGCAACGGAGGAACTCGCTGCTTGGGAAGGGGCAGTGCAGGAAGAAGGAGATGTACATGTGGGGAGCGCGCTGCCGTAGCATGCTCGGGAGGAGCATCAGGTTGAAGTCGTGGACGATGACGACGTCGCCCGGCTTGTACACCTCGAGAATCTTGCTGGCGAACTTCTGGTTCATGCGGAAGTAGTCGGCCCACTGCATCCGCTCGCCGCGCCCATCGGTCGGCTCGTGCTGCTTGTAGTGGAAGAGAGTGTAGAGCTCGTGCTCGGCATACCGCCTCCATCTCGCCTGGTCCTTTAGGAGGATACCATCGTCGTGCCCCTCCGCATCGTCGGCCAGCCAGACTGGGACCGTCCTGATATTCTGGTTGTGCGAGAGCTGCGTCTCTAGGCGCTGCATGTCTTCTTTCGGGATCCACAGACCGTCCGCCGCAGGCGGCGTCGGCGGCCGCTTGTCGGCATCGACGGGTATCGGCTTCGAGAGAACATTGAGAGGACGAACGTGGACTGTTGTGCTGGGTGGGGTGTCCGGCGGGGACAGCTCGGGGGGTTGGTCGATCTCGCCGGTCCAGGCGACCACTGTGTGATTCCAGGGCGCGTCGTCCGAGGAGAGATACGAAAACGAATCAAACAGGGCTGATTGGCCCCGACGCGGAGTCAATTCCTAAGAAAACCGATGACATCAGCCCCACCATCCATTCAAGCTTGGCGAATACGCCTGTGTCACGGCCGCGTCAAGGCGGGTGCACCGATAGAGGATAAAAATAATGCCAGGGAAATAAACAGGGAAATAAACAGGAAAATGCACATACCCAGTCAGCGCCTTTGCGATACTTGAGAGAATGTGGAATGTTGAAAGTCGCAGAGATAATGTTCCCAGTGAGCGCCAAGTCCGGGCTAAGAGCTCGAATATCGGACATTGACTCCCGAGATGGGGCGCTGAACTCGGTGCCGGGGGCGATGCTGGGAGCAATCTCGGTGGGACTACCCATGACAGCGATGCTCAGGCGCCGCATGAAGTCTGTTCCCTCCTTCGCGCCGGTGTTGATCTTGTTCTGGAAGGACTGGCCCTCCCGGTTTGTGGAGTCTGGGGCGGGCGACGCGGCAATCGCGTGGTCGACATCGTGTCTCGAGAAGTAGCCGGGTTCGGATTCGTGCCCTGCCCCGCCAGCGCCATTGCCATTGGACTTGTCGCTACTCTCGGTGATATCTGGTGTCACAGGCACTTCAATGACGGAAGGCCGGAGGTGCGGTGGATAAGAAGACTCAGCGTGCTCCGGAAGATCAGGTCGCGAGTTGTTGGGCTCGACGGTATCCGCTCTGCGGGCGCCATCGGATGCGCCTCCGCTCTGGTTCATGGCGAGAACCTGGAATGACGACAATGACGAGTGAGGGTTCGTGAAGGTTCGTAAGGTTTCGTCGGGGGGAGGGATCGAGAAGTGCGCCAAGGAGAAAAGGAGAGGAACCGCGAGGTAAATAAAGAAGTGTGACCCAGAATGAGCTCACGAACAACGTCAGCGGGGCAGCGAGCAGCGGGGACAAGGGCTGGCCAACTTGGCAGGTTCGAAGAAATGACGGGCTGCAATGGGGCAGAAAACGGGTCCAGACCTTGCATGCAAGTGCAAGAGAGCAGCAACAGGGCGGGGACACTCATTCGTTATCGGCCAGGCTTGTCTTGTTTAAGACTGGCCTTGGTCAAGGGGGGGGTGGTTCACGAATTCTTGCCCAACTCTCGTGTTTCGTAGGTGGTTGCAGTGCTTCTCAAGTTCCAGTTTACTGCTTGCTCCTTTTTCTGCCGAGTTCTGCAGTGTTCAGTCCCGCCCAACCATTGTGCAACAGTTTGCTGCTTGGGCAGTGCGAAATCGCGGGGCAGGAGCGAAGAGTGGGGATGACGATGGCGGGGCATTAAGAACTGCCAACTGGCGCGCGCTGGAAAATCACACCGCCTGCTCACAGCGGAAGTTGGGAATGGCAGCGCTAGTGGGGATCGCTTGCAAGGGCAGGGATTATCAGTTCACCGTTCAGTGTCTGGACCTTCTCTGCCGTGCAACTGTTGATCACTTCTCCTTGACAAGTACTTTGTGTTTGGGCTCGACGATCTCCCCTCAGACAGACCATGTCATCTAAATCGGACTTCGAGGCTCAGTCAAGGACGGGAGCTGATAATCATGCACGGAAGGAATGCCGCTTCGCGTGTTTCCGGAACCTCGAAAGTCGGAGCGTACCTTCCTGCATGGTTTGGAAATGGTTGCTAGGGTCAGTGGGTCCAGGCCAGGCACGGGATGACGGGCCTGAACAGGCACACAGGTTCCAGATCGATCTGATGCATTCTGCCTCCTGCAACATCGCCCAGTCCTCGCCACATGCATTATCCAACAGAGACAGCAACCCAGCCCGGCCGGGTTCACTTCACAGCCAGCTCGCTTCCTGGACGAGCTGAGCCCGAGTAGCCTACCTCTGCCTCCAAAATCCCACCATTGCAACCATTCACTTGCGCCATTTTCGGATTTTCAGGCTGTCACTCCTTCGCTTGTCACTCGCCTCGAGGCTCTCTCCCCTGGTTCCCAATCCCGCCCTGCCCTCCGTAGTTGAGCCGGTGAATTTGGCCGCAATTCCCCGACGAAAGGCTTGCTGCAGCCATTTGCTGCCGCTGCAACCTGCACGTAAGAGGCCTTTCACATGGCCAGATCCCGCAACCCGACTGGTTTCCCTGCCGCGACGCAACCTCGGGCCGCCCACACAGATGCAATGCTCATCCGGGTATCCTCTTTCCTCATCGGTAGATAAAGTTTAGGATGAGCAATGCTCTGTGTCAGGAGCCGCAGCCTGAGGTACTTCTGGAGATGGATAGGCAGTGAGTTGTTATCGTGCCCAGCCGTCCACCGTTACTTGCCAAGCCTCGGCGTCCCGTCTGATGGGAACGTTGTGCTGAACCTCGAGGGATGCCACGAGCCTTGGTTTGGTTCAACCGTTGCGGGATTTAAGCCACCCCCTTTCGTCACTTTCAGACGACGGCGTGTTAGTGTTAGTCCTACGCAATGGGTTGGGGACGTTTATGTCTAGCACTGCGTTCATGCAACCCAAATCATGTCCAACCGCAAACATCAGCCAGCATGCATGGTTCATGCAGTCATGACACGGGATAATTATTTGTACAGATACCACGAGACTTGGTTATTTCGTGGTAAAGATGTCATACAAGCAGACTAACCACGTCCATCCGACTTAGTTCTGCGTTTGATAGCTTGAACCTTACAGCTGGAGACGTGCAGAGAACATAACTAGGTGGACTTGTGTGTTCAAGACGGAGAGAGTGGATTTTGGAAACTTGTAGAACTAAACTCCGAGTGAACCTCTATGCTAGGTGGTGTGCCTAACCACTCCGGTTCTCAGGCCTCCTCAAATTCTGGCACACTCAACAACGCAGTTGGAGTCTTCCTCGCGGACGAAATACCCCACTACCTTCAACCCCGCTGCGCCCGCGATCTCCCTGAACATGGCTTCGTTCCGGAGTTTGCCCCCGAGGTTGAACATGACGAGATCCACCAGGCAGTTTTGCGGCGTTGGCACATCCAGCAGCCTCTCCTCCATGATGATGACCCTTGCTTTCGGGTTGTCGATAGGCAGGGCGTCGGCAAGACGGCGCAGAATGCCCGTGGCGAGCGTATCCGAGTAGTCGAGCAAGATCCGTCGAAGTAGGTACACCAATGCCCCTAAGATCAGTCAGCCACCGTTCTCCGATACCGCTTTCCAACACAAAAGGAAATAACAGAAAGACTCACCCTTCACCGGCTGCTCCTCATGAAAGTCATGCTCCATCATCACCACCCCCTCCAACCCCCCACCCGCCACCGCCGCCGCAGCAGCCCTCGCCTCCTCAAGCACCTCCCTCCGATCCTGCAGCACGCACTGCCCCGCCGCCAACCCATCCACATCCCTCACAACCTCCTTCACCAACTGCCCCAACCCACCCCCCACATCCACCACCACCACCTCCCCCTCCTTCGCCCTCCTCGCCTCCACCCCCACCCACGCCAGATCATACAACACCCCAGCCCCAACACACTTCGTATCCCCGCCCACCATCTCCCGCGCCCGCATGCTGCGCGCAAACGCCTGCGCATAACTCGGATACAGCGCCTTGACCTCCCAGGGGGGCAGGTCTGCGTGGCCCCAGGCGAAGGCGAAGGGGGTTTCGGTCTGGCCGCGGGGTTCGGCGCGGCCGTGGGCGGCGAAGAAGCCCGGCCAGTGCGCGAAGGGCCGCATGGCGTTGCCGACGGCTACGGTGCTCAGGGAGGAGACTGGGTGGGGGGTGCGGTAGAGCGGGGAGATGCGGCTGTGCTGGAGGGTGTGGGGGGAGGGGCCGGGGTGGAGTTTGTGCGTTGAGAGGAGGTGGGCGGATAGTCGGGCTGTTTTTGGTTTGGAGGGGGGGTTGTTAGTGAGAGCTAGGCTTGAGAGGGATGGTGGGTACTGGGGATGGGGGGGTTAGGGGGGTGACGTACCAACGAGAGATTCCTGGGCATCGACGGCAAGGGCGAGGTCATGGATGGAGATGTGCCCGTCAAGGGGGATGTGGTCGAAGGCTTTCCAGTCGATGAAGATGTTCAATGTTGCGACATCAGCGAGCTGCGGCTGTTAGCTGGCGGTTTAGAGTGCGTGCAGTGTCTGAGAGGCACTTACCGCGATCCAGTCGGATTTCACTACATCGATTGCTGGGGCCGTCTCGAAGGCAATGCTCTTGGCTATGCGGGCGATGTCTCGCCGGAGTTCCAGGTCGTTGTCATCCTGGCCAGGCTTGGTCACGGCTGCTAGCTTCTTTGCGTTCTCGAGCAGTGCCTCGGCGGCCTGAACCAGTTCGAAATGGGGAGTTGATGCCATGTTAACTATCAACCACGCAGTTCACTGGGTTTGATGAAAACGGGAGGTGCCTGGTTGGAGTGCAGGCGAGCCGGTTTATAAAGGGAAAGCCGGTATAGAACGGCAGACTTCAGATGCATGACTTTATCCACCTCGCCATATATTTCTGCACGGGGTCCGGAGAACCGTGGGGAAACACCTTGACGTCCGAACTGCTCGGTCTCGCCAAGTAGGTAGGTAAACTTGGTCAATGGATGCCCTGGCACACCACTCTGCAGTTTCCAAACATGCAATGGCTCGCCCCGGAGCCGCTTACCGGTGCGCAGTCGGCTGACTCCCTTGATCAACTACGCCTTCCCGGTTCCTTACAGTGAGAGCCGGGATGAAACAAAATGTGAATCCGTATTGGCCCCCATATTTCACCACTCCTGCGCGTGACTTTCTGGGCTATGTTGCGACTCGTCATATTAAGTGGTTGGCTTGCACAGGTAGTGGGCCACGCTCACACATGGGTCGAGAGGCCTATTGCCGGGGAGATACTAAGCAAACCTTTAGTTCTAGAGACGACGGATTATGCCTGACTGGAAGGGCAGCCTTAGAAGTTGGCATGTCATGGCCTGGTGGCTTGTCGAACTCTCGGGACTACCCGGCCAGAGCCCTTTGTTTTGTCTCCTTAAAACGATTTCCCGGGCAGCAGGTGGGTTCCCCGTGCCCCTGGGGACCACGCGGGACTATCTGGGAAGAGTTCTCTTTCCCTTGTTGGGCGGGGTTTGCGGCTCACAAATTTTCGATTTTGAAACACTCGAGTCGATTAGTAACAGAAACTGAACGAGATATCCATTTTTGACATCTGCAACGCTCCGGGAAGGAACGCGATTCTGTGGTTTTGGGAACCGCGTGTCATGACGTCAGTCAAACGCGCCACGCGCACTTGGGAACATTTGCTCCCGGGGGTTCTGGGACGAATTACGGTTGTGACGAAGCGCTATTTGAGTATGTGATTAAAAACGTGAGCGGCATGCAGATTTTCGTTTTTGACTTTTTCTTTTGACTTTGTGTTAATAATAATAATAGGACCACACCAGCATCGGATCAGAAACCACAAACCAATTTTACCATCAGTGTTGGAAATGAACAATAACCTCAAATTGACCAACCATTAATGCTCTTACTCCGAACCAGAAGCTTCATCCCAACACTCAGCATACACAACCTCCCAATCTCCCATTCTCATCTTATACCGACACCGCATCCTCGGACCATCATCCTCAGTAGAATGATGGCAGATGAGAGCGGCAACAAGCGAAGCGACGGCAACGAGCCCCACCAATACCAAGCTGGTTCGTCCACCAACCGCGAGGAAGACCGGTGGAAAGAAAGGTCGCCATACAAGATCCATGACAAGGACAAGTTTGACGTCAAGTGGAAGGGTAAATGTCACTGCGGCGCCGTGCAGTATGAGCTGAGCCGGGAGAAACCGCTGGCTTCCAAGTACTGCCACTGCACCACCTGCCAGCGGATGCACGGAGTAGGTTCTCACATAGGTCCTTTGTTGCATCCTACTAAGGCTAACGGAGTCCAGGCACCCTTCCAATGGGCCGCCATCTTCCAGAAGACAGACATCAACTTCACGAACGGCCACCACGACCTCGGCTGGTACGACCCCACTCACAAATCGACGACACATCATCTTCCTTGCAAGGTGCAGTGCGCCTATTGCCGGACCCCAATTATGGACGAGGGTAGGAACATGATTCTGCTGTTTCCGACCCTGATCGAGGGGATCAACACGCCCAAGGGGAGGAAGGCGTTTGAGGTGCAATCCCACATGTTCTACCAACAGCGAGTGGTTGATATCAGGGACGGAAAGCCCAAGTTTGAGGGGCTGGCGGATCAGAGTGCCCGGGTGGACGAGGAGACGGGGGAGGTCATGGCGGGGGCTGAACTGGGGATGGAGACTTAATGAGCCGCCGTAGGATATCGAGGATATGTAGTTGGGAATACTGAGCCCTGCCCTTTGCTAGGAGCCGCCGACGGCGAAGGTTGCGCCGATCATCGGGGACAGTCCTTGGCGGGCCTCACTCCCAATCCCAACTCAGTTAGTGGAGGAGGGGACGTTCACTTGTTCACTTCACACCATCCCGCCCATCATGCGTTGCGAGACCTGCCTCAACCTCCAATATGAGGACTCTGACCCCGGAACCCATTCTAGCACCATTCCATTCAAGACAAACTACCATGAGACACTCGGCGCAGTCCGCCAGTCAGCCGATGAGGCTTGTCACTTTTGCACCATGATTCTCGCCGGTCTGAACTCATGCCGGCGCGAGAACGAAGCCATTCCCCCAGGTGACACGGCCATCAAACTCAAGTTGTCCATGCAGCGAGGATGGGATAAGATAAAGGGAACACACGTCAAATATGACGGGACCATTACGGTCAGTATGGCAGGCATGCCGGGGTACGTTCATTACAGGGTGCAACCTGCCTCGGGACCTGAAGGTATGAACAGACCCCTTTTCCCGGCTACCCCCATCGGTGCGCTCACTCACCCACCAGACCCAACCTATCCTCTCGTCCCAGACGCCACCAACGACACCCACACCGGCAGCGCGCGCACCATGGCCCTCATCCGATCCTGGCTCACCCACTGCCAAACCCACCACCACGCGACCTGCGCGTCCCCCTCCCAGGCAGCCCCCCTCCCCACGCGCCTCATCGATGTCTCCCCGCCCAACAACCCCACCGGCGCAGTCCTAATCGAAACCGCCACCCTCCCCCCTCCCTCACCACCAACCTCGCCAACCTCACCAACCTCACCAACCTCACCCCAACCCGCAAACCCACCAAGCTACCTCGCCCTCTCCCACTGCTGGGGCACCCACCCCCCCCTCACCACAACCACCACCACCCTCCCCACCCACCTCCTCTCCCTCCCCCCACTCACAACCCTCCCCCCAACCTTCCACCACGCCATCCTCGCCACGCGCGCCCTGGGATTCCGCCACCTCTGGATCGACTCGCTCTGCATCCTCCAAGACTCCCGCGCCGACTGGGCGCGCGAAGCGTCGCGCATGGGCGACTATTTCGCGCGGTGCGCGCTCGTGCTGGCGGCGGCGGATGCGGCGGATTCGGGGCGGGGAATGTTTAGGGTGCGAGAGCCGTGGGCGTGTCAGCCGCTGGTGGGGGTGAAGATGCGGATGCCGCGGGCGGGGGTGGTGAGGAGGGAGGAGAGGGGGAAGGGGTGGGCGTGGTATGATTGGCCGGCGGGGGATGAGGTGGTGAGGGTGGGGAGGGTGTTGGGGTGGGGGACGGCTGCTGGGGGATGGGGGGGTGGGAGTGGTGGGAGGTTGGGGGTGGGGCCGTTGGATGGGAGGGCGTGGACGATGCAGGAGTTGGTTTTGGCGGGGAGGATGGTCAGGTGGGAGGGGTTTCGGGTGAGGTGGGTTTGTAAGGGGGGTGAGGCGTGTGAGAACGTGCCTGAGATGAGGGAGGTGGGCGAGGGGGTGGTGGAGGTGGCTAAGGGGCTCGGGGCTGGGTGGGTGCGGTTGTTGGGTGGGGAGGGGAGAGTGCGGGAGGGGGTGGAAAAGCAGGAGTTGTATATGGATTGGTATAAGACGGTGGAGAGGTACACCGTGAGGGCCATCACCAAGCAGTTCGATATTCTGCCTGCGGTTGGGGGCTTGGCGAGTCGGTTTCAGGAGTTGGTGGACGATCACTATGTGGCCGGGCTATGGGAGAAGGATATCCATCAGGGGTTACTGTGGACAGTTGAAGGGCCGATCCAGCCGGGCGAACAACCGTTCAGGGCTGCCAGCTGGTCATGGGCGTCGATCAACTTGACGAGCATCAAGTTCGACGAGATACCTCAACCGAAGTACCATGGAGTATGGAAAAAGGACTGGTTCGAGGTCGAGGAAATCACGACACCTCTGGCGACCATCAACCAGTACGGCGAAGTAGATGGCGGGGTGTTGAGAGTCACGGGCTATCTGAGAGAAGTTAAGCTGGCTGGGGCCTCAGTCGCGGACAAGATCTACGGGATACGGAAGAACGTGCTGCTGGACCCCGTAACTGAGGAGTCGCTCGGCAACGTCTTCCTCGATTACCCCCGGCTAAGCACCGATTCACCGCTGCATATCTGGTGTCTCCCGGTGCTACACACGGGGTCAGCGGGTGGCAACTTAACGTCTATTTGTTTAGCCGTGCTGCCGGTCGACAATAACAACGGGGAACAGAGGTTGAGGCGCATCGGCCTGGCGAAAGTCACAAACAAGAAGTGGGATCACGGGTTTTTCCCGGATAGTGGGAAGAGACGACTGTGCTTAATATAAGATACGAAGCATTGTACGCAGAAGACATCTCCTGCTCCTCCCCGAGGTAGTGGTCTTGTCAATAGACCATCCATATTCTCGACGCCTCGGGCTTGAATCCATTACCAACTGTGCCGTGTATATAGCATCCCACTACGCGAACCCCGCTCGTGATCCAACCGGACCAGGGCATGGGTCTGCTACCATGGAAGCCGGCCCTGGTATCGGTTGGTCTAACTCTCCTGTGATGTATTTCAAAGCTATGTAGCCGGCTACTGCGCGCGTTATGCAGTAGATGGGTCTAGGAGTCATCACCGTGACCCGGGCGGGAAAGGGAGGCGAACGGTCATCAGACCGTTCACGCACGTCACCAGCGGACTCGGGCCAACTCCGGCCTTCTTCTCCCGATCCTCGGTAGCACTCACAATCTTGTCCGACCAATCGCTCTCGGGGGGGCCAAAGTTGGCCACTCGCGCGCAGGTCGAGCAGCAGGCCGTCAGATGGTGGATCTTGGTCGTGAGATGCGTGAAATAGTTCTTCTTGCCGTACTTGGGTGCTACCTTGCAGTACGAACATCTCTCCGGAGCCCAAGCACAGAAGTCGAGGCTATTCCGCATGGCACAGAAAAGGTCGAGCGCGAAGGCGGGGGCTTCCTCGTCCAGGAACCGGTTGAATGCATCATTCTCGAGAAAGAAGAAGCGGGCCGTGTAGACGAAAGCAACGAAGGCGGCGCGGATGGGGCTCATCTCGGTCGCCTTGTCAACCACTACGGGGTCGTGAGTGTACAAGAGACGGAGGGCATCGAAGAGCTCGCCGAGCCACTCGTCGGCGGGCTTGTAGTGGATCTGAATGGGGCTAAGCTTCCCGTCGAACTCCCCGTCGAGGGTGTTGAGCGCGATGGTGACGAGCGGGGAGACGATGAAGTAGTCGGCTACGGTATAGATCTCGTAGCAGGCCACGAAGGGCGTTTTGTGCCCGTTGGTGTGTGAGAGCCTTGCCTGTAAGGAGGGGATGTCGCAAACTAGAACCCGGGTGTCAGCATGATGCGTGTTCAGATGCTCAAATCGAGTCGCCCGAGTACCCTGGCGCATCCATGGGCCACAACGTTTATATCACGTACCTCCTGTGTAGATGTAGGCCAGCAGGCAGTCAATGACCTCTGGGTTGAAGTCTTGGATCTCAACCACACCCGTCTTCGCCTCTTCAAACCCACCAGTGAGCGCCTTGTCGAACCACTCGCTGCGTGAGCAGAGGATGTTTTTGTGGAGGTCCCAGGTCCAGTCGGCACACTTGACTGTAACGTCGGAGAAGAGCCCTGTGGAGAACAAGCTGGGAAGAACCGGTTAGCAGGTGTTTCGGTATGTAGACACCTGGGGAGGTAGGGATAGGTGCGCGTCATGCGATAACTTAGGTACTTCTCGTCACATTTGATGTATTGGTGCTCCATTTTCCTTCGTGGCATGATGATCGGATACTGCTAAAATGTGGGAAATATGAGTCGAATGTTGGAAGCACGCGACTAGGTGTGATCCGTACTTCCTGCTCACGGTTGCGGGGTTGGTGGTTGGTTTTTGAAGTTTTGAAGCTGGCGAGTGTGAATCAGTCAGTGAACGTTAAGAGAGGGCAGCGCGCTCTTTGGGTGGCAGTGACTGGTTGCTAGCACCTGAACAAGGAACCAGATGGTTTGTCCATTCCCAGATCGTGTCTTGATCTCGTTCTAGCTCGCCTCGTCTTATTGTATTGGCACGGTGTTGTTGTGGACAACTCGGAACAACCCATTTCTCCTATCGCCAAATGCTGAAATGTGATTTCGGTGACCCTACGTACATCTCGGCTGGCGCATTCTCACCACTGGCATGGAGCTCTGGCCCATCGTGAGCCCTCCACATGCCCCCAACAGCATACATCTCGGCAGGTCGGTTCTCCGCCGTATGCATCTCGAAGACTCCCTGATCATTATCCAGCTCCTTCGGCGATCCCTTCATCAGCGCATCTCTCTCTGCCTCCCACGGCTTATTGCGACGCGCGTGAGGAACACGAGGAACCCGATTCCGGGGGGGTGCTGCTATCTCCACCGCCGCAGGTGCTGTTCGATTCCTCATCCAGTACCATATCAGGATGCCCGCTGAGATTAGGGCTGCTACACCTATCCCGATGCCGATGCCCAAGCCCATTTTCGCCCCTTCGCTCAGCCCGCCCGCGGTTTCCTCTGCCGATGCCGTTGGCGTGGAGGTGTCTGTTCCTTTCGAAACATGTCAGCGATACTGTCAATATCTCGCCCTAGAAAAGCAACCCGGCCTACCTGTTTCTGATATCGAGGTTGCGGTAATCTCCCCTGGTTTAGTCGCACTCCTCGCTCCCAAGGTGGCCTTTAAATCCGCCGCATTCGTCTCGGAATCCGGCAGCGGAAAGGTCTGCACCGCCAGAGCATTCCCAATACTCGCGCCTGGCAGCGAGAACACGGCACCCTGCGTCTGGCAGCACCCCGTCTGCTCGCGGCGCGACTCACAACAATACGCCGCGGGCTCGGCATACCCCTCACCCGAGCACCCCCACACCTGCACGCCACCCGTCCCGAAGTCGTACGCCGATATGTCCGTCGCCTCGTCCGGATCTACACACACCGAGTCAGCAAGCAATTGACCCACCCGCTCCCGACCCCAACCTGCACTGCATATCCAACCAGCACCCCCCCAAAAAACAAAGACAACAAAAGCCCAAGGTTCACCTACTAATCCGACACCTCTGCGGACACACCTCACTCTCCCACTCCCGGTCGGTACACGTCCCACGCGCGTAGCTGATGCCCTCATCCGGACCCGTCCCAGCGTCGCGGCAGAGCCCCGACGAGAGACACAGCTCGGCGCTGCCGCAGCACATGCTCACGGCGGCATCCGGGTCACAGGGCACGTCACTGCTGGCGCTGCCGTCGGGGTAGAAACATTGTGATTGTGCTGAGGCGGTGGGGGCATGGAGGGTGAGGAGGAGGATGACGAGGTGGAGGGGTGTTGTTGCAACTAGTGGTGTTGGTTTGAGGGGTTTCATTGTGCTCGTCGCGCCGGATTGTTTGATGGTGAGGCGTTCCCGAGCGGGCGCGGGGAAAGGAGAGGCAGCGACATGTTCGTGGTGAGCGACAAGACAGATGCGGCTGGCGGAGAGGACTGCTTTTGTGGGTTGCATGCAAGGGGCTCAGAGGAACCTGGGGCTCATGGCTTCAGAGGACCGCTCTGGGGCGGAACCGACCACAACCCCTGACCGGCCTGCGCTGACTTGCTGTGCCGCTCCTGGGGTATAAAAATGGCCAACTCCGCTCTTCGCTGGCAGGGCTGAGCGCTTACATAGTAGACTAGTGAATGACCCGCGCGACGCATTTGCAGGCGCCAAGTTTCAAGGGGCGTAGTGATGTTACCCTCCCGACTTCGCCCATACCACACAAGGCAAGCAAATATGATCCTTCCTCTGTATCTTCGCCCCGCAGGCCAGGGGGCATTGGCACCCCAAGACCATCTCAGTCTGAGCGTGTCGAAGCAAAGCGGCAGCTGAACGCAAGCCTTGCATACCTCGGGATTCGAGCTTTTGCTAAATCTCTGGGGTCTGTGCTCTTACCCCTGCTTGATGAACATGATGTCCTTCAATGGGGTCGATGCTCAGTACGGCTTGGCCCAGGGCACCCCGGCCCCTTAAACACGTAAAGATGTGGCCCAAGGGCCATCCCGCCGGATTCTTGGAATTTCGACACGAGCACGAATGTAATCGCCGCCTATATCTGCGTCCAGCTCTGTCCCGGTCAACAGATGATAGGAGCACGCGGGGGCTTCTACAGGACCGCGCCATGGCATCCCCGGGCGTTGAAGGATACCCTGGGAAGAATTTATGCCTCGTGGGATCTTGCTTCTCGCTCCTGCGCGGGTTTCCCCCGTAGAATGGCGGCGATCGGGCAGCTAGTGGTCAAAAAGCGCCAGGCTCTAAAGGACAGCAAGAAATGCAACAAATATAAGGCCGGTTAAATAGGTAGACAAGCAAAAGAGACGAGAAGGGAACCGCGGGAAATGGATTAAATCAACGGATTAAATAAAAGAATGGAGTGTTAAGAAAGGAAAGTGAGTAAACTTCCCCAGGGGGTGCCGGGGCCAGAACCTCGGCGGCGCGCCACGTGGGAGCAAGACCCGGCGGCTTGGGTAACGGCTGCCGCATGCATGGGACTCCGATTCCCGAACCCTCGGGAATAACCTCTGTTTCGACGAGTGACCTCCTAGCCCGGGAGACTTCTCCGCACGCTAGTTCGCCTTGGCCCGGGGCTAGCTTACACCGTTCCCTCGGCAGTTTGCCCCGAGCACCGGAGCGTTGCAACTGGTACGCGGGGCGCGTGGGGAGGATAAAGCTCTGCCGATCCCAAAGTTTGTACCTCTTTTAATCCTCATCCGCGTACATCAAGTGGTGTTGACCCGTTGTTGTTGTTGTTGTCTTCCCGAAGCCACCGTACATTCCGACCCATTACCCATCTCCACGCCCTCACCATTACCATGTCGTCAAAAGACCCATGGCTGACAAAAACGTTTCTTGCCTCGTTATTCCTAGGCATCGGCGGCTTTCTCTATGGCTTGTGAGTTGAACCCACTACTCTCCAGCCCACCGGAATGCTGACAGCTCCCTTCGCCAGTGACTCCGGAATCATCACGCCCAGTCTCGCTCTAGGGTCGTTCAACACGTACTTCAACAAACCCGACGCGCCTCTTCGTGGTGCCATCGTATCGGTTTACCAAGCCGGAGGTGCGCATGCCGCGGTTCACATTCTCAGCCACCCACAAGTGCTGACAACTCCACAGCATGGCTGGGCAGCGCCTCGGTGGGGGTGACTAGCGACAGGTTTGGTAGGCGGAAGGCCATCGCCTTCGGGTGCGCTTGGGGTGTGCTCGGAGGAGCGCTGATGGCCGGGGCTGCACACGTTGCGATGCGTAAGCATTCCCCTGCTGGAAAAGAGGCACGGACGAACTAACGGGACGAGGTTATAGTCATCATTGGCCGTCTATTGATCGGTTATGCTGTTGGCACTATCACTGGGGTTGCCCCCGTGTTTGGAGCTGAGATTGCGAAGGTGACGATACCTGCCACGCCTGAGCGGCCCTGGGCCATGGCTATGTCGCGCGTCATATGATGCTAATGATGGGCAGACGAACGAGCGCGCCAGAAATACCGCAGTCAACCAGATGAGTGAGTCTTGGAGCAACCGTATGTCACGGCCATGACCCACAACTAACCCCTTATCCCTTGACAGTGGTGGCCTGGGGATTCTTCGTCGCCTTGTGGACTGGTGTAGGCGAAGGCAAATGGGCGAACGCAAACCAATGGCGGCTTGGGTTCGCGATCCAGGCTATCCCTGCCCTCATCCTCGGCGTCGGTGTCCTCTTCATTGGGGAGTCCCCGCGATGGCTATGTCTGAAGGGCCGTTACGAAGAAGCGGAGGTGTCCTTCCGCCGGTGGCACGACAACGGCTCGAACGACGACTGGTGCCGGACCGAGTTCGCCGTTATCCAGACCAGCATTGCCGAAGAGGTCCAAGCACAACACCGTCTTGGCTGGGCCGACCTCGTCCGCACACCCCCATTCCGGAGACGCCTATTCGTCGGGTCTTTTGTCTGGGCCGCCGCAATGCTGTCTGGTATCAGCTTCGTCCAGTACTTCCAGACAGCCATCTACGCCACGCTGCAGTTTGACCAGGATCAACAATTGCTTGTTAGCGGGCTGTACGGATGTGTTGCTCCCGTTGCCTGCATTCTCTCACTCTTCTTTGTCGATCGGATCGGCCGCAAGAAGATCCTGGTCACCAGTTCGGCGCTGCTGTCGGTGTTGTATCTCATCATCACCATCCTTGCCGCCTTGTACCCCGCGATACCGGGCATGCCGACGAACCAGGCCGCCCAGAAGGGCTTGATTGCTTGCATCTTCTTGGTGTCGGCCAATTATTCAGCCTTGCTGGGGCCGATGACTTGGATTATCCCGTGCGTTGATCCCTCTGTTTGAGAATATCCGAGATTGACAAAACCTACAGACCAGAGGTCTTCACAACGGAACTCCGCGCCAAAGCAAACGCTGTTGTCCAGGTGATCCACTACTCCATCAGCTTGATCATCACCCAGTGTTCCCCCATCGCTCTTGAAAGGGTGGGATGGAAGTATTACGTGAGTCCCCAGGCTCACCGCACTGAGCAGTGGGTTTGTCCCAGTGACTAACAATCAATAGATTCTCTTTGTCCTCACCAACGCTCTCTGTGTGGTGGTCTTTGCGTTTGCCTACCCAGAGACAAGAGGTATTTTCAACTTGGAACATCGATGAAGCATGAGCTGACGGAAGTTACAGGCAAATCACTTGAGCAAATTGACGAGATCTTCGGTGACATCCAGAAGAAGCGTGACATTGAGTTCAACTATGAAAAGGAGGTGGCTGAGAAAGACGGGGTTTCGGTAACCGAAGGGCCGCGATAATACTAGGATTTTGTAATGCCGGCGTGCTCGGGCAAATAGATATCGAGGATAGAGCCTTGGGAACCACCACCAGTGTTGTTAGTTGGATGGCTTAGCGTCGCTCGATGATAATAATGGAGCGTAAGCCAAGGTAGCTGGGAACTAATTAGCTCCCTGGCGGGGAGGGGAAGTATGGTTTACAATATCTCGATGCAGTTTTCCGGGCCAGCGCCGTTTGACATTTGGGGCACGTAGACTATTAACCAATTGATACGGGAGCCTGATACCAGGCATATCACTTCTACCGGGCCGTATTCAGTACCCGTTGGGCCTCTGGCGTGGCAGTGTCACGTAGCATGGAGATTTCTTTTACACATAATTAGACATCGAGGTATATGGTCAGTTACATCAACTTCACCGAGCTATGTATTCCACGCTTTGGATCTTGATTTGCGCTAGAACATCCAGTTTACCGACGCCATGGCGTATGGGGCGAACAAAGCACTGTCTATGCATTGTGTACGGTTCTAAACAAATGCTTTATATACCGGGTAGGTGGCTTGTCCGGCACAATGAAGTCGAGTCAACGACCATCGACGTGAACATCTTCATTGTATAACGAGATACCCCGATTTGGCATTTAAACATCAGGTCCTACACACTTCCTTCCTTCCTGCTCAACCCAACACCCAACTCACTCCAATTCGTTACAAGTACAAACATTGTCAAAATGGCTACAGTCGCTTCCACGAGCTCGGCGAAGACTTCCGTCAGCGCTAAGTGGGCTGACCTCGTCACCAAGGGCAAGGAGGTAAAGACCACGGCCAGGAGTCAACAAGGCAAGAACGTCAAGACGACCGCTAGGAGTTATGAGCAGATCCAGCGATTCATTCTCTTGACCAACATCCTGAATAAAGCCGGCCTGTCTGTCAACGAGGTGAGGGAATGTCTGAAGAAGTATGTTAACTTCCTGACGCCCGACGACCTCATGGAGTTGGCCACCCACCTACCTGGTCTGGAGAGCATTGACGGGATGGATCTGCCATACGTCACGGCCATCGCCAGCTTGAGCATGGGTAAGATGACAGCGGAGACTGTCATCGAGACGGCGGTCAGGGCAAAGCTTCGCTTCGTCGACAAGCCCGCCCTGGCTTACGGAGAGAAGGGCTGGTTGAGGCACCTGTTGCACGCGTTGGCGCAGGATTCCTCGCGGCAGCATGGGGTACAGGCCGAGGCGTGGTTTGGGAAACCTGATTGCGCGCTCTGGCTTGCGTTCATGGCCCGCTTCCGGGTGTTGCTGTCCGAAGAGGAGTGGTGCGTTTATTTGTCCCCGTCCGTTCGGGACGCCTACCGCGACGGTTGGTTAGGTGTCTTCGATCTGGAGCGTAGCGCCAGGCGGTCGGCCCCGGCCCCCTCTTCTGGTCCTGTAACCCCGGCCTGGAGCGGTCTGCTCAAGGCCAACCCAAGGATCCAGAACCCTCCAGCTCGGGTCCAACCCCCGGCTGCGGTCATCACCACTCCGTTCCTTACTACAAAGTTCTTCTCCCTCCAGATGCAAAGCCCATTGTACCTATCCCTAGTTAAGAAGGTCCCCGCCAGCGTTAGACAAAGGTCCAACGAGCTGCGCCATCAGCTCCGTCTGCCGCAGATGGCCTACAAACCCCAAAAGGGAGGCATCTCTGCTAGGGGTCGAAGGGGGAATCAGGCGGAGCAAAGGACGGCCGGTGACCGTGACTCGGAAGCTAGTGGAGAGGTCGGGAAGCCGGTAGACGAGACAGAGGAGGGATGGACGGTGGTTAAGAACAGGAAACAGAAGGCGGCCTCTCGCTAGGCAGGTATCTTAGGTATCAAGGATTGAATTAAAGAGAAATAGACTTTTTTGACGATAACTTAGCGCGTGCACCGCCGGGAGCGTACTCTGTAACTCTAGGAATTGCTAAAGCAAAGTGAAGTGGTAGATGTTGTATATAGACGTGAACAAGTGCCCTGCTTAACCAGAGACATGAACCCGATAGCTAGAACCGATGTTGATCTTTCCAGAGGTCGCCGGTACCGAATAGTAACAATAGTCAAGTTCGTTCCCGTCAGGTAGTAGTCCAACCATCGAGAGGTTCTAAACATCAAATAGGAACAAGCCGGGGCGAACAGGCGGGACGTTGAAGATATGATAAGGCCGGAAGCGGAGGATCCGCTCTTTAAACGCCTCAGGTGGGAACAGCCACAGACCGATGGCGGTGCTGGGCACGCTTTCCATCCTCTGGGACGTTGCGGCGTCCACGATCGGGCCGTGCTTAGCCATCATACTCCGGCCCGGGAGGTGTTTCTTATAGAGGTCCCAAAGGTGTTGCCGAGTGGACAGCCAGTCGGCATCCTCTTCACGCAGATGCTGCGCCAGCCCTTCTCTCGAGCTTGCCAGCAGCGGCTTTTCCCTTCCCGCTACCCCAGACTGGCGCGGCCAGTTCAGCGCGGGACAGATGTAGAAACGAAATCGGCTATCCTTCGGCCGGCTGTGAACCCCGAATGCCTTTTCAAGCCTTTCCCAGTCGCCCCCGACACGCTCCGCGTCGGTGCCGAGTATGAGGGTGCCGAGATCAAACTCGACACCCCACCGCGGATCAGTCTCGAACCAGGAAAGAGACCCGACCGGAACGCCGCGTCGACGGAGCGGGAGTGTTTGGGCGAAATGATAGGGGGCCATTCCCGGAGGTGGCTGCCCTGTGCCCCTCATACAACTCCGAAATTTGATCACACAAAGGACGGAACGGAGCGTGCTGCGGAGGGCGTCGGCAAACGCTTCTGCCGCAGCAGGATGGAGGTGGGTAGGGTTCAAATATGGATAGGGACGACTGGGGTCTTCGGGATAGTGAGCGAAACACATTTCCCGTATAGCGAGGTGGGTGATCCTATTAAGGTTTAGAGTAAGCCCAGAACAAGGCTGCAGAAACAACCGCCATACATACCCCCGGTCTTGCGGGTCATAGGCTCGGACATCGTACACAAAGTCTGGTAGTATGTGTGGGTGACATGAACCGCCGAGGTCCAGCACGTCGTGTTCCGGGTTCAGGTAAAGCACTCTGTCGCCGCCGGGCCCAGGGAAGGGCAGGTGAACCCGGTAGTAGCCTAGAGTAGCTTGCCTTGACTCGCTGTTGACCCAAAGTAATGGGCTGAGCGAGACGGCGTAGCCCCGGCCGTGGATTTCGACTCTGTAAGCCCGGCCGCTAACCACCTTGTTTAGATGGTTGCGGTCCGCGTAGGCGTTGTTGTAGGGACTATCCCTGTCTCCGAAAATATTCAATTCGATCATGCGGTGTTTCTGGAGGAACAGCCACCAAATGTGTAGGCGTAGCTCGGGAGGGAGGCGGCGAAATGGAAACCATCGTGTATCGTCCGTGGCCCGGGGCACCACCGAACTCCAATAGACGTCGTTGAATAATCTGACATCTCCGTCATCTCCACAGGTTGTGCAACTCTCTATTGTTACCCTCGTTTTCGGCAGCCAACTCGCCGGTCTGGTCCATGGTGAAGCTGAGTGTCGCGATGCAGCGGATAGAGGCCGACGGTTCAAGAGGGGCAGCACCGCAGCAGGCACCCCGTAAGTGTGTCTCGAGGTATTCGACGATAAAGCTCACGATTCGCTGCCGCAGGTTTAACAAATCAACCCCGCTATCGATTAGGCTCCATTGAGAACCCAGGCATTAAATCGTAGGTAGGTAATTAAGCGAAAACCTCCCAGGTCCCAACCAACCGTTTAATACCGTCACTGCCTCGTAGATGGCGTATCCGTCCCTGTTCCCCTCTAGCTAGCGAAATTTTGATCAAGGCAGAAATATTGATGTAATAAAGCTTCCCTCGTTTCGGCTATACTTGCCTCCGAATCCGTTGATCCCATGACCTATTTCTTCACACGTATCGAGGCCTTTGATCGCCATCACCACCAAACGGCACAAATCATCGATACCCGAGAAGGACCGTAGGCGTATGCAGCGCGACGTTATTGCAGAAGTAATTTGCCTCCGGAAACTCGGGAACATAGGTTAGGAGGTACCTAGCTTGAATCAAAGAGCGCTAGGGCAATAGGGGGCATGTACATCCACGCATTCAGTACCTGTTATAGACATACAAAGTGACGGCACACTCATACAGGAACGCACCACCAAAGCCAGCTCCGTTGGGTTTCATAATATCCGATCTTTTTATTGCTGGACCCCTGAGAGAAATGCCTGCATTTCAATGCGGCCCATCATCCTGTTGTGAACTGGAAGAAAGGAAAGAAAAGGGAAATAAAAGAAAAAGGGATAAGAGACCAGTGGTTGTGGCATACGCATGGTGCCACAAGGTGACGAGCGGCGGATGCCTGATTGATTGGTTTATAGAATGTGTACTATCCTAGACGTCGAGTGGACACTCACGCTCCCTGGGGCCACATCGCCTATATCCAAAGCCGGAGGTTAGTCCCATGATTCTTAGGTGATACTATCGTCCACTGAATGTTTTTATGGCCACCGTCGGCGGCGCCATAACATTTGTTTTGGCAGTCAACACCGTAAACGGTGGGTGTCCAGTTTGCGGTTATTCCATTGAACGGAGGAACCCGTCTCGCAAGACTTAGTCGCAGGACAGTCTGGCGTCGGATCGGAAGTGCTCTAGCTTCCGTACGCCCTTAGTATTGCGCATCACCAAATCAACGTATCTACGCAATAGGACTCGCTAGATAGATAGCAAAGGTTGCATATGAGAATCGGGATAGTATGCAGCCGATTACGGGGGAAGGATATAATGACAAAGTCTAGCAATATATACCAAATCGGGAAGAGGTATGTAAACGATATCTCACTACAAAGTTCAATCACTGTAGGATTTCAAAAGGCATACAACGGCCTCGTGCCCGTTCGCAGCGGCCCACGATAGTGGTGTCCAGCCATTGTTATCCTTCGAATCGACATCGACCTGGCCTGTCTGGAGGAGCAGCTGTATAACAGCCTCGTGCCCTCCTGCAGCGGCCCATGCTAGTGGTGTCCGGCCATTTTTAGCCTTCGAATCGACATCCACCTGGCCCGTCTGGAGAAGTCGCTGTACAATAGCCTCGTGCCCTTCCTCAGCGGCCCTCGATAGTGGTGTCTGGCCATCATTACTTTTCGAATCAACATCGACCTGGCCCGTCTGGAGGAGTAGCTGTACAACAGCCTCGTAACCTCTGTCGGCGGCCCACCATAGTGGTGTCTGGCTATGTTTGTCCTTCAAATCGATATCGACTTGGCCCGCCTGGAGGAGTAGCTGTACAATGGCCTCGTGCCCGTTCTCAGCGGCCCACGATAGTGGTGTTTGGCCATAGTGGTTATCCTTCGAATCAACATCAACCTGGCCCGTCTGGAGAAGTAGCTGTACAACGGCCTCGTGCCCTTTCGCAGCGGCCCACGATAGTGGTGTCCGGCCATTGCTATCCTTCGAATCGACATCAACCTGGCCCGTCTGGAGAAGTAGCTGTACAACGGCCTTATGCCCGTTCTCAGCGGCCCACGATAGTGCTGTCCGGTCATAGCGGCTATCCTTCGAATTGACATCAACCTGGCCCGTCTGGAGGAGTAGATGTACAATGGCCTCGTAATTTCTCTTGACGGCACCCAGCAGTGCCTGTCCTCTGCGGGCCTTCGTCTCCGGCTGATCCGGCTGATCCGACAGAACAAAACAAGCGAGCAAAGCCTCGTCTTCTTGTTCCAGGATATAGGAGAGGGCCCCTTTATTCCGCGAGAAGGTGAACTGGCGGCCGATGGTTAGGGTTTTCTTTCTGTTTTCGAGCAATTGATTGCAAAGTTGGCGCCGCAGAGATGACTGTGGTTGCGTTTCTGAACATATTGTGACAAATGACTCGACTGCTTTATCACTACCGGTAGCAAGCGCTGCAAAGAATGGTGTCCCATATCGCTCGTCTTCTTCCTTAAAAAAGGACAGGTTCGAGGGGTGAACTTTGATGAGGGCTGCCATGTCTCTCTCGGACAATATGTAGAGGAGGCTTGCGTTCGCAGTGTGCCGCCGGTTCTCGTGTCGTTCAAACAAGTTGTTGAGTTTAATCCAGTCCGCAAGCTGGAAACTTCGGAGGAAGGCCGCCTGTCTGATGCCGCCCGCTTCCGCTGCATCTCCGTGGTACAAGGCATTCCGCGTAGCATACTCTAGGAACGGAAACTTTTCATTTGCAGACTGGCGAAGTTTGGCGGCTTCCTCGGTTTTCGCCGTGGGGAGAGAGTCGGCGATTTCGAGAGACGTGGCGACGTCGATGCGCATGTAAGTGAGGCAGCATTGTTTCAGTCGCTCGTGGCTGGCTCCTTCAAAATTCCCTCCGAGGTCAGACCAAACCTCCCTCAACCCGTCTTCTTTGAGAAGAAAGTCTCTGACCGATTCATGGATGAACTGAACTGTGGGGCTTTTTGACTTGGTGACCTCGGCGAGCCCCTTGGACGAGCTGAGGATGAATCTTTTCGTGACAGCTGTTGTGATCTCTCCGGGATCGAACTCAGAGAGAGCTTCAGGGTTGACACCGGAAAGGATGGCAAAGTAGAGCTGCTCTGGCTTCAATGGCTGTCTTGCAAAGAGGACCCACTGAACACACAAGAGGAGTTCGCCTCTGTTGTGGCGATCGCGCGTCAGGATGTCGCGGAAAAGCTCATGTAAGTTTCCCGGGATATCTCGGAGCCTCTGTCGAAGACCATGGATACGGCCGCGGTCATGTTCTTTGTTCAGAATCTCCGTCACCAGCACAACCCAGAAGAAGACCCCGGAGGCCTTCTGTTGGACGTCGGCTCGGATTTGCTCGGCGAGTTTGCTGTGGCCAATCTTCAACTTGCTGTTCAGATACCTGGCGATATCCCTGCCGTGTTCGTGTTCCTCTTCAAGGGCCAAGTCGAGGCCTCTTTTGATGGTGATGTAGGGGTAATGCCTACTGGAAAAGCAAACGCTGAAGTTGATGGGTGGATTTGCGTTGGTCGTCATTTCGCCAATTTCTTCGAAGAGGGAGATCATGTCGCGGACTTGAGCCTCCTCACATTCATCCAAAGCGTCAACGAAGCAGGTGACAGGCAAGTCTCCGAGTCCCCGTACGACTTCCTCGAACAAGACTTTCAGGGCTTCGATGCCCCATTGGTGGCCTTCGCCGTTCAAGGTCCGCAATCCGACGGTCTTAAACACGCTTCCACGTTCTGAGAGCCCTTCAAGAAGTTGCAGCAGTAATGATCGGTACATGCCAACAGTCGACTTCTCCAGCTCGCTTCCTCGCGCGTTGAAAAAGAAGGAGATGACAACCTCGGCAGGCGTCTTGTTCTTGGCCTTGTCAAAGGCGTTCGCATAGGCGAATTTCATCAGCGTCGACTTCCCAGCCCCAGGTTTTCCTTTGATCCATAAGAAGCCGTGATGTTGGTCACGCTTGCTAGGATCAAGCCAGTCGAGATATTGGGATGTTGTCAGCAGCCATTCACATGTCTGGGCGTGTGCCTTTCTGATATTCGTCTGGCGAGCATCGATTTGGTCGAACCTCAATGAGTCCAGCAGCACTTGTATCTGCTCTTTACTCAGCGGCGCTGGCCCTATTGTCGTAGGCTGATTGGACGTCGTGGTCGTAATCCTAAGCAGAGCACCGGCCACCTTTTTGTATTCAACGTCGTCGAGGCCCGTGAAGCGACACATTTCCATGTGGTTCCGTCCAATTTGTTCGGTTGTCTCGATGCCCCGGATATTGAGATAAGACGAGGTATCATCCACAACCTGAGAATGGTCAGCAAACCTTGGAAAATATCAGATGTTGTCGCGTAGAGTAGGTACATGTACCTTACCTTTTGGTTATTGAGAACTGCAAGGCCAAATTGCTCCCGGAAGGAGTGTATGATCCAATTCTGTTCTTGGGCCATGGGACCGAATTCTTGCTTCAGCTCCTTAAGACGTTCCGAATCTGGCAACAGCGCGCTGAGAATCTGCTCGTTGACAGAAAACCCAACAGCTTTCAATACGTTCTTGGCAATGCGCTTGAGAAAGCCGCCGGGATCAGCGCCTGCGTGTGGGGTACCGAAGAATATGATACCGACGGTGGACTTGAAGACAGCGTGAAGGTCAGCCCGGACCGAGTGGCAGCCTCTCGACTGCCGAAGCATCTCCTTGACGACGATGCCTCCGAGACTATGTGCCACAAACAATACCGGCCTTGACGGTTCCAGTCGACGTTCAGACTCCAGCGCGACCAGGAGATTCTCTGAGATGTCGTATATGGTACTCTTGTTTACAGGAGGCCCTGCCCAATGTCTGATATGTGTGTCATAGCCGTATGTCAGGACTCGCGCGAAGGGTACCGTTTGTGGAACCAAATCGCGCGGCCAGTAGGTATGAGGGACAGAGTCCCCCCTGCTGTTGAGGCGAGAACTTGAGAAGGGATTGAGGGTTCTTTGTCTTTTGGAAGGAGGCTCAACGTATTGAGCAGGTAACATGTCATCGTCGCTGCTCTGTCGGGGATTGGCGTTCTTGGAAGCCCATGTTCGTTCGGGGTGGCCGGTGAATCCATGTATAAAAACGATGCTACTCGATTAGTATATTCCACAAGGAGATAGCGAACAGGAATAAACTTGAACTCACTCAAGAGACGGTTTATCGGGTTCGGAGACGACGGTCAAGCCGGTCTTCGAAATAGGTCCCCTCGGGGCCCTCCCCTCCCATCCATCCATCCTATCGAGCTGAGGCCCAGTCGGGTCCGGATTCTAGGAAGGGCGAGCACTGTCCCCAATATTTGAGACCGCGGCTTGCAACTTGCTAAAAACTAAAATCTCGCACTCAAAACACTTTGCGGATTCGGAGACGCAGACTCCAGAGGACGGAGCCCTCGAACAAAGAAAGGAAGGAGAAGACGATGGGTGTCGCATCGCACACTTGTTAGGCTTGAGTCGGGCTTAATTCAGCCAGGCTCTCACGCTGAACGTGGGCTGTGTCGGGCAAATCGGTTGGGGCAGCTGAGCCACAGCCACCTGCACCACCTGCATATACACGTCGGCTGATAGGCATTTTGGCTTGCCTGTGTGACCTCGCAACCAATCAGTCTCGAAACCAATCTTGACATGCGTGGACCACACCCGGGTCGTGCAGAATTGCAGGGTTTCCGTGCAGGCTCCTCCGTGTCCATTCCCGACCTCTCCAACTGTTTTTTTCCCACCTTGAGAGGGGCCAAGCGATTGGAGGGAGGAGACCTTCGATGCCGATTGGGAGTGGACAACCTGGTACATACCTACCTAGGTAAGGTACGGACCTAAGCAATTGAACGGTTGCACCCTCGAACCATCTCAGCATCGCTAACACCCCTGTTTTGATCACTCGGGTTCCAGTGTCATGGTATCCAGGTTGCCTACGCCCTAACGCCAATAGCTTGAACGTATGATCCGACCGGAGGGACGGTGGGAAGCGTGTGGGGGAGTGATCGGTTGGAGATGTCCAGAGGAGGCTCGCCACAGAACTTCAGGAGAAACTTGGGTGGTGGCAAAGGGCTGCAGAAGACTGGCGCACTCAGCTGCATACACCGTTATTATGAGTGACAATGCAATGCGATATGCCGGCTAGGAGGTCAACTCGCGGGTAACATTTAGTAAACGCTCCTCGGGGGAGAACGAGAGAGCAAGGCTGGTCTACTGTGCAGATATCAATTTAGATATTTCGGTTCGTGTACAGTTTCGTCCCTATTCCAATCACACCGCCGCAAGGCAAATAGCCTCAATGTTGTTTCCCGCCGGATCCAGTACAAACGCCGCAAAATAGGTCGGTGTGTAATCCCTGAGGCCCGGCTTGCCATTGCATTTTCCTCCAGCTGCAACCGCCGCCTGATGGAATGCCTCGACTCCAGCCCGATCTAAATCCGTCGCGAAGAATGTTAGCATCATTCTTTAACCAAGGTACCTTACCACTAGGGGGGCAGAGCAAAGGAAAGAAGACAAAAAAGCAAAACACGACGCTGAAAAACAAGAAAACTTAGACAAAAAACAAAACCCACCCTTCGCAGCGAACGCAGTATGCGTCGGCAAGGCGGCCGCCACATCCGCACCCACCGTAGCGGGCTCAGGGGCAGGCACCCCGGGGGGCACGGCGGCCGACGAGGTCACCCACCAGTCGACGGCACCGGAACTGTCGGCGAACCCGACGACCAGGTCGTCCATGAAGGTCATGGCCTTGGTGTAGCCGAGCGGGGCGAGGGCGGCCTCGTACCAGGCTACGATGGCGGTGTGCTGGGCCGCGGGGACTCTGATGCCGGTGTGATTGATGGTCATTTTGGGCGGTGGGAGATGGTTGTTTGATGATGAGGGTAGGGGGTTGTGAAAGGTGTTTTGCTTGCTGTGGGGTTGATGGGTGTGATGGAGATGGGTTGAGCAGATGAGGATGAGAGTGGGCAAAGAAGAGGTTTATATTACCCCGTCGAGCTGTGGAATGGAGGCCGGTGGATAATGGAGGTCGGTGGATAATGGATGCCAGTGTCATTGATGCAGCTAGCGCTTGGCATGTCGGTGGTCGGAGGGGCGGGTCGCCCGGTCGCCCGTTGTCCGCAGGGCCCCTTGGAGTTGGAGAATTGATCCTTCGTCGCGCGTCGCGTTGGATGATTGGGTTGTTTAAGAGCCTCTGACGCGTGATTGACGCAAGATCCCGTGCAGCGACGCCTGAGTCACCGGCGAAGCATCCTCCACGTTGCAAAGACAAGGGACTTTCATCTTTCAGGCTTCAGGGGCTCCGACTCTCCTAGGTCCGTCGATCGCCGAGTCCTCCGCTCCGAGGCTGTGCGGAAATTCGGAGCAACCCGTTCTCATATTGTGAACGCGGAGACTTTCGTTGAGTTCGTCCGTGACCTCTTGCGCACCAATCGGCATTCAGGAATGAACTTCCGTCTGCCCAGGACTGGGTTGGGGGTTGGACACTTCCTGGCCCTCGAACCTTGGCGAGACTGTTTTATCCGGGGGGGTATTGAGTCCTAAATTCACAGATTTCAACTGACAACTCACAAGTACTTTCCCGCCGCCAGTTGCAATATCATGCTCGGTTGCCCCGGAACGGTTCGAGGAGCGAGTGCTAAACGAAGACCTCGGTGTTTCTAAAGGCACAGTTCGAGATAAATCGCATGGGGTGCCGTGCAGTGCTCGCCGAAAGCCCATCGCCTTCTGCTGTCTGATTCAACCCTAGATCATATTCCTTCACCCTTGCGTACCGCATGAACACTAAAAGGGAGAGAAACTAACCCACTAGCTGAAAATAGCCAGTGACATACATATTACCTACTTGCTCATCGGCGGCACAGACCGAAACAAGTCCACCAACCCCTCGGACATAGTCGGATGAACAATCGTCAAGTCCACCAGCTCCTTATACGACAGCCCCAGCTTCATAACCAATTGCACCACCGGCAACAACTCCCCCACCCCCGGCCCGAGCGCCGTAAACCCCAAAATCCTCTCCCCCTCCGCCTCCACCAAAGCCTTCGCAAACCCCTCCGTCTCCCCCAGCGCCCTCGTCCTCAAAAACGCCCCCATCGGCGCCTTCACCAGCCGATACTTCACCCCCTTCTCCCTCGCCTCCCCCTCGCGCAACCCGACATGCGCCAGCTCGCGCGACGTAAACAGCACCGACGGCACCTGCCTGCCCTCCGTCCCCCTCTCGCGCGGCGCACCCGTCAGCACCCCCAGAATCACCCGGTAGTCGTCCCACCCCATGTGCGTGAAGTAGGGGCTACCGGCGCAGTCGCCGGCCGCAAAGACGCCCGGCACCGAGGTGCGTAGTTGGGCGTCGACGGCCACGTGCCCGGTGGCGGTGAGGGTGATGCCGGCTGCTTCGGTGAGGCCGATGCCAGAGGTGTTGGGGGTGCGGCCGGCCGAGACGAGGAGGTGGGAGCCGCGGAGGGTGGAGGGGCCGCCCGCGCTGCTGCTGCTGCTGCTGCTGTTGGAGAGGGTGAGGGTGATTTCGGAACCTGAGGTGCCGGTGATGTTGGTGACGGTCGTGGAGGTGAGGAATTCGACGCCCTCGCGCGTGAGGATGGTGGTGAGTTCGGTGACGACGTCGCTGTCTTCTTTATTGAGGACTTGGGAGTTGCGTTCGATGACGGTCACGCGCGCGCCGAAGCGGGCGTAGGCCTGTGCGAACTCCATGCCGACGTAGCCGCCGCCGAGGATGATGAGGTGGGATGGGAGGGTCGTGATGTTGAGGAGCTCAACGTGGGTTAGGGGCTTGGCGTCCGCCAGGCCGGGGATGCTGGTGTCGACGAAAGCCTTGGATCCGGTGTTGATGAGGACGGTCTCGGCCGTGAGCAGGCGGCCGTTGCAGCTGATCGTCTTGGGACCGACGAGCTCGCCGTGGCCTCGGATCAGCTCGCTCTTGGTCTCGGCAAAGAGTCCTAGGAAGAGATCCGCCATGCCGTCAACTACTTCCTGTTTGCGGGCGAACACCTTCGCCATGTCTGCTTTGAAATCGCCACTGGCAGCCCCCGGTGTCGAAGCCTGGACCTGGCGCGCGAGATGCGCCAGCTGAGCCGAGTGAAGAAGGGTCTTTGTGGGCATGCAGGCGACAGTCGGGCAGGCGCCGGAGATGGGGCCATGCTCAATGACGGCGCACTTCTTGCCGTGGTTTGAGGAGAGGTCCCATGCCAGGAGCTTGGCCGCCTCCCCGCCGCCGAGGGCGACGAAGTCGTACTGTTCGGGGGTAGGCATTGCAGCGGAGGTGAATCAGAGATGTTCCTGGAGTATCGTGGGGGAATGTTAAGTCGGTGAGATTCGATTGGCTTTTCTTGTGACGATGCGGCTTGAGAATTGTGACCGGAACTGGACAAGGAGGTTACAAGGTCTTATATACCTGAACTCGGGAACGGACCACCACCACATTAACATCCGTTGAAGTCACTTAGTAAGTGCCACTCTACATCTTGCCGGTGTGATGCAAGTGTTTGGAATCATCATGCAGCCGGTCCATGATGGTCGAAAACGCTACCCGCATAAAATGTTTCTGTTACTGACTTGCTCCCTGCCCTCCCGATTCAGACCGAGATCCAGCGCCCATCCGTTGACTCTCTTTGGAATCGTCCAAGGCTGGCCCACAACTGTCAAAAGCATGGTCCTATTCGCTGGTCCTCTTTGGAATCTTCCCATCGGAACCACACCCGCGCCCTGGTGATTGGCTGTCTTGTTTCCATGCAGCCGGCACACCAAACGGTTACATAACGCGTACGACATCTGCAGGGGACAACATTAAACACAGGAATCAACCCGAAATGACACCATTCAAAGTCTGGTTCCGAGGACGGTCTTCGGGACGACTTTGGTGACATGGATGACTCATGCTCTCGCAGTGTGCTTCCCACCCTAATCAGGAATGAGGAAATGATCGGAATTTACTACCTGCCACCAGGCTAGCCGAAACACGAAGATAGTTTACGACTGTCATGGATATCGGGCCAGAGGGCAGGCGTTGGTCTTTCTCATACGAGACAAAGAACGAGGCCCTACGAGTCTGAGTACCTCGTTTCGTTCAGGAAGCGATCAACGCAGGGAGACCGGCCTAGGCTTGGCCCGGAGGTCTCCAGCGGGAGTTACTGGAAGGTGGGCGGATATGAAGGATTTTGATGCCGGACACCAGTCTTAGCAGGAACATGGTTTTCGTGGCTATAACTAACGTTAACATTGGGGAGCAGTTCCCGTTCGGGCAACCGGGGCTGTGTGTACCTAGTTATTCTTGTTAGACTGGGTCTCTTGTTCATGTTGATACAATTGGGAACAACTCGGAGGTCGGCTTGTTGTCGTAGTTCCATTCTGCCTGCTTACCCAGGGCATGTCTAGAAGGTCAGAGGCCGTTGTAACCGTCACCAGTCCTTATACGGTATCAAGATGCGGCAAGAGAGCACCCGCGTAGGTATTCCCAACGCCATCAACACCTTCGCTGCCAACCAACTGCGAGCAGGATCGGAACCGTCATCCTGGACGCCATGTTAATATTACATACTTCCCCAATACGGATCATCACTTACGTTGACGACGTTCCACGCAAAGTATCGTTGTTCAACAGTGGCGCCCTCACGGAAGATCGGGTACGTTTCCCAATCGGTAGGAAAAGCCGATCCACCAAAACAAACGATCAGCTTCAGGCCAGTCAACAGTTCAAATTGTTGTCATTCCCGACGACTTCCCGCCTGCAATTGGCGATACCCGTTGGGACCCGGTATAACTGTCGCTGAGGTACCGCTAGCGTTCTAGGGATGGGGCTAGGGATGCAAAAGTCGACATCTGCGAGTATACCGCACTATCCCTAAACGTTGCAACAGGCATTGGGCTCAGGGGTTAATATTGGGGGGGTTGGTTATCGCTGTTAACCGGCCGTGGCGTTCCGGCGCGGGCATGGGGTTGGTCCCTCGTTGACGAGTAGATGATGTAGATCCTGTTACCCTCGACACGCGGGCCGTAGCCGAGCCAAGCCAGATGTTGGTGTTGCGTCGGTTGATTTGATCCGGGTCACGTCGTAGGCGCCACCAATGCCCGAGCAGGTACAGCTTTGCTTAGCCGTGGTAAGGGAAGCATCGACAGACACCCGTACGATGTATGATGCAGCGCGGCTCGCTCAATGGAACTCCGAGGGCAGGGTTACGTTGGGCTAACCATTCTAGGTAAGTAGGCCCTCCATTCGAACTTCGCCCAAGGCTCCTTGATTTCCCTTAAATCAACTCTTCACAACAATGGAGTCGGTCGGTAGATATCCACGCCCGGCGCCACTGGAGACCCTACCTCTTCACGTATTCCAGTATGTCTGTAGATATGTTACCCGACGAAGTCTATTCTCCCTCTCGATGGCGAGCAAGCTTTGCTACCACGCAGCCACGCCACAGCGATTCTCTCGAGTGATCTTCACCATACGCGACAAGGAGAAGCTTCGCAGCGATTTGGATAGATTGGTTGCTGTACTCAGTCGCCAAGATTTGTTTGGTTATGTCCGCCGAGTTGTAGCCACTGGCTCTATGGACAATGGCGACAAGTTCGATGGGATTAATCGGGGGTTCGCCTCAGTTATAACAAACGACGACACGGACAGTGACGGCGACAGTGACGGCGACAGTGATTTTGGCGCTGGATGTCTTGCAGGACCTCCCTTGTCAGCACAGCAAAAGCAGGCACAACACGAGGCTTGGCTCCCCTTTGCACGCTTCCTCGGCCAGCTCCCTGCGCTCACGGACCTGGTGTATACTTGCGTGCCTCAGATACCGCCGTGCGTGGTCACGGCATTGCACCAACACCACCCGAGGTGCCGTTTGCATATTGACGCCTTCGGCCTCGACAGCCTCTGCCAAAAGAGGGACCAGCTGCGCGATATCGATCCGGACGACTTTGCACTGGCCACCTCCCCTTGCCTCTATAGCGTCCGCGCACCCTGTGCACTACACGACGTTTGGGGCCACTACGACTTCAACATGGAAGCCTTGGAGCACATCGTTGAGGTGGGATGCGCCCCGAATCTAAAGAGATTAAATCTCAATCATCGCCCGCTGGAGGGATTGGATTTCGATCGTCCCAGGTTTTCACTTACCCTTCCACCGGTGGAAGCCGGCGGGGTGGTGCGGCATCGTTGGAAGAGCGTCTTCCACTCAGGCCCGAACCAGCCCGCCACCAGTCCGCAGCAGGAGGCATCAATAGCACCGGGGCGAGGCCGCCTTGAGACGTTAGTACTGTCCGGCGATAGCAACGGTTACTCTCACGTGCGTGACTGGAACGCACGTACTGACTTTGGCCTCCTCCGACGATTTGAATATCATTGTGGCGTCTCCGTCGAGGCTCTCGAGACTCTGGCCTCGATAGCCGCGAGCGAAGGGTTCCGCTCCCTCCGAGAACTGGGACTGTCGGTCTCATCAGACGACCATCTCCAAAATAACACCGACCACCTCGACGGGCCAACCGGTTCTTTTCTACAAGCCCTGCCTCCCCTTGAAGCTCTCACGCTCAAGCGTCACTTTAGCAAGCACACCATCGAGGCGGTCCTTCAACGCCATGGTCCCACTCTGCGCAGGCTATACCTGCCTCCGCCTTACGGCGAAGACGACAAGGATCTTAATATTGACGCCGACCGGGTCCGGGAGATCCAGGAATGGTGTCCCAGGCTCGAGGATGTCGAGCTGCGGGTGCGGCGCCGCCAGGGCGGGCCCGAGGAAGTGGCCGTCTACCGGACACTGGGACAGATCCCTCAGCTGCGGCGCGCTACGCTGGTGTTCGACTGCCGGTCGCCGTATCGAGAGCCGGAAGGTGACGCCGAGAGGGTCCGCAAAACGCTTGTCAACCTCGCCGTCGACGAATCTCTCACCACCGCCATTTTCCACGAGATCGTCTCTGCCACCACCGACTGCCGGCTGGAACATCTCACGCTTAGGCTGCTCACCGGAGACACCATTACCAAAGACTACCCAGAGATTGATTATTTCGGGACGTGGATTGGGCGGAGCTGGGCATGCACGAGGTGTGGAACGAGCGGCGAAGTGACGGTGCGCGAGATCGATGTTGACCCCGAATTCAGGCAGTCCGTGCGAGACGAGCTCGAGACAATCGAATATGAAGGCGAAGACGTGTGGAGCGGGCTATGGCCGCGCAAAGCTAAGGATTGGAAGGACGACTGGCACAGCTTTCCTCTCTGGCGCGAGGAAGTTGAGGGTGATGTGCCGGGTGAGGAAAGGCGCAATGACTATTTGGCTGCCCCTTGTGAGGGTAAGAGGGGATGTATTATGACACCGCCCTCGGCATATGCAGGAAGGTGTCCCCTACCAGCCGTATCAAATAACACGATGAAGCCCGCTAGAGCTTCTCCACGAGTCAACGGCCGCCCCTAAGATGTGTTCCATGACGCGTCAACACTTAACTAAGCGGTGTGCGGGGGTAACCGAGAACGACACTCCATCCCAAAGGCAACTTGGAAGCGCTGCTCGCCGTTAATGAATCCCGCTTCATGAGATCTGGCGGCGCTACGTGTACACCGCACTGTTACTAAGTTGCCTCGACATTAATGATTACGGGGACCAACCGCGGTGAGGAGAGCTCGCTTCGGCAGTCAGCACTACACTTCGAAGCCCAAAAAAATATCATTCCTTGCTAGGCGAGTTCGGTCCCGAAGATGGATTTGGAAAACATTGCGAGGGAGAAGGGGTTGTGTTTGAAATTGCGGGGGCCCTTCCACACACCACACACGCCCTTCACACACTCCTTCTACATCTTTTGATATTGCAACCTCGGAAACTAACAACCTCGGTTAAGCGGCGCGCCGGTACACCATTTACAAATCCGATTTCGCCCCTCGAACGGCACCACCCCAGCATAGCAGATCTAGAATATTGGGCGTTTTGGGGGGGGGGGGGGGGGGGGGGGGTTGTTCACTTTGGCTTCCGAGCTTGAGAACAATCGACACCGCCGGGATTGAGACTGGAACAGATTGAACTTGGTAAACTGAACAGTCTTGTGACCTCCTTTGCCCGCTCCGGTCCGACACCCCGGCCGATTCGCCGACCGCGGCGTCCGGCCCAGGAGTAAGACTCGGAGCAAATACCCCGATTTTATCGGATCTCGGACTGCCTCGCGGGGAGGGCGCGTCGGCACTTTAACCACATCGAGATCAACCTACTCGGCAACCAACTCATCAACTGACTCGCCGACTTATTGGGCTCGGAGTGGAGAGTCCGCTCGCCGAGACCGGGCGTCGCTAGCACGAATCTGAAGAGCTGACGTCGAAGGAGGTACAAGCGGGGACGATTTTACTCCAAGCGAGGTTGCTGATTACTGCGGCGGGCATTTTGTTGCCGTTGACGTGGGTTGTGCCTCATCGTGCGGCTTTGATGGGTGTGTTGTCTCTCAATCAACGAGTTGGACGGCTTGTATCTCGGCAGCGGCATTGTCGAAGAGGTGGTATAAAGAGAGATCGAGGTCCGCCTCTGACACAGGATACTGACCAGAATCACATCACAACATCCAAAGCTCAAATCACAACGTTCACACTCTCAACTCATCGTCCACGCCACCACCATGAAGGTCTCTGCCATCACCGCCGTTCTCACTCTCGTCGTGGGCGCCGTTGCGCTGCCGGAGAACACCTCTGCCGCTCGTGAAGTCCAGCTCGAAGCGAGTAGGTTGCTCCACAGTTCAAATCACAAACAGCACAAACACTAACGTCCGTTCCAATTACAAGGAGCTGGCTGCCCCAACGGTCCATCGATGAACGCATGTACTCAGCTCTGCGAGGGCGTCGTCAGGCGGGCCTGCGACAACTGCAAAGATAGCGTGTGCAAGACTGCCTGCTTGCACGGTGCTCGCATGAACAAGTGCTTCGACTGCTGCAGAAGCCGCTGCGTGACTTGCTAGGTGGGCGTAGTGCGCGCCGGGCCAACAAGCTGGGGTGTGAAAGAGGGATTGAGAGGAGATGAGGTTGGGGCCATTCTCCATGACACTTGTGCTATAGGGTTAGCTCAAGTACCTACGTACAACGTCGTTGATGGCGCTAGGAATTGCCTCCGGCCATTTCTCTTGGGCTTTCTTGACAACCATTACCCCCATGTTAGAGCCCCGTTACCTGCTTGGGCGGCAATATCGTTGTTCCTATGCTTCTTCAGCTTCTCCGGATCACACGGCGCGGCTTACGATCACCCTTGTACCCCTCACATCGGCAGTTGACACAACCTGGATATCGGCACCCGGGCGTAAGTCATCTCAACCTCCAACCTCACCATATCTCCCAGTTCCTTCCCTACCAAACCACCGATCCCATCACCACACCACCACCTCCACCCACAACAAACCCGCGCCCTCCTAACCAACTAACTCCCCCTCACCATCCACAACGCCCCCGCTCCCCCCTCAACAACAACCAAACCCCGCAATAAAAACCAAAGAAAAAGAAAATGCCCCCCCACCTAGCCCTAATCGGCGCCGGCATAACCGGCACCACCCTCTCCATCGCCCTCACCCGCCGCCACATCCCCCACACCGTCTACGAGCAAGCGCCCCACCCCACCGAGCTCGGCGCCGGGCTAGGCTTCGGTCCCAACGCGGCGCGCGCCATGGCCATTGCCGACCCCGTGCTGGGGGCGGTGTTCTTGCGGGAGAGTACCGCTAGGGGGGTGAGGCGTGCTGGTGGTGATGGGGAGGGGGAGACGGAGCCGGTGTGGATTGAGTTTTTGGATGGGACGGCGGATGGGGGGGGGTGTGGATGTGAGGGAGCTGGAGGTGGCGTTTAGGGTGTTTGCGGGGTTTGGGGAGGGGCATGGCGCGGTGCATCGGGCGAAATGGTTGGGGGTGTTGCTGGGGATGGTGCCGGGGGGGGTGGTGCAGTTTGGGAAGCGGTTGGAGGGGGTTGAGAGGTTGGGGGGGAAGGTGGTGTTGAGGTTTGGGGACGGAACTACGGCTGAGGCGGATGCGGTGGTTGGGTGTGATGGGGTGAAGTCAAAGGTTAGGGAGATTATGGTTGGGGGAGGGGAGGTCGAAGGGGCAAGGTGTGGGTATAGTGGGAAGTACGCTTATCGGTGTATGATTCCGAGAGAGCTGGCTCTCGAGGAGCTCGGCATAGAGCGGGTCGAAGTTTCTAGTTTGGGGGTGAGTGACTCCTTTGGTGCTGAGACCAACACGCTTCGGGAGGAGTGTGGCGGCATACAGCTACAGAGACCCAATCTCCGTCTTGTGCTAACTTCCCAGATGGGCCACGGTAGACATGTTCTGACCTTCCCAGTGGGAAAACCGGGAGGAGAGCAGTTCCTTAACCTCGTCGCTTTCGTCACAGACGCGAACAAATCCTGGCCGAGTCAAGACACCAAAAGCTTCACCCTTCCAGCGACAATGGAAGATGCGCTGCGTGACTTTGAGCAAAGGGGCTTTAGCAAAACAATTCAAAAGCTTCTACATCTGACAAAAGACAAAATGGATAAGGTACGTCTACAAATCTGGCTTGATATAAACCAATGCTAAATCAGGACTATGGGCTACACCAAATACTGACGCGTTCCCAGTGGGGTCTCTTCGACATGGCCGACCATCCGCTGCCCAAGTTCTATTCCGACGGTATCCTGGTCATTGGAGATGCCGCTCATGCCAGCACGCCCCATCATGGGTCCGGCGCTGGGTTCTGTATGGAAGATGTCGCGGTCCTAGCCTCACTTCTCGAAGAGATCCACGGATGTGATGTTGAACCCTACGACGGACTGCACGAAGTGTTCGCTGCGTTCGATGAGAGCCGCGGAGAACGAGATCAGTGGCTGGTACATAGCAGTCGAAGAGCTGCCGAGTTGTACCAGTGGCGCCTGCCAGACACAGGCAAAGAGCATTTCGAGGCGATGCGGAGGGATGTTGAGACACGACAGGCCGTTTGTTGGGGCATTGACCTTGAGAAGGTGATACAGGAAGCTCGGGTAGATTTGAGACGAAGAAGGCGTGCTGCGAAGTGACAAGCTAAGATCTGGCGTGGCAGTCGAGAATAACAAGGCTGTAATGTAATACCTTAGTAATGGTGTTCGCGGTTCATCACGTTGATGAGCGGCTTTCCCTCGCTAAGGCTCTCGAGGTTCTTCTCGAGGATGCCTTGGGTACGAGTGAGGAGATGCGGTGTCTGCCAGCTGACATGTGGGGTGACAAAGACGTTTGGCGCGGTGAAGAGTGGATGTCCGTCCGGCAGTGGCTCGGGATCGGCAACGTCCAGGGCAGCGCCCCTGATCTTGCCTTCCCGCAGTGCGTCCAGTAGGGCGTCGGTGTCGATGTGCTTCCCGCGGGCGATGTTGCAGACGAAGGTCTTCTTCTTGGACAAGACCTCGAACTGTTCACGTCCGAGGATGTGGGTGGTGGCTTCAGTCAGGGGTAAACCCAGCACGAGGAGGTCGAGGTCCTGAGCCAGGAACTCATTGACGGCCTCCTTTGCCGAACCGTGGAACCACTTTGTCGGCACAAGGCCATCTGGGTCCCCGGTCCCGGCAACGCAGTAGCTGTCATCCTTGCGGGATTCAGGGGTTGATCGCTCGCTCCGAGTGTAAGCATACACTTCCATGCCGAGGGCTTGGCCAATCCTCGCGCATTGCCGTCCAATCGCCCCATAGCCGAGGATGCCCATACGGAGACCGGGCGAGTCAACGGCCAACTCGGCTAGGCGGGACCACTTCTGTTGTTTCTGCTGCTCTGCGTACTTCAGGAAATGGTGGTTCGCCATCAACCAGGTGCCCATCACCCACTCTGCGATCTGGGGGCTGTGGAGTGGTCAGCGGCAACTCGCATCCCTCGGATATTACCCACGTACGAATGCGCTCCATTTGCAGTACAAAAGGTAATGTCTGGATTCTTGTACAGATCGTGTGTGATCCATCTGTCGGCACCCGCAGAGAGTAGCTGGATGTAGCGGGCCTTTGGCAACAGCTCGGCTGGGTGGGGCCAGAGGGTGAAGAGTAGAGTCACATCCTCGTAGGTCTCGGCGGGCAGGGGAACTGGAGGGAATATGTTGGGTTGGTTGAACCAGCGCACTTTGAGCCCAGGGTGCCGTGCCTCGAGCTTGGCTATCAATGGTTCGTTTGGCGGTGTTGGGATGGCGACTAGCAACACATCGTTGCTGAGACCCTTGTGGGTTTGGGTAGGAGCGGAGCTCATAGTGATGTTGTAGAGACTGTTCTTGTTTGTAACGGCCGGATCTGGGAGTGTGGGTGAGGGGTTAAAGAATGGTGCCAGATGGTGAAAGGAGAAAGAGGTGGACGATGGAGTCGTTTATTAATATAGATAATAGGCAGCCTCCCCGATAACCGCGAGGATCCGCAAGGATCACACCCCGGCGAGCCCGGGTACTCTTGGTTATCTCCGGGAGGGCGCGGCGTTGCGGAGCACGTCCAGCGGAGCACACGATCCCTCCGTTCGGTCCGGAACGGAGCCATGTGGGATCGGGTGATCGGGGTTATGTGGCATTATCGACAAGAAGCTACCGTCGCCGCATCAGGAGACTTGTGACTTTATGGACAGTTTGGCGCAAAATGATAGTATCGCCTCCACCATGTTCACGATATCCCACAAAATAAATACGACGCCGTGCCTGGTCGGTAAACTGACGTCAGCATCGATGTTACGGTATTCACATGCCACCCTGCACCCGGGGCTGAACTCCGGCTTGCTTTATCATCCGAACTATTATTTGTTTACAGAACGAACCTGTCGTCAGCTCCCAAAACCGGAACACCAGTTGTTATCATCATCTTCGCCCTTCCATTTCCCCGAGGGCCCCTTCCCACCTTTCCACCCCCTCCGGAACCTCAACCACGGCGCTCCTCGTATAAATATGGGCCGCGCCGGTCCAATCCAGTCCCGTTACCAAACCGCCCTTCACGCTCACCGTCTCCCGCTCGGTTCCATCTGGATCCCGGATGCGATGCAGCACCCGTACGCCGCACTCTTTACAAAAGTAGCAGTCCACCGTGCGTCCGGAGTCGGCGGGGCGGGTCCAGAGCCGAAGTTTCGAGGCGAGGTCAGCCGAAAGAGGGAATAGGCCCGTCGCCGGGAAGATGGCGCTCGTGCCGTAGGCCGATGAAGATTGCTTGCGGCATTCGATGCAGTGGCAATGGTAGACTTTGAGCGGAGAGGGGGTTGGGGTTGTGAAACGGACCGTTTCACATTCGCAAGTTACTTCCATTGTGGGTAACAAATGTGCTTATTTGTGGGTGGCGAGATGTTGTGGTGATGCTTGTGGAGAGAGACTGCTGTGATTTCAAACGCAGTGAGTGCCAAGCTGAACATTGCCGACGCGGGCGAGGCGGGGTTTTGTTACAGAAGCTGCGTGAGGTTAAGGGCGCGGAGAATGAACCCTTGAACCCCTGAACCCCTGAAGAGCGGAGTTCGGGCTGGAGCATAAAAGGGGTGACCCCTGACCCACACCGAAAACTTTGCGCAAAGAAAAGCCCACTCCAGCTTCCCCGATTCCAACAAATCGGGACCACACACGATTTCAATCGGGTATGGTGTAGCGGTAACATCGTTGACTCTCACTTCTCAGAAGTGACTGTTCTCTCAACAGCCCCGGGTTCGACTCCCGGTATCCGAGTCTCTATCTTTTTCCTTGTGGCACCATCCCTTGCCTTTTTACTTCACCAACCCAACTAACCACGGGTCACGAGAAATAATGTGAACGGGAAGAAGGTATGACATAAATATGCGCAGTAAGGCAGATTAGATTGGGCATAAGCTCTCCGTTCTGGAACTAGCATTTCCCGTACAGAACCGTGACAACTTCCCCGGGTTTTGCGCAACAAGTCGTAGATCGTCAACCCACAAACCCGGTCGCCGCGGAGCACCAGAATCGCCACAGCTGTTGATAATGACCCCGGTTTCTGGTACTTCGGTGGAATGGGTTCTTGAGCCTACGTAGGTACTTAGGGATGGGGGACGACTGGTGTGGCTGTTGGATTAAATCCTTTTCTTCCGTGAAGTGCCACTGCAGCAATATGGATGTCGTTTGACGGTGATGGTGGTTGGTGCGGTTGAGAAACGCCGCCGGGGCGGACGAAAGGACTTGGCTGGCGGGTATTCTGTGAAAATACCTACACAGTAGTACACATGTCTCAATGCTGGCTGCATATCTCCGGCTAAAGTCGAATGTTAACATAACGGATTTGTTCACCAACCCCCGGTCCTTAGCGGTTTGGACTAGCACGACTTTGCAGCCTTGTTACATGGGTGATCAGCGACCTTAAACAAACGACGAGTGCCGCGAGACAAGTTCATCATATGCCATAAGGGCCGGGGACTTGTCAGCCAAATGGCACGGGGCTCGAGTTCGGTGTTGGCTGAGGCAGCCCTTGAAGCCGCAGATAACAGCATCGGAGACAGTAGTTGTGGGGGAGAGTAGAGGCACTGGTCTTTGGGAATGGATAATGACACAAGCTACCTCACTACGAATAACTCCTACGCACTAACCTCCTCTTGATGCCGGCTGAGTGTTCCAGTCACTCGCTGCTGACGCACTCCACCCGGTCGGCCCTCTGACCGATCCGGCCTCGGACTCGACCGCAATCTCCCGACCCACGACAATGTCTTTGCCAGGGTTTTGCGCGCCGTTTTCGCATAGGATCTGCTCATCACTCCCCCAGGCCACGGTCCCATTCGGATCTTTCTTGGACCTCCGGAGTGGGTAGCCGCCTCCACCTCCACCTCCGATGGTCCTGCCTTCGAAGGGCGTGGCGTTGCTGGTGTTGTGTGTGGAGAACAAGGCACTGAGCCCGATCTTGTTGCAAAAGGTTCGAATCGGTGAGTGCAGGATGGGGAGATTGGAAACGACAATGGAGACGAATTCCTCCCGGATGGCCCATTCGCTGCCAGAAACGGCGCCCTCGGGACCGGACTGAAATAGGAGCGCGTGTAAGCCCCAATTCCTCTTCGACGGACAGGGCAGGTGAGGGGCATCTTACATTAAGAATGACGACTCCACGGATGATGGCTGCCACAATGACGAAGATGACGCCGGAAAACAGGAGTGTCAGTGAAATCTTCTTCTTGAGGCTGATATTTACGGCCCAGAGAAGCTGTTCGGAGTCTGCGTGAGCAAAGCCGGGCGCGGCAAAGTGATGGGGTAATACGACGTACCGGTAAAGGGATAGATAGCAAGTACACGTCGGTGAGAATATCAGGGATCATGACGGAGAGAACATAAAGTTTGGAGTTGGTAGGTTGGCAGACTACGATGGAGGTCAGCACTCAATCTTGAGACTCAATGTCGAACGAGTCAAACTTACTCCCAGGATCCGGGTTGATCTGCCAGTATTTTGACATGGGCCGACAACCGAAAAGGAGAAGGCAAGTCGTGATTACCCAAGTACCACCGATGAAGGCGTACGCGATATAAACGCGAATTTGCAACCGGGCCAGGTTCGCACTGCCTTACGAATTAGTCCATGTACACCCTGATGGAACGAAATTCCCAGCAAGATCACGCACGTTAGCCTTGAATAGAAGATGGCGACACAGGCCTTGATTAACCACAGGCTAGCGGCGTAGAGGGTCCAGCCGAAAACCTGGATTTTGGATCCCAGGACACGGTGCGCGTATTCCTGCGAGTCCGGGGAGAGAGCGGCACGCTCCTCGTCTGTCATGTAACTGTTGCTCAAGCCATTGGCCCCAGTTACGACATAAATCGCCGCTATCAAGTCGACTATGCAGAGTATCTGGCCTGAATTAGCCGAGGCAAAGGCGCGGCGCTGACTCACGGTGCCCAAAGTGGCAGGGTTTCACTTACAGCAGCGATGGGCATGAGGTAATCGTCAAGATGTAGCCCCCGCAGTCCGACACTTCTCAAGCGAACGACTGTCCGGAGAACAATGATGACTACGACGAACGAGAGGAGGGTGAAAGCTTCGACATTCCCAGACATTGTGACACCCAGAACCGTACCGGTGGTGGTTTCGCTCGCTAATACGGTGGGGAACGGTAAGACAATGGATGGCAACCTGCAACGGCCAACACAAGATGGAGTCCTGCAGAACTGTGTCCCACTGCTCTCGGCCGTTGGGCCAGAGATTCTAATCAAGTATGCATCTGAGGCAAGCTAAGGCAAGCTAAGACGAGGGAAGCTGTGCTATGACCCGCAGATCCTTATGAACATTTTTTTTGTGCGGGTGCACTCGCAAGCTAGAACCAGACAAGATCTGCCGCGACTCCGCAAAGATGCATGTTGAAAAGAGTGGGTGGTTCGTCATCGTGGTGAGTTCGGGCAGCCGGGGCAGGGGGGTAGCGAGCCCCTTGATCTTTCAAAGGGTGGACTCGGTGGACTAGCGGTTCATAAAGCAAAACCTGGGGCAACCAAGAACTCCATACCAACCTTAAGTGGCCAGCTATGGCCCACCACATGGCTGAACTAGCCCAAAAGAGCAGGAGAATCCGTTGATATTTGGCGGTGAATGCCGATTCATCAGGCAGGGACCATCGGTTTCCTCCGGGCCCAAGATTGGTACCTAACCCGCCGATGTCTCACAGTCCCCATTTTCCTAGAGCCAAGATGGCTTTAAAGCTGTTCGTCCACGTTCCGCCCTTGTCCTTGTCTCTCAACAAGCGTCGCAACTAGCTTCGTCGCTCCCAGGAACTCCCTTCGACCGAACAGTCTATTCCGGCTTAGAACAACTTCGATCGCTGCACTTCACAACTTGACCAGTGCTTATTTTTTGACCGGGATGGCATCTCAATATGACTTTGTGGTCGTCGGGAGTACGTAACCCCTCTTCTCGTTTCGAGAGCTTTGGCTTTCCCAAGGGGCCATCCGTGCTGATCATCCCGTGACAACCAGGCGGACCGGCGGGCTGTGCACTTGCATATGGTCTGGCCCACTGCCCGAAAAAGCCAAACGTTCTCTTGCTCGAAGCCGGCGGAAAGAATGCAGACCCAAACCTTCGGGTTGACGGGCAGCGCTGGTTGACTTTCATGAACAAGGACATGAACTGGGGTTACAAGACAACGCCCCAACCACAGTGCGCCGATCGTGAGCTCGATTATTCCAGGGGACTCGGTCTCGGTGGATCCAGCGCCATCAACTTTGGTGTCTTCACCGTCGGCGCCCGTGACGATTATGAGGAGTGGGCACGCATCGTTGACGACGATGCGTTTCGCTGGGAGCCCGTCCAGGCACGCCTCAAGCGCTTGGAGAACTTCCACACCACCCTTCCCGCGGGCGTGAGCAGCAAATACGCGGCGCCGAACGCCTCGGACCATGGATCGTCCGGCCCTCTCCATGTTGGGTTCCCGGCCGAGTGTGAGGCTGACGTCGCTCCCATGATCGAGACATTCAAGCAGGCAGGATACCCGTTGAATCCCGATCACAATTCTGGCAACCCGATCGGCATGTCTCTGCTGATCAGCTCAGCACACCAGGGGCGACGCTCCACGTCTCAGGACTTATTGACGCCGCGCCCTGAGAACCTCACCATCTTGACAGAGTCCCCGGTGCAGCGTGTCTTGCTAAAAGGCAAGAAGGCGGTGGGTGTCGAGTCGAATGGGCAGCAGTACTTGGCTTCCAAGGAGGTCATCTTGACGGCGGGCTCGCTCGACACCCCGCGGATCCTTATGCACTCTGGGATTGGACCAAAGGAGCAGCTCGAAAAGTACAACATCCCTGTCGTCCACTCCTGCCCGCCTATCGGCCAAGGTCTCCGGGACCACGGGTTCTGCCCGCTTGTCTACACCCGCACAGAAGGTAGCACGGCTCGCGCCGAATTCTACGGTGACCAGGCCGCCATGGATGCCGCTCTGGAAGAGTGGAAGCAGACCGGCACAGGACCGTGGGCCCAGTTTGCCACCGAGATGGGTATCGGGTTCTTCAAGTCGGACGAGCTCGTTGCTTCGGATGAGTTCAAGGCGCTGCCCGCCGAGGAGCAACGGTATCTGAACTCGGAAACGGTGCCGCACTTTGAGATGCTCACCCACTTCCCCATTCACTGGTTCCTACCCGGCTTCCGGGACGAGGACCTCAACTACTCCTGTCTTCTCGTCTTCCCGTACAACGGCCAGAGCCGCGGAACAGCGACGCTGCAGTCGTCGGACCCGAGCGTCCCCCTCCACTTCGACCCCAATTTCTTTGAGCATCCCTTCGACCGCCGTGCCGCCATCGCGTCGCTCCGCGAAGCTGTGCGTTTCACCAAGACCGAGGGCTACGCCAAGGACACGGTCGCCACCATCACGGCGCCCCAGTCGGACTCGGATGAGGACTTGCTCGCGTACTGGGCGCAGACTTTCGGGTCCAGCTGGCATATGACGGGCACTGTCAAGATGGGTAAGCCGGACGACGCCACCGCTGCCGTAGACAAGGATTTCCGTCTCATGGGCATCGATGGTCTGCGCGTTGCGGATATGAGTGTCGTTCCGGTGTTGGCGAGCTGCCATGTGCAAGCCGTTGCCTGTAAGTGGAAGTCCCTTTGTAGCCCTGTTCACCTGGTGTATGGGTAGAAACTGACTGGAACTTTGCGCAGATATCGCCGGCGCCACATGTGCTGAGAAGCTGGTGAAGGAGCATGGTCTCGCATAGGTTTCCTCGGCTCGTACCAGAACGTGTAGGGAAGTAGTCTTTGCACGATAGCAGACGCCTAGCTGTACTCGACCGGTTTTACAGCCATATTAAACGCAAGTTGATGTGGTAAAGTCTTGTTAGCGCCGCCAGGCTTCCGTCAAGAGTACGAGGCTTCGTGTGACAGGACTTGTGTGTAGACGTAAATTGGAGCTTCGGTGCTAACTTGTTTCGCGGCGGTCTCTCCTTGTTATATTTTGCTCCGTTCGATACCAGGGCCCTTTTTCCGTAGTGTTCCACCACGTTGCTGGCGGCTGAAGCTACGTCCACCTCGTTTCAGCGCTGTCTTCCGAACCTGCCAGCATAACTGGCGACGTTGTCTGCCATTGACGACGAAACAAGCTCACTAGACTACCTACTCGTGTCGTGTTTAGTGGAACCGTTCATGGTCTGGTTGTTCCCTGGCATCATCAGGGGTATCCTCGTCTTCAGGGGTGGTCTTGGTTGAGGAGGCCCACAACGGGCTGGGCTTTCTACGAATACACGGTACAGGTATATACATACATACGGCTGTAAAGTGTAGGCTTGCTCGTATATGGAACCAAACCTGGCGCCGCTACAGACAGGGAAGTGGCAGTGCCAGCCCCAGTCAGCCTTCCACAATCCGAGGTTCGTTCTCCCGAGCGAGAGTGTCACGATGTCCAAGAATCGCCGCCGTCGACATCTCCGATGCGACCCGCCGGGTCACCAGATCCATGCCGGCTCAAGTACTCAAGAATCGCCAATAGCCGCCCACCGCTGAATATCGCCGAGTAACACTGGCATGCAATAGTGCCAAGAGCTGTTCCCCTTCAACGTCAGCGGCGCCCAGGGGTTCGATATATATACAGCAATACGACCTTCCCCGGAATAAGTAATGCCGGTAGTGAACGGTGATTACCCCGCAAAGTCGGAAAGTCATTAACCAGCTTAACCGTTTAAACTAAGAGCTGGACGACGTTTGCGCGCCAGTGGGCATCTGGCCCTACACAACTTGCCTAATAATAGCAAGACCGGTCCTAAGGAAAGGACTCTACAGACTCACCTTCTTCAGGCTAAATGCCATGAGCGGGTGACAACGGCGTTCATGGCTCCCTACTGTCACCGTTGTGTTGGTGTTTGCCCCATGGTGAATCACAGGAATGCAACGTGATGGTGCAAAACTTCCCCGGAAAAATATCATCTATTGTTGGCGGTCGAGCCCGTGGAAGTCGATGGATCGTCAGGGCCAGGTGGATCTCCCGGCGGGAGCTTAACTAAAAGGCCCATGTGAGTATATAAGAAGGCTAGATCGCACCACCCGAACCCGGTCCGTGGCTCCCCACCTCAACGACTAGCTTATCCCCACCTTTAAGACACCATGGTCAAGTTTTCCCTCCTCGCCGCTAGCCTTGTGGCACCTAGCGTGCTTGCTGGTCCTCTGCCGGGGCCCAAAACCCAAACCGAGCATAACCTCGACCCCCGCCAGGGCGGTTACTACTTCCAAAACTGGTCCGAGGGAGGCAGCAACATCCGCTGCAACAACGGCAACGGTGGTTCCTACACAGCCAACTGGAGCAGCAAGGGCGGGTTCGTGTGCGGCAAGGGCTGGAGCTACGGAGGCAACCGGTGAGACCCTGCCCTGCCCTTCCTATTCCCCTCAACCCATGAATTCCACTACAAAGTAGACTCGCGCTAAGCATCCACAACCAAACCACAGAGCCATTCGATACAGCGGCTCCTACAACGCCACGGGCCCCGGCTACCTGGCCGTGTACGGGTGGACGCGCAACCCGCTGATCGAGTACTACGTGATCGAGGCGCACGCGGAGCTGGCGCCCAACGAGCCGTGGACGTCCAAGGGCAACTTCAGCACGGCCGAGGGCGACTACGAGATCTTCAGCAGCACGCGGGTCAACAAGCCGTCGATCGAGGGCACGCGCACCTTCCAGCAGTACTGGTCCGTCCGCAAGGAGCAGCGCGTCGGCGGCACCGTCACCACCCAGGACCACTTCAACGAGTGGGCCAAGGTCGGCATGCGCCTCGGCAACCACGACTACGTCATCATGGCGACGGAGGGCTATACTGCCACTGGCGGGCCGGGTAGCAGTGGCTCGGCTTCCATCACCTTGCAGTGAGTAACTCGTGGTAGCAGGTTGTTGAGTTTGCAAGCTGGGGAGGCGTGGCCCCTTTGCGATGGTAGTACCCTTCGGCGTATCCCTCATGTCCATTCATAACCATAAACAATATGTACATAGTAAATGCAGGGACCCTGAGGATCAACATCAGTCAGAACATTGAGCTGTGCCCCTCACAATATCCTGACACATCACACTGTCCCGTTTTTGGGCGTGGTTGTTTGGGTAAGGCGCTCCACAGAACAGACTACCACCTGGGCTATTCGAGGGATATCCCTTGATACGTTATTGCGTTGGCCCAGATTTCCTCAGCGGGGGTTGACGGTGGGGGCTGGTCGTTGTATTGGCTCGGCCAGATTCTGTTATGCTCCAAGGACAGCTCGATGCATCTGTCAAGCCTCGCTTTCGATCCTTTGCCGCGAAGGTCTTGAGAGGCACCCGGGATCGCAATATCGAATTTACCAACCCTCCGAAACGAACCGTCGGTTACATTGTCGACCTTGTGGAGGATCAGCCCAGTGAGAAGAATACTCAAAGAGTGTGGCTCTGGTGCTTGATCAACGAGAACCGGTAGTAGGAAGGTGGCCGCTACGGTGTGTAGCGAGGGCGGCGTCACATCCCAGCAAAGCCTAATCGTTATTGGGCTGTCGGAAGGGCTGGAGATTTGTTCATTGCGCCTTGGATCCGACAGTCTCCAACAGAGGGCGCTGATTTCAAGGACGCTTTTAGGTTCTGTTGCAGGCCCAAAAAACGGGTCCCCGGATCTCGGTACAATGGTATGATGAGTGACCTGGGCTATCGCCCGCTTGGTGTTGTAGGTCCATGGAAGAACATACGCGCCGACAGGCCCGTTGAGCGACGCCCATGACCATGACGGTGCCATCAACTGGTCACTCTCCGAGATCCGTGTTGCTGTGTCAGGGGATGCCGAAGTCCACACGAGTTGATATTCGAGAAAGACCGTCCATAGCCCTGCGAGATACTCGACCTTGGAGCTTGTCCCAGAGCTTAGTATCCGTTGCATCTCGCGGGCTACGGCCGAGATAGCAAAGAACCTGTCGCTGTGGAAGGTGAGTTCCGCCTGCGTGTAGCGGGTGACGATATCCGTCCATAGCCATATAATGTGGCGAACTTCGTTTTCAGAGAGTGTCCTGGAATTTCGGGCGCTGTAGCCGACTAAGGAAGGAGTGTTGAAGATATCCCCTACTTCACATCCCATCTCTGTTCTGCATTCCCAAAATATCGCCTTCTTGCCAAAATGGAGAATCCGTGGCGCCATATGGCGCTCCTGGAGAACCCAAGCGCGGCGATGAACCGGTGAATTGTCGATTTCGTGACGGATAGCGTAGCGATCTGGAAAGGGATCGCGTGCCCAGAGACGGCGATCTTGGCCGTCCCATCTGCTTTCCACGATGACCGGAGAGATATGCGCCGGGTCTCGTTGGCGAAAGCAGCCGCCATAGCTATCAGTGGCCTCGAGGGCCGCAATGTTACAATATCCATGTCGGTACACCTCGGCCATTTGAGCACATTCGTGTTCCCAGTCATCAGAATCACCCTGGACGATGCATAATGAATCGATCCAGATATACTCCAAACCTAGGCCCTTGGTAACCTCCATGGCTTCCGCGTATGTCTTCGGGATCGTGCTTGGTTGTATTCCTTCGTAGAAGTCGCTTCGACTTTCCCTCGTCAGCCTGAGTGTGTCAACGTTCCCCCAGCAGTGGCTGAGGGTCGTATACTTGATCGTCGGCGCGCTATCCGGACCCAGCGACAACATTGACGTCTCGACAAGGCGCGGGATTTGACTTGGCCCGCCCACATGGACGAGTCTGGTCGGTAGCCATGGCGTGGGCGCGTTGTTGCATTTGTCATGGCCCGACGTACATTCCTCAACCATCTCTCTTACCCACTCCATGGAACGGCTCGATGCCGTGGACTCACACTCTCCTTCCGAGGTGAGAAGGAAATCCCGCTCGGGGCGTTGACCGTACTGCTCCTCTGCTGCAGATTAGCACTCCGTCAAGGACAAGACACCCGCAACAGGAAGTCAAACGTACCGTGGAATGTGAGAGTTCGTTTGTCCATTACGTCCAACTTTGTCAGCGCCATTGTTATTTTGACCTCGCGCTGGCATTCCAGGTCGACCGCCACCGAGAGCTGCGGATCTGACTGGGGCATCTCGTCCGGTTTTAGCCAGAGTTCCTTCTCCTTCGGTTTTATTACTGAGGCCCAGAGAGCCCTGCAGAGCAGGCACCGAGTCCGTCCGCATTCGACTAGGTCTTCTACGCTGTGGTGGTGCGGACGCGCATGCTTGGTCATTCGCTCGCCATGATCCCAATCTTCTTCAGCAAGCGTTCCTTCGAACAGTGGCTTGCAAAGATCGCACAGCACCTCATTCATGTTTTCGGTTCGCGATACGCGGAAAAGCGAGATGGGAGGCTGTTGATTGTGTCGCGGAGCCGGATCGACTTCAATGTTTGGAGTTGTCGACTTCAAGGAGTCAACATCAATGGAGGAAATGCGCAGCGGCATTTCTCGTTTGGGCTGCGCCTCCACTCAATGCTACACAGCTCACTGTGCCCGTGACCGTCTTGGCGTTTTTCGAGGTAAAAGCACGTGGAGGGAGAGGTATCTCCGAAAGGTTTGAACACAATGGAGGAAAAGAGAAGTCTTAGTCTGTCTACCACGTACCTGCCCATAATTCAACGCGTATAGGCTGGTATATCTATATGGCTTTTTCTACACCTGCTTTCCCTGAAGAATTAGCATCTGTTGCGCACCATGCCCGCGTGTAAACGCAACCAGGCGTTTCCCGGATACGGCGGCTTCGTTGGAGCTCCAGAGCCAAGATGATAAGTCTGGGTTGCTTTGCCGGGTTGGGGGTGGACACAGGTATGTTGGTGGATAAAGCACCTGATCGAGGGAATGTGAGTTACTCGTACCCTCGCTAACAACTTAAAGCAACAACAAATGTGTGTCAAAAACAGTAATTCCAGAGCTCTCTCTCCGTTGCCAACTCGCCTTGGAAGTTCCCAAAGTGACCAAACACCTCTTCAACGATGCCGAGCCATCGCGAGTTGTGTCTAGTCACGAAAAACGCTTTGGTGTAATCCCAGTATTCAGGAAACCACCCGGCGTTCTCCCAGTCGACAACTCCGCTAAGTTTCCCATCATCGTCAACAAGGACATTCCTCATATTAACGTCGCCGTGCGTAAAGACCATCCTGTGTCCGCCGTGGTGGACTACCTCAGGTACGGCACCACATCGTAGCGTCTCGTTGAAATCATGCTCGTTAAGGAACGGTCCTACAAACCCCGCTTCGACATTATCGTCTTGTGCGGCATTGATTCGATAATCGAAACATGGTCCGCCAGCAGCATTGGCAATCGCATACTTCCAGGCTTGGGGCCTCGGGATCTCGCGCAGTGCCGCCAAGTGCCGCCGTAAGTCATCAACTAGAATAGTAGTATCGTGGTCGCTCATAGAATCGAGACATAACCCAAGCTTGTGACCAGGGATGCGAGTCGTCAAGAGGTATATATCACTTGAGTCTGAGACCAAGTCTAGCGCTCGGGGGACTGGCAAGTCACTGTAGCGTCTGACCAATTCCAGTGCTGCGTACTCGTTGACCAGGCTCTCGCCCCGCGTCGCCAGGTTGACCATCTTGAGATACAGTCCAAAGGGGAGTTGCTGTACATTGGGACTGTCCGTAACGCCAAATATCCGTGCCCCAACAGAGGCTAGGCCACGATATGTTCGAATACGTATACTCCCGGGAACGTAGAGCCAGATTGTCCTCATGATGGTGGCGGAGGTTTGGGAAAGGCAAGTCAAGATTGAGGAAAATGGCGAAGGGGGTGAGGTACGACATTGCCTCAATCGCTTAGCGGCAATGTGTCGAGAAACATACATCCATCGAGCCGGGGTCGCGAAGTGGGATAGGATCTCCAAGTTAGAACGGCTGGGGATCTTGATGTTAGAAGATGGATGGTTGGCGAAGGTCGCTGGTCTGAAATCGTCTACCTCATCGAGAATGGAAGGGAAATGAGGCCCGCCAGTCCAGTTTTTCAGAACCTCATAATACTAGGCGACGATTAGTATGATCGAGATCAAGAAATGTACAAGCATAAGGTGGTTTCGTACTTCGGAACCTTTCCCGAAGGACAGCTGGAAATACCCTTGGGCAAATGCGGTTGCAGCGGATTTACGGACGAGCCAGTGGTTCTCGACACGATCGAACAACTTTCCCTCGGCACTCTCGGAGAGTAACCAGTCCTTCAATTTGGGTGTTAGGAAAGCATCGAGAATCTCACGGCAGGACTAAAATGCATACAGTGGTTAGACTTTGATATTATTAATACAGGAAATGCATTAGAAACGTGCCCTTGTTGCAACGTTCGCCGGTTCAATTCTCGGGAGAATAGGCACAATGACCAGGGGATCCCAGAACGAACCCGGCGTGCCAGTGATGCAGCACTTTCCGCCGTCTCTTTTCGTGACACTGTCAATGACATGTTTGTCGGGTGCTTCGGAGACAGTATTGCGCATGACTTGTAGCCAAATCAGCCCGGATACACCACGAATCATGCAACAACAACTGTTCCGGATGGGGGTAGACCTACAAATGGCAATGATCCGTTTCCATTCCTCCACAAATGCTCTCAAATCGGGCATGTGGGTGTTGGTGTTGAGGTTGAGAAGATATGCTGCGGCCCGATCATGGTCGGCAAACTGCTCAACAAAGCTTTCGAGCAGCGGTCCATCTGGGTGCTCCAGGCCCGATTCGCGAATAGCTGCAAGCGCGGCTTCGTAGTCACTTTGACTTTTAGTCATTCTCGAGGCGGCAGTATTCAGATCGCGGGTACCAAAACTGGAGATGAGGGAAACCTTAGTGGTGTGTTCTTCGATGCTGCACACCGAACGATGTAAGATTGAAACTCATTGTGAGGCGGCACCTGAAGAACGAGTCGCGCATCGAATCAGGAAGATTATGTCAGCAAGCTTTTCTCTTGGCTCAAATGTAAAAACCATGCGAGACGAAGCCTCGGGCGGCCCTTGTGTCACGCTCAGCTGCCCAAGGCCGAGACTGGTCAGTGGCGCTGTCGCTCATGTTACGCCGCAGACCAGTACTGTTACATATATGTCGCTGCATGGCACCAGAAACACTGTACCACCACATCACTAATAATAGTCAGACAGGTGTTCATCATTGGCTGCATATCTGACCGCATGTGTTGGAGATAGCAAGAGTTGGCCCCAGAGGGGGGAGGCCTGAGTACCGACTCGCTGCTTCTCACCACGCGGTCATCTGTGGAAATCGAGAACTGACCATGTGGCGACGTTGGTTTGCTGGCTCGTATACCTCCAATCCTCCAAAGATGGCCGAGAATGGAAACCCGCACCGCCGCATGCCGCCTTCAACTTCAAGTTGGTCGGGAAGAACCTTCCGACCGATTTTTCGCCGTTCGATGTCGAAGGGATGGGTGACCAAAGCCACAGGAGCAAGTCCCGGGCCTGGTCCCCTAACAAGCCCGTTCTTCTTATTTTCTTCCCTTTTATCTTTTTTTTCTTTTTTCTTTGATCGGTTAAAAAGTCCCGTTGCACTTTCCACAGCCATGCGCCTCCGACATGCCTGGGCCCCAAGCCAACGGCCCCGAGAACGCCATGTCACACCCTATCTAGAATCATGTATGTTTCAAGGTGAGTCAGAGCAATATCAAGAAACCCGCTGGAGTCTACCTCGCATGTGCCACCGCCATGGACACCTGGTGGGCCGGCTGAACTTCGCGTGATACAGATTATCACAAACATGTGGTCACCACTCCTCAAGACCCCAAAAAGAACGGGGTAGTCTCTGTCCCAGAAGTGGTGGTGTTGCCGCATTATGATGAGAGTTCTTAGACAAACCCAGGCATGAAACATGGCGACCCTCGACGGCGGCGGCGCGCTTCTGAGTCAAAGCAGTGTTATCCCAGATGTCCCGGACCAACACCGAGGGTCTACTTGGCCAGAGGGTTTGTCCTGGTCTCATACAGATTTGTCTTTATTAAAGGAGCTTTTCCACCCTGAGAAGCGCCCAGATGCAGTTCAGTTGCAGTTCCAGTCACAGCAACCAGCTTTTGATATTTTAAACATCACCTCGCCGCCATATACCTCACATTACTTGCCCTCATATCTCTATTATCCTATACGAAACCACAACCATGGTCCTTAACGGCACAACTCACCCAAACTCTGTTTACATTTCCCTTAACTCTCGGCCAAGGAAAGGTGAATATGTAAGTTTCCGGAATCTCAGAACTGGCAAGGTTTAAACCACCGCAACTAATCCAGTAACGACACAGCACTGGGGAGTTGTGATCACCGACGCAATGTCCCAACTCTTTATCATGCCTCTAACCAGAGCGGCGGATGGCGGTTAGAATCCAGGGTTGTGAGGGACCCTGGCAGGTCCATGTCACTCATCGTCTTGGTCAAAGTCGGTAACGTCATCAGAAACGGTATTGGGCCAGTGATCCAACAAGTGCCGACCGGCGGCAACATCTCCAGGCGCAACGGGGAGGCCTTCAGTTGCCGGACCTGGACCAAGGATGCGCTAGCTCATCTTTCGGCAATGGGGATTGTCGTCCTGAAAGCCGATGTTGGTAAGTGCGGACTCTTTGCTGAGAAGTCCTCGCGGAACGGCGATGTGTCTAGTAGTTAGGTCTTCAGTTTGCTAACTTATGGCCGCAGACACATTGCAGGAAATGGCCAAGAGGTATGGCGCCAGGTACGCTGCGCAGGCTGAGACCGGCAGGGGAGCTTGCGTGGTCAACTGAGTCCCCGACCATCGGATCCCAAGATCAGGGCTCCTTCACGAAATCAACTATATCGAGCAGGTCGACTACGTTCACTCGGAGGTAGATGCTGCTAGCAGAATATGTGGAGGCCCCGTGGGCAGATTCTCGGGAGATTGGAAGTTGAATGAAGTCGAGGCGAAATGTTTGATACGTTTGATACCGTATCATAATTCAGGGGGTTAGAATGTAGTTACTCGAGCTGGACTAGAGTAGAGAAGCCAAACAGGGATAAATTGGATATCTGAGCTGGGTATAGGCACTTGGATTAACCAACAGGTGCATTTGTCCCCATTTTGGGCTAGAAGAAACCTGCGTCTCACTTCAACAGTATGGTTATCGTGTGGGTATGCCCTGATGAGACGGAAGCGAACCCCGTGTACCTAACTCCTTGACCCCCCTATTTGCCTCTCCAGATTCAACTAGCTAGGTATGTATCATACTATATCACTACCAAACGACCTAATTGTGTAAGCCACGGAATACGTAGCTACTGTGGATGAACCCACGTAGCTCAAGTCCACTCGAGGAACCGAAGCCGTGCGATTGTACCACAGGATCCAATCTTTTCCGGGGATTTCCGCATGAAAAGCCCAAATGGATTAAGGGAAGGTTCCGTTCCATGATTTCACTGCATCACAGAGTATATTTTAAATGTACCTTGATTTAACTTCCAACCCGTTGGCATGGTGGCATGGCATTTTGACCACAGGCGTACAGGTTGACGGAACACCCTAACCCTCACCCGTCACCGCCAAGCTTGTGCCAACCTGCCGGCGTGCCTGCCCGCAAGTGACGCGCAAGCGGGGTGCCGTCATTGAGGCAACCTGACCGGCAAACACCAAACTTGGAGCATTCCAGGCCAAGTTCTCGCCGCGCTGCAACATCTACACATAAGAAACGTCTTGCGCCGCCGGTCACAACGCCGGCACGCACCATTCCTCCTCTACAAACAATGCCGGCCGAAGGCTTATCCGACTCTGCGGCGCTTCTTCGCCCAGTTCGTGGCTTCGCCAACTACACCCCGCGCGCGCTGAAGTCGGCTGCCTACCCCATCCGCGGCATCTGGTACTTTCTCCGGCATCCCGAGTTCTATCCGCTCTTCGTCAGCCGGCTACTCCCGTTATCCATAATCTCCTTCTTGGTCTACTTCATTCTCTTTGCTTTTGCCTTCTTGCCCCAGTTTCTGTTCCTCCTCATCTTTCATGGTCGCGCAGGGGCTGTGATCAACACGACCGTCCTGGTCTTGGGCGAGGGTTTAGTGGTGATCCAAGGCCTGTTCGAAGGCTTCTTTGTCGACGAATGCCGGGTGGACATCTTCGACGTAGGCCACACTTTCCTACTGTGCTGCCTGATTAAGGTCGGGCGAGTTAACTAACGCACTGCGCCTAGGCTACCTTGATCAACCATGGCCTCACCGACCTCATCGCGCCTCAGCGCGTCCTCTTCCTCGATGCCCCTAACGCCGTTCGAATGCTCGGAAAGCCGACCACCCGTGCCGAATACCAACCGTGGAGCCTGATACAGATCATCGAGCTGATCGTGTTCCTCCCCCTCAATCTCGTCCCCTACGTCGGCACAATCGCCTTCATCATGATCACCGGCTCCCGCCTCGGCAAATTGTCACACCATCGATGGTATAAGCTTCGGGGACTGGACAAGAAAGAGATGAAGAAAGAGCTGAAAAAGAGGCGCTGGGAATACCTCTGGTTTGGCACCGCTGCCATGGTTCTCGAGCTGATCCCGATTCTGAGCTTCTTTTTCCTGCTCACTAGCACAGCAGGCGCAGCCATGTGGGCAGCGAAAATGGAAGAGCAATCAAGGATACGGGTGGGACGGCCAATTGCTCGCGAGGGCAACACGCACAATGCCGATGCCGCGGAGGAGGGCCCGGTGTATCATGATGATCCAGTGTAAACTCGTGACAACAGGTCTGGATCTCCTACGCCTTTTCCCACAGACCTGCTGTGGAAACCCACGGTGCGTGGCCAAGATGTCACCGGTATTTTCGCTGTGGGAGGTCGCACCCCGTCAATAACTACCTACCTACCCGGTTAGTGCAGCATTGTGACACCAACCCTTGCTCTCCAAGACCCGCCTTGCCCAGGAACCACCAACTTGCCTTCCTGGAGATGGGAAGCAGGACCTCATCGATGGGTCCTGACCGTATCTATGGTGACATTGAAGCAGGACCGTGATATAGGTAGTTGGCAATGGCCGTTTAGTCCATGAATAGATGGGTGCGCGAGGTGAGGCTTGAGACCGGCCGGCTTGCAGGATAAGAACCTTACGTCCCACACGTCCATCTCCCCGGGCCCTCAGGTATCGTCCTTCCCCGAATCGGACCTTCTTAGTTGTCATGGCACAAACAACAGCCTGGGTAGCTCCTGCCGGCAGAATCTTTCCACCGGATAGCGCCGTGTTTGCTTTCCGCGGAGCTCAACACACAAAATGGGTCACCTGCGTTGCTCCTTCCTTGTCACCCACTTCACGTTCGAACCCACCCCACGCGGGCACGACTTTCTCGAGCCACAATTTGAGTTCTTTCCCGTTCCAACCTTTCCTCTCAACTCCACCCTGGATTGTCCTCAATGCTGTCCAGCCCATTCATTACACTTCAACCAATCGTTCTGTTCACCGTTCCTTGAATTCAGTCGTCCAATCTCTGTTATTCTAGGTCAAGACGGCCTACCAGCAGGCGCACAGTGACACCCAACCTACCCAGATTCTCGTGGTAACCGCACGGCACCAGGATGCGTCTCGGGGCAACTCTCACGACCTTTGTGGGCATCGGTTGGTTGGCCGCGGCCGCCGTAGTCCCCCGCATGTAAGCAATTTCTCATCCCTACACGGACTCGTTTTCCCATTTGTGCTGGTGGGTTGACATTGCGATTTTGTTTATAGCGACAGTCTTTCTACGTCGACCTGCTCAAGCTCAAATATCCAAGACACAACATCGGCTGTGGCCGAGACAAGCTGCTCGACCACGGCTCGTGAACAAGTCAGCACCAAGACAACCGACCCAGGCAGTGCGAGCCAGTTCACGGCCTCCGTAACAACACTTTCGCCCAATCCTGAGGCTGTCACCGTTACAATCACATTCAACAGTTCTTCCTCAGTTTCCTCCACGACCAGTGTTCTCCCTAGCTCTACCCCCAAGGGCTCCTCGTCTCTCGGCTGGGTCCCTGGTGGATCTGCTTCCGATTCGTCGGCTTGCAGTTCGGAAACATCACATACCACCACTGAAAGCACGGATGACTCCTCCGCGTCCTTTACATTCACGGTTACAGAGTTCACTGGTGATGGGGGCGCCGTGGTACCTTCAGCTACTCCAACTTTAGCCAGTGGAGATGTGACCGTTACCGTCTACGCTTCGACAACATTATGCAGTGGGACCCATTTGACAGTTTCCTCGTCTTCGAACGGAGTGTCTGTCGATACCGAACCGACCACGACTATCACAGTTCCTTTCAGTCCTTCCAACCAGGCAACCGGGTCAGCTTCCCAGGCTGTCAGCCTATACCAGCCGTACACGCTCACGTACACTCTCTCTCCGGACTCAATCTTTCCGACCCCCTTCACTGGAACAATCACGATCACGCCTTCGTCTCCACTGCCAACTGTCACCAGCGCGTTGTCTGCCACCCCCGATTCTGGACAGCTGAATACGGCGGCAGACCCCCCGGCCCCGCTCGACGTTGGTTCCACGGCGGGAGAACTAGATGTGCCGGTTTCATCGGTGACTTTGGCAGCAACCACTGTCACCATGACCTACACTGCCTTCATCTCAGGCAGTATGATCGTTACCACCGTCACAGAATACCCGTCTCTCATATCAGGGACGCCGGTTGTGACTGTGCTGACTCCGCTTCCTATCAGTAATACCCTTGGGTCGGTTCCCATCATCCCACTCACCATCACTCTAACCTCGGCACTCAGCACTACGTCTATTGCTCCTCAAACTGCAACTCCGATAGAGCTCAGAACGAGTGATCTCGACGATGGACGCCCAGATGATATCACGATTACTGTCACCGCCTCCGGATTCGCTTCACAGGATCCTGTCACTGTGACTGCCACTTATTCGGAATCACTCAGCCCTTCGATTGTTGGCGACGTCCCTTATGGCTCTAGCGTGGATGCTTACCCTGACACGCCGGCTTCCCCGGTAGCCACTTCGACGGCAGCCAGCTCGCCCACCACCTTGACGATCACAGTCTCTAAAGCCAGCAGTGATGATGTTTCATCGCCCATGCAAACAGCTCAGGGTTCGTCTACGGTCACCATTGTTACGGAATCGGCCCGCAAATCTGCGGCAACTCCGTCGTCACCAGTTCCCGTGGCGAATACGCCTTCTGAGACCTCGAGCGCATCCGTGATTTTCATCACCTACACCTTGCTTGGTTTATCGGGAGCCAGCCCGTCTTCTTACGTTGTCACCTACACTGCGCTGCCATCAGGAACCAGCAGTCCGGAACACAGGACTGCTCCAACCACGTTCAGTTCAACAGCAGTCACTATCAGCAGTGACACCGGACTGTCGACTAATTCGGGTCTGTACCAATACGACACCACGGGCGATGTACTGGCTACCTCCGCGTCCGATCAATTCACCGTGGCGCCTACCGTGGATGTGACGTCGTCATCTCCTACATCGGCCGAGTCCTCAAGCACCTTCGGAGGGTACATCTTCTCGGAGCCAGACAGCGGCTACGGGAATCCACCTTCCGGAATGCAAACGACCCCGTCATCTTCGTCAACGGGGCTAGTCTTCTCCACGGACACCAACTTACCACTTTCCCAGTCAGCGTCAGCCTCCTCAGCACCGCTTCCCTACGGTTTCACGTCCATCCCCAGCAGTGAGAGCTCCGGCCCTGACTCCACCGCAACGCAACCTGGGTCAACAACCACTCCACCCAGCACCCCAACCATGACACAGCCGGGAGTCGTGGCATCAACGACAACGGCGGTTCCTGTGCCGGTCGCCACAGACCCCGCGTCTGTAAAGAACTCAACGGCGACAGCCATATTGTCATCATCACACTCAATCGTGACGACGCCCCTGCTCTCGTCCTCTGTTACGAGCTGGTCCCCAGTAACTGCGAATTTCACAACCCCGACGAGGCCAGTGCCTCCCTTCATTGCGACCTTGACAAACACGCGCACGTTTGCGACGGTCAATGGCACGATCCCAGCTACGGGTTCAGGCGTGGCGTCTACATCGGTCGATGCCACAAGTCCCACGGCTCTTTCGAGTGTCTCACCTTCCGTGGCGAGCAGCAATGCAACTTTTTCGACTTCAACTCTCGTCACATCGACGGCCAACGCCACTGCCGCCACGTCGATACCTATCATTGCAACCTCCGTGACCGCTGCGATCAACACAACGACGTCCCGATTCCCAACTGTATCCCCCTCGTCCACCACACTGTTCCCCACCAACCCGTTCCCGGACACCACAATCCTCAGCAGCATTGCCATTACGGCGACCATACTTCCTTCTGTACCACATTTCCCTAACAGCAGCACCCCCGCGCAAACATCTGGTGCTCTACCAACAACTCTCAACAACACTCTTTCGGCATTCACATCATTTGCCAGCAGCGCAGCCGGCGTGGTCGCTTCCGGTAACCAGCGGACCTTCATCAGCGTGACTGGGGTTTCCAACCACACCACTGCTGCGTTTCACAACGGCACAGCTGCTTCAATGACGTCGACTACATCGGCTCCCTTTGGGAATCAGACAGCCCTGGCGCCGACCACGTTTCTCAACAACACAACACCTGCAATCACGCGCAGTCTCATATCCACGTTGATCTCAAAGATTCTCACCCCTTCCACAACCACAACTCGCGCAACCCTTATGTCGACTCCGACAGCTTCGGCTGTTGCAAACCCAGGGGTTCCGAACAAAGTGGTTACACATCACCCTGGAGGCTCGTTTGTCGAGGCAGCCAAGCGGCTGCTTCGCTGGGCGGTTCGCGGATAATATGCTGTCTAAGTTAGTGGAGTTATTTGGGTCGCAAAAGCCGGCGCCAGCATGTCACATACCATTTGCATTTTCTTTCAACTTGCTATTGACGGAGACTAAGGTAGTCTTTATTACCCAGAAGAGATATGGAGGGCAGGTTCATGTTAAATCCAAGTTTCCACGCATAAGCATATCAAATATGTCGAACGGAGAGAGCAAAGGGGGGCACTGTGTACCGTTTTAGGAGCAATATAACACAGACGAGTTGCACTACCTGCCACCACTCTCGCTAGGCTTGTGTGGTTTGTTAATTATGATGATGCCCCTTGAATTGGTTGAATGCAGAGGAGGTATCTCCCGCAGTTCGTCACCGCTACTTCACATATCACATCCCCAGGAACAAGAGATCAAGTTGCTTCTCCAACCTCGTTCAGTCAGCAGACCATATTTGAAACTCATATACACTACAATCAAGTCGCCTGTAACGACACACTCAGACCTCGATGCTGGTCCTCATTGCGGTAGCCGGCAGCGACGCGAGTTCTCCTGTCAGGTATCTCGTGATTTAGTCGTCAACCTGCACTTCATCTGGTGCCACAGTTTTTCCAATAGCTGCCATTGTCACGATACTGAAGTGGCGACCGGGGGTGCTTCCGAGCAACACAATACTCACTGTTCCATGAGATGACTTGGGCACCTGTGCCGAGGATCGGAATGTTGGGTTCGCGTCTTGCCGATGGGCCCACGATCCGCCTCAGAACGGTCTTCAGTTGTCCGCCAGGCCACTGATGATAGCTAGCACGGCGGCGACCACTAGGTCCTCGTCAGCTACCGGCGATCCCGAGTCAACTCACTGCACGGAAACGGATCACTCACATCCCCCAGCGGTCGCAATATACGACGCCACCCCCCACGCCGTCTGGATCGTCGCCAAATCCCCCCAATCCCTCGCGTTCAGCCACAACCCCACCACCAAACTCAACACCACCGGCGACAGCACCGCAATCGCAATCCTCGACGGCGACCACCCCAGCACCACCTCCAACGAGTAGGCCCGCTCATCCATCACATCCAACGACCCGCCATCCAAGCACTCAAACGTCCACCGCGTCCACTTCTCACCCACCACCGCCGGCGGCCACGGGTTCTTCTTATACGCCGCCTTGAACTGCCTGAGATCAGCGCGCGCGGCATCATCCATAGCCAGCTGCTGGTGCTCGCCCGAGGACGTGAGGCACCGGTACAGGCGGAAGGCCCGCACCGACTTGAGGCTGAAGAAGTAGCCCGCGCCACGGAGCTGCATGGTGGCGAACCGCACCTTGAGGAAGAGGTTCTTTGCATCGTTGGGTCGGATGACGACGACCTTTTCGCGGGGCTGGCGGTCGATGGGTGAAAAGATGCCGAGGACCAGGTAGGCGGCCGCATTGTGGGGGACGGGGGATGGGGAGACGGTCTCGCGGGTGTTGGTGGTGTTGTAGGAAGCAAAGAGTGTCTGTGTTCTGCCCGCGGAGCCACCAGCCGCGAACCCCCCGACCGAGATGGACTGGCTGGACGAGGTAAATGTGATCTTGGGGCAGCGCTCGCACCGCTTGCCGCGCACCGTTATCTCCCGTTTCACGTCAATAGCACTTCCGTTGACTATCGAATGTGGTGCCTGCACCGATGCGCTGAAGAGGCGCCTTGACTTTTCCTCGTCTTCGTGGAAGGTCGGGGCGGGCCGGGGGAAGGAAACCGGAGGAGCGGGGTTCCTAGTTGGGTGTTGCTGCTCATTGCTAGGAGCTGCGGGTTGAGTCGGGATATCATCGGGGGGGTTGGTGTTGTGAGCGTGAGGCAAATTGGCGGGATTGGTGTGGTCGTCTTCTGCCATGGTGGATGGGCTTGAGGGGGGTTTTGAAGGGTTGTTTTGCTCAATCGGACTCTTGGCTTGTGTTGCCGAAGGGCGGGAAGGCTGGACCGGATCCTAGCTGTTTCTGGAGGGTGGTGGTCTTACCCTGGATGGGGCACGGCGATATCTGTTGTTGAACCCAACTAATGGCAAATGTTGTCCAAACTCACTCATGAATCGCATGCAACAACAAGCGGGTGCGCAGCAACCAAAGAATATTTGAGGTCCAAGTATCCTTAACGACTACGGATCTACCACTTCCTCCCAATTCCCGCGTAACACACAATCTCGTTTTCCTCCTCATGTTTGCCAGAGCGGATGCGCCTTGATGCCGGGCCTTGGGTGAATGAAGTTCGCAACTCGGTCTGGCCCTAAAACCATTGTTTCTTTTGGTGCATGGTTGAGATTTGAACGACTACATTAACATTAACATCATATTAAAAGATAATGTTATTAACTTATTTGTTGGGGATAATGTTATTAACTTATTTGTTGGGGATTTTACAATGCGAGTAAAATAAACCATGCCTGAGATGTGCCGGGAACAACACGAAAAAAAAAAAGGGAATGGCAAAACCGTCATCCTGGAGTTACCAACAGCTCTTTCGAACTGAAGGCGAGTTGAGTCTAGTGCAATCAACTGCAACTCTTGCCAAACCCGCTATGCCGAAAGGCAAAAAGTATTACCCTAACCCCATCCCAAGAGGCCAGGGGTGAGACGAGCACGGACCATCACATTTCGTACCCACTTGCCAAAGCCAGCAGCAAATGTTCAAGGAAGATATTCCCGGCACGCACCCGGTGTTGACGCTGCTGGGCCCACCATGCGCCCTTCACTTTGCACGCACCAGGGTTCGTCTTTTTTCCTTCACTGTCGGTGCAGTTTCTGGAGGGGTTTGCTGAGTAAAGTAACATTCGGCCCAAATCACCCCATTCCCGAAGGCCGAGACGCGAACCGAACTCGGTAGTCATGTCACATTTTTGGCCCGTTTTCGGCGGTGAATTATTCTTACGGATTACCATATCATCTGGTGCATTTATGGGATTACTGATACTTTGCCGACACATTGAAGCTTGTATATTGCTAACCCATTGGACGCCAATCCGGGACAGAGTAGGGTGCATTTACAAAGTAAAATCGAACGCATCAAATGATACCTTTAGGACCCCAGAACTGTCATCCATAGCACACTGCTGTAGTCAGTTGGTCACGGTTGGTGACTCACGAGACAGAAGAGTCCTCACCTGGCTTCCAAAGCCACCCTGACAACCGTCTCATTGCTGGCGGTATGGGGGAAGCGGGGTCAAAACCACTCGATGATGTGGTGAAGGGGCCGACACAGTCTGGTCGTGAAACGGACTCGTCGTCGGCGTCGGCTGGGATTGATCTCGAAAAGGAGAGCGGGGAAGGCATCGGGCGAACACCAACCGGCACCAGTGATGAGGAGAACGCTGGGGAGGAACGGCCCCCCTTGTCGCACCAACGAACCCATGAGGACGGCGGCAACGGCAACGGCAACGGCATGCTCTCACGGGTAGCGAGCCGTGTTATTACCAAGGTCAGCACCAAGTCCAGCTGGAACCCCGGCCCGCCCCCTGACGGCGGCTTGCAAGCCTGGGTAGCCGGTGAGTCCCCCATTCCCAACCCCCTCCTCCCCTCCCATCCACCACGGGATAGCCCTAACCTGACACCCTCACCAGTGGCCTGCACACACCTAGTCATCATGAACACCTGGGGCATCATCAACTCCTTCGGCCTGTTCCAAACCCACTACACCACCACCCTCGGCCGCTCCCCCTCCGACATCTCCTGGATCGGCTCGCTCCAAATCTTCCTCCTCTTCTTCGTCGGCGCCCTCACCGGCCGGCTCACCGACGCAGGCTACTTCCGGCACATCTTCCTGGTCGGCGTGGCCTTCCAGATCCTGGGCATCTTTGCCGCGTCGGCCGCCACCCAGTACTGGCAGCTGGTGCTCGCGCAGGGCATCTGCATGGGGTTGGGGAACGGCTGCCTCTTCTGCCCCTGCGTGTCCACGCTGTCGACGTATTTCAGCCGGCGCCGCGCGCTGGCGATCGCGTTGGGTGCGTGCGGCAGCGCGACGGGCGGGCTGGTCTTTCCGGGCATGGTGCGCCAGCTGCTGCCCGCTCAGGGGTTCCCCGCGGCGATGCGCGCGGTTGGGTATGTGCAGCTCGCGACGTTTGGTGTGGCGCTGGTGGGACTGAAGCCCAGGATCCCGCCGCGCCGGAGCGGGCCGTGGGTGGAGTGGCGGGCCTTTCGGGATGTTGAGTATTCGCTTTATGCGGCCGGGAGCTTTTCGGTGAGTCTCAGTGTGCCCAAAAATGGTGTGCGGGTTGGGAGTGGAGTGGACTGGACTGGACTGACTGACAGTTTGTGTGGTAGTTCTTTTTGGGGCTGTACTTTGCGTTTTATTACATTGCTTCGTTCAGCAGGGACATCATCGGGATGGACTACACGAGCAGCTTGAACATGTTGCTAGTCATAAACGGTGTCGGCATCCCGGGCCGGGTGATTCCGAACCACCTTGCCGACAGGTACGGCACGATCAATATGCTCATTCCCGCGACCGGTGCGGCCGCGATATGTGTATTCAGTTGGATGGCCGTCAAGTCCACGCCGGCACTGTATGTGTGGTGTTGCTTTTATGGCATAACGGCTGGCAGTATCCAGAGTCTATTCCCCGCTGGCTTGAGCAGCTTGACGACAGACTTGCGAAAGGCTGGCGTGAGGATGGGTATGATATTTACGATTGTTAGTTTTGCAACCCTCGCGGGGGCCCCGATTGCTGGGGCCATCATCACCGCTTCGGGGGGAAGATATTATGGGGCTCAGGCGTTCGCAGGCGCAGCCTTGATGCTGGGGATGGTTCTGATGGCGACGGCGAGGGTCGTCAAGGTGAAGCGATTGACGCGGGAAGCGGACATGGCGGGTTCGTGGTGGCGTGTCAAGGTCTAATCATTGAGGGTGCGGGAAATACCAAGGGTAATTATAAATGTAGTGAACAGAGGTACTTCAGGCTACTAACTGTGGCCTAATATTCTAAAAGGGGTACCGGCCAGGAACAGAGCCAGGACCGCGATTAAACAGTCCCAAACGATTAGCATGTTTATGACCCAGAAGTCAAAGTAGACAAAAAGCAATGTACCAAACTATGAGTAAACATAATCCCAACACAAATCCGTGCTACGTTGAATTCACATCGGTCTACGTCGTCGTCGCATGGTACCTCGGCCCTAATGTTGCGTTGTGAAGTCATGGCACGGAACTTCCAAAGATCGCATCATAACCCGTATTTCTTACAGGCCTCCTCAGAGAGTCTCGAATGGGTTTACCGTCGAGACCTGCCGGATAACACAACACGGCTTGTATGCCTAAATTCTTCTAGACGCCGCTTTGGTGGCGAACCCTTCAGCCGTCAATGAACCGGGACCGAGGCGCTCCAAAGAATACTGCTTGGGCAGATTGTACAGGTGTCCCTAACGTTGTGAACAATATATATTGCCATTGAGGGAACTCTGGAATGCAATAAACCTCACAGTTCCTTTCAAAGAGGAAGTATAACAAGAGCACATTTCCGAGATAATACACAAACTTTGTTGCTATGAAACACCACTCCTACAAGGCTACACCACCCTCGCCAAGCATGTCTCGCTTAACCAGGTTTCCCCAGTTTGTGAAACTACCGAGGGACGTTCAAGAAACGATCTGGACACGGAGCCTCTCCGACCTGCCAGTTGATTTCATGACTGTAACCGAGACGGTTGCAGATCCCATGGTCGAGGGAGAGATCCCGAACCTAGTGGGTTTTGAAATAGTACCGCAGGGCCCGTGGGAGCCCGACACTTTGCGGATCCCCACGGGTATTATTGACGAGTCTATATCATCGCGGATCACGGTAGCTCACTGCAACACTGATACCGCCGATGGTTGGGGAAAATACTCAACCCTGGGCCGGCTGCAAGAGGTTGCTACTGTTTGCGGTAGCTCGCGAGACGCCGTTCGACGACTCATACGTGCCTGGAAGGCGGATCGTAGCCTTTACAAGCCCCTGACGATATTTGTGCCCCCGACGCCAGAGGATTCACCTAGTTCAGTGGTTCCTTACCCTGGAACCCCTAACGTCGTTTGGAACTTGAATATACGAGTCGATGGGGGGGTGATGGCGATTCTCCTTCCGCCATTACGCCAGAATATTATTCGGGGAATGGACCGGTTCCAAAAGTGCATTGTTCCGGATTCAGTGCATACTCTGTATTGTGTGGATATGAGCCACCCACTGCATCTCAGCGCCCAGGAGATCCAGAATCTCAAAATCCGGAGAGGGCCCTGGGTCGGGCACCAGTTTGTGTTTGTCGATATCGACCATTCCTACCCGGACTCCAAGGCCGAGTATCCTATTCGAGATATACCAGTCCTTGATGTTGGTGCTCTCTATGGTGCTTGGTGTGCAATGGCCGCCGGTCTCGCCATTTGGGCCAGCACTGTCAATTGGCGAAGGAAGCAGTCCTCGCCGCCAATTCCAAAAGTCTCCGTTAGAATGTTGACTGCAATTTCGCTCTTGCCCAAGGGATCTACTGAAATCTAACAATCTGTAGGATAACAGGAGACGAACTGTGAATATGGTTAATCGATGTATGACTCTACTTTTGATCCGGAAGGAAAATGATTAGGTACCTTATACCTCTTGTGATATAGCCACTGTTCAACCGCCACCCTGCTTTCGGGCTTAAGACCATTAACAGACTTCTCAAGTTGAATTGAGTGACACATGGCATCCACCCTGCTTTGCTCCGGGGTATATCTAGGTAGGTAATTATAGTTTCTGGTCAATCTAAGTTCTCCACGTTAAGTGAAAGACAAACAAAAGCCCGTAGCTTCGTTCTAACTTTCTCTTTCCGTGTTAATGAGCCTCGGATGATGCATCTCGAAAATTAAAACCAACTGCTACCGACAAGGAGCGATGAGGCGAACAACAACGCGAGTGGTAACCTTCAAGCTACCCACTTATATGTAATGTTTGGTTGGAGACCTCCTGACCATCTTTCTCTCGCCGGCATCTTGCTGCTATTATCACAATCTTCTCGTTCCAAGTTCAGATACAACCCCGGCATTCGCCCTTTTCCTCCCTTGGTAGGTTGAGTGCTGTGACCGTCTTCTCTTGCTTTGTTGATTCCAGGTTTGAAGGACAAACCAAACAACAAAATTTCCCAAATGCCATCTTTGTTTCACACAATGCTAACAAACCCTTTGTGTAAAGCTGGTCGCATATAACACCCCCTTTCCAACGCCATGAAATCACGATCAATCCTCAAGTTCCCAAACAATCTCGACTACCAAAGCCAACACAACCCACCTAAACTAGGACAACACTATCCAACATCATCTAGCACAATCCAACACAATCCAACACAGTTCAACAGTACACCCAACCAAGACCATGGAACCCACCACCACCACCACCACCAGCCACGAAAAGCCCACCCAATTCCCCCAATTCCCCGCCCTCCCCGCCGAGATCCGCGAACAAATCTGGACCATCGCCCTCCTCGCCCCCCTGGCCCCATCACCGACCACCACCACCCCCAACGCGCCCCGCCCCATGCACATCCGGCCCTTCAAGACCCTCTCCGTGGACCAGCGCCTCATAGACTTCTACAGCTCCGTGCCCATGCACCTGGCCCAGACGGCCACGGACCCCGACTGGTGGGAGAGCCCGCTGCTCGACCACCTGGAGCGCGACGCCGCCGCCGCCTGCCGGGAAAAGGTCGCCATGGTCCGCCGCGCGCAGATCGACTTCCAGGACCCCCCGCGCGGCGGGGGCTCCGGGACCGCGCTGGGCGTGTCGGGCCACGACAGCGGCGTGCTGGTGGCGGCCGAGGCCGCGAGGGAGCTCCGCCGCTTGAAGTGGCGGCTGGGTGAGCCGGAGGAGTGGGTGGATTTGGATAAGGGGTTGTGCTGCTTTTGGGATGTCGATTCCTCCAACGCCGCGAGGACGGAGCCGTGCAGCCACCCCAGGCTGGTTCCGAGTCTGGACCTGGCGGACGCGCTGAGCCTGGAGGACGGTCCCGTTGCCTGCCAGCGCGGGAGTTCCGGGATGGTGAGAGGGTACTCGGGCTTGGTTACTGGTACCGCGCACTGCGAGGAGTTGGCCGTCATGTGGTCGTCTGGGTTTTGTCCGAAGATCCACGCTTCGAAGGAGCGCTTGGGGGACACACCGGCCTGTGAAGACTTCCAGAAGCAGCTGAAGGACTTGGTGAGCCGGCACCCCAAGTTGCATACCCTGTACTTGCTTGACCCATCGGTGATGCCGAGGAAGTCCTTTGTGCCACCTGGCAGCGAGGTCAAGTTTCGTGGGGATCAAGCTTCTTTCTATGCCATAGATCTTTCACAGACTGATGACTGGTCGGTCCCTCTGTTGGTAGCGCACCAAGTGGACGTGTTTGCATGGGCTCATTGTCTGGAAACACTGCTGTCCAAAGCTAAGAAGGAAACTCAGGCAGAGGGGAACATCCAAGTAAAGGTCCTCGCTTGCGTACCTGACTGGGATCCTCTACGCGCACTCACCAAGATGCTTGAAGACCCTCTACCAGGAACTGAAGAAGGCAATGCTTATCTCACGATTGCGGGTGCCCTCTTTGCGGCTGCAGCACTGTTAGGATCAGCCCTACCTCGACAGGGTTGAGTCTATGACGGGACATGTTCGGGTTGTCGAGGGGTGTTAGGTTTGAATTTATGTTTCAATAGGACTAAATATATAGGTATCTTATAATAGTTACGTAGCTGGGGTTTCCATTTATTAGTTCTTGAGAGCCCAAGCTGACCCTAATATTCCGTTCCATTCCCGTTCTTTCTCGCAACGAGCCTGGGCCACCAGGGGTGAATTTGGTTACCTAGGTACCTACATATCATAACAATGCTTGGTTCGCGAGATGATGTATTAACGTGACGATTTCACCCACTTCTTTGCTTCCAGCGCATTTCTGGGATAGGTCTGTTGGGAGAACATGCTACGCATTCGTCTACAAATCCTCTATTATCTTCTTTTTCGTCTATGTCAGGGCGGCACAGAGGGCTACCACTTGCGCCACACGTTGCACAAACCCTGTTCTGCTGCATGGTTCCTTAAGTACCTGCCCAGGGGTGTCATCAATCCATCTGCTCTACTAGCTATATTAAATAGTCTTTCCTCCCCTGATCAAATACGAATTAGTATCTGAAAACCCCACAGGGTCCAGCTTGCTAAGTACAACTACAACCACGCACAACACTCCCATTTCTTATCATGGCACCCGGGCAGACCTTTCCCCGGTTTAAAACTCTCCCCGTAAATATCCAACAGGAAATTTGGAGACAATGCATGAAAGTCGTTATAGCAGGCCCGTCAATGCTGATGCTGGATTTGGTTCGACAAAACTTGTGCCTGGATGACGAACGTCGTTTGGTCGCTGAAGCTTCCCAAAAGGCGATAGAGGCTAAAGGTCCGGACTGGGAGTCCCTACCGGATGAGGCGAAGGACCTGGTGGTAAAGGAAGCAGAACTGGTCGCAGCTCGCAATCACCGTGCATCCCTGGTTGGGGTTACCTTGCCCAAGGAGAGAGCCGCATCCCAATTTTCGGCCTACTGGCAACTCGGTGAAATTGCTTCGGTCTGTCTGGAGGCTCGTCAGAGCCTGGAACGTTTCCATACAGGAGGCGTGGCCGACATAATTGCGATGTGGGATCCCAGAAAAACCGTCGTGTGTCTTCGGACTTTTACCGACCACGGGTCGCCCTGGTCACGTCCGCAAATACGCCCAGCGGCGGGCGAGCCATTCTTTACGGCCGACAAAGAGTCGAAGCGGCAAGTGGCCTACGTCACCATTGACAATGAGTCTGGCTGGTACGCGCACTCCAGAGTGAAGATAGCAATGGACCCGGCCCGGTGCGCCCCGCTGGGGGATTCCTGCCCGGAGCTCGCAGCTATGGAAAGAGTCGCGTTTTTCTATGCGGTGGCGACTCTCCGTGGTAATAAGTCTTACAGGACTTGGGCCGGCCTCGAAGACCTGTGGCCCTTTAACTTTCCGAACCTGAAGGAGCTTTACATGATTGATGAGTCAATATCACTCCAAGTCGGGTTCCCAAGCCCTCCAGAGTCGACATTAAAGATTGAGGGGTATGACGCTACTTTCTATGAGGTTACTGAGGAGGACGGGGATACTTGGAGCCCGTCTCCTGGTGTGTTCGCTCAAGTTGAGTACATAAAAGAGGGATTCGAGGAGTGGGCCAGGCCTGGAGATACTCTCCCTGCTGTCAAGGTCCTCGCTTGTATTCCGCATTCCAAACAATAGGTGAGGAACAGGCGGGAAAAGAGAGAGGCTCTTACTCGGGTGGCCTGGGATGGCGGAAATGAGCGTCTGTGGGAAACGGTTAGTGAGCTCAGAGAGAGAAAGGAACAATTCATAGAAACCGAACTTGTGAGAACGGTCAGCAGCACATGGACGAGTATAGACGTGTCGACAATATGAACCCTTAACCAAGCGAGACTTCACTGCACATTGATTAACTCGTTCACCAGCGCGAGGTCTGCTCATATTTGGCGTGAATCTTCGTAGGCTTCGGTGTGACGTTACAGGTGTGTGGTTGACAAGGAAAGGCATCAAGCACCTCCCCCCTCCCCGCTCGAGTCTCCGAGGTCGTAAACTACCCACAGATAAGCCAATTACTGGGAAGGCTGCTCCCTGCTGGTCGCGCTCTGGGTTGGAATTCCCTGAACTTGTCATCTTCCCCAGGATTTCGGTGGTCCCGAGGTCTCGGTTCAAGCCCCCGACTCCCTCCTCGAACCGAGACATGATGAAGCTTGAAGCTAGCCTGGCCGTTAAGTTTGCCACACCGCGTCACATCCAATGAGCCAATAAGCATCGCATTCCAGCCTGTCAACGAGTGTGTGGTGGGGGGCGAGGCCAGCAGGTACAGAGACGCATCAGTCCTGGGGATGAACTTGAAGTGCCGGGTTTAGTGGATTGGAGCGCTGATATGCATGTGTGAGGCCCGGAAAGGGACTGAGCGTTATCTGGAGTCGGTGGGGGACTGGAGAAGGTGGGACTTCCCTGAGAGTTTCGAGGGCGGGAGCGAATGGGAGTGTAGCGGGAGGACAAACAAAATGACGGGGACTGATCAAGCCTGCGTGTGTTGGTGGGCTGTGTGGGCGGGGAGGAGCAAGGCTCGGGAAGAAAACTGGGTGGGACAGGAATCGAATCTGGTATCAAACGCTGTTGCACGTTCAATCTGGGGACGCGGAGGTTCGGAGGTGCTGTTTTGGGAGGACCATAACTCGCATGGGGCATGAGCTTGTGGCAAGGGTCAGCCAAGGGGTGTTGACACCGCGCCGAGTTCCAACCACACATTCCCAAAGAAGGATGGTTGTTGAAATAAACCTGAATACGGATTACATGACTCGCGGTTCGAATATTGAAGTAAATATTGGAGGTAAATATCACAGCATGTACATGGCCGACGCACTCGGGGAGCCCCAGCTTCTCGGCGAGTCTCGGTAGTTTTGCTCCGGTGACGTGGGGGTGCAGCCTTACCAATGAAGGGGCCGTGTTCGTGCTATAACTTAAGTAGTTCATTTTCAAGCCGGGAAATCCAGTCCATGATGATATAGCACGACATTCGTGAGTGTCCCGTGAGTCGTCTCTCCGCGTGGAACAGCCCCATCACAGTACCTTAGGGCTTAGGGTCACGCCCACTCGGTAGGGAGACCAGTTGGTGACTTACCAAAGCTAACGCAGCGTGACAATGCTGTTGGCCCCATTTACGGTTTGCTCCTGTGGGGGCGTCTGAGAGAGGAATGGTCGCGCACCGCGCATGGTTGCCAAGCAGCTCGGAGCCCTCTGGTATTATTTAGCGTCGTTGTGACTGAGGGTTGGGAGTGGGCAACTGTACTTGGCCGTGATGGTGTACGCATGGGTTTCTGTGAAAGAGACACGAGCAGATCAACGTGATGGTTAGATGCGGTAGCGGTTAGATACGGGCACAAAGCTAAAGCAATTCACTAAGGGACGCGAAGGAGTGGAAATACGTAAAGGAAATCTCAGAACGGGGTATCCGTGGCAAACAGAGCGAAAAGAGGGCGATAAACAAGGAAGTGTATCAGTCCCCGTTGATTATTACGAGAGCTTACTTGTTGACCGAGAGGCCTGTTGAGCCCCAGAGTGGTGGAAACCGAAACATGTCGGACCCCCCAGACGCGGCTGAGCTTCAGCGTACGCACCGGGCACAGGGAGGCTGCCGAGCTCATCAAGGGCAATGACTTGAGAGTGTTGCAAGTAACGGGTATGGATTAACGGGTAGCCACCTCCTTGAGGCTCACATGGCCGCGTGAGACTTGAGATGGAAAGAGAGTTAGGGTATATAAACCCAGCTGTGTAGGTACATTTGAGTGAATCCATTTTGTATCCTATTCACGCACTTCACCCGCCCACTCTCCAACGAAACCAACTGTTCCCTACTCAAATTATTAAATTCCTTTTCCGTATCATCGCAACCATGGCCATCCCATCCAATGGATCCTACTCCAATGGCCCTGCCTCTACTGGCACTCCCTTGAACAAAATCAACCGGAACTCGGCTGCCGATTCGACTCTACCGCATGAACCTGGAGCAGGTATACCCGAACCTATTGCAATTTGCGGCATCGGTCTTCGTCTCCCCGGCGGGATTCAGGACGGAGAGGATTTCTGGGATCTTCTAATCAACGGCAAGGATGCCCGAAGCGAGATACCTGACAGTCGATTTGCCATCGATGGTTTCGATGTTTCGCTGTCTGGTCAAGGAGCCATCCCTACCAGACACGGCTATTTTCTTGACGACGACCTTGCTCGCCTCGACACGTCCTTCTTTTCCATGTCCAAGAGTGAGATTGAGCGTTGCGACCCACAGCAGCGGCTGCTTCTCGAAGTCGTCCGAGAGGCGTTCGAGGATGCTGGCGAGGTCAACTACCGCGGCCAGGCCATCGGATGCTACGTCGGCACCTTTGGCCAAGACTGGTATGAGATGACGACAAAGGATGTGCAGAGCATGGGCAACTATTCGATGATGGGGTCCGGAGACCTTGTTCTGGCTAACCGCGTCTCGTACGAATTTGACTTGCGTGGTCCAAGGTGAGCACCGTCTGCGTCTCCACCTGGCTCTTGGTTCTGACTTGGCCCTCTCTACCCATCTAGCTTGGTCGTCAAGACCGGCTGCTCTGCCTCACTTGTGGCGCTCCACGACGCCTGCCGGGCAATACAATCCAGAGATACCTCGGCCGCTGTTGTTTGTGGCACCAGTCTTATCATGACTCCGACTACTACGGCCGTATTCTTTAACGAGGGTGTCCTCTCTCCTGATGCCTCTTGCAAGACCTTTGATGCTACTGCGAACGGCTTTGCCCGGGCCGAGGGCATCACGGCCGTCTACATCAAGCGCCTTGGCGATGCTCTGCGTGACGGAAACCCGATCCGAGCCGTGATTCGTAACACCGGTTCCAACAACGATGGTCGAAGCCAGGGTCTTACGAGCCCCAATGGCGACGCTCACGAAGCTCTCATGCGGCAGGTCTACCAGCAAGCCCACCTAGACCCGTCCGAAACCGCATTCGTTGAGGTACGTTCCACCCTGAACCTTTGTTCCATGAGTTACTCCTAACATTTCTGATGCCCCAGTGCCATGGAACCGGGACCCCGGTAGGTGACCCGACAGAGACACGAGCAGTTGGTAATGTGTTTGGCAACAACGGCGTGTACATTGGCTCGGTAAAACCCAACGTCGGCCACTCGGAAGGCTCCTCCGGCCTCACAAGCCTCATCAAAGCCGTCCTTGCGCTGGAGCACCGCACCATCCTCCCGAACATAAAATTCCAGAAGCCTAACCCACAAAGTACGTACTGTTACTACTAACCCACCTCCCTCGAACTAATTTCCATTTATAACATCCATGACGGCCTTCCTAACCCACTTCTCCCTCTCTGCAGTTCCTTTTGTGGAGAAGAAGCTGGTAGTACCCCTGGCGCCGACCGCCTTTCCCAAGGGTCGTGCCGAGAGAATCAGCGTCAATTCGTTTGGCATCGGAGGCTCAAATGCACATGTAAGTCCTCGACCCTGCTTGCTTGGGCCTACAAATTGTGTCTTCAATACTAATTCGGAACACCAGGCCATTGTTGATTCGTCACCCCAATATTTAAACACGCTTGGTCTGGCTATCAGGGCGGTCAATGGGGTGAACGGCCACAGCGTGAATGCGGTGTCTCGGCCTAATTTGCTCCTTTTCTCCGCCAACTCATCATTATCGCTGCGCAGACAAATCGATTCCTTTGGAGAATACACGGCTGAACATTCCGACCGTTGCAGCGATGCCGCTTACACGCTTGCCCTCCATCGGGAACACCTCCCACTTAAAGCCTTTGCCATCGTTCAGGACGGGAAGGTTTGCGAGACCTCTGCGCAAACCAAGGCAGTAGGATCTGCCCCTGGGATTACCATGATCTTCAGCGGACAGGGGGCGCAATGGCCTCGGATGGGTAGGGAGCTCATACAAATGAGCCCCTCGTTTCGACAGGATATCATGCGTATGGACGAGACTCTTCAGGGGCTACGAATCCCTCCCGAATGGTCAATCCTCGGTACGTCCAGCCATGTTGTTGAACCCAACGAATGTCCCCTTTCACCACTCCTAACCTTCAAGCAGACGAACTCCTGAAGCCTGAAGGGGCAAGCCAAATTCACCGCGCAGAGCTAGCACAGCCCCTGTCTACCGCGCTGCAGATCGCCCTGGTGCGCCAGCTTGAGCGTCTCGACATCATTCCGTCTGCTGTCGCGGGCCACTCAAGCGGTGAGATCGCAGCTGCGTATGCCTCTGGGTACATATCACTAGAATACGCCATCACGCTTGCCTATTACCGGGGCTATGTCAGCTCCCACGGGAACTCGGCGCTTCCAGGGGGGGCTATGGCAGCCGTGGGCCTGGGAGCTGCGGATGTCTCGCGTTTTCTGCAACCTGGCGTTTGTGTGGCCTGCGAGAACAGTCCGTCGAGCACGACCATTTCTGGAGATAGCAAAGCGGTCCAACAGACTTTGGCATCCATTCTCACGGAGTATCCCGAAGTCCTGGCTCGAGCATTGAAAGTCGACGTGGCTTACCATTCACGTGAGTGCCCCCCCTCCGTCATCTCTTGTGCCGCTTGTGGTGGTTGACAAGCTTTCAGACCACATGGCTGCCCTTGCAGCCGAGTATCTCGACCTCCTCCATGGCGAGGACCACCTGTCTTCGGATATCGACCAGGATGTGCCGGGCGCCATATTCTTCTCCAGTGTTACAACGAAACCGATTAGAAACGGGACACCCCTTGCTTCTCCTTACTACTGGGTCATCAACTTAGTCTCCCCTGTCCGGTTTAGCGACGCCGTGTCAAACCTTCTTGCCCACAACAGGGATACTAACCCCTCAAGTATCTTTCTCGAGATTGGGCCACATTCAGCACTGGCCGGACCGCTCCGCCAAATTTGCGAAGCTGCCTCTCAACCATGCAAATACATCCCATCCCAAATTCGGGGCAAGGACAGCGCAGTTAGTTTCCTATCCGCCTTAGGAAGCCTCTACCAAGAGTCTGTCTCCATCAACTGGGAGCCCCTTTTCCCGCCCGGCAGCAAGGCTCTTGCTGGGCTACCGACTTACTCCTGGGACCACAGCGCCGGCCCCTTCTGGTACGAAAATCGTCTGTCAAAAGCCTGGAGAACCCGCCGCTTTCCACAGCATTGCCTTCTCGGTACCCGCGTGGTCGAGACGCCCGACACGGCGCCGCAATGGCGCAACGTGCTAAACTTGGAGCATGTCCCTTGGCTCAATGACCACAAAGTGCGGCAGGATGTTGTTTTCCCCTTTGCTGGCTATGTGGCCATAGCGGGTGAGTCGGTTCGCCAGATGGCGGGCAGTGAGCTGGGGTATCGTCTGCGTCACGTCGTTGCCCGTACGGCTCTCGTGCTGACGGACACGGAGCCGGTGGAAATGGTAACGGCACTACGCCAACAGAGACTCACGGATACGGATGAGTCGACGTGGTTTGACTTTGTCATAGCCTCGTACACTGGATCCACTTGGGTGAAGCATTGCGAGGGGCAAGCAACAGCCCTGCTCCAGCCATCCTTACCGCACCTCACGGCTCGTGACGACCCCCTGCCTCGACTGGTAAACAACACCCGCTTCTACGACGCGCTGTCGCGCGCAGGCCTCCCGTTTGGGCCCGAGTTTCAGCGCCTGGCCGATATCTCAACTTCTGCAACGGAGGGCATTGCCCAGGCGAAGGTGCTCGAGCCTAGCACGGAAACGAGACAGCCGTTTCCCGGTCCCTTACATCCGGCATCCATCGACGCATGCATTCAACTGCTGCTTCTGGCCAACGTGCGGGGCCTATGCCGGAATTTACGCCAGCTAGTAGTCCCTACCCTCATCGAGAGCATCGAGATCGCCCACGGCTCGACCAGTATGCAAACCAAGGCAGTCATCCCCACTCAGGAGCTTGCCTCCGCCAGCGTGGAGTGCGTGACGGACGACAACCGGGTCGCCCTCCGCATTTCCGGACTCCAAGTAACACCGCTAGACAACGACTCGGAGAACCCAGCCCGCGACAACGACCCCGTCGACATCCACGCGGCCGCCCGCCTGCACTGGCTCCCCGACTTCGACTTCGCGCCCCTCCCCACCCTCATCCAACCTCCCCCCTCCAACCAGACCGAACGCTCCCTCAACGAAACCCTCACCCTCCTCTGCATCCTCGAATCCGCTTCCCAACTCACCCCCCTCACCCCCACCCACCCGCACCACACCAAATACCTCGCCTGGCTCACCCAGCAACTCACCCAAGCCCAAACCAACACCCACCCGCTCATCCCCGACGCCGCCCACTACACCACCCTCTCCCCCTCGGAACGCCGCGCCCTCCTCGAAAGCACCTACGCCCAAATCCTCTCCCTCCCCGACGGCGGCGGCGGCGGCAACCACGCGGGCGCGCGCGGCCTGAAGCGCATCAGCGACCACGCGGCGGCGCTGTTCACGGGCGAGCGCGACACGCTGGACCTGCTGATGCAGGATGATTTGCTGGCGGAGATCTATAACGCGGATGCCTTTGACTATGGCGGGTTCGTGCGGCTGCTGGCGCATGCGCGGCCGGATCTGAGGGTGTTGGAGGTCGGGGCCGGGACGGGCGGGACGACCGAGTTGTTGTTGAGGGGGTTGGTTGGCGATGAAATGGGGAAGGGGGGTGGTGGTGGTGTCCCGGGGTATGCTGAGTATATGTTTACGGATGTGTCGGCGGGGTTTTTCCCGCAGGCGAGGAAGCGGTTTGAGGGGGCGCCGAATATGGAGTTTCGGGCGTTGGATATTTCGAGGGATGCGGTCGAGCAGGGGTTTGTGGCTGGGTCGTATGATCTGGTGGTGGCGCCCAATGTGGTGCATGCTACGCCGTGCTTGAGGGAGACGCTGGCGAACTTGCGGCCGCTGCTGAAGGATGATGGGATGTTGTTGTTGTTGGAGCTGTCGACGGTGATGAGGATGCCGACGTTTATCTTTGGGAACTTTAGCGGATGGTGGCTTGGGGAGGAGGATGGGCGGGTCTGGGAGCCGTATGTCCTGCCAGAGCGGTGGGATACGGAGCTCAAGGCCGCCGGATTCACGGGGGTGGATTCTGTCGTGGCGGACGGAGAGATGCCGTGGCAGATGTCCGTTGTCATGGTGTCGAGGCCGAAGATTGAGGAGACGACGGCACTCAACAAAAAGATGACGGTTCTTTGTCGGGATCCTGTCGACGGCCCTGGAGCATCTCTCATCGCCGGGCTCAGGGGTGAAGGTTGGGATGTCACACCATGTCGCTTGGGAGACCTCCCTCCCACAGGACAAGACATCATTTCTTGTATCGACCTCGAGACACGGTTCTTCGACCAAGGGTTTCTTACCGAGACGGACTTTACCGCCTTCCAAGCCCTACTCCGCCATCTCAAGGATAAAGACAGCCGCATCTTGTGGCTCACTCCTCCCTTCCAAGTCAAGTGCCGCGACCCGCACGGTGCCCAGGCTCTCGGCGTTATGCGCACCATCCGCGCTGAGCTAGGCCTCCTTCTGTGCACCCTCGAGCTCGATTACGAGCGTGAAGGGAATGGCGCTGCCCACCTCATCTCCGAGGTTTTCATCAAGAAGGTCCAATGCTCACAAGACGGCGATATCCTCAACGCCGACCGCGAGTTCGCCATCGACAACGGCACCGTCCTCCTCAGCCGATACCACCCCTTCAGCCTCACCGACGAGCAATCTCTCCCTCCTGCCACCACCACAACCACCACTTCCACCGAAACCACCAAAACCCTCCGCATCCCCCACCCCGGCCACCTCCCCTCCCTAACCTGGACCACCACCCCCCTCCAAATCCCCCTCCCCTCAGACCACGTCCTCATCCAAATCCACTCCGCGGCCCTCAACTTCCGCGACATCCTCATCGCCACCGGCGCCATCCCAAACAACACAGACCCCACCACCCCAGCCCAACTCGGCTACGAAGCCTCCGGCACCATCACCCACACCGCCTCCACCCGCTTCCGCCCCGGCGACCGCGTCATCCTCCTCTCGCCGCGCAGCACGCTCACCACCACCCTGTGCGTCCCCGCGGCGCTGGTCGTGCGCATCCCCGACAACATGCCGCTGGCGGCGGCGGCTGCCGCGCCGGTGTGTTTCGGCACGGCGATGCATGCTTTGCTGGGGGTGGGGCGGTTGAGGCCGGGGATGTCGGTGCTGGTGCACTCGGCTTGTGGGGGCGTGGGGTTGGCGGCGTTGGAGGTTTGTCGGGCGGTGGGCGGGGTGGATGTGTATGCGACGGTGGGGAGTGAGGAGAAGGTTGCGGTGTTGGTTGGCGGGGAGTGGGGGGTGAGGAGGGAGAGGGTGTTTGGGTCGCGGGATGGCGGGTTTCGGGAGGGGGTGTTGAGGGAGACGGGGGGGAAGGGGGTGGATTTGGTGCTGAATTCGCTTTCTGGGGAGTTGTTGCACGCGAGTTGGGGGTGTGTGGCCAAGTATGGCATGTTGGTGGAGTTGGGGAAGCGGGATTTGGTTGGGGCGGGGAGGCTGGATATGGCGCCGTTTTTGGCGAACAGGACGTATGCTGGGGTTGATCTGTTTCAGTACTTGACGGAGAGGCCGGAGAAGGTCACCGAGTAAGTGGACTTTGTTTGTCCTTTGCGTCTTGCACGGGTGCTAACTGCGTGGCATTAGGCTACTTACTCAGTATGTCGAGATGTATGAAGAGGGTCGGCTGCGTCTGCCGCAACCTGTCTCGTACTTCAAGGCGGACGAGGTCGAACAGGCCTTCCGGCACCTCCAGAACGCGGGCCATATTGGCAAAGTCGTTGTCAACATGCCGGAGGACGCATCCAGTCTCAACTCGCTCCCGCTGACCAGGTCAGTCACCCTAGACCCGGAAGCCACGTACCTTCTGGTTGGAGGAACGAAAGGCCTTGGGGCCTCCATGTCTACCTGGCTAGTGGAGAACGGCGCTAGGAACTTGACCTTCCTCTCAAGGAGTGCCGGGACAAGCCCCGAAAGCAAGGCTCTCTTCGAGGAACTTCGAGCCATGGGTTGTTCAGTCAGTGCCGTGACAGGAAGTGTGAAGAATAAAGAAGACATTGAGGCGGCAGTTTCGCGCTCCGGGAGGGCGATCAGGGGTGTCTTCCAACTTGCCATGGTCATGAACGTGAGTATCCTTTCGTCCCACGGAGTATTCGATATGGTCAGGTTGGCTAACGCGCCTTTAGGACGCGCCACTTCTGGATATGAAATGGCCTCAGTGGAACGCAACCGTCGGCCCCAAGGTCCGCGGGACGTGGAACCTGCACGACGTGTTGGCCGACCAACCGCTAGACCTTTTCTGGATGGCCAGCTCGATGGTGACAGTCGTCGACGAGGCCGGGCAGGGCAACTACTCGGCAGGCTGCATTTTCCTCGAGGCCTTCTGTCAGTACCGGCACTCGCTCGGACTTCCGGCCACCGTTCTCAACATCTGCCCTATCAGCGGCGTGGGGTACGTCGCCGAGAATGCGCACGCACGCCGGAGCATCAAGGCGCAAGGGTTGTACACGCTCGGGGAGCACGAGTTCCTTGATTTTGTCAAGCACAACATTTTGGAGGCAGAAACAAAGAGCGACATCACCGTGGGAACAGAGGCTACTAGCATCCCACCTAACCCCCCGGCTCTCCAGTCATGGGAAAATCCCAGCCAAGTCGTCATGGGCCTGAGGTCGTCCTCAGACTTACACCTCGACGACCCCAACAGCCGGGTCAACTGGCGCCGCGACCGGCGCATGGGCAGTTATCACAACATTCGGCCGGATGAGGAACACAAGACATCCTCGGCCGGGGCCAATCGGCTTGCCCTGTTCCTCGACACCATCGTTAGTTCCGACGGGGAGGGGTACAAGAGCCGTCTGGCAGACCCTGAGAGCGTTGCGTTTCTGGCGCGTGTGATCGGGGAGAAGATCTACGAACTGATCTTGAAGCCGGTGGCTGATGGCGAGGAAGTCGATACACGCTTAACGCTGGCGCAGATCGGGCTGGACTCGCTGATGGCGATTGAGCTGAGGAGGTGGTTGAGGCGGGTATTTGGCATAGTGATTAGTGTTTTGGAAATCATGGGATCGGGGTCGTTGATTCAGCTGGGCGGGGTGGTGGCGGGAAAGCTGGTGGAAAAACTGGCAAAGGAGTAACTAATGGTTATCGTTGTGGTGGTTGTTTTATTGTTGCTGTGAGCAAGGTAGGTAGTAGGTAGTTGATGGATCACATGGTTGTGTGTACCTTTGTAAACCTAATATGAAAGCATTGTTTTCTTACGGAGATCTCGTATCCTCTCTACGGGTTCGACGGATTCTCGGTTTCGATACTGTTTTCTTCTCCCGAGTTCCTCGTGTCACCGTTTACGCTAACACTAAAGCAGGGCTCGGCCGTGGCGTTGGGAATATCCTTTAGCCGGCGGACCTGGCCTTGCAACAGGCCGCGTATAATTTCAATTGTCTCCTCTAACAGAGCATTCCGCTGTCTCAAGGAACTGACGTAGTCCTGGAGGTTCTCCGTAGAAGCGGTAGAGTCCAGAGACTCCAGTTGCCTCGTAATTCGTTCCAGTCGATCGAATGCAGACTGTCGAACTAATGCAGACTGTCGGTGTGCCTGAGCTGTCAAGTCTACTTTGTCGTTGTTGCGTGAGACCAGAACATCTAAACCAAGCAAGCTTTCCGAAACACCAGCCGCGGCACTAGAAGACATGGTTGAGTATCGGTTTAAGTGCGACGACGGAAGAGCTTGGAAGTACTTCGTATGTACATACAAATCCGTAACTCTGTCACGGCGGGACCCCGTGGATACGGACTCGGTAAATGTTACCTCTTTTTTAAGTAGTCGTATGCGATCCTCGCGCAACCACCAAACGGCACGGGCTGTTGTTCTTCTCGCTTCGACTTGCTTTGTTGCTCAAGTGGGTCCCGGCCGGTGGTGATGGGCGAAGAATGCTCTTTGGTTGGGTCTTGATGCTTGTTTCCCCAGCCTCACACATTCTGTTCACAACAAACAATGTTTCATTTGTGCCGGAAACAACCCCTAACAGGTGACAAGCTAGCCACCGCATTGCAACCCCCCGGCAGTTGCTGTGTGACGCACTGTAACGTCCGTTGTGGACACAAACAGGTCCGCGCAATGGTTTGTTACCGCCGCCGTTCCATGATAGGGAGGGAACAAGTACCGAGGAAAGTTTACACGGTTCACAGTACACAGTATGGTCTTTTTGGATTTGAGACCCAAGTCGCTCGGTCCAGATCACTCGGGACATAAATTAAACCCGGCTGTGTGTTTCAAGGAGGGGTAATTCGAGCCTCGGATCGCATGAGTTCCTCCTGCCGCTGGCTGCAGCAGTCACAGAAGGAAACTCGCCGACGTTCTCGTCCGCGACTGCGGGGAGAAGGTGCTATGAATATTCCCAACCTACAAGTAATTCCCAATTATGCATTTGCAGCCCGCGCAAAGGATTGGGAGACGTCCATGCGTTTTAAGCCGAGCAGCCGGGATCTGCGAAGCTTGATGGCGGGATGGACGGTTATCGGTGAACGAACGATCAATCCAATACCGAGATGAAGCGGCTTCATTCTTGCAGCTTGGCAGCCTAACGCCAATGAGGCAGGCAGGCACGCGAGGCGGTGTGCGACCGACTGTCAAGGGGGTCGGCAGGGCCTCGGCCCGTGAGCCCCCACGTTGGGGATTGTTGAGAATCCGAGGCGGTCACTCCAGCGTTGAAACACGGATGCAATTGGACATACCTCCACAGCGCTCTGCAAAGGGATCGCATCGTTTTGCAGACAGAACTCCCACCACCTAGGTTCCCATGTATTCTGAGAAGGTATACGCGACAGTGCAGTTTCAGTTTGTACGAGAGTTGTTTCCAGGCACGTGCCTCCTTCCCCGAAACACATATCGCCTCCGCCGTTGCCTGTCCCCCGTAGCAAGCCCCAAAACGACACTGGAAACTGGCAGTGCAGCAGCCCGCATTGTCCTTGCGTCGCGTGGCGGGAAAGCTCGCAAAATTTTCAAGCTTTCATGGCAGGCAACAGGGAGGCATTCGGGAAGGAAGAAACTCCTACATATCAGTCCCAGCATTAGCCGGTCAGCACATCCAGCTTTTTGATCCATCAGCTGATGGTGGACATGCTTGAGAGCCGTTGCCCCGCGGGGCGTTTTCGGAGTGCCCAATCAATCCACAGAGCAGTCTTTGTGGGCGCACGTGGGGGAGACGTCCGTGGTGCCAAGTATGCCTTCCGAATCAGGACAGGCGTGGAGTAAAAACTGGAGAGGAGGAATTGTTACGGGGGCAGCGAGCACTAACACGGTTTAGTATGGCCAGCCACCAACTTTTGATGGCGCGCTATTTGGACGCTGCGCCGTCGTGGTTCCGAGGCTTTCCGTGGGGTTCGCTCTGGCCCCTTCTCTGCGGGCTCGCGTTGGTCCGGGCCTTGGCGCTCTTGGCGCACAGGGCTGTTCGGAGAGCATCCTTGCTGCGCCGGCTGCGGTTGCCGTGGCCAGGTCTGCCCCGCGCCGAACATGACGACATGCTCGCCACTCCCCTGTTTCGATCGAGACAAGCAATTGAACCATGTGCGAGATCGATTGGGATTGAATTTTGGATAATTCGATCATAGGGCTTCAAGGAGAAAGGGAAAAGGGAGCGGGAGACGAGCAACCATGGATGTCAAAGAAATGACGAACGCCGAGAGGTCAATTAACGTTATCGACGACGACCAACCCCGGAAACCCGGCAGGCGCGACGTACCCCCCTCCCGTTCTTCAACCGACTGCGACGGAAACGACACCGAAGTGCACATTCAATGGTCCATCTCGCCAAGGTCGCCAAGGTGCCAAGGGATGCACATCCTCGCCTTCCTCACCAGCCCAGCAAACGAGAAGGCTCGTCCGTCGTTATCCCAGAAACATTGCGGGTCGATCGGCGAGAATGTTTGAGAGCCTTGAGAGCTGCCAGTGCTTGGCTTGGTATTTGACTCTGCAGGTTCCCCCCCAAACCTCCCATCCGGCGCTCCAGCTGGACTTGCTCGTTCATTCCACCAAAACATCGATACCTGCTCGCGGCAGTCAGTCTCCGACAGAAGACTAGACCCTCTTACTGTTGAACCGTCATCGTCATCACTGCGCGACAGCCTTCCTTATCTCCCTCCCACCTGCGAGCCAGCCATTGGCGTACTCCATTGACAAGATGGGTGCGAGCAATGACGGGCAGCCTGCGCCCGCGCATGTCTCGGGCCAGTCCAACCGGCCCACGAGCCGTCCTGCCCATGCCCTCACGTACGAGCAACTGGCCACAGAGCTGAATGCCGACGTTCTGTCTGGGCTGACCGCGAACGAGGCCAAGACCCGACTTGAACAATTTGGACGGAACGATCTGGGCGAGGAGGAGGGTGTTCAGCCCCTCAAGATCGTTGTCGCCCAGATCGCCAATGCCATGACCTTGGTAACTGTGCCCATTTTCTCCCACTGAGGAATGATGGAGATTCTGATCTTGGCCAAACACAGGTGCTTATTCTCGCCATGGCCGTCAGTTTCGGTATCCAATCTTGGATCGAGGGTGGTGTCGTCGCCGCCGTCATCCTGCTCAACGTCGTCGTCGGTTTCTTCCAGGAATACTCGGCTGAAAAGACCATGGATTCCTTGCGCTCGCTCAGTTCTCCCACCGCTACTGTCGTCCGTAACGGCGAGGCCATGGTCGTGCCCTCTGGTGAAGTCGTTCCCGGCGATTTGATCGAGGTCAAGATGGGCGACACGATTCCCGCCGATATCAGGTACGGACCCATCTCATACTGCGAGCTTGTGTTTCCCATTGCTTGCGTTTGTGACCATTGTGGGGGCGTGTCCATTGACGGGTAGACAGACTCATTGAGGCCAAGAACTTCGAAACCGACGAAGCCCTGTTGACTGGTGAATCCCTGCCCGTGCGGAAGCGCGAGCATGCCACCTTCGAGGACAACACCGGACCCGGTGACCGGCTCAACGTTGCCTACAGCAGCTCGACCGTAACCAAAGGCCGCGCCAAAGGAATTGTCTTCGCGACTGCTACTTTCACCGAGATCGGCGCCATCGCGTCGGCCCTCAACCAAAAGGAACGCCGCGTGCGCCCCGTCAAGCGCAAGGAAAACGGCAAGGCCGGGCCCCATCGTTACCTGGAAGCTTACACTCTCACCCTGGGCGATGCCCTTGGTCGTTTCCTGGGCGTCAACGTCGGCACCCCGCTGCAGCGCAAGCTGAGCAAGCTGGCCATGCTCTTGTTCGGTGTTGCCGTCGTCTGCGCCATCATCGTCCTCGGTGCCAACCGCTTCCACACTTCGCAAGCAGTCATCATCTACGCCGTGGCCACTGGTCTTTCTATGATCCCCGCCTCTCTGGTCGTCGTTCTTACTATTACCATGGCCGCCGGTACCAAGCGCATGGTGCAACGCCACGTCATCGTCCGCAACCTCAAGAGTCTTGAGGCTCTCGGCGCCGTGACCGACATCTGCAGTGACAAGACCGGCACCCTCACCCAGGGCAAGATGGTTGCCCGTGGCGCATGGGTTCCCGGCATCGGCACATATACCGTCGAGCTGACCTCGAGCGAGCCCTTTAACCCAACCCAGGGCGATATCCGCTTTGAGGCCCGCGAGCCGACCGACATCAACTTCGGTCCGCGCTCCGACAAGGAAGAGGAGGGGGCTAGTGAAAAGGCTCCCGTCTCCGCCCCTGCCGACCTTCTCGCCTCCAGCAAATCTCGTCTGCAGGAATTCCTCACCGTCGCCTCGCTTGCCAACGTCGCCACCGTCTTCGAGAAGGAAGGCGCTTGGGTTGCCCGCGGTGACCCCACTGAGATCGCCATCCAGGTCTTCGCCAGCCGTTTCGGCAAGAACAGACTCGATGTCATGAAGGAGACTGGCGGTAATACCCCGGAGTGGCTGGAGGTGGCCGAATTTCCATTCGACAGCGACGTCAAGCGCATGAGTGTCATCATGAAGCACAACACGACCGGAGAGCACTTTGGCTTCACCAAGGGCGCTGTCGAACGGGTTATCCGGGTTTGCACCAAGTATTGCACCGACGACGTGCCCAAGGGTGAGGTCGCCGAGGCTGAGATGACTGAGGAATTCCGGGAGCAGATTCTGGCCAACATGGAGGTGTTCGCCGGCCTCGGACTGCGTGTCCTGGCACTCGCGAGCAGGAAGCTGGACCCCGGCATGAACGCTAGCGAGGACACCGACCGCAACGAGATCGAGAAGGACCTGACTTTCCTCGGCTTGATTGGACTCTACGACCCACCCCGTCCCGAGTCGGCCCCGGCCGTGCGTGAGTGCCACGAGGCTGGCATTTCGGTACACATGCTCACGGGTGACCACCCGGAAACGGCCAAGGCGATCGCCATCGAGGTGGGCATCCTGCCCAAGGCCATGAACAGGGTCAGCGCCGATATCGCCAGCGCCATGGTCATGACTGCCTCTGCATTCGACGCTCTTTCCGACGACGAGGTTGACGGGCTTCCGGTCTTGCCGCTGGTGATTGCGCGATGCGCACCGAGCACCAAGGTGCGCATGATTGACGCCCTCCACCGTCGCAAGAGATTTGTCGCCATGGTAAGCTCACCCCTCAATCCAAACATTTCAACACGAAAGCTAACTAGGAACCACTAGACGGGTGACGGCGTAAATGACTCCCCCTCCCTGCGTCGCGCTGACGTCGGCATTGCCATGGGTCAAGCCGGCTCCGACGTGGCCAAGGACGCCTCCGACATTGTGCTGACTGACGATAACTTCGCCTCCATCGTGGCTGCCATCGAAGAAGGCCGCCGTATCTTCGACAACATCCAGAAGTTCGTCCTGCACGTGCTGGCCGAAAACCTTGCCCAGGCCGGTACTCTCCTTGTGGGTCTTGCTTTCAAGGACGCCTCTTCGCTCTCCGTTTTCCCCCTCGCCCCCGTCGAAATTGTGTGGATCATCATGATCACATCGGGCTTGCCCGACATGGGTCTGGGTTTCGAGCGCGCCGTTCCGGATATCATGCGGCGCCCGCCGCACTCGCTCAAGATGGGTATCTTCACGTTCGAGTTCCTCGTCGATATGGTCGTCTACGGCTTGTGGGTGGCCACGCTGTGCCTGGCCAGTTTCGTGCTGCGTGTTTACGCGTGGGGCAACGGCAACCTTGGCGAGTACTGCAACGACGGCTACAGCGAGCAGTGCGACACCGTCTTCCGCGCCCGCGCCACCACCTTTGCCTGCCTGACCTGGTTCTCGCTCTTCCTCGCCTGGGAGGTCGTCGATATGCGCCGCTCCTTCTTCCGCATGCAGCCCGGCAGCAAGCTCTACTTCACCCAGTGGTTCCACGACGTCTGGCGCAACAAGTTCCTCTTCTGGGCCATCCTGTTCGGCTTCGTCTCCCTCTTCCCCACCCTTTACATCCCCGTCATCAACCACGCCGTCTTCAAGCACACCGGCATCAGCTGGGAGTGGGGCATCGTCTTCGTCGCCGCCGGCCTGTTCTTTGCGGGCGTCGAGGCCTGGAAGTGGGCCAAGCGTGTGTTCTTTAGGAGACGGGCGCGCAAATCCACGGGCAGGGCCTGGAAGGATCTGGACATCGAGGAGCGCGTGTTTGGCGAATATCTCAGCGGTTATGAGAGCTCCGAGGTCGCTGCCGCTAACGGGCGCGATTGACTAAAAAGGGGCGGGAAGCCCCTGGTGACGAAGGCTGGTGTGGTGGTGGCTGTTGGAACGGAAGTGGTTGTTGGTGATGCCATGTGGGTTGTTGATGGCATAAGTGTATTTCCCACCACTGCTGGGGGTGGCGCAGTGGTGGCAAGCGTCGAGGGTTCCCGAAAGGGACAACGCATGGAGACGAAGGGGGTCTGGATGCAGACGGCCCCTGGTCACTGGGGGTCGGGCAGGCCAGGGGCGATGTGTTGTAAACAAAATGGGGAAGAGGACCGTAGTTTCTGCGGACCTCGGGATAGCGAAGAAACTAGTATAGATAGCTCGATAGCGGCTCAGTTAGACTGGCAATCCAATATAACTATTCCGCAGACATTTTGTGATCAATCTGCCGTGAATCAGGTTGGGTTTCGCGCACTGTCACCCGCATATTAACCATTACACTGTGCCTTCAGAACCCATGTGGCACAGAAGTGAGAACCAATCGAACAGGGGGATTATCCGCGTTGCGAGCTCACTGCCACCAACATGAATCACACTGGACAAGGCACGTTGGGGGCGAGTCATCTGGTCCCAAGCGTTCAATCCCTTTTCCACCATCATCATCCCCCCCCAACGAGCGTCTGCAGCAACTCTTCCTTCAAACTCGCGCCGCAGGGAACAAGCAGCAACGCCCTCCGAGGCAAGTATCAGTACACCACCCCGATGACCTTGTACCACAGTTCCGTTGGCTGTCTCTGTGATAAACATTAACAGTGAAAGCTCTCCAGAAATGAGTGCCGATTCATCGGTAGCGCCCGTTCCCGCCATGGGTGAAAACCCAAACTCCCACGGCACGATGAAGATCGAAAATGTACGATTTCATGTTCTGGTCATTCTCATGATATTCAAACCAACTTTAACCCTTCGATAGACAGAAAAGAGGGATACCCTCAAGGCGATCGAGAAGAAATACCAAAAGCTATGGGCAGCAGAGAAGGTATTCGAGTCCGATGCTCCGTCATGCTCGGAATATCCGCTGGAGTCGATTTCGGCGGATGAGCTGCGAGGCAAGGTTCCCAAGTTCTTTGGTTAGTATTAACCTCGCTAGTCCCGACCTTGTCTACCATTCCCGGGCAGGTGCTGACTTGCAAACTCAGGAACCATGGCATACCCGCAAGTCGATCTCACACTTGCGTTGTATCCCTCTTGCTAATAGACGCTCAGTTACGTGAATGGTGTCCCGCATCTAGGCCATGGCTTCACCATCTCCAAGGTAGACTTCACCACTCGTGTTGCTAGGGCTGAAGGCAAGAACACGTTGTATCCTCAGGGGTACCACGCAACGGGTATGCCTATCAAGGCTTGCGCAGACAAACTTGCAAACGAGATTGCCATGTTCGGAGAGCTATTCACGGGTTATAACGAAAGTGTCGCCACCGAAGCGTTGGGGGGCGCATCAGTGCTGCTGCCCAAGCCTAAGGACGATGTTACTAAGTTCACCAACGTAAAGAAAGGTAGGCTTCACGTCTTTAAGGGTCAGCTTTAGGTTGCTAATGGTACTGTAGGCAAGGCAGCACTTAAGTCCGCCAAGGCAAAGTACCAGTTCCAAGTGATGCTGTCGTTGGGCATCCCCCGCGAGGAAATTCACAAATTCGCCGATGCCAAATACTGGTTGCACTATTTCCCCCAGCTGTGGCAGCAACATCTCACCGAGTTCGGCTGTGGGATCGACTGGCGCCGCAGCTTCATCACAACTGATATCAACCCGTACTACGACTCTTTCGTCCGCTGGCAAATGCGGCGGCTTAGGGATCTTGGGAAGATCCGCTTCGGGAAACGGTTCACAGTGTATTCCCCGAAGGATGGCCAGCCATGTCTGGACCATGATCGTGCTTCTGGGGAAGGTGTCCTGGTCCAGGAATATATCGGTCTGAGGTGCAAGGTCGTGGACTGGTCCGCGCGGGCCAAGACAGTCATTTCGACGAACAACTCCCTCCCAAGCAACGCCGACGTCTTCATGATCCCAGCAACCCTACGCCCGGAAACCATGTACGGTCAAACGAATCTTTTTGTCTCTTACAACATCTCGTACGGCATCTTCAAGGTCTCCGACACGGTCTTCTACCTCGCCACAGACAGAGCTGCACGCAACATGGCATTCCAAGGAATCTTCCCTGACTGGGGAAGCGTCCCCAAGGTCATGGAGATCAAGGGCGTCGATTTAGTCGGCACGGCTGTTCGTGCACCGCTCAGCGCCCGAGATGTCATCTACGTCCTGCCCGTGGACACGATCAAGCCTACAAAGGGGACCGGCGTGGTTACATCCGTACCATCAGACAGTCCAGCCGACCATGTCACGACGCTCGAGCTATTCAAAAAGGCTGCGCACTACGGCATCGATCCCCAGTGGGTGTGTCAAGACATCTTGCCGATCATCGACACACCCGAATACGGCAATACCATTGCCCCAACCCTCGTCAAAAAGCTCAAGATCAACTCCCCCAAAGACGAGCGACAGTTGGCCGAGGCCAAAGAACTCGCCTACAAGGTTGGCTTCTACCAGGGCACCATGGTTTACGGGCCATTCACTGGGATGCCAGTCCAAGAAGCCAAGACCCAAATCCGCCAGCAGCTTCTCGACTCAGGAGATGCCTTCATCTACTGCGAGCCCGACGGCCCGGTAACCTCTCGCTCCGGCGAGGACTGCGTCGCCGCATTCCTGGACCAATGGTTCCTAGCATACGGCGTGGACGAGCCGTGGCGGGACGCGACGCTCAGCCACCTGCGCGGCGAGGACGGGCTGGGGTCGTTCAACTGTTTCGGCGCCGTCACCAAGCACGCGCTCGAGCAGACGTTTGGGTGGATGCGCGAGTGGTCCGTCACGCGCCAGTATGGATTGGGGACGGGGCTGCCGTGGGATCCGTCACAGATGGTGGAGGGTTTGTCGGATTCGGCCGTGTACATGGCGTATTATACCGTCGCGGGGTTTTTGCATGCTGATATTTATGGGCAGCGGCCTGGGAGTGCGGGGGTTGGGGCGTCGCAGATGACGGATGGGGTGTGGGATTATGTGTTTGCTCTTGCTGATGGGGTGGAGAGTGAGATTCCGAGGGCGACGCTCGACGCTATGAGGAGGGAGTTCACGTACTGGTACCCGTTGGATGTTCGCATTAGCGGGAAAGACCTTGTGAACAACCATTTTGTGTTCTTTCTTTACATCCATCAAGCCATCTGGGGGAAACAAGCACCGGGCTTGCTTCCAAAGGGTATCAGACTCAATGGCCATCTGACGCTCAACGGCGAGAAGATGAGCAAGAGTACGGGAAACTTTATGACGCTGACCAGCGCGGTGGATAAGTTCGGGGCGGATGCGACTCGGATCGCCCTCGCCGACGGCGGGGACGGCATCGACGACGCCAACTTCGAAGAGACAACTGCCAACGCTACGATCCTGAAACTGTTTGAGCTGAAACGGTGGATCGAGAATGTCGTCCAACAAGCGCGATTGTTGAAGCCCGGCGAAGAATACAGTCAGGTTCGAGCTGTAGAGAAGCTGGACAATGTCGACTCCATCCAGAGAACAGGTCCCCAGAAATTCTGGGACTCGCTGTTCTTGAACGACTTGATGGTATTGATCCGCCAAACCGTTCACGCATACCGGTCGTAAGTTCAAGAACCACGCGCAGAACATTCAGGCAAGACACTAATAGTGGCAAACAGTACCAACTTCAAGGCGGCTCTCAAATCCGGGTTCTACGACTTTACCGCGGCTCGCGATAGCTACCGTGCCGCCACCCATTCAGCATCCATCGGAATGCACCGTGAATGTATCCGCTACTATCTGGAATGGCAAGCACTGATGCTGTCCATTTTTGCGCCGCATTGGGCAGATTATATTTGGAGAGAAGTCCTGCTGAAGGTACCAGGGAGCCCCGTCTCCAGCGGTCCCTATTCGCCAGCTATGCTAACTCGGAGTTTACAGCCCTCTACCATTCAGCTCGAGGTTTTCCCTGGTGTCGCTGAGCCTAGCCCCGAGATGGAATCTACTTCCGAGTACATCAGAACAACGACATCCCGCGTCCTAGCAGCCTACGCCGGCCAGCAGAAGCGCCTGGCTAAGGGCAAGGGAGTGCTCTTCGACCCGATCAAAGACAAGTGCCTGAACATATACGTGGCAAGGTCCTGGCCGGCGTGGCAGCAACGTTATGTTGATCTCGTTCGAGACATGTTTGACGGAGGCACGCTGGACGTGAAGAGCGTGGTGAAGAAGGTGGAGAACGGGGATATGAAGCGGGCTATGCCGTTTGTGCGGGATCTTAAACGCAGATTGGAAGCTGGAGAGGCGCCTGGTTCTGTCCTTGAAAGGGCCTTGGGGTTTGACGAGGTAATGGTTTTGGAGGAGCTGATGCCAATCTTGCGGTCGGGGGTCCCGAGGCTTACAGTGATCAACGTGATTGTCCTCGAAGATCAGAGCCAACAGGGGGACACGAGCGGTACTAGGACTGGAGGAGGCGGGATCCCCAAAGTCGCAAGCTCAGCGGAACCAGGAAATCCGGCGATTCAGTTCCTCAACGTGGTAGAAGCACCGAATATGTTGGCTTTGAACTAATAGAATAGGGGAGGTGTATAGGAAGTAAGGACTACAAAATCATGCATCAAGTCACACGACATCTTCACATATGAGCAGTGCTAAGGAATGAACTAATGGTTATATTTCCCTGTGATTATTCTTCAAGGGCGGCCAGGATTTCTCGGCGTTCGTTATGTGCCTTGACTATATTCATCATATCCTGGTGCACCATCCCGCCTTCGGCAAAAGTCCCTCGAAAGCTAGCCTCTACAAGCTCCTCGAGTGTGGTAGCCCTACACCGGTGCCAGATATCATCGGGGGAGGGCAATTCCGCCCCAGCGTCCAGCAACAACCGCAACTTCGCCGTGCTCTGCGCCTTGATGGCCAAGTGCAGTGCCGTCTCACAGCACATAAAGTCCATAAAGGTACCGATCCTGTCCCACCTTTTGCACGTGTATCTCTCGCACTCCTTGTGCAGCCAGCAGCGGCATGGTACTTCGAGGTGCTGCGACTTGAATTGGCAGGACACGAGATGCGCTGTACCCCAGCTGTCAGACCCGGGCGTTCGCCGCATGTTGAGGTTGCACCCGGCCGGGTGTGTGACAATGAGCCGCAGCGTCTCCAGCGTCCCAACCTCTACCGCCAGCATGGCAGGCGAGAGCATGTTCTTCATGGCGCCGCGGCCATCGGCCCACCAAAAGCTTTCAAAGTCGACACCCGTGCCGTCGAGCAACCCAGTCGCACCGGCCGAAGCGTACATATCGAGCGCCTTGGTGATGGTAGCATGGTCGTTGTTCTCGATGGCCCAGTAGAGCGCCGGCTTGCCCTTGCTCCGTAGCACCTCTCGTTCCCAGAGTAGCGGGTTGGCTATCTTGTAGGTGAGAGTGTTGCACCGCGCGAAGGTGCACAAGGCACGGAAGTCGGGGATTTTGCGGGCGATGTCGTTCAGAATCTCGGTTGGAATGCCTCGCCGCTTGTTAGTTTCGGCCATGGTTTGGTTTGTTAGGATGCTAATTACCCGTAATATTGGTAGAAATCCTGGTTTTGGTTTTAGTCAGTCCTTTACGGGGGTTATAACAAAGTGCAATGGCGAGGGGATGAAAACCAATAACACGTTCTCATTTATATCGGAGGAAATTGTGATATCACCTTGGGCTAACAAAGCCTTGAATCTTTGTCGAGTCCGTTATATCGCGGGATGGTGCCGGGGTCCTCCCGTGAACAACAACGGAGGGCTGGGGAGTTATAACAGGGCTAACAAAAGGAGTAAACATGTTTTTGGCTCAACCATCTGGATTCCATGCTGCACGAAGTCTTGGACCAAAGGTTCTCCCCCTCAAAGTCTAACCCCTGAATACCAACCACCACCAGACAAGGTTTCACGGACCGGTTCGCGATCTACCGTTACCCATTGCATAACAGACCTCAACAACCTCGCCTTAACACCCTCGTCCTGGCCAATTTCTATTTTACCAACCCCCTCCGCCCCATAAGATCTGCATCCCGGTCACTCCGGCGTCGCCTTGCAGCCTCCAGCAAATTTTCCTCGCGCATTTTCTGAAGATGGTGGGTCAACAAAGCTTCCTGCCTGCTCCGGGTCAGTCACAACCGCATCGTCAACAGCACCAGGGTTGCGTCTGGAAACGGGGTGGGTTCTTACGTCGGAGCCCTCCCAACGACGGCGGCGTTGTCCCCTTCCACGCGAGGGACGGTGAATACGTGGACTACGTCGGGCATGTCTGGTTTGACGTTGACGCCTTTGGTGGCGATCCACTCGAGGTCGGGCGCGTTTGTTGGGGGCTGGTAGTCGAAAAGCTGGTGCTGGCCCTCTGGGTTGTCTCTGATGTACTCTGCCTCGTACCGGTTCTTGGGGTTTGCCCGCTTGCGGACGGGCTCGATGGTGACGACGTGTCCCGACTTGGTCTCGTTCCGGCCATAGGCCACGGCGGCCTTCTGTGTACCTAGACGTTTGTTGAGTTGGTGAACTACTTCTAGTACGTTATCCGGGTGGACGTTGGTGACAAGGACACTAATTAGTGAGGAATGAACACTTGGTGATTAGCCCATCCGGTTTCCCTTTTGCTGTATGACGTTTCAGCTCGTGGGACGACGTACCCATGTTGCTGGTCGACCATTGCCTGGATCTGGTCAAGAGACCTTGCAGTCAGCTTCGTTCCAAACGGGACGCCGTGGTACTCGTTCGCATATTGCTCCACTGGTATGTCCTTGAGACGCGCCATGCATCTCCAAGCACAGTCCTCGTACTTAAAAACCATGTGAATATCATCGGTGTCTGCAATAACAACAGGCTCGTGGGGCTCGATATCCATGTCCTCGATTCCCTCGATGTGATTCAGATTGACCTGTAAAGGGACTTCGTGGGGATCGGCAATCACGGGCATCTCAGGTCGAGTCCTGGCTGCCGGCTGTGGTCGTCCCCCCGACGCCCCTGATGCTTTTGCTCGGGCACCTTTGGCACGGGGACGGGGGCCACCAAACGTACGATCGCTCTCCGCTCCATGGTAGTCCACTCCAGTCTCAGGTGCGCTGGTCCCGGCAACGGGCTCGTCGTCGAGAAGAACACCTTCGCTTGGCTCGTGGTAACTGAAGTGGAAGTCCGATGTCGAGGCCGCGGCAGTGGTCTCGTTGCCGAGGCTGCGGGTCACACTAGACAGTTCCGAAAGGGGCTGGGCCATCTTCACCGTTGCCTGGCGAGTGACGGCGCCCCCCTCGCCCCCCAAGGCGCCGGTCGCAAAATCGGCGATCGGAGTGGTGACAACGTTGTAGACATCGCATGCATCACCGGTCTTGATGGCCTGGTCCGCGAGACTAATGTAGCCGTTCGGGGTGAACTTCCCCTTTTCGATAGACTTCTCAGCGGTCACGGCAGCATCGTATGCCAGGCCGGCCACCAATGTCGCGGTGCCGGCTGCAACTACCCCAGCGCCCCCCGTAGCCACCGTGACGGCGAGGACAGCGGTTGAGCGGTTGGCGCTGTTGAGGCACCGTTCTGCACCCTCCTCGTCCCCTTCGCAGTAGTGCACCACGGCCATGACGTGTCCCACCACGGGGGTGTTTTCGCCCAGTTCTTCCATGGCTTGGGCCTGCGCTTTGACTATGCGCGCAGTTTGGGGGCCATCGTTGTTCAGCTCGGCGCAGGCAAGCCTGATGTTGGAGGCGACCATGCTGCGATCCGCATAGTCCTCCCAGGACTTCCCGGCGCTGGTGATAAGCTTTTCGGCGGCTTCATGATCGAAGGGGTAACAGACGCCTGCGGCCACAGTGCGGCCGGCGCTGTCGATGACAGTGAGAGCCTCGCCAACCACCGGAAGAGATTTTGCCGCGCCCATGATGTGAGGGAAATTCTGGTCGGAAACAAAGGGGGGGATGGGGTAACTGGTCACCCCTGCTCGGGGTAAGTTCTAGGGAGACTGCAATGCTGGTTCGCGGCGCTATGAGAAGTTTGGTTCTGCGATGGATTGCGAAAAGACTGGTGAAAGAAGGACGGGAGAGATTAATATATCAGGGGTTCCCGTGCTCAGGCCAGAACCCAGGGTGAAACCCAAGAAAGCAGTTCCCGGATTCGCCGCCATGGGGAGTACCACAAACCAGACACGGCGCAATTCGCGTCCGACAGAACCTAAGGAATGGCAAACAGCTTTGTCGGGTATCGTCAGGACAGCTGCAACATCTAGGGTCTGGTAGGAAAGATGTGGTCTAGACCTGAGATCGACTCTGAGTTAGGTCCCGGCGCATTACGATAAGCCTATGACAAGATGACAGCGGTATGCTCTTGATTTCCCATGGTCTCTAGTTTAATCCCGCACCAATGAGTAGAGATGGCCAACAGGAAGCTAACGCACAGTCTCTCACTGAAACGTTAGGCGTGCGTCGTGCCGCTGGTCTCTCACTGGTCCCCCGCCGCGTTGGTACCCAACCCCCCTTCCTGGTGTTTATCACCAGTTTGAGGGGAGGGGAGCCCAACACACAAACGCAGTTACGAACTATCAAGGGCCGTGTCCCGGAACGTTCCTTTCTGGTGCGATGCCACACAAGTCACAGGAACCATGGCAACATCGGGGGAAATGATAACGTCGAAGAAGTGTCGAAAGACGCGCACTCCTTCATGGTAAGGCACTGTCTCCCATTTCCCAACCCGACAGTAACGCTGGACGATCCGTATCCCCTCGTGAGCCCGATGTTGAAGTGTAGATCGACGCCTTAAACGGCTGAGAGTGGTTATTAAGACGCCGTAGTACGATGTGGCTGGCTGATGTGGGTGGGTTTCTATCTCGACCGGGCAGAAAGAGGACGTGCAGCCGACGCTAACCAATGCTTGACCTTCTTAATAGGTGGGTTAGACAACTCTCTCTGGCTCCTGGTCAGGGAATCTGCAGAAGTCAGCCGCACAACGCTCGAAGGGGAGAGTGTATGCGTGGAAGGGGCCGGAATGCAAAGTCGAGATCATCCCGACACGGCACGGGCGCGAGTGTGATATCGTTTTGCATTACATCAATAACCGAACAAAAGATGTTCCGTGCCTTCATCATCCACGGGCCGCAGGAGGGTATTCTGGGATACTTTAACAAAACCCCTCGCCCGATACCAGACCGTCCGGCCCGAGAAAAGCAGCACCTTGGTCGGCGAACCGGAAACTGGTGCCGGCCGCCATGGATCTACTATGCAGCACGGACATCCTAAGTGGCATGACAGTGCCGTCATGCTAGTTCCATACCAGCTAGTCCATGCCATCATGAGCTCTCGGGACCCAAATCTGTGGTCGATATCGCCATGGCGCCAACATCTGTGGTCGATATCGCCATGGCGCCAACCAGCTGACCATCTCGGCGTTCAGCAGCAGCCCCTCATTCTCCAACTTTCCCCAATATTACTGAACTATTAGTTTGTTCCAGACTTGTTTGTTCAACACTGGGGTAATTCAGGTTAGGCCTGGAGATTCGGACACAGTGATGCAAGGATGTTGAATGTTCAAAGTCGCATTCGTACCACGGATCATGATTTCCGAGCAAACCAGTTTGGACCAGTTCCGGCCAGGTTGGACCAGGTTGACGGGCCAAACCACATCGTCTTTGGTTCGATCCGGCAGACATGGTTACATTTCCCCAATCTCACCCCAACCACGAACCCTGCATCATGCAGGTAATCCTCGTCAGGACATCTGAAGCCGCTTGCACAACCAAGCTGGTTGCTCAAGGTCGTAGTCGACCAACTCCGGCCGATGGTACTCGACACAAATATGTATTAGACTATGGCTGCATCCCCCGGCCGTGTGACGGTGTCGTCCGCCGGTCAAAATAACCATCAATCTACCATGCACCCCATCCCACTTCATCCTTCTTCCAACTTCACACATGTCCAATAGAGCCAAATATCTCAGCCTCTACGAACATGGGCTCTCAACAGAACAGGGAGAGGCACTTGGTGCAGAGGTACAGCCCCTCATATTACAACATCACACACGTGTGGCAACAACTAACTGACGCCTTTCGTATAACAGTCACGCTAGGGAGGGTGACGTACCCGGCACGGTCGACCTCAGCACCAAAGGTGGGCTCATAATCTACCTCGACGTTGTGCTTTCCGTGGATGTACTTACAGTAACGCACCAGAGGGCGATGACACCGGCTACGGCCAGGCTCTGTATCCAGTCCCCGCGGAAGACCCCAATGACCCATTGCAGGTTCGTGTCCCCGTCGTTGACACGGACAAACGGGACTCGATAGATTGACAAACCCTACGCAGTGGTCCAACACCCGAAAGAGCCTCATCCTTGTCGTTTGCTCCGTCTACTCGTTCCTCAGTAACTCAGCTCTTCTTGGACCGGCGGTCTACATCGGAATCTACGCTGAAGAGTTTGAGATCTCACCGACCAAGGCGAGCAACCTAATCAGCTATGCGAATCTTGCCTTTGGATTTGGTGGGTGTTCCAACGCGTTGGGAGCCGAGGGGATAGAATTAACCAGGGCCTAGGCTCTCTTCTCCTAGTGCCTGCGTATCACAAGTTTGGCCGCCGGCCAGTTATGCTGGCGTCGCTAATAGGGGTAGGTTTCTTGCCCTAATTGGTGGTTTCTAAATGATTTTCGAGAACCTCATCTAACTGCAGCCTGGGTGGCAGTACTGCGCCGGACTCATCGCCTGCTCGCAAGTAACGACGTATGAAGGGCTGATGGCGGCGCGAGTCATCCACTGCTTCGCCGCCTCTGTGTGCGAAGCGCTTCCTGTGCAGCTAGTCAACGACATCTTCTTTCTACACGAGCGGGGAAAGCGATTGGGCTACTACACTGGTTTGTTCCTCTCGTGATTTCAGGACGCTCGAAAACTAATGGTTTATGCGGACAGTCTGCCTATGCTTTGGTTCTACCGGCCCTCTCTACGCCGGCTACATGCTTGCCGGCGGCTACTCCTGGCGCCTCTTCTTCTACGTCGAGTTTGCGTTTGGGTGCGCCCTGCTAATTCTCGCCTTCTTCGTCGTCGAGGAGACACTCTACCACCGCAACAAACCAGTAACGGAACCACCCCACGAATCCTCCAGCTCCCAAAACGACGACAAGAACCCCATCTCCAACGCCGTCAACGTCGAGCACGCAACACCCGCAACAGCCACCTCACCCCGCAAGACCTTCGTCCAAACCCTCAAGTTCTGGGGTGTCTACGACAAAGACACAGAATTCTTCCTCATGATCGCCCGCTCCTTCACCTACTTCCTCGTCCCCCACGTGCTCTGGGTGATCACCACCTACGGTCAGCCCCCCTCTCTACCCGCACCACGCCCCTTCCCCCCTATCTCCTCTCCACTAACAACCCCCTCCAGGAATCTACATCGGCCTCGGCGCCCTCAGCTTCAACTACACCTTCCCGCTCAAAATTACCGCCCCGCCCTACAACTGGTCCCAGACCTCTTCCGGCCTAATCGCAGTAGCCTCCTTCCTGGGCTATCTCCTCGCCATCCCCTTCAACGCCTCATCCGACCGCCTGGCCGCACGCCTGACGCGCAAGAACGGCGGGGTGCGCGAGGCCGAGATGCGGCTGGGCGTCATGCTGCCCGTGATGCTGCTGGCGCCCGCGGGCCTGGTGGTGTACGGGTTCGCGGCGGAGAGAGACTTGCATTGGGTGGCGTACTTTGCCGGGGTGGCGATGACGAACTTTGCGAGCTATTTCTATTTTACGTTTACGCTGGCGTATGCGATTGATAGTTATACGGCGAATATTAGCGAGATGCTGATTGCGATGAACTTGGGCAAGCAGGCGGTTTCGTTTGGGATGGGGTTGGATTTGCTGAGCTGGGTGCTGCAGCATGGGTATGCGGTGATGATTGCGGGTGTGTTTTGTGCGGTGGTGTTGGTGAATAACCTGGCGTTGGTGGTGTTTATGTTGTGGGGGAAGAGGATTAGGCGGTTTATGGCTACGACGTGGTTGGCGAGGGTGCACCGGGCGAGCGTGAAGGAGGTTGCTACGCATTGAGGGCGGCGGCATGTGATATGGTTCTTTATGTTGAGATACTATTACAGCTAAACTCTGCCAGTGACATATTGGTTACCCAACTTGTTTAAGAAGCAGTTTAAGGGTTGCGATGCCGAGAATATCAGCAGCCCCTTTTTCTTCCAATGTTTATGGAAACAGTGTTACCGGTCATGGGTTTCGGCTTCAAAGCTCGCGTGGCTCGTCATATCACAAAGGAATAAACACTCGTGACACCCTTACCCTCATCTGAACTAAAGGATCGCGGCATGACCCTCGGGGAGTATGTAGCACACGAGGGTATGATAACTCTTCAACCTTGCCGCCTCTTATAGGCACCTACCACTCCAACCATCACTCGATGAAGATTGCCAACGTGCCCCTTTCACAAAACAATCCGCCTATCACAACCAGAAGCAGGATCATCGCGCCATGCATAAGTCACGAATCTTCAAGCAAGCCATCAGGCTCTTCCTCCTTCTCTCAACAGCCAACCCCCCAGGCGCCCTTGGCTTACAAGAACGCAGGGATCTCTGCGGACTCAGCATGCACACCTCCGAGATCCCCGACATCGGCAACTTCTCCGTCATTGACGCCAGCTGGACAGTTCCCGTAGTAATCACCCGTGAGGACGACACGGCAAAGGATGCCCCGTATGTCTCGCAAGGTGTGGCCCTCTGCTGCGGCGACGACTGCTCAACCCGACTCTCCGCCGGTATGTGGGTATATGAGCGGTCACCCGAGGGTAAACACGCTGGATTCGCCATGTTCCAGCTCAGCCCGACGTTTGGGACGTTCTTGATTCCACATGAACACCAATTATGTATGCCAACAACCGACTCAACACGTCTACGAGCCGCAAATACTGACTCTGCACAGATTTGAACGATGGGGACATCCTCTGGACGCGAGCGGAAATCCTAGGGCCGAATCTAGCACAACTGTAAGTTGACCTAATATGCAAAAACACCACATCCAGTGTGAGACTGACAGAGTATCCCCCTATTATCAGGACATTCTCCAAAGTCGTAAACGAGACGTCCAATATCACCCTCAGCGTGGATCTCGGGATCGGGATACGGGATAGCATGACCATCCTGAGCATTGCCACGCGGGGAAACGGGGCAGAATTGCACCACACGCAATTCCCCCGACACAAATTCGACCCCAAGCCCGAGTTTTGCGGCGACTCGGCGTGGTGGTATCTGTCAGACAACTTCGATGTCGGGGAGCAGACCGACAGGCCCATGGGACTGTCCCGATTCTCCCCCGTGCTCGTGGCGGACCACGGGCTGCAGACGACGGACAAGAAATCGTTCCCGGCCAGATTGCCGGTGAGCGGGCTGGGGCGGTTCTGGAACATGGTGCGGGACACGGGGGGGCAGACTGAGGCGCTGTGCGCCGCTACGGAGTTTGAGGGCACGGGCATGACCCTGTTCTACGCTCTTTGACCGTGATGGGGGTACGGTGGATGGCTCTGGTGTTAGGGGGATCCTGATTTGGACACAGAGGGAGGTTATTAACATGAATTATGATTCCATCAGAGGCAGCTGGTTGGCACACTTTGGACGATAACCGCTCGGTTGCGAGGATTTGGGATCTCCACATATTGATATCGCTTCACGACGGGGCTGATGAGCCTTCATTCTAAAAGTCAATGCAAGATGCCACAGGCTGACCCGCCCTTACCCCAACGATGACTTTTGGTGGCCACAACACCTTCCAGCCTTCTCAGTCCATAGCAATCTCCCCCTCAACAATCTTCCGAATCGTGTCGATGCTGCCCTCCACCGCCATCTTGGCCATCTATAACCGTCAGTCAGTCAGTCACTCATCAACCCCCTCTCCCTATCCCCCCCCAAACCAAACAAAACAAAACCAAAACGCAAAACTCACCTTAACATACCCCCCCTCCAACTCCCTGGCCTTCTCCCCCCCCTCCTCCACCCCCTCCACCCTCCACTCAAACACATACGTCATCATCAACTCCCCCTCCGGCCCCAAACTCACATAATTCCCCACCGTCGTGCCATCCTCCTGCACAAAATCGATCCGGCACGGCGCGTACAGCCGGCACACCTCGCGGATCGTGCCGCCGCCCTTGGGCCCGGCCCCCTCGCGGAAGGTCGCCAGCCGCGTGATGACGTGGGCGCCGTCGGTGCCGGCGGCGGGTTTTTCTTCCGAGACGACCTCGCACGCCGTGATGACGGGCACGAATTTCTCGGCGCGGCGGACCTTGTATTGCAGGCCGGTCCAGACTTGGGCGGGGGTGAGCGTGGGGGTGGCTCCGGGGGGGTTGATGGGGGCGGTGTAGGCGAAGTTGAAGGTTACCATGGTGGGTGGTGGTTGTTGTTGGCTTTGTTGAGGTTGTGATGTTTGGTTTTGAGGTGGGAGTGGAATGAAGGAAGTGAGCGGTTTTATGTTGTGGAACAGCCTGTGTGTTGGTTGCTCTCTGTTGAGTGAGTCTGTCCGACGAAGGAGGTCCGGAAGTCCCCACCGGTCGGACTGTGCTTCGTAGCGATTGGTTGGAAAGACCGAGAGACGCGGGACGGAAGGGGGGAAGTGGAAGGAAGGCCGACTGCGACCTGTTAGAAGCGGGAGCCCAAAGGGAGGAAGGGCCAGATGCGGACGGAGACCTCCAAAAGGGCCCTGGGCAAAGTGCATATTCCCCAGACCGGCGCCGGACAACAACAACCACAACGCACCCACTGCTACAACTCCATTCCTCATAAAACAGCAAAGTGCAAATTCCTAACCCTAGATAGCCTACCCCCCTCTCCTCCCCATACTCTTCCGCCCACTCTCCTCATCCCCAACCGACGACACCCTCCCCTCCACCAACCCCCTCACGCTCGCACAACTCCCGCCATCATCCCCCACCTCCCCATACTGAATCGCAATCGTATTCTCCACCACAATCTTCCCACCACCACCTCCACCACCAGCACCACCACCACCCGTCCCCCCAGCCGGTCCCCCCAAACTCTTCCTCACCCCGCTCCGCATACTAGACGCCCCCGCTCCCGTACTGGTGAGGTTGGTCACGGGCTCGAGCTCGTAGCGCGACGAGGTGCCGACGACATGGGGGAGCATGCGGCGCAGCAGCAGGCGGAAGGAGGGCAGGCAGGGGCAGATGACGCCGACGTCGAGCTCGATGCTGGACCAGAGGCATACTTGGACTATGTCCTCTGTGAATGGGAAGGGGTTAGTGGGTGTCTGGGTTGAGAAGGGTGGGTTGGGGGTTGGGGTGGGAGAGTGTAAGTAGGGAGGCGCGAGGGGAGTGGACTGACTGGTTGGGTTGCCGGTGCGTGTGAACTCGTCGATGGTTTTGAGCCGGACGAGGCTGATGATCATGACGCTGGGGGTGGTTGTCAGTATGACTGGAGGCTCGTGAGTAGCGGCAGGAAGGGGCACCCACGCAGCACCGACGAAAAACATCATTGCCCCCATCACCTTTTTCTTCCAGTGCAAGTTCAGCGCCAGCAACTGCGGGAATGGCAGTGCCAGCAGCCACAGGTCGAACGCGATGCCCGTCGCGGCTGCCACCCAAGCGAGTATGTTGCCGTTGCCACAGCTGCCCTGGTGGACGCCCTCCCACTGGTTCCAAAAGTTCGAGATGGGTGTGCACTGGAATATGACGGCAAAGAGGAAGCTGAGGTAATAAACGACGTTGAATATCATGGTGTACTGCAGCACACGGCCGAGCTTGCTGTCCGAGCTGGGCGGGAAGATGCGCATGTAAAAGAGGATGATGGAGGCGCGTAAGAAGAATCGGGTGATGGTGTAGAAAACCATCTCGACGAAAAACATCTATGATGGCGTGAATTATTGAGTCAGCGATGAGGGGTGGACCGTAGTTGGAACGGGTTAGGTTACCTTGATAATGAGCGTGACGTTGTTGTGCGGGACGAACCAGATATCCAAGGCTTGCCCAAGGTCGACGGCTAGGTAAAAAGCACGGTTAGGTTTCGGCATGGGGCTTCAAACGGCAGGGCAGGTCACCTTTAAGATTCATAGCAGTGACCAGCGCAGCGCCAATCTTGAACTCTGTTAGCAAATGTCAACATTGGTTCGACGGGCGAGTGCACATACGAAGCCAAAGAGGTTGGCAAAGTCATCCCACCAAAAGTAGGCCTGCGTGAGGACCCGGGAAACCAGGCGCAGGATCACGGCGACGACGGCCAGGCCGATGAAGACAGAGTATATCGGGATAAGGCTTCCGTCCTTCTCGGGTGAGTTCCCGCACATGAGCGAGGTGATGTTCTTGGCAGCTACGCAGCATCAGCGTACCGCCAATGGCTAGGTATGTTCGCCAGGAAGGCCATACTGAGAGACTCTCTGATGGTGCAGGATGATTGAATGCACCCCGTGACCGCTTTGTCAAACTGGACATCGCCGCAGAGGCAAGCGGCGTCCACCGAGGGGCAGGCAGACTGGCTTATCGCTGTAGTAAAACAGTTCCGCTGGTGTGATACGTCAGCCGACTGTCTGTTCCATGGGCGGCTGCAGCACATACTGCGCAGTCTGGGAGGGCTGCGTAGCCTTCGTCGAGCGGGATCGAGACGTCGGTAGTACCGGCGGAGGCGCCATTGGCCAAGGTGAGAAGACACAGGCCAAGAATGGCGCATGCGTTTCGGAAGGACGACATGTCAGGTCACCATTCGCAATGGGCCCTCGCAGCCTGGCTCGAGACCCTGGGTGAAGAAGCTGGGGAAGAGACGAAGGCGGAGACTTGACAGCCCGTCACTCGGTCCCGACCGAACGGACTGGGGGGGACACCTTGTATTTACGTCCCCGAGAGCTACCGCAGCCGACCCGCCAAACATGAGCCGGATGCCGACCCCAGGTCCCAAGTGCATGGAAACCACGTTGACATGTCACAGCAGGGAGTCCTTGGCAGATCGGGCCCTTACTGGCGGTGCAGAGCGTGCAGCAGACGCATTGAAATTAGGGCCTTGCCCAAGACGGGGCATGCTGCTACCAGTCACAATTTTGATCTTGCGAGATACCACCGGCCCTTCTCTCGGGCGGAGCTGTCACGGGCCAACCTCGTTCGTTGCAACCGTTGAGAGATGGTGAATGGCCAAGACGGTCGGAGGACTCCTCATGTGAAAGCCGCGGATGGAGATCCTGACCCGCTTCGCCGTGGGCCGAGGCGGGGCGTTTGCGGGCGTTTGACATGACGGGGGTGAGTTGTTGGGTCGCGCGGGATTTGACGAAAACGGGCCCTCTCTCCGACCCTGGTAGCCATGAAGGCGATTGGATGGATTTGTCCACGAACAAAACACCCTTGATGCAACGCAGAACGAGGAATTTGTATTCGGGTATTATAAGAGTGATGCCCTGATGCAGTCGAGGAACTCGCCATGCTCCATGCACTCGGCCGGCTCCGAGTCGACACCGAAGTTGAGTTGACATGCCGCCGGTTCGAGTTGGTATGTATGTACGCCAAGGACCCAGGCCCTGGAATGCATCGGTTTTGCACGTGCAAGTCTGGCACCTCAAAACGGAAGGCTGTTGCGCGTATGGAAGGCTGTGAGACTGCCGATGTTTTCATGAGCTGAAGAGGATGGTTCTTGATACTCTTCATGATGCGGACGGTGGTATCCAACGACTAGTGGATGTACTTCGTCAGTCTTGGTGCGGTTGGTTCGCCGGCAGGGAGTTGCTTGCGAATTGATGGTTTCGCCACGGCGGGAACCAAAAAGTGTCAGTATCTCCCGCAACGGAGCCTGTCGCACGATAAAAGATAAAATGGGCCATGCAACGTCCCGCGGACATGGCAACCCATCGAGCAGCCCAGCCCTTGCAGCCCGCATGCTTCGTAAGCGTTGACAGCCTCTCACAGCGCCAAACCAGTGGGACGAGCGAGAATGTGGAATGTTGAGCAGGAGTCTGGTGGGGCCAGCTTCAACCGCGGCTCACAGACAAAAATCTTGTTTGTTCGTCCCGACTTGGCGTCACTTTCGGGCCGCGGGGTTCAAGGCAGTTCAAGGCAAGGGCTTGGGCAAATCGTACCCACAGGAGGGTGTCCATCATCGCCGACTCGAAGTCTAGGAAGGAAGGTGAGGGGCGGTAGTTCGCCGAGATCTTCGTCCGGCCGAGTTGCATGCCCCATTGCGTACCGCGCGCCGTGTTTCTGCAGAGTTTTTCGATGGTCGCGTTCTTCACCGGCACCTGAACAAGAGGTTCAATTCCAAAACGGGCAACCATCAAGCACCAACCATGTGGCAGCCCTGACATGTGGGGCCTCGAGGGCTTGTTGCTCGTCCCCACAAAATATTCGGCTTCAGGGGGACTGAGTGCAGGAACCTGAGTCTCAAAATCTCGTCTTTAATCTGTACTTCATACAATACTACAATAGGCAATTCTTACAAGAGCAACCAAATGACAATTCTGTCCAAGGACCATGGAGTCACCTATGTTCGTTTATCGAACTGGTAGCGTCGTCCATGTACGGCCCTTTGGTGGCTTTGTTTGGGTGGAAAAGGGGGAGGAAAAAGACGATGCACAACCCGGAGACATGCACCCAAAGCTCTTTCCTTCAGAGCGGTCAACCCACCATTTCGCAAAACCAAAATTGAAGTTCATTTTCTCTTGACAGAATAGGTAGCCACGCTAGTTGCAGAGCCAAAAGACTCAAAGTTGACCACAAACTATTCCATTATTTCAGATTTGGAACATTTCGCCCCGGCCATCGTGAAGCAGAATAACTCAAGTCATGGAAGTTGATACCAGAAAATAAAACTTGTGTATACACCGCCCAACACCCATGATAATCAAGAGATCGGGACGGCCGCGCTCGTCGCGTTTGACGGGCCCCCGAGCTCCAAACGACGCGGGAGAGTCCGACCGTTCACAGCAGCAGCCGTGGAACGGCAGAGACCAGAAGAGGCAGCCCAGTCGCTGTCGACACAGAGCGCCCAGAGACGGCCGATGACCTGGCATGGGTAGTACCGGTCACCGCCATCCTGACCCAGATACAACGGATAATGGCGGCCATCCGTCTTGTCGGAAACATAATCCACCACTGACAACCCACCACCCCACGACGCGATCTTGTTCCCACCGCCGCAGTCAAACTCCCCCCCACTCTCCGCCTCGTCTATCAAGCACCCCGGCGAGCTCACCGTCAGACACGAGATGGTGCGCGAGCACACCAGCTCCCCGTCCTCGTACACCCGCAGCGTCGCCTCAGTGTTGATCGGGTGCATGCTCAGGCTCAGGTACCCCCACACGCACGACACCCGCTCCACGCGCGCGCAGAAGCCCGTCCGGCACATGTTGTACACCGTGCACCCGCCCGTGTCGTGCCCGCCGCAACCCCAGGGGACGTCCTGTCGCGCTGCGAGGGGGTGGAGGAGGGCAGGGGAGATGTCGGTGGTGTTGTTGTTGGTGCTGGTGTTGGCTTCGGCTGCTGCCGCTGCCGCTGCCGCTGCCGCTGCGGCGGCGGCGTTGGCCGCTAATGCCATGACCGGGGCTTCGGTGTCGTGGACGCGGGGGTAGACGGCGGCGTGGCTTGCATCGTTCCGTGCCGGCTCCAGCACTCTCGGTTGTTGTTGGTGCTTCTGGTGTGAGCGGCGCGGGAAGCGGCCACCGACCGCTGTCGACTGGGATGGGGCAGGTGTAGGCGTGGGTTGCATGGGCGGGGCCGTCAACAGCGCCTCTACGATGGCCGGTTCTGGCGCGTCAGTCCGTTTCTTGAACGAGCAGAGCGTGGCCTGCGTTGGCTGGAGGCAGATTGGGTAGTCGGACGGGCACAGCGGCGTGCCGACGGTCGGCCAGGCCGGGCAGGGTGCCCGTGTAGGCAGGCAGATGGCGTCGGTGAAGCACACGGTGCGGCCCCCGCTGCCGTTGCAGATGGTGGTCGACGAGTACGTCGCGCAGCCCGGCCCGCTGTACGGCGCGTCGCCGGTCAGCGACGGCAGCGACGGTGGTGCGCACGCGCTGCTGGTGATGCACGCAATCTGCCCGCCGCTGCCGTTGCACACGGTCGTGGTCGTGTACGATTCGCATGATGTTGAGCTGATCGGCGGCAGTGACACCGGCGGCGTCGTTGTCGTCGGCTGGTGCGCCGGGTCCTCCGGGTCCCAGCGGTCCGGCGGGAATCCCGTGGGCGACGGCACGCAGTAGTAGCCTGTGCAGAGCGTGCCGCAGCCCGGAGAGCCGGGGACGCACGTCGGCGATGCCGGGCCCGGCGAGAAGGTGATAGGGTCGCCGATGGCGCCCGGCCCACGTCCGTCGTCGCCCCCGGTGCCGGGCCGTACCACACACACGCCGCCGGCGCGCTTGGCAATCTGGCTTCGGTCTGCGGCCTCTGCTGTTCCCGGCTGTGAGCACCCGGCGCCAAAGGGCTCCAAGTCTTCGATCCTGCCCTGGGGGCAGCTGGAGTGGATGGCCGGATTCACGAGGCAGTTCTCCCCTTCAAATGTTCCGGTCCAGATAAACGGAACCTTGTCGAGATTTTGCCGCTCAGGAGGAAACATGCTATCGGGGAACACCTGTGTCTGGTCGAGGTTCTCGGCAAGATCCTCGTCCAGGATCACCCGCTGCATATACAGCAGGAGCTTCTTCACGTTGGCGGGCTTTTTGAGCTCCTCACCCCACCCGTTTGCGATATTCGGGAGGCTGCGCCAGTAGGCAACAAGGCCTGCGATCAAGGGTGTCGCTGTTTTTGTTCGCGTTAGCGTGTCTTTCTCTTGGATCAGGAAGGGAAGGAGAAGGGGGGGGGGGGGGGGGGGGGAGGAGTTAGGGAAAGAGAGGAGAATGGCGAGGAAAGAAGAAGAGGTAGGTTAGATGGCGTACCAAACGAATTGCCTATATCTCCCCAACTAATCTCATCGAAACTGCCCTCAGTAGCCACATACAACTGGAAGGCCGGGGCCATGACCAGCCAATTAGCGTACGGGCTTTGCGCCGCGAGTCGGCCGGTAGCGTCCACGCCACCGACGACCACCAGGCTATCTACCTTTTGCCCGTTCGCACCGGGGTCGGCAAAGCGGAGTGGGAGCCCGGTAAAATCATCGCCCAGATCGAGCCAGTTATTGTGGGCAGAACAGATGATGACAACATCCAGCTCCTCCAACTTTTTGAGAATCTCATCTAGGTCAACGTGTCAGCTCAGCTCAAACTACACCATGGATACGGGCACGGCGAAGCGAATAGTGCCCGAGAAACGTGAGGGCTAAATTGGAAGAAAGAAAAAGATCCAAAACAGGATGGCAAAAGAGTAGGGGCAGACTTACACATCCTTCTCGCCATGGTCTGGCCGACCACCCGGCTGTGGATGTGGTTTGTAAGCGAGTGGGAGTAGGTGGCAATGATCTTGCCCCTCTGGTTCGGATCAGCAGCGTAGAGTCTCTTGACTTCGTTGTACACTCGAACCCAGCCCTCCACGTGCCGTTCGTAGATTTGGTTGAATCCGTCCTCGGGCGGATTCCGATCGTCTGCGACCACAATGATCTGCGCTGTCTTGGCCAGACCCAGCTCCCAGCCCGTGACCTTACTCACGACTGACGTGCCGTGGGTGGTATCAGTATCGACGTTTTCAAACACGTCCCCGCCCCAGTCGAACTTCGGCAGCTCGCGTATGGCCGGCCGCGAGAAAGCCCTACGGCCGAAGTAACCATCTTCGGCGAACTCCTCGTGCTTCCGGAAGAAGCCGTCCTCGAGCACGAAGATGGTCTGACCCTCGCCGAATGACTCCTCCCCGGTGTAAACCATATCGTGCTCTTGGTTGATGCTGCCTTCCACGCCTGTACTCCACCCTCCGTCCCATTTCTCGCTGGGGGCTACCTCTATTTGGGGGAGCTCCCAGAACGGCGTCTCGATGTCAAAGAACTCCCTACGGTGGTTTCTGGACCGAGTGGAGTCATCATCCGAGCTGTCGTCCGAGTCGTCCCCGTCCGAGTCACCATCACCTGGCGCCGTTGTGCCCTGTTTATTCTTATTATAAATGCCGTACGCCTCGGCCACCTCGAACCTCATGTTCTTCAGATCTGCGATGTGGCAGGTCTTCATGTTGGGCACGAAGAAGAGCACGACCCAGTCTTCGCCGTCCGCCTTCACCTCCTTGTAGTAACCGTAGTTGGTATGGTCGGGCAGGTCCGGGTTGTTATCGTTGTTGGTGAGGAAGTTTCGGATCGTCGCGATAGCCTCGGGATCATCCGGAAACCGGGGCCAGATCATAGCGTGGTCGCGCCCGGCCTCTGGCGGTTGCTCTGCTCTCTTTGTGACTTTCTTGACTGCCGCCCGCCTGGTGTTGTTTCTGCCGGCAGCGATGGTGGAGCTAATGGCAGAGGCGGAAGAAGAGGGGACAGAAGTAGCAGAAGAAACCGCAGGGGTGAGGCTGGTCACGAACGCGGCTACAGCAGGCGGTGCGGTACGCATTGCTACGACACTGCACTCGCTACCACGGGTGCTGGTGGTGTCGTAGTCTCCATCGGTGACAACGCATCCCCGGATGGTGTCGCATGTGGTGGTCGCCGTCGATGTGATTGTGCTAGTGGTTCCATCCCTTACGGTAGTCGAGATGAACGTGGACGTGCTGCAGATCTCGGCCTCCTGCGTTTCGCAGTTGGTGGGCTCAGAGGTCGGGATGGTGGGCTTCCCATCTCTCCCGATCCTGTACGTGACGCGTGCGGTCAGCGGAGGGGACCGAAGAGAAGGGAGAAAGGAGAGAGCACGATAAGGGGAGTGGCAAATGAATCCTTACGTGATCGGTGGCCAAGGCCCCGGCAGGTTTCCCTTGACGGTGATCCCCGGCGGCCATCTGATCGGGGGCGGGCCGATGATGACGATCGGACCAGGGAAGTTCCAACGCCAGCCCCCGATTTTGATACCCCAGTCAATGCAAATCTGTAGGGAGGGAAGGAGAGTCAACGCCACGTATACACCGAGACGGGGGCCAAGAAGCATCACTTACAAAGAAGAACCACAACCGGCAGGTTGACGTCTCGTCGTCATCGTCATCGTCGCCGTCCTCTTCCACCCAGACAAGTTCGTAGCCCGGCGGGAACTCCGTCACAGTCGGGATCGGCTCCGACACGCCGGTCCAGCGGATGCACCCCAGTTCGAAGTCGACGGTAGTCGGTTCGTCGATCTCGACCGTCGCCGTGACTGGGCAGTCCCATTGGAGCGTCGTACCCCCTTGGGCCTCGTCACAGCTGCCTAGCGTGATCACGGCGTCGAACTCGGGCACGTAGTGCGTGTTGGGAGGACATGTGAAAAAGACGCCCGGCGCCGTGTAGGTCGAGTCTGGGAACGTCACCGTGAACGGGGGCCGGGTTCCGCCAGAGGAGGTCGTAGTTCCACTTTCACCAGGCGAGGTTCCGCCAGGGGAGGTAGTAGTTTCACTTTCACCAGGCGAGGTTCCGCCAGGCCCGGTCCCAGTTCCCGAGCTCGTGATCGGGTCCCCTGGTCCGCCGCCCCCTTTCCAGGTAATAATCTGTGGCCATGGCGGGAGGGTGATGTTGCGTGTTGTGACAACCCCGTCCGGCTTGGTCAATGGAATACCTGTCGGTGGGAACGTGACGCTTGGGGTGACCCAGAAGGGGGCTCCCGGGGTCTCCCCCCGGGTGACGTTATGGTTGGACACCGGCACGACATCTGTTACGATAGAGCCGATGGTAATGATTACGGTCGTCGTGGTCACGGTGAATTCGCCGTCCTCCGTCGCGCCAACCTCGAGCTCGGTTGTGAATGGGGGTACAGTGATGGTCGTCTGGCTAGACAGGGTTGTTGGCGGCATGACGAAGACGCAGGGCGGCGAAGCGCATTGCGCCGTTTGAGTCGTGTACACCTCGGGCCCAACGTAAACAACCTCGCCGTTCGGCTCGCCATCTTCGGGGAACCAGAGGCTGATTTCACTGGTGTAGCCCTGCTGATTTCCGTCGTCCAGCTGGATGCTGCTGTCGTTGGTGTTTCCCGTACCGATCTCCTCGACGGCCTTTGAGAAGATGTTGAAGATGGACACGTCCTTGGACCCGCGCACTTCCATAACTCTCTGCTGGCAATCCTCAGACTCGAGGCACGTCTGCCCATAGTTGTTGAACCACGAGTACAGCCCTGCACTGTGCAGCATCACGCCCTCCGAGTCGATGATGCGCAGTCCCCACGCCATCTCGCATGTTTCCTTGGTGCAGTCACTCCAGTCTGGGTCGCCGGGGAACACTCCCAGCGCCTTCTCCATAGGCGACGGGGACACGGGCTTGGGCTGAAAGTAAGGGGATTCTGTTTGGATGTGGCCCAGGTAGACGTCCTTGGCCCCGAGCAACTCGTACTGGTAGAAGATGACGTGTTCGCTGCCCGAGCCGTAAATCCATACGGGGCCTTGCGACTCGATCAGCACGCCACGGGCACCGAAGAGGGAGATCTGCGACTTGGACGAGTCAAGCTCCCAGTACAGGACCATATCGTTATCATGGTCGGCGACCCAGGCCCAGAAGTTCTCAAAGTAGCCGCTCGCCTGTTTGGTAACGTGCAGGAGCATAGACACGCAGATACACGCCTCGTTTTCGCTGAACTTGGGGCACGTATCCACGTCCAGGTCCGTACCGATCCCGCCGCCCACGCGGATATGCGAGTCCCATAACGCTGCGGCGCCCTGGGAACTCTCATGCACGTTCCATTCCACCATGATGGCACCAGCCGTAGGTCCTTTGGTTGTGAACAGCATATCGACAATCTCCATGGTGCCGACGTCGCCGTCCTCGCCGACTCGCACCACAACTTTGGGGTTTTCAACATCGGCGAAGTAGCTGCCCGTAGCCTGAATCTGCGACCAGCCGGTCCCCTGAACTTTCGATCCGGTAGGGAAGGTGACGGTGCCCTGGACTTGATATATGCCGGCGGGGAAGTATGCCACCTGGCCGGCTGCAGCGGCCTGTTGTAGAAATGTGTTGATGGCGGCCGTGTTATCGCCCGTCGCGTCGTTGCTGCAGCCGTGTTCGGTGGCGATGAGGAAAGATGAAGCGGGCAGTTCCTCGTATTGCGGCCGTAGGCGCGTAAATAGCTTTCCAGATCCGTCGAGCAAGGCCCTAGGTTTCGTCGGCCGGTCCTCGACGTGGCCCGTCATACGCTCCCCCTGGCCGCCGATATAGCGGCGACCGTTGGCCCAGAGTGCGACGGTGGTGGTACCGCCCTCGAGTAGAGTCTCGCCACCCTCGACAATGACAATGGCACCGACGTTGTTGAAAGCCGTGTTGTCAATGACGATGTTGGGCGGTGCGGTAGCGTGGTTGTTGGTCAGTACGCCGATGGGAACGTTGGTGATGGTAGAGTCGATGATGGACACGGAACCAATTCCCTGGCCATCGATACCGCCGCGGCCACTGATATTGAAGGCGATGCTGCCGCCCTCAATGTCGATCTTGTGCCAGTTGAAGCCCCAGTCCCAGACCATCTGTACCGCCGTGATACAGTTGCGAAATTGTAGGCTGGTAGCCGTGTACTGCTGTGATCCGACGCGCCAGCCGATGGCGCCGCCCTCAAAGACAAGGTCAGACACAAAGCCGCCCGAGCCATTCTCGGTAAAGATTCCGACATGCGTAGGCGGTGCCCCTGAGGAACCCGCCGTAGGCATACGGAACAGCAAGTTTTGCAAACTGCAGGCCTGGCTGACCTGCCAATGGATACCCGTGGGCACCAGCTTCTGGCCGTTCTCATCTGTAGCGGACGGCATGTCGGTGAGGTCAAAGACAAAATTGCGGATTTGCCGGAAAAACTGGTTCTGATTGATGTACCAGTTGACGCCCGTACCGTCGGGCTGCGCCTGGTTGGGCACGTACGGGTCTACGTCAACGAGCGCGATGCCGGTGAACTCATCGCAACCCTTGATGATGGGTCTATCCAGGGGGTCGCCGACGAACTGGGTCAGGTAGTACTGGATGATGGGCGTGCAGACTTTGTAGGTACCGGGAGGGAAGTAGATGAGGGCACCGAGGACGAATGTGTTGCCGCATTCCTCGCCACAGCGGTCGCCGTCGACAATGGCGGCGTTGATTGCCTCTTCCGTGTTGGTGGCCCCCGTGTTGTCGGCACCGTAGTCCAGGACATTCCTATAGAAGACGTATCCGTCTCCCGCATGCGGAGCCTGGTTTCTCACCCTGTCAGCTGTGGGGTCGAGTTAGGATAGACCAAAGGCAAATATCACGAACCTTGCCCAATGGGCCTAACGTTGGTAGCCAAAAGCTACCTTCCTGGCGGCCCTTCAGCGTGCTGCTGTTGGTGTGCATCGGCGGGCCGCCAGTAGTGGAGTTGGGGACAAGGCCGGAGGCCTTCTTCTCCGCAAGCTTCTTCATATAGCCCTCGAAGCTGCCGGATTCACGCCAGACAGGGCCATTGTATTTTCCTATCACACCGTTTAGCCTCACATCCTCGCGGGCCAACCATCAGGGGAACCAGACAAGCGTGGTCATCCTCAGGCCAAGGCCCATAGTAGCGTACGTGAGCTGAAGAGGACCTACCTTTGTTGGGGGCAACACCGCGCTTGTTGCCCGTGTTGTCGACCATGTAATCGGGTGACTCAGGGGGGGTCTGCTGGAACGCCGGCGCAAAAGACGCAACCCTCGCTGGGGCCTTGAGATCTTCCCACTGCTCGCCTGCTCGGACTAAGGAGACGGCGGCGCTACCGAGCAGAGCCACTATGGAGACTATCAGCCTCCTAGTGGACGCCATAGTGCAGACGCCACAAGGTTAAAAGCAATGGTGTACTCAGTAAACGAGTGAAACAGGCTGCTCTGGTGAGGTACCAGGGCCAAACCGTCATTGGCAATGGATGCACTTGGTGTTATATGCTACGGAAAATGCGCCCCCCTTTCCACTCCTCCCCCGGCAATTCATCAATCTGGACGCCTTTCCATCCCGCATGCGGTCCGCGCTCTCTACCTCGTCTGCTCGACTTGAATAGGGGGGAAGTGTCTTCCCCGTCGCCAGATTACTTGTTAAACGGTAAGCATAACGGCATCCCGGGCCGACCGCAAGGCAGCAGCCTCACCAACAGACAAGAGTATGCACCATTGGTGAGCTCACGGCAAGGCCGGAGGTGGCCGGGGCATCTCTGAGAACCAGGGTTGAACGCCGTCGTACAGGATAGGGCAGTCCCAACATTTGGCCCCCATGTGTCAGTGAAGGGACATCACCCGCATCTTAGCGGCCTCGGTAATAACGCACTCTCCCATAGGTCCCAACGATGGCGAGCCGTGAGATCCGTATGTGACGTTAACATGTCCCTTGAGCGGCACAGCAGATGGAATATTGACTTTTTAATCAAGTTAACGCATCCCGCCGAACCTGCAGTCAGACGTGCCAATATCCGCTGTAACTATATACCCCTGAATATCCGGCTCTCTTGGCTGCAGGTGCCTGAATGTATTGTGCAACCTATCAGGGAGGTTCTGGCGTCAGCCGAAGCCGCCCGCAGGACGTCGCCGTCCGTGATACACCTAGAAACCACGTTCACGGTTCCGTTCTTGTACCAACGGAATCAATATTGGCACCGTAGCAGTGATCCTTGTGATATTATATTTAGCATGTGACTCAACCTTGCCGGTTGCCTCGTCGACCGAATCCGAACTCCGGTCTTGCCGTGATGGGGACCAGGTCACCAGGTGGTAGGGAGGTTTATAAAGACAGTAGTAAACTCTCTCGATAATGCTTTTCCGATTCCCTAGTCTTTCTCATCATCGCTCATGCACGACCCGTCATCCCCCCGCAAATTAAAGAGATAACGTCGCGTTAAGATGCGGGCTTCCCGAGTTCTCGGCGCCATCGCCATGGCCGGCAGCGTGTCTGGCGCCGCTCTGAATAAAAGACTCTGTAAGCGGCCCCCACGTACACGAGGCACTCCATCCCGGTCGGTAACAGCAAGGGCGAAGCTAACTGTGGGGTCCTACCTACTCGACAGGCCTGTTCCCAGAGCCGGAGCGGAGAATCTGCTACTCGGAGCCGGGTGCGACCCCGCAGGACTTGGACGTGCGCGAGATCAACTTCGTGGCCGAGTACCTTCGGGCATACCAAGAAGAGATCCTTTCGCAGGGCGGGTCGCCGTTCTGGAAGATGCCGCTGCCCGACGCCGACAACTGCGGCGAGTGGCAGGTGACCAGCAAGGGGTCAACTTGGGTTATGGCTAAGCTGGTTGGCGATGAACCGGCCGGCGTGCTGTTTGCCGACATCGCCGCCACCATCGACGGCCTCACGCTGGAGGATCCGACGACAGCGCTGTTGAACTGCAGCACCGCCGGCGGCCAGATGGGCACCATCGTCGACGAGGCCAACCCTTACTACCAGACCCAGCTGTTCGAAGGCTTCACCAACAAGGGCATCATCATCAAGCTCGTCAAGAGCCCCTCGTGAGAACGTTTGCACTCGGGACTGGACAGCGCCGCCGGGGTGGGTGGGTGGGAGGAAGGACCTGGATCATTGCACACACGTCGCCAGCTTGACTGACTTCAAGTGCCGCGTGGCTTCAGATAGCCAAATCATAGATAGTATTACTCCATCCGTAGCAACGTAGCAATTCAAGACTGTCACTCAACAGTCCTACCCCGTAGCAGCGTTTCCCCTCCGCCTCGGCAGCCTTCGCGGCGGCGAGCGCCCCCTGTCGTAGCGCTCCCGCAACTCCTCATCCGCCGGCGGCGCGGCCGCCAACCACCCCGTCCCGTACGCAGCAGCCGCCAGCCATCCCAGCCCGTCGGCGGGCACCGTCGGCGTAGGCGTCGTGAGCAGCTCAACCCGGGCCCTATCCCAGAAAACAAATCCCAGCCACCGCCACCGATCCATATTCATCCTTGCCCACCCCCGCTGGTGCCTCGTAGTCTCATCCTCTCCACCCCCCCACGCTTCCCGCCACACCTGGTCCCCCCAGCGCCGACAATCCAGCCCGCCGTGCGCATCAACCCACCCAAACGGCGGCGCCGCCTCATCCTCGACGTCACCACCGCCATGATTACCAGCCACCAGTCGCGGCAAGCCCTCCTCCTTCCGGTACAACTCGTCGCGCAGGTCCCATAACTCTCTCTGCACGCGGTACGAGGCGCCGTCCATCACCGGCAGCGGGCCCGTGTCGAGGAAGCGGAAGCGCGCCAAGAGGCGCTTGGCCTGCCCCGGCGGACTCGGCGTCGGTTTCGGGTAAAGTGGCGAGGGCTGGGTGCGTTCGCGCTCGCGCTCCGCGAGCAGCGCGCGGCGCAGCATGTCCAGGTCGTAGATGGCGGCGTTGCGCCGCCGGTCGCGGGAGGGGTCTCTGGGTTGGCCGGGTTCGGTTACGTAGCCGAGTGACCAAGGGCGGGGGAAGGCGCGCCAGATGGGTTCGTTGAGGTAGCCGTGGGCTTGGGCGAGCTGCTCTGTCTCCCAGGCGGGGAAGAGGGCGAGGAACCTGTGCATCATGACGGTTTTGGGTGGGAGGGGTTGGCCGGGGCCGAGGTATCGGATTTGTGGGTGGCTGCCGCCTTCGAAGCGTGCTAGGAGTTGGTGGCGGAGCAGGGCTTTGGCAAGGCGGCGACGCTCGGTGGTGGTTAGGGGGTTGGCGGCGCCGGGGTGGATTGCGTGTAGCTCGGGGAATCGGGATTCCGCATAATCATCGACGAAGAACTGCACGGTGCGGTTGAGGTGGGAGAGAGCGATGACGGTGTCAATGGTCAGCCCACTCGCTGATGTTAGCTGTCTATAACCGCGGGGGAGATCCTCGTAGCGGTGGATTATGCGCTCGCACTCTTCGAAATAGGTCGGTTCTCGGTAGTCGAGCTTGGTAGGTGCAATTAGCAATACCGCGACGGCGTCCCGTAACCCCTGGCCCAGGTCTGTGGCTACGATGCTAAGTAGCACCTCCCGCTTGGCTGACACAAAAACCTGGTACAGTCTGGGTGAGGCGTGGATGAGGGCGTGGAGGTCGACTGTTGATCGCGCCGAGGACAGGATCGCCACCAGGACCTCAGTCGGTAAAAGCTCAAGCGTGCAGTTTGACCGCGCGACTGGTGATGACTGCTCTTTTTCCTGACCCTGATCCATCCTACAGAGAATGTATTTGGTGAAGGTTAAAATTCCGTTGTTATTCTGGCCGAGTTTAACAAGCTGATGTTGTCGTTGCGTTTGCAATCTCGAAACCAGGATAGGGGTAGAGGAGGAAGGGCGGGAGATGGAAGAGGGGAAGCCTGCAGGCTGCAGCGTGAAGCGACTGTTGGAGTCTGGGTGCAAACTGTCCGAGTGGTAACCAATGAGAACCGGCCCAGTCAAACCGAATCCGGATTATTCTCCCTCCCATCCGTCCCCCATTCGTCCCGTCTTACCGGTACTACGGAAATGTAATAGCTTGCGCGAAGTGCCAGAGGCAACCCGTTCACTTCACAGACACAGTATCACCCAGGCATTGGAGAGATCAGGGGTTCAATTCCTTCTCCGAGAAGGGTCGGGAGTTAATGAAGAAGAGGCACAAAGTCCAAGCTGCCGAGGACAAGAAGTTGTATGGGGGAGGCAGCCTAGTAGGGCATGGTGCTCCGAGGTTCCAAACTGGCAGTACTACGGCACTAATCCAAAACTTCGGTAGCCTCGGAACGCAATATCCAGAGACTGTTCACTATGCGGAACAAGCACCATCAACCGGGGTCGGGCGGGCTGCCGGGGTAGTGGCCGGCGAATCAGCTCGCCCCTTTCGGCCCAAACGGGCAACCTGGGAAGCAGCTTTCTGCTCACGGTACTCCTCGTATCACCACCCAATAAGATGTATCTTACGATCATTACGGATCCAGGACTCGTAGCACATTGTGAAGTATGAACCATGCTTAGTTGACACTGAGAGAAGTTGATGCCGCCTCCCTGGTAACTGCCCTGAGACGCATGGAAACAAGGATGTCTCGTAAGATCCGAGGTCATTCGGATCCAAGTCCGAACTACCCAGAACTTGCTCAATCCCACTCACGCCTACGCCCTTGCACGGCACGCTCTCCATGTAATGAGTGAGTCGTCACGGCTCTCAACGAAACCGAGTCCATTAGAGTCCATTATGAGACTTATAAATTCAACAACACCCTCCCCCACGCACCGCATCTGATCACCCACATCCAGTGGTCCACGCCCCTTATTCTCCCCTCCTGCCGACCATTTCTCCCATGATGACACTTCCGTGCCTCCCGGAGAGCTTCAATGGCGTCTCCTTGTTTGGAGCCGAGGTCCTCTCCATCGCGGCAAGCCTCGTCACCAATCACACCGTCTCAGTCCCTATCTCGGACCGGTTCACCCAGCCGCCGGTCGAAGTGCAGAACGCGACCTTCTGCAACGTCACGGTGACTTACACGCACCCCGGGCAGGGCGACACTGTTGCCGTCGAGGCCTGGCTTCCCCCGGCGGGCGGATGGAACGGGCGGCTTCAGGCCGTGGGCGGTGCCGGGTGGGTAGCGGGACGCAGCGATCTTACCGCCGTCGCCATGGCCGGTGCCGTGAGTGACGGCTACGCCACGGTAACGACAGACGCTGGTCTGCAGGGCGCTCAGGACTCGGAGGTTCCGTGGGCACTGCTCAGCCCCGGGAATGTGAATCTGTACGCCTTACAGAACCTCGCATCGGTGTCCTTGGACGATGAGGTAAGTCTTGGAACACATCTACACGGGGGATCTCAAAGTGGCTTACTCACTTTCTACTCAGGCGATCATTGCGAAGTCGCTAATCAAGGCATATTACGGCCGCGGGCCAGACTACTCCTACTGGAATGGCTGTTCTCAGGGCGGTCGGCAAGGCCTCATGCTCGCCCAGCGCTATCCGACGGCGTACGACGGCATCGCCGCAGGCGCTCCGCCACTCCACTGGACAAACAACCTCCTCGCCATGCTGTGGCCACAGCAGTTCATGAGCATGCTCGGCGAATATCCCTACCCGTGCGAGATCCAGGCGATCACGGCAGCCGCAACATCGGCCTGTGATGGACTGGACGGCCTTGTCGATGGCGTGATCAACGAGATGGAGGAGTGTCTAGCCAGCTTCGATCCCTTTGGGATGGTTGGACAGGCCATCACCGATTGCGCCGAGACCTCCGAGATAAGCCAGACTGCCGCGGCCGTCGTCAACGCGACGTGGCAGGGCATGCGCACCTCGCAGGGCACACATGCATGGCCGGGGCCCAACCCAGGTACCGATCTGGCCATTGGAGTCGCCAATACTGATTGTGCTTCGGGATCCTGCGTAGGCGTGCTGCCAGCTGTTGCTGTGCCATGGGTGACTCAATACATCGCCCGGGGTGCCGAGTTGGACCTGACCAACTTGACCCACGCAGAGTTCGACGAGCTAGTGCATCAGGGTCAGCAGAGGTACAGGTCCATTATCGACACCGACGATGTTGACTTGTCCGCCTTCCGCGATGTCGGCGGAAAGCTGGTCACATATCACGGGCTGGTGAGTCTCTTTGTGATGTTTGCCTCTGTCCTATGTTGGGATGGCACATGCTTCATATTTCTAACGCCGAGGTACATGCATACAGATCGATCAACTGCTCCCTCCCCAGGGCACCCTCAAGTACTACGACGGAGTTTCGGCCCTCCTCCCAGACGTCCATGACTTTTACCGGCACTTCGAAGTACCCGGAATGGGCCACTGTTCTGGAGGAGGACCGAGCGGAAACCCGATCACCCTCTTCGACCAACTGCGCGCCTGGGTTGAGAACGGCACTGCGCCGGACAGCGCCCCGGTTCGAGTCACCGACTTGGAGGGTACTGTGGGAGAGCGTATCTTGTGCCCGTACCCGCAAAAGGCCATCTTTGATCAGGATTGCGGCGCTGCGGGCGAGGGGCGGTGTTGGTCGTGCAAATAAGCAGTTGTTAATGAGCAGCGATCCGCCAACCCCTGGGTTCATTCTAGAGAACAATAGATTGGTACAATACACAGGCGGCTGAGAATGAGCCTACGGCCAGTCCTACATAACATGTTGCGAAGGATCCAAGTGTCTCGATAAGCCAGCATATCGGGACAACTTTATGCATAATAATTTGGGGGGGGGGGGTCGTTTTGATGTAATAGAAAGCCGAGCTCCTGCCGTAATGAGTGCGTTGGTTCCTCGAACCGGAAATAGCTAAATGGGAACTAAAGAAGGTTTGCCGGATGGATACTGAGCAAGAGTTCTGGGCTTAGGTGCTCATAAGGTTAACTCAACGAATTTGGGACAGCTAGTGACATTGAGCCCTTGTCGCGCCCCTTGAACCGTGTATAAAGACATATCCCCTCTTACATCCCTTCATGGTGGTAATACCAACCAGAACGGGCGGCGGCATGGCAAACCCACCAAGAACCTCTGCCCCCAGGCTTAGAATATCTCATCCGATCCAGGGCAAAAGAGTGGGATTCCTCGGTTTTGGCACTGTCATCCCACATGACACGCGAGATCCGACCGAATTACTTGCTAAAAGGAAAGTCAACAATAAGGCCGACAGCAGCACAATAAGAGTAGTTATTGGCCATCCCATTCACAGCGCCAAAGAATAGGCGAGCCTGCAGCATCTGTGAATTAGTGCACAATAGCAGACAATAGCAATCGTTAAGGTTCTGCAACACTGACAGAGCAACCGGAGGAGCATAGAAAGAAACATGTTCTTTGGCGGGTAGCTTTATATTCCCAACGTGTGATTCCACCTTCTCCTCCGAATTCCAGGTCCAGCACTGCACCCTCACCCACATCAAGACTCAAGAGGCCCATTTCATGATTCCCCTCTCGAGCCCTCACCAACGGACCAAACTAAGGCAAACACTCACTCCCTTTCCCCCAAGCCCGGAAATGGCATCCGTCCCACTTCTGTTAACCCCCAATCAGCTCAGGGGACAAAAAGCAACCCCCCCCAACCACCAACAGACATGTGCTGGTACAAGCGCGTCCGCTGGGGCTGCGACTGCATCCACGGCGTCATCCTCTGGAACCGCTGCCCGCACCGCGGGACCCCCCAATGCCAGAAGCGCCACCTCCTCGAGCGGTACCCCGTGCAGCGCGCCTGCAACACGCACCTGACCGACCCCCGTCTCCTCGACGCCATCACCGGCAACTCCACGCCCGCCACCAATGACACCACCACCACCGACGCCAACAACAACACCACCAGCCCACCGAGCGGGAGCAGCAGCAGGCGCCGCGGTGATGGCCGCCGCCGCCGCACCAGCGGCCTGGTTATTCGGCGCCACCCGGGCCCTAGATGGGGAATAATCTGAGATGACAGTGACGGGGTGGCAGACACAGTCACACAGCCAACTGGGGGAGTGGAGGAGCGGTGCGGGCACGGGCAGCTAGGGTGATTGGGGTGAAGATGAGTGAGGATGGGAGAGGAGGATCACGGGGGAGGTCGGCAGGTGGGTTGTGGGGTGTTCGGTTCTGGGAGGGTTGGGATGGGATGGGATGGTGCGACGCCGGGAGTTGGGAGCTGGGTTTGGAGCGGATGCTGGTTTGGTACGGGATGGTTGGTAGCAGTGATGAATTTGTTTTTTTCCCCTTCCTTATTTATGAGACTCGAGTACGTGACAACGTGACAGTGCTCTGATGAGATGTTCCGGAGCTGGCCCTGGCAGTGCTTGTGGACGTGAATTGTCCATCGGGGTTCGGTGTGGGGCCGTCAAACTCGAAGGCTTGGCACGGCCGCGCGACCTCCAGAGCCTCGGAGGGACCGAAGCGATCGATTGCGTTGCAGCTCCTTTCAACAAACCGTCGTGCGCCGGAGCAGCAAATCTCAATCTGGTTTGAGGACGATTTGAAGCTGACGGGATTGAGAACGCGTTCTGCGTGATCAGTGGTTGTCAGCGCGCCGTCATGTCATACGCCAAGCCAGGAAAAATCTCTTCCTCACATCCCGAGCAGAGCCCGAGAACGCAATGAAAAGAAAGTGAAATGCCGGTCAGACTTCCATCGACACCCACCCCGCCCGAGCGCCCGAAGGCAAGACCTCGAGAAAGCCGGGGTACAGATCATCGCCACTCTCTATACAGCCGCAGCCCAGAAGAGCCAGCGACCGCCGCCTTTGCAGGCAGATCGAGAGTAAAAAAGGACCTCACTGTAGGGTGCCGAGGATATCATTCATCAACCCGGGTGGGATCTGTGGCTCCTTTAGGGAACACAAAAGAGGACGAATACTATAGAAATGATTCTCTGAAGTATTGTCGACATGAAGAAAAAAAGAAGAAAAGAGAACTAAAATTCTGGGAGGGCAGCACAGCTTAAATATTCAGTTGCTGTGGCCTGTGCGCACCTGCAAATTTTCAGATTGGAGATGCTTGCACGTGACCTTTCGGAAAGGTTTGGAGCCATCATTTGTGGGCTCGAGGTGGGGAAGTGATGCTTCAGCACGCGACCAATCCAGCCACGGCGGCGCATGTCACCATTTTGGGCTGGTGCCTCTGGAAGCCCTTGGCTGATTTCTGTCAGAGCTGAAATCTTCAAATCCCGAACCCCTCAAATTTGGAACGGACGCTCAAGTTTCGGCCAACACAACACCCGTCACACACAAGGCAGACAGCAGGATTCCGTGTAAATCTAGGACTTGCCGCCCGATAGAGCCCCGCCGGCCTCATGCGTATTCTGAGCCATACACAGGAGATCAATGATGATTGCAGCGAGTAATAAAAAGCCTTGTGTCCAGATTGGTTGTGTGTTTACTTGTATTTCCTGTTTAGGAGAAACCGCGCGCTCGACGTCAGGCTCGGCCCTGTTGGCTGTGCCCCCCTCACCTCAGCCCGGAAATAAGCTTTTTCGCCAAGAGCTTCCCGCTCTCACCTGTGAGACATGGAGACATGGCAGCGCCATGGAGGGAGGGCCAGAGAAGCAGTGCCACCTTCCCGTGCACCGCCTCACTGATACCCAGATGCTCATCCCCTTCAGGAGGCCCTTATCCACCTTTATTTGAGGTACATAGTATCGGCCTTCTGGGCCCATTTACGGTCACTGTTCTCAAATCCATTTGAACCTGTGTCAACTGGTTCATCCATTTACATACCATGAGGGACAACGCACCGCTTGAAAAGATGCCTCGGCAAAAGAGCCAGGATAAGAACCAAAGGTTCCGCGAATTGGACACGGACTACCAACCAGTGAACTGGAAGCGGTTGTTCCTGGCACCCAAGTACCTCGGTGTGTAACCATGCCGCGCTTCCCCAATATTCCCCGGCCCCGATGAATCCTTATCGGAAGAAGAAGACTAACAAATTACCCAACAGCATGCTGGATCATCACGATCATCGCCATTGTTTTGACTATTCTCCTCACCGTTTACCATGACCAAGTCGTCGAGGTAAGCCACACCCAACCAATATTCCGTGTAAAAAAAAGCAACGCCCGCTGACGGTGGAAATAACAGCACCTTCGACCGTGGTCCGAGAAGGTCCGCGACCTCCCTGCCGGATGGCTGATCCCCATCGCAATCTTGATCGTCCTCTCCTTCCCACCGCTCTTCGGTCACGAGATAATAGCCCTCCTCTGCGGCGTGGTATACGGGTTGTGGATCGGATTCGGGGTTGTGGCAGCAGGAACCTTTTTCGGCGAGCGTGCGTTTGCCCTTGATCTTGACCATGCCACTGTGATAGAAGACTGACAAAGCCTGCAGTTGGCACCTGGTTTGCCTTCACCTACCTCTTCCGCCGCAAAGCCGAGAAACTCGAACGGACAAATCTCAGCTACGGCGCCCTCGCCCGCCTGACCCGCGACGGCGGTTTCTGGGTAAGCCTACCAACTTTGCTCCTCACCACTCCCCTATCATCAAACAAAACAAACCACTAACCACCCCACCCAACACCAGATCGTCCTCCTCATCCGCTTCTCCGCCATCCCCTCCCACTTCTCCACCGCCGTCTTCTCCACCTGCGGCGTCAACTTCTGGTTCTTCGCCATCGCCACCCTCGTCACCCTGCCCAAGCAGATCTTCCTCGTCTACCTGGGCGTGCTGCTGGTCGAGGAGCAGTCCGACAACCTGGCCAAGAACATCGTCTTCGCCGTCGCCTTCGTCGCCACCATCGCCATGGCCGTCTACATCTGGTGGAAGATGCGCAAGATCAAGCGCGTGCTGCTGGAGGAGCAGGCTGCGCGGCGCAAGGCGAAGGTGACGGGTGAGGAGGGGGTGGATGGAGGAGAGGAAGGGCGGCAGTGGTTGATGGAGGCGCCGGCTAGCCCGCCAGGCCCGTTTGGAGGGAGGGAGTATGAGGTTGTGGGGCAGGAGGAGGCGGATATTGGGGTTGTTGCGCCCGGGAGGGTTGTGGCTGCAGGGGAGCCGTATGGGCCACATTACCGTTCTGACTTTGGGTATCACGGCGCGGCTGGGGGGAGGGATATGGGGAAGGAGCCTGTCAGGGAACAGGCGTGGGTATAGTTGGGATGGATAATAGACAACAAGCCGTATGTGATGCATCTGGCATGCTACCACGGGGGCAATGGAATCGGCTGACTAGACGGCTGGCGCAAGCGTTGATGATTAGGGATCGCGGGATCTGGCATTATCTGTACAACAGGGGCCCAGAACCCCTCCTCATTCTTTCCTCTCCACGTCCTTATAATGCTGCGTAAAGTCGTACCGCACCTCCATCGGCCCTAATAACAACTCCTTCAAGAATACCTTATCAGTGTCGCCCTTCTGCACCAGCTGCATAAACTCGTCCCTCTCAAATCTCGTCGCGGGGACCTTGTCCGACACCCGCCTGAAGTTCTCCTGCGATATGGGATCGATGATAGTCCGCCACTTCTCAATCCGCTTCTCCGAGTACAGCTCCAAGATGGAGTCGTCCGCCTTGCCGTCCCATATCCCCGCGAGGCAGTCGTACAGACCCCCAACATCGACGAACCCGCCCGTGATGCCGAGGCCGCCCCACGGGTTGCACAGGTGGGCGGCGTCGGCGGCCAGCAGCACCCGGCCGACGCGGAACTTGGGGGCGCACCGCTGGTGCATGCGGTAGGGGGAGATGTTGATCATTTTGTATTCGTCGGGCTTCGGGTGGCCGGGGAGCATGGTCTCGAATTTCCAGGGCTGGCGGGCAACGTACTCTTCGCGGGAGAGTCCGGGGGTTTCGCCGTAGGTGATGCGGTAGAGCCCGTCGCGGGTGATCCTGGCGGCCATCTGGGTGTGTTAGTAGGGAGGCCCTAGAAAGAATGATGGGGGTCTTACAAAGAAATGCTCTGGGTGTATGATGAAGTTCGCGTCGTCCCAACCAAACTTCTCCTCGAACGGATAGTACGTCTGCCGCAGTTAGCACCCCCTATCTCAGTGACACGTACCCAGACACAGCCCAAAACTCACATTCGTCGCAATGATCTGCGCATCCCACGTAAACCCCGGAAACTCATCCCCAAACAGCGCCCTCCTCACCGCACTATTCGCCCCATCACAACCCACCACATAATCGCCCCTGACCACCTCCCTCCTCTTCCCACCAGCACCGCCGCCATCCTCCACCTCCACTTCGCACCACGCCCCCTCCCCATCCTGCCCGACCCCGACCACCCTCCTCCCCCACTCCACCACCCCGCCATACTTCCCCGTCACCTCCTCCAACATCAAACGATCCAACTCCTGCAGCACCAGACAATGCGTCCTCAGATCCTGCCCTTCCACATCCGCCACCACACGCATATCAAACCCCGCCATCCGCTCCCCCCCACCCTCAACCTCAACCTCAACCTCAGCACCACCACCACCACCAGCATCACCAGCAACACCAACAAGCGGTTTCCGCCAGCACATAGTACTAATCACAATCCCGCGCTCGCGGATGGCGTCGGCGATGCCGGCACGCTCAAACTCGGGGATGGCGGGCCCGCCGTAGTGCGCCGCGCGCGGCTGCTGGTCCAGGTCGGCGGCGGCTTCGAGGATGTGCACGGGGATGCCGTGCTTGGAGAGCAGCAGGGCGAGGAGCAGGCCCGAGGGGCCGGCGCCTACTATGAGGACCTGCGGTGGTCGTTAGGGGTGTTGGGGGGTGTTGGGGGGTGAGAGGGGGTGAGAGGGGGGTGAAAGGTGAGGGCTGGGGATGAGATGGGGAGGACTGACTTTGGAGAAGGGTCGTTTGGGGGCTGGGTCGGGCATGGTGGTGTGGTTGTTGTCAACTTGGTTGTTGTTGCGTCGTTGTGGTTGTATAGTTGTGGTGCTACAGTTGTGGTTGTGAAGTGGTAATGTGGTGTAGGTTATTCGAGAGGAATCAGGGGCCGGGAGCTATAACCGAGGGGATTCCCATGAGAATAACCCCCTGCTGGGGGCCGTCCCGACTTATGTCGGTCCCCCGTTTTCCCTTTCCCCGCATTCTTCGAAGCAACGGTAGGGCGACAAACTGGTCCATGGGTTTGTGGTTGTGGATCGAGAGCACGGCAGGTATGCAGGTGAGACGATAGTGCCCTGGTTATGCAGGGAGGTTACCGTTCGGGGCCCTTGATTTATTGCCGTCAACCCCACCATCTCGAACTGTCCAGCTCGGAGGGCGGTGCAGTGCCCTTCCTGGTTTACCAAATGCGGGGAAGAGTTGGGGGCTTTGGGGTTTTGGTCAAGCCTGGGCTGGGGTCGGCAAATAACAAGCGGGGATGCGGGGAGAGGTGGAATGGGGGCCGAGGTTTTGGTTCGACGTGTCAACGGCTCGATGGATGGGCGACGAACATTACCCCTGACGAACTGTCCGCTGTTGGGTTGTTTGAGAAAGACACACGGGGTTCTAAGCAACCAGCTCGTTAACTATCGCGCGTGGTTTAGTTGTAGTGAACAAATATGTGCCGGACGTAGTCGGTCAACCTCAGAACATTAGCAAGGTCGTGATGGGAAGGAATTTGGTCTCGGAACTGTAATCATTTCAGCGTCCCCTGCTCTTGTATTTAAGCCATTCGGGGGGTCTCGGACAACCTAATTCAAGGGATCCTTCCATCACCTCCCAAGATTGTTGACAATACTGCCCACCATGACAGCCACTTCTCTCTCCCAGTGCTTCCCACCGGAGTCCACCTCGCTTCCCCTCCCCTGACCCTTCGCGGCCGCAGCAACTGCACTCGGCAGCTGACTTCCCCGGGCCACGCACTCCTTGATGGCCTCGCCCACGGTCTGCCGGTTTGTTCTGAGTGTTCGTGCGGAGACGCCTCCCTTTGACATGATCTCCTGCACCCTCGGCGCCATGCTGCCGGCCATGGTCCGCCAGAAATAGCTCGCCAGCGAACCCGTCTCCAAGTGCGCCAGCAGCGGCTGCAGCAAGTTCCCGGCCGCCTGCTCCGCATGCTTACCCTGCAGCAGCGGGTGCACAGGCGCCTTCGTCCCCTCCAGCACCACCTCCAGCGCCACGACATTCTGACACCGCGCGCTGACCTCAGCCAGTGTCCTATCCAGGCTCGGCAGCGTCGCCAGCGCCCGCGACAAGCCCGCGATGCTACTCTGCAGCGCAGACCTCAAATACACCTCCAGCGCCTGCAGCATCAGCGTCGGCGCCCACCGCTCCCCCGCCCCCTTCCCCAACCCCGACGACGGCGGCGGCGGGGTCAGAAAATACAGCGCCGTCAGCGCCGCCACCGTCCTCGTGCGCACCTCCTCCGACTGGGCATACGTCGCGGTCCCGCCGGTCGCACTCCCCATCGAGAACTCGCGCACCACCCTTTCTGCCGTCTCCCTCACCGCCCTCTCCACGGGCGCCACCACCCCCTCCCTCAACCCCTTCACCACCGCCACCCTATCCAACCCATACCCCTCAGCGCCCACCACGCCCACCCCGGCAAACAACCCCCCCAGCGCCAGCAACGTATGCGCACAGCGCACCAGCGCGCGACAATCCTCCCTGCCCCTCGCCGAGGCCGCGCTGGTCGTCGCCGTCGCCGACGCCGACCCCGTCAGCTCGGCGTGCTGGGCGTCGAGCTGGCGGGCGAGGTGCAGGGCGCGGGCGACGGCGCGGGCGAGGCGGAGCGCGTCCCACAGGCGGGCGGCCACGGCGCGCACCTGGTCGGCCTCGGCGTGTTTTTGGGTTACCTCGCGGGTCAGCTGCGCGTGGCTGGCGTTGAGGGCGGTGATTTGTGTGGTCAGGGTGTCGAGGATGTGGGTGCTCGCTGAGGCGTGGGTTGAGGTGTGGCTGAGGAGGGGCAGGGCGGAGCGGGTGGTGAGCTGGTCGATGTGGGAGTCGATTTCTTGGATGTCGAAGAGGACTCGTGAGAGAGGGGTGGAGAGGTCGAGGGGGGTGTCGGTGGGGTTGTTGGTGGCTAGGACGAGGGTGTTGGCGAAGGAGGAGGGTGTGAAGGAGGGGTCGAGGAAGGCTTCGTAGTCGATGTAGGAGGGCTCGTCGGGGTCGGTGGCCGCAGGGCCCGTGGGGGTTATTGGAGCGCTGCTCATTGCAGCGGGTGGTTTTGTTTACTTTTTAGCGGTGGTGGTGATGTGCGGCGTGGTGTTGTCTGGGATGTGTGGTGTGCTGCTGCCGCGGTGGTGTGGTGCCAAGACGCGCAGAGGCCAAATCGTCGGGACGCGACCCCCTGGCATGAGCTCCGCCGTTTTCAGCGGACTTTCACCTGCAGCTCGGCATCCGCTCCCCCGCGAGCTCACTCGCGCGTGGGCCCTGTTGCTGCGGCCAGTGAGGTCATCACTGTGCCTGTCACCGTGCGTTGTTGCGCAAACTCGACTGCCGGTTGTGGGGCGACAACGATATGATCTGGTGCGTTTCTGTCCAACAAAGAGAGAATTCACAACTTCTGTGGTAGTACAATACTGTATGTTAAGGGAGTCATTCGGGGCGTTGATCTGGCTGCGGTGCCTCTTCTTAATCGTATTTCGTATGTATGTACCGGCCTCACACAGTGTTTTCTTTTTGGAGAACTCGCGAAGGCCCCACCCGGGATGAGTGATTAAACTTTCTCACTTTCCGGAAGGAACGGAGGTTCAGCGCACATCACTGCGTAACCAGACTCCCAGACGACTCGCCAATTGCACCCGCCACGGCTTTGCCCGAACCCGCCCGAGGACATACTGCTCTCTCGGACTAGAAGCCTGGCTCATTCCCCGATGCCCGCGATGCGATAACTTGCTCGCGACGGCTTAGGCCAGTGCAATTGTTCGAGACTGCTCCATCTTCGATCTCTCGATATTCGGGTCCTCGATCGATTCCTCCACCGATTCCTCGACTGATCGATCCCCCGACTGACCGATCCCTCGATTCGCTGTTTCCTGTTCCCACCGACTACCCTCGTGAATCGACCTCCAATATGGCCTTGTTACAGGCCCGCGAGGCCCTCTCCTTCCCTCCCGGCGATAACGTGACCGACACCGTAATCAACAATGTCCACTTGAACCTCACGACCCTCGAGCATTGGAACTACACCCTCTACTCCAATGGCTCCTTGTCCAATGGCTCGTGGTGCCTCCTGACCTTTGAACATTACGCGCCCTCGTACCTCCTTCCAAATGGCACCTTTCTCAACGCGACATGGTGCTGGGCGCCCACCGAACCCATCGGGGTGCGCGGCGGTATCGCTATCGGCTACGCTGTCTTGTTTGGCATCGCCCTGGTCATGACCATCGTTTGTCTCAATAAGCATGGCAAACTCCATCTCCCGGCCGAGAAGCGCTTCTACCCCATCGGGAGGAGGTGGCAGTGGTACTGGGGCTCCTTCGTGTGTGCAACTGCTATGATCAGTCTGCTCGTCTCTGTGGATGTCGACCGTTATTTTCTGCCCGAATTACCCGTTATCCTGACGAGTTTCTTCTGGTACATAATGCAAATTGGCGCCGTTGCCATTGTCTGGGAAGCTGTGCGTCATTGGGGAAGTTGGATGGAGCGACAGTTTATCGACCCCGATCCCTTCTCTCTGCGAGACGACGACAGGCGGTCTAGAGTCGAGTTTTATCTGCCGCTGTTTGCTTATCTCTTCCTCTGGCTGGTATGTTCTTCGCCGCCGTTGAATTACCATGGCTCTCGCTCCGAAACTGACCAAATGTGTGACGCAGAACTTCTTCATGATCGTGCCCCGGAACTGGACGCCCATCCAGCATCAGCGATACCCGCAGCAGACAATCGACGAAGCCGCACCCACCGCGACCGACACACGCTTCAAAGCCGGCGCTTTCCTGTTGGCAGTCTGCTGGTTGATAACTGCCTTCTCGCTGCGACACTCGATCAAGTATTATTGCCCGCGCAACCGGGGCATCTTCAACCGCATTATCGGTTTTGTCCGGTACACCCCGCTCCGCTTCGCCCTCATTATGCCCCTAGCGGCCGCTATTATCGCATACCAAGGCTTGGTAGCCTTTTATTTCGACTATAGCCCTCTCAAAGTCGGTGGTTTGAACGCAGCCATCTACGCAGGTGGCTACACCCCTGCGCTCCTCATCGTCTGGATCCAAGCCCTGTTTGGCTTCGCAAACCCCAACGAAGACCGCGAGCTACAGCGCCAGCGCCGTGTGCGTACCCAAGCCCTCAACCGCGAAATGGGGATTGTGATTAAGCCGTCGTGGTGGCACCGCATCAATGGCGAATATATGGACCCAAACGAGGGCATGCGCGAGCGCTTGATGCGCAACGTCCGCGAGATTCACGGGACAAAGGCGACTGGGCCGGCCGCCGAAAACGGCCGTACTGAGGGGGCTGACGAGCCCGTCGAGATGACACCCGTGTCCCCGCCCCCACTCGCCTCCCCCCGAGTGACCAGCCCACCGGTAGAGGCGTACATCGGGAGATCCGACCGGAGGCGCCAAGAGCGTACCGCGGAGCTGGCTGCCGGATTGCTGTTTCCCGAGGCGGCACAAGGGTCTGCTGCCGCCACCGCCCGACGACGCGCCGAGTTGATGATGGACGGGCCGCCGCCGCCGTCATACACAGACACGGTCGGGAGCACGCAGCCGGCTCCCAACCCCGGACCTCCAAACGTAGCGCGGAGCCTGAGTGGCCAGTCGTCGGCGTCGACCAACCAGCCACCACAGCAGATTAGGAGTATGCTGGATGTCTGAGTCGGCGCAGGCAACGAGCAGCGACACACTCGAATCGAGCAATTTCTTACTGCTCAGTCAGTCACCTACCCACAGCCAATGAGCCCACCCGTTCCAACCGCTTCAAGTTCGACGAGGGAAACCAGTACCGCCACCTGGCCGGTTGATGAACCATCTCTCGCCCTGCGCCCGCGTCAGAAGCGGAGTGGCGGAGAACTGGCGCGGCGCCAAAATCAAGTCTCGACGGAGCGGACACTGGCATCGCTCGCCGCAATGTCGAGCATCGAACACTATGAGGGGCATAATAAATTAGACGCCACATAAAAGACGTCATAATTCGGAAGATGCCTCCATGTATAGCACAGACCGAGCAACACCCCCACACAACCGCGCAACATCTTGGAGATAGGGACTGGGGCAGATTTTTGGATATGCCAGCACAAACACGATTACCTGATAACTAGCGCACCTAGCATTCACACATAGAGATAGTTCATCGTAATTCAGTGAATACAACAGCAAAGAACTTGCCCTCGTGGTCGGGCACCATCGAACATACCACTCCCGGTCCCCACTCATACGTTATCCAGCGTGCCTCTTCCCCTTCGCACCCCTTCGCGAGGGTTAACCGACATGGTATGCCGTAGTTTTCTCCCGAACCCACCGTAGTTTCCTCCCGAACCCAGAGCTGCACAACATGCAGTGGGAGCTGTGGGACTAGGAAGCGGAAAGCGGAGAGACTGTTTCGTCGAGAGGAGCAACCCCCGTGACGTGTTGTTCGTTCACGACGTCAGTGTCATCCCCTTTCCCATCCCCTTCTGGTCTTCCCCGACCGTGCCCTGGATGAGTGTCATCTAATCCGCATTAGACCCTTTAATCTTGTCTTTCTACCTTTGTGGTTCTGATCCTGCATTTCCTCGAGCGATGTGCCATTCGAGACGCGGGAGGGGCACAGGGGTGCGAATGGGCGGGTTATCCCGTTGCAGTTCGCAACGCATCCGCGCCCAGATTAACACACGCGGCACGGGCAATGAATGCACGTTGAAACCCAAAAAAATATATACTCCATTTATCCAGAACGCCAGAAGTTGTGGCGGGGAAGTAAGATCCCGCGCCGTGAAAGTAGTAGAGAGTTTCCGTCCTTGCCTTCCCGTCGCTTTCCCAGGGGTATCTAACCAAGACCCATCACATCATATGCATGCACATCGTCCGCCCATGGTCCAAATTCAGAGAGTTCGCGGGGTGTGAGCGAGTCACCTCAAGGCTTTCGACCTTGATGCCATGCCACTCCTTCGCCGCGCCAAAAATGATGTCGCTATATCCAAACCACGCCAAACGCCAAAAATAACCCTGAAAATGCAAAAGATCCAAAAAATCGCTTCCAACCAGTGCAAAATCGCCGAGAGTCGCCCCCGAGCCGAGTAGAAAATGGGTATAGCATAGCCATGGCCTGGAACCGTTGGTCGTTTCGTCGTCAGAGGGAAGGAGAGTCGTCATAACATGGATATCCCAAGGAAAGAAGAAATGAAACGCCAATCTAGTTCAACTCCGATGAGAAATATCGTGACCCACCCTTACCCGGAATATGAAAAGAACGTTGAGGTTCCGGTTGGCATCTATCACGTGCGAAGCGAGTGCTTGTGGCGTACACTCGTAGGTGTATCTCGAAAGATTAGTCGGATGGTTTGTGGCTAGAGGGGGGTCGGCGTTGGTTAGTACGTAGCCACGGACCCTTGGCTAGCCGCAACGGCCACCAGGGCTTCGAGGCGCTTCAATGCCTCGGGGTCTCCCCCCTCGTTCGTAGGCCGTTCTGGATTCCGTTCGGGGATCCGTTCAGGGATCCGTTCGGGAATTCGCTCCATGCGATCGATCCGCTCGGGTCTTTCGTGTCGTTCGACTGGAGGCCCGGGTTGATGCATGTAGGAAGCAGGCTCTTGTTCACGAGCGGGGAATGGCCGGAAGGCGCTGACATTGGGGTGGACGATTCGGTCAACGTGGGGTCGGCCTTCGTGAATCGTTTGCCCGACGGAAGAGGAGGCGATTGGCCCATTATACCAGCCGTGGCGCCTTGATTCCCGGGGCGTGTTGAAGGCCGGCGCAGACACGGTGTGTTGATGGCGAGGGCCCATGATGCCGGCGGCGCTTGTCGGCGCTGTCGGAGTTGTGATCTCGGGCTCAAACCTGTACTCGGCCCGGGCAGAGATGGCTTGGTTCGCCTCGCTTGCCCATGCTCCTGCACTATCTCTTGGCGGCGTGTCCCACCGGTCTAGGCCGCGATGCTGGTTCATATTCCATTGCACTGGTTGTCCCCGTCGGTTGTCTGCGCCCGGGTCACCACCACCTTGGTACTGCGGCGGCCGCCTATCCATGTCTGAATCGATCTCCATAGTTGACAATGGTGGGGGCGCAGCCCGCGTCATCTCGTCAAAAGACTCGATCCCAGGAAGACGCACTTGCGGTGGCTGGAACGAGCTCGGCCCGGTCGGGACGGCAGTCTCTGGAGGAAACTGGGACGGGGTGATAACCTGGCTCAACCTGCTTGCCCCGTTATAATCAGCTGTGTCGGGGTGCCACGTCCGTCTGCGCCATGCGTCATCAGCAGCCGATGACGTAGAGTCCCTCCTTGTTGTCCAGTATGTCGTAGATGAGGTTGGCGATGCCAACAAACTGTTTTGTGACGGCGAGACTGCGCCTGCGTTGGATGAGTTCAACCCTCGGGGCCCGAAACCCGGAACACGGGCACCAGGGCCGTGCGGCGACTGGAAGGGATTATTTCCAGAGGGTACACTTAGGCGGCGGCCGGGTGTTCCGGCGGCGGCGTACATGCTCTGTGAGCGGGTGTGGGGGGTGCCGGGTGACATGACGGACCCCCAGTGAGGGCTGTTTTGCCCGGTGGAAAATGTCGACGACGTGGGTGTGCTAAAGTCACCCGGTGACGGGCCTCTGTAATACTGACCATCGGGGCCACGATACGACTCGAGCGACATCCGGGACCTGTGATCGGCCATGACGAGCGGCGGTGGCCTCCGGCGAGTGTCGTTAACGCTGAAGCCGGACGCCATTGAGCTTACACTTGTCATGCTCGACATTGACAAGGATTTGGAATGTCCCCGGCCCGCGGGCCCAACACTGCCCGCTGTCGAAGCTCGAGCCCTGCCAGGTTGCCGCACTCTGTCGGTCCGAATCTGCCTTTGGAACCGCGTCCCGGTAGCGGCGAGCGAGTCGATGGGAATCTCTTCGTTCGCGTGCACGGTCTGGGCGTGCTGCCTCAAGTTGTCCAGGCGCGAGAAGCGTCGTTCGCAGTGACATTGGAAAGGGCGCTCGCCGGTGTGTTTCCTAGATGACCGAGACCATGGTTAGGGACTGGGTTGGGCCCAAAGCGAAATGCTGGGCGTGGCTTCATACCTAATGTGGCGGGCCAAGTGCTCGCTCCTCGTGAAGCTCAGGTTGCAAGGTGGGTAGTCGGTGCAATAAAATCGCTGCGACTTCTTCTTCTTGGGCTTCTTGCCATCTCCGCTCACGCTCTCGTCTCCTGTGGTAACTCCGCCATCGACGGTATGTCCGCCATCAGAGTCATCCATGTCCACATCGTCGGATGAATCTTTCGATGACCCTGAGAGCTCCGAGTGTCCCCTTTTGTAGGTCGGTGCCCCGGACTCGGGTACTTGTATAGACTTGATAAGTTCTGACGCGGTGCGAGCATCTTGCGACGACAATGTGCCGGCACCGAAGTTTGCACGAGTGGGCGTCGTGGCCTCGTCGAGAGGCTTCGAACCCTGCGCCGGAGCCGTCGTCGGCCGCGGTGCTACTGGTGACGGCGAGGTGATCTCCGTCGAGGTTTCTCCCGCCGGTAGCGGGTTGTTGACTGGACGAAACGCTGTAGGCATCGTCGAAATTTGTGCGTTGCGATGATGAGGCGTGGGGGTGTTGTAACCAGGAGTACCAGGGGTAACGAGGGGAGCAGCGTAGATATGGAGTGGGTGGCCCTGGCGAGGCTGAGACGACCAAACCCACTACAGGGGTCAGTGCGGGGAGGTGTTTGGTCCCGATTACGAGAGCGTCGTGCGGAAAAAGAAAGGGCGAAGTCGACCGGCGGAGGGGATCAAAAAAGGGTAAGGGAAATGATCCGGACGCCGGGGCGGCTCATTCGCAGAAGGTTCGAGCCGAGATAGCGCGGTGGGTGTGGTTGATGAAAAGTGCGGGAGCGTCGTTGGAAAAGGGTTTGTTGTGTGGTAGGTGGGAAAAGCTGAGCGAAGGCCGGATGGAGCCACAGCTTCCAGGTCTTCCGGGTTTGCAGTGGGTATGTGTTTCGGTCACAGGCTGAAGTTGAAGCGAAGCTGAAGCGAAGCTGATCAACAGCAAACAATGGACATTCCCTGCGGATTGCCGGAGTAAGAAAATATGCCAAGTGTCGATGGAGGCACAAATGGAAATGGAAAGCAGGTCCCGAGAGGATGAAAGTCGGAGGTTGGTTGCAGGCGCGAGGGAAGCGGGAGCCTTTCTCTGGTTTGCGGGCGGCACCTAACCAAGAGCTCCCTCAGGTGCTAAGGCAAGGGGGCCAGGGGGGGTGTGTGGCAAAGGTGCACGCACATGCAAACCTCGCAGGGGTGGAAGGGATGTGGATTGCCTCCGCTTGTAATGGATGTAAAGACTCTGTCCAGTGATACGGCAAAGCGTCCGATCCCGTCCGCCTGGACCTGGCCAGGCCAGTGGCCAACCAGTCCTGGGTTTGCGATTCAGTGCGGCTTTGCCGTCTGCAGTGTGTGCGTCTTGGACCAGATCTCGGTCCGCATGAGGGCCTGTAGTTGGCTCGTGAGCTTGCTTTTTGGCACGCCCTTGCGGGCGGATTGCTGACCTGCAGGACCAACCACCTTGGATGGATCTCCAAGACGTTTATCCCTGAGCGGCTTCCCTCCCACGATGCAGCCCGCCGGCATGGATATGAGAGCTGAGGATGGCTTGCAAACTTGACCCAAGTCACATGCGGTTTCGACCTACCGTGAAAATGAAGCCGTCATCACGATCCAGAACAGAGGGAAGTTCCGCTCGCTTGTTGCCCGTGCAAAGGGAAAAAGAGTGAGAGCCCGGTCGCAAAGATTGGACGGTGTCTGTGCAGGATCCGCAAGCAGTCGAGGTCGGGCCACTGAGAACGGATGAAGGTGGGTGAGAAGGAAGGAACGGGCTTTCAACTTGACGCTGGGATCGATGGATGTTCTTGGCAGGGCAATATGCACCAAGGTACGAATAGTACAAGCTACCTTAGAATGGCAACAGGATCCTCCTGCCCTGTGACACCGACCTCTACACAGTAGTAGGTACGGGTAGTTGGAGGAACACCTCCCCTTCGGGGTTCTTGATGACCGGCCCTTCCGCACCTCAGTTCAGTTACCGTGGCCGCCAACTTGCGAGAGTGAAAGAAAGTTTAAACCTCAGGCCAGCAGCCCGGAGACGGTTCAGAGCGGGAAGGCGGGGCAGAGAGCGCGCACCACATCAGGTTGAGCCCCACTGGAGGGGGGTGGTTGGGCATTTCCCCGCCCTCGTCGAATGCCTTCCAGGTTGTATCCATGAACGCCCAGCTGCGGTCTCTCGATACCGAGCAGCTCAACCCAGCCATCCCAAATCAGCGAGTCAGTCAACCGCCAGCAAAGCCGAGCTTTTCGTTAACGGAGGCGCCGTTGCAAGGAATAATTCGAGCCTTCGACGATAAGCTTTCCTTGATGACGCCGACATTAGTAACGCCAACTCAGACCTCCTACCTTTCGATTGTATGGTCAAAATTCGGACGGCAGGGAGATGGCAGGCACAACGGCCTGGCTCAAGCCGCTCAACAAGGATGATGCACCTTGGACACGGAGTGCGGACCGAGTTGCACCATTCGACAAGCAAGCGTCCGAGGCAGATAAAAACAGAAGTCGGATCATGCTGCATGCCCGAGAGCCGCTCCAGGCGTCGATAATGTACCTCAGGTACTCAGGTTGTTCCGCCCATTCATGCCCTCTACCTGCGCTACCAGTGCATCGCGCAGCTGCCGGCTTCGGGTACCTGGCTTCTGAATGCAGCTGCACCTGTCCGGGTACCTGAAAGTCTCCCTTTTAGTGGGGCCCGACGCCCGAGTCAGCCTGCAGGACGCAAAGGGCAAATCAGTCCGGAAGTGCAGGTGGCGTCGCGCCCCAAGCGGTTCAAACCCTCCAACGACGACGAAACACTCGGAGTGCGACAATATACGAATACAACCCGGAGTTGGCTGGGTGCGAAGCAACGCATGCATGCCAGGTTGCGTGTCAGCGTGTGTCGGTCGGGGACGCAACTTGGTACACAGGAAGAGTCTCGGTGAGTGTGTATTGCTCGTTGTTTGGTTTTGCCTCGAGAGCTGGGTCAAGCACTGGCACGAGCGGCCAAGGGAGATGTCGCCCGGGCGGGCATCATCACTTTTGCGCTGATCAGCGGTGACGGTGTTTTTGTGCGATGGCGAGGATGGATGGATGGTGGGGTTCCTGACACCGCCAACACATTGCGTCATCATGGGGGCTCAGTGGAGGCCCACACACCCCCGAAAGCAACAGCGGGGCTTCGCTTGAAACGGCGTTCCATTCAACAGCCTGAAAGGTCTCTGCGACGTTTTCAGTGGCTTTTTTTGCAGTTCGGGATATCCCAGCCAGGGCTTGCCCTCGGCAAGTACCGAGAGGAACCGGGGCGGAATCTCGCGGCGCACAAGGAAGGGAGAGCACAAAGGCTGTCCGGTTCCTGACCTCACCCGCAGTGCCCCTAACCAGTCGTGCCAGTCACCCAGCGCAGGAGCGGTACGAAATATGAAAATGTCTGTTTTGCGCGACCTGCATGGGCGAGGCGGTGTCGCAGCCAGGTGACAGCCACACGGGCCCGTCAGATGCACGCTCAGCCTGTGGTCTAGCGATGTTGTGGGTGCGCAAACGACACGGAATTTATATCGACGACGTGGCCAGATGAACTGGGGCCATCTGTCGGAACCAGCACTTTGTGGACCTGACTGCTCATGTCTCACCGAAACCAGCGGTCGGGTTTTCGGCCAGGCTTTCGCTGTGGTGGTGGTTCGAAGCTGACAGCCAAGAACCGCGAGGATGGATGAGTCCGGTGTCCGGTCCAGGAACAAGTTTCGTACGGGTTGTCGTGGTCGGTCTCCTGACCAGTGCGCATCGCCACCTAAGGTACCCTACATTACCTAACCACCATGACTCCGTTTGCGAAGCGGCATAGCGCATCCACCCCGATGCTGCTCTCAGGGACCCCGCATGCGCCAGTCCGAGACGAGCCGTCATATTCAAGGTCGCGGGCGACAGTCTGACCAGTCAACTGCCGCCCTCGCCAAAAGGTAACTCGGCAACTATAGTCAGTAATCGAGCTCTCGGCGGGCCCGGGCTCTGAGGTTTCGAGTTGACGACTCTTCGGCGCCGAGGGCATCCTTGTATACAGAGAGGCGCGGTAGGCCGGCCGTTCCGTGGCTCTCGTCCTCCGTGGTTGGAAGAGCTTCCTTCCGCCGTCACCAACCGCCACCGAGCCCCACCCCTCTGTCGCTCGAATAACGTTCCATGGCGCACTGCACCCAGCCCGATAAGCATCAGCGTCGATAGTGGGATAGATTAAGTCCCCTGCCTCGTCCCTGGCCTTTGCGCATCAAACCGCCGTGCCTTCGCCGTCCCCTCGCCGTCCGTCCTGCTCAAACAGGCAGTTCCTCGGCCGTGGCATGCTGTCGCCTGTCCCTTACCCCTCGCTGGCCGCCTCTCGGCTGTCACGTCACGGGTTGCCTTGCTGGGCGCCGGCACCCTGGCGAGCCCCGGACGGTACTTTTTCGAGGTTGGGGCGCTTGGACTTGAATCCATCCCCCCTTCAGGTTGCTCTCGCAAGGATCAGGCCCGAGAATAATGCGGGGTTGCGCCTCCCCTCGCACGTGCCCACTCGGGATGTGACGACACCAGTGGAGGCTCCTAGCCATTAATAAGCGGCGCTCTCCATAGGCCGGGGCCTTGTTGACATCTCTGAAACTCAAAAAGGGGAAGGGGTTGTTCCGGCTCCGGAAGAACAACGTCGGGTCTACAGGGACATCCCACCCGATAGGTATGGAAGCTTCAGATAGTCCTATAACTTACGAGAGCATGAGGGGTAGAAACATCATTAACTGCCTCGGTAAAATGGTCAAACTTTCCCACCTCATAAACGAAGGTGCTCATCGGCGTCGGAGTCATCGGGCGTAAGCACAACTGAGCAACTCGGATCATGATGAGTTTGAACCTCCGGCAACTTTGTAGGTCCTTCTCAAGGAATTCTGGACTCCCAAATAAAAAGGAGCAGTTGCATGGCAGTAGCTACAGCTTGTCGAGGGACGTCATGGCTGTGATAGTTTCTGCAGTGGATTGACATTCCTCCTTTTTCTTTTTCCAAGCCGCAACCCCACCACTACAGATCATTCTATACCAGGTAACTACTTGAGTATATTATGAGCCGCCTATCATCCTTTGAGCTCAAGTGGGAGCAGATATGCTCGCTGTCTTACCAACGGTGCTGATGAGTGTGCGTGTTCCGCCCTTGCGTGGGAGTTGATGGGTTTTAGGTCTGGAATATAGGGAACTCGTGAATGCCGGTCCCATCTGGGTGTTTTGTTTTATTTCAGGTTGGTGCTCGTTGGTTTATATGATATCAGTGCCTTCGCTAAGCTTCTTCAAGAAGGACTGGCATGGCTGATTGTGCCCTTGGTACAGAGGAATAATTTCTAGTGCTACTTTCGTAATTCTACACCCACAGACCGTCCACAGTCTCCATCGCAACCTACAAAACCCCTCCCCGGTGAATTATTGCGGTACCAGGATACGGTGTCGAGCATATGCTGCCTGGTCTTCTCAATTTCCTCCTTCCGTTCAAGATCCTCCGGGCACAACTGCTCCAGCGTCATGTGGGTCATGATCCAGTCGTTCTGATTTATGGGGTCGAGGGCATCCCAGGGCGGGTACACGTCCGGCACCTTGGCCCCCCCCAGGTCGACCTTTGCGTACACAGCCCAGTAGTTTTCGAAGCCCCTGGCACCGCGACGCGACCACTGCCGTGGGTCCGTGTGCTTGAGGTACTTGTACAGCGCGCGCACGTGGTGCGGATCGATCGGCCCGCCGTCGGCGTCCATGACGACGACCGAGTCGCACGAAGAGATCGGGACGTGAAGCGCGATCTCCGGCGCGCTCTCTCTGATTTCTACCGCCCACGTCAGGTCCATGATCGGCCAGCGCTCGGCCCACGGTATCTTAGCCCGGAAGGGCGGATTGATGTCCATGGAGTAATAGACCACCCATTGGATGCCGACGGCAAAGGCCCCCAGCATGGGATGAAAAGGCATTGTGATGGTGGGGAGGACAACATGCCGGATGGATATGTTCTCCCCCTTAGATGACTGGACGGTCAGCGCGTCATTGAATTGGTTTTCGGCAGCGGTTTGTGCCATGGGGTTGACCTGTTTCTAGAGGTCCTCCAAGCCATAGCCCGGGTGGTTGAGGTCCTGGATGTGAACCGCTTGCAAGTCTTCGATATTCCAGCGCCTGGGGATGTGAGGGATAGGATTGAGCTGCGAGCGCGACATGTAGTCGAGGACTGTACCGAGGTCTCGGTGGGTCAAGTCCAAGACCTTCATAGATGTGCCGTGCTCCTTGACTTTCCATTTCCAAACTGTTTTGCCCGCCTCCTTCCCTTTAACCTGTTTGTCCATGCCCTCCTAACGCATCTTGTCTAGTTCATTCCATATTTCTAGGTTGCTCATCTTTGCCTCGACGCCGCATTCGACATTATCCGATTGGGCTGGGTCGACTTTGACGTAGTCGCTCAATCCGTAACCGTAGCTGAAGAAGACGAGTGGGCCAGGCCACAGCGCCTTATATCCAGGCCCCGAGATGTTTGCAGCTGCGCCATTGCGCCATCTAGCTTCGACCTTGGTATGAGGGTCCATCATGCCTGCAGAGAACCCTACCCACCAATTCTTGGTTAGCCAGGGTACGGGGACGGCATCAAGCTAACTCACCCATAGCAATACCGTGTCCAATCTTGCGGAAGAGCGCAGAATCCACCGCAGGATTGATGACGGCAAGATCGAGCCAGAAAGAGCCACCCCTGGGCTCCCCAAAGAAACCATCGAAGACAGGATGATCGATGATGAGGTGGCTATCCTTGACGTCGGCCCAGACGAGGTTGAGCCAAGGGAATTCCGATTGGAGGATGACGATACGGCGATGGTTGCTGCTAGGGCGGGCGTTCAGAGGAGTGTTATTCATGAACTTGCATTGTGTCAGCGGAACAGCTCTTGGTTCTCGTCGACAGTCGTCGTTGCAGAAGAAGCCCTCTCCACAGCGGCATCGGATCCTGGTCGCACCGGTCTCCTTCCCACACACGAGACAGTTGTTCTTCTAGAGTGACGTCTGCACTCCCCAGAGGTGAAGCTCGTGGATTTCTTCATTTTTCTCGATGGCGACGTCGGATAAATCGATCTGTAGCCGCATGATAAATTGTTACGATTGTGCTGCTGTCAAGATAAAAATACGTAGTTCTTTCGGCCCGATTCATCGATACCGGATGCTGGTGCGTTGGACTGTTGTGCCTGGCAGGTGGAACGGTCCGGCCAGCATTCAACAGGAAGAGGGACTCCGCGGGGGTTCCGTCTAGGTAGCCGCTCCTTCCTCAAAATACAGTTAATCCACGTGGCTCTTGCCGATGGCGGTACCTCTAGAGACTCTAGAGCTAGGTAGGTAGCACCTCGCCGGCGTGTGCAATGTCGAGCGGAGTCGACACTCCCTACCGGACTTGGAGAGCAGAAAGTTGAGGAGCGGTATTTTGGACGTTGGAATTCAGTTAGTTGGGCCCTACGACCCAAGTTCTCTAGCAGGCAGCGGTCGCCTGTAAACGACAGCTTTTCCAAGCTTCGATCTTGAAACAGCAGACAGTCCAGGGGGCTAATAGGTGCTCCAAGCCGGCGGCTGTGAGTGAGACAATTGACTGCTGGCTTCCCGCGTTGCCTGGGAGTCCGCGCATAACTCGATGAAGCGGCTCGGATCTGTGCATTGAGAGCTCAAGGAAAGAGGATATCATGACTGTGGAACGACTGGTCCTCAAATAAATACAGAAACACCAAGACCTAGTTCCATCCAACCGACGCCTAGCATGCCATGCACCAAACCACCCTGCCAGCTCCAGTCTACTTACAGCAGACTACGCTTCGCGGCGTAAACCAGCCCCAGAGTGCCTGCCGCGACGACCCATCGCCCATATATCCTCTTGAAGTTTGTCCAGTGCGTCATCCTCCACTCTCTCTCCATATCTTTGAATGCCGCCGCCTCGTTTAGGCGCGGGAACTCGACGTCGGGCACCTCCTTGCCCAAGAACTCACACAGCGGCGCCCACCCGTCCTCCATACGGAACTCCAGCACCTTCTCTTTGGGCACCATCTTCCTGACCGTCTCGTAGTGTTGCACGTAGCGCTGCCTCGCGTTCGCCTTGGCCTCCTCGCCGGTTCTCGCTCCGTAGAAGCCCTGGAGGAGCTTCTTGCTGGCCGGGCCCGTGCAGGAGCCGATGACGGGCTCGACGACCTCGATGAAGAAGGTAGGCACGGCGCCGAAGAACATGTCGAGCGCCGCCGCCGTGCTGCGGTACCAGGACTCCATCTCGCGCTCGACGAGCACGACCTTGGCCTCCGGGTATGCCCTGATCAGTTGTGGCGCGAAGAGCGGGGCGAGGTCGGTGACGGCCTCGCAGGGCCCGAAGGCGTCATCCCAGTCCTCGCGGGTGAAGGGCTTCCCCGTGTAGGTGGGTAGGCTGGGGAAGGAAGCGTCGGCGGCGCGCATGAAGACCTCGAAATCGGAGGGGTATGAGAAGATGGCGTCGATGCCGTGGTGCACGTCTTGGTAGCCCAGGATCCGGTAGGCGGCGGCCATGGATGCCGTGCCTGTTTTGGGCATGCCGAGGGAAAGGACCTGCATTGGCCTTAAGGGACGGGATTCGCTGACTGGTGGCATGGTGAAACTTGGCAACTTCAGTGCCCTTTTGAGCTGAGTCTGATGCGGAGTAGATGAGTCGGAGACTTTGAAATTTGAATCGGCGGGAGGCGATCTACGATGTGTCCACCGATGCGGGAACGGTCCCCTTATGTACTCCGAGCACTGGAAGCTCGCGCTCCGTCGATATGAGCTGAAGGCATGGGGCGGGAATCGGGGGACTCCGCCCCGACATGTCATCTAATTGGGGTCCCAGGCAAATCCCACTGCCCAGAGGATCGGGCTCGCTGATAGACGCAGGGGACATCCGTCAAGTCGGTCCCGTAGACCAGGTTCGGGGGGGCTGCCTTCCACCCTGGAATGAGGGTTGTGAGGGCACAGACACATGCCCGCCTGGTAGCGTGGACCGGTGTCAGGGAAGAACTTAAGAGCGCAGATCTGATTGGTTTCTCTCAACCGAGGAAGCGGGATGCCTTCGGTATCTCATCCTGCAGTGACAGATCTGACCGAGCGCGGGAATTTTCTGGGGGTCGATTGGGGTGCTCTCGGGCAGCAGAAAACGGCAGGCTTCCACGTAATTGTTGACCAGGAAAGTAAGCCACCTTCTACGCTAACAAGGTCGGGCACCTCGGCGCCGCCGACGCAGGTCGCCAAAATCCTCAGCTGGCAGAACCGAATACGAGTACAGTCTTGAAAAGGGACATCTTCCTCGAGCATTTCTTTATGCAGGGAATGCCCAGGACCACCAGAATACAGTGACAGGATAGACCCGACGCTGTTTGGCTGATGAAGCGAGATCTGGGACGGTCCACATAGGAGTTCCAATCAGCCGGACCGGTGGGTCCGGCGGGTCGATTGGTTACGGTAGCCGCCCGCACCATCGGGCCGGAAGGTGGCTTGCTCAGGCAATCAGCTTAGAAATAGTCGGGAGGATGCAAAATTTGAAGACTTATACGCCATAAATAAAATTCGGATCGTCGTCGCCAAGCTGAAGTGGCGTCGGACCCGAGGGCTCCGGCCCGTTGGGCTTCTCATTGCTATGTCCTGGACGTCCCAGCAAGGCCTTCAGACGCAGTACCTGTTTACACATCTGTATGTGCCGAGTGAAGTGAGAGCGGTCGCAGAGGATGCAGAGGATGCAGAGGATCCGCCGGCATCTGCGGTCAAGTGTTGACGTGTCTCGGCTCCAACGCAGGAGAGTGCTGTTCGGAGCACTGCTTCTGCGGCAAGAGCATTGGCTCAGCCCACGTTTCTTCTCGGCCACAGTGAGGTACTAATCCGTGCGCCGCGCTTTCTTGAAACAATGAAACCCCACGACGAAGGGTGGCTCGTGCGAGCTGATTTCCCCAATTGTACAGATTATTCTGGAAGTGTTCCGCGATCTGCCTTGACCCCCCACCCCCGCAACCCACTTCTTGGCTTTTGGCGAGAAGAGCAAACACAAGAAACAGCTTGTATTGTCGTACGACGTAATGAAGTGCGGCCATTGACGTCCTATACTATGTAGGACCAACAGCGCGCCTTCCGCCTGAGAGATCAGACATTGCTGAGCTCGAGCGGAGGCTGACACAAGCCCAGGCCGACGGCATCCACGCGACGAAAGAAGTTCAGGCCACCACTCGACGTGTCGCCTGGGAGAATTCCCGGTTGGGCAGATTCTCCACCGAAGGCCCGAGGAACACAGCCCCCTGTCCAGCCCCTGTCATGTACATCACGAAAAAAAGGCAGCGCAGCTCAAAAGATGGCGTGCTTTCTGGTATTTTAGGGCTCAAATTTTACCGGTACAACCGAGAAAATCACTCAACACTCTCGTCCTGCCAAGAGTCCTCAATGTCCCGCGCTCAGGCATTCGCTTGGTTCCCTACAATAGGCTTGGTCGCCAAAAAGCGAGAGCGAAAACAGGTCGTCAGCCCTTTTTTCATGACAGCATTTTGGAACTGTGGGCCGTGGTCCCCGCGGACTGTACCACGTGACCTCCCCCATATCCAACCCCAACCCTTCCCCGCGCGCCTTTCCTTGCTCCGCTGCTATAACTGGAGCTCCAGGAGCTAATTTGACCATAGCTATATATAACAAACTGAAAAGATTGAACAAACGAAGTCTAACTGTATATATAGAATTGCGGGAATTCGAATGCGGGTATATGCGTGCATTTGCATACGCGCATTCCTCACGAACGAAGGAGGCGTGCGCGGAAGGGCTGGGGTTGTATATGGGGGAAGTCACGTGGTACAGTCCGCGGGGACCACGGCCACAGTCTATCTCTAGGTATCTTTTAAGTAACGGGTATCCGAGAAAAGCGGCTACGAGGCCGGCTCCGTTTTATAGGCCGGGAAGATAGGTAGGAGCCATTCGCCGCGACTTCGAGAACCCCCAACCCATGTTGAGACGGGATAGGTTGCTACGTGGCCCTATCTGCGACATCAATGCGGTGGGCGGACAGCGCCTTTTTACTGGACTGGGAACAACCTGAGGTCCATGCATGTTCGCAGCCTGACCCTAAACCTGAACGAACTTGAACAATTTCAATTCTCTCATCATCCTACCATATAACCTTTCTCGCCATGGCCATCCCGCATCTCTCAAGCATCTCACACGGCGTCGCTTCGTGTCTTACGTCTTTACAGGATTACTATAGAGGTTTTACCGCAGTCATCACTCCGGTTACCTACTGCGGCTTCTGCCTCTTCCCACTCCTGTCGGGGGCGCGACAGTGTGATGGCTTCGTCGACAAATGGAGACAGCGGCCGGAAAAGATGCCATCTAGGACCCGTTTCCCGCTTAAGTGTATCCAAGCATCTGGTTCTCGTGGCTGTGTCGTCTGCGACGTCATATCTCGGACGCTTCGCCGCCATTGTAAAAGGGCAGTTGTCTTTCTGGAGTGGCACGCATCACATCGGTACCTCGAGCTATGCGAGAAGGATAGCGAGGATGCGAGAGAAACCTTTACGGGGAGCAGTGTTTTCCGCCTCTTCTTTTATCCAACTGAAGCCACCAGTCCGGGTGCCTTCCTCCGAAGCAATCCGTACACCTCGGAAAGCCCAAACGCCGAGGGACGCGTCGATGCCGAAGCGTGCACTAGGTCGCTAAACTTCTGGATGAAGGATTGCTCAGAATCTCACGATGCGTGTAACAGGGCCAGGACACCAAGCCCACCACTGCTTCCAACCAGGGTTATCAAGATCATAGATAAGGGCGGATTGCACCCCGCCGTCCATCTTATGGAGTCCGGCGGCAGTCGTGGGGAGTACCTGTGTCTCAGTCACTGCTGGGGGCAACTCCGCCCCGATTGTATCACCACGCGGGAGACGTACCAGCGCAACAAGACCGAGATCCCCTGGTCTTCACTCCCACAGACTTTCCTGGATGCGATATCCATTACCAAGTTGCTTGGCAAGGATCTTCTTTGGATCGACTCCATTTGCATCATCCAGGACGACGACGAGGATTGGAGAGCTGAGGCAGCCAAAATGTACGCAGTCTACGAGGGCTCGTTTCTCACCTTGATGGCAACCATGGCAAAAGATGGACGAGGCGGGCTTCTTCGCCCAGAGAGCCCCTGCGCTCCCACAAGGATCGATCATGCCTCGTGGCCCGGGCATGGAATCTTTCTTCATGAGCAGCAAACCATGCACGGGTTGGGCTGGGGCGACTTCCGAGTAGGCGGGGAACCTGACTACAATCTCCACCCTCTTCTCGGGCGTGCTTGGGTATTTCAGGAAAGATATCTATCCCGATGCACCGCCCATTTCACCTCGCGCGGCATCCTTTATGAATGTGACCAGGGACAGGTGTCAGACTGGAGCTTCCGCGGGCTCCCCGGTAGCCTCCATCACAGCCTGAGATCCCCAGCCAGGCCTGCCAACGCGCAAGGCTTCGCCGCTGAATGGGCCAAGATCACTTCTGCGTACTCAAAGCTGAAGTTAACAAAGCTCACAGATAGGCTTCCTGCGCTCGCTGGGGTGGCGAGGCAACTCAAGTCCCACGCGGCAGCGTCCAGCGGCTACCGACCGGGGCGCTACCTGGCGGGACTATGGGAAGACACCTTTCCCTGGGATATTATGTGGAGTACTAGCTGCTGCGGTTCTTTCTCTAACGACGTTGTTACCCCTTCAGAGGACTATATTGCTCCTACCTGGTCATGGGCATCATTTCCAGCGGACACTACCTCGTACAGTCGACAGAAATGCGATCTCTCAGTCAGATCCATTCAGATCAAACTCAAAGGACCAGACGAGTTTGGCCAAGTCTCTTTCCTCGCTGTCCAAGTCTTAGCTCGGCTGGTCCCTGCATATTTATGGCCCGAAGCTATGATGGTTGATGGGGTTATCGAAGACATTGAGCACCCATACCGACTCGATACAGGCTTTGGGAGTTGCTCCTTTTATCCCGACTACAACGCCAGGTGGGGTGAGGACCATGTATTCGAGAATGAGACGCCGGTGGCTTGCATCCCAGCATATTTAGATGGCGCGCTAGACGGTTTCTTAGTACTTATGAGCTTGGATGGTTTTCCAGATACCTTTTTCCGGATCGGCGTAACTGCGTCTCTCGGCCATTCCATGCCCCAGGACCAAAAAGCACGCTGGAAGGAGTTTCTTGATAAAAAAGAAGAGGTAGAAATCACTCTGGTATAGTTCAAGTCTAGTCGAGTAGCTACCTATTTGCTGCCAATCATTCTCTTCCGCTCCAACTTGACATGTTCAATGCATTCCGTCACAAATCCCAGCAAAGCCGTTACAAAAGTCGAAGCGGTTTGTCTTGCATCAAACCTGAACCAACTCCTCGTTAATGCCAAGCCCCCGTCATCCCAAGCATCAAGACGATCAAACACTCCCAAACCACGACGCTCACAAAGCGGTCCAAGCACTTTACCGGCGGCGGGTGATGCGCAGGAACCAATGGTGGCGTTTCTGGTTTAGAGATGGCGGCTGCAACAGTTTCGTTCGCCGGCTGATTATAACCCGCCCCCTATCTTCCACCCTCACACCGATTGCCAGGCGGGATCCGCGACGATTTCGGTCGCGGCGATCTGGGGCAGCACCTTGCAAGGAAAGGATCGACTAGCAGCCAGGAGAGACGATCTCGATCCTGGTTCTCTTCTGGCCTATATCTTGGGCATCCAAGCTGCACTAGATGGCGTTATCAACCCATCTTCTCTCACCACCATCCTACTCACATCTTCGGTTTCATTCTCTCACGACCTGGTGTCGTTACTGTTGAGCAGTTTATACCACCACTTTATTCTATTAATACACCGTATTCCCTCCAAAACCAACCACAACCTTCAAAATGGTCCGCCTTACTATCGCCGCTCTCCTTACTTGTAAGTCAACTTCCACCACCCTAGGTACCTACCTACCTGCCCTTGACAACTTCTAACCCCCGGCAGTCGCCCTCGCCGCCACGGCCCAGGTTACCCCCAACAACGCCGGCGCCAAGAACGTCGGGGCGGGCAACGGTCAGCAGTTCATCACGGGCGGGTGTGTCAACAATGCCGACTGCAGCTCCGCCTGCTGCGCCGACGCGAGCGGTGTGGGCGTCTGCTCGGCCGAGGCCGCCCAGTTCCAGAACGGCAAGAACGGCTGTGGCTTTGTTGACCCCAATGCTGCCGCCACGATTGCTGCCGCGCAGGCCCAGGTTGAGGAGCAGGGTTTCTAGGGGGTTATGAATGGGTCAATATCGACGTGAGGCCTTGGGCTGGGATGATGAGGAAAGTTGGAAGGCTTTAACTCAAATATTGCCCTGCTAAATGGGTACACAAACATTCAAACAGAAACATCCAAGTCCTGGTGAAAACAGGCAAAGCAAGGGAAAAGAAAACAAACCAAATCCCACCAAAACCAGTCCTATCATCTCTGCAACTTGAATCAATGAGATGCGGGCAGACAACCCCCACTACCTATTTCAGCTTTGTCCACCTTCGGCCAAACCTTGTAGTCAACGTGCATCGATGCGATACCTTGCTAACAGCCACCCCCGCAATGGTTGTTCGTTCCGTCCCCTCTCGGCCAATTCTCGTGGTTGAGCGCCGCGATTTCAATGGCAGTTTGCCGCCAAGACGGCTAACCAATATTCGTCATACGCTCGCGCAATGTCGCCAGAACACGGCGCTGCCGATCAAAGACGCTCAAGCTACCTATAAAACTGCAATTGCAGCTTTGAACTCTCATGTCAAGTCCCCAAACCACCGATCCAACCAACACATTTCATTCGGTATACATCCATTTCACCCTACCATCAAACACCACCACCACCTCCAACCCCGCCTCAAAAGAAAAAAACAACCACCACCAAAATGTCCCGCTCCCTCCGCCTCACGGGCAACCTCCCCGCCCGCCTAGCAGGACTCACCACCCGCCAACCCACCCCCCTCACGCGCGCCTTCTCCACCACCCCGCCGCGCCCCCAATCCCTCCCCGTCCGCGTCACCGGCACCGGCACGGGCACCGTCCAACACCTCGCCGTCCCCGGCAAGGCCTACACCTTCACGGCGGACACCTACCCCCTCCTCGGCGGCGGCGACACGGCCCCCTCGCCCGTTGTCTACTCGCTCGCCAGCCTGAGCTCGTGCAACCAGGTGACGGGCCACGTGGTGGCGCGGGACCATGGGATTGCGTTGGGGGAGTGGCATGTGGAGGTCGAGGCGGATTTGCCGACCGCGGTGTTGGTGCAAGGGGCAGAGGAGGGGAATCCGAATTGGGAGGTTGTGAGGCTGAAGGTGCGGGTGCAGACGGATGTGGAGGAGGGGGGGGAGAGGTGGGAGAGGTTTGTGAGTGAGGTGGAGAGAAGGTGTCCGATTACGCGGTTGTTTCGGTTGAGTGGGGTGAGGTGGGAGAGTGAGTGGGTGAATGAGAAGTTGTGATGAGGTGGGGGAGGGGGGGTTGGGTTGGGGTTGGGGGTAGGGAGGGAGGAATGGGAACCGATGTTGGGATGCTGCCGGCCAGGGGGTGGGTTGAAGTTGAGCTGCTTCGGTTGTTATGTGGAGGATATCACGAGAGTGTACATCTCGGTAGGAATCACCTCCCCGGGACAAGAAAGCAAAATGCGGCATGAGACAGCTAGTGGTGTGTACTGTACGTCCCTACCTGAGGTATGCTGCCAAGAGGAGCTCAATCAGCAAATGGAAAGGGCCAGGGGTATTTTGGGGGTTGTCTCGGGATACTACCAATCAAGATCAATATGCTCTCCCATCAGGAACTATCCATCAGGAACTCTCGTCCTCTTGCGCGCAAGGCTCCGGCTCACCCGCCAATGGGGGTGGGCCGGGTGAGCTGGGGTGACCACGGGCACTCGCCGTCCCTGGCTCACCCGGAAAATGCCCAAAGCTGAAACCAATAATCTGCACAGCGGGCGCAGCCTGGTCGCTGTTGCGATTGTGCGACCCTAGATTACGGAAGACGGGAGGGGAGAAAACGGATATAACTACCGAGGTACTCAGCACAAGTTCCAGCATTGCATTCACACCTCCACACCAGGTCATCCCGCACTCCCAAACCGGTATACATACCTGTTTCCCGGTAACGCACCGCAGGGGTATAGAGGACACCGAGAAGGAGCAAGGAAAGAGAGGGCGATCAACACAACGGAGCAAGCAATTGGGAGGATAAGCGCGGAGGAGGATCAGGCCGGGTAATTGTAGTAGAAAAGAAGAGGCAGAGGCAGTAGTTTGAGCAGGAAGCTAGAGTTTAATGTATTATCTTCCGAACCCTTACTGTTGGGCTATGCATTTACTTTGCAAACTCTGCTTGTGTATTGCTTGTACCCTTTCACTTCAGTATACCACCTTTGAGGTCCCTTCCGGGTCCTGAGAAATACAATCCTGGAACACTGGGAAACGTCCCAAGATACTGGAAGGGGATAACCAGCTCCGAGTCCGCCGCAGGAGCAAGACGGCCCGGCTCAGTGGCATTTGGGAGGTCTTCTCAGCATTTAATCAGGTGCTTTACAAGCTTGAGGGTCAGGGAGGTCTAACAGGCGTATGCATCATCGCTATTAGCTACCAGTAATACCCGTAATGAAACTCTACGCCTTGCTCGAGAGGCTTCTGTTGGTTAACGAGTCAGAGGGGCTACCATAGAGCCACATCCGGAAGGTGTTATGCGTGGTGTACAGCCACGCAAAAAGTTGGGTCACCATCGGGAGGGCTGGCAGAGATCAATTCGCAAACCACCTTAGAGTACTTAGGAAATATATAATTTCAGCTAATTTCAGCGTTTCCCTAAGCAGGAAGGACTCCGATTTGTGGCCTGCAGCTGCACCCTGTGCCGTGCTGCATCAATCAGCTGGAATCGGGCCGGGGTGTCGGGGCGGCGTGATTCGGTCAGAGTACGGTGAGAGGGAGAGGGATACTTGGTAATGCAGCCCTCCTCTCAAGAAGGCCGCGAGGCTATGAAAGCAGCAGGGTACGGGCGGGTTGGGCAACCACTTCGAGTGGGTGGGGGAGAGATTGGTTTCTCTGTCTCTGGGGACAGAGAATGGTTCCGGTGATCCGATTCCATGTTTTCGGAAAGAATATTGTTCGCTGGGCTCCCCGGATGCAACAAACAGCGATACATAATTGGCTGCCTACTGCAAGAAGCACCTCGACCGGGCGAAGTATTGGACAGGGGGCTCTTCATCCGAGCCATTCAGATTCAAGAGTCATCCTCCCACAGAACATGTGTATGAGAGGGCGAGAGGCTCAGTCTCAGTCTCCGATAAGATAGACGTAAGGTGTATAGGTACTGCGTACCCTCAGCCTGGTGTTCAACGGACTCAATTTCCGTTCTTGTTCTAGTCATCTTTGACAAAGCAGTCCTTTGCAGTGAGAGTATCGACAGTTGCAATGAGCTCTCACAGTACCAACGTCGGTACCGCATCCCCGGCCACGGTGAGCACTCGTGGCTCCAAGTCAGGAAACCAAGATGAAAAAGACGAGTTTTCTTGGCTTCGCAAGGACTTTAACGGACCGGAATACATCAGCTACTCGGAACTTTCCAACGCAACATACTGCGCCTTTGACTTTGGCCAATGGGGCTATGCCGCGTCCACCAATGACGGAGGCGAACTTTTACAAATGACGGCGCCTTCAGGGAAACACGGAATCGTGTTCGCCTGGGGTGATTTCGAATTTTCCCCCGACCTGGCCCTTGCCCGCGGCCAACGAGAGCAGGGGGGGAAGTCGAGCTTTGGTCTGAAGTTCCTCGGGTCCGAAGGAGGCGAGTCAAGAAGCTACAAATGGAGCGTGACCGAACGCGGCTCTTTCCAGTACCGCTGGCCCATTAAGAGATTCTGCTACAGTTCAGTCGACCGAAGCCGTCTCGATGCAAACGCCGGGACCCCAAATGAGGAGGAGGAGGACGACGAGGAGGAGGCAGCCGACGCAAAGTTGGGCACGGGTTCATTGATGTCGTTTGTTGACAAGGGGTGCCTCTACCAAGTGCTGCGCCTCGACCCGACCAAAGAATTCGAATTACAACTGACGCTTGAATGCCCCATGCAATTCCATTCCTTCGCCAACCCCGACGGCGAAGAGGTGGAAGCAGAACAATCCGAATGTGAGAGGCATACCATATGCACGGTGGGGTCTTGCTGCGTCCAGGCCAAAAAACCTCAGCAGCCAAAATGGCGAATCCGAAATACACTGGCAGGGCAGTCTCTGGAAGTGGAACACGCAAAGAAAGACGTGGAACCCAGTCGCCTTGGAGAGGGAAACGCAGACTAAAACTGGCCATGCAGCGAGAGGCAACAAGCCCCACAAGGTACCAAAATGGGTCACTGCTGAGACGAAGGAAAACGCCACAACACCGCTCGTCTTTCTCGCCATGTACCGTTTGGTGGAGGCCGAACATGAAATACAAGCCTGCCTGAAGCCACCATGGCCCGACGAGATATCTAACGTCGTCCTGGCCAAATCATCAGACACTTTCGCAGGAACTGCCGAGTTGTGGCAAGGCCTCTTCGCCGATAGGCAATCCAAGGCTGAATGCGTGTCAGCGCTCTGCGAGGCCGACATAATTGGCCGCTGCTTGGAGAAGGTCTTGGGCGTCGACCTCGTCCCCGCCTTGGATAAGGCCCAGGCTCCGGCGGCTGGCAAAGATGCGGAACGGCAGGCCATCGTTAGCAACATGTTTCTCAGAGCCTCTGTCGACGTAAAAGGATTATTGTGAGTTGATTTACTATCAATCCCTTGTGCGAGAGGGAGGCTGACGCCCATCATTTCCTGATTGCAGTTGGAAGACGAGATTCCTAGTCAAGGTCGACAAAGTACTATCCCGTGCTTTGCTTGACGGTATGCAAAGGGGGGGAGAAGAGCCTCCCATGAGACTTCCAATAACGAAAGAGGAAGAACTGTACGTCGGAACGGACAGCACTCTCAAGGCAGCCCAAGAGACCATCAACAGGGTCCGCAGGGCGATTTCCGGCATCCTGCGTTTCGTGGTACAAGAACTGCTCAAGTCCGACGAAAGGCTGTCATTGGCCACCCCAGATGACGGAGATTTCCATCGGCACTGCTACCCCTTGATCACCGTGTGTTACATTGTTCACGCCTACCCAGACACCGATTGGACCCGCGATAAGGTCACCCCGGCAGAGGGAAAACTTGACGGGTCGGATCGGAATCACAGCATTCTCGGTTTCCGGGTGGATGGTCCTCTGCCTCGAAATGGCTACCCCGTTATTAAAGTCGAAAAAGCTCTGCTCTGCCATCTCCACGGCCGGTCTATTTTCTCGCTCCAACAAAAGGGTTTACTTCCGGCTGTGGAGTCTTGTGACGAATTCGAGCTCCATCATCTGGAAAAAGCGGCCCGGACAGCCCTCGTGAAGCGCATCTCGTCAGCTCGCCAGTACGAAGCCGGCGATGAGGTGTCCGAGAGACTGGTATTCCTCGCCCATGAACTCTGGGGGAAGGAGGGGGACAATGACCATAATAATGAGACGGTGAGCTGCTTAAACCGCATTCTGAAGCGGGAAGAGCGCCGAGAGTACACAACCACCATCAACCTGTCGGATTCGGACCCGGAAAAGGGCCAGACATGGGCCGGACCCTGGGAAGTCCATGTTCTGTGTCACCATAGCCGCCTCATGATGGCCCACCACCGCATCAAACACGACAAAAGCAAAAGCAGAGAGGCAAGGGCCGATGGCCAAGAGCACCTTGAGTATTTCAAGAGAAAGCTCTGTGACTTTTTGACTTGCGAAGCATCGCTAACACCCTGCTGGGAGCGCAATAACTCGTCTGCCCACCTCCGCGGCATGCTGAGGTCCGAAGCGACGGCCGTCGTCTCATCGACCATCTTGGACATGTTTCTCCATGATTACACCCGTGCACTGGCCGGATCAGGTGCTAATAGAGCCCCGGATGGTCCGATGCCCGCTAGCTGTGCATGTGGGCTTCAAGGAACCGGCATCAAGACCGTTTCTAGGCCGTTTCGAAACCGCCCGCGACATCCCAGGGAGGGACTAGACGCCGTGCATCTCATGAGCCTGCAGCTCGATGCTCTTGAGGCGATTGAGGCCCAGGGCGAGGAAGAGCAAATCGACTACCTCAAGTTCCGGCCCCCGTCGCGATTCCATCCAGACGAATTCTTTCGCTCGCTCGAAGACACGCCCGACTATTACCACGAGCATGCTATCAGCAAACGATCCCGGGATTTACCAAAGGCAATACGTCAAGCTATCCGCGCGAAAGGCACACGGCCGACCGACACAGGCGAGAAGCCTTGCTTTCCTCCTAAGGTTCTGTGCCTCCATGGCACCAAATCACCCCCGGAGAAACCCGACACAGAGCTCAGTGGCTCAAGCGAAGAGGAAATCAGCAAGCCCATCGCCGGGGACCATCTCGTCCGCTTGGAAACCTCCGAAACACTCATAGCCGGCAAACTCGAGAGCGACGAAGCCAGCGATACTAAAAGTGCAACCGACCGGACTGTACCGCATCGGGATGTTGTTAAAGAGTTTCTGGATTCCCTCGGCGACCTCAGCGAGAGGCTCCGAGAGCTACTAACTGGAACAGAAAAGGATGGCGGGGAGGGCGAGAAGATCCGCGCGATAGAAGCGCTGCTCCCTCTTGCTATCATTGACCTGCGCATGCCTACTTGGGAAGAGAAACTACGAACCCTGCCTCTTTCGTATGGACCCAAAATCCTTGGGATGATTACTGATAGTGTAAGTCTGTATATTCCTACCTATGAAGAGAGAGAGGGACAGAGCTACGGGGTGAACCACCGAGAGAGATTGAAGGCATGAGCGGGACACTGTGTTGAAGATTCGCTAACCATTCGCGATACCGACTGATATAGCTCATTGATCAACAAGTGCGCCACCGAATTCTGTACGTTTCCCCCTGTCGACATCCCCTTCCGGCCCGGTTGCACACCAACTTACATCTAATTAGAATCTCGTGCGTCGCATACCAACTCCCCAAGGGTCTACTTCGCCTCCTCGTCCACATCCTTCATCCCGAGGTGGTCGAGTGCTTCAACAACCACCACCTCCGCCTGTCGAGATTTCAACTCTCTAGTAGGCCCGAGCCACCCGTCGTAGCGCACATCACCATCCGGAGCTGGTCCGTCGTCTGGGACCGAGAACTTAGCTACGCCACCCAGGAAGAGGACAAGATCGAGATCCCCGATAACCTTTTTCTCGAACATCGGCGCAAGAACAACCCCCTCCAAAATAAACCACCCCTCGTAGAGCTCAGAGTCTCGTCCGTCGCCATATCCACCAACCGCTTTGGCGACTTTAGTCGGTGCTCCCTCATCACTTACCAGATTCCGTGCTGCCGGCTCAAGAAGTTGGGCGTTATGGCGCAGGAGATCTGGGACAAGTTCACGCACCAACCGCAGACGGGGAGGTTTCTTGTCTTTTGCATGATTCTGGGCGAGCTGTGCGAGAGCCTGGTATCCGACTACCAGGATATTCTGGACGGGTTTATCCGGGAGACACTGCCGGATGATAAGGTTGTGAGTTTTGAGTTTCTTTTCTAGTGTCTAGGATTCTAACTTTTCTTTTTTGCTAATGTTGGGGGGGTATAGCCAATCTATCTCGAAGAGGTCGACAGGTTGCAGGACCACAACAAGAACGCTGATGTCATGCTCCGGCTGAGTCTCTGGGGCCTGGAAGCCCTCTTCAAGGTGAACAATACCCTCAGTGCGTCGGTGCGTGTCCTCGAGTCGGCCATTGTGGACCTGAAGAGAGAGATGAAAAATGTATGTACACTTTTCCCAGCCACTCGAGCATGACCAGAGGAAACGTTCAAGATCTAATTACTCAAATACTACCAATAATTTCATGCTGACTTTTCCATCAGGGACCTGGAAGGCGAAGTCCCGAGCTCGAAAGCGCGTACCATGAATATCTCGGCAAGCTGGAAAGGCCATTCCGAGACTTGACCGCGATCCAGAACAAGCTGGAGAGAAAAGTGGAATTCAACACGCGCTACACGAACGCGGTATGTACATACCTAGCTTGTCACACACATCGTGCCAGGACCAGAGTCACCAGACAGACAGAGTGGACTGCACCACAACGTAAACCGTGATCATGACTCGATTTATATATGCTAATTCACAGGGCGCGCATGTAGCTTTCATCAGTCTTGGCCCTCAGAGCCAGCCGCAGCTCGTACCAGCAGAACAATACCATCCGGAAACTCACCTATATCACTCTGGGGTGTCTGCCCCTCAGCCTAGCCTCAGTAACTACCGATGTTTCATATATTTCATATCCCATCCATCCATCCATCCGTGTCCCTGTACCCCCGTGCCCCCTACCGCCTGTCCCCTCCCGGCAGCAGCAGCAACCAACCCTAAATCCCCGGTTTGTCGTCAACATGAATTTCAGCGGGTTCAAACTCCGGTTATCGCTAATAGTTTACTCACAGGCCGTCTTTGCTGTCCCCAAAGACCAAAATGTGCTGGACGAAGAGATGGGTCGAACCTGGTACATCAAGATCATCATCTTTTTCGCCGTCGGAATTCTTGTCGTTGGCGCGTGTCTGGGCCATATCTTGTATGTGGTCGATCGCTTTGTGGGTTTTGTCACGTACCTCATTCCTGAGTGGCTGCGGGTTGAGTGGCTGTGGGGGGAAGTTGAAGAGGGAGTTGAGTGGCTGTGGGGGGAAGTTGAGTGGCGACGGGGGGCGGCTATTAAGTGGCTGCGGGGGGAGGATGAGTCGCTGAGTATCCGCAGCATGTGCAAGCGTGTGGTGAGAGGCCTGAGGCGCACAACGCCTGATCATGGTGAAGACGAGGTCTAGAAATATTTGAAGCAGCATTTTCGCATGCTGACATTCCGTAAAGCCAGTATCGTAAAGGAGCACTGGGTAACTACATTGTAATGACACCAACATCTACGTGGGTATCCCAGCAGGTACATACCTGTAATCTCGTCTCCGCTAACCTCGGTCTTGTATTCTCATCTCAATTTTCTCATTATCTCCCATTGCCACATTATCGCTCAATTAAAGGGGGTTTGGGACGTTCTAAACGCACTAGCAAGACACATAGAAAGCTCAACTATATAGTTAATAGAACTACTATCATAATTACTATTACTACTGGGTTGTGACGATGCAGTTTATCGAAGTTGGTCGTAGGTTGCCGTGGTGACACAACCGGTGACAACCCCGGGCGGTTGGTCCCTGGCTCATTCGAGCACGGCACCGCTGAAGAAGAAAACCTCCATGCGGCCCCCAATATGCAAGATCAACCCGTCGCACTCGAATTCCCAGGAGGTGGGTGGGCGGCTAGCCTATCGGACTGGTTGGGCCCCGAGACACCTCCGCCCAACACGCATATCTCGCAGGCGCCCCCTTCCAGCATATCGCTTCGAGACCGCCCGAGGCTATTCGGGATGGAACACCAGCCGCCTCTTTGCCGAAAAACAGTGGCAAATAAGGTAGTACAAGAGACAACAATACCTCTCCACTTTGACACGCGTCAATTTGATCATGCACAGAACAGGTCGACATCCTGTTTTTCCGCAGGGAAACTATCACTTCTTCATATCTTAACACCGGTCCACGTCGGCGTGGTCGTTAGGAAGAATCCGAAGAAATGGCGTCGTGCGACTCGAAACACGCGAATCCGGAATCGCCTTCCATGTGGTGGGAAAAGGCCACGGCCATCACTCTAGACTCGGTGCATCCGAATCTTCTCAATTACAAGGCCCATTCCGCTTCCAACTTTGATGAAACCGACTTCATCTACCTCAAGGCTCTATGGCGGAACAAGTCCGTGGACCAGTTCCACATCAATGATTATGTGCGGCCGGAATACGTCAGCAAAGCCGACGAGTTCGTCGGGCAGAACCCCAGCCCGGTCTCGGGACAAGCGCAACAGTCTCTATCCCCACTTCGCCAGAGCATGATCGCTTTCATAAACACTGCCGCAGCACCATTCGGGCTAGACCTACCGTTTAATGTTGAGCTAGGGCCATTTTCGCTCTCCAAGATGTTGCTTGACCAAGCGAAACGCGCCAACAACGAGGGACGGGATGTCGGAGACACGCTCAAACTATTTCGACGACTGGACGGACCAAATCAGGAGGGGCAGAACAACACAGCGGCGGAACATGTTCCCTTGGATGAGCAGCTGACAGCCCTGACCATCGGTCGCCCAACCTCGCGGTCGCAGACGCCCGGGGCTCTCGACTCGGAACAAGACCGGTCGTGGGACGAGGAGATTGTCCGATTGTCTCTCCACAGCCTTCTCACCTCGATAACCCTCTGCTCCGGAAATGGGGATCTAGACGGCCGCGGAGCGCTTGAGTGGGTGTTGACGCGGCAGACCTTTTCACTTGGACTGGCTGGCAACATCGTGTACAAGGTTCGAACGGATGGTCTGTTGAGGAACCCGGAGAACCCAAATTGCAGGGACCCGCTTGTCATTTTGGATGTCAAACCTTACATGCGACACCTAAGTCGGCGCAATATCGAGTGGCAGGAGGCATGCCAGATGGCTGCATGGATCTCCGAGACTCTGAGGGCAACATCCCCGGAGAAGCGGAGAGCAGGGGTTCTGACCACGAGTGACGACACCAACAGACGCCGGTACGCTATCTCATCTTGTGTGTTGTCTTGAAGAATGCTGGGTGCTGACACGGGAAATGCACAGCCGGATACTCATCTCCCAGAATTATCGTTCTTTGTACATCACGGTTGGCGAATGGGGGGAAGGGTACGAAAGCTACCTCAAGGACGGCGTTCGCTCGGCGACGCTGGACCAGGGTAATTTTCTAACCATGAACTGCCATGGCGCATATTCCCTCGACAATCAAGAGCACATGGCACTTTTCATTCGCAACCTACTGGCCTTGATGATGGAGCTTTCGCATCCGTGGGAGGACAAGTAAAGGTTGGGGCCCTTGGGGGGTGGGTGGCTGAGGCTGCTGCGGAATCAGGATTTATAGGTAAGGTATACTAGGGGTACTAGAGAGGAGTCGAAGCTCGGGAAACATTTGTTGGCACACGATGCATTCCGCCGTGCTACATGTGGTTTGTAGATTTCTGCCAGGTGGTCTTTCTGTCTTTCTCATTTCATTTTTACTTCTTCTCCTCCTTTTCAGTTTCCCCTTCCCCACCTCCCCCTTTATCTTCCTCCACCTTCTCCTCTTCTCCGCCTCCTTCCTTTTCCCACTTTCTCCTCATCATGCCTGCCCCGGATGAACACCCCCTCGTTCTCTTCCCGAGTTCTCATCTTAAAAAGCGCCAAGCTCGGGGTTTGACCCTGGTGGTAAGCCGGACCGCATGTGTTCCGTCTTGGCCTCCAAGTCCGACAGGCTTTGTTCATCCCTTCACGGCGGCCCACCGAAAACCGGTGTGAGGTTGTGACTTCATCCACTCCGTTGAGGACCGCCCAAACACTCAAATACCATTCCGCATCACCCCGAGAAACACCCCTCAACCTCCCAGAACCAAACCAAACCACCGTCACAGACAACTTCTTTCGCACACCTTCAAACCCAACTCCCACAACCAACCCATCCAACCCATACACACCACACCCCCCCTTTCCCAACAACAAAAAGCAAAAAGAAAGAAACAAAAATGCCGCCCCTCCTCCGCTACAACCTAGCCCCCACCCTCAACGGCCTGATCGCCTCCCTCCCCTCCCACACCACCCCCTGGATCATCCCCGACCCGACCATCGACTTCGCCGCCCTGTACGCACAATTCGACACATTCATCATGGGCCGCCGCACCTATGAGACCTTTCTTGCGATGCCGCCGGGGGAGAACCCGCTTCGGGGCAGGGCGAGGGAGAGCGTCGTTGTTTTTACGCGGGATGTGGATAGGAGAAGGGAGGAGTGGGGGCGGGAGGTGACGGTTGTGGGGGAGGGTGTGGTGGGGGTTGTGAGGGGGTTGAAAGAAAGCCAAAGGAGGGAGGGGAAGGATATTTGGTTGATGGGGGGTGGTGAGCTGGCGGGGGTGTTGATGCGTGCTGGGCTGGTGGATGTGGTCGAGGCGGCGGTTATGCCGGTGGTGGTGGGGCGGGGGGTCAAGATGTTTGGGGAAGGGGGTGGAGAGGGGGATAGGGGAGAGGAGGGCTGGAGGTTGGTGCTGGAGAAGGCGGAGGCGTTGGAGTCGGGGATTTTGATGACGCGGTATCGGGTTGTTTATGATTGATTAGGTAGATTTGTGGTGTGGTGCTGGGGATGTATATCCAATAACGCCCCGGCTTTAGTCTATTTTCTAACGTCTAATGTAACGCTATGCTCCGCTCCTCATGCTTCCCCGGCTCAAACACGCTCCATCTCGAAGCCGGCCGAGTCGCTCTCCGTCTGCGGCGTCTTCTCGGTTTCGGGGGCGACGAACGAGTGCGACATCTGGGGGAAGAAAATGCCCGGCGCAAACACGGCCAGCAGAAGACACGCAATCAGCACCATGAACGACTCGAGCACAATAAACGACGGCTCGTCCTGCATGATGTGGTTGCCCCAGCCGCCGGCCATCTCGGCGATACGGTAGATGCAGCGGACCAGCAGCGTGGCGTAGGCGATCCCGATAGCCCACATGAACATGCGGAACTTCTTGGTCACCCACAGCGCGGCCCCCGCCTGGTACTCGGACGCAACGTTCCCGCTCTTGAAGTACCGGCTAACCCGGAACAGGTAATCACCAGCCACGGCACCAAAAGTAGCGAGCACAACCACCTGCAGGACGATACCCGCCATAATGGTGCGGTTGCCGTGCTGCAGCAGGCTGAAGGTGTCCCGTCCCGCGGACGCCGCAATGCCGCCGCCGATGGCCTGGATGACGAGGCAGGAGATATCGGCCGGGACGAAGAATAGGGGGTACACGCGCGGGGGGACGCGGCTGAAGGACTGGTTGAGGGCGACGACGGCGTGTTTCAGAGTGAGATACAGTCCGACGCATACGAGAGTGGGGCCGAGGACGATGGCGACGATTTGCAGCCTGAAAGCACCACCGTTCCAGGGGTTAGTGGCGAGGAGGACACGGCCGATGTAGCCTGCAACGGTTAGAACGGGGGTTGTTTAAGACGAAGTTGGCCAGAGAAGGGACCATAATAGGGGGTCGTCTTACCGGCACACTCGAGGATGCATCCTGCTCCCACAGCGATGGAGAATCCCCACGTCCGCTTCCACACGCCGATAGAGAGGGTGATCACCGCGGCCAGGCCGAATCCGATGGCGAGGAAGATGTTGACCCCCTCATTGGGGAAGTAGCCGAGAGTGGTGGCTTGGACGGGGCAGTATGGGGAGGGTTCGCTGCATGTCTCGTAGCTGGGACGGAACCCGGCGGGCAGGTCGTGTTTCGACATGGCGTCTATGAGACTAGCCGGATGCGCGTGGGCTCGTCTCGGGGTGTCGAGACTCAGACGGGTTGGTGTGGAGATGTTTCGGTTGGTGAGTCAAAAAGCCCGGCGACCCGGCTCCGGGATCGAAACGTCTGAAAAACGAATCACAACCTAAATCAGGGGAGAGACAAAAAACAAGAGATGAAACGAAAGACTGGGTCAGTGGAACTGAAATGGAAAAGACATCTGACAAAGAAAGAGGAGAAGAAGAGGCGACGATGGTGCCATCTTTGAGACTTTGACTGAACGAGACCGAGTCGGATGGATCGGGCTGTGCAAAATACTGAAATTATTCAGCGTTGCAATCCGTTGCCGCTAGGAACTTTTGATCCGAAAGCGAGGACAGCATGCGTCCCGTCGTGGGTGAATCTCAGCCATTGAGCGTGGCACCTGGGTCCGGAAACCGTTATCTCCGGGATGCCCCAAGATGAAGGAGAGGGATGATTCCAGGCACTCGGGAGTTTGTGCGAATGCGAGTAAAAGCACGGCGGGGTGTGAGACTCGGGCTGGAAGCGATATTGTGTGATTGGCTGGAGCATTCTGCCGGTGCCGAGTACGATTGAAGCAACCACGGGGGTGTCTCCCAACACGCCAAGCCAGCATTTTCGCACCACAACCCCACAAACAACGGCTTCCAAAGCGTTTCCAGAACTCCCCATCCGAGACATTCGAGCACTCAACGGCACTGGCACGCAAATCCGACAGCCGCCACAATCCATCGCAGGGTCGCCAAACACGCAAGAAAGAGATACCGTATCAAATAGTCATCCCCGTGGGACAATTCCTCGCCCAATTGAGCAGCCGACGCGGGTTGGTGGCACAACCGAAGTAACGGTGAAGCATCTCCCGACGCGTTCAGAGACGCACATGGCGACGACGAGCAGTGCCTGGTGGTGATCAGAACGAAGCAATTGCGGCATGTCATGCAGGGGTTTGTCGATCCTTCGATTGTCCAACCATCATCCCCGCTGCCTTCGAGATTGCAGATTGCCGAGTGACCCTCCGGCCGGCCACCCCTTGAGAGCAACCCGCGCTTTCCGCTTTCTGCTTCCCGCCCATCGGCAAGCCGAAACTGGACCCTGACCCGATCCAAGGTGGCGCTTCCCGAGACCTCCCAGGGAACCATACCGAGCGGGCGGTACCGGATGCCTGAAACCGGACCAGCTGCAACCCTGTCCTGTATGTGTACCTGACGTCCAGGTTACTTGCATGTATGTACATCCCGCGTATCCCACGCCACCTCTCCACAGTCAGTGCTGTCCTGCTTCTCCCTGTCCTGGTAACCCGGGGTGGGCCAGTTCCCCATGGTCCTCCATCGAGAGCTCTGGACGACTGGCGGCCATGGCTCTTCGAAACCACCATGTTTCCGGATTAGCCGCCGCAACCCCTCGCGGTTGTGGCACCCCCCAAGATGCACCGCCGTTGGCCCAATGTCGATATTGGACCTATGGCGGACCAAGGATATCCTCGTCTCACAAGGCTAACCGCGTGGCAGTCCACACCACACCTTTGGGCCGCAGTCATCCTCCACCATTGCATCCACGCTCCGGCCCGTCGCGAGCTCCAACCCGAAAACGGAGATTCCCAGCCAATCATCTGGGTCCAGGCCGAGAAGCAGGAGTCGATCCCTCATCCCACCATGCCGGACCTTGTGCCGTCATCCGACTCACCGGTCTCGGCTTCTTCCGTCCAGCAGGCCACCCAGCCGACCCAGACCTCCACACCCCCCGAATCTCAAGGGGATGCCCAACCAAAAACCTCCATACAGCAACCCCAGGGGTACGCGAGTATCGGTCGCCGGGCGCACAAGAAGAGCCGCACGGGCTGCTCAACGTGCAAGTCCAGGAAGATAAAGGTCTGCCTCTGCTCTCATTTATTACGTTTCACTCCTCCGCTGCCGCCCCCATAGCTAACTCCCCCTAGTGTGACGAGAGGCACCCAGCATGTCTCAACTGCATATCTCACGGCGTAGAATGCCCCTTTCTCAAACCCGGCGCGGGCAACAATGCCTCCGCCCGGGCCCCCAAACCCAAACCTGACTCCCCTGCCTCGTCCAGCAGCACCTCGACATCCCGACCAAATCCAATAATGGCCCTCCCAGAAGGTGGAGAGCTACCGCTGCTGGAACTAGAGCTGCTCCATAATTTCACCACCAAGACATACACCACCCTCACTGCTGACGCCAGCGTGTGGGAGTTTTGGCGCGATGACGTTGTCCAGCTGGGCTTGACGTGCGATTACATCATGCGCGCCGTTTTGGCTGTCAGCGCCCTGCACTTGGCCTACCACCGCCCGGACCGCCGCGACTTCTACGTTGAAGCGGGCATCCTCCTGCACCAAAAAGCCGCCCGCTCGGCGATGCGCGTCATGGCCGTGGGGGATAAGATCGACAAGGACCACGCCGCCAACCTCTTCCTATTCAGCATGCTGACCATGTTTTTCGGTATGTCCCGTTTCCTCCCTCACACCCAACAACGTGTTAACCGACTGACCCCACACCGCAGCCCTCGCCTCCCCCCGCCGCTCCAACCCCGACGGCACCTTCTTCATCGGCGAGTCCGGCTTCCCCGACTGGGCCTTCCTGCTCTCGGGCGGCAAGTCCATCATGGACGTGCTCGGCGAGGCCGGCCTCGAAACCGTGGCCAGCCCCTTCCTCGTCTACGGCCGCCGCCGCTGGCACGCCCAGCGCGCGCTCCTCGAGGCCACGACGGCCGCAGCGACCGCCGCAACCACCAAAGACCCCCACCAGCAACAACAACAACAACACTCCCCCGCCGCCTCGTCCCCGCCCGAACCGCGCGGGCCCATCCTCGCCCCGCTGCGCGCGCGCATCCAGACCACCGTCTCCGACCCGGCCCTGCTCAAGACGTACGCGCACGCGCTCGACGAGCTGGAGCTGGCGCTGGTGGTGCGGCAGGACCCGGCCGCGCCGCGCGACGTGCTCGACGCCATGGTGTGGCTGTGGGTCATGTCGGACGAGTTCGTGCCGCTGCTGCGCCTGCCCACCCAGGAGGCCGTCGCCATCTTTGCGCACTTTTGTGTGTTGCTGAAGCATCACGAGAGTCATTGGTGGCTGCAGGGGTGGGGGGATCATATCATGATGAGGGCGAGGGAGATTCTGGATGAGGAGCATCGCGGTTGGATTGATTGGCCGATGAGGGAGATGGGGTGGATGGAGGGGGTTGAGGAGTAGGGGTTGGATGTGGGGGTGGGAGGAGACGGGGTGTTGGATATTGGGTTGGGGGATGTCCTGCTGTGGCGTGTAACATGGGGAAGCAAGTGACGACGGTGGGGCGGGAGCGGAAGGGGGCAGAGACTATCAACCACGCCACTATCTACCGAGGGTGGCCCAAACTAGCCCTGGGGCAACGAAATGGGGACTGGCTGCCAGCCGCTTCAAACCGACATTCGTGCAGTTGGAGACCCACAAGCGAGGAATTCCGCCCCGGAGTTTCACTACCCATGATGTCGGCATTTCCGTTCCATTGCGGAATAATGTGACGCAGGGCTCACCATCCGTCCATCGTCGTCTTGCTGCCCCTGGACCCACTGCTGTACGAAGAAATATACGAGGGGATACTGGGCTCTTTCTGGTGACCAGGCAGCTTGTCCACTACCAGATTAAAAGGGTGACCCCAAGAACGGTTCGATTCTGCCATGCTCTTTACCATGACGCTCCGAGTACGTCCTCATAGTGGGCCGAGTTCATGCAAGACACGTCTTTTCGAGGGGCAGTTGTCACGACCAAGGCTGTGTCCATGCATCAGGAGGCCAGCGATATCTTCCCGTCCCTTGACCACCAGCAACCTTCCTTCCATAACGGGGGGCAGAAGCTGCCACAGACAGGTTTGCCTAACAACTCAACCCAACCCAGAATCACCACCCCCACGAGACCCCGCGGCTTGCGCGTATCGCTCCCAGGGTCCAGGTCTTAAAGCCAATGTCATATCCTGCCTGGCTGCTGCCACTCCACGTCGAACCCAACCCGACGTCGTGGACCCTCAGTCAGCAGACGACGCCCGCGGTGAAAAGCCGGAATAGGGGCCCAGGTATGCACAAGACTGGCGCTCTAGCCTATCATGCATCGCCGCTATCACGCCACCGCAGTAAGGCACGGCATAGAGTGGTGGGAAGTTAGCCGGGGGTGGGGAAGAGGGTAAATTGTCTTGACGATCTCACTTCTAACTTCTACCTGTCACATGGGATACTCGGGCACTACTAAGTACGCATGTGTTGACTTACTACTATAGACATCTGACGGGAACCCGAGTCGTATTCAGTATAACGTGCTCCGCATTGTGTGCTAACCCCTTTCCATGCTTCCCCTGACCACCAACATGGCCAAATCCAACAGGCAGTGAGCCCCTATCAGGCTGGTATTAACAATTACTCGTCGTACAGCCGTCCCAGTTAAGTAAGCACGGCCTGCCGTGTGTCTTGAAAGCGTGCATCCAACGCTGCCAGTGATCTGCTCTATCCGACCATAAACGTAAAACAGCGACGACAAGCCCCATGCCGATCTGTAACGGACGTCTTGTCCTACATGTTCCTTCCCCTCCTCCTCTATCGTTCCGATCCCCGTGTCCAGGGAGAATACCAAAGATGGTTCAATATGCCCCATCCCAAACGCCATACCAGTCTATGCCCAACCCCACGCTTAGCCATCCATCACTTACAAGTAGCCAAACTCAGACCCAAAGGAAATCTTGCTCGCTCCCAGGAACACGCCAGCAAAGAAAAACACCAATAGCAGCGCAATCACCACGGCCGTGACGGCAGCAGCCTCGACGTCCCACCGCCTCCGCCGGCGCTGCTGCCGCCTCCGTGGCAGCAACAACGGTCTGCCCTCCCTGTCCCGCACGCTTCCCCGCCCCAGCCGGTCCCTGAGCCCGACGTCGCGCAGGACACTGTGCGCGGTGGATCCCGAGCCCACCGAGAAGGGCCGCCCCGACGGCAAGGGCGCGTCCAGATCCACGTCCGTGTCCATGCCTAGGTCGTAGTCCAGCACTCCCTCCCCCTCCGCAGCCGAGCCGTTGCAGACACGGCCGCCCCCGTCCCCTTGGTACTCCCCATCCCCGGAGCCGTTATCGAGATATCCCCTCATTGGCAGCCGATTCCCCAGCCCCAAAGCATCGACCAGCGTATGCGCCGTGACGGACGAATTGGGCGGAGTGGGCTTGATGTCCTTGAGGAAATAGGCCACGCGGGCCGGGATGCCGAACGCGACGCTCATGGGTGGCACATCGCGCTTAACGAGGGAGCAGGCACCAATGACGGCGCCGTCGCCTATTGTTACACCGCCTCTGTTCACGGGGTTTGTCAGCTGTCCGTCCTATTTTGGTTCGGGGGGGCTGAGAGCTGGGTGAACTCCGGATGAGGTCGGACGGGACAAGGGAGGCGGGAGAGAGAGGGGTATGGATTGCGGAGAATAAAAGGGGGGCGGAATGCGGGATGGACACGGCATGCCGTCCCAATCCTCTGGGTTTGCGAAGGAACATGGGCGAGTAAAGACGGGTTGGCTTACAGGATGGTGACGTTGGCACCGATCCAGACGTCGTTGCCGATGGTGACTGGCTGGCCGATGCTGTTCCTCTGGAGGCGCTCGTCGAGCCGCACGGGATCTGTTTTTCCATTTAGCCGTCGCCTTTCCTACGGTTTTTCCCGGGGTGTGTCAGGAAGCATGTAAGTGGCACGGTATCAGCCTGCAGGCTTGCTGTTGACCGCAGCCACGGGAACAGCACCCGAGACCATGCCCGGCTTACACACTGACATGCTCCGAGGGAAGAACTCACGGGTAACGCCGATAATGCAGCAATTCGCGCCAATGTTGCAGCCCTCGCCAATGACCACGTCGGCCACGGGCGTGTCCATGATCATGCAGTTCCGGTTGATGAAGGTGGAGCCGCCGACATGCAAGCGGAGGCCGTAGTCGATGTGGACGGGCGGCTTGATAAAGGGGGTCTTGGCCTTCAGGGCCGGGTTGGCGAAGGTCTGATCGTGGGTTACGGCCAATACGCTATCCCTGGTGCGATCGCGGTCTGGGCGGACGATGCTGCAAGCGTGTTAGTCAAGAAAAGGGGTTGCCCGACCGTGTCTCTGGCACATGGTGAAGCTCGACTCACTCAAGCCACCTCTGGCTCCGCTCCTCCGGGTCCGCGTCGTCCGGAGTGCTGTTAAATTCTCGGCATGCTCGTGCACACCGGTTCCGCACAGCGCGGAAGTCGGAGTTGCCGGCGGGGAAGACGACTTCAGGGAAGTGGGTGATTTCGACCTCGTCGGGGGTGCTCGCGATGGTCGATTCGCTGCTCATGGCGGCGGTTGTCGGTCAGCAACCGAAGTAGAAACGGCTCGAGGGTAAATGATGCTCTCTCGTCGTCTCTCGAAATCGTCGGTTGACGAATTTATGGCCGTTATGTCGGAAAAAAAAAAGCCAGGCCAAGAAGGATCGGGACGTAATGTCATGCGTCAGGGGAGGGGTGTCGGTAAGTTCCCGGAAAGTTGGCAGGGTCCAGGTCGGAAGCAGGCTGACGGTGCCCAGTATTTGGGTGGTTTTGGCCGCTCGTGTTACGGTAGAACGGGGGCTTGTTCCAGATCACACAGCACCGGAAGATGCCCGACTGGTGGTGTCCAGGTGTTCCCTGGAACCTGTGCCAGCAGAGGGGGTCGAATGGGCAGACGGGGAATATGCGGGAGGGCCGGTGTCAGCTGTCAGGTGTTGAGTCCTCGAGATGCGGTCGGCGTGCTCTTCGGTGAACTGATGGGTCGGGGCGTTGCTCATAGTAGTGGTTTTATCGTCGGCTGGGGGTCCGGGAACGAGCTGACGGACCGGGCTGTGTATGTGTGTGTGCGTGTGTGGGTGTGTGTGTGGTTGTGGTGTGTGTGAGGGTATGTATGTGCGTGTGAGTGCGAATCGAGGTGAGCCGAAACGCGTTGGATTGGCCAGGCTGCGGTCTTAAACCCGGTGCGAAGATCAGCAAATTGGCCCCCCCCGCGCGTCTGTTTCTGTCAATCTTCCGCAGATTCTTCCCTCCCCTGTTTCCTTCAGAGTCAGGTAATTTGATCCCACGGGCGATGACACGCATGTGTTCGGGTTGCGGCGCCCACACCATGTGTCGAGACTTCACTGGGCATTCCGGGGAGATTCTCCGCATATGTGGCTGCAAGATCGCCCCTGTCTGGGCTTCTCCCCGAGTGGATTCCCAGAGACAGTCTGCAAGCGAATTTTCGGGCCGTCGTCGTGTGACAGCCCCCGGGGACGCCCCCTTGTCCCCTTCCGGGATGGGTTTGCTGCAGGTCGAGCTCGCACCATGTTTGGAGCCCTGCATGGAACAGGACCCCAATGGTGGGGACGCGGGTGGTCCCTGTTGGCCTGCTGGAAAAATATGAGATGTGAGCGAGGCTTGTCAATGGTCGGTTCTGGCCGTCAGCCACCCCTCTCCGGCCGGTCTCCGACGCCCGAACGAGGCATGCGATCAGGCAATTGATTTGGAGGCCGCTGATGAGCAGAGCGAGCGACATCTTGCAGCCGAGGCGGGACGGCGACGGTGCCGTCGCTCCCCGGGATTGCACGGGGCCCAGCTGGGCCCAACACGATTTGTTTCTGCCAAGGATGATGTTCGTTGTGGAGGGCACGCATTCAGCGGCTTCGAGGTGTGATTCCGCGGGGGGCCAATGCCCGTCAGCGCAGGGGCCAGGGGAAGCACGCTCCACCGGACCGGGCGATCCGCCCATTCCGGGGCCGAGACGGATGCCTCCGCGGGCGCCTCATGACTGGGGTAGTGCGACCGGCAGCGGTGCAGATTGGCCGGCAGGTGGTCCCGGCGGCTTGTCGCCCAGGCCCTGGTGCCCTGATTACTCAATTCCAACTTGCGTGACCCGCTGCCTCGTTGGGGCAGCTTGATTGCTCCGCTGCGCGCTGCTGGGTCTCCAAATGTTTCCGCTTCCCCGGACCACAGGCGTTGGGCCCTCATCCAAGTCCTCCCTCCGAGAGCTGCTTGGTGTTCCGGCAGGCGGGCTCAGCTCTGCGGGCCTGCTCGGCCGGGACAGCTGCCCCCCCGCTGAAGCAACGCGCATCCGTTGCCGACGGCATCGAAGCATTACCGAGGATCTGTTCGAAACCGAGTCTTGCTTTTTCCGGTTCCGCTTGCAGCACCTTTAACCTCCTTTTGAACACCGGTGAGCCCTCGCTCCTTTCTTTGGCGTTTTGGGGGTGCAACAGCCCGCTATTTTACTGGCTCGGAAGGTTCAAAAAAACGCAAGAATATTACGAGCGTTTGTCCACACGGCGGTTGTTCTCACGATAGGACAGAGAGTTTTCCAGGATGCTGCGCAACAATTGGGCATCAATCATCAGCAGATGAACAAGGAGAAGCAAAAGGGGTTGGACAGCAAACCGTTGAGATCGGACCGGCGGTTCTGATCTCTCCCCGGCGCAAGTTGCAACCTCGCAAACGCAGGCCCCCCAGGCTCTGCCGCTCTGCCGCTCTGCCGGCCTGGTGCTCACTGCTCCGTCCGTCGCCGGCAGGGTCACAGCATCAGCGTGCGGCAGCACCCGATAGGCGAGAGAACATCACCCGACAAGGGCGCAGTGGTGGTGCACATCGGCGACGGCATGCGGCATCTCGAATGCGATCCTGCGCGAATCACGAAAGCGCACGACCGGACGCAGAGCGATCATCCCACCGACCCGCCCCGCGCCCTGCGTCGTCGGGTTCCTCCGCATCGTGGAATTGCCCCGGTCCGTTTTCCAGGCGAACCAAGCCGTGTTTGCCAGGGCGGGAGCGTGGGGAGGGCGTGGGAGGGGGACCGTGGGGACCAGCGTTTGATGGGTTTGTGGGGCGAACGTGGGATGGGAGGCGACCCGACCTGGCAGGAAAAAGGGCGGTCACAGCGGTAACTAGCGGTAGCGGCAGCGGCAGCGGCTGCGAGTGCGACTGCGACGCAACGTCAACCGATGATGCAGGGAATGAATGGGCGGGGACGTTGCAACTTGAAACGGTAAGGCCGCCGTCACTTCATCGGTTTTGTGCAGCGGGTAAAAGATGTGAGCGATCGTTGAATGTCTGCAATCATGCTTGAAAGCAGATCCTTCAAGGTGGGCGGGAAAGAGGGGAGAGGCCGAAAGCACCGAGCAGACACCACCGTCTCCCGCAGACTCGCACTGGGTTGGATGCAGTTGGCGGAGTTGTTTTCCGGCGGCACCTCAGACTCGGGCAGGAAGGAATGTGGAATGCGCATGACCGATTTACGGGTGCGAATGCAGGTCTCGCCCACACCCGCGGAAAGCGCAGGTCGACGATCAGAGCTGAAAGAGGAGGAGCGATGGATTACGGACCTCGGGTAGATGGTAACTTCCTGACACGAAGATGAGGAAGGAGCACCTACCAAGACTTTCGGGTTTCTGTGCGACGAGGAGTCCCGGTCGCTGTTCACCCGCGACTTCCGGAAACTGATGTTGAATGGAGGGGTGTGGAGAAAGTAATCTCCCATCGGCTTGGGTTCTGTTTCACTTTGCGTACTGCCCCCGGAGTCGTCACCGAAAAGCGATGGACATTTGAACAATCCCATCCCGGGAGCGGCCGTTGTTCCCTGTCGAGCAAACATGCCGGTACCTTGACCCTGAGGAACTACAGTATGGATGTACCTCAGGCGACTTCCTTGTAGTTAAAACTGGGCAACCTTCCATCTCTAATTTCACAAAACTTGGAGATACAGCCCTATTTCCGCCTCATATCGGAGCAAGTCGCCCAGATACGAATAGAACCACCGCGAGCGTCTCATTGCTCACAGGGCGGGCAATGAAAGTTGTCGTCATGGCATTTCTTCACTAATCAAACTTGGGCAGATCGTAGATATCATCCGGGTCTGTGATGCCATGTTAGCCTCGTCTCGCCTCGTCTCTTCCCAGAAAGACACCAAACCAGGAGTGAATGAAGAGACCCATGAAAGCAACTCACCCTTCCCATGCTCAACAATAAACCTTTTCACCTCCTCCACCCTCCTCCTCACCTCCCCCTCCAACCCCTCCAACCCCTCCACCACCCTTCCCCCCCCCTTCACCGCCCTTAACGCCCTCCCCACCAAATCAAACCTGCTCACCCCATTCACCAGCATCATATCAAACGGCGTAGTCGTGCTCCCCTCCTCCCTATACCCAGCCACACTCATCCTCCCCGCCCCTTTCCTCCCAAACAACAACCCTTGCAGCTCGGCCGGGTAGCCGTGGTAGTTGAACAGCACGGGCCGGTCGCGCGTGAAGAGCGCGTCGAATTCGTCCGCCCCGAGCGCGTGTGGGTGCCGTGACTCCGGAGCGACGATCATCAGGTCGGTGATGTTGACGACGCGGACTTTGAGTGCAGGGCAGAGGGTGCGGAGGAGTTCGGCGGCTTTGACGGTTTCGAAGGTTACTTCGACGCCGATGCCTGCGAGCACGACGTCGGGCTCGGATGTGCCGGTGGTGGTGGGTTTGGGTGGGGAAGAGGCGAAGTGCCAGATGGAGGCGCCCCGGCGGCAGTGCTCGGCTGCTTCGGAGGGGGAGAGGTAGACGGCGGTGGGCTGCTTGGAGCCGATGACGAGGTTGGTTTTGTTGCGGGATTTGAGGCAGTGGTGGATGGTGGAGAGGAAGCAGTTCGCGTCGGGGGGGAGGTAGACCTGGTGGAGGTGTTAGTTTCGTGAGTAGGGGAAAAAAAGTTGGGGATTGGGCAATGGGGAGCGGGAGGTGCGTACTCTCGCTGCCTCAGGCTTGATGTTGAGCACGGCGCCGATGAAGGACGGGTTCTGGTGCGAGAAGCCGTTGTGCTCCTGACGCGCCCACGTGCTCGTCTCGATGTAGTTGATGGACGGCAGGTCGCCGCGCCACTTGACCTCGCGGGCGATCTTGATAAACTTGGAGTACTGCACCATCATGGTGTGCACGATGCCGAGGAAGGATTCGTAGCTGGGGAAAATGGCGGTGCGGCCCGTCAACGTGTATCCCTGCATGAACCCCTGGCAGTTGTGCTCCGACAGCACCTCGATCACCCGCCCGCCATTGCCGCGCGAGTACTGGTCCCACTGGAAGTTGCGCTGTGTGTGGTCGAGGAGGGCGTCGAGCTTGTTGCTCTCGAGCTCGTCGGGCGAGAAGAGGCGGATCGTCTTGGGGTTCTCCTGGAAAACCTTGTCGAGGAGCTTGCCGGTGATCTTCATGCAGCTCTGACTCGTGCCCTTCTCGACGCAGAATTGTTGCCAGTCGACTGCCTTCAGGCCGACGTACGGGTCGTACGCCGCCTTGTACTGGCCGAGTTTCTTTTCGTCTGTGCGAGGCATCACCTCAAGGACACTTTCGGTGGGCTTCCCATCCTTGAGCAGCTCGCTGATCTTGTAGCTTGACAGCCAGTCGTCGAGCGCCTTAAGTTGCTCCTTGTCGCTGGTGGCCTTGGGCAGGGGAACCTGGTGGGCGTGGAACGAGCCCTCGATGATCTTGCCCTCCACCTCCTTCGGCCCAGTCCAGCCCTGGTATGCGTTAGTCATGTAGCGTCCTCTTGATCAACCTTGGACGGGGTCTGTCTTACCTTGGGAGTCCGCAGCACCAGCATCGGCCATCGAGGTTTTGCAATTGGTTCTCCAGACCGTGCCGCCTTTTGGATCTTCTTGATCTCAGCAACAGCCCACTCAAGGGCATTCTGCAGCTCGTCGTCGATCTTGCTCAAATCCTCGACGATGATGACCTGATATCCGTATCCGCTGAACAGGGACACGATTTCCTTGTCGTCCATGCAACCAAAGATGGTGCGCTCGCTGATCTTGAATCCGTTGCAGTGCAGGATTGGGATGACGGCCCCCGACTCACGGGGGTCGAGGTACTTGATGGCGTGCCATGCTCTGGAGGTTGAGTGTCAGTACCAGGTGTGCGAACCGGAAAGGCTTGGACGCTCACGTTGCCGTGGGTCCCGTCTCGGCTTCACCATCTCCAACGACGCAAGTCACGATGAGATCGGGGTTATCCATGACGGCGCCGAACGACACGGCCAGCGCATACCCCAGTTCTCCGCCTTCGTGAATGGCGCCGGGAGTCTCGGCATTGATGTGGCTGCAAATTATTAGTCGCAGGCTCCACCGGTGGGTGATACTTCAACCAACCTCGGAAACCCGCCCGGTACTGAGAATCTTGTAATGAGGTTCCTCAACCCCTCCGCATTGCGGGCGTATTCGCCAGGATAGAACTTCTCCAACGAGCCTTCCAACCACAAGGCGGCCAGGGCGGCGGGTGCACCGTGGCCAGGGCCAACTACATAGATCATGTCGAGGTCGTGGTTGCGGATAAGCAGGTTAAGGTGGGACCACACGAGGATGAGGCCGGGACATGTTCCCCAGTGGCCTGTGGGTCTGCGTTAGGTTCTGGCATAAAGGGGGCATGTAAGTGGTACGAGGGTGAGTTGTGACATACCGAGGAGCCGTGGCTTGATGTGATCGGGCTTTAGCTCGGACTCGAGGAGGACATTGTCAGAAAGAAATATCATTGCTGGTCTTGTCAGCTGCCAGTCCGTGTAAGGGGGCTAAGCGAGGGCTGTTACCGGCGGCAATGTACTCGGCCGCACGTTGGAAACCACGAAGCGATTGCCGTACATGGTCCGGAAGGGGGTTCTCCTTGAGCTGTACGGAAAGCTCTAGGACACTGTCGGGGAGGTGAGAAGGGAGGGCAGGCGGGTTCGCTACGGGGATCTGTTTGCCCGGCATCGTGGAAGGACTCTTCGGGTTGTGTTTTTCTTTCTTTTACTTCAAGAGACGTTGTGTCAATTGCTGATGGTGATAGAGTTATAAGTAAACGATAAACCGCTACTAATAGCTACCGGGTAGCGGCGAGTTCCAGGCTCTTGACATTGCACCAGAGCAAGTTTCACACTGGCAACATGTATGACGTCGTTGACAGCTGCCCCACATATCCGGCCCGTCTCCCGGTTTTGGGAGCCGGTCTCCGGTGTTGCCCCACATCTCCGTGGCACGGCCGGCAAAACGGGCTCGGTCGTCCAGGGGTCGTTGCCGCAATATCGGGATAGGGTTTTCGGAAGGAGAATAGTGGCACGTGCGATAACAAAAGAAGGGAACAACGATACCACATAACCAACTATTTACTATTCAACGCCGCCCATCAGTCATGTTCAAAACCCGGAGGGCTTCCAGCCGTAGAAGATCTCAATATCCTTGATTCGGTCCGGCTCCGTCTCCCACTGCTTCAATACGAGGGTCTTGGCTTCCAGCTCGCTCCACCGACGCTCATCCCACATGACATAACCCCATTTTTGGACCGTAGGAGGGACGTGTTCTCCGTAAATGTTGACATAGGTTCCGTTCCATAAGAGCACCCACCCAAGCGGCGGGCCGTTGGGCGGGACGGCGTCGCCGGCGAATTCCATCACGTCCTTCCGTCGCTCGGCCTCATCCCGGGCATCGGGATGTGTACTGCGCCTCTGCGCCTGTACCGCCGGCAAAAGGGTCCTCCTGATCGGGTCGTCCAACAGCACGCTAGGACGAATATACTTGTGAACTTTGGCGACGAGGGTTTCACGGTCCTCGGTTGTGAAGACATCAATTGTGGGCCTGAGACCCCGTGCAACGGCGCCATCTATGGAATCTGTGATGGTAGGGAACCTCGGTTAACATCTGTTAAAAGGACCCGTACCGGCAAACGGGGGTGACACTCACCTTCACGCTGGGTACAGGCATAGATTGATCCTTCATTGTGCTTTGTGTCGTCCCTGAAGTCGAGGTCGGGGTTCGCGGCGTGCAAGTCGTCTTGGACGTCGTCAAAGATCTGGTGGTACCTCTGCCTTATGAATATGTCGATACATCCGACAGCTTCTCCTTCCCAAGGATTAAACAAGCCAAAGAAGTTGTTGTTGATTTCATTCAGATGGAGGATGTCCTGTCGTTCGGCTAGACTTTTGAAACCGAAGAGATGATAGTACGTCTCGTACCGGTACAAGGCTTGAAAAATGCGTATCTCCTCGCTTCTACTTAACGCGACATCTGGCTGCGGTACCGCCGGTGTTTCCACAGTTCCTTGGTCCTGTGCTGGGGAAGTTGCCCGAGAGAGGTTTTGGAGCGCCCACGTGCTGTATTGGTGAGCCATGGGCTTAATGATGTCCAAATGAAAGGCCGACAGCCACCGAACATAGCTAGGCCGAATCGCGTCCACATCTATCTGCGAGCCCGACATCCAACCACGGTAAGCGTCAAGGTGGGCGATGATCTTCTCCTTTGTCCGGGGTTTCCCAATGGCATGCCTGCGCGACATGGCACAAGCGTAGGCATCGACAAGAAAACCGTCCAGCTCGCGGGCCACAGCGGCACCAAGGATGGCGTTGCGGTTGCTACGGTACTGCGCATGCATCATGGGAGAGGCCCGAACGAGGGTTTGAAGTGTTAGCAAGTCCGGCATGCTGAAGAGAATATGATCCCTGAGCTCGGCGGGCAAGTTCTCGAGCAGGGAGGAGGATTCAAGTTCGGGTTCGGGTTCGGGTTCGGGATTTTTGGGTGTTTCATTTCCCCGGCCTGGGGAGCAGCCGTTTGGCCCATTTGGTTGATCGAAGTTGTGGTCATCGGGATGATTTGGTGTTTCCATGCGATCGCCGCTGACGGCCTCGCGCTGTTCGTCGGGCGCGATCGTCTCGTGTGCCGGTTGCTCCATGACAAGATGGAAGTCTGGGCGAAGTCAACGAACAGGTTACAAGCCCAGGCTGGAATGGGGGCGGGTTTTCAGAATTGGAGAAACGAAACAGTGGGCTTGGCGCTGGCAACGCGGGCGGCTGCTGATTTCCGGGTTCGGGGGACATGCGCTGGGAGCGAGAAGGCGCTTGGAGGTTGCTGCAGGAGAGCGGCACAGACCACCGATGAGTGGAACGCCAGAGAAGAAACCCACATTTAAATATTCGGCACCCGACACTGTGTGCGTTGCAAGTGTAACTGTGTAAGGCAAGATATCGAGATTGCTGTTGTTGGTCGAACATCCTTGGTTGCAGCAACATCGGCCCCCTCATGTAGGTTCCACAACCGCCAGCCGCAAATTCAACCATTGCCGCCGTTGTGCTGGGCTGTTGCGTTTCACGGCACCCACCAGCGGCGCATATGGAATTAGGGGCATCTGCAACCTTGCTATCAATACTTCGTCAATGGCTGGAACTCGCCGCCGAGTCGCATAGCCTGGCGGCTACCGGGCATGACAACAGCCTACACAGTACGGGCAACCGTGCAACCGTGCAACCGCGCAGCCAGACCACTACCTATGATAGGTAGGCGGTACAGGTATGCAAGGTAACTCCCGGGTAGGGAGTTTCACTTTCACCAACAACACGGTACATCATACGTGACTGCCATGTTCCGACCTGCATTGAGCCTCCGCTTCGGCCCCCCATGGTGACTTCGGCGCAAGTACGCCCAGTAGTGTCTGGGCTGAACTTGAAACACGGCGCTTTCCAGGCGAGGCTTGAGTTACCCGACCAGGTGATAGGTCTGGGATTGGCTACCACAGACGCGCGGCTGGCGTTAGGCCTGGCGATGCGGGCAGAACATGGTGAGCCGAAACACGCTGTGGGCGCCAGGCCCGTCTCACAATGTAGGTTGGAAGCCGCCTACGTAGAGGTCATGCATACGATGCCGAAGCAGGACTGGAGATCACATTGTGTATAAGTCGAGCACGTTCTGGGGCCAGCCGTTGCTCAGATTACCACCATCAATATCCCCTCTCACGCTCCAGCATCTTGACTCATTGAGATCATCCCCGTGCATCACCAACTTGGACACATACCGACCCCACGTACCCTACATACCGCCAGTCATCATGTCTCGCCCACAGTCCGCCGGCTCGGACAGATCCACAAAATCCAACGTCTCGAACGGATCGGCAAAGTCCAACCTCTCGAACGGATCCGCAAAATCCACCATCTCGGACGATTCTTACCTGAACAGCCTCCGGGAGGGTATGGATGACCAGTTCAAGCAAATGATCCAGGAGACCATCAGGTTTGACGACAACAGATCGCTTGCAATGGAGCGCAAGATCCAGTCTCACAATGCGAAAAAGCGGAGGCCAGACGACACAAAAGAGCGGGACTGGCCACTTCCGATGGTGGACGAGTACAAAAACTACAAAGCCAAAGTCGTGGCACTCAAAAAGGCCAAACTCGGGCAGAAGGAATCGACAGCACGCGCCAAGCAGGCCCGCTACCATCCCGAGATGAAGAAAGAGGCTCGCCTCCTAGCCTTGCGCGATGACGAGAAGTGGTTCAAGGCTGCGATCGAGTAAGTACCACCTACCAATGTTCGCATTTTCCCCGGGCAACGCCACCCTCACACACTCCTCCTCGTTGCCACCCCCTAGCCTACTTCATTCCCCTTCTTCCCAAACTCCCTCGGCCTACTAATCCACGATGTCTGGCTTAGCGCTGCGATGGCACGATTCGGCTTCATGAAGAAGTACCCGGACGCCTTCAACACCAAATCCAACAAGAACCACCTGATAGCAGCCACGGACAACCTCAACTCCGCAAGGAGAGCAGTAGAAGAAATCATCGAGCAAAAACGACGTAAGTATACCATCTACCCCAACCATAACCCACGGTTGATAAACAGCGTTGTACTAAACTACCGGCCACTGATATTAGGACTTACTGGTTTTGATGAACAAGCTGCTTCCTAGAGCTCTCACCCGCCTCCTGTCGCCAAGGGAGTTCCGAGGACTAAGTAAGGCGGGGGCACGGCGGTTCCTAAGACAGCGTCGGTGGTTCCGACAACGGCTGCGAATAATAAGGAGGCACCATCAATACCTACCTAGGTGGGTAGCTTCTTCGTTTGCCGGAGCATATGAGGCGAACGGGACATAAATACCTATGTAGGTAGTGACATGGCTCTTCGGGTGGCCACTGCAAGGGAAGGACAGGCCCCTAGAATCCTGCCGGCAGGATTCTATGTATGATAGATAGTCCAAAGTACCTAGCGAGGACGCATGTTTGTTTCCCATCCCCGATCCTCCTACTCTCTCCTTAATTCCCATGGGTTTGGCTCGCCTTATGAGCTCAGGTGGAAGACGACGAGGCCCAGGACGATGCGGTAGCAGATGATGTGCCAGGCGCCGCCGGTGGCGTGCTGGAGCTGGTCCATGGCGTACGGCGGATGATACTTGTAGGTGAAGTAGCCGAGGGAGAAGTAGCCGAGGACGAGGCGGGACGACCATACCGAGCCTGAAGGGAAGAATGGAAACTTGTGTATACCTATGTGCATACGGTGTAAGTTGGATGCCATAGTGGTTGATGTCAGTGAGTTGAAGAGAGGGGTTGATCAAGCGGTTTCATGGTTGAGGTTTGCAACGAAACCAGAAAACTGGTCTGTGGTGTAGTGGTAACATATCTGCAAGCCATATGGGTTGTTCAAACTAGGTATGATGCAGCGACAGTCTGTATTTTGGGCCTATACACTCGCAGAAGCCCCCAATTCGAGCCTGGGTAGCGCCACTAGTTTCGTTGGCTTTTTTGTATTTTGGGTGATCTGAAGAGAAACCAGATGGGAAAACCTGCTGTGCATACATACTGTGTAGGTAGGTAAGTTGAGCGCGTTCTATACCATGCGACCTTCAGTCTGATCCCCTTCTTGTCCTAACGAACAAGCGCGCCAACTTTCTTTGCCCTCGGTTCATGTTGACTGCAGGTGCCTGCTTGTTTTGAACGTCTTAACCACTGCGACTTTGCCTGCAATATTACTTGCTTTTCTCTCTCTCTAATCGCAGCGACTAACGAATCTTGCGACGCCGCCTCTCGACGACAAGTCTCCCTAATTCAAGTTCCGAACTTATATCAGCAGTGATTCTTCACTTCAGAATCAGGTAAGCCATCCCTGTTGTCGCAACTGCAGCAGCCTGCAGGCAGATCTCCGACCGGGCCGACCAAATTGGGCTCGCGTCCCGTTCCTAGATAATCCCCTGCGCTCCGGGCCAATTCACAAGACTGAAAGGAACGTCCGTGCCACACCACTCAGCGCAGGGAGGGGTGCGAAATGCCCCGGGACACGGCCTGGCGAATCCGCGGGACGATCGTCCCAATACCAACGAGCCGAGAGGATGCCACGCGGTTCGCGAACCTAGCCGCAAACCGCCGATCAACATGGAGTGATCTCGCCCTCAATATCTTCTCCGATGCGTCAGTTCAGTATCAGAGCAACGTGGGCGGGTATGCAGTGGTCCATCGACCGTTGATGCCCAGCGATGGCGGCAGTGACGAGGGGAACCACGACCACGACGAATTCGTTGAGGCAGCGTGGCCAATCGACCCGCTGCCCGATTCCAACCTTGGAGAAATGCTCGCGATTGCTAAGAGTATCGCCGTAGCAATCCAACAGGTCAAGCACAACCGCGCGGCCTTCATGGGGAAGAGGGTCAATATCACCATCTTCAGCGACTCCAGGGTTTCCCTAGGAGTTCTGAACGGGGACAAGCTACGCGGCAGGTTGTGGGTGTGTGTTCTCCCCGTGGCCAACTTTATTAGAGAGCAATCTCGGCTGCTTGAGCAACTCGGACCAACGGTCAATCTCGTTCTCCGTTGGATGCCTGGACACCGCCATCAAGTCGTCCCGCACATGCGTGCAGACAGTCTCTCGCGAAGCGCCGCTTTGCGGCGTTTGTCGTACGCGAATGTCCTCCACGCTCCAAACTTTTGGGAGTTTTACAGCGAGTCTCCAACATTCCGATGGCTCAAACCAACTCTGTTGCGGGTCCTCCAGAAAGCCGCCATCACCTGGCCAAGGATACGCCATTCTCTCCGCCCACCACACTCTATTCCACTTGGACAGAGATGGAACGGTGCTCTCCGTGACCAACTTGACCTTGTCATGCCGGTTTCGGAACTAGGAAAGAAGAACATGCCGGCTGCATGGGCGGATGTAAGCAGGGTTCTCCTCGGCATGGTCTTGGAACAGGGCATCATGACTATTGAGGCGGCCATCCCCGTTTTGCGGTCTAGCGACCATATTTTTATCAACGACGGGGTTCATTGTTTTGCGGTCCTGCTAGACAACCCAGAACCCCCAGCTCCCGCCTCGAGGACCAGTCCGGGGCCAACTGTGCCGCCATGCGTGTTAGTCGCGAGGGCAAGGAGATGGGCCAAGAGGCGTGGGGCGAAGTCGTCGGCCCGCATAGTGTGGTTGAGAAAGTTGGGAGTGCCGAACGGAGAAGAGGGAAGGAAACAAAGTGAGGACAGCCGAATGGTACAAGCTTGACAAGGAGGCGGACTCGGCGGTGTGGAACTGTTAAGCAAAATATACTAGGGAGAAGAATTCAGATCAACTGGTGAAGACCGGTATGTATAATAACCACGTTGAAATGGATCGTCGAGAGCCGCATGATGTATGGGGCAAAGCTATTCACCGAGCAAACAAAAGAGAAATCTACACAGTATTAAAGAACGCCAACAAAAGAAAGCCAATAAAAAAAGGCAACGAAACCAATGACACTGCCCAGGCTCGAACTGGGGGCTTTTGGAGGGGATAGGCCCAAGATACAGAACCGCCGTACCACAGTTTGAACAACCCATATGACTCGCAACCGTGTTACCACTACACCACAGGCCATTGTTGTAGTTTCGTTGCAAACCCCAACCACAGATCTGGTTTATCAACCTCCCTCTGCCACCAACTGGACATTGAGCACCGCGATCGCCAACCCCCCTCCAACTCGCACAGTATACACACGCACCAGCTTTCCAATATTTTCCTCAGCCCGTTCGAAACAAAAGAACGCAATCCAGAACCAACAACCTCAAACCCGACACAGCCTCCCATTCTGCGTCTGCACGCCCATCTCCCCATCCCTCACCTCCCACCCCTCACTCCCCACCGCCGTGGTCGCATAGAACACCTCCCTCGGATCCCACGCCCTCTTGACCTCCAACAACCGCTCATAATGCACGCCATAAAACGCCTCCCTCCACATCGGCTCATCCACATTCGCCTCATTCAGATACGCCCCACCCCCCTCACTCTCCGGTGCCACCTCCCTCAGCGGCGCAATCACCTCCTCCTGCAAATCCACCGACGCCGCGCGCACCTGCTCCGCCGTCGGATCCGTCACCCCCGCCGGCAGCCGGCCCGACAAGATCAAAAAACACACCGCCTCGCGCCACGCCGAGTTGACCGCGTTGTCCACCCCCGCACGGTTGCGCGGCGCCTGGTGGTAGCCCATCAGCAAGCGTCCCGCGGACGCGTGGCGGCGCAGCACGGCGAAGGTGGCGTTGAATAAGGCCGGGTCCTCCCAGTTGCGCCGCGGGAGCAGGCGGTTGCTGGGGACGGAGATGCGGCCCGCGCTGTTGAGGCCGATGTTGCTGCCCCAGGTGGCGTTGTAGGCGGCGTAGAAGGAGGGGTGGGCGGTGGTGGTGGGCGTGAAGGGGATGTGGAGGGCGCGGAGTTTGGCGAACCAGGGCTCGACGAGGGTGGTGAAACTGGTGAGGGTGTGGTTGGGCGCGAAGAAGGGCTCCATGCTGAAGGTGTGGCTGCCGTTGGTGTCGCTGAAGAGCGTGAACCAGGAGTAGGTGCCGGCGTCGGTGAAGGGGATGAAGAGGGAGAAGTAGCTGTACATGGCCTCCCAGAAGGCGTCGGCGCTGACGGTGGGGGACGTGCTGAGGGTGAAGGTGGAGGTGACGACGGGGAGTTTGGGGTGCACGCGGATGATGATGGAGGTGACCACGCCGAACGTGCCGCCGCCGCCGCCGCGGAGCGCCCAGTACAGGTCGGTGTTTTCCTCGGGCGAGGCGGTGATGAAGTGCCCGTCGGCTGTGACGACTTCCAGAGCCATGACGTGGTCGGCTGCCATGCCGTAGAGTCCGGAAAGAGGCGTGTGACCACCACCGGTGACGTACCCGCCCGCATACCCGACGCTCTGTGCCAGTGAGGTCAGCATGTTGTGTAAGTCAACGACTGGTAGGGGCCACTCACCTCGCAGATACCGCCCAGCGCGCTCACGTCGTTTCTCTCGGCCTCCGCATATACCTCCCGCACAGTCACCCCAGCGCCGACCTTGATTGCCGGCCCGGAGTATCCAGGAATCTCGAGATCAGGATGGTACTCGAGGTTCTTTAGGTTGTGCGTCCAGATGCTGAGGGCGCCAGCCCCGCTGCTCTTGCCGAGGTAGCAGTGGCCCGTGTTCTTGATGACGAGCCGTAGGTTGGCATTGCGGGCAAAGTTGACGGCGAGCTGGATTTGGCTGACGCTGCTGACATTTACAGCATAGACGGGGAAGGCTCCGTGGGTGCAGTTGCTGCTGTTGGGGTCGTCCGTCACCATGCATGTCCGTCCTTGGTACAGCGGCCAAAAGATGGAGGTCGGGTCATTTTCACTGAGAACCATCAGTTTGTGCCAAGGAACGGAGAGACCCTCGGCCGTGTTAGATACTTACTGGAAATAGGGGTTGCTGAAGGAATCGCGCACAGCGGCACACTTTTCGGCGTCGTAGATACCCGTGTTTTGATAGCACGGGGCGGCGACCGGCACGGTCTCAATGAGAGCTCCGCCGAGGAGGTCGTCGAATGTCTGCCAAGTATTTTGGGCTGGCCATTCTGCATCCCCTGGAAATACCTTACAAGCTGGTCCGCTTGGACCCGGGTTTGCTTTAGTTCCGTCGTCGAACGCAAAGAGAGAGGCACTGTCCGAAGCACCTGCCCCGGCGAGTAACTTTTCGAGCCCCTCCTCTGTCAACGATCTTGTCTCGTACTCAAAGAGAGGGTAGGCATGGCCGCTCGTGCCTTGCGCAGCGCCGAAGGAGAGAACGGAAGGGAAGAGCAGCCCAAACAGACAAAAAGCGGCAGCCATGTCAGGCAAGAATAGGTCATGGAGATGCCTTGTTGAGAAGATGAAGATAACAACCTCAAGCCATAATTCGACGACGTCTCATTCTGATGCCGTCGAACTTCCCCTCACAAGCTGCGGGACAGCAAGGGCTTATGGGCCTATCATCATTCGGATATGCATGGTCCTGCATGCTGACTGGGATGTGGTTGATCAACAGCGCAAAGCGACCATTGAGTTTGCCGGTTAATAACACTGAACCAGATAGGGGTAATTGCCATGAGTGCCAGGGTGGGATCGGGACAGCGATTAGCGAGCGACTGATGCGGGATCTCGGGTATCACCGCCGGCGGATGGTGGTGTTGAACAGTATCAGGAGATATCGAATGATCGGAACACAAAAAATAAAATGTTTGTTCCAATGTTGACGTCCGATAACTAACGACTTAGGACTCGAAATAGTAGTTTATGCGTGTCATTAGGTATGAATCCCCGTATGCATCCATGAACGTGCCCACGATGCGAGGGTTTGTTGCTCTGGTTCCTATTACGCATGAGGTGGTGAACGCGCACTTGGCGGTGGCTCATCAGGAAGTTTCAATGCAAACATGAGTTGTGTGACGGGAACTTACATTGGGCAAGAGGGGGGAAAAGCCGAGGACCTTGCCCTGTGGGTAAAGTTTACCTCCCAACCTTTTCGGAGAATTCCTAAGCTCAGCCCAAACTCCCGCAATAGGCAGATCCTGGTGCTATCCAATCTTTTTGCTAAAGGGTCACGATCAGCGAGGCGGGTCGTTCTCGATAGGTCAAATATCAGCACACAGGCCAAATACAAGTGTAAGCTTGGGGCTTGACAACAAGGTAATGTAGGTACCATGGAATGTATCTTGTTTTACGGGTATTAATCCCGTCCTCGGAGAGCGGCCTCGTTAAGGGTAGAAACGACAAGCTATCAACTATTGAGGGTCAGTCGATAGGCTTATCGAGCTGCAACGGGCCGCCAGTCAAGACTAATACGGTTTCGAATATGGTATTGTGTACGTTATTTTGGTTTTCAATTTTTCAAACACAATCCCGACATCATACATGTCATTCTTGCAATCCGCCCTTCACGCCAACAGCCAACCAAGAACCTTGATAGCAGCCGGTGACATGTCGCCAGTCCCGTCGCTATCACAGCCCATCACCATCTTTCATCATTCCGCCCCGCCAATCTCCTGGGGGCGCAGCACTGGTGGAAGCGTACATGACGCGGCTGAGGTTATGCCCGATGCTCTCTCTCAACGCCCACTTGGAAGGGTTGAGATCGCCCATCACAGCCAGGAACCAATGCACCCCGCCGCCGACCATGATTCGATAGTCATCCTGCTGTTTGGTCGCTGGGCGTTCGGCAACACTGTGACACGTCCGGAGGCAGCCCATGCGGGGGGCATATTTTCAGTTACAAACTCTGATAGGGGGGAGGGCGTTTGGATGATTGTGGAGAACGGCACGGGACCGCGCGCCGGCAGGGTTACGCCAATGGGCTCACTGACGCTCGCTCGCCGGGGGAGAGGTGATTTCTCCTTATCACAGCTGCTCACTTGGGCCATCTCCTTGCAGAGCGTGCCCCCCGCTTCACGGCACTCGCAGTTCTTTTATTGGAAACACCATGACACCGTCAAGCTGCCTCTCTTGATGACGACAGCCATCGCGTTCCGTCCTCTCGTGACTCGTCCCTGGCTTGAACGCGTCTATCCCATCGCGGTCGTATCCGAAACTGGAGAGGGAAAAAAGCCAATGTTGCCATCACAGAAATCCCGAATGCAACTGACCGTTCCCGTCTCGGGATCCCCCCTGAAGATCGAAGAATTTGCTGCTTCACTTTTTTTTCATCATGGGCCTGGGGGAATCCTGGAATCTGATACGCGCCAGAGCGGAAAAGGTTTGAAGTCAAATTTACCTCTGTGGGGTTCTCCGATGGTCTTGGCGCCAATGAGATCGGCGAGGCATTCTGGCGAGGCAGTCTGCAGTTTCTGGCCCGTCTCGCGAATTCCGGATTCCACCTTGGAGTTCCACCTTCTCTCACAGCAACCCACACCGGTTCCCTCAAATACAAAGGAAGCCCAAAGAGCCATGGATAAAAAAGGAATCAGCCATGGGCATGCCAGATTCCATTGCTGACACCACCTGGCAGTGCTTTCCGGATGCAGTCATCTCTGAGCGCAAACTGGGCGAACTGGAACTGGAATTGGGCGAACTGGGGATGACGGTCGCGACAGCATCCATTTTGAGTTTACTGCCGCGCCGATAGTGTCGTGTGCTGTCGATTCTGGCGTGTCTCGGTCGGTCTCCCGCATGTGCGATCTGTCACCTGCCGCGTCACCGTCGCTGTCCGTCCAAGCATTGCAGTCCACGATTCAATTCTCTGATCCTCTGTCTGCGCAACGGCAGCCGCAAGTGGGCAGACATCGGCATGCCGGACTGTGATGTGATTGCTGGTGTCGTCTTGTTGACATCATTCCGGTCGTCCACAAACGGAAGAAAACAGGGCCAATGTTTTTCGTTTCCCAGAAATACGCTGCAGAAACCGAAATGGGGACTCGTGCAGCTTTGGGGTCCGAACCTGGAAGGCGTGGACGGTTGGATGGATGCAATTGGCTGCGGCGCTTGGCCCACAATGACAGCACCCTCGCCCCTCCCCTGCAGCCCAGATCGCTGCGGCAGGCATGGGCAGGCACGCAGGCCTCCTCCGATTCGAAAAAGATTCCCAAGTGTTTCCAAAACGCATCTGCACAAGTCGGCGCCCCCGATCCGCTTTGTTTCAACACGCCTTGCCGCCGCCGGATCTGGCCATCGGGAGGCGTGTTGGTTACGCAGCGCCTTTTTGAAAGGGCTTTCAGAACCGTTGCGCCTCAGTTACCGCCTCAGTTCCAGGTAACCGCCGCTGTTGGCAGGGGCTCTTTGTTGCTGAGCCATTCTCAAGCGCGCGGCGCGAGCCATTCCATTCCAGGACATCACTCGCTGGGTATACGGTCAGGGGGGTTCAACGCGCTCCCGTCTGACCCCAGACCCGTGTTGGGCGTCAATCTTCGATGCGCTCCAACCTTCGTCGGGGCCGTTAATTATTGTCAGATGACTTTGCGGTGAAGCACGTTGCACAGCTCAGCTTACCGCTTCTTGCTTCCATTTCGCATTGAAGGATCCAACTGTCTGTCACGCATTCCATCAGTGGACGAAGAGACCTGCATCGACAACTCATGAGCACGCCAAGCTTTGGCCACGATCGATGGGCCGAGACCTGGCTAGGAAAATGCTTAGGATGCTTGGTTGCCAGTGCCATGGGTACCTGGGGTTACTCCACACAGTGGACTAAGCGGTGCTGGGTTGGGCTCGATTCGCGGATGATGTGTTCCCGGTGGCTGAGGGCAGCGGATGCTGTCTCATTTGGCAGGGCTGGCGGCTCCCGCCACAATCCACGGAACCTGGAGGTGGCGGATACGGTGTGCATCTGGTAAAACGCGACACTGTGTGACTGTGTGTACCTGCCAAGAGTCATGGGCTTTGCCGTTTGCCCACACCAATCGCACCCAATCCCATGCGATCGTCATTTCATCTGAAGCGACCGGCAGTGCGAAGGGAAACTAGCGTTTCCATGCCGGCTGCTTTGTGCCTTGTTCCAAGTTTGTTGTGTCTCCTTGCATCTCCGCTGGATGTTCTGTTCTTGCCCCAGCCCGACGGCGCACATGTCGTCAACGCACTGCCCTCATTCCCTCAGTGAAACTGATCGCCTGAGCAAGCGGAGGCCTCTCCTCTCTCTCCCTCTTTCTCTTCGCCACAAATCCACTGTTGGGCTTTCACGCTCTGGCAGTATATTGCATCATCGGTGATCGCTACACCGGCCGCGTTCGCTTTCCAGAGCCCATTGCTTCTACTGCAGTGCAACCTTACCCGCGGTCCAGGCCATTGATGTATTGATCAATTGGACCATCCATCTTTCGACCATTTCAATGGCGGATACCGACCCCCCCAAACTTGAGGTGCGTTTTTGCTCGCGACTGCGTTTGTTGGAGTCGCTGAAGTTTGCGAATTCCTCTTCTCGGCTTCACTCGATCGACCCCACACACAGCGCATCCTGTGTGCCAGAAAACCATGTCTAACCTTGCCCAGCCCGAGAGCTCCATCACAACAGCAGTTTCCGAACCCGAGGATGCGCCGGCAACAACGACACCGGCTCCGGCCGGTCAGAAGCCCAAGGGCGGCTTCCAGGTCAACGTGAACGATGCCTTGACCCCCGACCAGACCAACGAGGACATGTTCGATGTCCAAGACAACAAGTTCGCCTTCTCGCCCGGTCAACTTTCCAAGCTCCTCAACCCCAAGAGCCTCGACGCCTTCTACGCCCTCGGCGGCCTGGCGGGTCTTGAGAAGGGCCTGCGCACCGATCGCAATGCCGGTCTTAGCACTGACGAGGGCGGCCTCGACGGCGCCGTCAAGTTCGAAGACGTCGCGCCCAAGGGCACCCCCAAATACGGCTTGAATGGGGACACCGTGCCCGTAGCCAAGGGCGACAATGGCAACCCCGCGGTCCCTCCGCCGGCCCACCACACCACCGGCCAGTTCGCCGACCGCAAGCGCATCTTTCGCGACAACAGGCTGCCCGAGAAGAAGAGCAAGTCACTGCTCGAGCTGGCCTGGATTACCTACAACGACAAGATCTTGATCCTGTTGACTGCCGCCGCCGTCGTGTCGCTCGCCCTGGGCCTGTACCAAACCTTTGGTGTCGACCATGAGGGCGGCGAGGCTCAGGTGGAATGGGTCGAGGGTGTCGCCATCATGGTGGCCATCGTCATCGTCGTGCTCGTGGGTACCGTCAATGACTGGCAGATGCAGAGGCAGTTCAACACGCTTAACAAGAAGGCCGGCAACCGCACCGTTAAGGTCATCCGCTCCGGCAAGTCGGTCGAGGTTTCGGTTTTCGATATCATGGTTGGCGACGTCATGCATCTTTTCGCTGGCGACCTGGTTCCCGTCGACGGTGTCTTCATCAACGGCCACGGTGTGAAGTGCGACGAGTCATCTGCTACCGGCGAGTCCGATCTGCTGAAGAAGGTTGGCGCTGACGACGTCTTTTCGATCCTGGAGGACATCGCCAAGGGAGGCAAGCCCCCCGCCGACGTTGAGAAGCTTGACCCATTCATCATCTCCGGCAGCAAAGTCAACGAGGGTACCGGTACCTTCCTGGTTACCGCCGTCGGCGTAAACTCTAGCTACGGCCGCATCATGATGTCGATGCATACGGACCAGGAGGACACCCCCCTGCAGAAGAAGCTCAACTCTCTGGCTGACTGGATTGCCAAGTTTGGTGGCGGCGCTGCCCTGCTCCTCTTTGTCGTTCTCTTCATCAAGTTCCTCGCTCAGCTGCCCACCAGCACCGACACCCCCGACCAGAAGGGCCAGACCTTCCTGCGGCTGTTCATCACCTCGGTTACCGTCGTGGTGGTTGCCGTTCCTGAGGGTCTTCCTCTGGCCGTTACCCTTGCCCTGGCCTTTGCGACCACTCGTATGTTGAAGGACAACAACCTTGTCCGTGTTCTCAAGGCTTGCGAGACCATGGGCAATGCTACCACGGTTTGTTCCGACAAGACTGGTACCCTGACGCAGAACAAGATGACGGTCGTGGCTACAACCCTTGGAAAGAGCCTGAGCTTTGGTGGCACCGAGGCGCCGCTGGAGGAGGCTGAGGACAAGACTGCCAAGGCCATCGATATCGACATCCCCAACATGCCCGTTGCCGACTTCGTGAAAGGTCTAAGCGCCTCTTCCAAGCAGCTCCTGGTACAATCCAACGCCGTGAACTCGACTGCTTTTGAGGGTGACGTCGAAGGCGAGAAGACCTTCATCGGTTCCAAGACCGAGGTTGCCCTGCTCACTCTCTGCCGCGATCATCTCGGTGCCGGACCCATCCAGGAAGAGCGTGCCAACGCCAACGTCGTCCAGGTGGTACCCTTCGACTCGGCCGTCAAGTACATGGCGACTGTCGTCAAGCTGCCCAACGGAAAGTTCCGCGCATACGTCAAGGGTGCCTCCGAGATCCTGCTCGCCAAGTGCACCCAGGTTATGGCCGATCCCGCTGGTGAGGAGTTGACGACAACCCCCATGACCGAGCAGGACCACGCCCTTTTCTCCGAGACCATCACCTCTTATGCTGGACAGACCCTTCGTACTATCGGTTCCTCATACCGCGATTTCGAGTCGTGGCCGCCTCCGGAGCTCGCTGGTGAGTCGGAGCTGACGGCCGCCGTGTTTGAGAAGGTACACAAGGACATGACGCTGGTGGCCATCTTCGGCATCAAGGACCCTCTCCGCCCTACCGTTATCGACGCTATCAAGGACTGCCGCCGCGCCGGTGTCACTGTGCGCATGGTCACTGGTGACAACATCCTGACCGGCCGGGCCATCGCCAAGGAATGCGGTATCTACCACCCCGAGGAGGGCGGCATCGCCATGGAGGGCCCCGCATTCCGCCGCAAGACGGAGCAAGAGCTCAAGGAGCTTGTCCCCAAGCTGCAGGTGCTTGCCCGGTCTTCTCCCGAGGATAAGCGCATTCTCGTCCGGACCCTGAAGGAACTTGGTGAGACTGTCGCTGTGACTGGTGACGGAACCAACGATGCGCCGGCTCTGAAGATGGCTGATATCGGGTTTGCTATGGGTATCGCGGGTACCGAGGTGGCCAAGGAGGCTGCGTCCATTATCCTGATGGATGACAACTTTGCGTCCATCGTCAAGGGTATCAGCTGGGGCAGAGCGGTCAATGATGCCGTCAAGAAGTTCTTGCAGGTGAGTGAGCTGCCTTGGTTGTATGCTTTGCGGGCTTACTAACAGCATCACAGTTCCAACTTACCGTCAACGTTACCGCCGTGGTCCTGACCTTTGTATCTTCGGTTGCCAGCGACGAGGAAGAGTCTGTGCTCAATGCGGTTCAGCTTCTCTGGGTCAACCTGATCATGGACACTTTCGCCGCCCTTGCCCTCGCCACGGATCCCCCCACGTCGTCCATTCTCGACCGGAAGCCGGACAAGAAGTCAGCGTCGCTCATCAACACCCGCATGATGAAGATGATCATCGGACAAGCTATCTGCCAACTTGCCATCACCTTCGTTCTCCACTTCGCCGGCGCCACCCTTCTCGGCTACGACCTGCACAACGCCACCAAGCACATCCGCGAGCACGAGGAGACGCGTCTGCGGACTCTCGTCTTCAACACCTTTGTCTGGTTGCAAATCTTCAACGAGCTCAAGTAAGCCCCTCACAATACCCTCCTCTCCTTGACCATTGACTAATAGCCATCCAGCAACCGCCGTCTCGACAACAAGTACAATATCTTCGAGGGTATCACTAAGAACTACTTCTTCGTCATCATCAACCTGATCATGATCGGCGGTCAAGTCCTCATCATCTTCGTCGGCGGCCAAGCCTTCAAGATCACTCCCCTCAACGGCACAGAATGGGGTCTCTCCATCGGCCTCGGCGCCATCTCCCTACCATGGGGCGCCGTGATCCGCACGTTCCCCGACGAGTGGGCCGCGGCCATGGTCCCGCACGTCACGATCCCACTTCCCAACATCTGGCCCTTCCGGGGCATCATCAAGAAGCGCCGCGCTGCGGCCGCAGACGCCGAGAAGGGCCCGCTGTCGGAGGAGGAGCGCCGCAAGGTCCTGGGCGGCGAGTCCAGCGACAGCGACGCCTTCGAGCCCGAGGCGCCCCTGCGCACCCTGACTAGCATCCGGGGCCGCCGCGCCACCACCCACATCCGTCGCGGCTTCAGGGAGTACATGCATGATCAGAAGAGCAAGGTCAAGGGCAAGGTCGGTAGCAGCAAGACGGATGTCTCGTCGCCCCCGCAGGCGCCGGGCCTGGGTGGCAAGTTGCCGCAGGCTGCTGCTTGATGGGGGAGGGATAGAAGCATCTAGGGGGAGAGGGGAGTTAATTTGCGCGGTGGCTTTTTCTGCTGTTTGCGTTTGCCTTTTGCTGTTTGGCTTTGATTTGGGGGCTGGGTGCAGATACATGGCTTGTGGATGTTTGGTTGGGGCCGGATCTGGAGGCGTAAAATACCCGGATAGACATTCTTCCCCCACCGCGGGGCGCCTTTTACTTGGGTTTGAGTAACAAATTATTCGTTTAATACTGCAGAGTCTGGTATTTGAGGGCATGTGAGCGTGACGTGACGTCGAGGATGGTCAGTTGGGACGGAAATATTTTGTGGATTCGTACCAAGCAATGATGTTTTATCTTCTCTGAGCACAGTCAACAACGAGTGATCCGCCCCAACATGGTCCTCCCGAACAGAACTTCAGGTGAGATGGCATCGGCGGGTTATGGGCGGGCCCGGGATCTCCACCTCATCGGATTGCCCGGGAGGCCCCACATTTTCGGCCGGGCGAAAGACGTCTGCCGTTATCTCCATTCCGGTGGCCGTGGCCGGGGTTTCCTGAAAGGGCAAGTGGAGAATGTAGGCACTGCTGCTGATAATTAGTTATCCAGGGATGGATTCACATGATGCGAGACGGCTTTTGTCGATGGCGGCCCGATTTGGGGCCAGCCTTGGTTGCTTGATCTCCCCGGGAAAGATACCATGCCGAGGCATTAATTACAGAACAGAACATTGTTCACCTAAACACAAAAACTCGAACAGAGTTGGATAATAACGGTAATCGTACAGTCTATAAATTCTAACAAAGCACCAAATTTCAAACCATTCCCTCCTCTTTCCATACAGCACCAATGCTGTCTCTTGTAACAACTTGTAGCTCCTCCCCCCTGTTTCCTCTTTACCATTGAAGCAACCGACCACCCCCACCCCCACTCCGTTCAAACCCTACCCATCAACACAGCACACACCCAACACACCCCTAATTAGTACACCTCCACGGGCACCCTACCAGCCTGCACCACCATACCCCCACACCTACCGCTCTTCGCCGCCGCCAGATCCAGCTCCTCCCTCAAAAACGGCACCACACACGACTCCGACTCGGCCCCGCGGAACCAGGGGCTCCCCTTCCGGGTCGAATCGAACGCCCAGCCGGAGGCGCGCGCCCCTTTCGCCAGCTCGTCGGCCCAGCAGTGCGCCCGGACGCGGTGGAAGTGGCCCGGCATCCAGTGCAGTTCCAGCTGGATCCCGGGGCGCATGTTCTGGAGCGCCCACGACTGCACGGCGATGAGGGCGAGGACCGGCTCGGCCAGGGTGAGCAGGTGGGGCGCGAGCTGCCGGGGCGTGGCGGCGGCGAGGTACTCGATGTTGAACATGTTGTCGTTGAAGATGCGGACGAGCGTTGGTTTGCCGCTGCGGTGGTGGGTGGTGGTGGTGGTGCTGTCGAGCTCGGAGATTTGGTGCAGCGCGGTGGTGAGCGCTTCCGAGACGGCGAGGAGCTCGCCCAGCGCGCAGTCGTAGACCGGGTTGACGGGCCAGGCCGCGCCGACGAGGTCCCGGTGGGAACCGCCGCGCCCGGGGGCCGGGGGTTGATAGACGACCGAGATGCCGCCGCGGTTGGTGTCGGTGACGTCCATGGAGCCGTCGCAGAAGAGGTTGAGGATGGTGTATTCGTCCGTGGACCCTTGGGAGGCGGCCATGTCGGCGAACGCTACGGCGTGGTCGCGGTTGTGCTTGACATAGATCCGTCCGGTGAATCGCTCACGCTGCGAGGGGTCCATGGTGGCAGGCTTGGGCTGGTATGTACTAGACGGTCAACACTTGAAACTTCCAATAGTGCCTTACCGATACTTGACCTTGTCGACGGCTCAGCTGTCCTAGCGATAACTAGAGTGCTTGGTGTCCTGCAAGGTTTGGGTGTTGGAACCAGAGGTATTAGCAACTGTACCGTTTGAAGCTCTGCCCTGAATTAGCAGTTTTGGATGGCTATGAGCCTTACCTGATGCTTTTCTTTGAAACTTATTCTTCCCTCTATTTTGTCGAAATCCCTTGCTGTCTTGCTCTCCACGTTAGAAGATCAGGAATGACAGGCCGATCGTGTGTTTATATTCTGGTTCTGCCCAAGGCCATTGTTTACGATCTGCTACTCGTGTCATTGTTGGCGGTTGGTTGTTCAATCTATTGTCACGCTCAGTTCGGATCATCCGCATAGGTCATCCTTTGATCCCCGTCAAAGAAAGGTATCAACCGCCGAGAGAGTCGCAACTATTGTCCATCTTTGTTGCGCTAAATCACAGGCTACAGGAGAACGACCGTCGCCTGGTTGAGACTTTGCCCCAATAACAATGGTCTTGTCATCTTGCATCTTCCTCGAACGTTATCATGCCTTCAGCTAGTCTCGTGATACCAATCACCAACTAGTCCTTGCATCTGGTGCTCTGGTAGCGTGTTCCTAGAAATGCCCCCATGCTTCTTCCCTATGTTGGCTGCTGTTGTCTTTCTTGCTGTTTCCATATGTGGCGGTCTAGGTTGAGGTTTCCTCCGGTCATAATCCCGTCTGCGTGCATTGTTCGCGGTATATTCCCCATATTGGGCTGATCTCTGCCAGGTCATTCCTTGGGGGAAAGGTTGGGCTTCTGCGGTTGGTGAACCTTGGACGAAACCCGCGCGGTGGCTACCGCGGGTCAGGCTCCGAGCTTGTCTCGGTACTGGTAGTGCTCGGGGATCCGGCCTGTGGAAGGCGGGAGGGTAGTCGATCACCAAGCCCGGCGATGTGATCAGCCGCTTTGTAAGCCGCGTCAGCCATCTGTTGATGCAAGTGCCGCACTACAGAAGCCTCTTCGTGGAGGGGCCAGCGATTTCCGGTGATGGTTGAATACGCAGTTTGGCGCACGCTGGCAAGACGCGAGAAGGCGTCCGCCTCGACATGCGGCTGAACGTGGTGCCCGTGACCAGGAATCCAGTGCAGTTCCAAGTGAACCATAACCCCTTGTTGGTGGAGAGCCGCCGATTGCTGGGCAATGAGATCCAGGACTGGGCTAGCAAGAACCTGGATGTCGTCGCGAAGGAGTGTCTGGCCCTGAAAATGGTTTAAACTCTTCATCGAATCACTGAAGATCCTAACTATAACGGGCTGGGCAGACGTCGATGATGTTTCGGCGAACTGGCGGATCTGCTGCGTAGCGATAACCAAGGATTCCGAGATCGCGAGTAACTCGCCCAGATTGGTGTCGTACAAAGGCTTGACGGGCCAGGCCTCCGTAACTAATATCTCAGTTAGGGAGACTCGTAGGCCGGGCAGCCAGGGCCGGTACACCACTGCAATACCGCCTTCGTCTGATGTTCTAGATCTCGAACAGTCGCAAAACAGGTTGATGTTGACATAGTGATAAGTCGATGGCTGAGAGGATGCCCAAGTCGCCTGGATAATTGCCTTGGCCGGTTCATTCTGTATGTAAACCCAACCGGCAAAGTGAGCCGAAGGCTCCGTCCAGAAGAGGGTCATCGTTGTAGCTGCTTGTTGTGAGGCTGGTAAAGGAAAGGCGAGTAGAGGGAAATGGATTCATGAGATAGACATGGGTAGGTAAGGCGGTATAGACAGCCAACGATGGGGGGTCGAATTTATAGGCACCGGCTCTAGCTGGACAGCATAACACCGTTTACCGTGGATGTTGTTCGGGTATGTTCGGGGGTTGAGGAGGGGATGACCACAACAGAAGCGTGACGGATGGAATAGTAAGAAGAGGCAGCCCATCAACACCCCGCAAAAGTTGGGTCAAGAAAACAACCACGTCGTTCTCGAGATGGAAGAGTCTGGAGCGAGGCACTCAAAACGGGCACTCACTTTCCGTGGTGGGGGGAAATGAGGTCAATGGTACCAAGACACGGCAGGTTACCTTACGGATATGAGGGAGTGTCTATAATATATAAGATCTGGTGTTTACTCCATGCTGGGTGAACGACGACACGGTCGGTGATGGTTGGACGGAAGAGACTCTATGGGTCCCTCTGCTCATTTAGCACACGCCTTCTGGCAATTTCTTGCCCTTTTCCCTGGCCCCCGGTCATTCGTTTCCAAACAATCTCCCAAACTTACAACGCGCCAAACTTTGAACTCTGACTAAATTAACAAACCATCTGGGCCAACGCTCCGTTGGAACGTCTACGTCCCTTCCATTACTGCCCAGGTAAGCATAGATTTCCTTCTTCTTTTCTCAGTGCCTCGTTTGCGCGGACCATTCCTTTCCGCGTCATCGCTTACCTAGTCGCACGTTCTATCCTGATGGGTAGTCTAGGTAAACACCCCGAGTCGATTAGCCGTCATCTGGCCCGTGCAGCGGATTTGTCAACCCTGTCGTGCACTCGTCCACTCAATTCCAAAATATGTGACCTTTTTTAATTCCCGGTTTATTGGAGGTGAACACACTCTCCTCCCGACATTCAGATTCGGCACTGTGTTCAGCCAGTTCCGCATTCCGGTCCGCAACTCAGATTTGGCCCCACTTTAGCTCCGGGCTCCGTCGAGCTAGACCCACTAGTGCCGGCCAGCCGCCGAACGAGGCCGGAAGATACTTGCAAACACGGACACAACATTCTGCATTAGGACAATCTTGTGATGTAAACCCCGCCACAAAGCCTCTACGGCCTCCCGTAGCAGCAACTAGTTGTTTCCGTCCTTTACCCTTCCCAATTCTAGTTGGAGTCTGCATCATGACCCGCCTCATCGGCGGATTGCAGCGCGTCAAACATGTCGTCCAGCTCGGGATAGTCCCCTACAGTCCGTACATCCCTTGTCTCTTCCGGTTTTGTGGATGGAAACCTTCGCTCCCAAGGGTCGCGAAACACGTGGTGCAGAGCGATTGCATCCCATGGATCGTGCCGATGCCGGTTCGCCTGAGATGCTAGGATGGGAAAGGGAGGTTTTGGCGGGTTATCGGCGAGCAAGAAGTCCACTAAATCCGTAAATTGGTCATCGAGAAGCCTCCAGACACGGAATGTTGTTTGTTGTCGGCCGGAATGGAAGTAAATATCGTTGCACTATTCTCCTTTAGTTCTGATGTTGTTGAGCTCAGGGGCTGACGGCCTACCTCGGATCCCGACTCCCCTCTGTCAAAAACAACGATACCCCCAAAGATGCGATCTTCTGCCCAGTAGCCCGCCACGTCAGCCATCCCTTCCGGGTATTGCTCATAATCCATGTAGTCGACATGATAAAACAAAGTCGGGCGGGGTTTTAGCGCCTCCTCGAATACCCGACGACGACCTTCCACAACCCATTGAGACTCCTTCTTCCAAGAGACAACTGCGTGTATGTCCTCTTTGCTGTGCAACTTGTCATCTAACTGGGACAAGAGGACGGCGATCTGGTGTACCGATTTTGCGACAAGCTCGACAAGGCGCAGCTTGAACTCACGAGTCCCTAGTGTGGCCTTCTGGTAGCTTTGCATGACCTGGTCGCTGTTAGGGAACTTGAAATGCGTTAAACGGGAAGTTTTCACGTACAATTGAGTCGAAGCGAAGGATTGCAGGGTCGAAAGTGTCACGGGACCTTAAAGCCCGTTCTAGTGCGCCCTCGCACAGTCTGTCATGATCGATAAGAGGGTGTCCCCTCAGTAAAAGAGACCCTCGCATGTCCCAGACGGTATCGACGATTGGGAGGCCATCGATGAGCTGGGCATAGGTGACCTCGGCGAGAGGGGTCGATAAGACATTGCGGATAGCGCGGACGAGAGGGTGGTAGTGGTCAACATCGAGTACCTCGACTGTCAGGCTGGGTCCTTCCTGCGTAAGGCGTTGCATTGTAAGGTTGCTGTCCCTGGCCGGGATCCGATCAGCTTGGTAAATGATTTTATGGGGAGCTGTCCTGTGGCGATCGCCGTAACATGTTGTACGAGCCTCGGAATGCTTGATTCTCTTGTTCCAAGCCGATTGGAGGATAAGATGGATGTAGAGGATGTGGCTGTGAGGAAAGCCGATTTTGACGATGAACCGGGGAGCGGAGCCTAGGTACCTATGTTGTCTCCGTGTCTCCTGGCGGCACGGGAATTTTGAAACGAATCTGCCAAGCCGCCCATAGCCCAATCCTGGTGGATGATTCTTGGTGGGTCTTCGCGATATGATGACTGTGTAGGCCCGGAGAGGATTCAATATGGCCCCAGAATGATCCTGCAACGTCTTTCCGAGGGATACCACGATCACGATCTCTTACCAAATAGGATCACGGCCAAGAATGAACCCACCGCCTGTGAAACCAACTTAGTCAGCGCTCGTAGTGAAATCAGCAAAACAATGAAGCTCGCCTAAATGTTCCACAACTGAAGAGGAGTTCGGACATCGAAATGGCTAGACGCCCTTGCGGGCCGCTTCGGACCTATGTTGGTGATCCGGGGGGATGGGAGGAATTGTGGCTGCGGGATGGAACCCGCCTAGGTAGGCCGCAAAGAGGAACCGAGACGTGGAGAAGGTCGGTAAATATGCGGTCGTCGTAGTACGAGATGTATGATATATCGTATATAATGCCACTGGGTCTGTTATGGAAATGCAGGAAACAACAAGAATAAGAACAATAACAACAAACTTTCTTTGCAGTCAGCTGGATCTAACTGTAAATACTCTTCTCTCCTCATCATGTCTACCTCTCGCGATAAGCAGACAACTGGGGGCAATAACAAACCCCCAACGGGAGTCCCCAAGGCGCCAGTCCCAACTAGCAGCAGTGCCAATCCCCCAACCGGAGCACCCAAGAGGGCAAACGCTAGCGGGCAGAAGGTTACACCTACAAAGACCACGGGCGTGCAGAAAGCCGGGCCTGCAAAGACCACCAGCGCTGCCACCCAGCTTGTGGCTGCTTCCGATTCCGACGTCAGGGGCCTTCGGGTGTTTGTGCCGGATGGCAAGGGTGGTTTTTCGGGTGTCCAACCCGGGGATGCTGTCTTCGACTGCACGGCATCGATCATTGGCTTGGCCCTGGACCTTTTGGAGACGCGGTCCAGCATTATCGCCCTCAGGATGAACATGACCAGAGTGCTCGATGCCAGCCAGCACATCCCGAAATTGAGAAACATGCAGGATGATGATATCGAGCCGACAATCCGGAGCTATCTCGCAGCGATCCGCGCCAGCTTCCCCCACGTCCTGGTGTCTGATATGTATGGGATGGCCGGCAAGAATGGCCGTACCAACAAAAAGGAGTGGAAAGACGGGGCCAAACCCAAGACGGCGACAGTCATCGAGCTTAGTGCAATGGTAAAGAAACCGCCACCCTCCGCCCCAACCCCGTCCCCCACCGTGACGAAAACAACCCGGCTAACGCGTGATGATAGCTCGTGGGCCGGCTCGCTGCAGCACGCAAGGCGCTACAGACAGCGCCCTCGGAGGCGCAGATGCGGCACTTCCGCAACCTGCACCTGCGGCTCTCCCTGACCATGGCGCACGAGCTCGTGCACGTCTTCAACCTGTACCTGCAGGGCAGCCAGCACAACCACACGCCGCCGCACGTGTCGTACGGGCCCTACGGCGACGACAAGGTGGGCGAGTCGGGCCGCTACTGGGAGTACTGGACGCTGGGCGGGTGGGTGGACATGCGGGCCGACTCGAACGGCCTGGAGACGATCGCGCTGCGCGACACCCACGGGCAGAAGGCGTGGCGCCTCACGGCGGGGGTCATCGACGGCCTGCTGGGGCGCGACTTCCGTAAGTGGCTGCAGCCGAGCACGCCGCTCAACGACGAGGAGCACCCCAAGGGCAGGTTCGTGGACAAGATGACGCCGCTCGACTGGAAGAACAGGTACACCGATGTGTTCCCGAGACTGCCGCCGCCGGCTAAAGGCGCGGCCCCGCCCCAGCCGGAGCTGTCCCCGAAGCAGATCGCCATGCTGATGGGGGCTGAGGTGATGAAGTCGGCCAAGTTCAATGTGTGTGGGCAGGACTTGGGGGCATTTGGCCTGGAGCCGCGGACGAAGCTGCGTCTGGCGGCTTAGAGTTACCTAGTAGGATGCGGACATCCAGGAGGGCGTAAGGGCTGGTCTCCCCATCGATACATTAGTAGATACCGGTTCGTTAGACTGAATACGTAGAACGTAATCAACATCTGTTGCCGATGAAAGGGGTTGGTTGAGTCTCCAACGTTGGGCTCCGTCTTGTCGTGCACTTGGCGCAGGTGCACTGAATGAACCTGATCAGCACTTCCCGCGGCGGAGCAAACAAGTCGATACCGTCTCATATTTGCGGATGCCGTTTCAATGCCAAATCATTTTCGCCAACCAAGATGCAGAGCAGAGGAATCGAGCCGTGTCGCACGTGGGAAACAAGGGCCATCCCCGCCGCCCGCTTGGAAGCATAAACCGGACGAAACAGCGTGATCAAACGGAAAACTCCAGTAAGAGCAAATCGCGCCGCCAACATAATAGTTTTCAGAAACGCGGCATTGATCGGGTCTTGGGGACACGGTTTGGGCAGATAGAGAGCAAGCAGCGTTTGGTTGGTCGTGGATCTTGGGGATGTGCAAGAACAGTCAATCTGGCGCAGATGGGGGGGGCTGCGGGGTTTTGGGTTCTCGGAGGAACTGTTTTGCAGCGATTTGCAGCACTGCACTGCAGCTTCCACTGCATCTCTTTTCTCAACCTGAAGCCGGAACAAGACAACCGAACGCAGCCAGAACATTCGTTCAAGTTCGTCAAAACCCCTCATTCCTTCGAACTATCTTTTTGGGAAAGAGCTCCAGAAAAGCTCGCACTCAAGGGAACCCCCGCCATCCTTCGTGCACTTCGCGACATGTTCTCCTGCATCGCTAGTTCTTCCGACGTCGTCCGGACTTGCCCATTTTGTCCATGGTGCGCTGTGTGGTTGCAACCCGGTGGGGAGAGAGCGACGTTAGCTTCTTAGCGTCGTGACGAACCCCTGTCTGGGCCCATTGTCCCGCGGTCCTGAGCTGTGATGAGTGGTCAATGCGTTTGCAGAGCCTGTGCTCTGATCTGCGATCGCCAGGGGAAATCAGCAGGTCTGGGGGGAAAACACGAACCCAGGCACTGAGGCGCAAAGCCAGGCCGCTCCAAAATGCAGAGAGGCAAGTGCGAAGCCACAAAACCCACGGTGGGCCGATTTGGGGAATTGATTTGAGAGTGGAGTCAACTCCCCCGGCCAGGAACGACCAAGAGCCAACCGGGATGCCAGCTCCAGAACCGGACTCCACTGAACTTCACCCTCCAGGGGATGACCCAGACCATCCACGGATCCATCCACTCGCCTCGAGGTCCCATCGCCTCCATTTTGTTCTCGACTTTTCCCTCTTTCCTCTCCCCAACCTCCCGGGTCAACCCCACGATCTCTTGGATAACGTAACCGGACCTCAGCAGAGCAGTCCGACCGCCACTCATTGGTTTTTCTCTTCTTCCGATCTTTCTGCAGTTTGCAAACCTTGGCCCGACGCCGACCCCCCAAAGTTCTCCCGAAGCGAAATTTCCCGCTGAACCACCCCGACGATCTTCCAAAGCTCACGAACTATTCGAAGACGCCATACTTCCGACCAAGACACGATCGTCCTCTGCAAGATTAGAAGGCGATACATTCCAATCCCCATCAATCACTCACTGCCATCCTCTGTTCTCCTTGTCTCCCACAATCTCGCTCGACAAGCACACGAATTTCGAGAACCACTCTTCGGTCTCCTCGCTCGCTTTCTCCCGAACGAAAGCCTCACCCCGTCCCCATAGCACACCGTCACCATGGGCCTCTTCGAACGCATCCAAGCAAAGATTGAGCTCTTCCGGCTCGAGCAGCGCTACACCCGCCGCCGTCATCGCCGCTCCACTTTCGTCTCCAACGCAATCTACGTCGACGGCGAGTACATCTACCAGTCGCCCAACACAACCGGCTCGTCGGCCAACACGAGCAGGACCGCCAGCACACAAAACTCTTCCCCGGCATCAGCAGCGCCATCGCCCCCTCCAACAATCGACAGGTTTGAGAACACATCCTCGGCTGCGAGCAAAGAGCAAAAGAGGTTGAACCGTTGGTCGTCCATGCCCGGGTTCGGGTCGAGCTCCAAGCCAGACGGCATGGGCAGTGGGCTGCCGCCCGTCGGGGAGCACGACTGGAGGAAGAGGGTCAGTTTTGACGAGAGGCGGTACTGAGCCGCATGCCGGATTGGGTTCAATTGGGTTTGGTGTTCTTGGATATTCAATTTTTTATTTTTTTTTGCGGGCGGAAGGGATTCCGCCCATGCCTTGCTCAAGCAGATGCAGTCGGCACGCTGGGATGTCACGACTGCACCCGGGATGATGTCGTCTTTACATCGGACATCTGCCAGCACTCATGGAGTGTTTTCCCGGGTGGTCATGCCGTTGTGGCACCGCGTCACGACGTGGTTGCCCACTGGGACGCCAGTGCGACACGCTCGGCCCAGGTGCCGCTCGCTTCGGCGGCTCTGCGACTGCTTCTGCTACCGCTTTCATGACAAAAGTTTCTGCTCATCGCCTGGGCTCGACATTTTGCGGAGCTTTTTACGACCGGCCTGATCGCTGCCGCGATCTGCCACTCTTTCTACGATACTTCCCGAGGTTCTGAGCATGCTATGCTACGAGGGGAAATGACCATTGGTTTGGGGTTTATACTGGGCGGTCTCGCCGCGGGACTCGGGCATGGTTGACACCATTGCATGGTCCCGATGTCGTCCCGTCATTGTAATTACATGAGGATCTTTTCCTGGCTTCGGCCACGGCTCGGATGGACGAGGACGCTGCCCAGGGGCGCGCTTCATGTACATATGGGTTAATGACGACGTCCGTCCCATCTACCGTTTTTGAGATACCTGCCCCGTTTCGCTTATCGTTGTTGACTTCGCTGGGGCTTGTGTCGACGGTGCTGAAAGGACTGTTGCCCCGGCCCGGAAGCGAGTGCGGCCAAGTGGACCTTGCCCATCATTGTTTCACACTGCTCATCTCATCGGATGTTTCCGGCTCACGTCTGGCACAGCCTGGTATGTGGATATTGATCCGCAGTTTGGTATCAACGAATGGACTGAACAAACAAACACCGCTGACGAGAAACAGGGTAGTGCACCCAACAAACTGTGCAGAAGCGAATGCGTCTCAATTAACTCTTCGACCCTTTCCATCCACCACCACCACCTTCTCACCCGAAACACTCTCCCCCGTATCCACCGACACGCCCCTTGTATGTACCCGCCTTTAGCATTTACATACCATCCATGCCCTGTCCCGGGAGGGCATCGAGCCCTGCAACACATGCGTCAGCCACCGTCATCATCATCAACAACAACACTCACCACCTTTTTGCGGGGCGGGGGGTCGGTGAGGGAAACAGAAAAACAAGAGAGGGAGAGAAGACCGAAAAAGAAGAACTCACAGCTGTCGATGTCCTCGCGGACCTGGCTCTGGACGGCGCACTGGTTCATGGCCTGGACGTTCTGGCTCTTGAGCGGGCGGCCGTTCTCGCAGGCGTTGAACATGCAGGACGAGTCCATGGCTTGCTGGAGGGCGTCGCCCTTCCAGCCGAAGACGTAGTCGGCGTGCGTGCCGTAGCCGACCCCGTCGCCGTAGCTGAGCACGAACGGGTTCGACCCGTCCGCCGGCCACATGCCGTTGAACTGCGTCGTGTCCCAGAGCGTCTCGAACGCGAGCTGCGGCATCCGCACCGGGTGGGACGCCGGGCACGCGCCCGCCGGCGCGAACGCCTCCCGCACCGTGTTGTACATGTGCGACTGGTGGTCCGGCGAGTCCAGGTTCTTGCCGTCCCAGCAGCTGCGTACGCACGCACCGCGTTAGTGTCCATCCGCTTCGTCGAGAGGGAGGAGCAAGAAGGGGGACTACTGCTAGTAGTAGTAGCAGTACTACTAACCTGGGGAAGTGGTGAACGGTCATGATGCCCCCTTGGCACGGCCTCTCGGGGAAGTTGGGCAGCTCGGGGAAGCGGGTGCCCTTGTTCTGCAGACAGACGAAGCGCAGGCCCGGGTTGCCGCTGGAGCCCGGCTCGGCGCTGTAGGTCGGGCTGCCGACCGTCATGCGGAAGCCCTACGGAGGTCAAGTCAGTCTTTCCTTCTTCCTCGCCAGGTATCTTTTCTCAGAGAGGGACTCACCGGCTTGAAGGCAGTGATCTTCTGGTTGCCGTTGGAGCTAAAGTCCTGCTGGGTGTAGTAGATGGTCATGCCACCGTTGATGCCGTTGGGCAGCGCCGTGTTCTGCATGATGGGCACGCGCTTGTACGAGCCGTTGGAGTGCTTGAAGAACATGACGGCCGTCCAGTAGTTGGAGAAGTTCTCGGAGAAGGTGCACGTCGTGCAGTCGGCCTGCTCGGCGATGTCGCCCTCCATGGTCGCGTTGAAGGCATTGCCGCCCACGATCTGGTGCACGTGCGACGACGGGAGCTTGCCCGGCTCGACGAGGGGGTCGAGGCGCTGGATGCTCACGGTCGAGCACCCGAAGCGCAGGGCGGCCTGGGAAGACCCGGCAAGGGCGAGGAGTGAGAGCCACTTCATGTTGAACTTGTTCGATCGAGAGGGCAACGGTCGAGTTGGTTCAACAGCAGGAGAGATTTCAGAATCCGGGGTAGCGGGTCTTGAACAGCGATATATAGGTAGTCGCGGTACCTCGCCGCTGTAACTCCCCGACAGGTTCCCACCCGGACTTGCCGCCGTCGACTGCCCAGCTCCATGGTCATCTATCTCTTTATTTAGATGCGGGGCGGGGGTGTTCTTGATTGGGAGGCCCCAGCCCCTGAGTGGTGTGCAGGCTTGTATGTTTATACACGGCGCTTCTCAACCCAGCTTCTGGAAGGTCGGCATTGGCCAGGAGATCAGCGCCCAATATACTTCCCTGCCAGACCGGACCCCAGAGCACCCCACGAGACACAGCAGGAATGGCTGAGAATGGACAGCCAAACACACCTGCCCTTAGTTGCCGGCTCTATTACTCAACCTCAGGAGGGAAGGTGATCGCCCAACTTGTCGAGCGCCACTCAACGGTCGCCTTGGACCTTTTGATGCCCGTCTTGACAGCTTGGTTCCGGTAAAGATGGCCTTGGCAACACCGACATCTGCCGGCGCACGCATCTGCCGAGATTGACGGGGCGATTTGTGCCGCATCGGGCTTCTTTATGTCTTTAACCGGCAGCCCGGCTGCGTGCTGGCCGACCACACGTGGGTTGAGCTTCCCACCTTTCACGAGAAATCAAGGTGCCCCGAAGTCCAACGGAAGCATCCCGGCAAAGCAGTGCCGGGCGTCATGGACAGGGCCGCTTGGCGACCCGGCGCCGGCTCACTCTGCCGGGCTGACAACCCAGCTGGAATGGTTCTTTTCGATTTCTAGAAACAACACCTACAGATGGATGCCCAGAAAGGTGAATGAGTGTGGGTGCCAACGGACCGATTGGGCACTGTCACCATCGTCATACCCTTGTCGGCAGTTGGATTTTCTCCAGAATCCTGGGGTATCGAACCTCAACCGGCCAACTTCTGGGTCCCTCGTGCTGAACAGGGATTCGCTCCGAATTTGTTTTTTCAACCCATCCCCCATGTTCTTGTGGGGGTTGAGATTGGGGGGCCTCCCTCCGCTTGCGACGACAAGCATCCCGTCAAGGGAACGGACTGGGACCGGGTAGAGGCGTGGAGCATTGTTACGGCCGAATGTATACAGACATGGTTCGTGGGAGTTCCGCTCCGGTATTGGGTATGTTGGAATAAACCTACTTTTAGTTATCCTCTTGTCGCAGTTGGCGCAGCCTGAGGTGCTGTCCTGATTAATCCACATCGAGAAGAGGATGGGATACTTCAAGTAATGAACAACCTAGACGTACTTTCCCGGCGGCCTCACAACAGCCTTCCCCCCATTTCCAGTTCGTGCCGCTTGGAGGTGAACAACTTGCACAAAACCTGACTGTGCGAGGGCGCGAGGGTACCTACTTTCGTGCAACACCAAGTACAGACTTGCGTGGACAATCTGGACAGCCTGTTCCAGTGCCAGGTGCCTGGGTAACAACGCGTGTGTCACGAGCTGAGGGTTTTGGGCACCCTGAGCTTCGACTCTGGAACCGTGAGTCGACAGTTGTCCGTCATGCAGGGCGCCAGCTTGCGCCGCCGCTGGTACCGCAACCATCTGCGGAGGAACCTCAACCACCAATCAGGAACTGAATCAGGATGGTCTTGGGCCAGGTTGGCTATATGTATGTTGGTTCAACGAATGCTCATGTCCGCCTTGATGTGAGCAGCTGCATGTGACTGAGTCGCACAACAGGTTGCCTTGACGCTTTGCCTCGTTGTCACCTTGAGTAGCGGGATGGACGGTTCGAGTCCCTTCCTCCTTTCCCCTTCCACCTTCGTCGCTAGCCCGTGGCTCGGACTTTTACCCAACCGCGAGGCGACGATGGATCCTGTGTCGGCACTGAGTCTTGTGGCCAACATCTTTGCTGTTGTTGGATTCGCCAGGGATGTTGTCGAAGTAGCCCGTCAAATTCGCGACTCTGGAGACAGCGACCGGCTCAGCAAACTTGAAGCAGCTGCGGCAAGTTTGCTGTCAGCTGTTGGCAAGGCGAACATGAGTCCCGACCTACCCGGGTCGAATCACACACCGCAGCAGCAAGAAGATGTCGTCCTCTTCCGAATTATCCAAGACACCGCCCGCATTTCCCAAAGGATCACAACTTTCTCGAATAAAGTCCACGGGGGTAAAGACCAGTCCCAGCCATCGACGATGAAGGCCGCCCTCCAAACGCTCAAGGTTATCTGGAATCAGAAGGTCACTGAAGAGCTGGAAAAGGAACTGTCGAGCGTGGAGCAAAGCCTGCACTTACACGCAACCGTCTCCGTCAAGATCAAACTGGAAAAGGGCGCAATCCAGTTGAACGACGCCCTGGCAACTCTCGACGCCCGCACCAAGAGCTTGCTCACTTCCAAGTCGTTCTTGGCTAATTTCAGCCAACTAAATGCCCACTGCGAGGAAATACTGGAGCGCCAGAGCCGGACCGACCAACTTGCAACAAGTCGTCACCACGAACTTCTCGCCTCTCTTAACACGGTTCGCGGAGAACCCTACACACGGGGGTTCAGCGAATGGCGGCTGAAACACGAGCAAGGCAACCTCATCCAGGACCAAATCCTGGCATCCCTATGGTTTCCTCTCATGCCCGACCGGGAGGAAAGCATCCTCAGCGCATACCATGAGACGTTCGAGTGGGTCTTTCAAGACCCAACGGAGTCGGAGAAGCCGTGGGATAGCTTCAGCGACTTTCTTTAGAACACTTCCTCGGGGTCTTACTGGATTTCCGGAAAGCCGGGATCAGGAAAAAGCACGCTCATGAAATTCATCTCGCGTCATCCAACCACAAAACACCTCCTCCAAGAATGGGCAGGCGGAGAAGATCTTGTGATAGCCGGTTTCTTCTTCCACTACATGGGTTCTGGCCTCCAAAAGTCCGAGCTTGGCGCTTTTCGTGGCCTACTCTACCATATCCTCTCCCAACGACGCGACCTAATCCAGGTGGCTTTCCCGGAAAGATTCAGAGCACTGAGTTTGTCGAAGGACTGGCCTGTCCCGTTTGAGCCCACCGTCATCGAGCTCAAGACAGCCCTCCATACGGTTATCCAGGACGCCCCGTCCACCCACCTATTCCTCCTTGTCGATGGTCTCGACGAGTATAATGCCGACAGTGCACATCTGGAAGGTTTGGTCACCACATTGCGGAGTCTCTCCACCTCCCCGAATGTGAAAGTCCTTCTATCCAGCAGACCCTGGATTGTCTTCGAACGGGCGTTTGCAAATTGCCCACGCCTACAAGTGCATGATCTTACCCGACCGGACATCGCCCGTTTCGTTACAGACAAGTTCAGGCAGCATCAGCGGCTCTGGGACCTCATGCCTGGATATGAGAGAGCGAAGGAGAGCCTCGTGATCGAGGTCGTAAATGCGTCATGCGGTGTGTTCCTTTGGGTTCGCCTCGCTGTCCACTCAGTTTTGGAGGGTCTTACAAATTACGATATTATCGAGAGTTTGCAAAACCGCTTTCGTGGGCTTCCCACCGATCTTGAGGATCTTTACTGGCACATTTGGAACAGGATCCCTCAACACTACCGCACCCAGGCGGCACGTCTTCTCTTACTCGTGGAATGCAACATCAAGGTTGGCCCTCTCAACCAGGAACTGCACCTCAGATCATTGGCGTTCGCTGAGATAGATGGCCCAGAACTGCCCTTCTCGGCTGCAGTCAAACCATTGAAGGAGGCAACGGCTGAGGCGACACTCGAGATGATGAAAGGCCGCCTCCGAAGTCGTTGCATGGGCTTTTTGGAGGTTGGCGACTCGACCGTAATGCCGGCGATGTTATGCCACGTCAAAGAATGGTTGAGTCAGGATGGAGACCTCAGAAGTTCCCATTTGTACCTGAATCTGACGCGTTGCATTTATCCAGACAACGTAGACCAAAAGCACGGCTACCCTATTGTTACTTTCATTCACCGAACAGTACAAGAGTTTCTCTCGTCGCCAAACCATAGACCGGCCATTACCACGGCCGCAGCGGGTTCGGAAATCGCGTTTCATCCGGAGGATGGTCTTCTGCGTGCTGCACTAATGAGACTCAAGACGACGGACTGGAACTTTGTGGCTTCGAATTATGACTCGCGAGCCACATCACGATTTTCATGTTTTATGGAGGCCGCAGTCGACCGTTGCTTGTTTCTTGCGCGCCATTTTGAGCAAGCGACCCGATGCCCTGCCACAAAAGTCCTTACGGAACTCGACAGAGTCATGCTTCATTTCCAACAGGCACTCCTTTCACCCGCGCTTCACCCAACGCAACATTGGACCGGCGTGTTACGGAACTACGTTCCAGAGCTGGCCGGTGAGGCGGTTGGCAGCCCAGAGACGTGCGACTTTCTCTCACTCTGCACTTTCTACAGCCTGGGGCTATTTGTGAAGGAGAAGCTCAAAGCCAGCTCCCTCGACTCGACAGATATGAAGCAGAGGGCAAGTTCACTTCTTGGGTACTCGCTGGCTGAGGGTTACGTCGGATTTCAAGAATATCCTTTCTGCCCCACCCTCGTGCAGGTCTTGTTGGAGGAGGGCGCCGACCCAAACGAGAGGCATGGGCGCACCACACTTTGGCACGCCTTCATGTCCGACTCCAGCGGACGTGCTTCTCGGGGCGGATCTATCCAAACGGGGATCATCAAGTTGTTACTTCTCCATGGCGCTGACTCGACTGTAAAACTGGTAGAGTTCAAGCCAGGGCGGTGTCAACCGTCGGTGCCAGTCGTCAAATCCCGCGAGGCTGAGATGAAACCGGAAGATAAGTTTAACACGGGGGAGCATCAGCCCCCCAAGACCGAGTGGGGCCTCCGAGACGTGCTGGAAAAGCAGAGGTCATATCTGCACTCTCGGTATAATAAACCCCGCTGGGAACCAAGTTGGGAATCGAAAGCGTATTTGGATGAGGAACTCCAACTCCTCGAGGAGACCGTCTGTATATTGAACCGGTTGGAGATCGGAGAAACGACAGGTAGCGAAAGCAGCGTTGGCATCCTGCCTCCACGACGAGACGAAGATACGGCTCGCCAGGGAGCAATTTGCACCGAACATAGTTGTCGAGCGCTGGCGATACCTTTGGAAAGTACAGAAGGGCAATATGAAAAGGGCAATGAAGGTTTGGAGGATAGTCGTCAATGTCGACGGGATAACGGCGAAAGGGGAGAAAGGGTATTAGAGAGTCAAGGACAGGAGACCTCGGACGCGGACGAAACACCTCAGACGGAGAGAATGCTTGTTAAAGGGAGCAGAGCAGAGCGCAGGTCCATGAACTTGAGGATGTTGTGTTGTTTGGCTTGAAGATGGCAAAGGGTGACTGGTTTGTGGGGTTGATAACAATGATAGAGAGATGGAAATGACAACCCACCATGAGGGACAGATGACTTGGATCTCTATCGACAATCATCACAGTGTTGGTGAGCAGATGATGAAGGAAGACCTAAACTTGTTCAGAAATCATGTAGCCTCTGGACAAGGACAACCTTCGTCACCCCTCACCGATATCCTGCGTGAATAACTCTCAAAGGGATACCTTCTTCCAAGCCGTACCCTACGGGAAGCGCCTGGTAGACTTGGACACTTCTCTAGACTCCTCGTATGCGCCGCGCGTACCATCTTTCCGGCGGATGACGGCATCCCAGCGTTGGGTCGTCGTCTCATGCCAGTGTCGAGCGCCCGTACCAATGTTGTTCCAGTCGGCAGCATGGGTTCTGCCGACGAGGTCAGGTTTGGTATAGCTGTTCCAGCGCGTAGGTTGGTTGTCGTTGTCCAAGTCGCTTTGGGGCATAAAAGGATCGGCCGTGGTTGAGGGATTGTATCCGTACCAGGTCGGCTCCAGCGGCGGACCTGCAGTTGCGGTGCTGTTGGTGTATGTTGTGGGGTAGGACCCGGCTGGGAGAAACTGTCCATAGTATGTAGAAGGTACCGAAGAAGCCTGAGGATCGCCGACGCGTGGCCCGAAGGGGGGAAGGTCCGGACCATACAGCCTTGTGACGGCCTTCGACCCGGCGGTCTTGGTCCCATCCTTTGCCCACTGCGACGCGGAGTGTCGCTGCATCCGGCGCATCAGCCTCTCCGTCTGCGTTTCCGCCGCCGCCTCAAGTCTGACCGGATCCGAGACCACCCGGCTTTTCTCTATCTCTCGCCTTCCCACCAACTTCCGGGACGCCCCGACATGATGGAGTTCTCCATTGCCTTCGCAACGGCCGCGTCCTCCCGCTCCCGAGCTTTCTTCTTCATCACCTCCCTCTCATTCTTCGACATGGCCTCCTTCAACACCCTATCCAGCTCCCTCTGACGCTCGACCTTCATTTCCTCCATCCGTTCCCGCTCCCACAGAGCCATCTCAAGCCTCACGCCCTCCTCCACCGCCCGACGGAGTGCAGCCTCCTCCTCCTGCTTCTCAATCTCCCGTACAAGACTCTCCCTCTCGACCCTCTCCCTCTCGACCCTCTCCCTCTCCCTCTCCCTCTCCACACTCTCCCTCTCAGCCCTCCGACTCTCCCTCACTCTCTCCCTCTCCCGCCCCCTAACCTCCCAGAAACTCCCCACCGACCGCTCCTGCTCTTGCTCCTCCGCAACATGGCGCTCCGCCACCGTCCGACGCGCCAGATCCAGCGCCAGGCGGAGGGAAGCGGCGTCTGCCAGGACGAGGGCGTCAGCATCGGTATCGGCGTGGACATCGAAGCCAACGGACCGGTGTGTGTGCTTGGCGGCGGAGGTGACGGCGGGGTATGACTTGTTCTTGACCTTAGGCTTGGTCTTGGTATTGCCAGCGCTGCCGCCGTTGCGGATGGGGAGGGACATGGTCTCGGTGGATGATATGGTTTTCGTGCTGCTTGTGGGTGTTGCCGTGGTGGTCGTGGTGCGGGTGCGTGTGTGGGTGCGGGTGGGGGTCGCGTGTGGGATCGCCGTAACCTCCGGCAAGGGGTTGAGGTGGCGGAGGTTGCGGCTCTGGGTGTCTTCGAGGAGCCAGGTGTTGGGATGGATCGTGGGGATGTCGCGGGTGTAATGCATGCTGGGTGGTGTTAGTGGTTGTTGTAGCATGGGCAAGGGGAACTCACGTGGGTTGGTGGGTGTCGGTTTGTTTCGCTTTGGGGCTGCGAGTTGTTGACTCGGACGTGTGGCCGGTCTGTTTGTGACGACGGTGGCGGCGCGGCTTAGTTGTGGACAGGGCGAGCCAGGACACTTTGTGGTTACCGGACGGACGAGAATAGGTCAATCCCATCTACTCGCTGTAGTTGACAGAGCGTGCTTGATGAGCAAGCGGCAGACTGGGGTTGCTGGAGGGGAATGTTGACCGTGAAGTACGCAACTTTGCCCAACCCCAGGTCCTTATCCGGCTTTCTCACCGTTTCCTTTCTGGTGCAGGTGAATCCGGGATCGCTCCCGGTCCAGCAAAGTGGTGTTGACAGGAGAGAAGAAAGGGGTTTGTTTCGGCCTTCAGTCTGGTTGAAAGGGATGTCTCAGACGCCCTGCACGACAACGAAGGCCGCATCTGCACCACGGCGGTCTGGCCAGCCGTGGCCATGGGGAAAACTGAGAGTGACGTAGCTGCGCAACGGCTTTCCTCGTAGCACACAATAACTCTAGCCTGAGCCCCTGAAATGGAATCATGCCGAAAGAGTTCCTTGTTGGCAAGTAATTACAGGCACCAAGCAGGCATTAAACATCTGCCTGGGTGGTTCATGGAAACTGCAAAACATCAAACCACGACAAGGCTGAAAAGCTGAAAGAAGAGGGGAATGAGGGGCATGAGGCGGTCAGTGAAAACTGAGACATTGGGCGAAGGACAATGGTCGGAAAGCGGCGGTCATGCTCCTCTGGCTGCGGGCTCAGTCGCCAGCCCTTGAAACTGGGCTGGACCGTTGCTTTCTAGCTTGCTTGTTCCACCCCGGAAGGGGCTCCGGATATCCTGCAGCATGTCGGGGAAGTGGAATGAACACGGGACATGTCTCCGCCTGGCCGTAGCATAAGTCCGGCATGGCAAAGGAGAGAAAGGGAAGGGTGCTAGACTGCTAGCTAGACCGTAGGGAATGATGGGATGGTGTGCTGAAGCGGACGGGTGATTTTTGCCAAGTTTAGGGCTCAGTACGGGCGATTCCCACTTCGAAGGCTCAGGCAAGAAAGAGGACTGCAATTGCGATGAAATATTTGCAAACGCCCGTTTGTTTGACCAGCGCTGGCTTGGGAAGGAGGCACCTCACCTTATCGATATGCTGGAGTCCCTTGCAGGGTTCCGCAGCAAGGCCCACTTACTGCACCTGCGGGCAGGGGTTCATTCTCGGCCCCCTTCCGTGTTCCACCCCACCGCCAACCCCTGAACGAGAGACTCTGCTTGACAACTCGCGCAGTGCTGCCGAAACAACAACACCACCAGCGTCAGTGGTTTAGTGGTAAAATCCATCGTTGCCATCGATGGGCCCCGCGTTCGATTCGCGGCTGACGCAACAACCAGTAGGAGAGCATCTCAGATTGGAGGCTCTCCTTCTCTTTTAGTGCTGTTCCGGGTGCTGCTCAAACTTTTTGGTGGGGCCGCTAGGGTTTCTTCTACTCGGATTCCCCTCGTGAACCCCCACCCACAGAAAAAGGTAACGTCCTATTTTGTGGAGGAGAGCAAAAAGTACATCAGAACTCGGATACCGGGAGTCGAACCCGGGGCTGTTGAGAGAGCAGTCACTCCTGAGAAGTGAGAGTCAACGATGTTACCGCTACACCATACCCGATTTGAATCGTGTGTGGTTCCGAATTGTTGGAGGAGCGGGGTCACAGCTCGGGTTATGAAGATGATTGGCGTGATGCGACGAAGAACATCGCAAATGGAGCAAACTGGAGGGGAAAACAGAAGTGCCAAGCAAACGCGGGAATTGGTTGTGTCATCGCGCCTGGCTTGACACCAAACCACAGGAGGGTTGACCATGACGTCAGTTTAGGGAGGCAAAGCTTGTCGAAGAGCTCAGTTACACGGAAGAGCAGCCACAAACGGCACGCGGGCATGGAGGCTACCTATGATGGCATTGAATCGCCTAGGGTTTCCGTGGCCACCAGCCGGCAAAGCAGGTTCTTGAGGCGGGATAATCGTGTTGCAACAGCTTCAAATGCTCCAAGTTCCAGTTGACCTTTGGGTCCGGATCAAGAGGTCGATACCCCTTTTCCCTCTAACCAACGCCGACCTCTCACCTTGATCGCACCTTTCCGTCACTCTCCTCATCGGTGAGTGACTCTGGACTGCAACTCCCCCCTATCCTGCCAAGGGAGCAACAGGGCACTTCGGCGGCCACCACAACTTGACGATACACCCCGTTCACAATGCTGCCCTTCCACCGGCGGGAAGTCCGTCACGACCTAGCACCGGCGCCGGGTCCAACCGACAAGACTCTCAGCTATGCAACTATTCGGAAGAATTTGGTACCGTTTGTGATCGACTGGATCAAGGTCTCGTGGCGAGACATCCTCACCATGGCCGCCTTGGGCGCAGCCACCCTTGGTGTAAGTTCCTATCCACCCCTTGGCTTCTCTCCCCTTTACCGTAGCAGGTTGCTAACGAACACCCTAGATCTACAGTGCCCCCTACGCTGCCACCCGAAACTTTCCCATAACCTTCGACGAGTCAGGTGATATCGTCTACCCCCAGTTTGCCTACCCCAACCGCGGCTGGATCATCTCCCCATCCCTCTCCGGCGTCATCTGCACCGTGATCCCCATCGGCATCATGGCCCTCGCCCAACTCCGCATCCGCTCCTTCTGGGATTTCAACAACGCCGTGCTCGGCCTCCTATACTCGCTCATCCTAGCCTCCCTTTTCCAAGTCATCATCAAGGTCCTCATCGGCGGCTTCCGCCCCATCTTCCTCGACGTCTGCCAACCCGACCCCTCCCTCGCCCGCGCCCGCAACACCACGGGGCTCAACGGCGTCGGCTTCCAAAGCGTCATGTACACAGTCGAAGTCTGCACCAACCCCGACAAAGACGCCATCAAGAACGCCATCACCTCCTTCCCGTCCGGCCACGCCACCACCGCCTTCGCCGCCTACATCTTCCTCTTCCTCTGGATGAACGCCAAGCTCAAAGTCTGGGCCAACTTCCACGCCAGCTTCTACTGGCTCGCCGCCCTGCTCGCCCCCTTGCTCGGCGCCACCCTCATGGCCGCCTGCCTGACGGTCGACCAGGCGCACAACTGGTACGACGTCTGCGCGGGCGTCGTCGTCGGCACCCTCGTCGCCTTCATGGTCTACCGCGTCAGCTACGCTGCCGTGTGGGATTGGCGCTTTAATCATGTTCCGCTGCGCCACCGCGTTGTGTTTGACTATGCTGCTGCTGCCGCCGCCGCTGCTGCCGCCGGTGCCGGTGAGGGACTGGGGTCGGGTGTGATGGAGAGGGCCGTGTTTGTGCGGAAGCTGGGGTGGGGCCGCAGGCGGAGGCGGAGGGCTGGTGCGCGTCGTGGTGGTGTGGTGGGAAGGGAGAAGCAGACGGTGCCGGGAAGCGAGGCTAGTAGTGCCGCGCCGTATGGGAGCCCTGGGAGTGCGGGTGTGGAGGCGCCGGTTGCACACGGGGTGTCTGATGGTTATGGGGTGCATAGTGGCGGGCAGGCGGTGCCCAATGGGGATGGGATGGCGCCACACGGGCCGTCGGTGGCCTACCCCGACCCGGCTACTGTGAGGTCTAACGGAGGGCAATATTATGGCAGAGGAGAGGAGATGGTTTAATGGTTTCCATACTACTTCCCATGTACTCCCTTTTCATAATCCCTGTTCTGATATTAGCTGAAGATACCTCAAACGTTTCGTTTTCCGGAGAAGCCATCCTTCACTCATTCCAGCTCGTAACTGGAGGGTGCCTGCGTGACTCGGATAATTGCGCAGTTGGCTCGCACGCGCGTTTTTTTATCTGAAAAGAACGGCGGGGTCCGGGTCAGCTCAGCGGGGAGGGGGGAGGCGGAGGGTTAGAACACGTCACATTCATGACGCCGTTATGGTGACGTTTTTTTGGCCTTCATCGAGATTTATCCCAAGACCACTCGCACCTCATCGCTGCACACACCGCCGTTGATCTAACTTCACGATGCCGCGTCAAAAGCGAGGAAAGTCGGCTCGGAACCGCCGCCAACAAACAAAGGGGACACGTAGAAGCGAGCGTTTGGCTGGTCGCGGTCCAGCTACCCGGGATGATGCAACACGGACAAGCCATGAAAATGTAGAGCAAAGCGTATGCCTAGTTACATCACCGCGCCCGTAACGAAGACACTGGTTTACTGATACATTTCCAGATATCCCCGGGCCGTCGGTATCCCGTGCCCATTGAACGACTCCTAGCCGAGCTCGGCGGTGATGGGGCTGATGCAACAAGCTATGGAGATCTTGAGCAAGCCGTATGTCTAGTCACATAACACCATTCAACCCGAAGACGCGGGCTTTACTATTTACTAACGCACTCGTAGGCGTCACTAACCCACACGCACTCCACCACCCCTATGGAACGACTCCCGTGCGAGCTCATCCGTATTATCGGCGAGCACCTGCCCGTGGAATCGCGCGTTACGCTCGCCCTGGCGAGCCGCATACTGATGTTCAAGTCTGGTGGGATCGGCCCCGGCAGCAATAACATTGCGTTGGACGAGAATCCCCCAAGCCAGGTCGAGGAGGACGACGACGCTTACCCGCCTCCAACGCCGCGCATGATGCTCCTGGAGCTGCTCGAGCACGAATCGCAGTTACTCACGCGGTGCGATTACTGTAGAACGCTCCACTCGCCGCTCTCAACAAGCGCGCACAACGTTTTACGCCCCTGCCATCAGCCTACTCGTTGTTTCGCCCCACCCGTGGGCTGTTGGGGTGCTCTCCAGATCACACTGCCTCTCATCCGCCGCGCCGTCATATGGGACCGCCAGGGACTCGAGGCGGACTCGCTCCTTGCCGCCGCTAGCTGCAGCACCGCCAACCCAAACCCCCCGGATTCCCCGTACCGCTCCTTGTCCACCCTTCGGGCTCGCGTTTGCGGCGGCTCGGTCGTTGTGCGAACACAAATCTTTGTGGCACGCACAGCCCCATCCCGTCCCACCAGCCTTCCCGCGGCACGCGACCTCGCTGCCTTGGACGACATCCTGCGCAGGGCATCACAATCTTGGGTGACGGGTACAAAAGCCCATGAACGCCCGACGCGAAAATATAAAACGCCCAAGTGTCTCGCCAAGGTGGACGCGGCATCCCGAAAGACCATCCATCGCCACACTGTTGGATGCTACCGCGCCGACGCCGGCCCCCCGCGTTCCGAGCTCCCCTACAAACTGCGCTGCATGCTGATGCACAACGTCCCCTGCCGCTCGCGCGGGTGCCGCCGGGTGGGTGACTTCCCGGGCCACGTCGGCGGCAGCCGGGACTGCTTCCTGGACCACGCGGCGACGGCGATCCCGCTGGCGGACCCGCGCAGCCCGTGGGACCGCGTGCTCGTCTTCACGAGCTGGCGGGACCTGGGCAGCGGGGACTCGAAGCACGACGCCAAGTGGGCGGCGCGCTCGGGATACCAGTGCGCTTGGCCCGACCGTAACCATCGCGCCGACCACCGGAGTCGGGTTGGGGACGCGTATGAAGCGTTCGAGGGCGCGGCCGAGGGCGCCCCCTACGTGCCTGAGCTTTCGCGGATAGGCGCCAACGTGTTGCTTTCTCGGTAGCTGGTCCTCAGCGGTGTATGCTAGACAGGGGCGTATGAGAGGGGAGGATCTCTCGTTGGGATGATATTCCTCAATAGATTCGCGGTTGGAGTCTGGCTTCCTCCACCCATATAGTGACCTCTCACTACACACACAGCTAGTTTCGCGGCGATATACTGGCCATATTAATTCCATTCTATATACCGTAAGGTGTCCATTCTTCTCCCAGCCCTTCAGAGTTTTTCATATTCCGCACGCGCCAGACGCTTTAACACGCCCGTCGTATACTGCCCTCCGGCGGCACACCGTAGACCATCTCGGCTAGAAGGCGCAGTTACACCGGGAACCGGAAGTCGTGGTAGTGCTTGCTGATGTCGATGCTGTCTGCGGTGTGGCATAGGTTCTGAAACCATAATGGGTTCCTACCGAAGCACTCACACTCGCGGCGTTTCTGTGGATTCCACCACGGCGGGAGGAGGCCGTCGTAGGAGCGGGCGGATAGAAGAAACTGCCTGAAACCTCTCAACCCGGTGTTAGCCCCGCCGCAAATGCTCTTTCGAAATAGCTAAGCTCCTAAATCAACAGTGGCAGTTAAGCAATCCCATTTGTGACCTTGTCCTCGCTGGTATGATAATAAGCACGAAAGTAACCCTCGCTCCCTCCCGAGTAAAACCCAGATCACTCCGGTTTCTGAGCTGTAATAACCATAAAGTCAAAAAGGGCATGTGCCTCCCCTTTCCTGATGGAATTCCTGACGCCCGCATTCATGACCATAATCTCATCTTTGCTCCACCCCAGCACATCCGCAAACAAGGCCGCCGTGAAGGCCTCAACACCCTCGGTAAAGTTCACCCCCAGTAATGTCCCAATCTCCTTCAGCCTCGGATCCTTAGGCCACGCGCCAACCGGCATCTTGAAAGTCTCGACCTTGACGTTCACAAACCCGGCGTCTCGCACCCACCCCTCCATCATCGGCGCCGGATCCATGGTCCGCCCAATCTTGTCACAGGCCTCCATCAACCCATCCATCAGCTTCATCAAAGGGTCATCCTTGGTGAGACTCCCGTCCTGGCTGTAGAGGGTATTCGCGCTCTCCTGCATCTCCAGCCAGCCGCCCGGCTTGAGGTTGTCGTACATCTGCCGCACCAACCGCGGCCAGTCCTTGATGGACCCGGCCATGTAGCGGCAGTGGATGTAGTGGTAGGGGTGGGGCTCGGCCCAGTCCAGCTCGACGTCATCGACGATAAAGCGCACGTTGGGCGGGCACCAGGTGGGCTGGATGGGGGAGAGGTCGTTGCCGACGATCTCGGCGGCGCCCGGGTGGTCGTCGCCGAAGTGGATGGCCCACATGCCCGTGCCCGTGCCGACGTCGAGCACGCGCAGGCCGGCGTCCGGGTCGACGGGGGCGAGGAACAGGCGGTCCTCCATGGTGCGGAAGTAGGCGTGGTGCACCATGTCCAGCCGGTCCTGCTCGCGCTCGTCGTTGGGGAAGCTGTACTTGCCGGCCTGGTAGGCGTGGTACCGCCGCCCGTGCTTCCATTCGTACCGGAGGACGCTGCTGCGGAGCGAGGTTGAGGCTGACGAGCTGCCGTCGTCACCGTATGCCGAGTCCGTCTCGTCTCCCTCCGGCACCGTGTCCACTTCCACGTGGTCCGGAGACGACGGGAGCGGAGGGCTCGGAGAAGGCATGGTGGCCGCGAGTATTGCGTATACTGTGTGCGTAACAGTGTGGTGTTTCGTTTTTGTTGCTTTTTTGGTTATTTTTATTTTTATTTTTTTGGCCTTGGTGAGGAGTTGGACGCCGCACACTCACAGTCAGCAGGGAAAATCCGTGGAGAAATGTCCGCACTTTCCAGGCTGTCACCTCGTGTTGTGGGCGGGGACAAAGGCTCGGAAGGCTCATCCGTTATCCAAGCAACGTGGAAGGGCTGTCCAATCGGCACAACTGGAACAGGGGAGTTCGTTGTTCGGGTTGCAACGCTACTGCAGCTCGGCCGAGACGAGCACCTTGCAACAGGGTATAAGATTGGGCCAGAGTTGAGGGCTTGCAGGGCCTGGGATCATGTGAAGAAGGGAAAGTTCGTCCGAAGAAGCTCCAGATTATTCCATCTCTCTCTCATCAAAATACCTCTGACCCCCCACGTCCGTTCCTCTTTTGTCACCAACGACGACGCCACATACAGCTGATCGAACCTGCAGTTGAGCAACAACGGCATTTTCGCCACCGAAGCCAAGGCCTTGTCCCGGTCAAATGCAGTTGCCCAATCCTTCACAAACATCATCTGCGCACTCACCGGCTCGTCCTCTTGCTCGTCCTCTTTTCGGTCTTCTCCCTCCACAACAACAACGGCGGTGGCAGCAACAGCGGGGGGGGCGGTATCCCAATCTGGATTGGCTCAAGCCTTGTGCAGCCCATCCCACTGCGCCTCGTGCGCCAATGGCGGCGCGCCAACCTCCTCGTCATCCGCTGGCACGGGAACCGGGAATGGACCGTGTGCGTTAATATCCTTTAGCTCCAGTCCGCGTCGAGGATCCTGAACGTCTGCTGCTTGTCCTCCGCCATGAACGGCGGTGGCGCGTAGAGCAGACTCCCCATCACCAACGACACGCCGCCGTCGGTAGAATCGAGCAGGCTGGATCGCTGGGGATGTTGTTGCCATTTTGAGGGCTCAGTGGATGTCTCGTCTGTTGATTCATGTCAGCCAGACAGCCTACCTATTCATACATTTTATGACTCGTCGCATCCGCTCGCCGAGGCGACTCCCTCAGCTGCATCGGCTTGGCGTAGATGGCTCGGTTGGTGTACTGCACCGTCGTAACGAACGGGCTCGCCCGTCTCGCTGACCTGCTCGGCCTTCCCGATCGCCATCTTGCACCCCGGCACAAAGGCGAACGTGCCACCCCAGACCGTCCACGCCTGGTTGTGGCCCCGCTCCGGAACCCCCGAGTCGTTCATCAGGCCGAACTGGGTTAGGAAGGTGTGCGCCTCGTCCTTCTTCGGGGGGTCGCCCTACTTTACTTCCACTGCTATGGCGATGGGTTCATCGTTGTCGTCAAGTTCTATCACGCGAGGACTGTTGGTTGGATGGACGGCGGTGGCTACCAGGGCCGGGCTGCGGTAGATGCGCTGGGTGGGTCGGTTTTACTGCTGGCCTGCAGCATCAAGTTGTAGAAGTTGAGGAGGTTGGCAGGGGGGCGTCTTGTCGCTGGCGCTGCCAAAGGGGATGTGGAACTTGGTGACCTTGCTGTCAATATACACCGTCCCGGCGAACGGCGGACCACACAACTCCAGCTCGGCACGACTTCGACCGAGACGTGGATGTGGACGAAGAGGATGTCCAGGTTGAAGCACACCCCGACGCCCACCCCGGCCTCGGCCGTGAAGTCGAACGGCTTGTAGTTGATCAGGAAGTCGGCAAAGGCATCGAACCACGCACGCCTCGATCAGATCCGGGTGGTACGCCGCATGCAGCCTCCCAGTGCCCATGCATGCCTTTGGTGTGATGGCGAAGTCGATCTATTTTGTAATTGATAGGGCGGGCACTGCTCAGGCTCCAGCTGATGCCCACTCGGGGTCGGTTGGGGAAGCCATGGGGCATGCCGAAGGCTTCGTGGTATCCTCCGAGTGTGAAGACGAAGTCCCCCACCAAAAGGCGGTCACAATGGGGTGCCTCGAACAAGTAGTAGAGGGGAACGCCACTAGTTAGGTGGCAGTCGGGGTCGAGGATGTACGAGTTGGGCGGGAGCTGCGCCTCAGCCTTGGGGGTGCCGTAGTCGAGATCGACCACCACAGCAATGCCCGGTTCGACGTGACCAAACTTCGCCTTGGACGCCGATGTGGGTATGTCGTCCAGTGCAACGGTGAACAGCCCCATATTGATGGACTGCCCGAACTTCACCACCGCCATTGCTTGTAGGGAGATCATCTGGAAGGCCCGCTGCCGCCCAGTACGTGTCGTCCAGCGACTTAAACCACCCATTCGAGCTCGGCGACGTGAGCCTCGCGCGGGTGTTCATGGCATTCCCGGTGGCACCGGTCAGGCTGGCGGGCTTGGCGGACGGGAAGTCACAAGTGCAGCCACTTGGTCCGCTGTCGGGACTCGCACTTCGCTCTTGTATCCGAACCCGCCTGTGACACCCGAGATTTCGGCGAACTCCAGCGTCACGAGGGGGCCGTCCAGCTGGGCAAAAGCAGAAACGGATTTGAAGACCGCTTTAGGATCCGTGACACCCTTGGGCAAGGCCTCTCCGTAGAACCCGATCGGTCCCAGCTCAAGTGTGGCTGTAAACTGGATGTGCAGCGTCGTCTCGGCGTACTTGAGCCCGATGTTGCTGATGGACAAGGGCTCGGTCCCGAGGGGAGCCGACGCTGTTTTGCCATCCGAATCTGACTTTGGTGGTCCAGGGTCGCCTTCTTCCGGCCCGCTCTCGTCTTCTTCACCGGTTGCTGCGTGGTGTCGTCATACGTGGCCGAGAGCTCGCTGCTGGGATCCCAATTTGTGATCCATCTTGCCCACTTGTCGCTGACATGCAAAGTTTCAGAGGTGCCGGGAGGGTTTGCGCTGAGAATGAAAGCCTCATCTGGGAGGATGGGAGGAGAGAATGTTGTCAATGTTCTTTGGGTGCGGGTGACCTGGGGACTTTCCAGCTTTACTTGAGTAGATGGTATATTTCGTCCCCGGGTCCTCTGCCACTACACTCAGGGGCCCCGTCACTCCCGGGACGGGGTCTACGAGACGCTGTTGACGAGGCGTAATCTCGAGCACGGCAGGTATGAATGGGAGTGGTTGGGCCTCTGCGCCTGATAGTGACAATGGATAGGTCGACAACATTGTTGTCTTCGGCGGTGTTCCCCCAAAGCCTGGTATCAACACGTGCCTGAGGAGACCAGTGGCTCATGCAAGGAGATGAATAACCCAAAGTCAGCCGTGCAAGACAGCAAAGGGACTGTCAGTGGTACTGAGAAAAGTCATGGAAGTGTCGTCATGGATTCTCAAAACGGCTACGTCTTAGACTAATAGAAAGCCCGGGGAGGAATTCCGCCAGTAATGCAAGTTACTGAGACGAGTCTCTTTCGTGGACAAGCACCACAATTTCTCACAGAAAACCCCATTCCAAAATCACGTTCCTATGTCCCCCATTTCACCTTACCACCGTGACAGGGACTGAGGCGTATATACACGTAGGTATTTCTTGTGACCAGCTAGGAGGGCGGCCATGGCTAGGTACGTTCCATTCGGCCCAAAATACCGCACCTCTTGCGTTCACAGTGATATTTTCGTGAAATGCGGGGTTGAAACCAGTTCTGCGAGGAAATGCCGGCGCCCTTCTCAAAACCCGCAGTGCTGATCCAAGCCGGGAGGGCCGTGATGAGATAGGAGACGTAAGCATGGCGGCCAATATCTTCATGGTTTCCTGATGGCCGCTTAACCAACCACAATCAGCCATAAACCGGAGTTTTCTCCGCAGGATGGGAGTTGAGTCATGATAGGGCACTTTGTGAGGTTTACTTGGCGAGGTGCGTCACCATCACCTGCACTGAGGCGAGCTGAGAAGGATGCCGACGTGTTGAGTGTAACTTTAAGGTGACACAGAGACACGCCCTAACACCGTACTCGGAATCGTCTTGCCTGTGGCTATTAAAAAGCCCCTAGAGTTTGTGATTCAAGGAACTTGGCCAGAATAAACAACCGAGAATAGCCCCCAACTCAAACTTGCTACCATCTTGACGGACGCAATGGAACTCAGTCCTGGCGGAGGAATGGGCTTCACCACAACAGACAGCTTATCCCCTCAGGAGCCCGGTCCTCACGTATCAAAGAGAAGTACCTTATCTTTTGTTGTGTGAGGCGGGGAAGGGATCAGACAAGAATGTAGGAAACAGGGGAGGGGAAGTTGACATCTCAGGGGGTGCGTCCAAGGGAGCATGTTCGGATAGATGCATCAGGTAACCTGCATGAACTCCTCCGACCTCGAACCCGATTCCAGCTGAAGCATGCGTGCATGGGCCTCCTTCCGGCCGCTCCCTCGTTGCTTTGGCGTTGCACGAGTGATGGAGGAAAAGGTCCAATCCAATCAGCTGGAGTTGCGCGGGAAGCGCGCTTAGGGGGCTGCTGCTATTCAGCACACACCGGGCCAGTAGCTGCTCGTGAATAATAACCTCAGATACCTACGCAATCATCGTCAACGAGTTACACCGCATACATTAATGATGTGCTCAAAGTTCTCTCGGAAAAGCCCGCTTGGTTATTCGTTGCCGAGAGAGCTGAACTTGTCTCAGCTCGACGCTAGTGAGGATTCTTTCCCATTCTGATGTCGGCGCAACGTTATCTCTCCTTGGAAGGCCGAGTGGCTCTGGAGTTGGAGCCCTCTCGACCTATGGCTTCCATGTCTACGAACAACCCCACCATGTCCTACGGCAACGAGTGGTGAGGATTGTACGGGATACGATCTTGGGGCCAGAGGACATGTGTGCCAACATCGACTGCCGCAGGAGTCCTCACGTCAGAGGAGCACCCGAGCTCCCTCTTTTGCCATGGCTAGCAACAATCTTGGGATATCGAGAGGTTGTGCGAGGTTGGAAAGGGTTGACGAGGCGTTCCGAGATCGCCTGTGCATCTTCGAGACTCGGGGTATAAAGCTGGCGGCATCGTCCAGCTCAAACCACAATTTCTGTTCACCAAGCCTTCAGTACATTTCCAAGAACGCATCACTTGCCTGAACATCAACATCATCACAGTCTACCTCACCTACCTACTCACAGCCGCCATCATGCCTGCCACTGGAGTTGCCGCCGCCATCAACCTCAAGGGACCCGAGGGACAGCAGATTCATCTGTTCTACAACACCAACACGAAGAACCTTGGCTTCCAGTTCTTTGACGAGACCAAGCACTCGGATGAAACCGAAGCCTTTGCGGCCGGTACCGATGCCCTGACCGGTTTCATCCTCAACCCGGCCCAGGTTGCAACCACCAACTTGACGGGTGTTGACCTCGTCTTTGGTTTCACAAACAAACCAAAGACGGCCGCTGCCCCGGGCTGCAGGTGCGATGATCCGACCCAGAATGATATCTCCATCATCAGCCCGGTCTACCAACCCCTCGGCGCGACCGATCTCGCCAACCTGACCATTGCCGCCACCTCTTCGGACACCACTGCCTACGTCTACTATCTCACGTGAGTCACCTAAAGACCTAGGGGGTTGCTTGGGATGACATGAAAACTAACCAGGCATGATGCAGGGGCACGGATTACAAGAGCACCACGATCAACGAGCTGACCGTCGGTGATGATGCTCCGGGCCAGTTCGATGATACCGTCAAGATTGTGCCCAACTCCTCGCTCGCGGCCTACTACGTCCCGGACAATGAGCTTCGCTTCATCATCTACCAGGCCAACAAGACCAACAGGCTGCACTGCTACTGCCCCATTGCCGGGTCCATCAATGGTGAGCCTTTCCTTTTTCTCGTTCTGGCTCTTTTCCGGGGGGTGGGGGGCTCTTTTTACAGCCGTATCATTTGTCTATTCTCTAGAAACATTGTATGCTACAAGGGCCCAACTGATTCTCTTTGGGTGCTTCGCAGACAAGGAAATCGACGCCTCGGGTAGCGCGAGGCTCAACACCCCGCTGGCCGTCACCTACGTCGACGGCAAAGCCTACCTCTACTACGTCGACAACAGCAAGAGCATCCGCCTCATCGTCAAGGATGGCGACAAGTGGGGTTCCTCGAGAGCCTGCCCGGCACCTGGCCAGGTCGACGACGCGAGCCAGCTCACTGTCATCCCCTCCGCCAAGGGCAACCACGTCTTCTACGTCGGCGACGGACAGGGCAGCAAGTTCCAGTTCCACCACTTCATCGACAAGCGCGCTTAGGCGGTTGCTCACGGTGATTCCACTCTTCTCGAAGGGTATCGGTGATTCGGGATATAGACTTTCACTGTACGAGTGGAGCAACAGATACTCACTGTCTCCTGTTAGCCGTTACTCCCGAGTTAGGCACCTAGGTAGTTAGTTCGCGATTGCTGGGGTTTTATGCCCTCCTAAATTGATACTTTTGTGTTTGTCTCAAAAACTCGACCAGTCCACTTTATGACTTTGAAGGGCCAAGTGTAATCACTCATTGTAACCGCGGGTTTAACCTCTGATTCAGCCTAGGTAGAGTCCGTCTTGAGATGAGTCCCAATGGTTTCGGAGTTGTATGTTAAATATGGAAAGATTTACTGCTACAATGGCGATACACCAGGTAGATGAAATACACTGTATTGAGGCCACAGTGTTTATGAGACTTTGTGACATCTTCTAATCTCTGCGTTTAAAAGATTAGCACTAGGGAGTAGGGACAATAACCTGCTCGTAACCCGGTAGGGCACGTGGAATACAACCCGACATATATGTACGCTATCACGACCGCACTATGATAACCCGCTATTTATTACCTGTAACTAACCTCAACCTTGGAATACACGGCTCCGAACCAACCCGAAAGCATAATATGAACACACGCCAGTGACACCAAGCACCGTGGACAACAGTAAAACCCCTCCCGTAAGTATCCCAGTTTGGAAGAACCCGATATGAGTGATCCCCTGGCTGGCCCTCTTGACTGGGGGCAGTTTTGCGAGTGTCCGGTGGGCCAACGCGCTGAGTTGCTGCGGCGAAGCTTGCTCGAGGAGCTGCGCTAATACGCCCTCCTCGGCCATGGGAGTAATGACGCAGGCTTTGGGTCGGCAAAAGAGCGCCTTGTCGTAGGGAAAATGCGTTTGGGGATCGACTGAAATGTTGGATGGTGCCATGGGAAGGACTGCAAGGAATTAGAAGGGCTTCCACGGGAGGCCAGGAGTGACACTTACAAAGGAGCGTAGTGGGAACGTGGTTGACGAATGACATCGGTGAGTCGAGGAACTGGCAGATGTACTTTGCTGCTGAAGGTTTGGTAAAGACGTAGGCTGCCCCGAGGCGGCCGTTGCTTTGTGGCCTGTCAGCGATGTTGTTCTCGGTTTGGCGTTGGGTGTTGACATACCTCTTGGAGAAGTCAATGGCGTCGTCTATGCTTGTCACCGCATGGACGAGCAGGCAGCCTTCTTGGACCTTACGGCGCAGGAGCGGGGATTTCCTGCCATTTCGTTAGTTCCAAGGTAACCAGACAACAAATCCACCCTTCTTAGAACTCACCTATCCTGAACCTCCACAACCGCCCCAGCGGAACTCCACGACAAAACATTCACCGCCTTTTCCGTCCTTACCAACTCGGATAGGCTCTGTCCGGAAGCGGTCCTCGGAGGACTCTTCTTGCCGCCATCAGAAACGAACCGAATGGTATGTCGCACGACAGCTTCAAGAAACTCCTTCTTCACCCATTCGTTCACCAGCACCAAATCGGGCGCATATGGCGACCTCCCGCGCAGCGCGAACCGCGACCGAACCAGCTCACGTGCCGCAACATCCAAGTCGGCATCGCGCTCCACAACTGCTACCACCCGTGCTTCGGGCTCCGAGACGAGGTGGTGGGAAAGGTGGGCGCTCTCGCTGCCGTTCTGCAGGACGCGAATGTGAGGGTGGTCCAGGTCGGATTCGCCGATAGGGCTAGTGGTTGTCCCAAATACGTCGTCGTCCAGGGCTTTGGTGATGAGATCCAGCACCAGCCGTGGTGTCCGCAAGAGGGATTGCTCCCCGTGGACGATCACGCAGTTCCCAGCTGCCAGCGCAGGGACCAACGCAGACATGAGGCAGGAGAAGAAAGCATGTTTGGCGGGATGGATGACCACAATGCCAACGGCTTCTTTTGCCTGGGGCATATTCTGGCCTCTTGATACTGCGTACTCATCCCGAAGGGATTGGCCGGTGTCGATGGCCGTGTAAGCTTCAGCTAGCAGCCGCATGGCGAGGCAGTACTCGATCTGCACCTCGGCTAAGGCATAGCCCGTGTCGGCTGTAATAGCATCCTGAATGTCAGATGCCTTCTCCAGAAGTACGTCGTGCAGTTGCTTCAGCTGCGTTTTCCGAAAGATGGGATTCAGTGCCCGGCCGTCAATGGCGGCAGACCGAATGTTGCTGAAAGGCTTCGGCATGGTGCTTAGACGGTGTAATCGAGCTGCTTCAAGGAGATGACGTTTAGGAGGCTCTATTCCCCACCAAATTAAAGCTTTCCAAGTCTTGTCCTACCTCGGGCGTAAAGCTGTTGCCGCGCGAGAGCGTATCATTCAGGGGTTGATGCTCCCGGTGAGCAACCCTCCACATCCCGAAGCTCCACCCCCACACTCCGGCCCTGCCCCAACAACCACTCCGTCACATTCGGGCATTGTTTTGCCCAGCCGGGGGTCGTGATCATGCCCGCTTGCAAGAAAAGCACCTTCGACGGCGATACCCTAGCTTTGCTCCCACACCTCGACGCCGCCACGCTGACCACAATGTCGTCGACCACAACCACGCAAACTCAAACCCGCACACGGCAAACGGTGCTGAGGGACTACGAGCTACACCACTCGTCGAGCTCCCCTCGGGCTGCCCAAAGCAACCAAGCGGCACTACCGACCGAAGATCAGGTCATCTCGCGGAACCCCCCGGACTGGGACACAACACATCGTCGAGTTCCCCCGTACAGACCGATCAACAGAGACCGAGATCAGTCTGAAGTCCGGGTGTATACCAGCCCCGCCGAGCAGGTATTTGTTGGAACTATGTTTACAGGCGTTTTAATCTATGCTGTGAGTTCATACCATCCATTTTAGCAGCCTGCTAGCTATTCGCTGGTTCTATTTCTAACCCACCTTGAAAGACCGCGGCGAAGGCCTGGAGGGGTACATTTGGCAGGTTTAACGATGGCGTGTTTAAGTATGCCATAGGCGGGGAGCTATGAAGGTATAATGATAGGTTTTGATATCTTTTCAGTCTTGAGCCGTTCTCGTGTTATTCAATGTGGATATGGAGGTGTGCTTCGTGCATTGATGGTTCAAATCCCACGTGTTCTCCCCATCGGCTACCCAAGCGAATGTACGGTACCTGCATTCCAATGTGCCGCTTAATCAACAGTAATTAAAAGTAAACATGCTGATCATCGCGTAGAATTTCTTTATGACTTTTATTTAACTTGCAGCCGTACCCCGTCTTAGACTAATCCGTCCCGTTGTCTACTCAGAGCCCTTAACCCCCTTCATGCCCCCGTAGTCCTCCTTCAACGGTTCCCCCGCGACCTCCAGCGGCTGCACCGGCTGCAGAATATACAGCATACGCACCCACTCCGTCTGACTGCAGTTCCTCCACGCGTGCATCGTCGCCCGCTGGACCGACACGTCCCCGCGCTTCATGACTCGCGTCTCGCCCGAGTCCAGCACCAGCTCCACCTCTCCCTCCAGCACCACGCCGTAGTCCATGCTGACGGTCCGGTGCATGGGAGACGTCGCGCCCGGCGGCATGTCGACGTACCGCAGGACGGTGCCGCCCTTGACGGTCAGGCCGGGCGGGTCGGCCAGGAAGTTGCGGTAGGCCGTGGTGTCGGCGTCGTTGGCGATGTCGACGGGGAAGGTCGACGTCACGTAGCATTGCGCGAAGGCAGCGTCGCCCTCGCCGAGCGAGTAGAACGGTGCCGGGGCCGGGATGGACTCGTCGATTACCGCTTTGCCTTCCGCATTGTGGGTGGTGATGAAGCGGTTGGGGTGGGAGAGCTTGCCTTGAAGGGCCATCTTGGACTGGGGTTTGCGAGGCTGATTGAGAATGTAGATAAATGTATGTAGCTTTTGGCTTTCTTTCGTGACGAATGGTAAGTGTGCTGTAGTTATGCTAGGACCTACTCAGAAAGGCGATTAAGTACCTTTGTTTATGTTGACTTCGGCAACCGTCTACCGCGCCGGGAAGTGGGCTCATGTGGACCGGGCATGTCCCGATGGCCGGTAGCTCGCCGGTCATAAGACCCGTGTGACTAGCAACAGCCTGGAAACACATCATACAAGGCCGTAAACACCATCAGGAGATCAATATTAAGGGTGTACAAAGAACACATGTGCTACATTCTCACCTCAGCCCATTTCCAACCATGACTTCCCCTAACTATGCTCATCACTTTTCAGCCCGCAATATCCCGTTTGGAATTGCATCATCAGACGCTCATCCCAAGCTCCAAGCGGTCACCCGGCTGGGAAATTCAGTTATCTTTCTTCATGACTGTCACACCAGTAGTAACCTGCTCGGGGAGATCAAAGAATTACCCCACGAGGTGTTTGCCCATGACACCCTCAACAAATTCGCGGCTCTCCCAAAGGCCCTTCATCAAAGTGTCCGCAGGGTCATCCAATCTGCTTGCCAGAATGGAGCCATCGACGTGTCCAAGTTGCCGCCAGGCAGTTTCGAAGACGTCACGCAAGTCCGGATGCACATGCCTGTCACAGTTGGCGATTTTGCAGGTACATACGAACACCCCTGTCTTACGACCCGCAACCTCTTCCTCTAACAACATCAGACTTCTCTTGCTCTCTAGAGCACGGCAAGAACGCCGGCCGCATCATAATCAACGATGCCCGTCCACCGCCAGCTTTCTTCAACTTCCCCATCGCATACCAAGGGCGAGCCAGTTCTGTTGTGGTGTCTGGAACCGACATCGAGCGTCCGATGGGCCAGTATCGCGACAAATCCGCCCCAACAACGGCCAACGAGCCAAAACCGGTGGTGTACGGTCCCTCGAAGTCGGTTGACTACGAGCTCGAGTTTGCCGCCATCATCGGTAAACCCTTGGCTATGGGGCGCAGGTTGAATGCGGTCGATGCGGATGAGCATATTTTTGGGTTTGTCATTCTAAATGACTGGAGTGGTAAGTCTTCTTCCCGAAAATACTCTCACGAGTTGATGCTCACGGTATTCGAACACAGCTCGAGACATTCAGGGGTTCGAGATGACCCCACTGGGCCCCTTCAACGGCAAGAACTTTGGCACATCTATCTCACCTTGGATCGTGACTCTCGACGCCCTCGAGGCGTTCAAGGCAGAGGGCCAGAAACCTGTGGTTGATATCCCGAAGCACCTCCAGGATCCGGAGCTTCGGACGTACGCTATCCAGATGCAGGTAGAGATCCTATCGGGCGAGACAGCTACGATGGCGGGCACATCTTGGGTGCAAAGTTTGTATTGGTCATCGCGGCAGATGGTCGCGCATGCTGTCAGTGCTGGAGCCGCCTTGAGGACCGGAGACATCATGGCGACCGGCACAGTGAGCGGGGATGGGGAAGATGCCAGGGGATGCATGTTGGAACTTACGGAGGGGGGTTCAAAACCATTCAAACTGAACGACGGCACTGAAAGGGGGTTCTTGCATGATGGGGATGTGGTGAGAATGACGGCCGTCGCCGGTGAGGAGCAGTCAGGGGTTGGGTTTGGAGAGTGTATTGGCAGACTTGTTGCGCACCGACCTTAAGACAGATGTCGATCTTAACGGATAGAATACAACACGCGACGCGCCATTCTAATCATGGTTTATTCCACCCTATACTCCAAACTTCAACGCGTGATGCTCGGGGTATGATGGAGTGTTTTACTGCAGCGGCGCACCTCGAATCATAAAGCGTCAATGCTCAACATACAAACACGTCGCCGGAAAACAACACCGTCCTCCTATCGGCATTCGTCAGATGTCATCCCGTTAGAGGTTGCATAGCCGGCTTCTTCCGAGTTAATGCCGGCGTTTCGGACGTCCGATGGGTCCGGCCGGGATGTGGCCCTCCCGCCCCGCCTGCCTCCCACTGACCGACACGCTCACACCCCGCCTCCTACCTCGCTGAATGCCGGAAGAACGCCCGCCACTGCATATTTGATTCAATTGGTGCTGACGAAAACGGCCCGGTTCACTTTCCGCTATTCGAGTCTATCCAACCACAACATCTAAAACAAAGTCTTAGAATTGGTCACAATGCCGAACAAGCTACAAGACCTCCACACTGTTGACAGCAGTAACTTTCCTTATGTTTTTGAGCAGAATGTCACCGTCCCCCTAAAGTCCGGTGGCGTGGTTCGCTGCAACGTCTACCGGCCCAAGCCGGATACTCCCGTCCCGGTCTTGGTGACGTATGGGCCATACGGAAAGGACATTCACTACAAGGAGTGAGCCAAGCCGCCCAGGCATAATGAGACAACCGGTTAACCTAGGTTCTAGTTTCATTCCAAAGTACTCGGAGGTCAATCCTCGTCACAAGTCCGCACACTCAGCCTGGGAGACACCCGACCCCGGGTTCTGGACAGAGCATGGCTATGCCATCGTTCGCGCAGACGAGCTGGGTCTTGGCCAGTCCCCAGGCATTCTTGACACCATGTCTCGGGGGACTACCGATGGATTTGTTGATGTCGTCGAGTGGGCGGCCGAGCAACCGTGGTCCTCGGGCAAGGTAGGCCTCTTGGGCATCAGCTACTATGCTGGAAGCCGTATGTATCACCTCACAGCGCCTGTTTTGGGTCTCGTGACATCCCTTTAGGTCACAGTAACTGACGCAAACTAGAATGGCGGGTGGCTGCCCGAAAGCCCAAGGGTCTCGCGGCCATCGTCCCGTGGGAAGGCATGTCGGACTATTACCGGGATCGGTGCCGGCACGGTGGAATCCTGTCCAACGCTTTCATCAAGTTCTGGTGGAACAGACAAGTCATCACCAACCAATACGGACGGCCCGGCCGGGCTGCTTCTAACTGGGGTCCGGGTATGCCACACCTCTGTCAACGGCCTGAGAGTGTGAAATGTCACTAACACGAGCCCAGACACTATGGAAGGTGATCTCCCCGAAGAAGAGCTGACTGCCAACCGTCAAGACCAAACAATTGACAACCAGAAACACTTCTTCCGTGACGAAGCATACTACGCATCCAAGGAGTACGACATGGGCGACATCGAGGTCCCGCTCCTCTCCGTCGGCAACTGGGGCGGCATCCTCCTCCATCTCAGGGGCAACATCGAGGGCTTCACCCATGCCGGTTCCGAGTTTAAGTACCTGCGCATGATCACGGGCCGTCACGACCTACCCTTCTACTACGACGAGGAAGTCGAAGTCCAGCGCAGCTTCCTCGACGCCTTCCTCAAAGGCGACGACCGCGTAGGCTGGTCACAACCCGGCAAAGTCCCCCCCGTCAGCCTAGTCCTCCGCAAGGGCAACGTCGGGTTCAACAACGCCGAGAAAGAAAAGGTCTACGAACGCCGCGAAGAAAGCGAATGGCCCATCGCCCGCACACAATACACCCGCTACCACCTCACCCCCGACCTCGCCCTCGACAACAACCCAACCACCCCCATCCCCAAAAACAAACTAACCTACCGCGCCCTCGGCACCATGCAGAACCCCCACCTCCTCCAATTCACCACCGCCCCCTTCCCCACCGAAACCGAAATCACGGGGCACATCGTCGCGCACCTCTCCGTGTCCATGTCCCCCGACCCCGCGTCGCCCACCATCCCCTCCGACATCGACCTCTTCATCACCCTCCGCTACCTAGGCCCCGACGGCGCCGAGGTCTTTTACACGGGCACGGCGGGCGACCCGGTGCCGCTGACCAAGGGGTGGCTGCGGGCGTCGCTGCGCAAGGTGAATGTCGAGCACCCGAAGCATAGAGAGTGGCTGCCGCATCGGGATTATACGAGCCGGGATGTGCTCAGTGTGATCCCGGGCGAGGTGTACGCGGTGGATGTGGAGGTGTGGCCGACGAATGTGGTGGTGGAGAAGGGGGGGCGGGTGGTGCTGGAGGTGAGCTCGGGGGATACGCAGGGGAGTGGGATTTTCTTGCATGATGATCCCGTGGATAGGTGAGTTTTTGTTTCTTCCTTCTAGGGGCGAGGGGGGGGGGGGGGGTTGGAGCCTGGCTTGGACAATGCTAACACGGCGTAGGTCGGTCGAGAAGTTTCAGGGGTTCAACCACGTCCATTTTGGGCCGCGGTTCGAGAATTATGTCACGCTGCCTATCATTCCGCAGAGAAAGGAGTAGTGGACGTGGACGTTCTGACGAACACCGAAACTGTTTGAGATCTGATTGGAGTGAGGATGGGTTCATTCTCGCATCTTAAATACCCCATTCTTACTCTTGCGTCGTTGGCTTCGGACAAGGCTCCAGCCGGTATCGGCGGAGCAGGGGAGCGAGAGGTGAGACAAGATACTTCGGTGGAGGGTCGGAGGATGGATAGGTACCTAGGTACTAGTAGACAGCCCTGAAAATACGCAGCACCAAGCATCACCGCTCAAGGCTCACCACTACCATGGATTCCAATGAAAGCCACAGCTGGGCGCTTGTCGCCGGCGCTGTGTGTCAAGCGTGTTGTGAACGTCGCAGCACTTGCTCTGGTTGCCTGCTAGGTGGTTCGGCTTGCGAGACTGTCACTGTCGGTGGCAAATCATGAGATTGTCATTGGCTCATTGATCTAGGTACGAAGGTATGTACCTATGTGGATCCGGTGTTTACGGAATGTTTGGCAGGACCCCGTCCCCCATCCGGTCTGGCCGGGGCTCGAGGTAACTGGGTGCGAATGAGGCTTGAGTCCGGCTGCGATCTGCGCTGGATGACGTTCGAGGTTGACTCGGCGGAACCGGCAGCTGAAGTGGCTAGGTTGCTCGTGACTGGCTGGGTAACAACTGTTTTTTTTCCCTTTTTCGGGGGAGTGGGAGGCGCGCGGGGCGGGAGGGGAGGTGGGTGTGGGTGATCAGGGAAGGCGAGTGTGGGTGTCAGGGGATTGGGTGTGGGTGATCAGGGAAGGTGAGTGTGGGTGTCAGGGGAGTGGGTGTCTTAGGTGGGTGTGGAGGGGAGGTGACGGGAGTGTGGGTGGCACGGAAGGTGAGTGTGGGTGTCAGGGGATTGGGTGTGGGTGATCAGGGAAGGTGGATGTGGGTGTTAGGGGAGTATACTGTGTAGAGCCCCGAGCAAACGAAGTCCACTATCCAAACCAGTGCATGTTGCATGTCACTCCGGCTACCTGGTCGCAGCGCAACGCGGTGATTGGTGAGTGCCGCCTTGGAGAAGCGTCCCATTGGACGCGATTGCGGATGCCAAAGTGCCCGGTTGGGCATTAAACGCGAGAGCACCTGTGGCTTTAGTAAGGTTATCTGTTGCACCGAGCAGGCCAGGCGATCTCCACAACATGCATGCCCGCCTGCATGCAGAATGCAAGAACTGTGGGGACGGATGACGGTCGAGGAATTGTTACCAGTACCTCCATACAAAACGGCCAATCAGACGGCGAACCAGGCGGGCAATCCCCCGAACCACCACAACACGCGGTCAACTTAATTCTTTGCTCGCGTTTCGATGCACACAAGAGTCGGCGATTGAAGTTCTTCCCTTGCATTGGATGTGGCGATACTTCTTGATCTTGTGATGGTTGGTGCCCAACCGCGGGAAGCTGGCAGAAAATGTGCGTGTCTGCCTCCCAGGAACGGTTCCGCGAACGACTACCTGGGTACCTGCTTGAGGTAGGCACAATGGCCACTGGACAGTAGGTGCGGATTGGGAAGGTTCAACTGATTGATATAAAGATCAATATAAGCCCCGAGCACTCAAGCATGTTGTTAGGTATGTCTTCTCTGGCTCCGTAACAAACCTCTCGACATCAGCCTTCCTTTTCCTTTTCCTTCAAGATCCACCTCTCGGGGTCTTTACCGCGTGCTGTTGGGCAGTTGCACCTGTTTATTGGACGAATACCATGTCTGGCATTTCCTCTGGCGTCGGCGCCAGTGCCTCTAGAAAACCGTGAGCCGGTCTCAGTCCCCGTTGCACAAATCCTCCCCAACTATTCACCTCTCGTCTCTATCTCTCGTTTACCTACCCTTTTACTAACAACAATGGTTGATATCTCTACAAGCGACTCATCAACAACTCTGCAATATTTCCTCGAACAATCCGCATTCGACGACGCCACGATCTACGATCGTGTGTCAAACTCGACCCAAGGGCTCCCCGCGCACCCCACGTCCCGCGAACCGGTCTACGAAGCCAAAGCAGCCAACACCATCGCGACTTTTGAGGCAGCCTTTGCTGCTGGCCAGAACTGCAAAAGGCGGAACTGAAGTGTTTCCATGCTCGGGCGGCATTTGGATTTCCTGAAGCCGTGTGTAGTTGCAGCGATTCTCCGGCACCACAACCCACCCTTATCTAAGCCAACCCCCGACTCATGCTCTTGGGCCTGCATGCACTCATCTTGCCTCACCGGCACACCCTTTCCTAAATGGCCCATTTTTAATACGGAGATATCAACAACCTTTCTTCCCTTCAATTTCTCGCCAGTTTTCGATCAATTGCACCTACACACATTCATTCGACCCATTCCATTCGCATGTCGAGCTCATCGTTGTCCTTTCCATTCCGTATAACAACGACTATGGAGGTCTTTTCAGGTTATAGAAGGTTTGGTCTCGAGTGTGGAGAACAGGATGGAGCTGGAGTGGAGCTGACCTGTCGAGAATATATATGAATGTTTGCTCTCATTGAATACCTAATTACCTCTGTACCTACATAATTAAATACAAAAATACAAACAAATTTCCTATGTCGCCCCGATGCCCACGCTCTCAACACTGGCATTCGGCTGCTTAACCAGCCCAGTTGCTACAGCAGCGCAGCAACACTCAAATACATACCCACCAAGCACTTTGTCACATTAAACAAACAATCACCTCTTAATCACTTTACCGCCCCCCCTTGTCCGCCACAAAAGAGTTTCCTTTGATATCCCGATACAATGTCATTGGTCAATATCGTAATTGGGGAAAGACGGGAATCTTCGACTTCGCGCGTCACTTCCAATGACAAAAGGGATGAAGTCCATATGCCGCGTCCTGGATTATGTATAAGTAGGCAGGTGAGTGTGGATAAGAATAAGCTACAAGGTAAGGTACACCTAGCTTAGGTATGTTCGGTATGTACCTGTGTAGGTATTAGTTGAGTAAGACCCGCGCCATGAGGTCTCATTCTCTCTCAACGTCTTTCCTTGACAATGGATGTTCAGAGTCGGGGCCGAGTACTGCCTCACCGGATACAGCTTTCATCTTATTGCTACACAAAAACCCTCCAAATTACGACGCCGCCGCCAACACCGAACCCTTGGGCCACCTCCCCCAAACAAACTGACTGTTACACATATTCGTCAATTCCCACGTCTCGGCCGCCAACTCCCCCTGAACCCCCTCATCTTCCTCATCCCCTGCCGCGCCAGCCACAAACATGGCAGCCATGAAGTGGTCATCCGTGCCGTGAGCGTCGCGGTAGAGCGGATGCTTCATCAGCCGCGTCATGGCCCTCCTCAGCCTGGGGCCGGTGTTGTTCCTGATCACGTCCTCCACCGCCTGGCGGAACTCGAGCGCCCACGACTCCGGCGGCCGCTCCTGCGCAAAGTTGTCCGAGAACCGCAGCATCGGCATCCAGTGGTTGCGGTAGAGGTTGTGCACGGCGCCCCCCGACCCGATGATCAGGTAGTTCTCCTTGCGCAGCGGCCGCAGCGTGGCCCCCAGCTTCATGTGGAAGTGCGGGTCGTAGCGCTCGTTGGCCGAGATGAGCGTCGTCGGCGGGCAGCCCGCCGGGAACATGCGGATCAGGATCAGGTAGGTGTCGTGGATCCAGTCGAAGGTGGCGTCCCCCGAGGCGGCGAATCCGGCTTTCTTCAGGAGCCCGATGCAGCGCTCTGCTGTTGGGAGATCCGGGTTGAGCTTGTAGTCCACGTACTTGCTGGGGTGCACGTAGGCTACGGGCGACTTGCTGGGGGTGGGATTCGTGGCGACGTGGACCTCGTCGCCTGGGGCGTCCCAGTGTGCTCCCTAAATGCGGCTTAGTCAAGTTGAAATGGGAAAGCTAGAACGACCTACCATCATGATCACACCCTTGATGTTATTGGCGAGGGCTTCATCACCCGCCTTCTTCCAGTATGTGGCGGACTCGGACTCCTCGCCAAGCATCATGGTCGAGCCATGGGAGAAGAAGTAGACAGGGGTGAGAGGTGCTATCAATTGAAACTTTAGTTCAAAGCCTCAAGTTTCGGTAATCATTGCAACACTGACCCATATTGAGCTAGGGGCTTCTGAGAACTGGTTATGTGCAGTGCTTCGAATCAAGTTTGTTCGTTGGTGGTACTGGATAATACACCAAATGACAATAAGTAGGTGAGGCCCCTGAGTCGGAGGGACCGATCAGCTCCAGCGTTAAGAAGTGGACTCTTTCGGTCCAATTCGACAATACGCAACCTGGAAAAGGCTGACTCTATCCCTAAACATCTCAGTACAGTCGTTGCTTGCCTTTTCTGGGTGTTTGGGAGACTGTCCGCGCAAGACCACCCCTAACCCCTGATCGATCGCCGCCGATCGGGACATGTGGGGGACACGGAGCCGAAGGCCACATGATCCACATCTCTTCCCTCTCCTGTTCCGCGTCTTTTGGTCTTTCCACGACGTCTGGTGTCACCACTTGCTCCCCCTCCCGTCCCGGTTCCCTCCACCTGCGCCTTACACAGCCCACTCGGCCCACCACAGCACCAAAGACAGACGCTCACGATGAGCACCATCGAAGTTGCGGGGAGCTCGACCAATGCACGTGCAAACGACCAGGGACTTTTCCAGTGCGGATCCTGCAAACGACACTACAACCGCTTGGATCATCTTGCCCGTCACGTTCGCTCTCGTAAGGAACACCGATGTGACTGGGCGTGTTCGGAGATCTGACAAGTCTATTCCCGGCTAGATACCAACTTTAAACCGCACCGCTGTTCCATTTGCGGCAAATCATTCTCACGGACGTAGGCCGCTTTCCACTATTCATCCGGGCCCAGCTCCGCCCAGCTTCAGGCCCAGCCCTACCCCAGATGCCGACGATGGCCCTTGGCGTCCGTGATTGCTGACTATACGCCCGTAATTCAGAGATCTTCTCAAACGACATGTTGCTGCGCACGATGTACGGAGCGCAAAAGTCAACAACCTGAGCCGCGGTGCCGCCGACGATGTCCCCGGCCGCGTGTCGCAAGCCTGCCGTGCCTGTGCCGCAAACCATGTCCGATGCACCGAGGCAAAACCGTGTAGACGGTGCGCCGAAAAGGGTCTCGAGTGTGTTTACAAGAGCGACGACCTGTTGACGCCGGCATCCCCCCTGGGTTCACAGGCGAGTGAGCAAGAGCCGAGCCCGTCGCCGATGCCATCGAGTCTCGAGGCGCAGATGACAGACGCAATGCCGCTCAACGCCAACTACACCGATGCTGGGGATGTACCGCAACGGTTCCCCACGCAACCTCTTATGGGGCCCTCTACGCCGCTGCAACGGGGTGTGCCCCCGCAGAATTCCTACCAGGGAACCGGTCCTGGTCCTTCCATGGGCCCGGTCGTTCAACAACCCTTCGGTATGCCTCGTCCTCCACCTTCCACTTACTCCTGTGCCCCATTCGAACCTTAGTTCTCACTATCCTAGTCGACGATTTTATGGATCCCCACCCTGAGCTCCCAACAGGCTGTTGCACCCCTACCTTTGCGGAGTGGAACTTTCTCCCAGGGCTGTGGTCCGCAGGCAATCTTGGCATGGGGGTTGAGCAACCGTTCCCGGGTATCGATTTGGATGACTTAGACCTCCGCTTCCTTGATACCTACAACACCACCATCCCGTTCGAGCTTGGTGGTCCTCCACTCCCCGAACCCTCGCACATGGCTCCCTCGATGGGCATGTCGAGCGTGCCTCATCCTGCAACCAGTGCTTCCGAAGCATTCCGGAACCATCACTGGCGGTTCCGACCAAATCCCAAGGACCATGGAGCGGCCGAGGAGCACAACCTCTCGCTGCCTTCGGATGCCCGCGACCACCCGTCGCCAGAGTCGCAAATCGCATTTTCCCGGCGTGTTACTCCGGTCCGCCTTGGGTCCGCCGCGCGTGATAACATCTTGACCATTGTTATCAAGTCGATACGTCCCGAGAACTTGCACAAGGCAGTGGCTTCGTTCCCAAGCGTCGAGTTGCTCGACACCCTGATCCAGTTCTACCTGACTTCTCCCCATGCGAGGGCGGATTCCTTCATCCATGCAGCCAGCTTCAACCCCAATGAGAAGAAGCCGGAGCTCCTCATTGCCATGGCGGCTGCCGGTGCCGTCCTGACTTCGGACTCGACTCTGACGAAGTTGGGTTACGCCATGCAAGAATGTCTCCGCACGGCGATCCCCTTTCACTGGGAAGCCGACAACACAATGGTGCGGAACCTAGAGCTAACCCAGGCCTTTCTAATCAACTTGGAAATCGCCTTGTGGAGCGGCCATAGCCGCAAGGTAGAGATCACCGAGAGTTTCCTCCAGTCGCCCCTGACCATGGTCCGACGGGGCGGTCGGTTCAAAAAGTCCAGCTACCCACCCGTCATCCTCGACACCAACGACCCCACCGCGTCAGAGGAGACAGCCTGGCGAACCTGGATCCATCAAGAATCCTTCAAGCGCACCGCCTTCCGCTTCGTGCAGCATGACCTCAACTCGTCCATGTACCTCATGGTGAACCCGCTCGTCTCCTACGCCGAGCTCTCCCTGCCCCTCCCCTGTGCGCCCTCACTCTGGGCAGCACCATCCTCACACCAATGGACCGCCCTCCTCACCCAACACCCGCCACTGGCACACCAACCGCCCTCCATAGCCGACTACCTCGACGACCCGGGCGCCTTCAAATCCCAATCCCAGTTCCACCACGCCCACCCCATCCTCGACCTGCCCATCGCCAACGAAGCCTTCCTGGCCTGCGCCTGGTCCCTCGCATGGGAATGCATCCAACTCACCTCCCTCCAACGCTCCAACAACAACAACACCGCCACCAACCCCACCAGCGCCTCATCCCCCACCAAGCCCCGCCGCTGGAACACCTTCCTGCTAACCTCCCGCCGCGAGGAACTGCTCAAACTCCTCGAACACTTCCGCCTCAGCCTCGCCACCCCCGACACCCCCCCGCTCCCCCACCCACCCCCACCACCACACCATGGGATCCAAACCGCCGCGCGCGAAGTACGCATGCGCCTAGAGCTCATCCTGCTCCACCTGCACGCCCCCTTCGAAGACATACAAATCTTCGCCGGCATCGAAGGGCCCGAGCAGGCGCGCGGCGCGTATGCCGCCGTGCTGGAGTGGGCGGGCACGGAAGCGGCGCGGCGCGCGATCTGTCATGCGGGGCAGGTGTTGCGGTTTGCGAGGGGGGTTGGCAGGGGGATGTTATTGGGTCCGGCGGCTGTGGTGATGTACCAGGCGAGTTTGGTGTTGTGGGTGTATGCGCTGCTGGCGGGGGCGGCGGCGGGGAGGGGGCGGGGGAGGGGGATGGTCCCGGTGCCGACGGGTGAGGAGGAGGGGGGGAGGGAGGTGGTTGCTGTGGTTGGGCCCGGGCCGGATGCGGTGTGGTTGGATGGGGAGGATGATTTGGCGCTGCAGAGGTTTACGCATTTCGGGGTGGGTGCGCCGGGTCTGGCGGGGTTGGGGATGGGGACGGCGGATGGAAGTCACAGGGGGGGAGGGGAGGTGTCGCTGGGTGAGCCGGAGGGGGTGTTGGGGGTGGTGATTGGGATATTGAGGGATAATTATGAGGGCTTGCCTAGGCCGAATTTGGTGGAGAGGTTGTTGCAGCTGATGGAAGCGCTGCAGAGGTCGTCGGCGGGGATGATGGAGTTTCATGGACAGTTGAACAGGCAATAACCAACGGCAGCGGTAATATTCTTTACCGTTCCTCGCTCTCTTGGGCCCATAATCAGAAGTTCCATCTTGGATAACCATAACCACTAACCAGCAACCCCTAAACATGACAGAGTTGGAGGTCATATTCAAGCATACGCCGACAGGCAATACGTTTAATAGAGAAGCTGTACCATGAACGCGTTATGAGGACTCTTCTTTGGTCATGATCGACGGGGTAGTTCCATCAACATGTAGTCTACTCGATCCTTTCCGCATTCGCCAAGTCATCCACCCCGGTGCCCTCCTCCGTCTTCGCTTCAACAATGCCGTAAACCGGAATCTCCGCAAACCCGGCCGCGATATTATGAAGCGTTGGCAGGTTGTCCCAGTTCCCTTCCGTGAACTCAAGCCGGCTGCTCTGGTTACGGCAGGTTCTCTGCACGACTCGTGGTGTGGCCGACTCCTTGCCCTCGCGGATCAGGACAGCGTACGCCGCGTCGGCCTCACCGGGCTTGCCAACCGCCGGAACATAGCGGTAGAACATGGTCCCTTCGTCCTTGGGCTTGGGAGGAGCGTGGGGGTTGATGGGGCCTTGGGGCTCGGGTTCGGGTTCGTCAGCGGCGCCCTCCTGCAGATCATCAAGGTGGAAGCGCAAAAAGCTCTGTCCTCTCCAGCTGCACTCAATGTTGACCGAACCCTCCGCGTCTCCCTTCTTGATGTCGATGTCGCTGAACACCTTCGGCATTCCAAGCTCGTCACGCCCAGTGATGATGGGATCGGCCAACGACTCCAGCAAGACCACCAAGAACGAGCCATGGATCTTGCTTCCATCCTTGCGCGTGTACTGCACCCCGTGGATCCAGAGACCGAGATACTTGTACCCGCCACCACCGAGCCACTTCATATCCCGCAGCTCAGTGCATCGGAAACTGGCCTCAGCCACAGTGCCGGGCGAGGAGAAGCTGAACTCGGGGGTGGGGAACCACGTCTTGAGGTAGGTTGCCGAAGTCCGGAAGCGGACCGAGTACGTCGTGAAGCCTGAGTCGTGAGCAGGGATCGGTCGGCCGAAATGGTCCTGTCGAGGACTGGGCATTGGCCCAAAGGATAGTGGTACACGCCGGCGAATTCCGGTGCCGTTGAGGTACCAGAGGTTCTCCTTCAAAGCACGGGTTGAGTTGTGCCACTCGTCGTGTCCGAAGTTGTAGTGCATGAACTCCATGACTGTGGCCTGTGTTAGGGACTAGTAGGGGTAGGGGGGGCAACACAACAGCTAGATGGATACTCACTGTTGAACTTCTCGCGGTTCTCATCGTTGAGATCCGTTCCCGCTATCCTGGTTAGGGCCTGAACTTTGTGCGCTCGTTCGTCGCGGACCTTTTCGTAGAGCGCCAACCGCTCGGGAATTTTGTCGACGGTTGTGCCTCGAGGTAGAAGAGCCGATAGGGACGCTGCATCCTCGATGGCAATTCCTCCTGCGAACTTGGGTTAACCAGGCTCCAAAGGTTCACGAGCTTGTTATTCACTCACCTCCCTGACCCTGGTGCGGCAAGAAGGGGTGCGCTGCGTCTCCCAGCAGCGCCAACCGCCCCTTGTACCAGGTAGGAATTCTGTTCATATCCAGCAGAGTCCACACCTTGAGCGCATTGACATCGGCCATCTCTAAGAGGGCCCGTACCGTTGTCCCGAAGCCGCCAAACACATTGATGAGAACGTCCTTGCTAACTCCGCGGCTCCAGCCTGATAGAACTTAGTATCACACCATACGGAGGAGGCGACTATTGCAATGAAAGAGGCAAACTCACCTTCTCCCTTGGAAGCCGAGAGCTCGCTTGGGTGGATACCAACAAAGTTCATCATGGTGTTATCGGAGCAGGGGTACATGACGAGTCGGCGGTCGTTGCCCATCCACATGGTCATGTATCCTTCACGTTTCCCCAGGGCTTCGGTTACCGGATTATCACGGATCTGGTCGATGGGAACGAGGAATCTAAATGCGCTCTTGCCCGAACCAAAAGGCTTGATATCTGGTCCGGCAACGATGCTGCGTGTGATGGACTATCAGGTGTGAGTTGGTACGCGACTTAAGTGAAAAAATGACAAAGCTCAGGCTTACGCTAACTCCGTCTGCCCCCAACACCAAGTCTCCCGAGAATGACGAGCCGTCTTCGAGTGTGACGGTTCCAGTATCAGTATCGACGGCCGTTACGACACTCGAGGTCTTGAGCACGGCAGGCGTCCCCTCGTCATCCGTGGATAGTGCTTTACGCTTCAGCTCCTCGTGGAGCCGGACACGGTGAGAGAGTACCCATGGCTAAAGCATTATGTTAGCTTAGCAACTGTACGTAAATAGATAGGGACTGGAGCGTGCGAAACGCACATGTTGCCATATCGACAAGGGCTTTCTCAAGTCCAAGTCGAACTTCAAATTGCCTTCGGCATCGTATTCGGTGACCTGAAGTATATATTAGGGCCATTATTGTACCGAGTGACTCTTATTCTAACTCACGCCATTGACCGGATTGGCACCAAAGACTTCGGGCAAGACGCCGAACCTCCTGAGGATGCTATGGCAGTTCGGGGCCAGGTGGATGGCAGCGCCAGTCTCCTGGGCAAGCTGTGATCTCTCAAAGAGCTGCTAGGGTTAGCGAAATGTTCGATTCCAATTAACCCTGGCTATACTCACCGTCACTTCATGTCCCTGTTGACGTAGGCCGAGGGCGGCACTGAGACCTCCGATTCCTGGGTACAGTTTCCGATCAGCCAAGCCCGGGGTGGTTCAGGGGCATCAACTTGGGGGGTAGGTACCTGCCCCGACCACCAACACCTTCAATGGCTGCTGGGATGAAACTGTCGCGTCTCCCATGACGAATTGGAACCGACCTGCACGGAATTACCAAGAATAGTGGGACAAAGTCAATGATGGGCGTATCGTCAAGACTTGGGTACCTCTAGGCTCAGACGCAACTTCGAGCACCGCGCAATGGTTTAAGCCCGTCACATAGAAGCAAGGAGTTGCAAAGATCGGACCAGTCGGGGTACCGGGAAATGGGTGGCCCATCGGGACTCGGCTCCACGTTCTGGACCATGACTCGCTTCCCCGAACGAGGCTCTGACCCTGGAACTTGCATGGGGCTACGCTCGATCCAGTTTCGGTACCGGCCGTAAGACATTGCGACGCATCACTGCAGCCAGAATAACTCCTCTCTGCCGTATCGTTTGCTTGCACATGCTCAGCAAGTCGTGGTTTTCATTCTCGGTTAGGTCCCACCGCAGCTAATAATGAAACGTGCCGTTGGTCGCGAGCGAAGTCAGGGATATTGAAAGGCAAGAGATTCGGCAACCAGCCGCGGCTTGTCTTGGGGTGTGACGCGCATCTCGGTAGACATGAATTAACTGCACCTGTGCCCCCATGGGGGCCAGAACTGTTGAAACGCCACGTCTGCCCCATAATCCCTCGCCCCCCCTTGATGCTCCCCAGGGAAAGACGCCGCACTGGTACTGATAAGCCTCCGAGTTTCCCCAAAGCAACCCCAAACCTGCCCCAGAACCCAAGCCCATTCCCCAGACTCTGTTTCCCCAACAAGGCTAAGAGCAAGCGCGCCAAGTCTGGGGTCCCCGCGTTTTCCCCAACGTCAGAAGAAGCCAGAGACCAAGCCGCTTCTCCAACACCCTCGGGTATGTGCGGGGGGAGCAAGCCGATGGCCCCTACAACGAGAAGGGATTAGTGGTATTGACACCGTCAAGGCAGTTGAACAGTTGTGGAAACATCACCACATACAAGATCCACAGGTCCACCAGGTAGAGGACCCTGTTGGGAGACTCGTCACCAATTGACCCCTGGTTTGGGTTGTTTGGGTGCTTTACCGTCGACATGAAGGCCTTTCGTGACGCGTTCGCCCTTTCGGCGGCCGAGGTGGACGAGCGGACGCCGCCAGGAACAGTTAGGATTCTCAGTCAGTCAAAGGGGCACCTTTCAGCCTTGGAAACCGATTGTTAGCTAACTACCAGGTACACACGAAAAGGCCAACAGGAAGACTCGACGAGCAGTATCAGCGGTCACCTCGTCAAGTTCCCCAAACCATCCAGCAGCCCGCGGGATCCCCTCAACTTCCCCCTCTGGCAAAAGATTGCAGCATTACTGGTCGCATCGCTTTACGCCTTCATTGGTAACTACACCGCATCCTCCATCGCCCCAGTGTTGCAGCTCTGGTTCTCGGCGTACCCGCAAGAACCGAAGCCTTTCTCTGAGCTCTCCTACATCATCGCGGTACGCAGGCCCCTTTTCAGCCACCAAGCAAAAACAGTTGCCTTCAGAAACAACGAGCTAAACCATGTATTCTCTCCCCACAGGTCAACCTCCTATGCCTCGGCACGTCCAACGTCTGGTGGGTGCCCCTGTCGAGCTGGATGGGGCGTCGGCCAGTGCTCCTCATCGCCACGCTTCTCATGACACTGTGCTCCGTGTGGTGCGCTGAGGCCAAGACGTTCGCCTCGCTCATCGCCGCGAGAGCACTGCAGGGGGCTGGCGCCGGCGCGTCCGAGACGGTGGCACCGGCACTCATCGGGGATTTGTTCTTTATCCACCAACGTGGCAGGGCTATGGTAGGAGAACATCTGGAGTCCCGCAAGAGTGGGGTTTAGGCGCTGACAGGGGGCCTTAGGCTGTGTACACCATCTTCCTATCCTCGGGCTCGCTCTTCGGCGGCCTTACTGGGGGGTACCTCGGATACGGCCACGGGTGGACGAGCGTGTGGTGGGTGAGCACGGCGCTCTCTGCGTTTGTGTTCCTCGGTGTGGCCTTCTTCGTCCCAGAGACGCTGTTCGATCGAAACACGGTGGACAACGCGAGCACCTCGTCCGTCGTCGAGGGCAAGGAAACAAACACCACGGAAGTTGAGATCCAACAGCAAACCACGAACTCCACTCACGAACCCTTCACATTCCTCCAATCTCTCAGCGTTAACGTCGGCAAACATCCCCACGCCCGCGAAAGCTTGGTGTCGTACTTTCTCCGGCCGTGGAAGACTCTTGCTCTACCGGGTACATGGGTTGTCATGCTGCACTACGCTGGCCTCGTGGGCGGTATCGTGACCATCTCGCTCATCGCCCCCCAGATCCTCGCCATGCCCCCTTACCTCTGGGGCGCCAACGTCGGCCTGATCAACGTTGGTGGAGTGGTTGGTTGTCTTGTGGGGTATTTGTATACGTACCTCCTCGCCGATAGTCGGCTGAAGAGCCAGGCCAAGCAGCAACGACGGGGTATGGCGGAGGCTGAGGACCGGCTTCCGACGCTGTTCTTTCCGCTCTTCGTTGCGACCTCAGGATTCTTTGTGTTTGGGTTTTGTGCACAGTACCCGGGTCCCACTCGCTGGGTCGGGCTGCAGTTCGGCTATGGCATGGTCTCGTTTGGGCTTACTCAAGTGCCGTCGGTGGGGTTCAACTATGTGAGTCTCCCTGCTGCTGTCTGGTTGTTATGTTTCTTGTTGTGTCGCTAACCTTCCACAGCTTATTGATGCCTACACCCACCTGGCAGCGGATTGCTTTACCATGGTCACGATTCTTCGGTCTATCATTGCCTTTGCATGGACATTCTTCGTTGCCACTTGGGTACAGGACCGGGGGGCAGCGGAGCCATTTGGCATCTTCGGCATGTTGATGGGTATTTTTGCTTTGGTCACTGTACCGTTGTGGATGTTTGGAAAGCGGATGAGGATTGCAACTAGTGCTAAGGTGGCACGTTAGATCTGGTATTTTAATCAACTGCCGTGGGCCTGTTGTGCTTCTCTGGTAAAAAGGGTTTTGCTGTGAACGGTTGATATATCCCTGTTTTAGTTCGGCCCAGTTGCAACATCATCGGCGTTGAGAGGGCATTGTTATGTTACTTCCCCGCTGGAATTCATGCGAAATAATACAATACGAGCACTACTTGTTCTCAGAGTTACGCGGCCATTTATATCTCGAGCGAGATTTAGACAACAGGAAAAGTCTGTTTGAGACAATGAGAGAGTGGAAGTACCTGATCAGTATAACCCCTTCAAAGGCACGGACATCGTATCCTCTCCATTACCTAGTCTATTTACCCCTTAAAGCACCCGGACCGTCGCCCAACCGATCCTGATCCTCAACCTTCTTGGTGTACTCGGGGATGCCCCCCAGCCGTTGCTCAACCGAATTCGAGCTCTACTGCCAGCAGAACAACACCATCACGTTATATATGCCTCCACATTCCTCCCACCTACTCCAGCCACTCGATGTTGGCTGCTTTGGGCTACTGAAGCGGGTATATAGTCGTTAGGTTGAGGACTTGATGCGTATATATATCAACCACGTGAGCGGGCTCGAGTTCCTCTGTACCTTCCGCAAAGCCTTCTTTACCTCTATAACGGAGAAGAACATATTGGGCGGTTTCACAAGTGCTAGTATTGTGCCGTGGGATCCGGATAGGGTGCTCTTCAAGCTGGAGGTAAAGCTTCGTACACCGACACCCTTGAACTCGCGGGCCGGCACTCCACAACCTTAGGTGTTTCAGGCGCCACACAACCCCCGAGAAGCTGATTCGCAGTCAACGCTCATCAAAACTCGCATTGCCAACCATCAAAATAGCTCCCCAACTTTAATGTTGGCTACTATGGACCAGCTTACCAAGGGTACAATAGCTATAACGCACGAGGTGTTACTCCTTCGGTCAGAGGTCTGTTTGCTCCACGAAGCCAACGAGGCACCAAGCAAGCGCCGGAGAGCCAAGAAAACGCGTATATAGCTTGGAGGATCACTTACTATGCAAGATATAATGGATCTACTGGACCAGAGCTCTGTGGGCGGGGAAGGAGTGCAAGAAACGCACCTAGATGGTAATGGTGCAGGGGGGTGCGTATAAAGGTTCGGTGCTGTGGTGTGTGTGACAAGCCTAGCCATAATGCACGCACTTGCCAGGAGGCTGCAGAAGCATCTGATTCAGCTGTTTCTGTTGCAATTATAGTCAGTTGATAGTGTTATTGTATTGTAATCGAGGGGTGTTGTTGTTAGGTACCTAGGTAGTCGGAAGTTCTTCGCTCACTGATATGCCTGGCTCGCTGATAATGTACGTTATTCCTTCACCCAAAAAAACAACTGCACGCGGTTTGATACAGTCAGTTAATGTAGTTCAATCCCACCCTGTTAAATGCAGTCAGTTTACTAGAGTTCAATTCCAGTCCGTTAGTTACACCCAGTTCAAAAACAGTCAGTTTAATGTAGTTCGAAAATAGTTAATTACATCCAACCAACTAATGATCTTGATCTGGATGCAATTGACTGTTTTTAAACTATATATAATGGACTATTTCTGAATTGCATGAAACAAGTACCTAAACCTTTTTTCTTCAAGACAACGCCAAAATCCACGTTGCAAGGAAGACAGACGACCGAGTGGCTGGAAACGCATGGGTGGGAGTGTAAACTTACTTTTTGACTATCACTTTAACTTTTTCCGAGCTGCATCAGACTGACTGTTTTTGAACTGCATCAGACTGACTCCATCGAACTGGCTGCATCAAATTGAATTGGTAAAACTAGGTAGGTAAACTGCATTGAACTGCCTGCATCGCGAGGAAAAGGCCCTAGAGTGGTAAGCTAGGCTATTAAGTAGTTCCAGGGCTGCAAGTCATGAGTAAATCAAAGTCTGACACAACGCAAATCTCGTCAACTCAATCAACTCAATTCAACCAAATATAACGCAAATCGACGTTTTTGTCAATCAAATAAGTAGTTGGATTTGAGTTGTTTTGTGAGATTTGCCAAGCCAGGTAATCGCAATTGAGCCCTGCAAAATGCCCCCAACCGTCACAACAGCCACATCCAACTCGACCCTGTGTAACCACTGGGCGCCCATAACAGGTGAATTGTGAGCTCGGTTACAGGGCTTCCGCACAGATAGTTGCTTACTCCATTGTAAGATCAATTAGTTTGACTGCGTTTTGATAAAGTTGATAGATCTGACGGGTGCAAGTCAGGAATCAAGAGGTGGGTTTGTAGGGGTTAGGGTTGTATGTGGGGATTTGACGAGATTTGACTCCAGTCAACTCAAATACAATCAAGTCAAATCTGGTCAACCTGAGTTTTGGCCCAATCAACTCAAATAAATACACACCAATATTTGAGTTGATTGCGTTGTGTCAAGCCTTGGAGTAAATTGTCGTTGACCGTTGTCAAGTTTGTGTCAAGCCTTGGAGTAAATTGTCGTTGACCGTTGTCAAGTTGAGTCCGGCCTAAACTCTCCCTGAATTACGAGGCGCTCTTTCTGCGCTGAGCTGTGATTGGTCCACACGCGTTGTGCAATTTCAAACTGACAACTTCAACTCTCTTCTGGCGATTTCGCTTCCTTTTTCCTTTCCCAAATTCTTCCTCGCCAGCTTCTTCATCGCTCGATCAAGTCAACCACCAAGTTCACCACCGTGACAGTCTCGAGCGTTTTTTTCTTCTTTCTCGTCCCGCTGGCGAAACTACAGATTTCTTCGGTAGCTTGTGCTCGTCAAGAGTCGGCTCATTTGCACGGTTTATCCGTAGCAAAATCGGTAAGTGTTTCTTTATTTTGCACGTCTTCCTAGCTCCGTTTTTCTCACTCTCCCACGGATTTTTATCGACACTAGTGTCGCTGTCTGTGCTCGTCCGAGACAGACGTTCTGTGCAGGTTTATCCTCGCACTACCGGTAAGCTGTGATCGCTGTACCTCTGGATTGACCGGTGCTCTCGCTGACGGCTGGCTGTCTTCAGAGTTTGTTGATACAAACGCCAAATGAGCGCAGCACTCAGCACCCCTGGCCCCGGCCCCGCCCCCGCCGCGGCCCCGGGCCCGGCTCCGGCCCAGCAAAAAGCCGTCTGGTTCAAAGACTGTGTGATCTTGTTTGGTGGCAGCCAAGACTCCCCCGCCGTCGCCGGCAGAAATGCGCCCGGCAGCGCTCACAAGATTCGCTCCCGCGCGATTTCCAGCAGGTTCCCGCATACCAACCCGTGGGTGGGCTTCGACCTTAACTTCCCGCTGCCGCAAAGGCAAGCGGTGAACGAGCAGGCGGGCTTCGGTGTCCGGTACAACCGTGAGTTGCCTGTTCTTGATTAGCCATGGTGGGTGGTGTTAACCAGCTTGGTAGTGGACCGGAAGGCGGAAGGTGGCGTGGCGCTCGCCCAGGCGGAAGACTACGAGGTGACCGTTAGATTCCCGCGGGGCCAGACTCGGATGTCGGTTGAGGCGGCCACTCCAGCCCTGGTCAAGCGAATTCCTGCCGCGGTATCCCTGGTTTCGGTTACCATCCACGAGGACGCGAACGTCAAGGTCACTGGCTTTGGCATGCCCTTCAGGAACCCGGAAGATCCCGTGGTTGATGGCTGGGTCAACCGGAACGCCCCGATCGTGGACGGCATCACGCTGCTCGACGTCCTAGCCCAGAGGACGTTTCACGTCGTCCTTCCCGTGTCGTGTTCGGCCGTAGAGAAGGAGTGGAACGACGCGCGACTTCCTCCGCCGTTCAGCTACCCTTATGGTACTGAACACACGTTGCGGCTCGACGAGAAGGGGATCCCCGACATGAGCCAGTATGCCAGGCTCCTGGAGGATACCAAGAGTAGGGAGATGTTCCGCCCGGCCTTCAGGTAAGAGGCATTCTGTGATGGGTCTGATGATAGTTTTTATGTCCGGCTAACGGCTGCGATGTAGCTACGATGACGATAATTCCCACGTCGCCGTCGTGACGCAGACCGTCGTCCAAGACGAGTTCTGGCTTCATCGGGCAGCCGGCGAGATAGCAACGGTGAAATCGCCGGCCTATTTCGTGGACCACGGTCAGGGCCGATATTACGTCATCGTCGCCTTGCGCAAGTCGTTGATGGAGGAGTACGGTGCTGCTTGGCGGCGGCTGTCAAAGGACAACGAGGTTCGCCTCAACATCGAGGTTGAAGGGGCCACGCCTTGCAGGCAGTCATGGTATGTTGCTTGGTCTGTGGCACAGTGCATGCTGCTAATTCCAATCAGGCTCTGTACAATCGTGGACCACCCGGACCAGGATATCCGCACCAACCACCCTGTCGAGGACTACGAGGTGATCCTGTCCTTTTGCCAGCCCCTGGCCGAGCGCGAGAAGTTTGTACCCACAACCTTCTCCAACCGCGGCGTAGCCAACAGGAACCAGGATGCGGGTTAGTACTCCGCTTCCCTCGCGTTCTCCGTCGACCTTCGCGAGCTCGCGCGCAAGGTTGACTCTACCTGCGTATACCTCTCCGGTGCTGGGCCGACTCGTGATCTTCCTTACCGGCGCGATCCTGCTGAGGCGCACGGGAAAGAGCGGATGGAGCTGCATCGCGCGGTGATGAGAGGCCAGGGTTTCTACGACTGGATGATCCACCAGGCAGCCAAGGACCATCTCGTCGAGGCCATGGCGTCCGTCTCGGATGTCAGCGCGCCTCCTGCACGCCCCGCCCGCCGGCTCCCTGCCGTCAATTTCCTCGCGGCAGACAATGAAGCGTATATCAATGCGCTATTCGAGGAAATCCTCCCCGGTGATCGGGCTCCGTTCCGCGAATACCTTACAAACAGGTTTTTAGGAATCGGTATCGTTACCGCTGTAAGTTAGGCTCTTATTAACTGTATGTTTTAACTCTATTGCTAACCTATTTACAATATAGGCCCCTGGTTTTGGCAAGACAACGCTGATGGCAGTGGCTGGCCTCGCAATGGAGGCCTCAATCGGTCAAGTCCTGGCTTCTGGTCCGTCGAACGTCGCTGTCGACAACCTCGCTGGTCGTCTGGACCGAGTTTCCCGCTCCGTCTGTGCCCGCTACAATGAGGGTAAGACCCAGGAGGACCGGACCCGCGAACGCTACAGGCTGGTCGTTCGGGGTTATACCCCGGACCTGGAGAAGACCGCGTTCCTCAGGCTATTGGAGAACCGGGACTGGGTCCCGCCTGTAGTCTCCGGGCAACGTCAGAATTCCTGGACGCTCGAGCTCTCGCTTGCCTACTGGCTGCTCATATTGCTTGGGTGTCCAGAGGACCGGTTCGGCACCCTCCACCCCGACGCCAGCGAGAAATTACACGGCCTACAAGCCGAGTTCAACGACCGCGGGGACCTACGGAGCATTCGCGCGGTCGCAGCTGGGGAGATGATGTGGCAGACGTTCCGGACAACAGAAGATGTTGGTAGCATCTACCGGAATGTCCTTGGGGGGTTGATGAAACAGATTGTCGACATCACCGACATTCTGGCCATCACCCCGGCCAAAGCGGGATCGCCAGCCTACCATGAGTGGGTTAACCGCACTGCCCGGTGCGTCATCATCGACGAGGCTGCCAATATGCATCGTAGTGATGTTGGTTGTCTCTGGGGTAACTGCCTCGCTCCCGTCTTCTTCGGTGGCGACCCACGCCAGCTCTGGCCTACTGTCATAACAGGTATGGAAAAGGACCCCGATGGAAACCTTTACCACCGGCTTGCTACCGACGGTGGAATCTCTCCGCTGAGCTTCCTGGCAGCCAGCGGGCTACCGGTCTATCGCCTCCGGATACAGCTTCGGATAGCTGAAGGACTGTTCGACTGGGTCGCCGAGCACCTCTACAGCGAGGTGAACTTTACCTACGGCCCGTCCTGCGCTATCGTCCGGCCCCAGTTCCAGGCTGGCCACGTCTTGGAGCGTTTGCTCCGAAGTTATCCCGGCGTCCGCCCCTCGCCCCCTGGCAAGTTTCTTCCAGTCTTCCTGCACTGTGAGGGTGCGTACGTCCACGTCGACCCTCGGACTGGGTCGAAGAGGTGCCCGGACCAGGTGGAGGAGGCCCTAAGGTTCGCGGCCAAGCTTGCCGGGGAGGGCGTCAACGCCGCCAAGATCACCATCCTCTCCCCCTACGCCGCCAACGGTACGTCAATTATGGCATTTGTATATCGATTGGCGATATAAGCGCTGTCCTTACCTTCTATCTACACGTTTGAGGACGATCACTGACATGTTGGCTTTAGTTGAACTTATTCGACGAATGAGGAAGCTGCCCGCGTACCGGAGCCTCATGACGATGGGCGACGCGTCCACAGTCGACGCCTTCCAAGGCCAGGAGAACGACATCGTCATCGTCGTGATGGGCACGGCGTTCCCGCAGCCTGGGCCCGGGTTCACAACGGACCCGCACCGCCTCAACGTTCTCCTCACTCGTCAGAGGTGTGGGTTGGTCGTTGTCGGCGACATCGACATTCGGCCGGCGGACGGCAACGGCGCGACGGGTGCTGGCCACGGCGTCGGAAGGGGTGGGGGTGTGGTCAGGGGTGGCCGAGGTGGGGGTGGTGGTGGTAGGGGTGGTAGGGGTGGTAGAGGTGGTGGGAGAGGTGCCGCTGGCAGGGGCGGTGGTGGTGGTGGTAGAGGTGGCCGTGCGGGTGAGGCGAAGTTTTTGGTTGTCTCGCCTGAGGGTGAGAGGCAGTGGCGGGCCGCCCCAATGTTGCAGCATATCCACGCCAGCATGCTCAAGCATGGGCGTGTTGCGCGGCTGCCTGGCCCGGCCGCGGGCAGCTAAATGTTTACTTTAGGAATTCTTAACTCTGTTCTTCGTACTTCTCGACTCCCAGTGCCTACTGACTGCCCCCATCATCTGCCTTCCAAAACTGGTAATAAATCTCCTTGTTGAGTTCAATACTATCAGCTTAGCGCCCCTTGCCCCGTTCCCTCAGTCGCAATCAGCAGTCTCCCTCATTGCTGCGCCCAAGTACCACTAGCTGACGGCCTTTCACATCACGTTCACTCATCATGCCAGTGTCTTCGAATATCAGTTCGAGGCTTGTCACCCCCAGTACGGAGCCTAGATGCTCTAAGCCCGGGCATCCGGATAGGCCAGGTTAGCTTGGAGCTGAAGTTAGGCATAGCTTATAGTGGGTTTGTAGTTACAAGGAAATGCAGACTTTATTCTCGATCCTTCTAAATCGACGGTGTCCTCCTCATAGATCGATGGAATCAATATTCGTTCAATTTCGGCACAACTGGGGGGGTGTCCGAAAGTAGGGGTCCCGACTTATCCCTGTCTCAGTTCGGTCCCAGTTCCAACATCATCGAAGCTGAGAGGGCATTCATATGTTAATTGCTCGCTGGAGTTCATGCAAAATACAATATGAGCACTACCTGTGGTCAGAGTTACCCGACCGTTTATGTCTCAAGCGAGGTTGAGACAACAGGAAAACGTGTTTGAGACATTAAGAGAGTGGAACTACCTGATCAGTGTAACCCCTTCAAAGACACGGACATCGTATTCTCTCCGTAATTAACCTAGTCTATTTATGCCTCAAGGCACCCGGGCCCTCCCCCAATCGATACTGATCCTCAACCTCCTTGGTGTACTCTGGGATGCCCCCCATTGTCCCATCCGAGTTAGTTGTCGATCCAGGAACGCAGTTACCCCCCAACCACGCGGCGGCAGCAGCAGCCTTCCACACAGCCGTGATATCCCTCGCCATCTCCCAAGTAAAGAACAGCTTACAATTAGCCGCCTCATAGCGAAACTGCAGCGGCCACGCCCCCTCCGTCTCCTCCCCCCATGGTAACATGTTTACTGAGTTGAATTGTATGGCACCACTCCACCCAATAAACGACACCTCGGGCACCCTTAACGGCGGGTGGAATCCTTCTCTAGGCGGGGGAATCTCCAGGCCATCAGGCACGGCATCCCGATCCAGATCCGGCAGGGAAGCAAAGTTCATGATCGGCCCGCCCTTGGTCTGACCGACGGCCTGCATGGGCGCGAGGATGGGCCGGCCGCCGAGGGCGACAGTGCGGACGCCGTGGGCGTGGGTGAGCATGGAGACGATCATGGCGCAGGCGGAGCCGCACTGGCCGTCGGTGACGACCAGGATGTCCTCGGGGGCGAAGGGTGGCTCGGTCCAAGGGATCTCGTACAGCGACGGGTCGGCCGTGGCCGGGTCCTCGTGCGACACAAACATTTGCGCGTAGTCGGTGACGTTGAAGAGGGATGGGGTGGTGTACTCGCCGCTCCGCGGGCCTGGGTGGGGCCCGTAGAAGTCCTCGAAAGAGGACCACGGCTTGTTGTCCGGGCGGATGAAGTTGAGTACGGGCCACACCGCAGCCCGTTCGGTGTCGTTCCAGAGTTGCTCCCCGATCCATGCGAGCTGGGGGTGGGCGCGTGCTTGGGAGAACTGGTGGAGGGTGGTGTCTCCGGGGAAGAGTGCGAAATAGAGGGCCACAAGATTGTAGATGAGGCCACCGCTGTTTCCTTGGACGTCAAGGATTAGCTTGGTGCGGTTGGAGGCTTTGGCGGCGCGGATGAAGTCGACCGTGACATTGTAGAATTCCTGAAAGTCGGCGCTAGGTGGTGTTGTGAATGTGCGTGGACCGAGGGACCCCTGGAAGGTGTTGACATTGAGCACTGCCACGTCAGAGAAGTCGGGGCTCTCGGGGAGGAATCCTGCTACGCTTCCACTTATGGTGACATTGATAGGCTCGGGGTATCCCACGAAGTGGCTGGTGTAATTCTTCTCGAGTAAGCCGTAGACCTCCGACTGACTCGTTCGCGGCCCAGTGCCATTGCTCCGACCGAAATCGTTGTACAGGTCAACTCCGGACGTGATGTTGGTGAAGTTGCCCCGGACAAAGGCGTAGTTGCTGAACTCAAACTTTGTACCGTTCTGGCATTGCACGGATGTCGTGTCGCGGAGGTCTAGGGTGGCCGGCTGCGCCGGCGTGTAGACCAAGGCTGCGTCGTTGGCCAGACTCGGGAACTGGCTGTTAAAGCGAGCGTCCGGATCGTGGCACCGGCCATTCTTGACGGCCTCCTTTTGCAAAAACTCTAGGGCTGGGATCCCGTCAATCGTTGAGACCGGCGATGGGGTGTACCCATGTTCGACATGATCCACATCGGCTGAACACAAGATGAATTAGGCAACGGACTGTCTCAACAGGCCTACTACACAGATCACATACCATGGAGATAGATCTTGGGAGCCGAGACACCATCCGCAGAAATCGAGACAAACCGGGCTGGTCTTGGGAAGCTAAAGAGATCGAAAATCGAACTGGTATATATGAAATGGAAATCTCGGGGTCGAACCGTGGTCAAGGTATATAGGTCGGCCAAGAACTCAAACTCGTTCTTGTAGCCTCCTTGAGCCTTTTGTAATTTCGCCGCTATGTCGTCAAGGCCCCCGAGAAGGTCAACTCCTTCGGAGAGATAGCCTTCGGGGGGGTCGCGAAGGTCATCGAGGGTGCTCTGCCACTCAAACAGCGGCCGGAGAAAGTCTACCTGACCGAGTGCCGTATCCTTGTACAAGGGTACCGACTTGAGACATGCAAAGGCGAGACTAGGCGTTATCGCTACGCGAGGAAATGAAGGAATCAGGATTCGTTCAAGTTCACTAAGGTCCATATTTGGCACTATTCCGTGTCAGCTTGGAGACTGTTGCCGGCTTCACCGGGGTGATATACCGATGTTGTTGTCCGACATCCACTTGGCGACGTGGTCACGGACTTGCTTGCATGGTTCCTCGCCACGCCGGGCTGCATCCTGACCAGAGTCTCGGGGAACTCCAGAACAAAGCGGCAACACCGTGGCTGCGACAACAAGGGCTTTCAGATGCATAGCTGCGGTTTCCACGTTGTCGTGGGTTTAGGGAAAGCTATAACCGCGTTCGGTTTAGCCGAGTTCAAATGTCGGGGGAAGTTGTTTATATGACTTTTGCGTGTCCCTGGAAGCCTCATCCTTTGCGGCAGCCCTGGTTATCCCCCGCGATCCCATACCTTGGCGTTGATGACTATCCCTCGTTCCGCCGGGAGCCCAACGGGGCTGTGTTGTCAACTGTGCTGGTGCCATTCGCGGGTTGCGCTACCGGCTATTACCAAGTGCACCCGGCTCTCAGCGAATTGGCAGGCCGGTTAGGGCGGCACCTCAAGGACAAAAAAAGCCGAACTCCAAGCGCAGATGTCGACGTAGGAACGACGCCAAAGCCACCCTGAAGCCCAAAGAAATTGGATTTATTTTTTTCTCTGCTTTTCCTTTTTCTTTTACCCTCTTTTTTATTTGCTCTTTTCGCTTGATTTATTTTTATTTGTTTTCTTTTCCTTGATTTCTTTTTCTTTTGTTTTTTCTTTCTTTTTTTTTTTTCCTTTTCTTTTCTTGATTTCCCTTTTTTCGTTTTTGCTTTTGCTTGATTTCTTTTTTTTTTTTTTTTGACTTCTTGCGTCCCATTTGAGTTCGGCTTTTTCTGGCCAGAGGGTGGGCTGGTCTGGCGATTGGCAAGAGAGCCTTGGGGTCAGCCGGTGGCCTTGCTCCCTTGTTGGCTTGTTGATTCTTTGCATCTCCTAGGTCGCCGAGGGCGCCGATTGCAGAATCCTTTAGCCCCCAACCATGTAGATCTTGAACAAATCGGCCTTGACGTGACATAATTTGGAGCCCGGAGGATCACCGACGCGGTGGGCAACGTACATAGGAGACGAAGCGTTAATATGACTTGTTTGTGTGAACTTGTCGTATGCCAGGTCCTTTCGAATCCCTCAGCCCGTGGCCTCGACTATTAATCACTTGCCTGCATATACGGAGTACGATGGAAAGGGAGGAGCCCGAGGATCCGAACCCATGTTGCACCGTGGTTTACCGGCCTCGAGTTTCGTTTCGTGACGAGCCGCGAGGCGAGGAACTGTGCTTTGCGCGTCGTCATCGGGGTTGTGGGTTGGGCCAACACAAACCGAAATGTTTGGAGTTAACCCCTGGATTGCGTGGGAGAGTACATGTACCGGGCAAGAGCCCGGGTCCATGACCGAAAGTACTGTTTGTGATGCTTGAAAAGTGTAAGTTATACCAATACAAGCCGCGACTCTTTTGTCTACAGCATAGTTGGAACCGCTCTTCCGTCTATCCGTCCCGTTACAGGAAATTTAGGTCTCTCCACGAGTCCTTATTTCACCGGTAACTCCTTTTCGGCCCGACCCACGGTTTGGTCATGCATCGACATCTCCTGGGCCATCCATAGCTCCGCATACAGGCCGTTCCCCTCCATCAGCTCCCGATGGCTCCCCATCTCGACCACCCGCCCCTCTTTCAGGACAATAATCACATCTGCATCGTAGATGGTCCTCAACCGATGCGCCACAAACAGGCTGGTCCGCTGCTTCTCCTTCAGCACCTCATTGATATTAGACATCAGCGCCTGTTCGGTGTGCGTGTCTAGCGCGCTGGTGGCCTCGTCAAAGAACAGCAGCGGCGGGTCCTTGAGGATGAGACGCGAGACGGCCAGGCGCTGCTTCTCACCGCCCGAGATCATCAGGCCGCGCTCGCCGACCTTGGTCTGGTACCCGTGCGGCCACGACTCGATCTTATCGTGAATGTGTGCGCGGCGGGCGGCCTCCAGCACGTTTTCGCGTGACGCGTCGAGGTTGCCGTACCGGATGTTGAGCTCGACCGTGTCGTTGAACAAGGGGGTGTCCTGCGGGACGACGCCGATGGAGCGGCGGAGCGAGTCGAGCGAGACGTCGCGGATATCCTGGTCGTCTATGAAGATGCGTCCGGATTGGGGGTCGTAGGAGCGGAAGAGGAGGCGGAGCAGTGTGGATTTGCCGCAGCCCGACGGCCCGACAACGGCCACTTTCTTGCCTGCAGGGATGGTCACGGAGAGGTTGTTGAGGATGGGCCGGTCGGGGTAGTACCCGAAGGAGACGTTATCGAAGCGGATCTCGCCGCCCTTGGGTAGGACGAGGGAGGCAGCATTGGGCTTCTCCTTGATTGAGACGTTGACCTTTTGGAGATTGAAGAGCGTCTCCATGTCGAGGAGGGATTGACGCAGTTCGCGATAGACTGACCCCAGGAAATTCAGCGGAACGGAGAGCTGGAAGACCAGTTGGTTGATCAGTACCAAATCGCCCACCGAGAGCGAGCCCCCGACGATGCCCTTGGCGCCGAGCCACATCATGATCGTGAGGGCTGACGAGAAGATGATGTTCTGACCACTGTTGAGGAAGGCTAGTGATGTGGCGACCTTGATGGAGCTCTTCTCATACTGGTGGAGGGCCTTGTCATAGCGTCCGATCTCGTACTTTTCGTTGTTGAAGTACTTGACGGCTTCGTAGTTGATGAGCGAGTCCACGGCAACAGTGGACGCCTTGTTGTCGGCCGCGTTGGCCTGGCGGCGGAATTTGGTCCGCCACGCGGTTGTCCAGATGGTAAAGGCCGTGTAGGCACTCATGGTGAGTGCCGTGACCGCGGCAAACTCCCAGCCAAACTGATACGTCAAGATACCACACACCATGCTGATCTCCAACGCTGTGGGTACAATGTGGAACACCATGCTGGTCAACAGGAAGCTGATACCCTTGGTACCGCGGTCGATGGCACGGGTCAAACCACCGGTTTGCTTGGACAGGTGGAAGTTGAGATCGAGGTTTAGGAGGTGCCCAAATGTCCTGGTAGCCACGCGCCGAATCGCCTTTTGCGCAACCGACGAGAAGACGGCATTTCGCAGCTCCTGCGACACGACAGCCCCTATCCTGGAGGCGCCGTAAGCAAATATCATGGTCCCGGCCACGGTGGCCACCGTACCCCCCGTCGCGGCGATGTCGACATTCAGCGAGTCGACGATCTCCCGGAAGAAGAAGGGCACCTGCACGTTGAGCACCTTGCCGCCGACCAGTAACCCCACGGCTAGCAGTACGCGGAACTTGTCCCCCCAGCTATCTTTCGGCCATAGGTATCGCGACATCTCTTTCATGATGGCCCAATCAGCCTTGCGCTGCTCCTGCGCGCTCTTGTCTATTGTCGCGAGGGGGTCTTGTGATGGAGGGGCGACCGTCTTCTGTCCGGCGGGGGACTGGCTCGGTTCGACGCTCGGCGTTCTCGGGCCATAGCTGCGTAGGGTGGTCGTGTGGAAGACGGCTCGTAGAGGAGACGCAGCGGTCGCGCTCAACGCGCCGAGTCGGGGCGTCCATGGTTGCCGATAAAGGGATGCGCAAGGGCCTCGCGGTCGGAGGAACTGGGCTGCTTTGGCCCGGTTGAGGCTTGAAGCCATCAGAATTCTTGGTTGTGAGGCCATTGCGATGAGAAACGGGGCGTCATCTTCCACGGGAGGGAGCGACAGCGTCTTGTGGTCGATGTCGGCGACGGGTCCCTAGGGTTCGGTTGACGCCAGCGCGATTTGTGCGAGATTGCAAAGTCACCGAGGTGGGGTTTCGGTTTAACCCAAGCCTGGAGCACCGGGTTCGACGGAACCGAAGGTAGCAGACTCACCGTCTGACTCTTGTCGCGGGGTCTGAGTGATTTCCGCGGTCTCCGGCCTTCTTCGGCCTCGGCGAAAGAAAAGTGGAAGCTCCGAGAGAGCTCCCGCTGCGATGCTCGGATCCGGGGTGGGTCGGCCAGCGATGATGCAATGTGGGGCTCCCTCAGCGCCATGCAAATGGTCCCCTTTTCCCTTTTTTGATGCCGCCCGAGGATGGAGATCTGACTTTCCGATGATTCAAGAAGGGAGCATAACGGGTAACATCAGTCTATTAACTGTGCTGCTATGCAGATGCCCGACTTCAACACGCAAAACTTGACTCCTTTGCCCCAACCAAGAAACGAAAAATGCACCCTGTATTAAACAAAGAACCGAGCAAATGCTCAGCCAGAACGCCAATGCCCAAAACTCCTTGCCATGCAACGCCGGTTGATGAACCGAGCGGAAGACGCTGACCAACCGATGTAGGGACGAACCCCGAGGCAAAATGCACCGACAGACCGGTATGCAAATAAACCCACAAGCATGGAAAACAAACCTCGCCGGAAAATGCCGAGCAACGATTACACCGCAGCAATAGCCAATCCCTCAAAGGCCCTCTCAACAGCGCGGCCGCCCATGCCAGGCAATGTCCGCAACTGGGCGAGCGACTCAACGCGGCCCGACTCCTCGTCACCCCGGAGCGTCAAGCAGTCGACCAGATCCTGCGCCTTCTTCGCGCCAAACCCATGCAACCCCTTGATCAAGACCAAATCCTTCGAGTTGACAATCTGAAGCAACTGTTTCACGCGTGGCGAGGCAGTCTCATCCTCCTCCTCCAAACCCCCAACTCTCACAACCTTCTTTTTCTGCCCCTTCCCCCTCACCGGGCTCCTCCCGGCCACATCCTCCTCCTCATCAATATCCGCCTCGGTCCCATCCTGATACTCCCCATCCTCATCCCCACTCACCCTCCCCTTCCTCTCCCTCTTCCCCTTCCCCTCCACCACCACCCTTCCCCCCTCCCCATTATCACCCACGACCACCCCAAGCTTAACCCTCAACCGCTCAATCTTCCCCAACAGCTTCGCCTGCCCCGGAAAAAACGGCAGCGCCCGCTCATACAGCGCCAGCGCGCCCTCGTCGTCGCCCTGCTCCTTCGCCTGGCGCGCCTGCAGTAGCAAGCGCAGTCCTTCCGACCGGCCGTCGTCGGCGCGCGACTCGCTGTCGATGCGTCGCTCGAGGGCTTCCAGGCGGCGCTTGACTTCCTCGCTTATTTCGTTTTGGGTTCCGGAAGCGGTGGCAGAGGTGGGCGTGGTGGGTGTGGTGAGGGTTGGTTCGGCTACCGGAGCCGGGGGTGGGGCGGAGGCGGCTTCGGCGGCTTCGGCGGCGGCGCGCGATGCGAGGATTTCGGCGACCTTCTTCTCGACCATGGCTTCGATTTGGTCGGGGGTGATGGAGATTTGTTTGGGGGGAGATTGCGGGATTTGTACCGGCTGCGGCTGGCGTAGGAGGGATTGCCCTGTCGGTCGGGCGAGCTTCGAGGGCCGCGGGAGGGTGTCCGATGTCGTTTCGGACGGTCGCTTCGGTTGGAGGGGCTGTCGTGGTACGGAGGTGTTGGCTGACGGGGCGATGATGGTTCGGGTAGCCACCGAGGGCTTCTTGTCCGTGTAGACGGCGAACGCCTTGACGGGCTTGTCAGCCTTTTCGGCCTTCTCTGCCGCCTTGGCTGCCAACGTGCCAGTGTGGACGTTGTGGGCGTTGTTTAGCGGCCGGAGTGGCTGACGCAACATGCTGATACCTCCAAGCCCGGAGTTGGTGCGCGGGGCTTGCTTGTACACGATTTCGTTCTCAATCTCGCGCACCTCGATGCGCTTCGCCCGCGAGCTCACGTTCAGGCTGCTGAGCGTGTCGAGGTGGTAGCTGCGGATCGGGGCGAGGTTGAGGATCATGACGGTAATCCCATTGTTTTGCCCCAAGGACAAAATCCGCGTCATCTTGGACTCGCGGTACGGGATCCGCTTGTCGCCGCGCGAGATCGCATCGATGCACTGGCTCAGCACGAAGAGGCTCTTGTTGATGGCCGCAGACTCGACCAGTCGCTCCTTTCCATTGTCGGTTCGCCGGTTGTCTTCCGAGCCGGCCAAATCAATGGCTGACGCTGTGCTTTCCTTGACCATGTCCCCGGTCGTTTGGGTCACCTTGACCCGCAAGATGGCGTGGCTTCGACTGCTGTGGGCGTTTAGTTTCGTAGCCGCCGTGACGCGGTTGTTGTTTGCCTCGATGTACAGCCTCTCGAAATCCTTGAGATCCTCGCACGAGCGTTCCGACAGGCCGACGACCATGGTCTTTCCGTCCTTCTCTCGGAGTGGTAGGCCGGCGGGTGTTCGCTTCTCGGGCGGTTCAAGGAGATCGTACACCTTGTCGTTGTAGATCTCGTAGTACGAAAGAGCGACATCCACCATCGTTGCCCCGTCGGTGTCTTTGGTGATCTTCTTCCCCCTCCGGAAGACGTTGCTCAGCAGCCTGGGAATTACGCCGCGTTCGGCGAGGCGTAGGCCACCGCGCATGGTGTGCGTCTTGCCGGTACCCGTCACGCCATAGGCAAAGATTGTCACATCCAAGCCTTGGAACAATGCCTTCATGTGTGGAGCCACTGCTGGAAGTTAGTAACGGACTACGCAAGAGACGCGTTCTGGTACCCGCCTTCAGCTGTAAACAGCTCCTCCTGTGAAGTAGCCTGCTCATAGACGCTGTTGAAGGCGAACGAGAACTCTTCAGCTCCGTTCTTGGGACTGGGGATCTTGACGAGGGTCAATGGTTTCCCAGCTTCGACGCGGTCGGCGCGGACGATGACATCCTTGTCGAGTTCTTTTTCAAGAAGCGGTCGAAATCTAACAACAGTCCTTACGGTGGGCATGGCGTAGAAACTCTCACGGATGGCGGACGGGGGGGGAGAAAAGGAATTGGGGGGGACGGAAGGGAGGAGAGGTCACGACGCGTGAGCAAGAGCGTGTTGGCAGGCAAAGCTTCAGATGCGGTGAGCTCAAGGGTTGAAGGAGATCACCAAGGCAACAAATCTGCAGGGGGTTCCACCTTCAATCTGCAAGAGCGCGGTGAGTTGAATTTGAAGTGGCCCGTGCTTCTCCGAAGAGCTCAACCCTTGCAATGGATGTCCCGCATTTTTAGCTCGGGCATGGATTCAACTTTCAAGCTCTCCAAAAACGCCGCTCGTGGCCGCGCACCATGAGAAGACACGCGCCCTTGGTTCAGCGGCTACGGCCTGCGCTGATTCAATCTTCAATACGACCGGGCTTCGTCTGCTACCAATGCAGGACCATCCAACTTAATGCGTCCCCCACCACCAACTCCCGACCAGGCGCTGATGCGTTTGGACCGTACCCCGGTTCGCAAAGAGACTCAGCAGGTAGGCAGGCATGGAGTACGGAGCGGTGACGAGTTGATCTGACAATGTCTAGATGCCCGTTTCGAAGTTCTTGGGTCGCCTTACTCCCTCCTCTCCGTAACTCTTTCCGCCTCTCAGCGACTCTACACACGACGGGGGACACTGGTGTCTGTCGCGGGGGATGTGGAAAATGTAGGCTCATGCCCTCCGATCGCCGATTCAAAGGTCGTTGGCTGACTTGCCATTGACAGGCGCAATCTACACTCTCCCTCCTATCCCCCCTCCAACGAGCTGCTCTCGGGATCCCGTTCCTCTACCAGCGTATCACCTCGACGACACCAATCACCGCTTTAATAGGCACTAAATCTCCCAACACCACTTTCTCCGCCCTTCACCTCGACGGCACAACCGATTGGATTGTTGCGCAGCGCAACGCCCTCCTCGCCTGGACAGGCCACACACTGAGCCCGTCACCGCGCATCCAGCAGGGCTTGTCGGTCGCCCACTGGGGCAACACACACCTCACGGGCCGCGGGCTGGCAGCCCTCGCCGCGCCGGGGCAAATCTATGAGCTAACGCTGGGCGAGGGGGAGGAGATGGTGCTGCATCCCTCACATGTCGTCGCATACCCCGTTACGCGCAACCCGCCGCTGCCCTTCCGCTTCAAGAGCACGCGACTCGGCCTGCAGGTCCCCGCCGTCCCGACCTCGATTACGAACGCCGTTGGGCGCTTGATGCCGGATCGGGTAGCACGGTTCTGGAATGCCATGCGCGATACGGAAACATACAAGGCAGTAGCGAGGCTGCTTTACGGGTTGAGGACCACGGCGAGGCGGACGATATGGGGGGACCGCCTGTTCTTGCAGTTCAAGGGACCCATGACCGTCTTGATGTCAAGTCGCGGGGTGAGGGTGAGGGATGTGCTGACCAGAGAGAACGTGAATGAGATCGCGGATGCCGAGGCTGGCGCCGTGCCGGCTGCGGTTCAACTGGCGAGCAAGCCCAAAATCCTGGAGGAGAAGGGGCCGGAGCCAAAGGTTGCCGTCCATGTTGCTAGCGTTGGCAAAGGTGGGAAGGTCAGCTTTGAGGATGCGAAAGACCTGAATGATTTTGTCCGGTGAGCCTCAGATGTTGCGGCTTGAGGTAACCGCGTGTATCTTCTTTTTGTAACCATACATAAAACAACCACGGACTGCGGATATCAGGGACGTCTCAGGGATTGCCCCTGAAAATGGGGCTGAGACACCCCACCAAGAATCCGCGATCGCCTCATGGACCGTCATCACAGAATGGGAACAGTCGCCGTCAAGGTCGGCCTTCACCGAACATATAAATGAGGAACATGACAGAAAAGATATACACCGGCACACAAGAGCTTATATATCATGTCCCGAACCCGTGGACCGAGGTCGCGTAAGCACCATCATGTCGATCCATTGGCACGACCATGGGCGGTGAGCCTCCGAGCTGGTTGGAGCGTCGTATGACGAGGCCAAGCACACCATCAAGGTCGAGTGGTACCTCGCCGTCCGCAATCCTCTACCTCCACGCCATGAACGATTTCCTGGCGCACAGGCTACTCCAAGTGCATCAGCAGAGGCGGATCAACGAAGTCAATCCAACACGCGTGTTCAGTCTGGTCAACGGAGTGCCGGGATGCGGCAAGTCGTCCGAGATCTGTCGTGTGGCCACTAAAAAGGACCTGATCGCCGTCGTGTCGACGGGCAAATGCGCCGTAGGTCCCCTCTCCCTCTCGCCTAGGCCCCGTTTGAAGCCGCTTGAATGACCGAATAGCCTAACACCCGGAACCAGAACACGTCCATCATCGACACTACTACAAACTCGGCGATCGGGGAGCCCCTTAGAAGCTGGGATCAATGGCCGGCAGTAATCACGGGGGCGACCGGACCGACAGCAAGTCACATTGCACTCAAGCCGCCATCTTTGTCGCCCCCAGTGAGCTGACATCCCAGTCAACTTCGACGTCACCATCCCCGATACGCTCCGACCTTCTTGCAACAAGGCTGGTAAATGCGTGATGCAGTGGTACTGGTACGCGGTCGAGAACGAGCAGACGTATGAAAGCTGCGTCGACTTCGTCAGCGCATGAGACCGGATTAAGGGGCCGGAGTCGTCGTGCGGCTAGGCGCAGAAGCCGCCTTATACTACCTAGCTGGGGCAACCTTGTCATGCCCAGTCAGAATTGTAGGTGGTCAGTAGGCTTCCTATCTCAAGATGGGCGGCGCGTCATATGCCTGTTGAGATAAGCAGCGTATGGCGAGCAGCGGCGCATCTAGTCATCATCATGAGAGACGGCCGGTGGAGCATCACAATGGCAAGCACAAGACCAGATGTAGCGAAGGATCATAATACCTAGATATGAGTCACGGTCGGCGGCCCATGGAGACCAGTGCTTTGCGATCCCCCGGATCCTAATCATTACAATTTCTCAACCAGGGGGTAGAAAGCTTACTCTATCATCAAGCGCAGAGGTAGGATGAAGCGGGGCAAGCCAACTCTTTTCTCATTGCAATCTAGCTGCAACGGAGGTAACCGCCCACGGCCGCCAGTATACGGCTGTCTTTCACGATGCAATGGTGGAACTCTTTCTTCTCAGTAGTGAAGGGAAAGAAGCTGTAGAGGAGTTTCACCCACGCGCAGTCGGATCACTCGTCGGATCGCTCTTCGGATCACCCGGACCCCCACGGCTACAATCATATCCCTACCCGCCGCGAAATCCACAGATACAACCTGGTCATAGGTGGCAGAGTGAGCCAGTGTGTACTGGACAGGATTGTTCTTGGCTGGTGCTTCCATGAGCCTACTTTGGAATGTGAGCACCCTACGTATTTGATATCCCTTACTTCAATCTTCAACCCAGAGGCTCACCGGGAGAGGGTGGGTTTCTTGTGTACACAGACCCTTACCGTCAACATTTTACCGATCAAGATGGCCGCCCAATCCTCCTAGAGCTTTTGAACATGCCGAGTGAGGACCTGTGGTCTGCACGGCCAGCGGCCCTGCAGTGGCGACAAATCGTAGATGGATTTGTCTTCGTCTTCTGCGTCAAACAGAGAGAATCGTTTGATAAACTCGTGGACGAGTCCGAGTTCTTACTCCAGCTCAAAGCGAAGAAGCATGTTCCCCTTATCCTAGTTGGCGGCGAGCCCGGTTACTGTGACCTGGAGCATGTTAATGGAAAACCACGCCGGGTTACGGTACAAGGTATGGCATTGTATATTAGCCCTTCCCCTTTCCGTCGTTTCGTGCTCATGTTCTGAATGCTGACGGCCGATTTTATCACGGTTCTAGAAGCTGAAAACCTTGCTCAAGTACTTGGTGGTAGATACTTTGAAGTAATTAGGCCCAGAAGCAGGTATTACTAGTAAAGGCGACTTCATTCCTTTTCGGCATCTTGTCCGGGAAATCCAAAAAAAGCCTCTCTCTGAGAATGTTTCTTGAGAGGACTCGAGGTGAGTCTGCCTCATGCCGTGTTGCGCACTGCCTTTGCTTAATCCAGCCTAGTTCGAGTTCGTCAGGCAGATCTTGGAGGACCCGAAGAGCCTAATTGTCAGCCTGGTCCGCGGCGACCGAGAAGAAGACGGCGGCAGAGCTGGGCAACCGTTTCAATGTCCACATGCTCCATGTAGACCTCCTCAGTGATGCCAGCGTGAAGCAGGCCGCTGCCGACACTGTCGAGATCGTTGGCGAGCGTGGCATCGACTAGTACCTGATTGCCAACGGAGACAGAGCACGAATATATAGCCGTAGACAGAAGCCAAGCAGCAGCAGCAGCAGCAGCAGCAGCAGGTTCGTCCGGCAATTGAATAACATGGTTGTCTCTTTCTCACTGCTGTCTGCGCTTTATGTGCAAGGATGGAGGAGGCAGTTCGACCGGGGAAGGGGCACAACATAACATCGGTTACCAGGCTGCTACAGGGGACATCGAGATGGCCTCGCTCATGCCTGTGTCCCTGAAGGTGGACGCCCTGGCCAACGTCCCTCGGCGTTCATGGGTAACACCTAGGCTATCTTCAGCTATGGAAGAATATTAAACGCTCAATGCCAGTTCACCCAAACACCTACATCGGCTCCGTGGTCCCAGGTACAGTGCAGATTTCCAGCCTTGTAGCGCTTCATACGTGCTCTCAGTCCTCGTCGTCAATACTCAAGGCTGAAATCATAGTCTCCAACTCCCCAACCAACCGCTCATACACCGCCCTCTGCAACTCCCCCTTTCCCAAATCCACCCCGAACCCGAAATCACACCGCAAACACTTCCGCGTAATTTCCTGGTACCGCGGCCCGAACCTTGAAGGTACCTTCGCAGCCTTCCTCACCGCTAGCACATCCTTTAGGTCGATGGTTTCCTGCCTTTCGATTTGGAGGAGGGCCACGCCAAGGCTGTGCAGGGCCATGTTCTCTATGCCGCAGTAGATAAGCTCATCTTCTGGTAAGCGTTGACCTAGTTGCACGTCTTCCATCGCGCTGCGGTTGATTTCCACGCCTAGGTGCAAGGTTCGGAGGGCGCTAGAGACATCTTGGGCCCGGAAGAGGGAGAAGTCGCCGAGCTGCCACTCGTCGGAAAGCCAGGGTGTGTCGTAGAACTTGAGCACCGCTAGGACAAGGGCTCTCGCCAATTTGAGGCGGTCGACGTATGAGAAGTTTGTTGTCGACTGCAGAAAGGAGTCCATGCCGAGGACGTCACCGGCGCTGGGATAGATGCCCCGGGTTATGGTATGCGAGGGGTAGAAGGAGTGGCGGAGGGTATCGGAGGAGTGGACGTCGAGATGGCCGAGGCAGCGCGTTCCGGGTGGGTGTTTTTGCCCGCAGCGGGTTATTAGCTCTGAGCAGAAGTCTCCTGAGGCTCGTAGATCTGAGGAAGTATCCTGGACTTTGGGCTGTACTGCACAGTTCGCTGTCGAAGCTGGTGTCGAGGTGATGGTATATGTTGTCGAAGACTCCTCGGTGAACCGAACGCTCTTGATCCGCTTGTTCGGCCGTTCGTTCCCGGAGCTTGCTGGCACGAAGGGTCTTGGGGTCTGCATCCAGGTTACGTACCCTGACCTCACCTGGAGCTGGATCAAACTATCATCCCCCGGATCCTGTCCATAGCCATGGCACATGATCACAATGTCCATATAGACATTCTCATCTGCCTTCTCCGCCTCGAGGAAGAGCTTCACAAAATGCCGGAGATGGCTTGCTTGTCCGCACGACCACGCCCCAATGAGAGCTTCGTGGAATGCCTTCGCTGCTCTTCGGATGTCCGACCACCTCTGTGACGTTCCGCGACGTTTGATCGAGACGACCTTGCACGGGGTCTGGAGCTGCATTACCTGCTCGCGCAGGGATCTGAGGTCGGCGTTCGCGGAGCGAAGTTTGTCTAGGTCGGATTCGTAGTCCCTCCTGTTGAAGGTGAGAGCCATACCGTTCCTGACGCGTTCCCACGTATCCCTCATCTTCTCACCCTGCATCTACAGTTAGTGTAACCAGGAGACGAGGACTGCGGAGGCGGTACCTTTTGTCTCATGGACTTCAAAATCTGGAAACAGGCCAATCCGCTCTCCAACTTCTGAATAGCTTCCAATATATCCCCGACGAGCTCCTCAAAGGCTTCGTAATTCGACTTCAGCAACTTCTTGATGCTCTCGTCCCGCTTAGGGTCGCTCCAACTCCCGTGTTCCGGATCGGCCACCATATCCTGGACGACCAACTCGTCGCCCAGACAGTCTCGGAGGAGTAGCTGGCACTCATTCTCGAAGAGTTGTCGCTGGATCCTCAGCAGCTTGAGGAACCTCTTCAAGTTGCTAGAGCAGTGTCGGAAGGTCTTGAGCTCGGAATGTAGGGTCCTGTATGACTTGAAAGCGATGCCGATAAGAGGCACGACGCCCACCGCCCCAAGGATGAGCTCCGCCATTTCAGCGCGTGTTGACTCGGATAGATATCGTTCTGTAGCTGCGTGGAGGATGGATTAGTTTGGACCCCCCGGAGCAAATAAGGCTTTCAAGGCGACCGGGGGGCTGTGCTGGAAAGGGAGTGGCTATGTCTCAGGCGGGGCCGTGTTAGGCTTGAAATCGAAGGAAGAGAACGCGCTGGGCTGTGCTGCATGCGGGTCGCTTCCCCTGCTTCGTCGCCAATCACACCTCGGACAGGCCTTCCTCCATCTCGCCTCGTTTTCCCCTGTGTTCGTCACTTGACTCGGTACTTCTCCCTGTTTCTTCGATTTACGCTAGAAGTCAGCATAATATATCGCTGAACATCTCGAGGCTGGATATAACCTCTTCATAACTCGGTGTCTATGGATCTCCTACGGACCTCGAACGCGGGTAGCGTTGCCCCTGTTCTGGAGTGGCGTATCGAAGACGCCGAACCGGACCAAGGAAGCGTTACAAGCCGACTTACCAAACAATGCGTCTCAGTCTTCCGGAAGGCCATGAAGAAGCTCCCGAAGGAGACAGCAATGTCACAGGAAACATTTCGGCGGCTTGAGAGGAGCTGCAGCTCCCTGATACTATGGGATTCAGGGTACGATGTTGCGAAAGGCGGGTTGGACGACGTCTTGGAAAAGTCGAGGACGCTGCATCGCTCCGCCCTGGGACATCTGATTAATATCAGCACAGCACTTGCAGATGGTTTGTCAACCTCTGGACCCTGTCAATCTCATTTCTATCCCCATATTCTGACCGACTCCAGGCCTGCCATACCTGATCAATCATCTAAAAGACGAGGAGCTCGGCCCTTACCGAGCTTTGAGCTCTACCGCTGCAGAAGCCATGACAAGCATGCACGAAGGCTACCAAGATGGTTCCGACACCGACAACAGTGATAGTGACTCGTCTATCCCCTTCTCCAGCGACTGGGATGAACTTGCTGAAGACATATGGACTGACGTACAATGCCTCCTGGACCTCGATGCCTTGATCAAATCCCCGGCCCCAGACATCGTCCAGGTCAGCCGAGACAATCAGAAAGCATCAGTGGAGTGGAAACCCCACGTGGTTTATACCGATCGCATCAGAGCCAGATTCCCGCGCGCTGATCCGAGCTTGGCTGACCGACTCGGACGTGCTAACTGGGAACGCTTCCTTAAGGGGAATGCAGACCGGGAGAAAAACGAGAAGGGGGGTTTTGAGTCTTCTGGCATCGATGCCGCTGGGACAATTGCGGATTGTACCGAGCCCGTTTCCAAGTTCCACGATTCCGGCCTTGGAACATCTATTAACACGGGAAGTGCGTACGCAGAGACCGTGATGTCTTACCGCAGGGAGGGAGGGCAGTCTGTCCAGATACCTCCACTTCCAAAAGAAGCGAAACAGGGGAAGCCGTTTGAGTGTGTTGCGTGTGGCCGGAAGCTAGTCATAACGGACAGTTCTGCTTGGAAGTACGTGGGAATAGGTATCCATTCTCGGGCATATTGTGTTGTGTTGACATGTCTCTAGGAAACATCTTTACATGGACCTTTGTCCTTGGATGTGCCACGAGCTGGACTGTACCTACGGCACCCAGCCTTTCCGGAACCAGGAAGGCTGGATCCAGCACCTCGGCCTCGAACACGGTTTGTATCCGGAATGGAAGAGCTTCGCTTGTCCCATATGCCACGAAAACACCGGCAATGGCAAAATTGCTATCACTCGCCATCTATCAAACCACATGGAGGAGATCTCACTCGCGGCGCTTCCGGCTGGAATCGAGATGGACGATGAGTCCGACTCATATAGCGATGATACATCGGCAACTAGTCACGACGGCCCTCCGCCTGGTCCCTCGAATCCGTCACCCCCCCTCCAACCAGCCATGTCAGCTATCGTGAGCGACCCTCCGTTGCACTCTCCCGCCCGCCCTGGGGGGGAGGACGGTCACAGGAGAGCATATCAAAGCAAATGGGATGCCTATCAAGCTGACGAGAAGCGATATAAGGTTGAGAAGAAGTGGGACCGCTTTCCCAAAGGATCCAGGGTTTATATTGGTATGTATGCCCCGCAGCTTGTCTTCAGCAGTGGAGATCTAATTTGTTGCAGGGAACCTCCCATGGGGTAAAGCCACTAAGCGAGATGTCTTCGACCTGTTCCATCACTATGGCCGTGTTGCGAAAATATCATTCGAGTTGGCCTACGGAGTCGTCCAGTATCACACCCTGGAGGAGGCCCAAGCTGCTGTAGAGAGCCTGCAGGGCGCTGATCTCAAAGGCCGTAAGATACGTGAGTGCTTTTTTAGTTATCCCATCCGCATTGACTGTGCCTTGAAGCAGTTTTGACTGACCAACGTAACAGACCTCGAGTTCTCACGCAATGAGAAAAAGAAGAGCAAGAACGAGCTGGCTACACCCAAGTCCGAGTTCTTCCGCCCTGAGAAGGAGACCAAGGATGAGCTGGTGAGCAAGGATGAGCTGGCGACGCACAAGTCCGTCACATTCGAGCTGCTTCTCACGGACTCTCCCCAATCCCGCGCGCGCCTGCCGATGCGGGTTCGGATATATCCCCATGACACCGCCGACGCTATTGTTAAGACGATCAGGAATTTCTATGGCATCTACTCTGACCCCACGTCCTCTAAGGGTATCAAGTTTGAGGACGAACAAGGGAACACTCTGATGGCTCGATACGAGGACTTCCAGAACAATACGGTAGTTTACGTCAGGGTCATCGAAGAGCCCGTACCCGGCGGCCTTCACACCGCATCCCTACCAACCAAACCTCCCCCGGCTCAGAGTTAGCGAAGACTCGTATCGTCAGCGCAGCCCCAGCCCATATGGACGAGGCTAGGCGGTCGACGAGGGCAGGGTACAAGTTCGACCTTATCGTATGCACCAACGTCCTCGCGCACATTGGCCCCCATACCCACCAACAGCTCATTACCGAATGGGCTGAGTACCTCAACCCAGGTGGCGGGCATATGCTCATCCCTCGCCCCGACTACTCCGACGCCACGGATGTCGACGTGCAGGGGTCGGTTATGGGGCCGGTCAAGTCGGTATGCAAGGCAGCAGCGAGGAGAGAGGGCGCCCGGGGGGCAGGGGGGGAGGCGTTGGTAATACGGGGTCTACGAGAGATGTCTTAAATAGGTACAAGTATATTAGACTGCTTGAAAAGCAGTATAGAATTAAAATGAAATGGGTTGGGTGTGATAGAAGGCTATAGATAAAGTAAACTACTAAGTAGTTATCATATGTAAACAACTGAATATTCGATTTAACTGTACAGGGTTGTGCCTGGCTGTTGGATTTCCAATTTCCAGCCGCTGATCCCCGTGGCGCAGCCTCGGCTCTTCCCGAACCCAACAACAAATTGAACCTCATGTGTCATTTCACATGCGCCTCGCAACTCCCTTCCACTCCCACCAGGATGTCATTACTCCCGATCGCGAAAGCAACACGGGCTGATTGAGGACGGTACTTCGTACTCCTCGCCCAACATGGCGGGTCTCCACCTTGTCCCGATCCCCATCGCCGTCACCCTCATCTCCTTTGCCATTATCGCCACCCCTTTCATCCCCGCTGTCTGGGTTTGGATAACCGTTACCGGCATATCGCAACTCATCCGTCGACAGGAACAACCATGGCAAGTCGCCAAAACCATAGGCCGCTGGATCGGCCTTAGCGTTATACTGCCATGGGTGGCCATCCTGATTCTCTGCCTGATGGTCGTGGCCCAAGTTTTGTTGACGCCTCTCTTTCTCGTCCACCAACTCCGCGACCTCCGCGAGACCATCACATGGTTTTTTATTCACCTCGATCTCGCCCAGCGACTAGACAGCATCCCAACCCCGACCCCGAACAGCACCCCCATAGACACATCATCCCTCCCACCATACACCTTCACCCCCCTCCCCTCCACATCCCCAACCGCCATGCGCCTCCTCACCATCCACCCCGACACCCCCATCGCTCCCATCCGCGGCACCATCTCCACAACCACCCTCTCCTCCTCCCCAACCTACGACGCCCTCTCCTACACCCGCCCCACCACCACCACCTCCACACCAACCCCCCATAACCACCACAACAACACCCTCCTCCTCCTCACCACCCCCAACCCCCCAACAGCCCCCCAAGCGAGCACCACCACCTGGGCAACCCTCCCCCTCCCGCCCCCCTGCGCCGCCGCCCTCCGCCGCCTCCGCCACCCCACCAAACCGCGCCGCGTCTGGGTCGATGCCGTGTGCGTCAACCGCGCCGATGCGGCGGAAAAGTCGCGCCAGGTCGCTGCCTTGGACGAGATCTACTGTGCTGCGCGGCGGGTGGTGGTGGATGTCGGGGAGCGGGGGGAGGGGTCGGATGGGTTGTTGGAGTGGGTTAATGGGTTGCCACTAGGGGAGGTGGTGGGGGAGGGAAGGGAGGGGAGTTTGTTGGGGGTTGGGGCTGGGGTTGGTGGGAGGGAGAATGGAGGAGGGATGCAGAGGGGGGTGGGGAGGGTGTTTAGGGAGTGGGTGGGACGAGTTGGAGGGGAGGTCATGCAGCAGAGGGCGGATGAGGTGATGGGTGGGCTGGAGCGAGTGGCGAGGGTTTGGAGGAGGAGGGGGGCCAGAGCGTGGGAGATTGCGCAGGAGCAGTACCGTGTTGCGGTTCTTGGGCTGGCTCCGGTTGAGCGGGCGCGGCCGCCGGAGGATTTGGAAGCCGTGCTGAGTGCGTTCTTCGAGCGGCTATGGTTCAAGCAGTTGTGGCCGCTGCAAGAGGTAGCGCTTCCGGAACTCGCTAGGGTGCGCTTCATGTGCGGGGACAAAACGACAACGGGAGCGCGGATAGCCCATCTCTCGAAACTCGATCAGGGAAAGGGGTGGGATGTCGGCAGGCTATCCCGTTTGGCCCCGTCCACAGGGACGCATGGCAAGCAGAAGCACTCGTGTCTCCTGGATATTCTCCTCGAAACCCAGCATCTCCAGTGCGAGGACCCGAGGGACAAGATCTTTGCGGTTCTCAACATCGCCAAGCGTTTAGACAAGGCCGCCTTTGCCCCCTGGTATTCGCCGGACTACGGACAAACGGTAGCCCAGGTCTACGCCACCTATTCGTCTCTGTTCATCAAAAGCCACGGGCTGGGGTTTATACTCGCCCTCATCAAGTCTCCACCAAACGTGCAGGGTTTGCCATCGTGGTCTACCGACTGGACTGTCCCGTGGCCGGACCAAAGGGCGCTTGTAGACATGGAATCCCCGCGCCTGCCCAGGACGGCAAACGAGAAGGATGACGGCTTGCAGTTCGACGTGGGCGAAGACGGACAGTTGGTAATGACGCTCGTTCGGCCCAGGGTCGTCAGGGGCTTCTTTGCCAGGGATGGTGCTTTAACCGGCACGATGCGGTCGATCGAAAACGTCCGCCAACTGCGCATGGATGAGGTGCTGGTTGAAGTCCACCCCGGATTGGCCTTGCTGTTACGTCAGAAGAAAGGGAAGCCGGAACACTACTCCTTTTCACGGGTGTGTCCCCATGCCCTAACGCGAGAGGGTGTTGAGAAAGCAGTGGCAAACTGGAGGAGCGTGGTTTTGCAGGAAAGTGCCGATCCTCTGGGTGCTGGGCCATCGCCCAAGGGGTATTTGAGTCTACCCGGTGTATACAAGATTATGTAACATATTAAGGTGTATTTACTTTCGATATCCAGCTAGACTATCCTTTCCTTGACAAGTGACCAGCACTTCTTCATACCGGTGCCCATAGACTCGGCGTCAATTTCTTCCACGGAGGCCCATTGCTCCCGCGGGCCCAGCTCCGGCAGCGACCCTACACCATCCATCTCAAAGAGGTGGGCATGCATCGTCAGCTTCAGGTGTGAAAACAACCAGGGTACGCTCGCAAGTTCTGCGACGTGCTTCAGCGGTGAACGGGAACCTTTCCGTCCCACATCCCCAACCACATCCGCAACATAAGCTATCGCCTTCGTTTTCCGTGCTTTGGCCGTGCTGTCATTTGATGCCGGTAACGTGTGACTGGGGAGCTCCCATAACCCCCCCAACAGTCCATTGTCCGGCCTCTTGTGGATAAGATACCGCCCGTCGGAGCGGCGGAGAGCGCACACCAATGTTTCTTCCTCGCGGACCTTCTTCTTTGGCTTTTTGAGTGGGAACTTTCTCGCGTGATCCACAACGGCTGCTAGGGTGCGAGCATCCAACTCTTCAGCCGTAACGGTAGGCTGTTTGGCGGCCTTGGTGGCCGCAAAGAAACGGGACAATTTCCCATCCCCCTTGCTCGGTCGCGTCTCCTTCTCTGTTGCCAACCCTCCATCATCCCCATCAGAAGCCGCCTCTTCAAAGGGGCCACAGAGAGCGCAGAGATCCTCGATATCCGTCAATGCCCCACCATCACGCCTCCCCTCTGCCAAAGCAAGGCCCTCGGCATAAGCCCTACAAGTCTCGGTGATGGGACACGCCGCGCAATTGGGCTTCGGCGTGCAAACCGTACTGCCCAACTCCATCAACGCCTGCCCCCACCGCCCCGGCCGATCACTGACCTCCCCGTCGTCTCCATCCCCAGCCACAGCCCTGGCCAAATCCCCCGCGGCCTCCCACAACAAATCCACCACCCTCTTATCTCCCTTCACATCCCCCAACACCCCCATCTGCCGGCTCAACACCCTTAACACATTCCCATCCACCATCGGCGCGGCCACCCCAAACACAATCGCGGCCACCGCGCCCGCCGTATACCTCCCCACCCCCGGCAAGCGCATCAACCCCTCCACCGTGCCCGGCAACACCCCCACCCCATCCCCATCCTCCTCGGCCGCACAAACCACCCTCGCCGCCTCCCAAACCCTCCTCGCCCTCGAATAATACCCCAACCCCTGCCACCCGCTCAAAACCTCCTCCTCCGTCGCGCCCGCCAACTCCTTCACCCCGGGCCAGCGCGCCATCCAGCGGGTCCAGTACGCCACCACCGTCGCGACACGCGTCTGCTGCAGCATGACCTCGGAGATCCAGACCTCGTAGGCGCGGCGGGCGAGCTGGGCGCGGGTGAGGGATGCGGGCGGGGCGAAGGGCTTGCGCCAGGGCATGGGTCGGTTGGGGATGGCGGTTGTGAACCAGGTTAGGAGGGATGCGCGGGTGTGGGGGGTGGTGAGGAGCGTGGGGTGGTGGTAGCTTGGGGGGTGGGTGCGGGTGGGGAAGGGGGGGAGGTGCCCGTGGAGGTGGGTTGAAGGGGGGATGGGGGGTGGGTTGTTGGTGGTGGTGGTTCCATGGCGGGTGGTGGTGGTTCCATGGCGGGTGGTGGTGGTTCCATGGCGGGTGGTTGTGGTGCGTGTGGTGGTGCTTGTGGTGGCGCGTGTGGGTTTTACGCTGGGTTTTGGGCGTCGTGGTGGTTGTGTTTTGCGGCGCTTGGCTGGGCGGGTTTCCGCGTCGGTTGCTTCGGATGATGATGCATCTTCCCGTTCCGAATGATACTCGGTGTCATCCTCATCTTCTTGGTGCGATCTTAAAGTGCGTTGCTCAACCACGGAAGCCCGAGTTGCGATGCGCGCGCTTCTTCGAGTCGTCATCTCTCAATGTTTGTTGTCTTTCGGTGTTGAACGCGACTTGCAAATTGATCCGGTTGGATTGTCTGCACAGTACCCTAACCCTAAAGCTCACACGAAACCCCTGAACTCTCGTGCACCACGCCAGTTCATGGATAACCCTCTTCTCTCCAATTTGAACAAGATATCTAGTACGGGCTTCTGTATTCTATCCACCGTACTGTGAATTTATCAACTGCACCATCCCGTCTTCGTGGGGATGTTTTGGAGCTTGCGCTTATCGGCGCATCCATCCCCCGTCGTCCGTCATCGCCGTGAGAACCCCATCAAGTCCTAGTAATACTTGAGCTCTGGCGTTGGGGTTGGCGTGACCGTAGGTACGTCGCCGAGCCTTACGGGCGAAGTACTGGCAATTCCGCTGTGAAGGCTTAAAGTCAATGCTTGTCCGACTATCACGCTCGGGGTTGTCTTAATCAGCCAGACTTACGCGCAAGCGCTGGATTCCGCAATAACATCGCCGACCGGCGGATATCCTAGACATCCGTAGCAACGGCATACCTAAACCGTGTCAGCATAATTGGAACGGACGGGTGTGGTGCCACTCTGAGGATGGCAACGTACCCCCTCTCGCCCTCCGGAAATGCACTTGAATATTTCGTCCGCTCCCACTGGCTCCAAGAAACAGGCCGTGTTGTCCATAATCTCTTTGCAATCGGGGTTTCCGTTGTAGTCGCACGGTCCGTAGTCTCCTGCTTGCGGCGCGCCGAATGGCAGTGACGCCAGGCAGATGAGGAGGCCGGTTGGGAGACGCATCTTGAAAGTTGTGGCGGTTGTGGAGTGTTTCTGAACTTGGGGCACACAATAGGGGGAGAAGCATGGAAATTCCGAGGTAAACCGGGAAGTTGCAATTATATTTTTCCCTGGACGCAAAGCACATGTCGTTCCCCCATATTGGGTTCCCCTCATCTCAATATCAACTCATTGCGGTTGGCGTCCAAGACATAGATTAGGCACGGGAAATACCCGCATCGATATTAAACCGCCCCTCTGATCAACCACTCGGTCAAAATGGGACCTGAACCAACGTATCAAATCATCGCTTTTGTACTTTTCTGGGCTGCAGGTCCCATTCGGCTCAATCATGTCTTCCATGCCGAGCTTCCAGAACATTGGCACAACCCGGGATTGGCAGATGCAGCCACTTCTGAGATCCGAAACGTGGTAATGTTGGGTGAAGCATAGTAGGTTAGTGCTATCTCAGCCATCATCATACTTGCGATTCCATTATCCCGGCCACTAAAAGCTCCTCCAACCCAAACGGCGAAAAGTCAAACGTGTCCGCAGCAGCCACAGGATAAAAGTTCTGACCTGCCGGGGGAGTAAACTGTGGCACAAAGCCGTCCAGTTCCGGCCCGAGACCCGGCCATCTGTGAGGATCGACCCACCCGGTAGAGTCGGTGTTGATACTGCCGGGCATAACTACTGCTGGTACCGTCCCATCCACGGCCGTGTTGTGATGTGGCAGCCCCATTTCTCGGCTGTTCGTAGACACGTGGGCCAAGTTGCCCGTCAAGTCACCCGTCACGCTGTTTTCTCCCAGGCCTTCTGCAGTACTGGCTGTGGCATGATTGATATGCGTCGATGCTTGCTCCTGCTGCCGTTGTGCCATCACCGGGCCAGCATGACTTGGTCTGGCCATGAGACTCTGCAACCCCGTCTCAATGCGAGCCAGCTTACCCCGCAAACTCTCCATGCCGCCCCAGAAGGAAATAAAGCGCTCGATGGTGAGTTTGAGCAGGTCGAGGTTGGAGCTTGCGAGACGCTTATTGAACGAGGCGGGCCCAAAGACATTACAAGCCACCTGAGCTGCGGCGGCGAACCACAGCGTGTTTGTGAGAAAGGGATTTACGTAGCGGTAGTGGTCCCGGGCGCTGTTTCGAACCACGGTGACAATCTCGTGTGACGCGTTGATATAGTTGGACCACTCGGAGCTGGCCTTCTGCGCGGCGGCTGAGCCATCTGAGCGCTCTGCCGCCTCGTCCCCATCGGATTGGCCCTTTTGCCGGTGCGCCAACCATGGGGCCCGGGCGCAGATCTTATGGTGGTAGACCATGAAACGGCAAAGCTGGGTCATTAAGTGGATGGAGTACTTATCGGCGTGCTGTTGGCGCGGGCTAACGGCCTTGTCGGCATCCCGCGGGAGGGTGTGTGTTACGCGGAAGTCGAGAGTCTCTCCTTGGTAGACCAGGTCGGCGGGAAGTGAGGTGATAGTGCAGTACAGAGTGTTCGCCATGATATCGAGCTCCTCGTTCTGGTTTGGTTGACTGGAGCCATTGAGCGACTGCATCACTGGGCCGGCTGGGTAGACGATCCGTTGGGTATTCCGCATCAGTGAGTTCACGACGATAAACCAGGCTTTTGCGCTTTGGTTTCCCGATTGCGCCAGGTGCTTCCACCGAAGGCTGGAGTCCTCTGCAAGAAAGCAGCTTTCCTGGTACTTGTCGTTAAACCAACAGTTGTCCGGAGCTGGCAACATGGTCAGGTTCAAGCTGGCATCTATTGCCGTAGGCAGGCGACGAATGGTCGAGGCAAACACATCCATCTCCCACACGGCCCACCAACCTCTCCGGCGTTCCTCGAGTAAAGCCCAGCGCGAGACATCCACCGCGGCCAGATTCGACGTCGACCCTGGGTCATGATTTGCATCGACGATGTGCAGATTCATGTCATAGGCGTATCGAATGCAATCCCCGAGCTTCTTCCACGACCTTGACCGGACGCTCAACGTTAACTGGTAGAAGGAGATCAAGACGCTGGCCTGCAACAGCCACAGCTGGGGAGGCATGTCGCCGTAGTGATCGAGCGATTCGTCTAGCTTCAACGATGCGACTTGGGCAAAGTGGGATGGGCTAGGGCAGTTGTCTTCATCCCGACAATACCTCGCCGAGAAAGAGAAGATGGAGGCCACAAGGGCTTCTGCGTCAGAGTGGTGCTGCATCATGGCAAACTTGGCTTCGATGCTGCCTGGCCGAAAGAGCGAAAAGGCCGTCATGTTGGTAAAGTAATACTCCATCCTGCGCACCGGACCCAAGTGTTAGCCTTACGTTGATAAAGCGGGAAGCCCACCGGGTGAAAGTCCACTGACAGCAAGTCATAGGTAGCCCTAGAAAGATGCAACGCCGCGCAAACACTTCGAACGGTGATTCCAGCCGTCGCTCCGGTTTGGTTTTCGGGCGAAGCACCGGCCGTGGACGGGGACTGTGGCCGGGTCTGTGATTCGTGTGAGGGATACATGATGCGTGAGAATATCGGCACGCTTGCCGGTTGGTCATCACTTGGTAGGCCACCGGCCGACGGTAGCGAGTCAGGTGCGACCTCGTGCGAGGGAACACCATCTCGAGTAAGCAACGCATGTTGAGGCAGGCCGCCATGGGTCGGTGACAGAGTGGATTCGGGGTCGCGTCGGGCAGGGTTGGCCGGGGACAACTGCGCCGCGGCGGTACTCAACAAGAGGAGGTCGCGCGAGCCGCTGCCATCGCCAGAATTCCTGGGGGCATGTTGAAGCTTTCGCCGCTTGGACCTTTGGGAAGAGCCTAGTACGACGTGTGGTCATCAGCATCCGACCTGAACCTTTGTCGGACCGGGTCCAGTCTCACCAGTCTTCGGGCCGGGCTTTTCGGGTTGGGTTGGATATTCGCACACCAAGTCGAGCTTTTGGCAGAGAACACAGACGGGGTGTTGACGGTCACTGGGATTGGATTTCAGCCATTGGACCTTTTGCGCCGGTTGGCGGTTGGTCAAGACATGGGCGACTGAATTACCATTTTATTTTGCGCCTGGCGGTTTCGCAACAACTCTAAGTCAGCGCTTCGGCTCGGCTTCCATTATTGATGCCGCAGAATCAATCCATTGACTCTCACCTCTTGCACGCATAACAAGCCAGTTTTGTGGATGCCGGTGTGGCCGGAAGGTCGGTTTCGGGCGATCTTGCTGCATCGCTGGCCATGGCGGGCGGAATGGAAGCAAGCGAGGGTGGAAATGAAACAGTGGGATGGCGGATTGCGGAGCAATTGAAATGGCCAAAATTCGACCGACCGGTCATTCATTCCTTTTTCTCTCGTTATTCGTACCTCCCTACATAATTGAAGGCCCCACCTGGCTGGCGGTGATCACCAATGCGGGGCAACTGCCGTGAACCGACCCCACCTCCCCACTGTATTCATGGAACCCCACCACTCTTAATCCCCGACGACCCCAGACGCGCTCACCTCAACATTCCTCAAACACCATCTTGTTACGGATCTGCCCGATTCCCTCAATCGAGACCTCAACCACGTCGCCATTCTGCAGGAACCCCTTAGGTTCCATAAACAAGCCGACCCCGCTCGGGGTGCCCGTCTGGATGATGGTGCCCTTCCTGAGCGTGGTTCCGCGGCTGAGATGCGCAATAATCTTGGCGACAGAGAAGATCATGTCATCGGTGCCAGTTGTTTGTCGCACGCCACCGTTGACCCGCGTCTCGAGACGGAGCTTCTGAGGGTCGGGCACCAAACTCGGTGACACGATGCAAGGACCGACAGGCGCAAAGCCGTCGAACGATTTAGCGTAGCAGAACTGCCCGCCCGACGTGTCCGGCAGCTGGAAGTTGCGTGCCGACACGTCGTTGCCCACCGTGTAGCCCAGCACGTAGCTCAGCGCATCCGCCTCAGCCACGTTCTTTGCGTCCCTCCCGATCACCACCGTCAGCTCGCCCTCATAGTCGAGCATGCCCTGCGCGTCGGGGTGGATGGACACATCGTCAAATGGGCCTGTCAGGGCATCGGCGGGCTTTGTGAAGACGACGGGGTACGGCGGGACACGGAGCTGTGCGGGTGTGTGTCAGTAGGTAGGAGTGTGAGAAAACCCGGGATGTCATACATTTGCCTCAGTGGCGTGCTTCTGGTAATTTAAACCGATGCAGATGACCAGGGGCACTTTAGGCAAAGGAGACAGCAGCTTCGTGATCTTGTCTGTCCTCCCAGTTCCGCGAAACCCGTTCTCGATATCTCCCTCGAGCACCTCAACCTCGGCGCCCGTCAAATCGCCGCTGGGCTCGCTCTTGAGGTCGCCGAAGGCAGTGGCCCCCTGGGCATTGACGAATCGCACGAGCCGTTGGAAAGACATGGTATGGATACCCTTAAGTGGGTGTTTGGAGGATGGAAAGAATTGGGTGGTTAAAGAGTGAGTGGTAAGGGGATGGGCAGTCCACCGTATCTATATACGGACGCCTACCTGCTTACACAGAAGCAAGCCAGCTTATCCAAGATATTTGTCAAAACTCGGTCGTTCGGCAGTCATTTGTCGGCCGAGACGGGAGCACCCCGACGATCGCGGCCAGGTCTCCAGATCTGTAGTCTGCCCGTTGTCTTACTCCACTTCGGGCCAATTTGGGTGTCTTGCCGGGGCAATTCCGCCCCTGACCCCAGTGCCGCACAACAAGCTTTACCAAGCTTTACGCAGTAGCTTACGAAATACTGACACTCGGATTTGTAGACGCCTGACTAAAACTGAAAGAACGACATGGGGAAACAATACACGACTCGAGATTCCGACCGGTTATTCCTTGGGTGTCTCATAGCGAGAAAACACCTCAGCCTTGGCCTTGTCGCTCTCCCTCAAGATTGTCGCCTTCCTGGCCTCGGACCTCACCGTGATAGTGCACGGGAAGTCTTCCGCACATACCAGGAACCCCGAGCAGTAACCCTTCTCGTTACTGACATCAGGCTCAATGACATGCCCCGCGGCGTCAATGCCCGGCCCGATATCGAACGCCCACACCAGCTTGGCCAGCGCCAGGAACAGATTCCGCTCCGCCAAGTGGATTCCTGGACACAGGCGGCGGCCGCTACCATAGCCGTAGTGATCGCGGTTCGCGTAGTCACCGTTGGCCAGCTCGGGCGCCAGCGCCGTGACGCCCTCGTAGTGCGCCGGGTCGAACGTGTCCGGGTCGGGGAAGCGGGCCTCGTCGTGGTGCATACCGAAGGCGTTGACAAAGATGTCGCTGCCGCGGGGCAGGAACATGCCGTCGACCCAGTCGTCCTCGGCGAGCGAGTGCGGGAACGCCAGCGGCGTGACGGGCCGCCACCGGTGGGCCTCCTTGACGCACGCCGCCACGTACGGCAGCCGCGCGTGGTCGGCCCACGTCGGCGTGCGGTCCTCGCCCACCACCTCGTCCATCTCGGCCTGCGCCCGCCGCAGCACCCCCGGCCACTTGGTCATGGCGTGCAGGAAGGCAATCACCAAGGAACTGGTCGTGTCGGAGCCGCCCTCCATGACGGTCCCGCACAGGAAATACAGCCCGTGCTTGTCGAGCCCGACTTTCTCGCCCTGGTCCAGCACCCGGTCGAGGAAGCAGTCGCGGCTGCCCGAGTCCTTGCGCCGCTGGATCACGTACTCTAGCCACTCGCTGTAGAGCGCGTTCATCTCGCGGCCCACGCCCTGCGCGCGCGACCGCCACATGCCCAGGAACCGCTCGGGCACGAGCTTGAGGAACGGGAAGATGTCCACCGGCGGCGTGTTGCCGGCTTCCATCACCTGGGACCACTTCTCCATTAGCGCGTACAGCTTCACCATGTGCTTGGTCTGGATGGTCGGCGTGCGTGTGCCGTAGACTGTCTGCATGTTAGCATGTGGTCTCCGAGGGTACCATGTTCCCGGTATATCACCTACTCAAACTCATGATGATGCTGTTACTGAACCGCTTGGGGTGTCTCATGCAACCCTCGGGCTGCACCACAAAATCACGGAGCATCTGCACGGCCTCGGCGTCGACGACGTCGATGTGGTGCTTCGTGACCATCTCTTCGCGGAAGAACTGATGCACCAGCTTGCGGCAAGTCCGCCACTGGTCCGAGTACTGCATCAGCAGGAGATGGTCGCCGCCCGAGATGATGCCGCCGACGTGCGAGGGCGGCCGGCGGCTGTACAGGTTCGACTTCTTGTCGACCAGCTGCTTGATGAGGCGCGGCGAGGAGATGACGATGGATGTCCCCGGGCCAAATTTGAGCGAGTAGATCTCGCCGTACTGCTTGGCCCATTTTGCGAACTGCAGGTGCGTGCGTTTGGTGGGGATTTGGTGTAGGTTACCGAGAATTGGCCAGGTAGGTGGTCCTTGATGGTCATGTCAGCATTGAAACTGAGACAGATTGAGCTACACCTGGAGCTTACCTGGCGGCAATCTGGGGTCTCGTTTTCCGACGGTGAGGAGCAGATAAACGGCTACGAGAACGGCCAGCACGGCTAGTCCGGCTACGATATTCGACATGGCGGTGTAGTAAAGTCTTTTGTGTGAGTAAATCCCGAAGGTGAAGAACTCGTAGATGACGGTGAGGCTGGCATCACCTCCAAGGCCCCCTTTAGTACCATTACCAAGCGTGTCGAGCTCCCTAACTGGCTAGCCCCTTTCAAGGAGCACACACCCATCGGTCGAATGTTGATCGAGGCTGGTCATGGACTCTCCTTAGTCTCGGGCGATTCCCCGCAATCCGGGGTAAATCAATGCCAATCTGGGGTAACGCGGGGAAGTTGGGGAAGGGTGTGGGGAGCAAGGAGTTGGCAATTCAGGGGCTTCCATTGGTGCTAGTGCTGGATTTTGGAAGGGACTGTTGCCCCTGAGGGGGCGAATGTCGTTCTCACGGCCAACACAACTTCACACGGACATATGGAAACCGCCCCATTAGTAATAGGAAACACAGGCGAGAGATGAGGCGTGAGGCACGCGTGAGATGTCAGTAAGAACAGGGGAAAAGTCTAAGCTTGAACGTCTTCCCATGTGTTGAACTACAATTAGGCGGCTCGAGAAACTCAATACCTATACTATAAACCAAGATTGCAGTGTAACTCCCTACCGGTCTAACCCGTAATCATCAAAGAGATAGAACTTTCCTCATAACCGTTTCCAACTTGCCCCTGGGATCCTCGCTCATCGACTTCGACCGCCAAGCAACAAACCGGTCAGGCCGAATGAGCACGCATCCATCCTCTTCGACTTCCCTGCGCTTCTCCCAGTCAAAATATACGTCCTCGTAATCTTCTTTCCATCCAATGGAATAGCTCTTGATCGCGACATTGACCGCTTTCGCAACCTGGTCCGCGGCCTCCTTCCACGCCGCCCCCCCGGGGCCCGTAATGAGGCAGTACCCCCCATGGCCCGCGAGGTCGATGGTAGAAAGCTGTTTCCCGGGCACACGGGTATTGAGCCATGCATGGGGCAGCCTCATACCCGGATACGTGCTGATGAGGTGCTCAAGCACGACTTCGTGGGGGAGCAGCGGGGCCTCTGGCTCGTCATCGAGGTAGACGGCGCCGGAGCGGTACTGCTGGTTCATTTCGATGCCCAGACCGTGAAACTCGGTCCGCGTCTTCTCGATGCCATGGCGGAAGTCCTGCCTCCTTTTTCGACCGGCCGCGCCCTTGTCTTCAAGCTCGGCGAGCAGGGCTTTACGCTTCTCCACGTCGCTTTCCGTTATCCCCATGGCATCCATCCATGGCAGATGATCACGCAGCCCTTGGTTAGCGCGTGTGATGATGTCGAAACCGACCGGCTGGCGCTCGGCGCTGTAACTATCAAGGAGTTGAGGCCCGGCGCGCCCAGACATGACGTACGATATTTTCCACGCCAGGTTGAAGGCGTCTTGAATGCACGTGTTGGAGCCTAGGCCGTTGAAGGGGGGGTGGCGATGCACGGCGTCGCCCAAGCAGAAGATGTTCCCGTCCGAATAGTACTCGGCCACAACCTCGTTGATCTGCCACTTGCCGACATGGAGGACCTCGACATCGACCGAGTGGTCGCCAATCACATCCTTTACCCTGGAGACGTACTCTTCATGTGAGGCAATCATGTCGTCGCCGTTGAGATCGGCGCCGGGGCGCGGCATGAAAACGAACATCCACTCATCCCATGGCTTCACCATTCGCAGCACGCACAACCACGCCCACACTGGGAGCTCCCGATCGGGTTGGAACACCCAGTGTAGGTTCCCCGCGCGGCTCTTCATCAGGTGTGACAAATCGGCCTTGACCAGTACGTTGAGCGCCAGCCCCTGGCTCGGTTTCCTAATGAGAGGGATGCCGAGCTCGCGGATGACCTGGCTGCGTGCGCCATCGCAACCGAAAAGGAAGCGAGATTGGATCTTGTAAGTTTTGTTCGATAGGTCATCCCGGATCGTGCTGATGATGACGTCTGGGGTGTCCGAGGGGCGGGTGAAGGTCAAAAAGGTCGTGTTGAAGCGGAGAGTCCATCCCTTGGCTACGGCTCTTCGGACTAGGATCGGCTCGAGTGCAGTTTGCGGGAGGTCGATGTGGTCGCACGGGCTAGCGGCATCGTAATCGGCCTGTTCGGTTCAAAGAAGTCAGGGCCATGGGCATGTGAGCAACTTTACAGAATACCAACCTTCCGCTTCGGATCATTGCCAAAGGAGTAGACACGGGCGTACTCTTCGCCGGCCATGGAATGACACCATCTCGTATGTATCATGTGGTCTCCGCTGGCGCCGGCCTCGATGCACTGCTTGTCCAGGCCAATGTCCCTGAGGCACTCCAAAGCGGCCATGTTGGTGATGTGTGCTCGGGGTGTCTCGGCAGTCCCCGGCGCAGCCGAGATCATGATTCCCGACAACCCTGAAGACGAGACGAGGTCAGCAAACGTGTCTTGCGACGTGAAACACGGATTCCTGGGCACCAACCATGAGAAGCGAGGAAACAGGCCAAAGCTGCACCGGCAGGGCCAGCTCCGACGATGAGAAGATCCGTCTTGACGATTTCGTTCTCCATTGTGCACCGAATTCGGTTCCGTCTCAGGCTTCCAGTCAAGCAACAAGACCTCGGAGTATCTCAGCCTTTTCCGGATGACTCGGCGTTCTTCAGGTGTTGTGATATTGTTGCGACATAGCAGAGACGGGGTAAATCAACGGGCGATCTTCACGACTTTAATAGCGGTGGCAAACCTCAAATTGAAGCTTCGTGCATCTTGAACCCACATCCCTCCCCGCCATGGGCAGGAGTACCCTAGTTCCAACATGAGTCTAGAATGAATGTCGGTCAAGTGTCAGCCATGACAAATGGATCACAAAAAGAACTGCATGTGCATATTATTGCGTTGTGCAGTTGAGGGGACAGAGCTCGGTCAGCTCGTGACGCAACTTTCAGGGGTTGTTTGTTGACATGCCAAGATGTGGGGAACATCTGCCGACGCCCCAATGCGGAGAAATGCGCCGCTCGGGGAGATTCCTCGGTCGAACTGCGGGCTGATGCTGTGAAACGGAGCTCTCCTTCCAATGGGCCCGTGGACAGGTCCGGGACAATGACATCAATATAATCTTCTTTCCTCTCTGATCTGTCCATATCCACACCTTCCAAGACTCGGCAATACTTCTACTCCCACCTTCTTACTCATAACCATCCTAGTTTGCATATTCGCTACCCCCCGAGTCTCCTCCCACAACACAACACCACCCCCCGGGCTGACACCACTCTGACACAATACAACCACAGCCAAAAGCGACAGTGACAGCAACCATACCATGGCGGAGCAAAACCCCAAAATCAAGCTAGTGCGCATCGCACATGTGTATTACACACATGCCGACCTCGCCAAGGCACGCGAATTCCTCTTCGATTTCGGCTTCACGGTAGCCGACGACCGGGGCGACACCGTGTACTTCAAGGGCTATGGAACCGAGCCATTCGTCTACTGCGCCAAAAAGGGTGAAGCCAACGAGTTTGGCGGTGCCGCCTTCGTCGTCGAATCCATGGCCGATTTGGAACTTGCTTCTAAGACACTGCCGCAGGCCACAGGGATCGAGGACTCGGACGCGCCCGGCGGCGGCAAGCGGGTGACATTCCGGGACCCTGTCGACGGTTTCCCGTTCCACTTAGTGCACGGCCAGACCGCGGTTACCAAGTCAGCACACCTTCCAGAGCTGGAATACAACTACCCCGAGGCCAAGCACCGAGCCGTCAACAAGAAGCAGCGCTTCAAGCAGGGACCCGCACCGGTGCACAAGCTTGGTCATTTCGGATGCTGCGTCACCGACTTTTCCAAGGCGTTCGAGTTCTACACTAAGCACTTCAACTTCAAGCCAAGCGACATCATCCATGACCCCACGGGCAAGGACATCACAGTATTTTTCCATCTGGATAGGGGGATGGAGCAGGTAGACCACCATACTTTCTTCTTCTTCGAGGGTAAGTGACCTCAAGACTCGAACATGCTTGAACGCCGTTGACTCACATTGGCACACGTCCAGGTCCCAAATACCATGTCCATCACTCCAGCTTCGAAGTCCACGACTTCGACATCCAGTCGCTGGGACACCAATGGTTGCGCGACAAGGACTACGACCTCGTCTGGGGCGTCGGGAGGCACGTCCTTGGCTCCCAAATCTTCGATTACTGGTGGGACCGCTCGGGATTCGTCATGGAACATTACGGTGCGTTAAACTCAATGCTCGTCAAGTGAAAAAGGAAAGAACTGACAAGCAGCATTAGTGGACGGAGACCTGGTTGACGAGACCACGCCAATCAGCAGGTCGGCCGCCGGGCCGGACAGTCTGCATGTCTGGGGGCCGCCGCTACCGGACACGTTCTTGCAATGAGCTCGAGGTTGGATGCAGAGGGTGTGTTGTTGTTGGATATTTCATTTTTTTACCAGTTCATTGGTCCCGGGCTGAGTGTTATTGTATCTCGGGATTCGTCCGTAGTCAAGCGTAAGCAAGGTGTGTTTCGAACGGTTACTTCCACAGACCAACAGCTTCTTTCCAAGGGACAATCTTGACCCCTTTATCCCGGAGACGCTCTTCCACCTCCCTCTCAATCTCTTCGGCCGTCTTGCGTCCACAATCGTAGGTGGAGTGTGCCCCGGAGAGTAGGGTGACCCCGAATCCTGCGGCGAGGGCACCATTGCAGGTCGACTCAACGCAACACTCGCTCTGGATGCCAAAGGCGATAACATGCTGCACCCCAGCCGCCTTGAGCTCCGAAGCAAGGTTGGGGTTCGATTCAAACGTGTCGCCTGTCTCAATTAGTGAGTCATGGGTTCGGAAATGGGGTTTGTCATTCTTCTATCCCATCCCAGAGCTTACGTGTCCATTTAGAAATCAACCGCTCTTCCTCCGCGCCAGCACGTGGCTCGAAAACCAGTTTCCACGGCTCGCTCTCCCGCACTAGAGGCCCGCTCTCCGGTTTCTCCTCGTGTTGTACGAAGACGATCGTGCATGGTGTGGCAACTTCGTCATTTTGGGTTTCTAGGACGATGCGAGCGGCGGACAGAATCTGGTCCCCGGCCGCCTTGACGCGCTCGGCGTGCGGGATTTGCGTCGCTGGGTCAGCTGCGAGGTCGTTCTGGATGTCGATTACGAAAAGGGCGGTTGCCATGTTGGTGGTGTCGGAAAGACGAGGAAAGTCGAGTTAAGATTTCAGTAAGGAACCTTCGATGGACTCGGAAATTTGCAACGTGGTACACCAGGAATGAGAAGCAATTCACGGGGGGGAGTTGCCCTTGAAGGGTGGGGTAATGTTTGTTGACTCACAACTCTCAGTCACAATGAGCCCGAGGGGTGGTGAAGCAAACCCCGTGGATCTTGGCAAGGAGTCAAGAATATGGTAACCTGAACATCAATCATATTGGTGGGTGACTGCCACATAAATAGGTATCCTAGACTCCTTAGGTTTCCTTGGTGTCTTTACTGGCATTCAAGCTGGACTGGTGAATAATTGCCGAAGATGTACAACACGACTCTTCCTCAGGTCAGAGTCAAGACGAAAGTTGTAGCTCTTTCCTAGCAACTCGCCCTGGAGATACAACAACCTGGAAGGTACTAGTACGGTCAACACTGTTGGTCATTCCTGACTTTGCCCGGTTGCAACTTCCTTCCTCTCCCGCCCTTCGGTTGATCGTCACCTTCCCCACCGGATCCCAAGTGGATCTGTGGCCTCGGTGGTGACTGTAGCGAACTGCCCCTCTCGGGGCCACAATGCCGAAGGTGCACCCCGCAGTGCCCGCATTCAAGCGACGGAAGCTCACGCCAGCAACGTCACATAGGTACACCCGGAAATTCCGGCTCTTTCATTTTCTAGCACCCTTCATGAACTTCAAACCATCCCTATTCCGTCATCATCTTGACCTTGCTCGAACCTTTTCACCTTCTCCGGGCCTTTCTTGACGATAATTCTACCTCTCGATCGAATCCTATCTCAGCTCGCCCCTTACCGTGACCTACCTACTACCTATTTGACACCAACTTCCAACATGTCACCGACGGGCCGCATCCCGCCCAAGGGCGTCTTCGTCCCCTCGCCCACCTTCTTCCTCCCCGCGTCCGCCGGAGCATCCCACAACCCGCCCCAAGCCCCCGTCGACACCGAAACACAAATCAACCACAGCATCTTCCTCGCAAAGGCCGGCATCACAGGCATCACCATCCTCGGCTCGACCGGCGAAGCCGTCCACCTCTCGCGCTCCGAGCGCAGCGACCTCGTGTCCGCCGTGCGCCGGGGCCTCGACAAGGCCGGCTTCCCCGACTACCCGCTCATGGCGGGGGTGCTGACGAACGGCGAGCTGGAGGACACGGTGCAGTGGCTGGACGACTACGCCAAGGCCGGCGCGCAATGGGGCCTGGTGCTGTGCCCGGGCTACTTCGGGCCCGCCGTGCCCCAGGACGGGCTCGTCGAGTGGTTCACCCTGATCGCCGACCGCAGCCCGATCCCCATCCTGGTGTATAACTACCCCGGCGTGACCAACGGCGTGCAGGTCCTGCCCGAGACGTACAGGGCCCTGGCGAATCACCCCAATATTGTAGGGTGCAAGATGTGGGTTGCTCCTGGGGTTCCCGGGACGGGTTGTGTGTGGGGATAGGTTTGGCTAATTGACGTTGGAACAGGTCGCATGGTAATGTCTCGCATCACGTTCAGGTGTCCCTCGATCCGGAAATCGACCACGACCAGTTCCGTGTGTACAGCGGCTTTGGGAACCAACTGGGTCCGATCGTGGCGTTCGGTGCCGCTGGTGTCATTGACGGGATGGCCGCCTTCTACCCCAAGACAGTGGTCGAGCTCATGAAGCTGATGTTGAAGGGGGATTCATCTCCCGAGGCACAGGCCGAGATCCACCGGTTACAGTTTGCTGTTAGCAAGGGCGAGGAATTCGTCATGCGATATGGCGTGCTGGGTATCAAGGAGGCTTGTTTCCGCGTGGCTGGGTTCGGCAATCTTGAGGGCGGTCGCCTGCCGATCCGCGGGAAATCGCCAGAAGGCGCATGGGAGAAGGCAAAGGGGATGTTCCTAATGGAGATCCAGGGTATTGAGTCGTCTCTTTAGACCGCATCGGTGTTCCACCCTATTAGATAGTGATAGACAATAGTTACACACGCAAACGCGCCATGCCATGTGTGTTGCTGTGGTCTCCAAAACACACACCCCCCGGGAAACCATATATGCCTGTGTCACCCTATGTCTAACCTTACGTTGTAAGTGGATGACAACAAGTGTACTGTTTCATGGTTTCTGACTCCACTCGCTTTTCTGATGCCACAATCTGCTTATCAACACGGCAGCAAACTGACTTATTGTTCACACCCCAGCATCATCATTCGATACGCAGGCCTGGTGTTACTTGCAATGACACAGCCGCAGAGTCAGAAACTGCGGTTTCCCAGCAATGTGATGATGTTTGCCGATACCATGGCGGAGTCATTTTCTACTTCCTAGGTACGTGCTACTCCAAACCTGACGTATGTTTGATCCTCACCGGTGGTCAGGATGCTTGTTAGTGAGTTGGAAGGCCAATTAACACCATGACTACGTTTCACACCGTAGAAAGCTTGTTTTCTACCAAAGCGCTTTTATCCGGGTATAGGGTTTGTGAAGTGTTGTCACAAACAAGACTTGTAAACAAATTGTTGGAAACTAGGCGGCTCCGAACGTGAATGAACTCTTCTGTTCTTGGTATTGACCGGTTATGATTCCAGGAGTACTAAAAAGGGACACCTCTCACTCAAAAGGGGAAAGAGCCAGTCTTTATTTCATACTTTTATCCCGACAACGAGTACCTTGTAACATGTTATTCACTGGCAATGGTGACCTGCCCTTCCCTAAGATCGCACACAGCGTGAGTGTTCACTGTGTTGGACGAGACGAAGCTATATACCAAAGGCTTGGGAAAGACGCACTTTAAATACCTTGCGGGTGGTAGAAAAGGACAGAGACTTTCATATTCTTTCCCCATCCCTCAACTGTTGTCTTTGTTGCAACTAGACCAGCAATATCGAGAATTTACCACCATATCTTACCAACACACCTACGCCAACCTAACCGAATAGGAACTAACCACCATGAGCTACTCCGAGTCCGTTTATCGCCAATACAAGGACCTGACGAGTTACATTGTATCTTGGCTCGTGGTCACCGCCAGAGCGGAAGGGTGCGCCCTTGAGCTAATCGAGCGGAGTCCGGAAAGCAGAACAGCTAACGCATACCCTTTGCCACTTGTCAAGTTCGTTTCGCTAGCCCAGTGGCTTGAAGAGCAGGGGCGAGTCCACGTGCCAAGATCCATCCTGAAGGGCCTTAGCCGTGTCATTGACCTCCGCCTTCGCTATTCCCAAGGGTTGAGTGGGACCCGGCCACCCACGGCTGATGACAACCGCCATGGCCACTTTGTAGGTGTTCTCCGCGAGCTACAACAGGTCTTGCAGCGCTTTCCGGTGGCCCAAGTGGACAAAAGGACGCTACAGGAGTCTCGTTTATCAGCCACTTTCTCGGTTCTAGACATTGGAGACATCCCAGAAGAAGAGGATTTGGACACTGTGGAACGCCACGAATTTATTTCATCCAATGGTAAGTTTGATACAGTCCTGACTTTATGTGTCTTGTCTAATGACATGCTCTATTATCAGATCCTGAGGTCGAATACACCTACGCCGCGGAGGACATTCCTCCCATCGAAGAAGCAATACTGCTCTTCCAACTCTTACTGGAAGACTTTCGAAGCCTCGCCAACCATGTCCGTGAGCAGTGGGATAAATATATCGCCGGCAGACTCGACCTCGCGGCGGCGGCCGCAACCACCGATATGGCATTCCTCTTCGCCAAAGGTCTCGAGGACACCGCTCACGCAAGCATTATGAAGATCATGTCGGCAGACACCGCGCGGCGCCAGGACGCGATCCAAGGGCTGTCCGGGGGAATGAACATGTCAAAACGGGCGACCGCTGCCTTTCTAGATGGCAACATTTACCTGCCGCTTTATTACTTCCTTCTTGGGCCAAGCCAAACCACCAACATGCCCAACGACTACGCCTTGGAGGAGAAGGTATACTACACCACATTCATGGCGATGACTAGCTGGTTTGCCAACGCCTGCATCCGCCAGAATGCATCCGGTAACCGCTTGGGTACCCAGGAGGGTCAGCACGGCGACCACTCATACGCGGCGCCGTGGGAGGAGCAGGATGTCGGCGACAAGCGCAGCAAGCTAAACGCGTTCGTCATGGAGACGGCGACCGAGCTTCACTTCATCGGGTCGCTAAAGGACCAGATACCCTTCTTCGATGAGCTTAGCAGGAGTACGTTCCGCTGTATCGAAGAAAAGCAGCTCTATATATCCGTCGTTTTCGGGATCGACCTTCTCCACGCCATCCACACCAAACTCCACGACTCCGGCCGGTCGGGAAGCCCATTGATCGCTTTGCAAACCTTCCTCGATTCCACAACGCAAAGCATGTCGGCGCTCTCCACGGCTCTCCCAGGCGATGCCAACCGCATGATTCTTGAGCGCATGCGCCAACATGCAACCCAGGCGCAAACCGACATATTCCAGACCCTCAAGCGCGCCAACCGAAACGCCGGCGTGTCCTCCACCACCTCCTTCTTCACCCTCCGCCGGCACCCAGTTCTCTGCGGTCTGTTCCTCCTCGCCGAGCGCGCCATCGCCCAAGACACAGCCCTCACCCTAGAGCGAAACCTCGGCGGCCTAACCGCGGCCATCCACCTCGGCCACGCCTTCACCACCTCCGGCATCATCCCCTCCCTGGGAACCCTCAAACTAACCACCACCCGCCAACCCGCCACCGCCTTCTTCCTCGGCGGCAAGCGCCCGACCGAAAAGTCCCAGTACCTATCCGCTTACAGCCTCGCCATCGGCGAATCCATCACCAACACCGCACCCGCCAACACCCGCAACCGCAGAAACAACACCCCGCTCGCAACCCGCAAACAAAAGCTCGAGCTGACCCCCCCAGCCCCCTTCTCCCGCGCCGTGATCGCACGTCTACGCGATCCGCACGGCCGCTTTTCGCTCAGCGAGCCCGACCTAGTTGAGATGCTGGTCGGGTCGGGCCACGCGCTGATGGCGAAGGTATACGGCGGGGGTGCTCGTGGTGCGGATAGGCGTGTGGATAGGGGTGCGGGTGCGAGTGTGGGAGAGGAGGGTAAGGCAGGGCCGAAGCCGAAGCCGAAGCCGAAACCGTCGCCGCTGAGGCATGCGGCGCTGTTGCTGCATGCCGAGGTGCCTGTGCTGGAGCATGGGTATTTGGATGCGGTGCGGGTGGCGTGGGAGGGGCTGCGGGCTGTGCAGGGGGTGTTGGGGGGGCCGGTGGAGGGGTTGGGGCAGGCTGGTGGTGGGAGGGGTTGGGCTGCTGGGGGACAGGAGGACTGTAGCGTTGATCCGGCCGAGGTTATCGTTGGTCGCGTGTTCGGGGCGGCAACCGGCCAGTCGCTGTTTGAAGCGGCCGGAAAAGCTTTCGGGGAAACTGTCGCTGACAAGAAACCCGCGAAAAAGTGACTCTACATCGAGACCGGTTGACCTCGCCGCATTCTAGTGGTAGTTAGGTCGTTACAGCCGAATTACACGAGGTCAAGGGACTGACTGGGATATAGGTGGCACATGAGATTGTGAGACAGCCAATAGATTTGTTCCGGTGTCCGATTTGATATCATTCTCTACTCAACAAGTATCCTAATTAATGAAACCAGATGTTGATACTTCACTGACTGACCCATTCAAGGCCTCAGGGATATGATCCCAAAAGGCTGCCCCTAAATCATCCACCCCTCTCCTTCAGCGCGTTCGCTTCACGTCTAAAAGAACAAGCAAATACCTCCAAGTTGCCAGCAACGCCTTTTCTCAGGCGAAAAAGAATCTGATGGGATAGGAGTCGCCACACATTGGGGGATTGCCTGTTATTGCGTAGCAGGGTTCTGTTTACTCATATGGACTGCTGAAGGGACAATGGACACTCATATTTTCTCTCGCCACTCCACCAGCTGTGCTCCTTACGCGGTTGCTTTGTTGTTGTGTTTGGAGGCTGCCCTTTGTTTGGCAGTTATCTCTTTTGTCTTCTTCCAGGCTCAACCTCGAGACCATAGTTCAAGCTATCATACGAGAGACGGTAGGTGGAACAAGCGGGGGTTAGTGGTTCACATCGTACGGCCGTGAAAGTGTTAGAGTTCAAGACACCAGGGCTGTAGCTGAGCTAAGAAGGGCGGTTCACGTGGCCGCTCGTGGCTCACGTATGGTACCGATATGCTTCCACTAACAATGGAAGTGACACTCACGGCTTTGCCTCGCTCATTGCGGCTTAAAAGCAAGAAATCTTGTTTACCAACACAATGGTTATTCAGGTACAGGGTTCTTTGAACGGGATAATATTAAAAAGAAACGTATACTTCAAATAACATACATATTCTTGACCCATCCACACCAACATTCTTGACCCATTCACACCAACATATTCTTCACCCATCCACATTAACTCATCGACCCCTCATTTTCTCCCTCGACGCCCAGAACCCGACGATGGACAAGCAAAAAAGCCAACCGCTATTCCCATTATTCTCTCGACTTCCAGCTGAGTTGCGGATGATGATATGGGAGGACTCGATCGAGCCGCGAATTGTCAGGGTTAACATTCTGTCTCACAGCTCGTCTGACTTCTGGTCCGTGACCTACAAGCGGACCGTCTCCTGGCGGGTTACGCGTATCCCAACCCTACTCGAGGTGTCGGTCGAAGCCCGACAAGTTGGGCTTCGGCAATACGAAATGTTACGCTGTGTCTATCCTGTTACGGTTGCGCGAGGAAAACCCATGGCGATAGTTTATTTCCATCCTCGGATGGACGTGCTGGGCCAGGACTTCCAGGCCGTCCCCATGAACTCGCAGACGGCTTATGTACGGCCTCCAGGGTGTGATTGGGACCCCTTACCTGTGGAATTCTTCAACATCTTCAGGGGCCAACGACCGCTGACCGATGACTCTTTCGACGTTTTCCACCAGCTCCGCCACATTCATCTCGACCTCTTCATCCTCAGAGAGAGCGGTGATCTTGGGATCGAGAAGATGTGGTCGTTCATAAATAGCCTGCTTAAAGATCAAGCACCCGACGTCTTGAAGACGGTGACGCTGAGGATCATGGACGCAGCGAGATCTCCAACCGATCCTTGGTCAAGCTACAACAAGCAATCGTCCATGTACCGCATTGTACGCCGTCCGACTCTCCCAATCCCCAACCCAAAGGAATTCTTCTCGGGGTGTGTTACAAGGGAATACTGCGCCAAGCTCTCCTATACCGACATACTTGCGCGTGACGGGGCTATCTTCACCAGGCCCGTGATGAGCGACTTCGCCGTTCTCCGCGTCATTGACCCGGCTGCAAACGGTGCGCCGGTTCATGTGCAGGAGGCGACGTACTGGGCGATACTCGCAGAGGGGGAGGAAAAGCGCCAGCTGCCCAACCTTATTGATTGGCTGTTGGACTTACTGGACACAGCGAGGTCGCCGTTACCCGAGAGCCCTTGGGGCATTTGTGGTGTCAACTACGGTATGGAGGACGCCAAGGTGTATCCAAAGATAAGAGCCCCGGTTGAGTGGCCCCTCTTGTATTGATGGCGCAGCCGCGGGCGGCTTGAAGCGCGAGTGTGCTTACTTGGAAACCCGGTTCGCGGAAGAGTCGAAATGGAAGGTGAAAAAAAGTGAATCTGCATCGATACCGAACGAAATAGGGGGGGGATAGTCAAGAGTTCGGTCTCACGCAAACTTCAAGTAGGTTGGTTGTTGGGGCTGTAGAAGAGATAAGTAGCTTGAATAAAGAAAACAAGATTGAAAAAAGGGCATGGTATTAGCGTGAAATGTACCTAGGTAGGTATGGAAGCTCAAGTGAGCTCAAGTAATAATACCGAGACGGTACCTTCTCATCAAGGCCCATGCGTTCTGCCCTGGCGTACAGTGGCCCCGTGGGTCCATGTAACAGGTTTGTCATGAGCGGTTGATTTGGAACGGGTGGCCTTTCTCGGAGCACCCTCGCCCTTGGGGACCGAGGTCCTCACCTAGGCATTTTATACACCTGATGGTGTATTGGTTGCCTACCTTCCTTTCGGCCTTTGAACAATGAAAGCCAGCTTTCAACACGCTTCCGACACGTTAGATGGCTCGCGTTTGCCCGCTTCGGCAACAAAGTGGCCCCCTCGCCGTTCATTAACGGTGGACATTTGGGAGGCTGGGCACTCTATGGCCGTCTCGAGCACTTTCCTCCTGCGATTACACCCAGCCCGTTTTGACCGCCGGAGGTTCGTCCGCACCTGGAAACGACACGGCGGAAGCATTGCGTGGCAACCGCTCAATGGAACTTGCCGTTGCATCGAACAGCGCTGAGAGTTTGGGTAGCGATTCAGGCTAAAGGCTTAACCCCCAGCCTCGGATCTTCCCTGGCCGCGGCTGGGCTTTGGGGCGCCGTCGTGCCGTTCTGCAGCAGAACTCCCCGCATCGGACGCTGAGCTCGCGTTCAAATAACCGGGTACTGGGACCAAGGGGATTGCACTAAACAGGAAGGGAGATTCATGCAACATCCCACGTACCTGGGAGACAACCACGAACCACCACATGACTTCCCCACAAACATCCCTGAACCTCGGATATGACCCACCAATGCAACTCACCACATGCATGGCATCAACAAAAATAGTAGGGCTGGCTGGCTGGGGATGCTTGCTCACAGGGATTGTCCGGGGCAAGGAAACGGTCTCGAAGGCTCTCCGAGCCTCATGTCAAACACCAGTCCCACTTCGGAACGGCATCCCGACCAACGGCCCACCGCGGTCCACATAAACGGGAGCCACGAGGAAAAAGGGGAAGCAACGAGTCTTGCAGGGCCGTTCTTCTGAGCTAGAATGGCTCGGCGGGGGAGCGGAATGCAACAGACGGGAGTTGGAGTCCTGCAGGACGCTACTGGTGTCTGGTAGGTAGCAACCGGGCATGTGGAACAATAGGCTAGCATTAATACCCCTGATCACAATTGCCTGTTTAGCAACAGTCGTAAAGGCAGGAGGGGCTCGTTCGTGGCGAAGGGTATAAGACTCGATCCTCTTCTCGGATTACTTCCCCCCCCAACTACAGCCATCAACTTCACCAACATGTGGCCCACTCCCAAGGTTGCTTTCCTCCTCTTGACGGCGCGCTCGCTGCTCGTCAGCGGGTCGCCCGTCGACGGGGACGCCGTGGATGCTGCTGTCCTCGCCAAGCGCCAGTGCCCGCAGATCCACGTCTTCGGTGCTCGCGAGACTACCGTGTCGCCGGGTTACGGCACCGCCGGTCAGGTCGTCAACCTGATTCTGGGTGCTTACCCCGGGGCTACCGCTGAGCCTATCAGCTACCCAGCATGCGGAGGCCAGGGTAGCTGTGGTGGCGTCAGCTATGGCGATTCGGCAAGGCAAGGCACCGGCGCTGTGGCGTCGGCTGTCAACAGCTTCCACCAGAGGTGCCCCAACTCCCAGATTGTGCTTGTCGGGTATTCCCAGGTGAGTGATATCCTGTCTTCGCGTCACAGCCGGCGGTAGTAAACCGACAAGCAATAGGGCGGTCAAATCATGGACAACGCCGTTTGCGGTGGTCCCGACAGCGGCTCCGGTATCACTTCGACAGCTCCTCCCATTTCGTCTTCGGCCCTCAACCAAATCAAGGCCGTCATTCTGATGGGCTCACCGCGCTATGTCGCCGGCCTGTCCTACAACGTCGGCACCTGCTCCGCCCAGGGTGTAAGCGCCCCCTTGAATCCTACCCCTTTTCCATCCATGCCCCAAAAGGCTAACCCACAAGCCCAGTTCGCCCCCCGCCCCCGCGGCTACGTCTGCGGTTCCAACTCGGCGTCCAAGATCAAGAACTACTGTGACTCGACCGACCCCTACTGCTGCACGGGCAACGACGCCAACTCCCACCAGCAATACGGCGTCAAGTACGGCCAGCAGGCCCTCACCTTTGTCAAGAGCAAGCTCAGCACTTCTGGCGGTGGTGGCGACGGTGGCTCGCAAACGACGCCGTCAACTCCGGAGCCTACCGGCGGTAACGGCGGCGGCAACACCGGGAACGTGAGTCCAGGGCCCCAGACGCATCTTGACGCAGACTACACAGGATTGCATGCTAACGGAACCCCTAGTGCGCTGCCAAGTGGGCACAGTGTGGCGGTCAGGGGTGGCAAGGGGCTACTTGCTGCCAGAGCGGCTCGACCTGCCAGGCTTCCAACCAGTGGTACTCTCAGTGCCTGTAAGCCATGGGGGGTGTACAGAGTCAAGTACGACTCGATGCTAGCGATGGGGTGGAACAGACCTACTACGGTCTCGGGGGGGGTGGTTTCGTGTACATAGCTTCATTTGTATGTTTAATACATGCCCGTACATGCGTCCCTCTTGTCCTTCTCATCCCTATTGATCCGCAATTCGACGGTTGAATCGAATAACACTTCGCTGTTCTATCTATGGCTTAGTTTCTCGTCGCCCCAGCCTCCATAACCGTAACCCTGCACCCCATCGCAGGGTACCCCGTTAATTACCTCCCACAACCGAGCACCGTTGAAACAGACACTCCCCCGCTTGGCCAAAGATAAGATCGATCCACATGAACTCCTTCAGCATCTCCCTCGTCTCATCCCAGGTCCGGAGCCCCAGAACCGACAACGCCCGCGTCACCAGCTCGTTCAGCCAGTGCTCGCCAAAATCCTCAAAGATCGACACATGGGCCACGAATGCGCTCCACAGCACCAACTTCCAAGCGCCCACCATCTTTCCAGCCACACCACCATCATCTGCCTCGCGGCGTTCCAAGTCCGCCTCCCACGTCGTCAAGACATTCGTCAGCCCATCCACCAAAACAACCATCTTCTTCCCGATCCCATGCAGCTTGATCAACAACATCTTCGCATACGCCATCATCGCCAGCCTCAACAACTCATGCAGAAACACCGGCGACCTCGGCACCCCGCCCGCAACCCGAACCCCACCCCGACTCAGCACCCCAACCCCCTCCCCCCCAAGCCTAAGCTTCAACAACCGATGCGGCACCGACGTCCGCAGCCGAAACATGACCTGCACATGGATCTTGGTGCGGCGCTCCGACGCGTCGTTGACCAGGCGCGAGAACTCGCGCAGGTCAGCCCAGACGTTCAGCAGGCGCGGATCGGGCCGCATGTGGCGCGGCACGGCGGCGTCGAGCTCGGGGAAGCGGCCGGCGGATTGGCCGCGCGCGATCTGAGGCGACCAGGAGATGTCGTCGTCGGCGGTGAAGCGCAGGTCGTGGCCGAGGCCCATGGCGAGGCCGATGTCGATGCTGTCTCCAGGGTTGGGTGGTTAGTAGGGGATGGGCGTGGGTGGGGGTGTGGATATGGGGGGAGGGGTTGGCTTACACGCGAGCTTTGTGGCCGATCATGCTGCCCTGGTTGAATGACGGCATCCCGCCGCGGAGGTCGATGATCTTCTTTAGGCCGTCCATGTGCTTGACGGCCGTCTCGAAATCCCCGGCTACAATAGCCGACATGGCCAGAGACGCTACCGCGCCCATGGTGGAGAATTCCACGGCTTCTTTCTTGTCCTCGAGGCTCATTTGCAAGTGTGTAAGCGCCTTTGCCAAGTGGTGTCGGGCGATGGGGCCGTAAGTTTGGGCGGTGGCCAAGTCGTAGAAGGCTTGGGCGGCGAAGAGGGTGGAATGGAGGATGCCCGGGTGCTGGGCAAGGTCGGGGAAGCAGAACATCTTGTCGTCGTCGGGGTGAGCGGTTGTCAGGTGATGCATTGCGTAGATTTCCGGCTTGATGACGGTTAATGCTTTGAATCCGTCAACAAACATGTCCCCCTAACATGACAAGACACTCCAAGCGGCTCATCACCTACCTCTGTGTATGAGCCGCAACACGTATGGTTGCATTTCACCGCCATATCCCTGCAGAGAAAGTTCCGATGCGATTCTGTGGGGCGTTACCAATGTCCAGCCGTCCACAGATTCTTCAGCTTCGTCTCCTTCGTGTCGGGCTCCGGGGGTGCGCGTAGCCTGGCCCACGGCACTTCTGCGCTTCGGCCCGGTCTGCAGGCCCTGCATGATGTGCTCATTCCTGAATTTGCCCGCATTCTTCCCGCGCATGACATGGCTGCGGATGAAACGGCGTGTTGTCGGATCAGGCTTTGCAAGGGAGGTAGTAACGATAAAGGGGTCACCCGAGTCTGCTGGACCGTCAACTCAGATACGTACGATGTATAGATGTCCACACTGAACGCACTCTGAGTTACGGACGCCATGGGGTCGCGCAATATGATATGTTCGGGATATGGGCGGGATGTCACCGTGGACGCAGCTCGGAAAAGGGAATGTTGCCGATACGAAAGCCACAACCGGGCTCGGGTGCTGCCAATGATGCAGCCTGGGTTAAGATGTGTATTTTCTTTCGGACCTTCACTAGCCAGACTACATTGTTTTCCGGATAGGGACTGGCGGTTTTTATGTTGACGGCGAGAAAGGGGTGACGTTCGTCTCGTCTCACTCAGCCGACTCGGCGCTCAGGGGAGACGGGGCTGTAAGTAAGATGATTGGCAGCCAAGAGGATCCATTGTCAATGGCCCCACTCGATTGTATTCCGTTTTAGGAAAGGTTAGGCCCGCTGAAGACGGAGATATCATACTGGCCGCCTCGTTCGGGGCTTCGCTTTGTCCGATCTCGAGATGAATGGTTGGTCCGAGGACGGTCGAATGCGGCCTGAAGGGGTCGGGTTCGGGAGACAGTTGTGACGCGTCACCTTCTATAAAGGTGGCTGGTTGTCGAAGGCAGTCTTCCGAATTTCAATCTTCTTTTTATGACAATATCACCCTCCAAGACATTTCTTTCAGTCTGCACCAGAACATCAGTACACCACCTTCCCACCGGAGCAGCACAACTACCACCATGTTCTGTCCATCAAAGTCGGTACCCTTCGAAGCCGAGAAGGACATCCCGTCCCTCGATGGCAAAGTGATCCTCGTCACAGGGGGCAACGTCGGACTCGGCAAACAAGCTATTCTCGAATACGCTCGCCATAACCCCCGCCTCATCTGGCTAGGCGCGCGAAGCGTCCAAAAAGCGAACGCGGCGATCGACGAAATCAGACAACAAGTCCCCAACGCGGCCATCCAAGTCCTCGAGCTCGACCTCGGCTCCTTCGCCTCGATCAAAAAGGCCGCGGCAACGGTCCTCTCAACCTCACCCCGGCTCGACATCCTGATGCTCAACGCCGGTATCATGGCCACGCCGCCCGGGCTCACAACAGACGGCTACGAGCAGCAGTTCGGCACGAACCACATGGGCCACGCACTCCTAACCAAGCTCCTCCTCCCGCTGCTCACCAAGACAGCCACAACCACAGACGACGCCATGAAGCAGCCGTCCCTCGCGGGCGCCGTCGCGGACGTGCGCGTCATCTCGCTCTCGTCGGACGGGCACAACCAGGCGCCCAAGGCGGGGATCGTGTTCCACGCGCTCAAGACCGACGGCGACGCGCTCGGGCCGCTGGGCCGGTACGGGCAGAGCAAGCTGGCCAACGTGCTGTGGGCGCGGCAGCTGGCGCGGGCGCAGCCGCAGCTGACGGTGGCGGCGGTGCACCCCGGGGTGGTGCAGACGCAGCTGATGGAGCGGGCGACGGGGGTGCCGTCGGTCGTGCGGGTGCTCTCGCGCGCCGCCGTCAACATGAACCTGCTCACGCCCGTGGACCGCGGGGTGCGGAACCAGCTGTGGGCGTCGGTCGCGACCGAGGGCTTGGTGAGCGGGGAGTATTATCAGCCGGTCGGCGTGGCCGGGAAAGCGAGTGCGCATGGGAAGGATGAGGAGCTGGCGAGAAGGTTGTGGGAATGGACGGAGAAGGAGCTGGAGGGCCATTGCTGAGATTTAGTATGGAGTCGACACTTCTTTGCATAATTACCAAGGTACCTAGTTCTTCGAGCTTTCTCGGCACATGTAGCCGAACATAATGCCCAATATACACCCTTCACCACTCGCACGTCCTTGTACCGCTCCTTCAACGAGGGGCGTTTCTCCGCATGCCGAAAGATATATCTCATTGATTAGCTCGAGGTACTGCTGCCTCGATGCAAGGGCAACATACACCCTGGTGCTCTCCGCCGTCGCCGCCGTCAACGGGCTACCTATCTATTCTAGTGCCATTGTTCCACATGAATGATCCTCAGCCCTCGTGGGGTGCCATGTACTCGGTGTACAGAATACTAGTTCTGGATGTCGTGCACTGGCTGGCATGTAAGTTTGATGTTCAGGGCACGGCTCTCCTTGAGAGTACCTATGTAGCGGGGCTATTTTGGGGTGGTTGTCGTTACCCCGTAAGCGGAACGAGGCTGTCGGCGAATACGGCAAATGAGAAAGTAGAGGGGTGACGAATTGCCGGCGGGAGAGGTAAAACAAGGCCGGGGTCGACCTCCCGGGACTTTCTAGATACTCATATCGGAAGGGCCCCCAAATTTGTCTTCACCCTGTTCAGTGTAATGAACCGGATCACTTACATAGGTACCTGAGCTGCGCACGCCGTCTCCTAGTGTCTGAGCTTCACCGTCAACCTGGGTCTAGTAGTAGTAGCAGCTGCCCTCGGGTTTGGGCAAGGCGCCGGCAATTTTATCAAGGGCGGTTGCGATGGCGGCAGACTTCATGGTCGGTCTGTCAAACGAGCTCGCAGTAAAACGCATTGGTTCAGCACCAGTCAAGAAAGCAGGAGCCGCCGGGCCGGACATGGCTCTCCCTTATTTCCAAGTTACAACATGCCCAGGCAACCTGCAGAAACGGGGGGGGAAGAGGCAAGAGTTCGTACCTATCGTTCCTTCCAAGTTCCTGGTTGATGCTGAGATTCCGGGGGAAAATGAGACCAGTGATAACACCGATAAGCCCATTGGGGCACCGGAAAGAACGACCTGCATGTGTGTGGTTGACAGAGTTCCGGGTAAAGAGCAGCCATGAGTTTGATTCGACCCCCCTGTTGCTTCTCCCGAGTCCAGGCCGGAAAGAAGACGCGTTGTCAGCGACATACTAAAAAATGGCCTAACGAGAGCAAGAACGATCGATTACTTATCGGGTTGACGGTGTTAACGCCGCCTGTGACTGTATGCACCAATAAATCGGGCTGGAGTTTGTCCCGCTGCCTGGGCCGTGTCCCACCTCTCTCGCCAATGAGACAAAGGGCAATATCGTGCCCCGCCACTCCCGCCCGTTCTTGCAGGGTCCCCGACACCAAACGGGCACCGGTCCTTTCGATTCGGCTCAGTCCCCACCGAATTTGGAGAAATTACGTATACCTCTCCCTACTACCACCTACCAACCTGGAACCCACGACCCAAGCCGTACGGCAGCACCTCGGGGTGGCCGGGTGCACTCGTTCACCGAGCCAGTGTTCCATGGCGAAATGGGAGAGAATCCGAAGCGACATTGTTGGGAATGCCTTCGGCGCTGTGTTGTTTGCGACTCGACGAGACCAGCATGCAACAGGTGCACGGCAGCCGGGGGTGTGTGCCCTGGATACGGCGACGTCAAGCCAACGCGCTTGGTATGGCTTGCGCCTGGGAAAGTGAAATCTCGAGTTCGAAGACGAAAAGGGTCACCGGCTTTGTCCGCCGAACCGCCGAGCCAGCTCCCGGGTCATCCAAGCCCGGCGCCACACGCTTACCCTAATGGCGTCGTCTACGACTGCATCCCGCGCTTCGGCGTGAATACTGACGCTGATGCCGTGGTTCACGCTGCAGAGTACTGCAAGTTGTATCTACTGCAGTTTATGTCGCTGTGTCCCCCATTGCTGACCAGGCCTTACCAGACAACGTCTGCATCTACGAAGATCTAATCCCTATCCGAGAACTCGGAGACAACCCCGCCATATATCGGATATCGCCGTCCCTCATTAGGGAGGCCGTTTCCCTCCCCGATTACCTGCAACGCGGGATGCTTTGCATGGCCCTCAGCCATCGGATGAACCGCGCCTGGGGCGACTCGCGGGTCGACCACAGGGCCTTGGCGGAGAGGTTCTATGTCCATCGGGGCAATGCCATTCGCTCTCTGAGAGAGTTGCTGAACCAGGAGAGTCACCGCACAGGTGACGTTGTCATTGCCGGGATCGTGACCCTCCTACTGGTTGACGTAAGTGCCATCACTTCCGAACAATGCGAGCCCTTAAAATCCTAATAAAGCTTTTCCGCAGCTTCAGCAGGGCGCTTCCCTAAACTGGCGGTCACACCTCGAGGGCGCCATCAAGCTGATCCAATTACGTGGCGGGTTTGCCGCCTTGGCCAGCTCCAAAATCTTGGAGCCGCAGCTCCTCCTCCTCTGCTTGTATGTTACATCTTCCCCCGATCTACACCGTCCACGGGTGTGACCCGGGGTTGAGGGGCCATCAACACGGCTTGATACTAACTGTCACGCGTCCCATAATATAGCATGGCCGTTATTGGTAACACCACCTGTCCCGCGTCCGATCTCTCCATGACCCCAGCACACCTCGCCGCGCTCGACGTCATCCTACGGTCGTACGGCACCGGCCTCGCTCCCTTCCAGATGTGCCCCCCACCGCTATTCGGCGAGGTCATCAGAATCAACCACCTCCGGTGGCGGGCCACAAATCACACCCACCACGCCGAACTGGCACAAGAAGCCTACGAAATCCAGAGCCGCATCCACGGCTTCTCCCCGGAGCACTGGGCCGACACCAAACCCTGCGCGCGGGAGGACTGGGCCCTGGTCGGCCGCATCTACCACGCTGCCGTGGCTTTGTACTGGGCGTCCGCCCTACAGAGCCTGTCCGTGCTAGTCCCGACCCCGCCCCTGCGGGCCGAGTGTGCCGAGCGCGCCCGCCTATTACACCAGCTGCTCGCGCGGGCGGCCACGTGCCCGCCCATCAAACGGTACACGCTCTGGCCGCTGGTGGTGTTGGGTGTGCAGGCGGCCCAGACCCATGCCCATGCCCACGACGTCCACGGCGGCTGTGGGGTGCAGGAGATGCGGGACTTCGTCGCGGCCCAGCTGCCCGTCCTCGCCCGCTACGGCGGCACGTACGCGCCGCTCATGGCCAAGGTCGTGTTGGAGAGGTTCTGGGCGTCGGGGGAAACTCGGTGGGACGCGTGCTTTGACCGGCCTTATGCGTTCGTCATGCAGATTGCGGTAGACACGAGTCGGATCATGAGCGCCGCTCCAGGTGAGGGTTCAGCCCCAGGCAGTCCTTAGACTACATTACATGTAGAGTATTGTGTCTTTTTAGAGTGTGTTCACCTCAATTGTTTTCATATGTATCGGAAGCAGGGACCCAATCAATGGTCGAGAATCATCACATCAACATGAGAAGAAATGTGACGGCCTCTGAGATTCGAATATAGCCAGAAATAATACGACTAACTACCTGTGTACCTAGATTCTACCGATCTTGTCGTTGAGTGCCTAAGCACCTCTCCCAAAGCTCCGCTAAGCCTCCGCGTCAGGCGTGAACCTCAGTTTCGCCTCCTCCCTCAGTCTTGACCCACGATGTGTTCTTGGTGGTGGACGCAAACATGCCGGACCGCTCGCCGCTCGGATCGTTCAGACCCCAAGCAGTAGAGGACGAGTCAAGAACGGTAGCCCGCCGCATGTCGCGCACGTACTTTCCTTGGTATTCGCCGCCAGTAGCACGGTGCATCACGCAAGTGTTGTCCTGTATTTTGTTTTCGATCTCGTCGTCAGCGTTTTTCCCAACGTCTAATGTTACTCGAACGTACTCACCCACATGATCAAATCACCGTCGTTCTCCCATTCCACCTGTACAGTATACTTGTCCTGACTGGCGTGGCTGAGCAGCTCGCCGATCACCGGCTCGCTCTCCTCCCGGGTCCACCCGTCCACCCGAAAGGCGTGCCGGGCAACGTACAGGGTCATCCGACCGCTGGGCTCGTGGAGCTGCACAAGCTTGTGCCGCGCCATGGCGTGCGCCTCCGGGTCGATGCCCTGCAGAATCTCGCTGTCGGGCGCACCCAGACGCCGGGAATGCCACAGGCTATGCCAGAGGACCAAGTCCTTGATCTTCTCCTTGGTCTGCGCCTCCAGGTCGTTGTACGCAGTGCGGGAATCCGCGAAGGCAGTGCCGCCACCTGTGCCGCTGGGAGGGAGAGTATGAGCCCTCAGGATAGAAAAGCCCGCCCGGCGGGGGTTGTAGCTACAGTCAACGTGGAACAGTCTGTTGCCCTGGTTGATCTGGTAGCGGATGCTGTCTTTCTGCACAACCTGGCCGTCAGCCTCGATGTTGCCTACATCGCTCAGTTGAGTCCATTGTCCAAGACGATAGGGCTGACCGGGGGCGAGCCAGGGGGTTTGGTCGTCCAAGTCACCGAACTGGCTGGCGAATGCTACGTGGCCGGCGTCATCCAGCTGCGTTGCGCGAAATACGAGCATGCCATAGAGGGCCATGCCATTCCGGATGAGGTCGATGGTTGATTTCGGCACGGGCTGGGAGAAGTCGACGCCGATGGCCTCAGCGCCAAAGGTCGGCGCGAGAGGCTTGAAAGTAATGCCCGAACCGGCCATGAATGTCTCTGGTACTGCCATTCTAGGGATCAAACCAACTGGTCAGGGTCAAGAGTGTCAGAGTGTTTGACTGTGACGAGAGAGAGGTGTTCCGCGACACTTGGTTTACTGCGTAATGCTCGGGACAATATTCCCGTCCTCATTCGAGGGGGCGAGGACAACTTGATGATTCCCGTCCGGTTCCCCCAACGAACGTCTACAACTCGTTGGCTAGCACCCGGTGAAGCCGAAGGTTGCTGCAGGTCCAAAACACCACCGCTAGCTTGGTTTCCCCAGTGTATGAAATTCTTCGGGACCGACCTCGTCTCGCGAGTCGCGATCTCCACCCGTGCACCATGGTAACCAGTAGTAACAAAGCTGACAACGGGGATGAACGGCGCAGGACACGGTAGGAACGGGGCGTAGTACGGGATAAGAAGATCTCCATGGAGAGGTCGCCTGGGATGAGTCAGACCGGTTGTTTAAGTGTAAATACCGGCTCAACTAGGAAAGTAGAAGCGCCAAGTCTTTGCTTGATAAGACGGTTTTCATCGCGGTGATGTCTCGAACGCTCCCCAAAACAGTCAATGCTACAGCCAAGCCCGGGATCTGCAGCAGCCTTGTGGGAGATGTTACCGAGTGATGCGTCCGGGGTATGTCCGGGGCCCGGTGTGCCCAGCATTGGTCGTACTGCAGGCCAACCCCTCTCCTCCAATGGTGGCGGACAAGAGTCGAACGAGCGGACCCCTCGTAAGCAGGTACATGTATGTACACTAGGTCGACTCCCCATCCAAACTCCGAGCCCCAGGTTTGCAGGTCTACTCTGCATACACCGTGAGAATCTGGGCCCTCACTTCCACTTCCGTTGGTAACCCCCACCTCGGAACCGTTCGGGTGGTAGTACGAGAAGGACATTCAAGGAATTGACGTATGCTGTGTACACAACCCGTAGGATATTGCGGTGGGGGCCTAAACCGGCAGATCGACGGTGTTTTGGACTGTTTGTGGAGGCGTAGAGAGCAAGGCTGGAGCGCATCGAGGCATGAGCGAGTGCCGTTTTTTCTCCTCTGCCCCCGTGCCTGACGACACTCTGTAGGTACCTACACGAACTCTGCTCTGCAACTGTAGGCGAAACAACGTACCAACCTATGGGCTTTTCACTACCTACTTAGAATAGGGTTGAGCACAAACTACTACCCAGAGGATTTCCAGTCATCAACGAGATAGGATGGGCTCAATTGCAGTTCACGAGGCACCACGACACCCGGTGACGTCCATCGCCGAGATGGACGACGACACTATTGTCGAGATCGCCGACGCGTGCAACATCCCAACGGGCATCATCGAGGACCTATACACTTGTTTGCCACTCCAGCAGAGCATGATAGCTGAGAACCGGGCTGAAGTCTTTCACTTCATTATCTCCTTCGGGCCGACGGCGGACATCGACCGGTTTTGCGAGTGCCTGCGGAAGGTCGTTGCGACGAATTCCATCTTACGCACCAGACTCGTGCGCTCTGCAAGCCTGGGCGGCATCGTGCAGGTTGTCACGAGTGAGGAACATGTTACAGAGCATCATCCTGGTGTTGATGGCGAGGATGTGGAGCGCTACCTACAGCAAGATCCCCATCGGATGGGTCTTTGCATGCCCCTTTTCCGCACTGCCTTTATCGGAAGGTTCTTGGTGCTCACGCAACACCATGCCGTGTTTGACTATTGGTCATGGGACGCCATGATGAACGTGGATATCGCGGGTGCATACCTGCAAAGTCCAAAGTCTCGGATCAAGGTCAGCCCACGACCACCATTCAAGGACTTTGTTTCGCGGTGTCTCAATGTCGATGAGACGGAAGCCAGAGGCTTTTGGGCGTCACGGTTCAAGGGGTCTCCGGCCATCTTCCTCAAGCCCGAATCACCACGCACCTCCCCGCGAGTTGTCTCGAAACCGACTCGAAAATTCCATGTGGAGCGCATCAAGACGGGTGTACTCCCACCCACGCACGCTCCCCACTTCCTAGAGGCGGCATGGGCTTTGACAGCTTCCATCTACACCGATAGCGAAAGCGTGGCCTACGGCTACGTCCTGTCGGGCCGCACTCCCACTCCGGACGGCCTCGAGAACACGCTGGGTCCAACGGTCACCGAAATACCCATGCAGACCAATCTGCAGCGGAGAACGATGACGGTCGACAAGCTCATCAAGGACCGGGCCGCATCAATCCGCCAACTTCACCAAAACCCACACTTGATGCACTACCCTCTGGAGAAGATTGCCGCCCTGAGCGGAGCTGCAAAGAGCGCATGCGCATTCTCAGCACTATTCAACGTCCGCCCGGCGGTATTTGCCAACGCAGCCGAGGAGGGTGAAATCAAAATGGAGAGAATGGTGTGGCTCAACGGCCTCTTCCCACTGCAGCTCATCTTCAGCATTACGGGGGAGGGCATCGAGGTGTGGCCGCGAGTGGACGCCACTGTGGTCGATGACCGCCAACTCGATCGCCTCCTAAATCAGTTCAGCCACACATTCCGCCTGTTGACAGAAGCGTCCCCTCAGACAAAGCTGGACAACTTGCCTTTGCTCGATCCACAGGGGCGCGAAGAGGTCTTTCAGCTGAACAAGACCATCCCTGAGCCCGTGCAGGCCACCCTCTATGAACTCTTCACGGCCCAGGCGAGAGCACAGCCGAAGGCAATGGCAGTGACCACTGCGGGCGATGGGAATCTGACCTATGCCCAACTGGATTGGCTCTCTTCGCGGCTCGGCTGCGTATTGCAGTTGAAGGGTGTGGGGACCGCCAGCCGGGTCGGTTTGCTCATCGACAGATCGCCATGGGCCATTGTAGCCATTCTTGCCGTGCTCAAAGTTGGCGGCGTGTGCGTTCCCATCGACAACAGAAATTCGGGGGAGAGAAATATGGATCTGCTCTTGGAAACGGGGGCCAGGCTCATTTTGACCTTATCGGCCCAATATGCCCGTGCCATTGTTGGCCGTGGGATTGAAATTTTCGTGATGACCCCTGAATCCATCACCGAGATACCTCCATCGCTGGAGCAGCGGCAAGTTGTCACAAACACCAGCCAACCGGAGGACCCGGCGTACGTTTTCCACGCCAGCTATAACAACACCCCTGGAACTCGGAAAGCCGTCTTGCTTGAGCACCGCTCCTTGGCTTCAGCGTTGACGTGCCATGCGCAACGGTTTCGTTGGGGACCGGCCACCCGGATGCTTCAGTTCTGGTCTTTGGCGTCGGAGAACAGCGCGCTTGAAGTGTTCGGTGCGCTCCTCTCGGGCGGATGTCTCTGCATTCCTCCCCTCGCCCTTGAAAACAGCGGCGAGTCTACAGGCTCGTGGCTTTCGCGTTTCATCAAGTCCGCCAAAGTTGACTTCGCAATGCTGCCTCCGAGCGTGATTCGGGAACTCTCCCCGGCCAGTGTTCCGACTCTGCGCTCGCTGGTCTCGGTCGGTGAGCCGCTACAACAAGCCGACACGGAGACGTACAAGACTTGGGCAAGGAGCTTCCAGCTCTTTAACCGGTGGGGTGCAACAGCGGCACCGACGCTGAGCATCGTCTCGAAAATATCCCCGGATGTGCATCATGGCTTCTCCTCCAACAACGTCGGGATGCCGGTCGGTTGCGCGGCTTGGATCGTAAATCCTAGCAACGTCAACGACCTAGCCCCCTTCGGCGGGGTGGGCGAGCTCGTGATCGAAGGTCCTGGTACGGCCTCAGCCTCCTTTGGGAACGGTTCCATCCTTCCCCGACCTCAGTGGGCACTCGATCTCAAGCGCGGCCAGGCAACGCGCTTCTTCCGTACCGGCGACTTGTCCAAGTACAACAGCGATGGCAGCATCTCCTTTGTTGGTCGCATCAGCAATCGTGTCAAGTTAAGCGGCTGCCAGATGGTGCAGCTGGAGGACCTAGAGCGCACCATCGTTGGGTGCAGCCAAGTACGGGAGTGTGTGACCGCGGCGAAGATCATTGCCGGCCGCACCCAGATTGTTGCCCTGGTGTGCCTGGCAGACCCCCGCCTCCCGAGGGGGGTTTCACTGCAGCGGTTGATTGGACCCGACGCAGATATTGCCGCCCGGGGGATTGACGTTGTGCATGCCTATACACAATCCCGGCTGCCGGCTGACAGGGTGCCCGCCAGCTGGATCGCTGTAGAGAGGCTGCCCAGAACTCTGTCGCACAAGATTGATCGGGTTGCGGTGAAGGAGTGGTTGAAGACGTTGAAGAGATGAAGGGGGTAAAGTAGGTAGGTACCTATCAGCTCACTACATGTAGCTTTTCCTATGTATGCACCAAGGTTTCAACACCCATATGACTCGTGATGTACACTGCGCTCAGGAAGAAAACGAACTCAAGAAAGAAAGAAAAAGCGGTATTAATGATTACTGGTAGCGGCTTTCTATGTGCCTGTTCTCGGCACGACTGGATAGGTACAAATATGGTATCAATTTACCTTACCGATAGATACATAGTCGAAAAGCCCTCCACTCCCGCCGCGCTCTCGTCCCCTTGTCTCACACATTCCCGCTCCTCAAACCACTCCAAGTCCCACAAACCATCACAATCTCTGTAACACCCAGTACCCATTAACCACCCCGAAGCCACTCAGGCGGGAGAATGGCGGTCGTCCAGCTCCTGCATGCCATGCGCGCCCTTGGTTTTGTCGCGAAATAGAATGCCAAAAGTCAGGACGTGGGCCGTCTTGGCCAGCAGCGGCCTCGAATCTTCGTACTTGTCACCTGTCACCACGGTCCCATCCTCGGCTAGGTAGATGTGAAGATCCCGCGGCAGGAAGCGTCCGGGGTGCCAGAGATTCCACAGCCAGGAATTGAGCAGCATCAGGCTCGCCTCGAAGACGTAAAAGTACGTCTCGAACCGCATCAGCGGGGTGAGTCTCCTCAAAACCTCGATATCATCCAGATCCATCTTTGTGTTTCCCGTGTGCTCGACCAGGCGGAAGACGCAGCGCGCAAAGATGAGCGCCATACTCGCGTACAAGACGAACAGGGTGGTCTTGACGGCTTTGGAGTTCAGCCGTGCGCGGGTGAAGCGGTAGTGAAACATGCCGGCCATGACCACGAAGATCACGATGACGATCACCTGGATGGCGACGGCTGCAATGGTCAGGTCTTTGCCGAGGGACTGCGAGTCGCTAGACGGGTTCGCGACGAGCGAAACCCCCACCGCGTTGAGCGCTTCCACGACGGCCATGAGCCCACCAAATGTTGCTAGGACGCGGTTGGGCGGGAGAGGAGCGCAGTAGGGGACGTAGTAGAATACGCGACCGAGGACGTGGTAGTTGGAGAGTTCGAGAAGGGGCCTAGAACGCACAAACACCCACCATGTCAGTCAGAGTCGGGATGTCGATGGCTCGGGCTCGGCGACGAAGTACTCACGGGCAGACGTAGATAAAAACTTGGCTGAGAATAAACATGATCAAGGGCGTGTTGTCGGTGCGGCTGAACAGGTAGTTGAAGGATCCCCATTCTCGCAGTGCGTAGCCGACGGTGAACAACACCGCGCAGAGCGAATGCAGCCACATCAGCTTCCATGCCTTGTAGCGGACGCACTGCCACATGTGGAAGACGGCCGAGATGCCATATGCGATGGCGAAGAAAATGGGCGCTCCTTGGTTCGGGGCGTAGACATACAAACTCCAGAGGACTGCAACACGTTAGCACTGGGATCCTCGGTACTTAGGGAGGTACCTATGCTGTGGGTTGGTTCAGTCTTACCGGGTTCTCCAGGCGACGCCATCTTGAACGTCGCGACGCAAGGAAAAGAAGTGAGATCACGGCGGCGAGCCTGGCCGTGGGATGGTGGCTGTTAGTGATGGCGGCGACTACCTAGTGTTGGTTGGGGTGGCTGTTGAACCGTCTTGTTGTCGGGCTTCCTCTGGCTTTTTATTACTTGAACTTTTTTGGGTTCAGGTTTCTTTTATTCCTGGGGCGTCAAACTTTCTTGAGACATGATCCCTATTCCGCCGCGTTGCCCCTGATGACGCGCTCAAGCTCAAAGACAAAATAAGAATATACGGCAAGATTCTTTCAGGGGCGTTGGAATTGTTCCAGGACAACCAACCGGCCCAGCCCAAGCCGGACGCGTCATGTGTGTTGAGCGCCGCCATGAACAAGCGATGAGGCACAACGGCTTCGTCCCAAATAGGATAATACGCTTGCCAAGTCTGCCCAGACTTGAATCCTTGTTGCAGATCATCCCTTTCAGGACAAGGGCCACAGTTCCACAGGTTACACAGTATAGGAGAAAGAACGGCTGAGCGCCCCAAGTTTGAGTTTCGTTTACTTCGTACTGGGTCCTCGCCGTTTGATCCACGTCATGTGGGAGAAAGGGATCTCTCATTTTGGGATTCAATGGCCGTGGTTCGGCTCTGCTGCTTTCTCCCCCTTCACCTCCCAAGGTGCTGACGCGTCTTTGGCATCTTCTTATCCAATCTCCCGTTTGACTTTGCAGAGGCAAGTTGCAGATCATATTGAACTGACGCGAATTCCATGCTACACAGTATTATATGTCGTGTACCGTACAGATAGTCCCTAACCTCAACGGTTCAACCTGAGCCAATGAACCACTATCTCGGCCGTCCCCTGTACCTGATCGGGGCCGCCCAACTAAGATATTTCGGTCGATCTGCGCTTGGCTATTTTCAGGCGCAAACCCTCACCCTTGGCCTCGTTCGGCTCAAACACGTCATTCATTTGCAACACTGTCACCCAGCGGCTATCCCGTAGCCGCGCGTCCAGTCTGGCCCCGGCCGCCTCCCAGTCTTCGTCACCCAAGGGCACTCGCTCAATGCGGTGCTGTTTCAGCAACGTGAGTATCGCAGCCACGAACTCGACCTGGGCCATCTTCATGCCCGGACACACCCGCGGTCCCATTGCCCACGGCACCCATGTGCCCTTTGGCGGGTGATAATGCGCTTGGGCCGAGCCGGGCGGGTTGAGCCACCTTGACGGCCGAAACACGTATTCATCCGTGGCTTCGGCGCCTCCAGTGGCCGTCGTTGCTCCGGCCCGTGACGCTTCTGCCACCTGTACGAAGGGCGGATCAGACTGGTGGTTGACATGGCGCCATGACGGGAGAATGTGCAGCGCCAGCGAGTTGACATAGACTCTCGTGCCAGCGGGTACGTGGATGGTGCCCGTCGCAGTCTGCAGCGTCTGAGGTGCCGTGGTTTCCCGATGCACATGGGGCACCGGTGGGAACAGTCTCAGTGTCTCGAACATGAATGCCAACGTCCGGGTTGCGCGTGGGAAGACGGCCGAGTAGTCCATCAGCCCTTTCTCGTTGGCCGCCGTACCGGCACTGATGAGACTGAGGTCATCGACCTCCTCCAGGAGCCAGTCTTGCCATTCGGGATGCCGCGCCAGGAGAACCATGGCATAAGCCAGGGTGGTTGCTGTCGTCTCAAAACCTGCCGCTGTCACGATGAAGAGGTTGCTGATCATTTCGGCTTCCGTAAGAACGACGCCCGAGCCCTTGCCCTCATCGGATGCTCCTACGATCTTGCTGACGATCGTGGGTTTCGGCGTTGTCTCTCCTGTAGCGCGCCGCTCGCGCTCTTGTTTCAATATGGCCCTGCTGCGCTTTTCAACCTCCATCTTCGCGCACCCCACCGTCGTCATTTTCTTGTGCCACGGAAGCCAGCGCGGCCAGCACGTGAGGAGCTCTTTCGATAGCATTCCCACCCCCACTATGCTCACCACCATGGTGTTGAGCGACTCAACATGTGGCATCTTGTATCCAGGCTCCACGGTCCGATTGCTCCTGTCCCAGTCGCCGACGTCCACCCCCATGCTTGTGCCAAGGAGCACATGGATGGTAACCTTTTTGAGCATGTCAAACAGTTGCACCGTCTCCGCTGAATTGAGCTTCCGCTTCCCATCCGTCGGCGTAAGAATATCGCCCAGGAGCATCGAAGTTTGCCGAATAGACTCTTCGAAGACAGACCTGATAATGTGCTCGTCGATGACGCTTGTGATGATCTTCCGATGTTTCCTCCATCTGTCGCCATTTGAGGTGAGAACATTGGGACCGTACGTCCCAAGCGCGTAACTCATGGCCTTGGGTACTTCATAGTCCTGAGCCCGGGTCATGAGGTCTTGTGCGGCCACAGGGTCGGCAGTCCAGATTTCAGTCTTGCGTAGTCCCACCAGAACGAATGACCTCCCCATTCCACATCCATCACGGTGACCGGGCAAGTACTCGTCAAATGGGCGCAACTTCTCGTGAAATTCCCACCCAAATATCGTGAGCGAAACCCGGCTCCAAATCCCTTTGAGTAAAAGTTGTTGTATTCGCTCTCTGTTGAGGGGTGCGAGCAATATCCAAAGGAGATGGCCCTGGTCCACCGGAGTAAGAATCACTGGTAGCCCAATCTTTCGCGCTTGGAACACATTTCGGGCGTAGTTGTAGGCGAACTTGGTGAAAAATATTAGAATGACGGTGACGATGGCTTGGAAAGCGTAAGCCATGATGTCAGTAGTATGTAGATAGACACGTAAAACTACCTAGCTTGATAACGGTGACGGAAAGTCGGTGGCGGAAAGTGCGAGGACGATGCTCTTGATGTTCTCCGTTCATGATGGCTTGCGCTGAGTGCCGTCAACAAAAGCAAACAGCACCTGAAAGCTTTCTCCCAAGTCTCGGCGTGAATATTGTACCGACGCTCTCCGAGCTCAACGCCGTGGATGAATACTAGGTACCGCGTTTGTATGTACTATCGACGACCATAGGCCTACAAGTTGCGGTCTTTGGTACGCAAATTGTCACACTCGTGCCGCTTCCTATGAGTATACCTACCTACCTACCTAGGTAGGTAAAGTACCTAGTAAGTACGCAATCGCACTCGCGTTCGGTCCTTTGCTCCTACTTGCAGAAACCGGCTCGGAACACGTACATTCCTACGTATGGCGATCTTCATAGTGCACTTCGGTCAGCGCAGCATAATCCCCGGCTTCAATCCGCCTATCTGTCAAATAATAATTTCCCGTCTTACGGTCGTGAACGTTCCATGATGGGACACGATATCAGGATGTCACGCTTGGCAGACGCACGGGAACCTATTGCGAGTATAGATCGACACTAGAAATCCCGTCAAGTTTGGAAAGCTTCACTTCCTACCGAGCTAATCATCCAAGATAATTGGGCACCTTTCGATTGGCTGGACGGCATCTCCTCTTGGTTACAAATCCGCATACAACTCTGACAACAAACGCGCGGCCAACCCCCACCCGGCCGATCTGAGACACACGTCCTCGACGTCCTTGTGTGTATATTTGGATACTCCGCGGCTCGAATAGGAGAATATGGTCGCCAAGCCTAAGATACTGAGCCGCACTGCCACTGACATACAGTCCAGTACTCATGCGGCCGAAAGGTATCGGGGTAGATGCAATAATATACGTACACGCCCTATCTCCCGGCAACATGGCAATGCAATGCATGTTTAAGCGGACGTCCAGTCCGTCCCACTATGCGGGAATTCCCAGACTGGCAGCTATCGGGCTCTCGTCATATTATATGCAATGCAACACAGAGCCTTGCGCTTGCTTTGCCGCCCCCGCCCCTCCCACCCCGACGACTTCCATGGTACCTTGACAACGAGCAGAGTCAACCATGACTCCACATCTGCAAAGCTGACAAGCCGAGCTGGGCAGCATCGAATCATTCGGCATTCGTTCTATATCGCCTGGTGCAACTGGACGCGCAAGTGGACGCGCAACACGACGCGCAACTAGACTTTCATAGTGGCATGAAGACGGAATCCTAAGAACAAAAACTACCGAGATAAAGGAGTAGAGGAGATTAAATCTCCACGACCAACTTGCCAAACTGCTTCCCGCCCTTCAGGTCCTCAAACAGTGCCTCGATCTGATCAACGCAGTCCAGCCCCTTGACAGTCCTGGAAACGACCGGCCTGATCCCGTGGCGGGCCACAAAATTGACAAACTCCGTGAACTCGACCCTCGAGCCCAGCGTAGTGCCCCTCAGCTCGATATTCTTCATGACGGCCTGCATGGGCCAGTCCATGACCGGCGCCACGGTCATGCCATAGCACGAAATCACCCCGCCAGGCTTGAGCAACGGGACGCTCCGCACCACGATATCCCCGCCGGCCCCGTCGATGACCGCGTCCAGATACGGCCTCTCCGCCGGCAGCAGCTTGGCCAGGTTCTTGGGCCACTCGTCGCGCGTGTACAGAACACCCCCCTTGGCGCCCAGCTCCTGCGCCCTGGCCAGCTTAGCCTCGCTGCTGGAGGTCACGTAGACGTCGACGCCCAGCGCCAGGGCAAACTGGAGCACCTGCAGGGCGACACCGCCACCGATGCCGGTGACGAGGATGCTCTTCCCCGGGCCGGCCGCCGAGGCCGCTTTGGTGAGCAGGGCGCGGTAGGCGGTGACACCCGCCGAGGGTAGCGCGGCGCCCTCGGCGGCGGTGAGGTGGGCCGGGAGCAGCTCGACCTCGTCCTCCTCGACGACGACGTAGGTCTGGCCGCCGCCGAGGTGCGTGTGCGGGCCCACGCCGCCGATGGTGCTGAACTGCGCCCAGTCCTCGGGCCCGGCCTGGTCCGCCGCCCACCCGCGGAAGGGCGTGAGCACGACGAGCTTGTTGATCAGCTCCGCCGTGCGCGTGCACCCGGGCCCGGCGCCGATCACCTCCCCGCAGGCGTCGGAGAAGAGGGGCGCCTGGAAGGAGATGTTGGGGTACAGGTTCTGGCGGATGAAGACGTCCCTGTGGTTGAGAGCTGCGGCAGCCGTCTTCACCAGCAGCTGGCCAGGCCCGGGAGTGGGTGTGGGTACGGCGCTGAGCTGGAGCGGGTAGTAGGGCGCTGCCCCCGGCTTGCCACGCTTGTGCTTGATGGTGAGTATGTGCGGCATGGTTGGTGCTTGTGGACTCGGTCAGGGAGATAGGAAAAAGAGATAAGATTCAGAACAGAGGCTGGGAGAACGGGGGGGAGAGTTGGTTGAGGTGATCCATGGCTGCTCGCACTGGTCGTTCATGCGGACTTATGATAGACATTGATAGAGAGACGATAGATGTCAGCACGGTGGCGTATTTCCCCCGCTTCGGTGCCTTGCTGAGTAGGTATGGAGGGAGATAGTCAGCGGTCTGTTATGCGTGTCGCGGCTATCTTCGGTAGCGTATGCGGGCTCCTGCCAATATTGTGATAGATGCAGCCGATTATTGACGGTGCGTCGCTGACTGGAATTCCAAGTTGACGTTGCATTACATGCGTGGAATGGTTGCATTTGGGTGCGGCTTAAACATTCACCCACATAAAAGCAACAATGGAGAGAGCACGCCATGCTGATAATCATGAAACAAGTCGGGGTATGTACCACACCATCAGCACCAAGATCCCGGCTTTTGTTTTTTATACTTCCAAGGTACTGACCCTTGGTGTCCAACTTTATTCCAACCCACCTTCATGTCCGGACAACAAAGGTCGGATCGCGATGGGGGCCAACCTTACCTACCGGGTAATGTAGTGGCAAGTACCTCTGGTTGGCCCTTGACTGGAGAAGGAGGGTCTAGGCCATGCGGCATGGCCCTTCTGCAAACCATCACGGTCACATTTGCACAAAGCCTGCCGTCCCACGCGTTCCATTTTTGTTCACCGTGAAAATCCTGGTTGCCGGGTCCGAGCCAGCGACCGATATTTCGGCCACCAGTTGGATCCGAAGTCACCCCAGATTTTGTTTCAAGGCATGGCTGTAGTAAAAGGTACCAAAGGCGGGGTGCGCAACGAACTTACACCACAACCAGGAATCGCCTACACCCACGCTAGGTTCCCGCGCTGCAGTCGGGCGGCGCGTGGGTGATTCAGCTCTCGTCCGGATGGGGCAGCAGGATCGAGTCTCCCCGGGCCATCGAGGCTTGCCGTTGACCGTATGGATGGGGAGGGGCCCTCTTGAGTCCTGTGCCTGAGTTGCTCGGGCAGGATGGATATAAATAAGAGACAATACCGCAGTTGGCATCTCTAGCTTGCTATTCCCCGGTGTCTCAGAGTGATATTCAACACACATTTCAACACCCTCAGAATCTTTCAAATATATCGCATCGCCAGTTTCCTATCTTTGATCCGTCGTCATGGTCAATGATATCCCTATTGCCGTTGTAGGCATTGCCTACCGTGCCCCTGGTACCGGTGGCAAGGGTATATGGGACTACCTTACACAAGCTCGGTCTGCATGGTCGAAGTTCCCCGACCACCGGTTCAATGTGTCGGGATATTGGAAGCCCGGTGCCGACAAATCCGGCGTGTTCAGAGCCGAAGGCGCACACTTTGTGCCCGAGGACATTTACGCTTTCGATGCCGCTTTCTTCAACATGAGAGCGGAGGAGGCTAAGAACGCTGACCCCCAGCACCGAATGCTGCTTGAGTGCGCCTTGGAGGCCGTGGACGACTCTGGTCACAGCCTTACTGACCTTGCCGGGAAGAAGATCGGCGTCTTCGTGGGTGCCGGCCAGCACGAATACTCCGAGCGTCTCTGCGAGGACCACTTCGCAGCCAAGACATTCACAGCTACCGGACTGGCACCCTGCATGCTCGCCAACCGCATCTCGTACTTCTTCGACGTGAGCGGACCTAGCGTCGTGCTGGACGCTGCCTGTGCCAGTAGTGTCTACGCAGCACACCAAGCCGTGTCGGCTGTCCGCAACGGAGAGTGCGAGGCTGCGTTTATCGCATCATGTGCGCTCACGGTTGCCCCTGGCGGGTGGCTCGCGCTGGAAAAGACAGGGTAACGTAACGATACAAGATATCTCGATTACAAACAGTCGCCTAACAATCAGACAGGGCTCTTTCGGTTCACGGTAGAAGCTTTTCGTACGACCACAAAGCCTCTGGCTTCGGACGTGGCGAGGGCGCTGGCTGCCTGCTTATCAAGCCCCTGAAGGATGCAGTGGCAGCGGGTGATCCAATCCATGCCGTCATTCGCAATTCTGCCTGCAACCATGGAGGAAGGTCGGAGGGCATCACCATGCCAAACGGCATAGCTCATCGAGAGCTCCTCCGCTCGGTGCATCATGCCGTCGGCTTGGACCCTGCCGATACCCCTGTTGTTGAGGTTCGTGCCCAATATATCTGCACAGTGATCAGCACGTGTAATGCCTAGGTCTCTGACATTTTGCTCTTCTCTAGGGCCATGGAACCGGCACTGCGGCCGGTGACCCGATCGAAGCCGGCGCATTTACGGCGGTTCTTGCCAAAGACAGAACACCAGACAACCCCATCTACATTGGATCGGTCAAGTCGAACTTCGGGTAGGAAATTCGCGATCCCCAACAGCCGCGCGCTTTTCTAACTCATCGGAACAGGCATCTCGAAGGGGCCAGCGGCATGCTGGGCATGATCAAGGCAATCTTGATGGTCAAGAACGGAATCGTACTTCCCACCGCAGGCTTCGAGTCCATCAACCCCAAGATCCCGGACAAGGAGAAGATTGTCGTGGCAGAGGCCCCCCTGCCATGGCCGAAAGGCGAGCCACGACGAGTACTGGTGACCAACTTCGGTAAGGCAGCCCCAGGTTCTTGCTTACGACGCGACGTTTTGATTACTTGCTAACTAGCGACGGACGGCTAGGCTTTGGTGGCAGCAATTCTGCGATCCTGTTCGACCAAGCTCCATCCAGTGGTGCCACAAAGAGTCACGCCAGCCTCAATGGCGTCGATGGCACCAATGGCCACACCAATGGCCACACCAACGGCAACATCAACGGCAACACCAACGGCAGCACCAACGGCACCACCAACGGGCACACAAACGAAAACGGTGTCTCTTTCACGGACGATTCGCGCCTATTCGTTCTCTCCGCAAAAAGCGAAAAGAGTCTAACGTCATACCTGGGCGTATTCAGCGAGTATTTAGAGGACGAGGCTCCCGAGACTCAGGATTATCTCCAAAGCCTTGCCTACACCTTGGGCCAGCGCCGCACGCATCACCCATACCGCGTTGCGGTAGTGGCGGACTCCCTTGAGACCCTCGAGGAGAAGATCTCAGCGATCAAGCCAGGCAGGGCCAAGAACCGAACTCTTGCCTTTGCCTTCACTGGCCAGGGTGCCCAATACGCCCAGATGGCGACCGGACTACGGCGCTACGATCTCTTTGCGGCTGCATTGGATGAAGCCGATGCCCATCTTCGCGCCATGGGTGCAACGTGGAGTCTCCAAGAGGAGCTTAGCAATCCTGTGGATAGCTCCCGCGTGGATGATGCTGAGATCAGTCAGCCGGCGTGTACCGCTATTCAACTGGGTCTGGTGGCGCTACTCAAGAGTTGGGGGCTTGTTCCGAAGGCCGTTACCGGGCACTCGAGCGGCGAGATTGCTGCAGCATATGCCGCAGGTTTGATCTCCTTCAAAGCAGCCATTGCCATCTCCTATTTCAGGGGCCAGGCAGCTGCTCGGCTGTACCGCCAACAGTCCCAGGAGGGGCAGCAGGGGGCCATGCTGGCCCTCGGTCTTGGACCCGAGCAAGCGGCCGAGCTCATCCAGGGTACCGCACAAGGGTATGCCACTGTTGCCGCTATCAACAGTCCCAAGAGTGTCACCGTCTCGGGAGACGTGGCTGCCATCGAGCGGGTTCACAAAGCTGCAGAGGAACAAGGCCTGTTCGCCCGCAGACTCAAAATCCAAATGGCCTACCACTCGCGACATATGGAATCGGTGGCATCCTATTACCTGGACCATATCCGGCCCTACTGCGAGAAGGATGCAGCAGACCTTACCACCGGTGACGCCGCCGACGTTATGTTTGTGTCTTCTGTCACGGGAGGCGTACTTGACCGGGACAGCGTTGACGCGACATACTGGGTAAAGAACCTCGTCCGTCCCGTCAGGTTCGCAGATGCCATCCAGGCGATTCTCACACCGCCGTCGCTCAAAGGCAGCATCCAGGCAGAAGTTCCCAATACTATTCTGGAGATCGGTCCCCACGCTGCTCTCAAAAGTCCGATCAAGCAGACGGTAGAGTTGACCCATCCCCAAATGGTTTCGACATTCACCTACCTCCCTTCATTGATGCGCAATACAAGCGCCGAAGCAGCACTTCTCGACCTGGCCGGCGCTCTCTTCACTCTAGGAGTCCCGATCCAGCTCGGAGCTATCAACCAAACCAATATTGATAACTCCGACGTTATCACCGGCCTTCCGGGGTACGCCTGGGACAAATCGGTGAGCTACCAGCTCGAGCCGCGGGCGGTTCACGAAAAGCTATTCCCGGCTGAGGCCTATAATCCGCTATTGGGAAGAATCCTTCCCAGTTACGGTGGCAAGGCGAAAGCATACCGCCAGGTCTTTACACTGGATGAAGCCCCGTGGATCCGGGACCACGTCGTGGCCGGCGCTACCATTTTCCCCATGACCGGCTATATGTCTTGCGCTATCGAGGCCTGTAGGAGGACTCTATCTTCCCCGGCGGCCGCGTTCCTCGTACGTGAATTTCACGTCAAGTCCCGTCTGGAAATCCAAGAAGACGAGGAGGTCGATATGATCACCCAGATCCGACCGGCTGCTGGCGGAAGGGCCGCAAACTCGTCAACCGCGTGGGAGTTCGAGATCTCCGCCTGGAGAGACAATGGATGGGTAGTCCACGCTCACGGCCAAATTGAGCCTGAATTCACCGACATGAGTGTGGAAACGCCAACCCTCAAAGCTTCACTCCCGCTAGTCGAGAGGACCGACGACCTAATCGAACAGGATTTGGCATACGCCTTTGCCGTCGCCGGTGTGCGCGCCACCCGCTATGGCCCAACCTTCCAGAACTCGACAGCCTTCTTCGAGGGCAAGGGGTACACGCTCCTCGAACACAAGCTCCGTGACCTGGGCTATGCCCTCGAGGCGCCCAACCCCTATGGCTCTCCTGTCTCAGTCGACCCACCCACCATTGATGGGTTCCTCCAGGGTGGTGGTCCCCTCCAAGTGACCGAGGACGGACGGAGACCAGCACAAATGCCCAACTATATTAGCCGGTTCCGCATCTCCAACACGATCCCAACCACTCCCGGACAGCGCTTCGACATCGTCACGCGCTTACTAAATTACGATGTCAAGGGTGGCCGCATGAACATCAGCGTAGCAGCCTTTGCGCGAGATGCGGATGATAACCTCACCCCTGTCGCTGAGTGGGAGTCCTGTGCCTTCCGTACCATTGGCTCGGCCGACGAGGAGCTTGATCCGACTGCGGCTCTGCCGGAGAGCTGGAAGTGGGAACTGCTCCCGCGCTTCGACTATCTCCAGTTCGACAAGCTCAGCAAGTCACTTCCTCGAGGGGGATTAAGCCCCGAAGAAGAGCAGCACGTTGCCAACATGGACAAGGTCGCCTGGTACTACATCAACAAGGGCATCGAAGAAACGGCCAACGACGACCGCTCGGACTACCCACACCACTATACCCAGTTTGTCAAATGGGCGAATATCAATGGTGGCACTCGCCGCGTTGAGCTAGGTGTAGACCTGTCTCAGGAGACTCTCGATGCGGTCCGGAAACACGATGCGCAGGGTGAGATGCTCTGCGTGATCGGCGAGAAGATTGCTTCCATCCTGCGCGGCGAGGTCGAGCCCCTCGCGCTCATGCTTGCCGATGGCTTGCTTACTCGCCATTATGAAGCCGACCAGATGAACGCTCATCTCAGCAGCGTCCTCGGCGAGCTGGTACTCAATCTCTCCAATCTTGAACCCAACCTCAAGGTGCTGGAAATCGGCGCTGGTACGGGCGGCACAACCCTCCCCGTACTCGAGGCACTCGCGCGTGGCAAGGAAGAAGCCACCATTCTCAACTACACCTTCACGGATATCTCTTCGGGCTTCTTCGAGGGCGCCAAGAACAAGCTTTCCGACCCCAGGTTTGCTCACCGCATCACCTACAAGAAGCTCGATATCGCACAAGATCCACTTGAGCAAGGCTTCGACCCGGACGAGTACGACGTAATCATTGCCGCCAACGTTCTGCATGCCACCGAAGACATGGGTACTACCATGACCAACGTCCGCAAGCTGCTCAAGCCGCGCGGCAAGCTCTTCCTACTCGAAGCCAACCGCCACCCTGCTGTGCTATTACCATTCTTCCTGCTCCCCGGCTGGTGGTATGCCAAGGATCACTACCGCGACCATGATGCGGGCCCCATGATGCCTAAGCAGGTTTGGAATCAGCTGCTTCTTGATACGGGGTTCTCGGGGGTTGACGTCGAGATCCAAGATCGGCCCGGGGACCCGGGTGCAACTATGAGCATTCACGCGTCCACCAGGGTAGCCGCGCCGGAAGACGGCAAAACCGTCGCGGTTACGGGACCATTTATGGATGACGAGGAGGTCGAGTTCGCCACTCTTGTATCCGAGGCCATCGCAGCGCAGTACGGCATCCCGGTCGAGATCAAGCCCTTCGCTGAGATCGACCCAGCGGATGATCCGTACTACATCGTCATCGACTCTCCCCGGTACAGTCTGATGAAGGATATGAACGAGGAGAAGTTTGAGAGACTGCAAAACCTTTTGCTTCGCAACACCGGCCTGCTCTGGATCATCCCCAACTCTGGTCCTGTGGAGGTTAGCTTCGTCAAGGGTATGATTCGCACCCTCCGCGTGGAAAAGGCCGGTGATCCGAAGAACCTTATGCAACTCGACGAGACGCCTCTTACGGAAGAGGCTCTTCCCAGCATTGTCAAACTCGTCGGGACGCTCCGCGACCCAGACATCACCCGCACGCAGGACATGGACTTCGTCTTCCATGACGGCACCATCTACATCCCGCGTATGAGATTGCTGAGGGACTTCAAGGAACAGTTTGCCGCCGAGCAAGGCATCAAGCACCGCAAGCTGCGGAACCTGTGGGAAGCGGGCGACAGCGCGCTCGAGATGACCATCGATGCTGCGGGAAGTCCCGACTCGATCTATTTCCGCCGTACCGACGCGCTTCAACAGCAGCTTGGTGAGGACGAGATTGTCGTCAAGGTCGAAGCTGCAGGCGTCAGTTACCGGGATCTCAACCTCGTTTTGGGGGCCATCCCCTGGGCGCCTCCCGGCTTCGATGGTGTGGGCAGGGTGGTCAAGGCCGGTGCTGGCGTGACCAACCTACAAGAGGGAGATCAAGTCTTCTTCCTCTCGCTCGAAAGCAGTGCATTCTGTACGTACAAGAAAATGCCTGTCTGGCACGCCGCCCGCGTCCCGGCCCGCATCAGCACCACAGACGCCGCGACCATCCCGCTTGCATACTCCCTCGCTGTTCTTGCGCTCCTCCACACGGCCAGGCTCAGGAAGAACGAGACTGTACTCATCCACGCGGCCGCTGGAGCAGTTGGCCAGGCCTGTGTCACCATCGCGCAGCACCTGGGCGCTGATATTTTCGTCAGTGCCGGTACCCCCGCCAAGAGGGAATTCTTACACGAGACTTTCGGCATCCCCAAAAAGCGTATCTTCTCCAGCCGTACGGCCGACTTCAGAGATGCCATACTCGTTGCCACCAACAACAAGGGGGTAGACGTCATCGTAAACCAGCTCGGTGCCGAGCTCATGACCGAGACATGGGCGGTGACAGCCCCTTTTGGCCGGTTTATCGAGATCGGAAAAAAGGAGACGTCCAGCAACGGCTACCTCCCCATCCGGCCCTTCGACAGCAACGTCACCTTCAGTGGCATCGATCTGCGCGATCTCTACAGGCACCGACCTGACGTTCTCAAGGATGTCTTCGCCGACGTTGTTGGGCTCGTCCAGCGCAGGGTCGCCGTGCCCATCAAGCCCGTCACGGTGCTGCCCATCTCGCAGTTCCAGAAGGCGTTGCAGAAGCTCAAGTCCGGTGACAACATTGGCAAGGTCGTCGTCACGCTTGGCCCGGACGAGCGTGTCATGGCGGAGAGCAACCTCGGCCCGACGGCTGTGGCCCTCAAGCCGGACGCGACCTATGTCATCACCGGCGGCACCCGAGGTATCGGTCTCAACCTCGGAACGTGGATGATTGATCACGGGGCGAAGAACGTTGTGTTGCTTGGCCGCAGTGGTGCCGCCGGTCCCGCGGTGAAGAAAGTGCTAAAGCAGTACGAGGGAACCGACGTGACCGTTCGCGCTCTTGCTTGCGACGTCGGCAACTACAGCATGCTCAAAGACGTGCTAACTAAGTCTATTGCCGACCTTCCCCCGGTCAAGGGAGTAGTACACAGTGCTCTTCTCCTGAGTGTAGGTCCCCCCCAGCCCTTCATTTTGAGGTAAACCCCCCTCCTGTTCAGAAGCTGATCCTGGTACGCGCAGGACACATTGTTCGAGAACGCGACCTTCTCGGACTGGGAGATTATCTGCAAGCCTCGGGTCGACGCGGCATGGCACTTGCACAATATCCTGCCCAAGGACATGGACTTCTTCATCGGTCTGGGCTCCTTCCTCGGCGACACGGGCAACGCCGGGCAGGCCATCTACGCGGGCACGGCCGTCTTCTACCACGAGTTCGCCAAGTACCGCAACAAGCTCGGCATGCACACCATCTCGATCGCGCTCCCGGTCGTGCTGGACGTGGGCTACGTGGCGGACAACAACCTGACCGACATCCTCAAGCAGACGCTCGGGGCGACGCTGACCATGGCCGACATCCGCACGCTCGTCAAGGGCGCGGTCATGGGCCCGGACAGCCCGTTCCACCACGACGGCAAGGCGCTGGCCTTCCGTATGTTCCTCGAGGGCCAGCCGGTGGTCGACGGCGGACCGTGGACCTTCTTCCACCCCGTCCACGCCAAGGAGAACCTCAAGGCGGAGCGGGCCAAGAAGGCCAAGGGAGGGAAGGGCGGCGGCGTGGGAGGAGCGGGCGGGGACGTGTTCTCGGCGAGCTGGACCACGGCCGAGGATCCGCGGGTGGGCCTGACCGAGGCGCTGCGGACCAAGGTCTCGGCCATGACGATCATCGATCGGGACGAGGTCGGTGCCGACACGCCCCTGGCGACGTTCAACTTGGATTCGTTGGTGAGTGTCGAGCTGCGGAACTGGATCCGCCGCGAGACGGGCGTCGAGGTGTTGTTGAGTGCTATTACTCAGGCCGAGAGTTTGACGGCGCTGGCCGCCGAGATTCTTGCGCAGAGGCAGTGAGTGCGAGATGGTTGGTGGGGGCAAACATATCAGAGGAGAAGAACCTTTTTCTTTCATCTTTTTTTCTTTTTTCCTTTTTTCGCCTTCTCGATTCTTGTTTCTTGGAGATTTACTCGGAGTTCTGAGACTACCTAAGAACAGATTGTCTGTAGTTTAGCCATTTTCTCTTCTTTTGTGTGTCTCTTATCGCGTGTGGGCTGAAACTCCTGTGTTCCGTTCGATCCGTGCCGCCGGTGCGTTGTTAGATTCAGAATCTTACATCTGTTCGTGCAGCAGAAAGAGGCGCAACTACCTAGGTACGCTCCAGTATTGCCACGGGGGGCTCCAAGAGGTGGACACGGCGTTTGTAACAGTCGATTACTCCACAGTGTTGTTCCCCTAAATCGTAACGTCGGCCCAGGGATGTATACCAACATAATACTTGGAAGGAGACGCAACAACTATTCAAAACCAACAAGTTGATTTATTTCCCCCATTGCTGGGCGCCAATTCAGGGCCAACCATGATAACAACAATGCTCCAGTGTGCCCGGCAACAAGCCTGGTTGAATGAAGAGGAGAGCTCAGCGATAGGGGCACCTTAAACGAAGTCATAATGAGAACAGATCAGTGTCTGGGTGGAGGCATTGCTATCTACAGGCCTTCCCCCTCGGCCAGTCTGCGATGGTGCAGGCCCCTCCCTTAAAGGGATCCGCACTCCCAAAACCGCCCTCCACACGAAGCCACCCATTCCAGCCCCTCCAAACTCCAACCCAGGCGATTCCGCGTGGGAAAAGCAAAAAGAAACAATAGGAACCTAAAGGGGCGTCCCCCCATCCGTGGCGCCAGCTAGAGCCTAGACCTCGCCCGGCTCGGGGCCGGCGTTCTTCTCCTCCGAGGAGCCCATCTCCTCTTCCTCCTCCTGGGCGCCAGAACCTGCCTCATCCGAGTCGCCGGCAGTGGCGAGGGGGTCGGAAAGCGGGCCCATGATGGAGTGCTTCGGCCAAACGGTGGGCTTGGCGGCCTTACCGCGGGCGGCGGGCTTGTTGGAGGCGGCAGTGGTAGTCGCCTTGGAACCGCGGGCGCGTTTCTTTGGGGACGGGTTGTCGTCCCCGTCGTCCGCCTGCGCGGCGGCCTCCTCGGCGGCGGTCGGCAGGTTGTTATCCTCTCGGTACTTCGCGTCGTACGCGTTGATCTTGTTCTTGATGAGGCTCCAAGCGTTGGCCACGGAGCGGGGGTTCTTCAGGCCCATGCGGTCGGCAACCTTGGCATAGTCGATTTGGAAGCCCTGGAGTATGCGTGTCAGTATTGTTTGGCAAAGCTTGAGCCTGTCTAACCGAAACTGCCGGGGTTTCTCTCCATTCTGACAGCCGAGACTGAATGCAATGATGAAATGAAGAATGAAGATCAGGTGTTTGGCGGGGAAGGAAGCGTGAGACGGGAAAGGAGCCCGGGGGATAGGCATCAAATTAAAGGGTGGACTTACACCAGGGAAGCCTGGGACGGTCAGCAGGCCTTGTAACATCATGGTCTGCTCCCGAGCAGTGAGGACCGAAAGCGGGCCATCGGCGTTGCCAACAGCCTCCTCCGACTTCTGGTACTTCGACTTGGGAGGCATTGTAATTTGTTGTTTCTGATGGTCTGCGAAGCTTGATTAGTGCCAGATCAAACCCAGGAATGAGGGAACAAGTCTTCAGGCAATGCAGAAAGCATTGGACCATGTGAAGCTGAAATCGGTGTCGAGATGTTTTCGTCAGAGAAGAGGATGAAATTGGCAGATTTACTTACTTGATGAAGAGGTTGCAGCGATGAGGCAATCCAACCTTGCTCAAGATGGTGAAGGATGGCGATGCAATTATGACGATCGCTTGAGATGCAGCGAGGTTGATGTCGGAGTTGTGGTATTGGAAGAGAAAGGAAGAATGGAGGAGGGTGGGGGTTTATTTATGCTTCTTAGCAGGGTGTGCATCAGCCAGGCCTGGAAATGCGGGTCTGAGGAAGAAATCACAGTGAGTTGCTGGTGTTTACGGAAAGTTGGTGTGAAGTTTTTCCCAGAATCACATCAACAGGCAAGAGTTGGGTGCAGGAGGGTGAGGAGATATAAACTTCTAAGAAAGTGTTGGGAAGCGGAGCACCACACTGAAAGTTTCATGCACCACAACCCCGGTCTGGAGCTTCAACTTTTCACTCGTCCGGGAAAGAGCCACAATGAAATTTGGAATGGCGAGACTGGTTTCATGCTCCAGTGCAAGAAGCCTCAGCATTGTGTTTCCCATTCCATGACTTAATTGGCATTGTTTCAATTCTCCACTATAGCTTCAATGGAGGCATCAAGAATAATGCACACTAGCAAGTGTCGGATATCATCACAGCCATATTACCACATTTTGCTGGGGGGATGGTTCCCATTGTTAGCTCTTAAAAGTAAATAACTCTGTCCCAGTGAGCATCTTATTTTGGATTGGGAAACAATTGATATGCGTGTGTAAGAACAGATCCCTTGATGAAAGCCTTTTCTATATGCTTACCTCTAGAGATGCTGACTTCAAATGCAGGGTGCATTTCGAGACAGAGAGTAATCCCTTTAGTTTGTTTCAATTTCTCCGATTACCATCGCTGCAAAGTGAACTGCCGGTGGCAAGGTGTAGGAAAACGTCAAAGCCCCGATGCCGTTAAATATGGGGCCGAGCCGGAGTGGGGCCGTAGGCAAAACCACGGCGCACCCGGTCTTATCATTCATGCCTGACCCGTCAACATGAATATCTTTCATCTGTGAGCAAAGCTGCAAAGTCTAGTGTATCCCTTGAACTCTTAGTGCTGCTGCCTGGCATGCCTTTGGGTGCCTCTTATACTGTGAAGTGTAATGTACGAGCCAACGAGCCCTAGCTTCGATCTTTTTTTTACATCAGGTTGTCTGCGAAGTGTACGGGAATGAAGCAATTCGGGCGTCTTCGCATCCAGTTGGGAAATAAAGGAAGCACGGTGGAAGTTAAATGAATGCATGGGTCTTGATGATGCACAAACACATAGAGGGGGTAATTGATGAGCACCAGGATGGCGAAGAGGCCAACCCCAACATTCCCAACCACCACCAGGTTGATGAACCGACCAAAAAAAACAATGCCGAGCTTTTGGAGATGCGGCCCCACGAGCCAAGTTGGAAGGTCTCTCATCACCTTCCACTTGCGGGTTCAGTCTGCAGCAGAGCGGCTTGGCAATTTATCGCAAATGCCCGATTGCCGGCTACCATGACCGCTAATCGGTCGGTTCGAGCAGCCATGGATCAAAACAGCCTGTTACAGGCAAGGAGTCTGACGACATGGCAGGCTGATTGAGCACCTTCTTCCTTCAGTCAAGTTGGACTCTCGGGACCCTGGCCGAGTAGGAAGTTCAAAAGGAGCGGCTCGGTCCAGTCAATGTGAGTTCGGTTGTGCAACTCAATTTCCAGTACGTACAACTTCGAGTCTTGGTCAGCGCCGGCGAGATCGAAGAAGTTCGGACGGAACGCATTTGTCCCACCACCGCAACAATGAAGGCACCCCGCACGGCAGCAACAGCTGCAGCGACGCTGTTCCTCTCATCAAGCACCGTCGCGACCAATAACCCTTTGACCGCCGACAAACTCGAAGCGGATATCAAGACAGAAGAGTAAGTCATTAATCCCCTAACCCTCCCTAACCCATCAATCCGGCCCTGCCCCGTCTAACCAATTCCCAGACTCCAAAATGTCCTCTGGAACCTCAACCACATCGCCATCAACAACGGCGGCAACCGCGCCTTCGGCGAGCCGGGCTTCAAGGCATCCCTGGACTTCGTGCTCGAGCGCGTGCAGACCCGCTTCGCCGACCAGTTCGACACCTTCGTGCAGCCCTTCAACCACACCTACGACAAGACGCTCGAGATCAGCGTGACAGGCCCCGAGGGCGAGGACGTCTTCGTCATCAGCCCGCAGTACAACCCGCCCACGCTGGTGGAGGGCGGCATCACGGCCGCCCTGGTCGACACCCCCGTCGACGACGAGCGCGGATCTGCCTGTTTCGCCGACCAATGGGAGGGGTTGGACGTCAAGGGCAAGTTGGCCCTCGTGAAGAGGGGGCTTTGCGCTGTGGCGGACAAGTCTATTCTCGCGAAGGAGCGCGGGGCTTTGGGTGAGTATTGAGCTCTGAGGTCCCCTTGGTTCAAGTAGGGAGGTGACGTGCTGATTCCTCGAGGCGGAAATTAGGTGTCATCTTGTATGACGAAGTCCCCGGGACCAACATTGTCGTTCCCACATTGGGCGCCGAGAACATCGGACGCATGGTCCCTATCGGTATCATCCCCTTGGAGGTTGGCCAAAGCTGGAAGTCCCGCCTGGCAGCTGGCGAGGAAGTGACTGCGACTCTCCTCGTCGATTCCATCTCCGAGACCCGCGAGACTTGGAATATCATTTCCGAGACCAAGCAGGGCGACCCGAATAACGTGGTCATGCTGGGCGCGCATCTCGACAGTGTGCAGAAGGGCGCCGGCGTGAATGATGATGGCAGCGGCACTGCGGCCCTCTTGGAGATCATGACCGCGGTTAGGCGGTATGATAACTTCCCGAACAAGATTCGGTTTGCGTGGTGGGGAGCCGAGGAGAGCGGCTTGGTCGGCTCGCTGTACTACACCTCTCACCTGACCGAGGCCGAGGCCGACAGCATCAGGTACTATTTCAACTACGACATGATCGGCTCGCCCCAGCCTGATTTCAGCATTGCAAGCAACGAGAACAGTGGCGTCGGTCCGCAACTGCTCGATGAGTATCTTGCGACAAAGGGAAAGGAGGTCCGCCACGGGTATGTGAACTGTCCCATCCAAGACCCCCCTTTTCCAACATCTGTACTAAACGTTTCTCTCGCAGTGAATTCGGCAGCGGCTCAGACTTCGTCGGCTTCATCGAGATCGGCATCCCAACCGCGTCCCTGCACACTGGTGCCGGCGCGCCATATGACGCTTGCTATCATCAGGCGTGTGATGACCTGGACAACATCCACTGGGAGGCCCTCACTGTCAACGCTAGAGCCGCCGCTCGCGCGGCCGCGAGGCTAGCGAACTCGCTTGAAGGTGTACCCCCCCGTGCGAAGACCAGCCCCAACCTTCGCACCCGACACGGGGTGATGCAAAGCTTCAAGAGGTGGACTGCACTGGCCGAGGAGGCCAGCAACGGCCACACCTGCTCGCACAAGGGAAAGAAGATCCGGGTATAATACGAACAGCGAACTCGGGAGTACATAGGTACATGACCGAATACTGTGACGGTGGACGAAGGAAAGCCGAGCAGAAGGGGGTGCTGGTGACGGATAGCCACCGTATGAATCCTTTTCCCAGCATATCGACTTGTCAAAACTTGACGACACAAGTACAAAGAAAATGTTATCCCTCGTCAGCTTCGAGGAATGTGCGACGGAGCAGCCACGATTCCGCAATCCGTACCTCGAAAAAGAAGGGTGCCTGACCACCGAGTAGAAATCTATCCATGACGGTTTGGCAATCACAACATGCATGTTGAGTTGGGTAGGTAGGTACCTAGTAATTAACGGACACGGACTGACTACCGCTCAGTCAGGAATGAATCATCAACATTTGTACCTGCTTCCTATATCTTCCGATTTCCCCATCCGGAAGTGGCGTCTGCACTTAGCCCAGGAAAACGGCCAACGGTGTTGTCTATCAAGGCGGCCTGAGCCGAGGACCAACTCCGGGAAAAGGCCCTCGAACCTCAGCCGCATCCCCTTGCCAGCCAACGTTGATTCGGCGATAACAACGACTCGAAGAGCGCCGGCTATTTGCACGGGTTAGGGAACGCACACCTCGTATCCTGCCTCGCTAGCAACCTGGAAGCTTCTTCCCGACGGCATCGTGACTCGGCCTCCGATGCCAAGCGCACAACACTGGCAACAAGGTTGTAGCCCGCGGCCTTCAGGCTAATTATCACGTGGAGGGCGGAGTTGGGGAGCACTGAATAACCTAAAAACCTCCGGGGGCGCCGGGATTAAGGGGCCTCGCTAGCGCCGGTGGGTTCTGAAGGGCACCAGCTTCCGGGTTGACGAGGAGTTGGCGTCGCCTTGGCTTTCCCTTTTGCGTACGCACGGAACATCCTCCGAGGCAAAACCGGGTTAGGTGACCGTTCGGACGAGAGCAATGGTAACCCCCCTGAGGCTCCCCACCGCAGGACCCGGCCCCAGTGGGCCCATCATGCGAGACCCGAGCAGTCTCGACCAGCTTCGACTCGGCTTCGAAGCTTCTAGGGCGGAGCAAGCCGGAGCTGGAACCACGTCGGGTAGGCGAACCAACCCCATCGCCCCCGATAGATCACGGGGTGGGCGATGCGGCCCCGTGGGGACGACGAGCCGATGGTCCATTGCCGAGATTTGAATACCTGCCAGGCCCACCAAGGGTAACAACGATGGAGGGTTATTCTGGGCAACTATAAGGACTCCGGTCCCCTCATCCCGCCGTCTGCTATCTGTTCACCACCCTTCCGTCCATCTCAACCCTATCGTCGGTGTCGCCCCTCTTGGTCAGCAACATGCATTCCAACGCTTTCCTTGCGGCCCTTCTGGTGCCCGCCGTCTCGGCCCAGCTCAACGACCTCGCTGTTCGCGCCGGTCTGAAGTACTTCGGTACCGCCCTCGGCGAAGGCACTATCAACAGCGACAGCCAGTATGCCGCCATCCTCAGCGACACGAGCATGTTTGGCCAGCTCGTCCCGGAGAACGGCCAGAAGTGGGAGACCACGGAGCCCTCGCGCGGCCAGTTCAACTACAACCAGGGTGATATCACAGCCAACACCGCCAAGAGGAACGGCCAGGGCCTCCGCTGCCACACTCTGGTGTGGTACAGCCAGCTTCCCAGCTGGGTGAGTCTATCCTTCTCGAGTGCGCTTTCGGGTCCGTGTCATCGCTAACCAACACCCAGGTCCGTGACGGGTCGTGGAACAAGCAGACCCTGACCTCGGTCATGGAGACTCACATCAACAACGTCATGGGCCACTACAAGGGCCAGTGCTACGCGTGGGACGTTGTGAACGAGGCCATCAACGACAGCGGCGGCTGGCGCGACAGCGTCTTCCTCCGGACCTTCGGCACCGACTACTTCCCGCTCTCCTTCAACCTCGCCAAGGCGGCTGACCCCGACACAAAGCTGTACTACAACGATTACAACCTCGAGTACAACGCCGCCAAGACGGACTACGCCGTTGACCTCGTCAAGATCGTCCAGGCCGCGGGCGCCCCCATCGACGGCGTCGGCTTCCAGGGCCATCTCATCGTCGGCAGCACCCCCAGCCGCGCCAACCTGGCCACCACGCTCAAGCGCTTCACCTCGCTCGGCGTCGAGGTCGCCTACACGGAACTGGACATCCGCCACTCGAGCCTGCCCCCGTCCTCGCAGGCGGCGGTCACGCAGGGCAACGACTTCGCCAACGTGGTGGGCTCGTGCCTCGACGTCGACGGCTGCATCGGCGTCACCGTCTGGGGCTTCACGGACAAGCACTCGTGGATCCCGAGCACCTTCCCCGGCGAGGGCGACGCCATGATCTACGACAGCAACTACAACAAGAAGCCCGCATGGACCTCCATCTCGTCGGTCCTCGCCGCCGCCGCCACCGGCGGCGGCAACCCGCCCGCCTCCTCCTCCACCACCCTCGTCACCGTCACCACCACCCCGACCGTCACCCCGACCTCCACCTCGGCCGGCACCACCCCGACCGGCGGCGCCACCCAGACCCACTGGGGCCAGTGCGGCGGCAACGGCTGGCAGGGCCCCACCCGCTGCGAGAGCCCCTGGACCTGCCAGAAGCAGAACGACTGGTACTCGCAGTGCCTGTAAAGGATTGTTCGTAGTTTGATGTGTGTGGTCGTTCAGTTTCGGAGACGCGGCGGTTGTTCACCTAGCTGTTAATCCTGCTGCGAGGCTCTGATACTCGGATTGTCGGTGCTATGGCGCCGGCTGGGTGTTATTCTGGGGAGTTCTTCTGTATGTATTGAATCCGTTGGCGCCGGTTGTAAATAAGGCCGGAACAAGTACATATTTCGCGCATGCATTACATGACCTGTTTCTGAGCTTTGAAAGGTGACGTGACATGACCACGCAACAAACCCTGCCTGCTCCATGCACTTGTGGTCTTGTTTTCCTCGATTTCTTTTGATATTTTCTGCTTGATTCTTCTTCCCCAATCCTTTCTCCTCGGGTTTCTTGCGGCTCGATCTTGTTTTCCTTCAGTGCCCAGCGTTTTCGGGGCAGATGGTGACCGAATCTCATGTTCAACGGCATGAAATCCAAGTACAGATAGAGGGCGAAAGGGATGGTTTGTTGGGGGTTTCCTTGGGGGCGGAAAATAAGCCCCGCGCCCCCAACGCCTCGCATCCCATCTGGGTTGTGATCCTCGATCGATGTAACTATATATAGAGTGTATGCAGTTGGTGATCGCAGGCCCCGGCTGCCGGGTCTCGTTCCGAAGCAAGAAGTGTCATGACATCACCAACTTCCATCAAGAGGTAACCCACACACACTGGACATCAAATCTCAATGCTTGTGCTTCCGGAAGAAAAGCTACGAGCAGCCACTCAGAGCACGCAGATTCCTAAACCATGACGTGCAGAGCCTCCAGCAACAACATGTTCGTTGACGTCACGGTCGCTCCGTGTAGCCTGGCCAGTATTCGAGAACGTCCATGGAGAAGCGGACATGACATTCCTAACCACGCCGTAGTTCCGTATTAGAGTAGCGAGCAGTACAAAAGACGGTGCCCGGCTTTATGAGTATCGTTGAGGACATAGGCAACCCACCCACCTGCCTTACACTCTGTTATTACACCTGCTCAATCATGCATCGTCAAGCATTGCGGATGTCCCCGGCCATTACACAACAAGTTAGACACAGGTTGACCAACACAATTACTCGTCCCTTCTTCGCATCCAGCATCCGCTTCCAGTCAACGCAAACCCGTCAGGGAACACCGGCCGGAGCCACCATGACCGCCAGCGCCGCGACCCGTGTGTCGAACCGCATCAAGCACGATCACGAGGAGCTGCGGGAGTACTACAACAACATCAAGAACGCGCAGCGTGACGACGACAAGGCGAAGTGGCAGAACCAGTTCGTGTGGGAGCTCGCGCGGCATTCCGTCGCCGAGGAGATTGTCGTGTACCCGGCGATGGAGAAGCATATCCCCAACGGCGTGGTCATGGCCGAGAAGGATCGGTCGGAGCACCAACAGGTACGTGCGCTCCACGAGCCCACAAACATATTTCCAAACCCCTAACACCCAACTCCGCAGGTCAAAGAGAAGCTCTACGAGTTCCAATCCATGACCCCCGCCGACCCGACCTTCCTCCCAACGATCGACTCGCTGTGGGGGTCGCTGTCGCAGCACATCCAAGAGGAGGAGCAGGACGACCTTCCGGCGCTCGAGAAGGTCATCGACGCCGACGCGTCGGGGGCACTGGCTCGCAGCTTCGACCGCACCAAGCACTTTGTGCCGACGCGCAGCCACCCGTCGGCACCAGACCGGCCGCCGTACGAGACTGCGGTGGGCATGATGGCGACGCCGTTGGATAAGCTGAGGGATATGTTCCGAAGGTTCCCTGAGGATAAGTGAGAGCGGATCCGGGTGGTTTTGTGTAGGTGTTGGGTTGATTGGTATGCGTGAGCCATCGGTGGTTGGTTGGGGGGGTTCGATAGTCTAAAGGCATTTTGGTGCGCCGAAGAAGAAGATAAGAAAAGATGAATAGAGTGTTAGCTCCGTCCCTGATTCATGGGCTGCAACACCGTGCCCAGCCCGACATCCCTAAGACCGGGTGTGGTACCCGACCACGACGGCGAGACTGCAAATGAGAGCTGGAATCCTAAGTGGGTAGCTTAGCATGTTGTCTCGCCGCTTGAGAGCCAGCGCGACAGTAGTGCGGCGGCTCACCCCATTGCCGCGTGCCCCGTGATCCAACCCAGGGCCCAGGCAGAGTGCCGCTTCCACGGACCGGTCATGGTCTGAGCAATATCACGTATCACCCCCTCGGCCCAACCCTGCATGAACCAATACCCTTGCAGTTGCGCGGCGTGAAACACGACACAGTAGTACGAGAGCAGCGCGAGCGCGGCTTGGTTCCGCTGCCTCAGCAACGGTATCAAGTCATCCGACGTCTGGATCGGCCATGCGGCCACCACGCGGTACTCGGCGCTGGCGGACTTGGCGAGCGAGTCACGAATGACGGACACTAGGCGGTACGCATCGGCATGGATGATGGCGCGCACCCGGTCGTCGGTCTCGGTCTCGGCGATCTCGACCAAGAAATCCCCGACAGCCAGTACGACACGGTCCAATGCTGGATTGGGAAGCTCAGTCCCACCATGCTGCACAAACAGCTCCGAGAGCGGGCCCGAGCGTAGCAGGTCCTGGGACGAGTACAGCACGCTGCCGATGCCCTTGACCAGGATCAGCACGTCGACGATGTCGTCAACGGTGGGCCCGCCGGGCACGCGGTTCGTGGAAGCGGCGGCGAGCGAGCCGATAAAGAGGAGCGACGATGAGGCGAAGAGGGCGTGGCAGTTGGCGGGCGACAATTCCGAGAGGGCGAGGCGCATGCGTCGGATACCGGCGTTTTGGTGTTGCGAGGCGCGGAGCGAGTAAGCTTGGCGGCTTTGTGGATGCAAGTGGGCGAGGTGGTAGGATGCTACGGCGAGAATCTGATGGAGTAGGAAGATGTGGCCGAAGGCTTGCCGAGGCACCTCCATCTTCCACAAGTGGTTTACCTCGAGCTGGGTGGGATCGATCATGAAGGTCTCATAAGTGGATGTGGTAAAGTGATGGAGCAACTCGAGGTCGAAGACCCAGTTGGCCGTGTCCTCCTCGGCAGGGCCAGTGACGAGCTTGGTCAAGTACGGAAAAGGGTCTGGGGTCGTTGCGACAGGGGAGTCGGTCGATGTTGTGTGTGCCGAGCCGCTGGGGGAGGGTCCTGGATCCGGGCCGCATTCTCCTGCTGGGCCGGGGGTAGGTGGCTGCAGTAACGTAGGCTTCGGGTTGAGAGCTCTACTTGTAACCCGGCTTCTCCGGAAGGTCGGCGGGAGCGGTGACGGGCCCGGGCCAGGTGAAGGCGTGTCGGCGGCGAGAGGAGAACTTGTGGCCGGGGAAGTGACCTCCGGCTGGTTGGAAAGGCTACATTCGATGCCATGGCGGAGGCAGGCTTTGCAAGATGGCCTGGTCTCGTCACACTGACGGTGTTAGCAACCAACCGCAAACAGAGTTCCCGGCGATAGGCTCCAGGGAGTGATCTCGGGGATCGAGATGGGGGCGGTCGGGAACGGGAAACGGGGACAAAGGAGCCAAAACAAAACGCGTTGCGTACTTTCACTCTCCGCTGTTTACACCTCAAGCAACCAGTCCGCGACTTGGTATAGCCAAGACGTAGGCGAGCCATGGTCAGACACGGCGGCGGCGAGTAACAAGCACAAACGAGGCAAAAGCGAAAGCGAGCTTGTGGGGGATTCGTCGCTGTCCGTCTCCGCAGAATCTGTCACGGCAAAGGAATGGAAATTTTTGGTGGGGGGATGCAGAATGATCCGACCGCAACCAACCAAAAAACTTCAATTCATTGCGAGCGGGTGGGTCCGACAGGTGCCTCCGGCTGTCACGGTCCACAAATCGGAGAGAGGTTTTTCTGGCAAGGAAAATTGGAAAAGGCCCAAACGTCATTTCACAGGGCAATTCGGAGAAGGCGTTCGCCAAAACAAAGTCGCGCACTCGTGCCCCTTTTTCCGGAATTGCTGCGGTTTGCCTCGAGATCATCACTTGGCAAGCCCGTCCGCCTTGGCGATAACCCGGCAAGCAGAGAGATACCAATAGGAACACGATCCGAAACCGTAAACGAAGTGGAGCACAGCTGCGACTCGGCCTTATCCCAGATTGACGATGCCGCCGATTGCATGTTTGGATCTTGGACACCATTTACATGATATTCCACATCCAGTCCAGTGCTCTGAATGCATTTCTTTTTTGCGTTTCACGAACCGCCATACCACCTTCCACTTGCTTGGTACCAACCTCCGACACCACGCAGCATGGAGTCTATGTCAGCACTCTACTTTCAGTACGCCCTCGGATTTGATTGCTGACACGGGACCACTTCCCGGAATCCTGGCCCGGGGTGCGCGACAAATTCGAGATGGCCCGAGCTGTTGACGAATACGGGTACAACCACATTATTCGTATTGCAGTGTGTATGGACAAGTACTAGTATTATGTGTCCATCGGAAATTCATCCAGGGTCCAAGCCACTCTTCGATGCCGCGTCAGATCTGCGCTTACACTCACTAATAATTTCCCGGCTTAGCCTGGTTAGGACATGGTATGCTGGGAACTGGGAACTGGGTTCGAGCCGGGCCAAACGCAGTCGTCCAGTTTGAAGGACAGTGGCTCCAGTGGGTCGTCTGAAACGTCACCGTCAAACACCGTGTCAGCCGTTGCAACCCTAAAATCCCCCCGGATCGCCTTGCGCCCGTGGTGAAGTGGGTGAAGTGGGCGAAGTGGCCCACCTGACAAGGGGAGATGCCGATGAAAGGGCTGAAAGGCAGCAGGGGGGTGAAGCCAACAAATGCAAGAGAGCGTTGAAAAGGCGGCGTTGTCCCACCCGCACGTCTGACTGCATCTTCCACAGCGAGCTTGGAGACGAGCCCGCCCCTTCGATCGACTCTTTCAACCACCACGCACCATGGCTGATGTACAAGCAATCTCAGACGCCGTCAGCGCGAGGTTGCCCCTGATCCTTCCAACCCTCGCCGCCCTCCTCGCCATCGTTCTTTTCCAAAATGTCTTGAGCCGGAAACCCCTCGCGAATATCCCCGTTGCGGGACAGCACCTGGGTGGTGATGAAAAACGGAGACAGGCATACCTCACCAAGGCCGCCGACCTATACGCTGAGGGCTATAAAAAGGTTGGTTACCGATGGATCCCAAGGTCTCACCCCTGCAGGCTAACGGTTCCCTAGTTCAAGGACAGTGTCTTCCGGATCGTAACGACCAATAGTAGGATCCAGACAGCCCTTAGCATGATGATGCGGCGGCTGACATCCATCTAGAGTTTACTGTCATTGTCGTGCCGCCAAAGTTCCTCGGCGAGCTCAGGAAGCTTCCGGACGATGTCGTGAGCTTTAACGATGCCCTTACCCAGGTCATGCACACCAAGTACACCAAGCTCCCCGTCGGCGAGAGCACGGTTCCTCACACAGTCAAGACCAGCCTGACGCCAGCCTTGGTACGCCTTAACCCAACCATTGCCGAAGAGGTTCAACAGTCGATCCTTCAAGAGCTGCCTCCATGCAACGATTGGACCTCCCTCAACATCAACCGCAAACTCCTGCGTATCGTCGCCCTCGTGTCAGGCCGGATCTTCATCGGCGCCGAGCTCAGCCGCTCAGAGGAGTACCTGGATGCCGCCATCAGCTACACGATGGAGTTGATGGAAGCCCGCCGCGCGTTGGAGGAAGTTCGCCCATGGCTCCGTCCATTCATCGGCAGCCGGTTGCCCGAGGTCAAGAAGCTCGACCAACGACGACTGCAGGCAGACAAGTTCTTGCGCCCCATTGTGGCCGCCAGGCGTCAAATGCAGGACGGCGAAAAGCCCGACGACATGCTGCAGTGGATGATGGATGGGGAAGACAAGGTCAAGCAGAGCACGACCAGGGAGCTGGCAATGCTCCAGCTCGCCATTTCCTTCGCGGCCATCCACACCACAACCTTGACGGCTACCAATGTGTAAGTCTCATCTTTCATCTCCACCGGAATGCTCGGGCTAAGATGGTGCAGTTTCTACAACCTGGCAGCCTACCCGCAATACATCCCAGAGCTACGCGACGAAATTCGCACTGTTCTCGCCGAGCACAACGGCGTCTTCACCAGCTCAGCGATGCAGGCCATGAAAAAGCTCGATAGCTTCCTCAAGGAAACGATGCGCCTGGACCCGGCCGGCACCGTCTCCTTCCAGCGCAAGGTCAAGAAAACGTTCACCCTCTCCAACGGTCAGGTCATCCCAGCTGGTGTCGTTGTCGAGGTCCCCTCCGCCGCCATCGGCCGCGATTCCGACGTGTTCCCGGACGCCGATAAGTTCGACCCCTGGAGGTTCTCCCGCTTGCGTGAGGAGGCTCGCCAGTCCGGCGAAGTGGAGGCTGCGGCCCAAAACCAGTTCGTATCCGTTAACCCGACTGTCCTGACCGTAAGTACTGCAGGTGGAACGACGTGGTAGCTGTCGTGGCACTCGGTTAACCCTCGCTCAGTTTGGCTTTGGGCGCCATGCCTGCCCTGGTCGCTTCTTCGCTGCCAATGAGATCAAGATGATTGTCGCCAACTTCGTCCTCGCCTACGACATGGCTCTCCCAGAAGGAGTGACCGAGAGATACCCAAATCTCACATTCGGCGCGTCGGTAAGTTTTCGTGGCACCCAAGAATCTCTGGCCAAAACGAAGGGCTGACAAGTTTGGCAGTCTGTACCGGACCCGACGAAGGAGGTACTGTTCAAGAGGATTGCATAAAACACCCGTTGGATGGAAACAATTGCTTGTTTCCGATTTGCTGTCCACGTTGTCTATGGTTTGTGAGGCTGGACGGAGCGAAGTGTCGCCTCCATGGTTTTAATGTTAGTAGCATTAACTACAGAAAGCAAGCCTCAAATTTAGTCCACACCTCTACCGGTGATTCTACCCTTCGCCTTTGACGAGACTCTTATCAGAAGGGAGTCGGCGACCGGCAACTGCCCGGGCCTAGCCTCGGTCGTCAGCCGCAAACCCCACTCTCGTGCTTCCGGTCTCTCTTCGTGAGGCTAATCTCAAAACTCTCGTGGGCTCCTTCCAAGGGCGGGGGTTGAAAATTAAGGAAAAGCCGTCTGGCCTTCGCTTTTGCAACACATCATCCAACTTAAGGTACTCTGCACTAACCCCCCCCCCCCCCCCCCCCCCACCCCCCCCAACCAGCATAGATCGTACCTAGTTGGATTAAACCTCGAGAGACGGGAGCCCACCATGGAAACAAATCAAGACTCTTACGCACAACAAACGAGCAACGTGTTGCTTTCCGGCCTTGGCCAGCGTCTGGTGAGACTTTCCGGCGCCAACAAAAACGCTTTGCTCTCCGAAGCCGCTCAAGCCGTGTACCGCGACGAGAGCCAAGCTCGGGCAACTACCATTCTCTCCCGGCTGAGGGACTTGAACCCGGAACTCGCACAACAATTCCACCCCAAGCGAGATGCGTTTTCCAACCTCAATCTCCGGATGATCTCCTTCCAACCACCCAAGTCCCGGCCATACAACGATGGTGTCCCCTCTTTCATCGCAGTCAGTTACTGCTGGCACTCTGACCAGTGGCCTCTGGCCCCCGCCGCAACACCAATTTTGGTAGGCTGGGACATTTCGGAGCCCATGATGAACGCCGTCCTGGAACTGCGCGAAACCGCCGACGAGGGCGTACATGTTTGGCTCGACAAGTTGTGCATCAATCAAAGCGACCACGCAGACATCACGGCGCATCTTGGAGTGATGGACACCATCTATCGCTCTGCTCGTCGGGTCGCAATCCTCTTGGAAGACGTACAACTCAAGAAAGACGAGGAGGCGGTTGGCTTGGCCTTTGTAGGGTTTTACCAGGACCTCATCCAAGATGTTATGGACCTCGGCTTGGAAGGCGAGGAGAAGCGCCACTTCGTCAGTCAATACTTTCCTCGTCGATCACAAGAACTTGATGCCGGTACGCTGGCAGCGGTAAAGCCCTTCGTGATGAAATTGCTCGGGGCGCGTTGGTATAGCCGAGCCTGGTGCGCCCATGAGTCTCGCATGATGAAGCACCAGAAAGTCAACAATCCCTTGCTACTGTGCTTCGGCTCAGACGGCCGAGTCCTGTCGTTCGAATTTCGTTTTATCCATTATCTAGGGTACTACCTGCAAAGCACAGAGCCGCTCGACCCGCTCTCTTCGTCTCAATTCCAGGGGCGGCTCAATAACCCAAACCCGACGAGCTTGCGGCAGCTATGGTGGAGAGCTAACAGGCTGTTGCCCGATACAAACCTGGATGCGACGACCATGCAACACCTCGTTAACGTGCTGTCGACGAACTGTTTCAAGAAAGGGGATCTCATGTCAATCGCCTTGAACACGGCGAGCATACCGCTGTATTACGCGGGGGAAGATATTCAGTCCGTGGAAGAAGTGATTTGGAAGTTCTCGACTCTGGTGCTCGCCGCAGGGGACTTATCTCCTCTTGTCGCCGTCGGGGAGAAGCTCAGATTCACTACTAACAGTGGAAGAGACATCATATCTTGGGCAATCAAACCTGACCGAGGTGTGTTGGACAACGAGGTCGCAAACCCACTCCCAGAATCCATCACCGCCATCACGCGGGAGTACATAGAGCTGGATTTGTTGGTGTTCGAGTCAACGCCAAAGCAAGCATCGCCTGAGTCCAAAGCCAAAGCAGCCCGCTTGATTGCAGAACATAACCTCGACGCCATTGCAGACCAACAACTGCTGTCTCTTGATGAAACCACCCGATCAGTGATTAGCCAAGTGACGTCAGAAATAGGGCGCATCAAATCAAACCCTCCGAGACTCCAAACCCTCCGACACCTCCTCCTCTCGCTCGCCCTCGACAACGGCCTCGACTGGTTCCTCGCCTTTCCCGGCGCAATGCACCAAGCGACCGCGTCCTCCTGGCAGCATGGCACGGTCGGCGGATACACCAACCCGGCCCTGACCCCTGCCGCCACGGCCCTCCTCGCCCTCTTCAACCCTACCAGCACCACCACAACCCCCCCAACAACAACCACCACCACCAGCAGCCCTACCGACCCCTCCACAAACCCCTCACAACTCCACCTCGCAACCCTCGCCCTAACAACCCTCCTCGACCCCCGCCTCCTCCTCCTCAACCCCAACCCACGGCGCCTCCCGCTCTCCGCCCGCCTCGGCCCCACCACCACCACGGCCTTCCTCACCCCACCGACCAGCAACCGCGCCTACCTCGCCGTGCCCGCCGCGCTCGCCCACCTGCCGGCGTGGCACGCGCGCGCGTGGGTGGTCGAGCCCTTCGACCCCGCGGCGGCGGCCCGCCCCGACGACTTGTTGCTCCCGCCGGCGGATCTGTGCGTCGCTGTTCCTGCTGCTGCGGGGTCTCCGCCGGGGGCCGGGGGGAAGGTGGAAGTGGAGAGGATCGAGGATGTGGTGCCCGTGCTGACTTCGGATTACGAGGATCGGCGGGTGGGGCCGGGCGCGGGATTGGGGGGTGGTTTGCGAGGCGGGTGGGGGGCGGTGAGGTTGAGGAGTCGGGAGGTGTTGTTTGGGGGGTGTGGTGGGTTGTGGGGGGAGGAGGGCAGGGGGATGATGAGGGCGGAGGATGAGAGTTTGATGGGCGGGGAGGGCGTGGTGTTGTTGAGGCGGCAGAGGGTTTATGGGGCGGAGAACTATCCTTGGGCGGACATACGTGAGGCACTGAGGAAGGTATTTGGGGAGGGCGCGGGAGCGGATGCGGTCGGTGGTATTGCGGGTTGAAGCCGAGCGAGTCTGGCGAGTAACCCGGCCGTCGATCAGGAGATTTTCAGCTTCTTGTGGTGGCAGACATGGAGGGACCGCGCCCCAGACATGCTCAGGCGCCTCGGATGCACAACGACTTCGCCTCTCATAAACAACAGGGGTTTGGTTGGTGGCCGAGCCGATTCGGGAGTGGCTCCTTTTGACACATTCCTGACTCGCAACTCCCTTTCTTTTTTCTGGTGGCTGTCGTGATAATTGGCCTGGAAGCAGCCGGGCCTGAGTTACCGGGGCTGGACCATGTGGTTTCATGGGAAGATGTCGCCAAGCTGGGGAAACCAGTCGGAGCAGACGACAGTGGCGTCGGCCACATGGCAACATCCCCTGCTATCCTTGACACACGATGCACTTGTCAATGACAAGTGCATCGTGCACGCCTCTCTCCACAGTATCCTTGGCTTGAAGCAAGAAGGCGCGAGTTCTTAACTCGTTGCGTTTTGGTTGTCACAGCCCAAAGGCTCTGAGAAAGCTTTTCTCATGCAGCCACATCCAAACCGACAAAAAAGAAGCGAGGGCGCAAACGTCAAGGAAGCCCAGATGGAACCTGGGGCTCCACAAAACTGAAAGGCCGGGCGGGCATCTTTGAAAGCACAGGCAAAATAATTAGGTACATACTTACCTCCCTCATTACATATATATGGACGGCAAATCTCGCCGATGGTTGTGCTCGTTACGGTGCCCAGTTTCATGAGGATTCCTTGCGCCCACCGTCCCTTTTGACAGTCCATCCCCGGCCGTTTAGTTACACAGTATGGGAGGTGACGGGACGGAATTTCCAAAAGGGGGCATGCCCCGCGGGCTGCGCAAGTTATGAAGGCCCGCCCAGATGGAGACCCAGGGGCTTGGACGGGGGGCGGCTCGAAGCCGGTTAAGCCGGGCTCAGCGAGCGGCCCATGCAGATCCAAGATACCCCATGCCCCGATGGGACGTCGGGAGATGACAACCAGCGACCAATAGCGTGACCGAATCTGAAGATCGTCCGCCGGGGTGACAGATGGGTGGACAATTGCTGGAGCGTCAGGGTGTCCTTGGAAATTAGTTGATTGGAGGACGAATTGGTGGCAATGACACAAAAGAAAAGCGACAGTTGAATTCTTGCGTGAGGGTTTTGTAAACCTTCCCCTCGAGTCCGCGCAGCCCACAAGCGATTTCACAATATATCGTCCCCATCATGGCCCAGCCGTAGCGAGAACCCACTTAGTCTGGTGATCCGTCCCAGCGCCCCCGACTTCGAAGCTCGCGCGCGAGCCCCTGGTGTGTGAGGGAAAGCTTACCACTTTACCTCAAGTGTGTTGGAAGCCGAAACCAACACCTGGCTGGGACCAGCCAGCACAGGTCGCAACATGGCCGACACTCCCCCTCATCCAGACCTCTACAAGAACATCGCTGCACCCTTGATTGCCTACTCTGCCGTCTGTCAGATCGTAATCCTGATTGTCGTGTCTCTGCGCTTCTACATCCGGCTCCGCCTCCTTCGGAAGTTTGGGGTGGATGATATGGCCCTTGCAGCAACACTGGTTCGAGCCCCTGGTCTCCTGTTTATTTCGGGTGGAGTACCCAACAAGTCGAACATTCTAACAGTGGTCCTTAGACCGCAACGATCGGTTCAATGATCGGAATCGCCTATGGTACATAGTGCTCGGAACCCAGCCCTAGACTCGTCTTTGATCGGCCAATATTGACCCCTTATAGCGAGCCGGCTCGGGCTAGGTCGTCATCTCGACGTCCTTTCAACGGATGACAGGTCAGCGTTGTTCAAGGTACGTGCTGGACAGTGTCGCCGAAGCCATCCCCATCCGCAACACCGCCACCATCATGCTCACACTATTCGTAGCTGCTCTTCTTCGCGTCCTTGGGCTATCATGTCACCCTCATGCTGCTCAAGTCGACCTTCCTCCTCCAGTTCCGGCGCGTTTTCCCACTCCCCAACTTCCAACGGCTCTGTGATATCTTCTTAGCCTTCCTGGGCGTGTGGACTGTCGTCGGCCTCATTGGAGGTGCTACCGTCTGCCTTCCCGTCTCCAAAAACTGGGACCTTGAAGATCCGATTTGGGCGTGTGAACCGCGTTTCTGGTTTTGGCTGGCCCACGGCATCGTCCATCTTATCACGGACCTCCTCATCTTCATCATGCCACTACCCATGTTGAAAACGTTGCCTCTGCCGCCGCTGCATAAAATCGTCCTGATTGCCGTTTTCTGTTTAGGGTTCTTGTTTGTCATCCCCCCCCGTCTTTGGTGCATCTTGTTAAAGGCTGATCGTTGACTTGCTTCTCGCAGAACCTGCATCATCTCTGGCCTTCGCTTGACGACGCTACACTCAGCGCTTCGGGACCGAGATGTGAGCTATACGTCAGCCTCTACCGCATATTGGTCCCTAGGGGAAGTTGTGTGTTCGATCGTGTGCCTTTGCATACCCACACTCCGCCCACTTGTGGGGAGTTGTTGCGCTCATCGGTTGGGAGAGGGGAATATCATGGAGCGCGGGTCACGGAGGTTCGGATTTTACGCCATTAGCTTACCGAGCACAGTCGGGCCCCCAAGTCCATTACCAAGACTGCAAGAACCTCCAATACCAATTAATGATAGAGCATAATAATACCGTTTTTACATGTTTGGTTCATGTCCCCACGGGAGACGAAGTTCGACCTTGACCTGGCGACCAGCAAGGTTTGGTGATTGGTGTTTGAATTTCGCAAACGAGTAGAAGGGTCCGTATAGTGTCATGTGTTGATGACATGTTTGTCGGGAAGGAGAGATGCGCGGGTTGTTCCCACCCGCCCGTTTACTGACCACGGCACGTTTGGTGTCATCCAAGATCCAAACCCTCGTGTTTACACTGTGCAGAATCGTGGTGCAAGAAAGGACCAGTAATCGCACCATATTGACATGGGCAGTATGTCAATATTTGGATCTAACTGAAACAAAAGTGTTGAAACCGGACTGCCCCTTCTCTCCGCATGCGCCGGCTCCTGCTAGTCGAGGCCGCGGGGAGGGCGGGGGCGGTTACAGAGTGCCTTCCTCTCGGTCGAGATTGTGCGGTTACCCCGAGCGCTCGAAGCCTTTTCGGTGTTCTTGTTTCTTCTGTAAATCCTGGAATCGTGGCTGCAGGGGGCCGCACCCGGTAGCCCCTTGCGGGGAGTGGACGCGGGCATCACACGCGCAAAGCTCGGGTACGATCCCCGGGCGTGGGTTGCTTGGGGGTGTAACCCCGGTGAAATGAGGGATACGGCGGCATGCAGCATGCGGCAGACCGAGCCCTGTTAGGTTAAGAGACGAAGTCACGGTGCTTTCCGTGTTCCAAAACCCAGCTCTCCTGTTCCGTCCACGCATAACTTACACAAGCGCACGGACCCTTTGACGGGGCGAGGTTTCGGTTTATTGCATCCCGGATTGGACCTGAGTCGGGAAGTTCTGGCTCTTTTGGGAAGATCTGCTGTTTTGCCTGGGTGATAGGACGGGATCTCCTGCTTTGCAAGATCCGCGTTCCGCGACGAGGCCCGTCCTGGTGGTGGGAGGAAGGGGGGCAACCAATCTTCTCCGCTGCTACTTTTGGCCTTTTCCTTAGGGTTCCGCCCGTGGGCGCTTCACCGATATGATCTGCGTGAAGCAGCCGTCTCACAGCTTGTAAAGTGCGATGTTGCTGACACAAGGCCCGGTTTCTGGGCTGGTTGGGGAGGAAAAGCAGTCTTCGGCAGTTGAGGGCGGGACGAAGGGAGCAGGCCGATGTAGCCGTTATTATCGCTGCCCGACCCTGGCTCGGAGCCGTGCATCTTGATGGGCGTCGTGCTTTTTTTATCGTTTTCTCATATTTGAGCCCCTTGTGTTGGAGGGTGCTCCTTTCCTCTCACTTGTCCTCGTGTATGAACGGCAGAAATGGACAACAATTCAGACGTCGACTATGGCCCACAGCTGAATGTCTTGACTTGGCTGTTGATATCCATTTCGGGCCTCTTTCTTTTCACGCGGCTTTATCTCAAGCACTGCCAACACCGTGGGCTCTGGTGGGATGACTGGATCCTGCTGGCTTCATGGGTGGCCTTGGCGGCTTCGGCCAGTCTCGTCGCGTTCCTCGTCAGCATCGACTACGGCAAGAGGTTCATTCCCTTCCACAACGCCATAAAGTTCGGCTTGCCTGTCAACGTCCTCTCGACGTTGGTGATCATCGCCAACCTCTGGGGCAAAACGTCATTCGCCGTCACTCTCCTGAGGTTACCTGTCCGGTGGATGCGGATCAGCGTGTGGTACATTCTCACGACTCTCACACTGACCCTCACGGCCAGCGTCCTTATGGTTTGGATCGAATGCGGCCCTTTCAAGTTGGCGGGGGATTGTGTCCCGGTTGGTGTATCGATAAGGTACAACGTGTTCTCCTGTGGTAAGGGGGTGCTGATTGCGGGCAAACAACGGAAGCTGAAGCTGACACTCGGTGTGTTTGGTAGCATACTCGGCGGCTGTGGATGTTGCGCTTGCGGTTTTGCCGTGGAAGTACCTGGTGAGCCAGCAGATGAGTAAGAAGGAGAAGACTGGTGCCATGGTTGCAATGAGCATGGGGATATTGTAGGTGACGCAGTACCTAGTACCTACGTTTCGAGAGGTCACTTCAAACTGACGAGGTTTGCCAGCGCTGGAGCGACAGCGGCGGCCAAGGCGTCAACCATCCCACAGCTCCAAGGCAGCACTGATGCTAGGGGCAGCATCCCGCTGGTGGCTCTATCGCTCGCAGAAGCGGCCGTGTGCATTGTCGCAGCATCGATACCCATCCTCCGGGCGCTCTCGCGGGGAGGGTTTCGAGGACCTGTCCATTTTGGATACCAGACGGGTTATGGAACAGCCATGGTCGAATCTGAACGGCAGGGGGTGACAAGCCTGCGAAGCCAAACGACTTTTGTCTCATTGCCAATTCAAGGCTCCCGGCGCCCGCAGTCTGGGCAGCTGGAAACCGGAATAGGAATCCAACAACAACAACAACGGCGGGGCACATCTGTTAGTTCCGAGGAAACTGGAACGCTGAGGAGCGAACGAAGCACCGAAGCGCTCCCGCAAAAAGCTGATGACGAGCGGAGCGACGAAGACAGTATTGAAATGACTGATTATAGGGGTCAACCGCAATCCCCCATCGACTTTACCGGGTCCAATGCGTTCTGATAACCAACCTATCCAGGTTGCTGAGTACCAGTGCGCTGCTGCCCCCGAGTGAGTGTGGGAGAAGCGCCCCTCGGTTATGGATGTACCAAACCCCGCCAAGGCCCCACCGAATCCCCGCGTGGTCTGTGCGCGCCCCATGGCAGTTCGGCATTGAGTTTCCCAAGTCTGCGCAAGCGCGGCGCGGTCGTGTTCGCGAAGCGGTGTCCATGCTTGGTACCTGAATTTCCAGACGGCTCGATCCACTCCACAATGCCCGCCAACACAGTCCCGCGAGGTGCGCGCTGGGCTCCGGTGTCGGGCTCCGCCAACGTTGACTCGGGCTACCGGCAGCTCTGGAATGACCCGGACAAGTCGTACGCGTACATTTGTTGGTGCCAGCCGCCATTTCCCGTCGATAACGACGACAACGACGACGACGACGACGACGACGACGACAAAGACGATGAAGAGGAGGGGGAAGATGGTTGCGACGGTGGCAAGACGTGCCTCTGCGGCAAGCCGGCACAGGAACATCCCGATCACAAATGGATAACGATGTACGCCTGTCGCCGCAAGTTTTTGTGCCAGGTTGACATGGCCCGATTTCGCGACCCCCGGCAATTTCGACATGCACACGTTTAGCGACCACGCAGCGTACGGGGTGGTGGAGGTAATCGAGAACCTGCTGCTGGATTTCGTCGAGGCGAACGGCAATTGGAGAGAACAATGGGTTGTGTGCGAGGCGCTGGCGTTTTTCCTGCAGACGGACTTGGCCGAGGATCTCATGGGGTGGGTTGATTGCTTCCGTTGAACGTTGACATTGCCGCCGCAGCTCGCAGCTAACCACACGTATACGACCCAGGATCGACGATCCGGACACGGTCAACCACCTCATCCGCCTCGTCGGGCGCACTTTTCTCGCCATGCTCGCCCAACTGGAACGCCAGCGCCGCCTCGGCCCCGACTCCGAAGTCAAGGACCTCGGCCTGATCATGTCCTTATACATCGAGACTGCCAGGACCATGCAGGTCAACGATCTGCTCAAGGACGGCGACGAGGAAACAGTCGAGCTGAAGATGCCCGACGGGTCCACGGAAAAATACACCTTCGACCTCGGCAAGTTGGACGAGTACATTCTCGGCTATGTCGAACGCCACAGCATTTCGGTGCCGGACGCGCCTCAGGACGGCGAGGGCGCCGCCGAGGAGCTACCCCCCCAGACGAGTGAGGACCCCTGGAACACGGCCGAGGCGTTCCGCCGGTACGAGAGGGTCCACGGGAAAGCGAGCGGGCCTGGGGAGAAGCCGGCCATAGGCGGGGACCGTTACGACATCACCACCTGGACGAGTGCCGAGCGGCGGTCGGCCAGCTTCAAGAAGCGGGACCCGTTTAGCAAGAAGGAGATTGCGGCGCTCAAGCTGGGTTTTATGCTGGGTTTTGAGTAAGGGCACATTGTTGCCGGGGTTTCATTTTTGGGGATAGTTGCCCGTGCCTTGAATTTCCTGCTTTGGATGTCACCAGTGTAGGACTTAGTGGTGCGTGGAAACAGTATTTACTGTGTATTCGTATTTCCGCATCGACGGTCAGGCTGCGTCCACGTGGTCCCATGTGGTGTTGCGTGCCGATCTACTCATCAAAATGAGACTGCACGTGGTGTGCCACAGCCGCCTCATCGCCTCGGAAATCGCCGCAGACGGGACAGATTGACTCCTGAGCGGCAGCCTCCTCGAGGCTGTTGTTGCCCGTTGCTGCCTCGGTTGCAGTGTTTCGCGCGCCCTTCCCTTTGCCGCGCTTCTTGGCTGGCTTGATGTACGCATCGAGGCCCAGCGGCTGCGTAGATTGCGGCGCTTGATCTAACCTCACATCGGTGAAGTCTCGCCGTCCCTGTCCCCTCGGGGCAACGCCGGCCGGCCCCGTCTCCGCAGCCGCCTCCATGTTGCCGTCCGGTTGGATTGGGTGAAGTCCTGTTGAGGCGGCGCCTCCCGCCATACGCTGGACTCGACCGACTCTCCCGTCTGTCAAGCGCACCTTGATCCCCCGCGGGTGATTGCCTTTGGTCAACAGCTGAGACACAACCCCTTGCACGGTGCGCCCTGTAGGCTGGTCGGCCTTGAGAACAATATCGACCACTGTCCCTGGAGTAACCTGGTTTGTCGTTGGGACGGTTGGCATCTTGGAGTTTGGGCGATGAGATTTAGTTTGGTTGGGTGAATGGATGCGCAGAACACTCACGCCGAGCCCGGTCATTCGCTGGCGCAAGAAATCCTCGAATCCCTGCGCGCACGCGCGCTCGGGCGACACAAGGCGATAAGCCCGACGTGCCCCACCACAGACGATAAGCCCCACCGCCGACGACATCCCTCGCCGCTGATGATATTTACGCCAGCACAGCAGCGGGCTGGACGATAACTGAACAACATTAACATCCATCGCGATGTGGACGACAAATTTGAATGAATCCGAGTACATTGAAAGATCAAAAAGCATTACAACCAGGGCCTATTAACTCCCAAGCCCTTCCGATTCAATCCCTTCGAGTCTTTTAAAGCCTTCGCCTTCGGCAAGTATTTGATAGTCAAGCTCAGTTTGGGTTGTGGCCGTCAAGTATACTGCTGTGATAACCGACGCCGAAGGAGTCAAGGACGGGCGGGAAGGGCCAGGGTCTACTCTCTATCCCCTTGCACCTTTTATAGTGAGGAAGAAAGACGTATTACCGGCGGGCTAGGAGGTACCCAATGCTTCCCAAACTAGTTGCCGGTAAAGGGTCGCGCATGAACGACATTTGCTCCTGCGAGAGTTGTCGTTCAGTCGCTCCCTCGCTTCAGTTGTCGTTGATCCTGGAGGCGGGTTAGGGTTGCCGGCAACAGCCCCGACTGGCCAGAACCGCCCCATGGCCCCAGTGCATTTCCACACTGAAACCCGAACTCCGCCGACGCAACCGAATCCTGCCCGCCGTCAATTCACCATCGTCACGACTCACGACTGAATGGCGGCAGACTCAAGCCACGAAACCACCCCTCTTCTACCCAACGCCGAGCAAGAGGATTTAACTCACAACACCGACACGATGGGCAGCACCCTACTCTGGAAGACAGGCGCCGTGTTCGGGGCCACTGCCGTCGGACTCGGTGCATTCGGCGCCCACGGACTTAAGAAGCACATCTCAGACCCCAATAAGCTGGCTAACTGGTCTACTGCTGCCCAGTATCAGGTACACGCAATTCATTCATTTATTCCCATACATGCATGCGCATACGTGCATCGCCGAGTTGTGAGACAGTTGTACTGACCCAGTGAACCCCGCTCCACAGCTCGTTCACTCGGTCGCCCTTCTCGTGGCTAGCAACAACCCGGTTGCCGGCGCTTTGTTCACCGCTGGCATGACCATGTTCAGCGGCAGCATATATGCCCTGACACTTGACACCGAGAGATTCCGCTTCATGGGCCCCGTCACGCCTCTCGGGGGCCTCTGCCTCATGGCTGGCTGGCTGGCCCTGGCGTTCGGAAAAAGAGGCGCCGGAATGCGGTGGCCGCGGTTTTAGGCGGCGTGCGCCGTCGGGGTGCGTCGAGTCATGTAAGATTAATGGGGGTGCCTCAGGAAATAGGTACCTACCTGGAGGCTGTATGTACCATTACGGGGGGGTGGGGGGGGGGGGGGGGGGGGGGGGTCTAGCACATGTATCGCCGTGTGGTTGTACATGTATCGCCGTGTGGTTGTACCACGACACAGGAGGAACACACGGGCCGGCAACCACAAACAATACGACTTCTCCCGCGAGAATCTGAAGTATAGTCTGACAATACACGCTACTCACTCAAAAGACAAACATACTTTCTGTTCCCTCCGCTGACAACTGTCGCTACTCAGCCCAGTACGGATGGCACCACGTTCTGCTGTCAAACAGTCAGTCCGGTTCGTTCGCTAGTGCATCACGGTGTGAAAGTTGGGAAGCACACCATCGAGGTCCGGGGCCACGGGCGAGTTCGGCGCGCGCTGGGCGCTGATAGTTCTCATAAGCAGTATGTCTATATGGCAGAAAGCGGCAGCCGCTGCGTCGGTGGCCTAAGGGGGAAGGCTGGCTTCACAGGACGTCTCGTACGAACCGAATGTTAGTTATACCCTTGGTTGGAAATACCGTTTTTAGGCGATAGTATGTTATGTTAGGGGCATGCAGACTAGGGCCATACGTGTGTTGCCTCGGCATGCGTTTGACGTCAGACTGGGCCGCAAAGGCCTGTGAGCATGGATATTATGTTAAGCAGTAAGCCTAGATATCCTATTGCCGCATATCTCAAGCTCCTTCAAAAGCATATAATACGTTTTGGACACCGTCACCAGCTCCCTAGTGCTTACCCCAAGTGCAGCCTCCCGCAAGCCAATGGCCTCCCCTCGTAGCACCCCTGCGCCCCTCCTGCGCCCCCCTGCACCTCGCGCTGAATGCGGCTCAGACGATCCCTTCAAGCCCTCTTGGCCTCTAAGGCTGAGCGGGGAGACTCTCGGCCAACCCTGAATCTTAAATGTAATGCTGACAGGCAGATGGTTTACGATATAAAACTCTGAATCTCCTTCAGGCTAAGTCCGCGGGAATCTATGAAAATAGCAACTACCGGCATTTAAACTACAACCCTTGGACGTAATTACGTCCCCTCGTGGTCACGGCAGTACCCCGAAGACCATGCCCGGTGTGCCCAAGAGCAAAGGCTGCAACACCTGCCGGAAGCAGAAGAAGTTGGTAAGCCACCTACCCACCGCACCCACACCACAACCAGTACCACGGGAGAAGCTTACAGACCTCCCCAGTGCGACGAAGCACAGCCAAAATGCGGCAGATGCGTGCGCCTAAAGACAGAATGCGTCGGAATCGGCGTCAGGCGCTTTCTCTTCAAACAAGACGCGCTAACCCGCTACGCCGCCCCCGCCCGCAGCACCACCTCCCCGCGACCAGCCCCGAGCAGCGAGACAACGCGGATCGCGGGCGCCCTGGTGCACATCCTCGAGATCCGCGACATCCGGCACGACATCCGCTCGATCGGCGGGAAGTACTTCCTGGACCTGCCGCGGCGGGTCGGCCACCTGGCAGCGGCGTACGACGCGTCGGTGGCGGCGCTGGTGGCCTCGTACAGCGCGCTGTACGGCCGCGGGGGCGGCAGGACGGCCTCTCTGATGAGGTACGGGGACGCGCTGGCCGCTACGCGGGTAGCGCTTCCGGAGGGGGGGATACCGACGGTCGTCAAGATGTACATGGTGTTTAACATCTACGTTTGCCAGGTACGTTGGGGACGCCGCCCCGATATACCAACGCACTTTCAAGGGCTCTGACAGGGAATATAGGAATGGACGTGCGACACCGACCCTGTCAGGTCATCCAAGCATAGGGAAATGCTCGCCTTCCTTCTGCGCGAGGTTGTGGCCAGGGGGGAGTTACCGCAGATCGACACTAATTATATCTACGCCCTTTGCCAGATGGTAGTACGTCAGCCGCCTATCTCCAGCGCCAGCTTTGAACCCTGATACTAACAGACCAAACCCCAGGTCTACGAAAGCTTCGTCAACGAGAAGGTCGAGCTGGGCCCGTGGTTCTGGGAAGCCTACGGCGTGGTGAGGCACACTGGGCCGTACCCCTACCACTACGGAAAGACCTTCCTGAGCATCCGGCTAGAGACCTACGCCGAGGCCTCCCTCTACTTCCGCTCCCCGCGCCGGAACCTGCCCCAGCTTACGCAGATCCACAACCTCATCCAGGCCGAGAGGCCCGCGCTCTGGGCCGAGGTAGAGGCGTGGACAGCCACCTGCCGGGACCCTAGCGCGCCGGACGCCGCGCACCGTGCCCTCCTCTCCTACCAGACCGCCTACGGCCTCCTCCTGTCCATAGGCGCGCGAGTGATACGGGCCATCAGACGGGTGAATCCCGACATCGACCTCCTCCTACAATCGTACAACTTGTGTGACGATGCGATCCGGCTCGCGAGGCAGTCGGAGGCGGGCCACCGGCCGTTCGGGGCGTGGTTCGTGCCTAAGTTCCTGAGGCTCGTCAGGGCGGGCGTGCCGGGGTATCGTAGGGGGGAGGTCGACGCGCTGATGAGGGACTTTGCGCAGGACTTTAAGGGGATTGACTATATCAAGGAGTCGGAGTGGGTGGAGGGGCGGTATAATGCGATGGAGGATATGGTGTCAGGACAGTAATTGGCACACAGTGCAGATACAAACAGCTATAACTCTAAAATAACTCTGTCTAATAGTAGAGACAAAATTATAAACCTGCCCACCTCCTATTCCAGCTATACCAACCCCCACATTCCAAGACTAGGTGATCTCCGCGCCTAACATATTTGGTAAGATGCGGTAGGTTCTTTACCACCTAAAGGGCATAGCCCGGCGGGTCGCGCCAGACTCCGAAACACTAGGAGTAGCACTGGCGGAGGGGCTGGGCGCGCTGCTATCTGGGTCCTCATACTGCCGGACAAAGAACTCGACCACCTCGGCGCCGTATGTTTCATGGTAGTGAAGGTGGGCGGGAATGACTGGGTCCGAGCCGGCATCGCAGAAGACGTCGCCAGCATCGCAGTAGGAGACGAGCCGGCCGCCGAGGGCGTCAAGTCCGCTGGAGTTATGGCGATGGAAGACCTGTTTGAAACTCATTAGACATTTGGTCGTTTTTTGCAGAAGATGAACCCATAAACTTACGCCCTCGAAATCAGGGTTGGCGGTTCCCTTTCTGTACTTGGCTTTGGGGGCGAGGGACGGGTCGCCGAAGAGGGCCACAGCCACGACTGTTCGTCACAAATATTTAGCATTAACAACCTTTTCCACTCCCTTTTTTTCCGGGGCTGAGCTCTCACTGTTCTTGGTAACGTCGTCGTCCAGACTATCGAGGTTCTTCCCGGTCTCTGGGTAGGGCGACCACGCAACGACGGTCCCGCTGAGCGCATTCGCCGTGATCTGCGCGCCCTTCACAAACCAATCAGCCTACGATCCCTCGAGAACCGTTGTTTTCCACATTTCGTTCCATTAATACCTGCGAGTATCCAAGGAGAGCAATCTTGCCATTGGGGCAAGCCTCTGTGTAGTCGATCAGGCTCTGCCTCACGACGTGGATGCCGTTGCGCACCGAGTCGAAGTAGACGGGGTCTTTATTCGATGCGGGGTAGTCGATCGCCTGGAAGGCGGAGCCGCTAATCTCGTTGAGGACCGCCTCGGCGATGGCCCCCGAGACGCCTGGGCCGGGACGCTCCTCGGTCCCGCGGGCGACAAAGATCTGGAGGCCCGGGGCGCACTCGATGGTGTGGTTAGAGGCTACCACCAAGGAGGCGAGAAGGGCAGCCGCTAAGAAGGCCGACATTCTTAACTAGGGCAAATAACACAAGAGGGGTTTATAAATGGGGAGGTGGTTTGTTGATACAGAGGAGTCGGCAGAGGAGTCGGGGATGTGAGTTGAGATGCTCTCTGATTCAGTACTATCGAGAACCGGACTTGAAAGCCCTTAAATATTCGATTTCGCAAATCTCGTCATGGGACTACGATGAACAATAGAGAGCTGGAAATAATGCCGAGCCTATCTTTTGTCTATTCATTGGCTCCGAGAAGGCACAGAACATCACGATCGCGCGGTAGAGCATGTATTAGGCCACCAAGGCGGCGCTGACGGGAGCTCGGCCTAGCCCGATTTGGAGAAACTATGTGATCGGGCTGACCGGGAAAAGCGTGGTGCGAGAGGCGGCTGCGCCACTCATCTCCAGCTTTTCCAAATGGGGGGGTTATGGTGCGCTGGATCAGCGCTTGGCAAACCAAACACTTCCACTCAGCTTGAAGGAGCTGTGGCGTCGTACCGACGGCTCGCCGCAGCAGCCGGTTTGTTCCTCGGCCTGCTCCATGAGCCACCCTGCAGCTAGGGCCAGCAAAGCACCCAAGAACGGGGAGAAACGTAGTACGGGTGAAAACGGGGACGAAACGTAGCAAGAGTAACATTTTGCAAAGCCTATATCAAAATACTGCGACCTAAGGAAACAAACAACAAAAACAAACTGTCGTTGCTAAGCAAATATACAGCACTTGCTGCCAGCGAACCAGAACAACCCCGGACACTTGTCCAACATCACCACTGGCCGCTCTCCTCCGTTGGGTCCTGACCACCACTGGCTGTTCTCCTCCGTCGGGTACATCCACTCGATTATCGTCGCCATGCTGTCCTGCTCCTCAGGGTACGGCTCTAGGAGCGCGGTCACCGAATCGTGCTAGTCGTTACCCCCGATACCCAGGAGCACGCGGGACCTCTCCCAGTACACCGGGGCCCCTCTTTCTTTGTTTTTCCCTGTCCCCGAAGTAATCGTACAAATACGGCCGCCGTTCACCGTCTTTCCTCCTGAGTTCTCCCCGCTCTCGCACAGTTCTCTCCTGTCCCAGGTGTCTTTGCACTTTTCCCGACAGCGACGTCCAAAAACGGACCATGATTTCCAACGCTGGCAAAGAGAAACGACAGTCCGAAAGCAGTGAGTCGGACCGGTCAACTATCAACTTGCCTACCACCGCCGCGTTTTCGGGATATCGCCCCTTCCCTTCAGTCATGAACCTCTATGGCAACTTCTCGGGAATTCTTCAAGCATTTACCCAGAAGCTCTGCGGTGCTAGCGAGGACGACTTTCTCTCGTCGAGTTGCATTTCGGTTACACTACGCAGGGGCCTCTCCATTTCGGGCAAGGCTAGGTTCTTTCTATCTTCGCAATGGGACGACCACCAAAGCTCCCGTTCTCGCCGCTGCGGGTGACGAACTCCCAATCCCCTTCCTTATCAGACTGTCCGACCCCAAGACCGCTATAAAGCTGCCGCCATTGGATACGGAGAAGAACCCGCGGGACATAGTCACCGAGATCTTGTGCGCGTCCAGTGGCAAAGAGCACGGCGTGACCTTCCGGTTTGCGAATGAGGTCGGCATAAAGAGGAGACAGAGAGAGGAGTTTAAATGGCGAGAGACCAAAGGAAGCAAGGAGGATATCAGGGGCCATGAAAGGCAAAATCGATATACGCTATATCGTCTCGCATCCAACCGTCCGGTCGCTTCTTCTTCTTCTTCCGCTCCCATTCCGGACAACACTCAGATAGTAGCTAAGCTGGCGTTCTGCAATGTTATAAACGTGAAACACATTTTTACGCTGGAGTTCCAGGGGACTGGCCTCATGGGGGAGCTAGGTGACCGCTGGACGCTCATAGTCGTAATAACCTCTTTGGCTCTCTACTGGGTGCGCTAGAACGGCAAGAGCAACAAAGCAACAGTTGGGGTGGCACAGATTATACACTCGAAGTAAGGAGTAGTATAGATATATTGCATAGTGGCAACGGGCAAGGATAATACACTGTGTTTAGAGGGTTCACCCTTCGTTTGTAACCAAATCCTCAATTTCTTTGCAAGATGTATCCCTGTACGCGCGCGTGTTATGTGTTGCTTCTTGCAGTTTAGAACTCCCAAGTTCTACCTACTAAGCTCCAATGGCTAGATGAGGCGCACCGAAGTACTGTTACCGATCTAATCAACTCACGGAAAATCCATGAGGCTGTACAAAGTGGCCCTGTGGAAGTAGGAACAGCGCCCTCAACTCTGGGTCCTTGAGCAGCTTGCAGTCTCTCTTATGACCCTTCTCATTCCAAGCTAGCGTCTGGCATACCTAGTCGTCCAGCAGGTTAGTATGTTCGCGTCTTGTGATTGAAGAGGCAGGCAATCCATATACCTTGTCGCAGTACCAGGAACAGTTGCAGCGAGCGCATTTCTTCAGCGTGTTTGCGTTGCGACCGCAGCCTTGACATCTCCTCGTACCGTTCCCCTGCGTAACGCACTGCCGTACCCTGTCGCTCAGGCTGAGCAGTTCATCAAGCGCAACGGGGAAAATCTATCAGAGTTAATAGAAGCGGGGATAAAATGGCCCGCTCGAGGGAATGGCAGGCTTACCCTCAGGGATGCGAGATCTTCTTGGCGGATACCGACCGTCATGTCGAGAAATCCGTGTTGCTCCGCATACAGAACGGCCAGTGTGAATCCCTTTTGCACGCAGAGAGGATCAAGCTCGTCCCCGCGCCCAGGAGTGTGGAAAGCGACGGGAACTTCAAGTCCCGTTTTATCCTTTGTGACGAGTTTCAGGCGTATGAATTGTTCGATGTCGACGATCTCAGCGAGGAAGCACCAATGCTTGCGTGGCCGGTACGAGAAGCCGTCGGTGGACTCAAGAAAGTCGAGGTCAAGTGCATTCTCCCAAGGCAGCGCGGAGAAGCAAGGGAACATGGCGTCGTTGCGAAGATCGGCATACTCGCACGCCGCCCGCGGGGGGGTTTCAGTGCCGGCACCGTCTGTCTTGTTCTCCTCTCTCCACAGCCAAGCCGCGAATGCCTCGGCCGAGATGCCCGAAGGAATGTCGTTGGTCGTCGTTGCCCACTGCGAACTATAACCGTGTGAAGCGTGCCGGGATGGATCCCGCGCCAACTCCCGGTGCCGCCGCACGGTAGAACTGTCATCCCCCTCGATTATGGCCCGGGCTGTGGCGGCTCGTCTAGCAAAGACAGTTGCCCGCGCTAAGTCACCGTTGAAGATGGCAATTTGGAAGGCGTCGTAGTAAGCCCGGGGGACGGTCGCGTCGTCGATGCCCTCTTCCTCGCAGAGTGTCAACAACTTGCGCACGTCATACAGGGCCTGGAGGGGAGAAGCGACAATCTGCATGCCCTCGCCAATAGATTTGTCCAGTCGCAACATCTCGCCAAGCCGCGCGTCGCTGAGATGCAGCTCGGGCCCAGAAAGGGAGCAGAGTGAACAGGAGCAGGTGAAGCGAAAGTTCTTCTGCAAAACGAGCTGGCGTGCAGACCGGTCCGCTCGATCCTGCAGGTACATGATGGTGATTTCCTCGCCCTTGTTAATGTCGCGGATCGCATGGATTGTAAGCTGCTGGAGGTCCTCGTTCCAGGTATTCTGCGCGTTTTGGATACAGGCGTGGTTTATGCGCGACGCGTCGAGGAAGATGCCCCCCACCGAAGCGTCGGATCCGAGAGGCAGGGCGTTTGTGCGGACAATGCCGAGTGCTTGGCCTGTCTCATCTTCGAAGGTGTTATGGAGCGCGAAGAAAGCTTGCTGTTGGTCTTTGCTGAGCGCTGATATCTTCTGGGACAACGATATACCCAGTTCTTCCTTGTTGTTCGTAGAACGAGGGACCCGAAGCAAAGCAGGTTCGGAGAGGATGCGCGTGCCCTTCGGGATCTTGGTGGTGGAGACGAGGCCCAGGCCCTTGCCGGAGACCTCTTGAAGGATGTAGACCTTGTCCGTGTCCATCTCTGGTTTTCGATCTGATGCTAGCACTGTTGAAGGATGAAACCGATGATGGCTTTGGAAGGCAGCACTGCGTTACAAACGCCGAGATATCAAGCGCGTTGGGAAGCTTCCCCGCACTCACCTGCACGCAACCGCAAAGTCGAGACAAACGGATGGGGATTGGCCTGTTATGCCTGCTGTACGACTCTTGGTCCTACCTGTTAAAGCGAGCTTAGTAGTAATTAGTAGTGTGTATTGGCCAGAAGACACTCAAGACAGGGAGGGGCTAAGGGCCGGGGGATCAAGTTTGCCTGACCTTGGAGCCCTCTCGAAGCCCTCCTGGAAACAGCTCTCGCAATACTTCCGACTTCTCCCAGCCCTGCTCAACAGTTGCTCAAGGTTCCTCCAAAAACGAACAACTCCTCCTTGAATCACCCGTCAACACGTCTCCTCGGGGGGCAGTCAGAGAATCGCAAACAGTCCCCTCCGAGCTCGCAGCTCTGTGCATCTGTGGGCCTCCACTTCCTGCACCTCCACGTCACCCGGCAGTTCAGCACATTACGCACCCTACATTGCAGCCTTGTGAGGCAGTGTGTCGTACGACCTAGTCTGGCGCTGTGGGGGGTGCGGTGGCGGTAGGAGTCGTGCTAGTGCCCGCGGGCGATACCCTCACAAGGAGAGGGTGCCTATATCTCGTGAGAGAGAAGCTCTGGTACCAATGGGCCAGAGATCCTTTGGGTGTGAGATTCCAGATTGTAAACGTGTCTCGGGATTCCATACCAAGCGCCAGGTTCGACGACACCAGAGTGCCGTATACAACCCCCCCCAAGAAAGTAGCATAGTCTACCCGTGTAGTTTGTATGTACAACAAATGCAGCGATTCATCGGACCCCAGGATCTTGGTCAGATTCAATCACGCCCTAAGCTATTTCAAGAAATATCGTGGCGAAGTCCTTACTGGTTGGGAAACATCCCAATCACCACGCGCCCACCCGGCTTTCCTCACCCTGAGTGTGCCAGGTTAAACGTAACTCATCCTTGGAATTTTGTCCCCAGGATCGGGCCTAACTATGCTTTTTAAGTTTTCTATGCCTTCTAAGCTTGGGACTCTCGGCACCTCGTCTCCTTTTCTTCGCTACTTGGTTACAACCTTGCGGTTGGTGCCGTAATACTAGCTAAAAATGGAAAATAAAAGAGGTAAATAGTTTGTGGATTAGGAGAGTCGAGACATGATAATGCTTGGAGAGAATAAGTCGAAAGGTAGGTAGGTACCTAGCTAGGTAGGTTAGGGTCACTTTGGCAATATTCACTATTTTGGATCTTGCTCTATCTCTGTGAGTAAAATGCTCCTCCGAGAGCTGAAAGTGGTGGGGGGCGAGGAGATGCCGTGCTTCCGTCTCCCAAACCGCGCTATCCCCGACTTGTCAAGATTGAAGTCCTGCTGAGACTCAGCTCGTAACCCCACGATCACGACATCGTGCCCTAGATCCTTGCCATCCTGATCTTCCAGGAACATTTCCACTCTCGGACCACACCAAAGGTCATTTCAGACTCTCGACGCGGGACTGCCCTTTGAACACACCAAGGAGTCGAGTTAGTGCCACTGTTCATTGGCTTGGGGAACTTCTTCTTGACATTCAATTTCGGCGGGATGAGCAGTTTCTCTCACATTACGTACCTTAATCACATACGGTCGATCAATTGCCTCCCCGGTGGAATTGATTAAGAGAACCTAAACGCCTATAAATATGGTCCTTTAGCCGAAGACATCGGTTCGCCCCTGCTTGATCCCCATCACATCTCTCACACGGTCCTTACCTTGTCATTCACTCCCGCTCGCTTTACACCAGACGCTCTTTTATTCGAGGGCACTTCTCACAATGAAGCTTGCTCTTCCCCTTTCTGCCCTCGCGGCCGTGAACGCTGCCCTAGGAGCCACGCTCCCGGGTAGCAAGAGCGGCCCTCAGTTCGACAAGGGGCAACCCATTGACGGCAACGGGAAAGGGGCTCCCCTTTTGGGTTCGTGTACCATTCTGATACGTGTCTCGATAGGGAGAAACTGACAAGCTTTGGTATTCAGGCGGAACGGACCAGCAGATCGACATTTCCAATCCCGACAACCTTGGACGGCAGTCTACGGATAGTGGGATCGTTCCCAACCTCAAGTGGCGCTTCTCTGACTCGAAGACGAGGCTCTTCAAAGGCGGGTGGCTCCGTGAGCAAGTCATTCAAGACCTTCCCCAGAGCCATGACATCTCGGCGGCGCAGCAGCATCTTTCCAAGGGCGCCATCCGCGAGCTGCATTGGCATCGTGTAGCTGAATGGGGCTTTGTGTATGCTGGTTCCGTTCTCATCTCGGCCGTCGACGAATTTGGGAAATACCAGGTTGAGACTCTCAACTTCGGCGACATTTGGTACTTCCCCAAGGGTGTCGCACATACCGTGCAGGGCTTAGGTGATGAGAATGAGTTCCTGCTGGTGTTTGACGATGCGGATTTTGATAAAGTCGGGTAAGATGACTATGGGCACTTGGAAATCCCAACTAAATAGGTACCTACCGGAGCTAACCTGGCACAGTACCACCTTCAACATCGACGACTGGGTTGCGCACACACCTCGTGATGTTGTGGCCAAGAACTTCGGTCTTGACCCTTCCGTGTTCGATCACGTCCCCGTACCAAACCCCAACATTTTCAACGGCACCGTCAGCACCAAAAACGTGACCGCGGACCCAGATGATGTGCTGACTGGCGACGCTTCCTTTGTGTACCGAACCCTGCAACACGAACCCGAGGCCGTGCCTGGCAAGGGGGGTCAGTTCTACAAGATCGACTCGACCAACTTCCCCGCCAGCAAAACGCTTGCGGCCACCTTCGTGACACTCAAGCCGGGCGGCCTCCGGGAGCTGCATTGGCACCCCAACGCGGAGGAATGGTTGTACTTTCATAAGGGCTCGGCCCGTGCTACCGTCTTCATCGGCAACGCTGCGTCGCGCACCTTTGACTTCAGCGCCGGCGACACTGCAGCCTTCCCTGACAACTCCGGGTAAGTCCTTCCCTACGATTGATCCCCGGTACGGTGAAGCATGCTAATGGCATGTTGCAGTCACTATATCGAGAACACGTCCGAGACGGAGGACCTCGTCTGGATTGAGATGTACAAGTCGGACCGCGTTGCAGACATTTCCCTAACACAGTTGCTTGCACTTACACCGGCCGATCTGGTAGCTCAAACGCTTAACATCCCTTTGGACATTGCGGAGAAGCTGCAGAAGGAGAAGCAGGTGTTAATCGCGTAGGGACAGTGAATCTTGGGGTGCGTGGGGTGGATGTTAATGAGCAACCAAGTAATAGTAGTATTAGTATTCTAGGAGCTACTACCTAAGTAGTTGCCAACCCCTAATTGCAATCTCAGGTTGCCTCGCAAGCAGGCGGCTCCGGTGCCGACAAGTCCCCGTCCATCAGCGTCTTGATATCCATTACGCTGATCGTCAGCGCCCCAATACCGTTCCCGTCAAATGTATCTCCGCCGAGAACCATCAACCTGTGAGGTTTCTTCTCGAACACATGCAGCGCACGGCTGTATGCCTCTGCTTGTCCGCACTCCTTGATCAACCACTTCTCCGGGTCGGCTCCGGCGTCGTTGACATAGACAGCGCTGCGGTCAGCATCAGACACGACAATAGTCCCGTTGGGCCCACCATCCGGAGACCACACGACATAGGGAGAGGCATTCGGCGCCACCGACGTTCCATTGGCAAGCTGGATGACGATGGGAATGTGCTCGGCCGAGTCAAACTCCCTCGGGTCGTCGGCCAACCGGTAGTGCACCGGATAATTCACCCCATGCGAGCTAGAGTTGCCGACCGGGCGCTCGTACACCAAGATCCACTTCTTCAGAGGCGGGATGTACGTGACAACGGTCATTCCGGGACGTGCGAGGTATTCATCATATGCGACGTCGTTGACGACGGGCCCCCATGTCTTGAGGTCATGGGAACGCTGGTGCGCAAGCTTTTGGCCGTGCTTGGGGTCGCGCTGGTCAGAATAGTAGACGATGAGTTCGTCCTCATAAGCACTGCAAGGTTTTAGCGTACGCCCTCCAGACGTCTCTAGGAGACGTGAACATACAGCAGGAACGGCTCCCAGATGGGCGTCGCGCCGTTCGTGGTGTTTGGGCGTCCGCCTTCAGCGACATGGCTCACAAACTCCCACGTTCGTGCCTTGTCGGTGCTGGCGTACAGGTCGATACGCGTTCCATTGCTGCTCCAGCTGTTGCCCGAAGCCAGGATCGTACCAGGCTCGAATCCGCCGAGCGGCTTCCGCAGCTCGTAGATGGCGGGCTGGGCGCCCATGCCCCAACCGTTGACTTGGTCGGTGAGGTTGGAGACCCACTTCCAGTTCACACCGCCATCCTTGCTTTCAAAGATAGGGAACGATGGGAGCTCCCCGGCGCCGGTAACGCCACTAACACTAGCGGTCACTAGAAGAGTTTCGTCGTGGAGCTCGGCGAGACGCGGATAAACCGCTCGACCTCCCTCGGGAGGGGTGTAGATGATGCGGTTACTGAAGGTGCTAAACGGCGGGAGGTGATCTGGGTCGGGTGGCCCTGGCGGAACTGGGGGTCCCGGAGGACCTTGCGGCAAGGCTACGCTGGCCTCGACGGCCAGGCAGAGGATCGTTGCAAGGGATAGACGCATAGTTTCGGGCTCTAGTCTTGGGTTGTCTACAAATGAAGCGACAGTTGTTCTCTCTCCCACGAAACGCCGAGCGTGGTTTGTATTTATATACCTCCGCCAACTGTGTGCTGTTTTCATCACCGGCTTTCCCACTTACACCCGGGTCACGTCCCTAACCGTACCGGTCCTTGAGTGTTGATCGACTGCAAGGGTAAAATCGGGAACTCAGGAACGGAAAGAGGCTAAATGTTAGGCGTCCAGCGCGAGGGGAGACGAAATAAAAGTTAGAAGCGCGCCAATGGGCCGTTGAGGACGGCCGATACGCGACTAACCAAGCAGGCCGACGGAGATGACGTTGGTGAATTGACAGGAGGGCGGGGGTAACATTCCGGCCTGCCTCTTCCCCGGATTTACGGTCGCTGGGATCTCAGGGAGGGGAAAGGGTCGGCTAAAACGGGCAGGCTAGGTTCAGCCAACTATCCCCCGAGCCACTGGATGGTGGAGGCCTGGTAAGTGGTGTTTCCTCCTGCCTAGCTCGAGCGGGCATTCTCGAGTCTAATGCAGTCCTCATGCAGCCTAACAGGGACAGAGCGAGGGAGTTCGTGGATGCTTGCGAACCGATTGGCGCCCACGATCCAGTTCAACAAGAAGTTGTGAGCCTCGACCTTCGCTCCGTTTTAGGCTCAATCCCGACAGACTCCCTAACTACCTCCGCGAGTAAATCCGAAATGGGGTAAACTCGGCCATTGTGCTGAACGGCAGGGACATGGAAGGCGGCCGAAAGGTCATGCGGACGACTGGAGTAACGTCAAGTCTTTGGCGTCTAAGAGAAGAGAGATTGGCTCGGCATGTGTGGGTTTGCCCACATCTCGCCAAATCACAAGTCAAGTTAAGGGGCGAAGAGACTCGCCCTTCTTCCCTTCGATACCATGGAAGAGCAACACCATCCCCAGCAAGGCTCGCCACAAGTCAAGTAAGTCAAGTATGAAGGCAAACTTGACTTGACTTGGCTCAGATTTGACTGGATTTGACTTACTTGAACTTACTCAAGTTGAATCAAGTCAAGTCTCCACCCCCATATATAGCCCTAACCCCCATCTACCCCCTGATTTTTTCCGACTTATAGATTAAAATTTACCAACTTTTTCAAAAATATACTTGAATCGAATGATCTTGCAATCTACTGAATCGCGGTCGGTTCGGTTCAATAGGCTAGAGAAAGTGGCGATGGGAATATCCCTATAAACGAACTCAATTGTAGGTAGCGCAAGTCAGGGATAGGGGTTATACAGGGCATAGGCTGGGGGTATATTGCAGTGCCAGTCACTTTCTGTGGCGAATAGCGGCTAACTCAATTAACTCAAGTAAACTCAAGTAAGGAGAGGGTCTTACTTACTTGACTGGGTGGCCGATTTGACTTGATTTGACTTGATTTGACTTGATTTATTCAAGTATACTTGACTTGCGGCGAGCCTTGATCCCCAGCGGCGGGGGGTACAGCCGAGAAAGGGGTCAACGCGGTTCAAACACGACCTTTGAAACACTGTTGTATTATATTATATGAGTAAGAGAATAGGTAAGGCATCAGTCGCAATGCCATCCCTCGAGCCTTTCCTTGAGCCAGCCGCTAGTAGTCTTCAGTGCCGTCTTTCGTTCGGACATCGCAGGGGCGTAGCCCTGACCCATCATAAGCTTGTCGTCCATGCCGCACGAATCTTCAACATAGCTCCATTGGACGCATGTAGTCCAAGATTTGCAGGCCGCTTCACACGCGTCTGCCGATACCCATGCGCCTTTCCACAGCGCTGTGTCGTGGCCATCTTCAGGGGTTGGAGGCGCCGCCTTGTTTGCCGACGTGACTCGGAATAGGCCGGACTGGTTATCCCACCACTCAGCCCGTTCCTGAAGGTCCGGAAAGATCATGCCCATGAAAAAGTCGCGGTGGAGCAGCGGTTTCTGGATCAGAGTTAGACACCCCATGTTTCAAAAGACTAAAAGCAAAAAAAGAAAAGGGGAAACAAAAAAAAGAAAAGCACTGATAGCATCATATCGCTTACCGTAAAGTCCCAGGAACTTTCAAAGGCGAAATATCGCGCAACATCCCGATTGTGAACCTTGTGCCAGGACATAAGGGGACTGCACCAGTTCCACCGGCTGAAGCCAAACCGCCAATGCACAACAGGGTTGAAGCCCCACGTGAACTTCTCGTCGCCGTCGTTTTCCCCAAACAGCACCCCGTGTTTGTTCAAGGCATGTCCCAGTACCTGGTCACCACAACAGTGGGCAGCCGCGTACGGCTCGTAGTCCGCAGACAGAGTCGGATTCCGCCCAAACGTTCGCTCCCAGGCCCCCCGAGAAAGCGCGAACCCAGCGCCGCCATGAGCAAAGACGATGTCGGACTTGGCAGCGTAGCTCCCAAGGTAATGTGGCTTACGCCAGTCGAACTTTGACAGGTACGCCAGCACGTTGGGCAGGAAAAGGTAGGCGTCGTCCTCCATGTAGATATACCACTTTGCCTCGGGCCAGTTCTTTCCGGCATGCTCCATCAAGGGCATAAACTTGTATTTGTCGATGATCCATCCCCCGGGCGGACCATAATTGTCGCCGTCGACTCCTGCGGCCTCCACATACACATTATGGCCCGCATATTCGGGCTGCTGCCGGTATACATCAAAGTCGGACAGGGCCTGGGTTGTCTCGGTGATGTTTGCCAAGACGTCGATGATTTGAACGTCGCCAATCGTTTCCGGGTAGTCAGAGTAAATAACCGTGTTATCGAGCGGAATCCGGCGAGGGGACAGGGTCGTCGTCAGATGAACAAGCAAGCGTTTCCACATGGACGTGCTCCCAGTCTTGACGATCAAGAGCACATCCGCCGCTGACAAGTTCCCGCTCGAGTCAGGCTGCGTGGTCTGAAAGCCGCCCGGGGACACTGTTGGGGACGTTGCGTCATTTGTTGGTGAGGTTGAGCCCGGAGTTACCGTGGTTGTCTCCCAGTACGGTGTGGATTCGGATGTTTGGGTCTGCCCGTCCTGTTTGGATCCCCATCCCGGAAGCCCACCGCCGAAGTTGTCCACGCTCGGGTCAATGAGGAAATATGCTGCCCAGAAACATACCGTAATGAGAATGGCCGGCATAAGCCGATTATTCTTGTATGTGACGATCATCGCTTCCCCAGAGATTCGTTCCGAAATGAAAGAAAAGAAACGTTCTCTCACTCAACGAAATGGATGAAGAGGTCAGTAACGACGGGGTGCGAAGTCCGAGTCGCCCGACGGACTTCCAGGTTCCTGCCTTTTCCGGTACCCACTACAGATTAGGTAGCGCGAACTCAATTTTCCCCCTGAATGCTGGGGCCCGTTTTGCCTGGCATGCCTGTCCATTGTGACGCTGCGCTGAGGATTCGCTTTCCATTGACTCACACGCCACTTAATTTTGCACACGATCCATGCGCTTCAAAGCCCCAACAACACCCGCCCAATCGATGGCGGCAACTCTGTCTCGGGCGGTTTGTCTGGGCAGAAACGCCCCCTGGAATACGACAATGCCGTGGTCCTCGGAGAGACTCCATCGCGAACCGAATCTCGTCATCCCTGTCTTCCGAGGTTCCAGCCGCATGGGTTGGGGGCGGGATGCCTATTTTAATTTCCTCGGCGCTGTTTTTTTTTTTCCCCGGTGCCGGCTGGCCGGGGAAAGGGGGAATGAAGGTGCCACAGTCGTCAGTGGCACAAATAGCGTGAGGATGTCCCGGATCGTCAAGGACATGTCTTTCCCTCTCGTTCAGCCTTATGTACATGCAGTCCGTGCTGTGATCGGCAGATCTTGGTCTTGTCAAAATGTTTCCCGAGAAACAGGCCACCAGGGATGCCGATCATCAGGTCCGCAACGGCCACAGGGTTCCGGCCATTCGTCAATTTCTCAACGTGATCGGCTGTGCATTGGCGATCCCCCTGTACTACCTGACGACGGCGCACAGTCGATATCCAGTCACGCTCGATATCATCATCACCATCGCGTTTACCGAACTGAACCGTTATGTTATCGAGGGATGTCGGATGGCCTTCTTTGGTCAGCACCAGCACCAGCGTGATGGTCGCGATACTCCCGATGAAATAGATGAGAAAGCAGCCATCTACTCCGAGAGTCAGCCAGAACCGCCGAGGTTGGAGTGTCTGGCTGCAGTGGTTGGATGGCGAGAGGACCCCTCGCTATATGCTCGCGCCCTTGAGAGCTACAAATCGTCGAGCGCATGTGTATTCCTGCTTGCTGGTATAGACGGAGACGACGCCGAGGACCAGGATATGGCCAGGGTATTCAAGAAGGTATGTGCCTTGGGACATCGGCACCGGAGTCCGAGTACGAAGTGCATTCGCCACTGACACCTGGGTCCAGATTTATCCAGAGCAATCGGCAGTCATCCAAATACCGGAACCGTTTGGAGAGGTCGCCGAGCGAGTCCGAGCAAATGTTATCGCTCAAAACCGCCACCATGATCATCCAGTTGATGACCAGGAGGCCGATGCTATCACGATGAAATATTGCATCGAGTTGGCAAAAGGGATCCTGGTTGAACACAACCTCCGGATCGGCGCACCGGGTGGGGTGCGGCACCTGTGTCTCAAGCAGCGCCACATGCACAAGAAGGGGATCATGTTCACGGCCTACGTGTTCTCTCTCGTCATCGCCGACATTCTGGGCGTTGAATTTCTCTGGTCTTCTGATTCTGACACCATTGTCTTCCCCGATTCGCTCGAGCGTACCATCAACACCATCGCGGCAGACCCCGGGGCTGGCGGGGCAAGTTCCGGGCTCGTCGTTCACAACTCGCAAGAAACAACGATTACGAAACTCGCTTCAGCCGTGTACTGGGGCGAACTGTACCTCACACGGTCCACGCCTGCTTGTACTGGAACGAGCGATTGCCAGAGTGGCCCGAGTACCGCCTTCCGGCTGGCTGCTTTGCCCGAGATCCTCATTCCGTGGTATCTTCAGAAGGCGCTTGGCAAGCGGATGATTGTGAATGAGGACCGCCATCTCACGACAAACCTCCTGCTCAGAGGGTGGAAGGTGATGTTTGCGTCGGACGTGCTCACGGCGACGGATACGCCAACGACCATGGCCAGGTGGCTGAAACAGCAAGTTCGTTGGGCGAGAGCGACTCATATCGAGTCTCTGCTCCATCCTCGCGTATATGCCACGAGTCACCCGCTTTTGTTCTACGGCATGGCAAAACGCGAGTTTGGACCTGCCATCGGTGCCATTGCAATTATATGGTACTTCTTCACCTCGCAACAGCTCGTCGTCTTTTCCATGAGCGATCTCCTACTCCGGGTTGTGATCGGCTCCTGCTACAATATTGTGAGGAACCCCGATAGGCTGACAGGAGAGGGTTTGCTCTGGGTTGTCCCAAGCATCCTATTCTACTACATCCCACTCCCGGCTGTTCATCTATGGAGCATGATGACCATGGGTGCAGATGGATGGGGGACCAGCATGCGGGCCAGTGGCGAGCGAGCGCGGAGGGAAAGTCTGAAGAAAGCATGGTTCGAGACAGGCTTCTTTGTCGTGTGGATGGGAATCCTGTCTGGAGTTCTGGCAAAGATCCTCGGGCTCTATTTCGGTATCGTTTGGCATGAGAGGATGGCTGCGATAATAGTCAGCTCTCTCTTGGGATCATTTGGGGCTTGGAGCATTACAATCGGCGCATCATAGACCATACACATAGACGAATAATTCCATCTAATGAGCTTTCGAAATCACGTCCCTTCCCGGTCGCCATTTGATGTTCAATTACGCTCTCCAAACGCATCTTCTTTGCAATCGACATGCAAAGCTGGCACAGAACTCAAATATGAATAGGGGCTGGGGTTAATCAACACCCAAATCAACGCAACACCGACTTAACTACCTAATTAGTGACCATGAGGTAGATATGTGGGGTGCATACGGATACTTTCCTTCCTAGATATCTTAGTTCTCAACGCTGGAGACGATGCGGTGGCGTCTTGGAATCCCAATCAGTTATGAGAGCACATACAGTATGCATCTCCATAACAAGCAACCTTTGAACCACTATGAGCTATGTTTTGCACTGTGTTCCACGGTTCAGGGTGGATGGGGTACAGCAAGTGTTGGAGACAGAGATGCTAGAGTAGGAGGCTATCGGCCTCAAGGCTAGGACGTTGATGTAACGAAATGCTAATTAGTTGCAATCTACACGACGGTATGATTGTCAGGTCTATTGACAAACTAGGGTCGGCGCCTCACAACCCTGATTACGGGCGGAGTGAGCAAACTCGCTGAATATTCATTGCCAGGTCGGAAGACAGATTGTCGGACTTTTCAAAGTGTTTCCTAACGGATCAACGGCCCGGGATTCTGGCACTCACTCCTCTCGGTTGCTGGTATGTGGTGCTTCACCCTGACAGCAAGTACAACATTCCCCGCAGGCCGTCGCCCTGCGTTCTCACGTGCGGTTGCCACCTGATCATGGTCGCCTCAAGGGGATGATCGGGGAGTGCGATGGCGAAACCGGGAATCACATAACAGTGACGCAAGGCCGTCTCACTGAACAAAAGGCCGAACTGTGAAGGAAAGGAAGAAATTAAGAAATAAAGGAATAAACAAAACAAATTGCGTAAAAGCAACCCAGTCAAATACAACCAAAAGATGGCCACCTTTCGTTGAGTTCTGCTTTTGTCGACACCTGCACAGGCGTTAAGGGGTGGTTCGGGGTGACGTGATTCAAGTCACTCCAAGTCAGCGTGCCAAGCTACCTAACATCAACCGCCGATAGGCTCCGGTGGATACGAGTTCTCGTGGGGGTTTGCCAGTGAGCTAGCGTGCTGGGATCGGCTGCCTGGCGCCTGAGTTGCCGTTCACCTGACAAGCATGGAGGACATGTAATGCATCCGAATCTGCAGCCTTTCAGAAGGTAGGGAGGTTCTGCCGGCTCAAGGTCGAGTCCCGTGTGACGCTGCATCACGCGGGCACTCCCAGGCAGAGGGGCAGAGGCCCTCATGTCTGTCACGCTCGCCATCGATCGGCCAAATCGTCCTGCTTTCTGCGTTGCGCGGGGGAACAAACCCAGTTCAAAGGGGTTTCGAAAACCGGACTCGGATTTTCAGTTCCATCGCTGCGATCGATCATGATGGTTGAAGGCTTCCAATGGTTTGCAGAGGGAGGTCTGCCTCGGTTGTTGCCGTGATAGGCATTGGAAATGTGCAACCCGTGGTCCGTGCCTTCCGGCGACAGGGCGGGGGCGGTTTCAGGCGGCTTGCGCATCTCTGGGTCACGGCGGCCATGCATCCCACCATCTCTCCGCCCAAGGTAGGGGGGTATGGGTAAGTTCTGTAAGTTGTGGCCGGAAACTCGATTCTTAGTGTCGCAAGCCCGATGCGGTGCATTTAATTTTCTTATCTTCTATTTCCCGATGTTTCTGCAACATACCTTTGCCGCTGTTTTGAGCAGTGACGGCGATTGAAGTCCAGATCGCAAGTTTATGCGCTAACTCGCCAACACCCCCGCTTACCTTCGCCGCGAGTCGCTTCCTTGGCCTGGGCTGCCCCTCGGTCAGCCTTGCGCATCGGCCCGCCCCTCCTCAGCGACAGGCCCAAATCCATCTCTGCCCGGTCTGCCGGAACCACCAAACTGGAAGAACTCCCACACAACTCTGCCCTCTGAACCACAGCCATGGCAGCCTCCCACCCAAGCGAGCATCGCCATATGCGCAGCGGCAGTCTCAACATTCCACCACAGGCCAGCCGCTCAAGCGGTGCGATGGGCGCGATGCCCGCCGCGCGGTTTGAAGGGCCACGCAGCCCACCGAGTGAGTCGCTGCCCCCGTCGAATTTTCTCGCCCACTCTTCTGCCGATGCATCTTGCTGCACGGGGTCCCGGCGGCGCGCGTATAGCAGGAGTCCGCGGCTTTCTTACTGACATAAAACCCCTCTGTTCTTCGAACTAGATACCTCGCACGTGCCTTGCAAATTCTTCCGACAAGGCGCTTGCCAGGCAGGCAACGCATGCCCGTTTAGCCACGACCTCGGAAGCGCCTCTGAGACAGTATGCAAGTATTTTGCAAAGGTGCGTGGCCCCAAGTCCTGTCCCTGCTCTGCTTGCCCGACGAGACGCGCGTGCATCTGCCGACGCTGGCCGAGGGTCCCTTGAACACCGTCATACTGATTCATCGCCGCACGCTACACAGGGCAACTGCAAGTTTGGCCCCAAGTGCGCCAATATCCACGTGCTGCCCGACGGCCGGCGTATCAACTACGGCAAGAACGGCGTGACGATAGGGGCGCCGCCGGGAGTTGCTCTCGGTGCTCGCGTGAACCCGACGACATACCATCAGCCATCCAACAGTGCGCTGACCAACTCTTTTTTGCGCGCCGACCAGTTGCCCCCATATACCACCTCCGGTCCCTACGGTACCCAGGATGACGCGTACGGCCACCAGTTGATGGAGAACGGCCTCCCCATAATCGATACAACCTACAGCTCCAATCCGGCCTCTGCCTACGGGTCACCCCGGGACGAGGACGCAAACCGTCTAGGACTTGGCCTCTCCCCTGCGAACGCCAAGGGGCTCTCGGTGCTCGATGCTCCGCTCCCGGCGTCCTTCGACAGCAACGGCATATCGCTGGCCGCGCGGTACGGCCCCTGGCCCGCCTCGGTTCCCTCGAAATTCGGCCTCGAATCCCCCTCGCCGTCGCTCCACTCGGCTAGGGACGCTCGAACCTCCGAGACACTGAAGCTTTTACATACTTCCGCCTTTGGCAGTAACGAGCATCTCCCGCCCTCCGCCATTGGTGCAAACGACTCAAACGGCTTCGGAAGCAGCCCGCCCGTGGGTTCTGCCACCCTTGGTTCGGTGCTAGGGAGCGATGAATACTTTGGGAAACGCCTCATGCATAGCAGCGCAATGCGGTACACGAAACCACGCTTGATCAGCAGCAGCGCCCCGAAGATCGACCGCGATTGGGAGGCCGAATTCATGTTTGAAGAGGACTATGTGCCGGGCGCTCTGGCAAACGAGGTGCTAACTCCAGCCGAGAAGGCGAGAAGGGGTTCGACGACCAACACGGTGCGAATGACGGACACGATGGAGTCTGGGCCCGAGTCCCTGCCCATTGGGGCGACGAAATTTGGCAGTCCCCTCGGTGCGAGCCCGAGTCGTTGGGGTCCCTTGTTCCAGCGCCAAAAGGATGAAGACTTCGACGCCGGCGGCTCTGCTCGATCCATGAAACACGTATCTGCCTTCGGCCACGTGGGGAGTCCGTTGAGAAATTCCAGCCTGGCATCCGCTCTCACGGCCGAGCTCAACGGAGAACCGGGGACAGCCGGGGGTGAATCCGTCTCCGCCCTGACCCGACAACTTCGGGAGACACAGATAACCGAGGGCGGTTCTGGTAATTCCAGTCCACATTTGCACCCGGCCGCGGTCCGGAACCAAAAGTCCGCCAGTTCGGGCACGGTGGGTGCGGGTATAATCGGAAAGGAGCGGGAGCGGGAACGGGCCATGGACCGACACATCAGCAGCGGCTCCATTAGCTCGAGCGTGACCGGGCGATTTACCACTCCCATCGACGAGGAAGATTCGTCGTTCGTGTTTAGGATGGAGGAGGAAGACGACCCCCAAACGCGCGCGAGGAAGCGTGTGTCAGGCGGCAACCTAGGTGCCACAAGCCCCCTGAGCGCCGCCTGGAGCTACGCCAACGTTGTCGCCACCAACAGGGCCGCCACGAACGCTTCAAACGGCAGCAAAGGCACGGCGGGGAACAACCCTGAGACGGTTGTTGGAAGATGAACCGGACGAGGAGTTGGTGGCATTCGCCAGCGACGCACAGGGCGAACATAAAACGGCATCATAACGAGTGCATGGATTCATGGAAACGGAGTGCATCAGCGTCTGTCAGCATCCGCAACCATGGGGACTGGATGCGTTCCTGGGAAGATAGGGCTCGGCGTTAAATATCCCAAAAGACGTCGACGGCTCGGCAGTTGGCGACGTTATATTCCATCTTTTTGCCGCGGCGGGATTGTCAGGATATTCTTGTATAGACGGCGGCTACGAGCGGCGTTTCTGGAAGGTGGATGGGTGCAGCTTCATTCCCCCGTACATGGGCATAGGAGGGGAGACGCTTAATGCGAATAATCTCAAGTCTATAAATGAGCAACGTGTTTGCATGTGCCGTAAAAAGATTTTGTGTGACTGGTCGGGTTCGTTATTTATAAGGAGCAGACAATATGTATGGGAACCATGGCAAGCTCTAGGGTTAACTAACTCCGTCGACAGCACCAATGCAGAAAGGTCCGGGTGAAACGGCCCTTTCGATGTCACTTCTATCGGGGGCCGAAATCCTGCCACAGAGGATAAATACACCCCCAAGCCGGCCAAGTCCACGTGAACTTTGAATATTACGGTTACCCCGACTCCAACACCGTCTAACCGACCCGGGAGCGGTGTGGCATGCTGCGTGTTGCTACGGTCATGATATGGTACAAGCGAATGGTACGAAACACTCAGTTGGCGTCCGGCTGGCTAAGAATATACTCGACTGCCTTGTCCACTGTTCCCGACCATACCGTTAGTGTGGGGTCCGAGATTGTGTGGTGGGTGAGAACTTACCGCTGTGGATTGTGTCGGCGTCCTTGTCGGGGATCTCGATGCTGAACTCCTGTATTGAAACCGATTGTTAACATCAGGCCACCATGTTACCATCGTGGGATATCCTAGTGATCGGAGAGCCACAGCCCCTGCCGGCAAGCAGGTCAGGGAAACGTACCTCCTCAATCGCCATCACGACCTCCACAGTGTCCAAGCTGTCCAGGCCCAGATCGTTGGCGAAGTGTGCGGTCTCCTTAATCTATTCCATCGAAGGCAAGCCACGTTAGATTCCCCGAGGACGTTTGGGGCCGGGTGGAAGTTGGTGGTGGCGGGGGGGCAACACTCACGTTACTGGGATCGTTGACCTGCAGAATAACCGAGTTAGCCTTGCCATCGCATCACAACGAAGTGCCCAAGTGAGCCGTAGGCTGGTGAAAGCCCCGAATTGTTCCTCAGACCGAGGGCCAAGGATGCGCACCTGCCGGATCAAGATGCAACTGGCGAAGTTGAAGAGAGGGGAAAACGAACCTTGTCAAAGCCGGATAGGAGCTGCTTGATGCGCTCGTAGACCTCAGTCTTTTCGAGGGAGCTTCCCGAGGCGTAGCATCGCACCGCTTGCCACGCCGCTACTTTGGGCACGAAGGAGGTGGTTTTCGTGGTCGGCGCGATGGCCAGTCTCCTGGCGGCAACGGAGGGAATGGGCCGAACGGCGCTCCGCGTTGCGGCAGCGGCGGATCGAAGAATAGCAGTGCGGAGCATCTTGTCGGTTGATTCGAGTTGCGGAGGGATGTGGCCGTCGTGGGAATCGCGATTGGGTCGACTCGACGTTGATCGCAGGTGCAAGGAATGGGGTGTTGATACTGCCGGTTAGGTTCGTGGTTACCGATAAATTTCTCGCCGAAAGCCAGGATGCACTGGGGAGCTCGGATCGCACGCGCCAAGATCTGGTTAACGGAGAGCTCTGCTCCGTCACGTGACGCAAGAATGCAACAAAATGGAGGGGTCGAGGGGGGGGGGTCGAGGGGGGGGGGGGTCGATGGGGGGGTCATGGTGCTTGCGACAAGCAGGGCAGTTATCAAGGCATCAATTTAGAAAGGAAAAAGATTTAGTTTTTGGTTCTTGCATAAAACAGTATGTACAACTCTGTCGACAGACTTGTGGCCCCAGACCCCGAAGTCTAAACACTCCCAATTTCAGCTCCGTCGTCATTATCTGTACGGGGCATCTGCCCTGATGGCAGCTGCCAGCTCGGGCTCCCATTTGTCTCCATTGGAAAGCAATTTCTCTGTTTCTCAAGTTAGCCAGGTGCAAGACGCTGTGACGGGAAAAGCACCGGTTTATACCCTTATTGTAGAGCAGCTCCTCGCGGGTCTCAGTGGCGTACTCAGCGTTGGGAGATTCGACGATAGCATCGACGGGACATGACTCCTGGCAAAAGCCGCAGTAGATGCACTTGGTCATGTCGATATCGTAGCGGGTTGTCCGCCTGGAGCCGTCGGCACGCTCTTCGGCCTCGATCGTGATGGCCTGTGCGGGGCAAACAGCCTCGCACAGCTTGCAGGCAATGCATCTCTCCTCGCCCGACGGGTACCGGCGCAGAGCATGCTCTCCACGGAAACGCGGAGAAATGGGGCCCTATACCAGCGTCAGCGCTGTCCCGGCGTAGATTGCCAACTCCCCCACCACTCTCCCCGGCCCGCCCATGACATTCCTCGAAGCCAACCAGCATTCTCCGCCGCCAATCTTCTCAGCATGTTAACGCACCTTTTCGAATGGGTAGTAAATCGTGTACCTGTCACCGCCCTGTCAGTACGATTGTGAACATGTTCCGGTTCCCAGAAAGTATTACTCACGGCGGCCTGAAGAATTGCTCCATCAGGATGTACATGCCCCGAAACATCTCGGTCAGAAGGAAGTACTTTCCAACCCTGTCGAATGTACTTTCTTGTTCTTGGTCCCACGCCGTCGGCGGCTTCAAGCGGAAGTTCTTGGGCGGCGGGCCAGCGGGCGTCGCATAACCCCTCCTAGCGACCAGCATTTGCGAGGGAACTGTGCGGAAGAGGGTTGGGGGTACCCGGACAAGGGTGATCCGGCGGGCGCCCAGCGAAACGACAGAAGGTGCAATCATAGTGCCGATGATTGAGGCCGGAGCCGGAGGAGTGGCGAGGCGACGGGCGCAATCGGGGGAGGTCGATCGTTGTTGGCGACCCTTTTCGCGCAAACTTAGAGCTCTTGTGTGGAGTCGGACATGCAACTTGAACAGTCCGCTGTGTTCGTCTTGGGAGGTCAATTGAATCAATCCTGCCGGATGCGGCTGGTTTCCGGGCGCGATGGAGAGTGGGGAGGTGGAAGGCGACTTTCTCAGCACCCCGTGGCAGTTGACGTCGTCTTGGAGCTCGGGAAGCTGCGATGGGCTCGGGATTTGGCGCAGACACCTCGCGATTACATTTCGAGGGAGCTGATTGGTGAAAAACGGTGGTCTGGCCCACAACAATTCACGTGATTCTGTCTGTTCTCCGTGATTTTGCCCTTGCCCCGCCAAGCGGGCATCAAATCATGATTGATTGGTATCATCCATTGCAATTCCATGCCAGCATGCCGAGCGTGCAGACGGCATCCTGCCCGCCTGAACAATTCTAAATACTGGCACTACATTGATTGGGGATTCCCCTTAAAGCGGCAACGTGAATCTCAAGGCGTCCGCCCCCATGTGGTCCACCAGACTCCGACGTTGGCTGCCACCACCAAGTCCAACATCTTCAACCCCTCGTCGTGAATAATGAGCTTCCCTAACTTGGCCCTCTTTCCCCGACTCCCTCCCCCGGCGTCCTCCTTTCCGAGCCTCAGACCCATTGGGATGTCATTGTCGTCGTTCCCAAAGCCGTTCTCCTCGTCAGAATCCTCGTCACTACTCCGCGACCTGTGATACAACAGTTTACTAAGCCCCGACAAAGGGTTTGCGTCCAAGCGGCCGCCTTTGGACGCCCCGTCTCGTTCCGAGGTTCGGTGGGCAGCCCCATGGGGTAAGCTGAACCGCAGTTCGCTGACCGGTTTTGCACCCACCAAGACCGAGGACAGCTCGTCGCTGCGTGAACGGCCCATCGCCTGCGCATCCCGAATGTTTTGCGCGACCTCCCGGGGGTCGATCCCAGCGCTCGCGGGGTCCAGGACGTGGCGGCACCGAAGGCTCCGGCCGTCGGCACTTGTGCGGAACTCACACCGGCCATCCCAGGGGCTCAGGAAGACGTAGCCTTTCGGCTTCAATCCAGGGCCCGGGTGGGTGATCAGGGTAGGCGAATGTCTGCCGTCCGCCGAGTCTATCGAACCGATCGTCGATGCACTGCCATGCCGCGTGTGGAAAGAGTTTGGTGCTGCAGAATCCTCGGGCGGCGCTCCTGTGGCATGGACGGAACTACCGGGATGCTCCCTGCGCTGGAAAGCTTTTTTGAAGTTCGACTTCCAGCCGGCGCCGTACGACATGACGACTTGGCGTGAAAAGCCTTCTTCCACTGGCCTCCAGCCGGACCCCGGCACCGGGCCCTTCCCTCCTACCCCCGAAGCAGGCTGAGGGCGCTGCATCACTTGCTGGGAAAACGAATGCCCCGAGGTTGGCCGGTATGCATCCACGTCCGCCTTACTTGGCATATCCCGGTACTTCGCGTAGCCAGAGGTTTCGAGACGGATGCTGACCTTTTGCGTATAGGCCAGTAGACCCCCCATGTTGTCGGGATCAAGAGTCGGGTCGGCTGTCTCCGGTGTGGGAACGTTCGTTTGGAACGATGTGATCTTGCCGACGTTGCACTGCGCTCCCGAGGTAGGATCCCTCCGGATCACAGTGAGGGAAAATGCCACCGAGGATGGGCGAGCCCCCAGCTTCGACGGCGGTGCAGTTCTACCCAGTTGTAGAGTCGCCGGTGGCGATGCGACACATGTGGCTTGATCGGGGGGGTGCGCATTCGGCGCATTTTGTTCCGCCAATGTCGCCGGACTGCGCTGCGACGTGGTTCCAGTTGTTGTATCTAAGCCGTTATTAGAAGTAGATCTCAATACCTCCGGCGTCGCGGGGCCCAAGGGCTTTCGGGGTATCAGGGCGGCCATCGGTGCTAGGCGAGGGGCCACGTCGGATACCGCGGACGGCCCTCCCGATCGACGGTTTTGGAACATTGGGTTTTCTCGGTACCCATCGATCTCGGTCCCAGCTAGAGGCTGCCGTTCAGACCCGGAAGACGGCGCGGAGTTCTCGAGAGCAGTCCTTTGGAGCGTTGAGCTTAAAGGGACTGCCGGTGCCGCTGGCACGACGCTGTTGCCACCGGCGGTGCTTTCCGATCCGAGTGTCTTGGCTGATGTGGGCAACGGTTTCCTCGGGATCATACTTCTCCCACTTTCGCTGCTGGATCGGGGGGAAGCCGCGTCCTCGGACAGCTGTGGGGCGGCGAGCAAACCGTCTTGTAGTGCATCGAGGTGGACATAATAGAGGGAGGTCGTGATGTCTTCGCTGGTTACGTTCTTCTTCTGGGGCCTGAAAGTGGACAGGATGATGTCTACGCGGCGGTTAGCAACAGATACAGGGTGCGCTTTCACTTCTTGTAACATCACGCACCTTGTGTGCCGGGCACCCGTGAAATATACAACGTGAGGGACTCGCGTACCTCGGGGTGATGGGGGTACTGGGGCGGGTTTGCTGCCAGGTAGTTGATCGTTGAGAGCGACCTTGCTTCGGGCTGCGGCCTTGCCGCCATTTCCAGCCTAAAACTGCCTGGTGGAGTGCAGTTCCTTCCCACCGTTTCTCAGACTCAATTGTGGGATCTTGGGTGTGGGGACAGGATTCGCGGGCGGCCTGGGGCAAAGCAAGTCGCGAAACCGTGGGTTGCGATGGTTCTGGTGCTGAAAGGACAAGTCAAAATGAGGTGCCAACTAGCGGCTGCAATTGGTTTTCAGCGACCTGACCCGCCCGTCGATGAGGGCTCCTCAAGTTATTATTTGCTCCAATTGTGGCTCATCCCGGTGACCCGAAAATCTGCGTCCACTGGCTTCTTTCTGTCTCCAGCTGCAAAGCCACCTGACAATCAGAGGCTGGTGACGTCGCCCAAACCGCGGGGCGTGCGTGGCCAAAATCGTCAGCACTTCGGGGCTGTGTTAGGGGTGTTTTTGACAAAGGGAAAGTGATACTGGGTGGCTCGCGAGCATCATGCGAATTATATATTGTATTTATCTTATTATTATTCCATCTACGTTCCTTTTTATTCCTCTTCTATAATCTGTATCCGTATTTCTTTTATAAGCCGGGCTTTCGAAACCGCACCCCCTAGTCCCTGCGGGAACCGTATCACAGATCTTCCGCCAGATGTAACCCCAACCCTAAGGCGCGCCTCCTCATCTCCGAGTTGCATTTCCACATTTCTCATTTAATTACACTCAATTTACAATGTAATAGGAGCTCGATATATAGATCTATGGATAGCCGCGATCGAAACGTTCGCCAGCCGTGTCTAGGCATGTCCGCATCGCGTCTCAGAACGTCGGGTTCATGCGGATGAGCTCCCGGCCCATGGCGTGCTACTCGGCCCCCCGTCCACGAACAGTGTATCTGGAAGACGTTCACCGAATAGTTGTGTACGACGTTTTAGTTCCTGTTCAACATTCCCTCCATCGTCTTCATGATTTCATCAGCCAGGTGGAAGGTGAGAGTACCATGACCTTGCCCACGAATAACCCTTAATTCCGCATAAGTCCCGAGTAGCCCAGCAGCTTTTTCTGCCATTGCCAGTGGCACGTTAGCATCCAGGTTTCCGTGCCACATGACGAGCTCGTTTTCTCTGTTTGGCTGAACGTCGTGAAGCTCAAAGCCCCAGTGGCTCCCAAGCGACCTCATCTCCCACGCCGGCCCTCGCCCACCGTACTTGACGCCTTCCCGAACGCCCATGACTACAGCCTTTCGAATTTCAGGGCTGGCTGCCTCCCAAGCCAACTTGTCGTTCTGCGGCGTCGAATCCTGCTGCATGTCCGCCACCAAAAGTGCCTCCATCTTTCTCTCGTCCTCATCCCGAGCCACAGCGCCAAGCTGCCGGTCGATGAGCCAGGCAACGACACCAGGGAACCACGTAGCAACTCGGAGCATCACTCGCGAAGGGAGCTTCATGCCCGCGGTGCCGAGGCTGGTGACAGGGTAGATTCCCGCCACGATCCCCATTCCTGTGAGCCGTGACCGTGGGATTCGCTGCCGGCAGGCAAAGGCATAAGGGGCACCGCCAGACACAGCGACGATGCCAAACTTGGTGATGTTGAGGTGGTCGGCTAGAGCAAGTACATCGTCCGGGTAGTCTAGAATGGCGCCATTGTCGCGAAATGTCGAACCACCGCTGCCCGGGCGCGAGGAGGCAACGATGCGGACGCCGTATCGCCGTCCCGCCCCGGAGAGTAGAAAGGCTTCGTGGTGGGAGGACGGGCATCCGTGGAAGTAGAATACGGTGAAAGCAGCATTGTGCGCGCCGTAGATGCCATATGCAATCTGCCGCTGGTCAGGCAGCACGAAATAACGGGTCGGAGGTAGCTTTTCCTCGTCCTGAACCCATAGACCGAGCTCGTCGCGCTTGAACCAGACAACTAGGAGCGTGAGAAAAGCGGCAATTGCGAGCAAGGGGGAGGAGAAAATCGAGTGGAATAACATGTTGGACTCGGATCAAGTCTTGGCTGTTGAGTTCCGTCGTACGGTCGAGGGCAGACCGGAGCGGGTCGAGGAGGATGCTAAATTGAAAGAGGACATTGTTTCTAACGAGGCGGTCGATAATGAGGTGTCCCTCCGAACGAGACTTGTCAGCCCCCTTCTAATTATACAACGTGGGGCGGGTCTGAACTGTCGATTGGAGGTTTGCCGTGCTGCTGAGCCACAGCCCCCCCACAGTTTGCTAGCGGGCTGCTGGACATGAATAAGATCGGTCTCGAGTCGCCCCGGCCGTAGTCAACTCTCGCCAAAGCTTCGGGCAGGCAGAGCCTTGATACCACCAAGGGGTTGAGTAAATAAAATAAAAGTTGCACAACACCTTTCGCTTCTTCGGGATTCGCTGAGAATAGGATATAGCATTGGTCTTGAAAGACTGGGGCTTACAGAATCAACTCCACCATTAACTCCGATCAGAAGGCATGTAAGACAACCCGGGACTTCCAATAACCAACCACATCTAATTACCACGCACACACGTTAACTGCGTGGACACGATAAATAGTGTGTAGTTCTATTGGTGGTTTAAATATTATTCCTTAACTTCCCTTGGGCAAAGGAAACCAGCCTTTATCAGCGTAGACCTCGACCAAACTTCAATTGTACCGACGAAGGGAAGGCTACCCAGAAGCTAAATGAATTCTGTGTATTTGATTCCAATTGTTTTTAACCAGATTTCTTTGAGCTTTATTCAATGTCCTCTGCTCGTGTTCCTCTATTTGGCTTCCCTTTCCTCGGTTTCTTATTTTCCTCGGGGGCCCGGCGTTTTTGGCCAACAGACGGGAGAGATGGCTGCGTGTAATTACCCAGGTACCTCGGTCGACAGTTTGATACTGATGTGACAAGCCAATGAAGTGGAATATTTCAAATGGCCCGCGATATGAGGGATATAGCAAGGGATTGAGTTGAGTCCGACACTACGGTACCTACCTACCTAGATTCGCCAATGTTGTCCTTGTATTGTCATTTGTTGATCACCGAACGGGTGATGGGAACCCGGTGTTTGGGACACCATGAGGCAGGCTCGGTGTTATCCACTAGGTAGGTATTGTCGGACGGATATCTGCCCATCTGCCCACATGCCTGGACAGGGTCCTGGCGAAGGGCGACTCTCCGAATCGCGACTTTCCTCAGTACGGATTAGCGCAGCAGGGATATCAGTTTTCATGTCGGGTTCCAGTCGGGAGCAGTGGAGGAACCACATGCTCGCCACGATCCGATCTCGATTTGTTGGGTTTGCCTTGCCATTGTTTCCCCCCCCCGGTAGCCCCGATCCTGCTGCCCCAAGATGGTGTGTTTTGCAACCGGATGAGCCGGGCAGCCTGTTTTTCACTTTGGGCGGGGGAAGCGTGCAAGATTTGAGATGATCCGTTGCCACTCTCTCTTCGAGTTTCTAATGTATGTACCTCGAACGCACGTGACGTCTGCACCCCGATATGAAAAGACGAAGTGTTTGTGATTGACTTTTTGGTTCCCATCGAACGGAGGTCGTGGGGTGGGGCATGGGTGGCATGATCTCCACCCAGTCCAGTCCTTGTCTCGAGCTGAACTCGGGGTTAAGAACCCGATACCGAGAGTGTGCCGAGGAGGTTCAGCTTGATTGCGCGCTGTTATTGGTTCTCGGGCGAATAATGAGGATAAATAGGACGAGGAGTGAACAAGAAAAGAAGGAAGGAATACCCCTGTCGCTATACATTCTTGTCGTTGTTTGGGCATAATCTGGAGTGACAAATACCTAATTCGATGGGGGGTGCTCGGTTTTCTAATCGTTAGGGCAGCCGAAGTTTGGGTTCGGATGCATCGGTTCAGAGGGAGGGGACCACGTGGGAGAAGGGAGATGCTTGCGTTCCACGCGTCCACACACTCCACACTCGTACATAAGGTAGCCACGGGCAACATGATGTACTAGTATGTACAGAGGGCTAGGAGTTAGTGGCTCCACGTGAAGCCGAGGAAGATGGAACGAAGATATCATAGCCCAGGTCTCCATCACTTCTCCTGCATTTTCGAAGGGCGAGATGCGACTTGGCATCGCTGATCGGCGGGAAGATTTTCGATCCGTGAAAATGTGGGTTGCATCGTGGATCTCATCAAGGGCGGGCTGCAGCTTCTTGGGGACTCGGGGAGCGAGGCTTGTCACCCTGCCACCCTGCGCAACTTCTGGAAAGGGGGTCGCCGATGGGGAAATGGGGAAATGGAAAAGCTCAATCTCTCCCCCACTTTCCATCCCATCGGGAAGGTGGGCCGGAGAGGAGGCGGAAATTTCACAGCTGGAAGGCTCGTGTCCACATTACAGACGGCTTGGATCTGGGAGTCTGGCCTGGGTCTGGGCGCCTGCCAATGCAACCTGGCCAATCGGGTTTGGCACGCGAGAAACCAACACACGAGTGCAAATGCGGCACGGACAGGCTCAATTGCTGACCACCGTGCCACCGTGCCACCATCCATGACAAATTGAGCTCGCGGCAGCATTCTTCCCACTCGCCTCTGCAGGGGACACAACTGTTGGTTCGAGCGCCCCTGCATTGCACCCCAAACCTGCAACATCGCAAATTGGAAAATCTGCGAGAAAATGCAAATACACTCGCGGTGAAGGTTTGGGGTGGCACTCGGGCCGCTTCCTGGCTGGGGAGTCACGGAGTCTCTCACAAACTGCGTCTTTGGAATGGAGTTTTGGGTGAAATCGCTGTGGGGACCGATGCATCCAAGGAACCACTTCGTGAACGAGTGGAGTGAATGAGGGGGGGATCGTGACCTGGACTGGAAGTATCTGTGCGCTGCATGGGACCTGCGCTTGTTGCGACGGAGGTCGCGAGGAAGTGTTGAACCAACCTGCCGAGCACCCCAGCCATCATCCATGATCCCATCCCGCCCAGCTTCTGGAACCATGGTTCGGTTGTGGTTCCCCCCCCTGTGGCCTTGCCCACCAATCAATCGTAGGGGGATGCTGAGGCCCGAGTACTCGAGCCATGCATGCCATGCTTCAGCCGAACGCTTGATATCGGACTCGTCCCCCGACACCCGCCTCTCCCACCGTGTGGGGACTTGTCTCGACCGTCCGACCGTTCGACCTTTCCCCCGATCATCTGGCCATTGATGAAAAGTCGATCCAACGCCGTCGCTACTCGTCCTTCCAACGAGCTGACGAGGCTCAGTTGCCCAATGCTCGTCTAGGACATCCTTTCTACACTCGAACAGAGTACCCCAAACGAGGATGGAGGCGGCCGGCAGTGAGGACCTGGCCCTTCACCTGGGCCAAGTCATACCAGTCACGTTCGACCCGACACTGCTGGTGCTGAGTTATGTGATCAGCCTCGTGGGTGCCGCTTCGACACTCGAGCTCATACATCGCCGTACGTCAAGGAGGGGCTACTACAACAAGTAAGTTGGTGTCGGATGGGATCTATGTTCCTCTTTGACCGCAAGGCAACTCGACCACAACTAATCCTTCCATAGTCTCCTCCTTTTTGGTGCGGCGATAACGATGGGAGGGGTGGCTATTTGGAGCATGGTAGGGTGCGCCACCTCGGGGCCCCTTAGATCAACCATTGACGTGTTCGTTGGCGTTATAGCATTATATCGGGAACCGCGCGACAACTCTCCTGAACGGGGAACCCAGCCTCCAGATTGCCTACTCCGTCGGAGTCACCGTCGCCTCCTTCTTTGTCCCTATCTTCGTCCTGTTGGTCGCCTTCTTCGTCGTGACCGGCACGAGCAACAGTGGCAACCGGATCAGTTGGTGGCGTGTTACCGCCGCGGGGACGCTCTCTGGGGGCGCCATCTGCGGCATGCACTACCTCGGCAACGCCTCCATCAACAACTACCGATGCGACTACCTTGCTGCCTTCGTTGCCGGCTCCGTCGTCATCGCCGCCGTCGCCAGTACCGTCGCCCTCGCCCTCTTCTTCGTATTCCGGAGCTCTTGGACCAACTCGTGGTGGAAGCGCGCGGGGTGCGCTGTTGTGTTGGCCGGCGCCGTGTCGGGCATGCATTGGTGTGCCGTGATGGGCACGAGGTACACCTTGACCCATGTCAACTCCAACAGCGATAATAGCTCCCGTAACACGACTGTCATTGTGACGGCCTGTCTTGTGAGACACATCCCTCGACTCCCGTTCGAACCCTCTGGCCAAACTCCAAGTCGCTAACCATGGTTTAGTCTTTCGCCGCCTGCCTAATCATGGCTGGGCTTGCCGTCTACTCGGCCCGGGTGCGCAAGGGATATGCAAACAGGGCGCAGAGGATCACACTCGCGGCCGCCGTCTTCGACGAGCATGGGAGGATTTTGGTGACGCCTGATGGTTTCTTGCCAAGCGAAGTCGTCACGAGCACTTTCTTGCAAAAGGTACGTCAGCACACGTTCATCCCGTGCGAATGATCGAGAACTAACAGACAATTTAGACGCAAAACGAAACGTTTTCAACCGCCCACCCGTTATTCCACTGGCTCTTCCAGGCATCAAGAAGCTGGGCCAGTATATCCACCCTCCTCGACAAGATGAACCACCATTTGGCCGGGCTCCCGCACAGCGGCCGCAACGTGAGGACGGGCATCGAGCTCGTGGACAAGGAGGGCCATATCATTGAGAATTATGACACCATTTTCTGTGAGCTCTTCTGCGTCGCCGCCTCAGCCCTGGCCCGCCAAATGAATGAGGACCTTGTCGACGCCGGTATTCTTTGGGACGAGATCGTGGCCACGGGCGGGCATGCAACAGCGGGCTCCATCAGCCAGGCGTCGACATCGACCAGGTCTCAGGCCTCGGCGCCGAGCCTCAAGAAGCATGACTTGGACGACATGGCTGAAAAGGGGGTGGCATTGACGAACCGCAATGGCCACGGACACCTCATGTTCCTGGTTCGTAGAGTCGATACCAGTCACGTCGACCACCTGGCGGCCTCGGGTTACTGCTTCGCTGAGCCACGCCAAGTTTCGCATATTATCCGCTCCAAGATGCAGATTAGGAGTAACAGACTGGAAGAAAAGTTCAGGGGAATGGAGCGGTACGCACGCGGAAACTTGTTGGAGCCCGGCGTTCATCTCGGCCTATTCGCGGTCCGGACCCAGGTGCACCACATGGGGTTTGATATCCTCGTCAGGAAGCAGGCGCGGAACTTGCTCCCCAGCATGGAGCTACCCCTAGACCGACTCGAATCGTCCCACCTTGACTTTCTCCGTCGGCTGGAGGGAATGTCTCTGGGCGCCCTCCATCGTCGGCTGGAGCGTGCCAATGAGCTCCCGCCACGAGATGCGCATTTCGCCAGCCTCCTCCTGGATGCGATTCGGAATCTTCGGACCTCTGTTCAAGACCCCGTCTTCGACAACGCCAGGCTAGTGTGCAAGGTCACGCAGGTTCCTTGCACCCCACCGGCCAGCGATGCGCGACCGGCGACATGCGCTTTCGTGGCCTTCACCCACATGATCCCCATCCATGTGCGCGTTGACGCGCCCGCGTACGACTTCATCCCGCTGCCCTTCTTTAAGACGCAGCAGCTCGTCTACAAGAACTCGCCACATAACGCCGCCTTTGCACGATCCGTACACCGCAAAATCTCCCCCATCCTGGACTCCGTGTCCGCCGATAGCAAACTGCTCGAGCCTAGCCGTTTGCGAAGGCTTATCACAAGACCGGGCTATCTCTTGTTCTCAAGGTCCGGTCGGTCGCCTCATGCCAACGCACCGAGCCAGCTGCGCCCGCGCCGGGCTGATGTCATGAAATCGGTATCGACAAGCAGAGAGCATGTAGCTCTGACGCCATGCGATGAGAGCGTCTCGTCACTTCTTTACGCCGCAAATGGTGGCGAGTCAGAACTAGCCTCGGAGCGCAAAGCACCGAGCGAGATCTCCGAATCTATCAAACCTGTGCGGAGGCAGCAGCCTGCCAAGATGTCATTTGGGGGCATTATGATCTCGCAAGAAGTCACAGTCGATGTGGAAGAGGCGGCAGGGCCACCCCCCGACGTGATCGAACTACCGCCGGCGACACACCACCGAGACTCGGCCAACAGCGCGCCGGCGTTGACGCGCCAGAGGAGCCAGCGCGCGCTGCAGAACACGGGCAACGGGGCCGATCAGAACCCGGCCAGTTACGACCAGGCGATAGAACTGAAAGAAGTCTCGACTGCCCTTGGGATGGGTCTTTCCAGGGTCGAGGTCGTGAAAGAGGGCGATGATACGATAACAACGTTTGTTGACGATTTATTTTCTGTTTGCATAGATACCCCTAGACGTACGTAATTAGACGCTTTCAATGTATCATTTGTTGGGCTCGCCGTTATCAAAGCGCCCCATCACGCAGGCTTAAGCGTGTGATGGAACACGGCCCTTGGTTAGAACCGTGAGTGCCTGCCTGGGCAAGTGGCACAGAGAAAAAAGCCCGGGATGACGGACCGGATCCAATAGGGGAGCCATTCGTTTCATTTCTCATCAGCGTATTATGAATTACTATACTCCTAGAAGTGCCGCTCGATGCTAGGGTAAACCCAATCCGGCGTATAACACATGTGCGACTTGACCCAATCGTCGATTCTTGACTTAATCCAGCCGCTGGTGTATGTCAGCTTCTCTTGGACGATGCGGAACTGCTGCTCCTTCTTTCCAGCACGACCCCCCTCTTTCCTACCGGGAGGTCCTGGGATCGGAACCTTCCTCTTGATAGTCTCGGGGTCCTTCGCGACCCCAAAGTTGATGAATCGCTGCAACACGCACTTCCTCGTCTCCTCGCCCTGCCAATGATACTGGAGACACGAGGGGCTAGCTTCACAAGCCTTCTTACAGGCCTCGAAGGTGTCCGTATGGACGTCTCGCCCCGGCGCCAGGCGGTCCCAATTTGTGTTGTCCCAGTTGTGCCGAACTTCCGGGGTTGCCACAGGGAAGAATTCGTACGTGTCAGAGTACAAAAGCGGACTTCCTAACTTTCGCCGGCTGCTCTCCCACCGCCAGAGACGAACCAAGTCCGCGGGTTTGAGTTTGTGCATGGTCACAAACGGTTGGCACCACAGCCGTTCCGTGTAGGGAAGCGAATGTGCCGGATACGTGTTGAAGAGGGGGAAGAAGCCGCTCAATGGGACGCCCGCGCTCCACAGCGCCCAGCCCAGGACGGAATCGCCGCATGGATCGCTTCGCACCACATCCAGGAACTTGAGCGAGATTGGTGGATCCGTGAACTGGCCGGTCTTGGGTGATGTTTGGCGCCTCAACAGCCTTTCCATGGCTCCCCGGGACAGGACATACCCAGGCCCGCCGTTAGCGAACCACGTGTCTGCATTCTTCTTTTCGTCGTGCCGCCCAGGGGACGGGCTGCCCATGTACAACGGAGCCTGCGGATCGAGCATGGAGAGAAGGCGGAACATGTTGTCCCACGAGATGTATGTGTCGGTCTCATAAAAGACGTAAAAGTCGCGGCCCGGCCGCATCTGCCACGCGCGCTCGGCCCCGGCGAGGAATTTGTACTTGTCGAGACGCCAGCCGTTCTCGCCCCTGGCCGGATCGTTTTCGACCGTCAGCTTGCCCGCGTTGGAGAGCGCGTACATGGTCTCGTAGTTGACGTAATCCGGATTCGCGTTGCCCTCGTCGTCTTCATAGCGGTACGCGCGGGGCAGGTTTGCGAGGATGTCGACGGCATGGCGGCCGTGTATGATCTCGTCAAGGTCAGAAAAGACGAGCAACTCGTCGGGCTTGAAGCACGCCGATACGCTTTCAAGTTGCGCATCGACCATCTTGCGGTTCTCGCCATGGCCCATCTTCAGGACGGGCTGGATGCGTTGTAACAGATGGCTAGGAAAGGAAGCACAGAGCTGTTCGACGGTGCTGTTTTGGGCGTCATGGTGGGCTACCGGGAAGAAGGCGCTCGTCGTCTCGAAAGGGTAGAATGGTGGGAGCGTTGGTCCCTTGGTGTTCAACTTGAAGTGCCAGAGGACGAACAACGTCAGTGAAATGACGGCAGTAATCAGCGCATTGCGTTCGACGCGCTTGTTCAACCTCTGTCGCAACACCGCTGGGGTGGCAGGCAAGAACAATTTCGGCATCTCGACATCTCCTGTGAAAAAGAGCAAACTTCAGGACAAGGAGTCCAGGACAATTTTGTGTGGGGGTGCCGGAAACTCGGAACCGGAAGTGTTCCATTTTTAGGCAGTAAGCATATGCACGTGGATGGATGGATCGAGAGATGCACTGGATGGATGGAACAAGCAAGCGAGGCAGGCAAACGGATTCCGGGCTGGACAAATATCTGGAAGGAATTTAACGTCACATTGGCGCCCCGATCCGGTCGTTGCGACAAAGATGGGTCCATCGTGTCAACCAACACGACAGTCGCAAGGCTCCTTACGGCTAGCACCTCTGGTTCTTGGAAACCAGGGGTCGAGCCCAATCGACACCGGAACCGAGCTGATATTGTGCAGTAATTGAGATCAAGCCGTCCAAGATACAATTGCGGGAGCAACAAACTTTCAAGCTAGGCATAATCACCAGCAGGACGATCGAGTTCACCGTATTCTATGTTGCGAAGTAATCATTTAAAACCCAGTTACAGACGCGGCATTATCTAACATTCTACCTAAGTGTAGCAGAAATGGTAATCAACACCATCTTCATGACGCAAATAAGCGAGAACAAACGGCACATCAAAACCCTTGTCATGCAGATAATCGATGAAAATACCCGTATGGCGGGTCGTCCAGAGGCCTTCACAAGGGCATAGACTCTTCATCAGATGGAGAAACCCCAGAGAGTCGCGCATGATGAAAACGAGGCAGAGCATCATCTTGAAGTGCTTTATGGTAATGTTGAAAATTGTTGGAAAGCGTTACCCCGTCGCGGGGGCAGAGGGCAATATATAGTAGAGGAAACCTACATCCGTGCCCCATCGCGCCATCGCGCCACCGCACGTTTGCTCGCCAGCGTTCCCTCATTCGAGAAGCTCACCTCAGAGGTTGTAATGTCTGAGCGTTGCCGATTAGCGTTCCGAGGTCCGAGGCTCGAGACTGGATTGAGACACCTGTGACCAAGCAGGCTAGAGACGGCATCTACGTACATCTATGCTAGTATTCCGGTTTTCCGGCGCTTGTTGATGACCTCCGCATCCCAACTTCTTAGGTAGGCAGATATTTGTCACAAAGGGACCTAATCAATATTTGGTGGCGACGCTGGTTGGACAAGGTTAGTAGTAGTGATACATTTTACCAGCTTAGGGTAAACATTTAGATTCAAGCTTCAGTAATACCTCGGTTACAGGTATCTCAATCGACCCTCGAGCCTCGGATCTCGCGACGCTCATTGGTAACGCTCAGACATTACAAGCTTCGGCGAGCTTCAAATCATGGAACGTTGGCAAACATACGGTGGCGCAATAGAGTACGGACAGGTATATTTCCTTTATATATTGCCCTCTGCCCCCGAGACTGGCCAAAGTAAACCGACCATTTTTCAACATACTGATAAAGGATTTCAAGATGTTGTATCTCTTCATTGTTTGGCGCGATTACCCCTGGGGGTCCCATCTCACTGCTAAAAGAGTCCCTTGTGATGGCTTCTGGACGAGATACCACACACACATCCTAATGGATCATTACCGTGGTAGGGGCCTTGAGGTGCTTTTTATTTTCGCAGTCTTGGTTAATAGACATGGTGTTTATCACCACGTTTGCTACGTTTAGGTAGCGTAGTAATAATAATGCTGCACCTATAGCCGGCTTTTAAAATATATAAAGTCCTTGATACCTCGTTGATATATCCACCTTGAACCAGTATAGACTAGTTAACTTCAGGTACCCTTCATAGATAATCAATCGCTAAAAGCTTGATATATATGATCCGTGTTTTTGGGCGACAACTAGATCACATACATCTATACCCTTTCTTGAAGCCCACCTGCCATCTACTATAATACCCACTAATATATAGGTAGGCAACTCCTGGTCTATCGCCTCGTACATTTCAAGCCTCTCCTGCCCATTACACGTCGCACCATCCACTTTCAGCGGCACCGCCACCTCAAAGCTCTCACACATGAGATCTTCTAAGCCCGCCAGCACCCCGAGCAACGGATGCCGCTGCTGCTGCTGCGCCCTCGAGCCCCTCTCCCTCCGCCTCTCCCCCTCTAGCATACCCCCTGCATACCCCCAAGGACCCTCGACAGATGCAGAGGACGACAGGGGGTACCTTTAACAGACGTGTGGCTCACAGGTGGAGTGGATTGCGAAAGATGGGGTCCAACATCACTCCAAGACATGGGGCTAGTGATGGAGTGATGGAGGAGTGATGGGCTGACCGGAACACTGTCACACCGCTGCTGGGGAAAGGGGCTTGCGGTGATAATCATGTTAGTTGTAGTTATTGCTCTCCTTCCATTCCGGTCTGTGCCTTGTCTTCTCCTGGCGTAAATCGGCCGTTTTGAGTCGAGAGAGCCAGACCTCACCACCACGGAGTTGGTCGAAGGGCCCAGGCTCTCAGAGACAGATGGGGACCCGCCAAGGTTCAGCTCGGCTCGTCGGTTGCCAACTCGTGCGCCATTGGCCGCGGCCCGTCGACCACCCGCCCATCGGGCCGTCACCGCTTGTCAAGTCGGGACAAGCTCCGCTGCAGGTCTCAGCTCCGGGGACCGTGGTGACCAAAACACCGCCCATGAGTGGCTGGCGGCGATCATTGACGCACGGCAACAAGCCGGCCACACGCTTCGGCTGCATTGTTGATTGGTGATCGCGCTGAGATGCAGCTCCAAACTCCCACCAAGCTAGGCCTGACTGGAATGACAACACGGTGATCGTGGGCCCTCGTCCCGGGCCCTGTGTGTCGTGGTTTTTTCCCAGCCACTGGGTTTGTGTTCGCCGATCAACAACTTTCTTAAGAAGCATCCCGCGCACAAGTTTAGGCGAGCAATTGTGCGAACACTCGACTGAGTTCTCCGCCGTCCATTTTAGTTACCCCCCCACCCCAAGCTTGAAAGGTTCATTCTCTGGTTCGAGTTTGACGATTCCCACACTCAATCATCACCATGTCGACACCAATCCCACAACCCCCCGGTATCCCTCTGCTGGGTAACCTCTTCGACGTCGACCCGAGCAACACTTGGTGGTCATTGAAGACACTCGCCGAGAAATATGGTCAGTGCGGTCCCTGACCCATCCCGGGATAACAACCGAGAGTTGCCTCCTCCGGAAATAGGACGACACGCTGACCCATGACCGCTTGACAGGCGAGATCTTCCAGATCAAGGTTCTTGGCCACCGCATCGTCTTCGTCGCTAGCGCGGCATTGGCCGAAGAGATCTGCGATGAAAAGCGGTTCCGCAAATTCGTCGGCGGCCCGATCGTCGAGATCCGCTACACGGTCCATGACTCGCTCTTCACGGCGTACGACCACGAGGAGAGCTGGGGTATTGCCCATCGCATCATTGTGCCCCAGCTTGCCCCGGACGCAGTAGCAGGCCACTTTGACGAGGTGATTCAGTGCACCGATGACTTGATCGCGAAATGGAATGGGCTCGGCGCGGATGCCCGGACGCGCCCCTTGGAGGACCTCAACCGGCTTAACCTCGAGACCACCACACTGACATTGTTTGGCAAAAAGCTGAACTGTCTGGAGGGGCCGGAGCACCCCATGATCAAGGCGATGGAGGACGCGACGTCAGAAGCCATAAAGCGGCCGAACAGGCCAAAGTTGCTCAACTGGCTGGTGCATGACGGCAAGTTCAAGAAGGCGACAAAAGTAATGCGCGGTTTTGCCGCCGACCTGGTCAAGGACAGACAGGATCATCCTTCGGACCGACACGACCTGCTCTGGACCATGCTGAACGCGAAGGACCCCGAGACAGGCAAGGCCCTGACCGAGTCGCAAGTCATCGACGAGATCGTGACCATGCCCATCGGGAGCAGCACCGCTCCCTGCACCATCGCCGCTGCTATCTACTTCCTCCTCCAAAACCCAGACGCCCTCGTCAAAGCTAGGGATGAAATCGATGCTGTCATTGGAGAGGGGCCGTTCCGACAGGAGCACGTGTCCCAGCTGCATTACGTCGCGGGCCTTGTCCGCGAGACCCTGCGGCTGTCGTGCGCGGCCCCGGGCTTCAACATCGAACCGATCCCGAAACAGGGTGACGAGTCCCCGGTGCTTCTCGCCGGGGGGAAGTATCAGGTCCCGCACAACCAGGCTCTCATTATCGTGTTGGCCGGTGTCAACCGTGACCCGGCCGTTTTTGACGAGCCGCTCGCTTTCCGGCCCGAACGCATGATGGGTGAGGCGTACGAGAAGCTACCGGCCGCGGTGAAGAAGTGGTTCGGCAACGGTAAGCGGGAGTGCATCGGCAAGCACTGGGCGTGGGAGTTCCTGGTGGTCGTCACGACCAAGTTGATTCGGGAATTCGACTTTGAGGCTGCCGATCCCAACTACCAGTTCAAGCAGGATGGATGGTTCAATATACGGCCCATCGACTTCTCGGTGAAGGTGAAGGCGAGGACGCGTTGAGCTAGCGTAGGAGGGCGGACGGCTAAGGAGCAGGGACTGAGCGAGGTGCAACAGGGACTGGAGGGTCGCCGTGCGTACTAGTCCAAGATATTTAACGGATTCTGGGTGCTTCGTAACTATTCGGATTCGGAATGGAGTGAGGGGATGTAATTTACGGCACTTGACCACATGTACGCTGAGGCCCAATACTGCAGACAGCCATTTTGTTAACCTTTGTTTATTTGTAGCATCATGCCCCCCCCCCGCTAGCACTGAACTGAGCTCTCGGTTGAACGGTCAAGGTAGGATTCTGAGAGTGCCAATACTAGGTTGGTGTTTCTGGAAGAGGAGGGCAGGAAGGGTGAAAACTCCCTAAGCTGGTGTGCAGCCGTTTCTCGCGTGCTCCAGGCGTTTTGCACCACACAGCAGCCCATGTCGGGGCGGGCAACAAACTCCACGCGCACTTCTTGTCAAACCAGACTTCAACCAGTCAATAATTCTCTCTACAAGTGCGGCCAAAACCAGAGCGGTTCCATGGAAAAACGGAACCCAGACAGCCAATTCAACTCTTACTACGTAGGTACGTTCTCTTAAAAACAGCAACCATCCTCCATTACTACAGGTATATCATAGGCATGTTAACATCACATTTTGGACAGACACTATCTACCTCGGTACTCGGCACCTACCTAGGTCCGAGGTATACGGATAAACTAGTGCGGTACGAAATAGAGCACGGTTCACTGGGTTCACTGGGAGTGGTGGACGGTGTGGATAATGCGAGGTGGCGACACCAATCGAGGAGTCACACACGAGGGCCCTGCACGAGAGCAAGCTGCGTATAATTAGCAATTATGGTGGCTGCAACGGCCTTATACCTTATGCTACGTCGTATGCATTTTCTTTTCTTGAACGCGTACAAACAATTCAAAATGAAGTGCAGCAGTTTGGCCACCATTCTCCTCATCCTCTTTGGCCAGGCCGCGGCCCAGGACGTCACGGTCTCGAGCGCTACCTCGACGGCCGCCAACCGCTATCGCCGTCAGTTCGGTGGTCTCAGCGGTATCTCTGGTGTCAGCGCCACCCAGGCCCGCACCAACGCCACTCAACAGACCGCCTAAGTCATGATGCCGCTCAAGGTGGTAAAGTGTTGCATATGGGTCCGGCGTTTCTCGGTAAAGCATTTTGCTTGAACCCGGGACGCGTCGGGCCATGGGTAGCAAGTCGGAAGTCACCATGGCGTGGGCTGCAGACTTTCTCTGCATCCGTCATGCGTGCTCCTTTCCGTCACAGGAGCCCAGGAACCTGGACAATGGGGTCGGGGATATAGTTATCACGGATGTGATAGTTATATAGTTATGAATTGAAGCGGTCCCAAGGATATTTGCTGCAGCCCAATCTTTCCGTGTTGCTTTCATCATCTATCCGCTCCGATGGTTGGTGGATTAACCCCTCGTCTTTGGGCTGGTTATTCCTCCATCGACTACCTCTAACTCGCTAATAGACCGTGGGCTTACATACCAACATTGGAGTGTCGGTTCGTGCATAGTGGTTCGCTGTGAGTTAATGGACTGTGACCTTCTGTGGAAAGGCAGGTCAATATTTGGCCATGCTCGACTGCCTCGATCTGCTGAAGACGCGGTCGGGATGACGATACCTTTTACTAGGCCGCATTCTACAATGGAAGCTAAGGAAGTTACTTTACTCCAATATGTAGGACGTGGGGGCACGGATGCCATGTAATCCATAACCATAGCTCTCGTACATGGTACCAGAGCGATGTGCGTTTGAACCAGACTCCGCGCGACGGGCCCCAAACGTACCTATCGTCAGACTTCCCTAGCTTGCGGAACCAGCTAAGCACAATATGATTGAACCCTGGCAAATCAAAGAAGCGGTTTCTCTCATCACATCGACTGATGGGGGATGGCATGGTGTGCTCGGCATCGAGCTCTGACAGGGATTCGGTGATATCTTAACTGCCGAGCGCGGGGAAGAGCTTGAATCACGAGACAAAACTGACGTGCCCTGTGGTTAGCATTCGCAGACTAAGACAAGCGTAGTGGAAAGGGGCCGCGGTGCACGGGGAGAAGATATCCGATGTTTCCCCTCTTGGTCTCACAACAATCCTAATGCAACATGATTCATTTAAGTCTGCAGAGACGCCTCTGATGGCCCGACTTGTGATCTCCATCTGTAGTGAGTGTCGCAATATCAACTCGCATTTTACAATTATACACTATTTATCCTCTGCCCTGCATAATCAATATGACTGCCACCTTAAACGTAGCACACCTCCCGGAGACGTCACTATGGGCAAACCGAAAATGTCTGTTAATGTGCAGCATCGTGGCCGTGGCCAACATGCAGTACGGTCTCGATTCTGCATGCCTTGCTAGCCTTCAAGCCATGCCCGGGTTCCTGCGGGTCTTTGGCTACCCCGATCCGAACCTCAGGGGCGGCTACGGCATTGACGTAAGACAGCCTCACATTACTACTTCCGCCCGACCACCAGTGTTCTGTTAACGACGGCAGAGCAGAGAACATTCCAGCAACTGATTGGCTCCTTGTTGACCCTTGGCGCGTTCCTCTCGTCCATATTCGCAGGCGCCTTCGCTCACTTCTTTGGTCGCAAACCTGCCCTCTGGCTTGCATGTCTCTTGACCGCCGCAGGGGCGGCCATCCAGATTGGCACCACCAACTGGGGCGTTGTCTACCTCGGCCGCCTGATACTCGGGATTGGCAATGGATTCCTAGTCACATTTTCGAATATCTATTGCGCCGAGGCCGCGCCAGCGCACCTCCGTGCTATGCTGGTGGCGTTATTTTCCGAATGGGTCACCATCGGTAGCATTGTCGGTGCGGCGGTGACAAACGTGACCTCCAAGTCGCTTGACAAGTCGTCGTATCAGATTCCGCTGGGGATTCAGTTCATCGTACCGGCAATTCTTGCCGTGGGGCTGGTATTTGTGCCAGAGTCACCAAGGTACTTGGTGAATAAGGGCCAGCTGAGCCAGGGGAGAGCCGCGCTTGAGGAGTTGAGGGGCGACTCGCTCAATGACGATAACTTGGAGTTGGAATGGGTGGAGATGGTCAAGGGGATTGAAGAGGAGAAAAGACTAGCCAGCTCGGTTGGGCCCCTAGAAATGTTTAGAGGTTTGAGCCCTTCCCGATCCCCGAAGCTGTTAACGGTCATGGCTCATGTCTAGGTACACAGGGACCAACCTACGTCGGACATTGCTTTGCTTTGGGGTCATTGCCAGTATGTTACCTGATTTCTCCAACTTCCTTTTGCGTCCAAAATGCTGACCATCAATAGCTCAAACCGGAAGGTATTACAAATTCGCCCCCCGATGATATTAACACCTCGACCAAACTAACACGCCGTCAGCGGCTCCTGGTTCCTCATCAGTTACACTACGTACTTCTTGGTCGTGTCTGGCCTCGGCGTCGACGAAGCCTTCAAGTATTCGGTTATGAAGTCTTGTCTGGGTTTCATCGGAGTGAACCTCGGCATCTACTTGATGCGCCACGTCGTCGGCCGGCGTAGCATCATGATGATCGGCTCACTAATCCAGGGTTTGTGTATGCTCATTGTCGCGATTACCGCCACAACATCGGCGGGCACCCTCGTTGCACGGAACTGCCTTATCGCCTTCACGTCTTTGTACATGTTTGCTTACAATGCTTTTGTTGGAGCGGCCAGTTATCCAGTGGCAACGGAGCTGGTGAGCACGAGACTGAGGTCCTGGACAGTAGGCTCCGCCATTAGCCTAGGATACTTTCTCGCCTGGTTGACTGGGTTCTGCTCGCCGTACTTTATTAACCCCGAAAACATGAATTGGGTAGGTGCCATGACATATCGTTATCATTTCCGTGGCAACCCAAGTATACGCGTACTCACTGCATATGTAAACAGGGGGCAAAGTACGGCTTCATCTGGGCCGGGTCGAATTTCGCCTGCGGCATCTTCTTCTTCCTATGTTTGCCCGAGCTCAAGGGACGAACTCTTGAGGAGATTGACGAGTTGTTCGAGAGACGGATTTCAGCATGGCATTTCAAGACGACAAAGACCAACATCACGGAAGCAGTGTTGAAAGAAGTGCGAAACTGGGAAGGGGGCATGGCGGCAGTGACCAAAGGGACCTTGGCCTAGTCGGACCTCACTCCATAAGTCGAACGGGCTCGATTAGCCCACCGTTTGCCAACTTGGGAATTCGGGGGCTAGGTGGAAAGACATCGTGCGTAAGAGTAGGTAGTAAATTGAATAAATACAGCTTCTTTGCGCTTCCCGGTAGCTTCCGTTTCATGCGACTGCCGCGGACACATCATGGATATTATCCCCCTTGGCTCCCTTCTTCCCATGTTAATACCTGTCTCTGTTCCTGAAGACCAAACCAGGTTTACTGTCTCTGCCCAAACAGCATTAATGCGAAAGTCGCAACCTTTCTCGCACTATCAATGGCCCATTAAAATTGCCATTGCCTGCACCAATTCTTCATGAGCTCGGGCGTGACGGCGTGCATCTCGCGCATCGTCTTGCTGCGGCTCGTAGTCCGTGACGTGTCCATGGCGACGTATCCCTGTCCTTCATTCGCTGCCCTTACCCAAGCCTTGTAAGTGTCGAGTAGCTTTACACCTGGGTTCATGCCGATGTCCTCGGCTTTGGTTTGGCTATTCTCCAGCGCGCTCACCCACGCGTCGAAACTGACAAGCTTCTTGATGCGGCCGCCGTAGAACTCCTTCACGGCTTCTCCCAGCGGCCTCCATGGCGTTTTGTCCGGGTTGATGCCGTGGAAATAGCCGTTGATGTCTTGGATCGGAACCTTGCACGTCACTCCAGATGCCTCGAGCACGAGGTTCGCGATTCCCTCGATCGGTGTCCAGTCAACCGTCGTCATCTGTCCAAGACTCTCGGGAAGGAGGCCGAGATATACCGAGCTAGCAATGATGCTAGGGAGCCACTCCTGCCGGTTCCAGACCCCCTTTTCGCTGCTTGGGCCGCCGATTTGCCCGATGCGCATGATTTCGATGGGAACACCCAAAACCTCGCTTGCTTTCTTCAAGATGAGACTGCTGATGAGCTTGGACTGGCCGTAGCCGCCGGTGCTGATGTCCAAGTCCCCAAGTGGTTCCTCAGGCACTGGCTCTGGGTTCTTCCAAGCGCTAACGGTGGCGATGGACGAGATGAACACGATGGGGACTCGCTTCGCCGCTTTGCAGCTGAAGTCAGCCAGGTTCCGGACCCCCCGAATGTGCGGCTCGAAGGACTCGACAGGCATGTTGAAGTTAACCGGCCATTGGTTGTGGATGACCCTGTCCACCTCGGTCAGAAGTCTGTCGTACACCCCCTGTTCAAGTCCTAAATCATATTGCGACATGTCGGCGCGCAAGAACTCGGCCTTTGAGAAGTCGATGTTCAGGCCACGGTCGGCGTTGGTCTTCCTCTGCCGAGTCTCGGCGTCATCCGTGCGGTTAAGGCAAATGATCCTCTTGACTCCGGGGCAGGAAGACGCTATGTCAAGCATATATGTCCCCAAGGCGCCCGTCGTACCGGTTATCACGATCACCTGGCCCTCATCCCGCGGCGGCGGCTTGTTGGCCTGTGCCGGCGGCATATTCCTGGTGTATTTCTCTAGTAGAGCTTCCATGGTTTGGTCCTGCTGCTGCGTCTCGCTGGTGGTGGCGTCCTGGCCATTACTGCCTACCAGTGAGAAGAGGTACTCCGCCAGCCGCCTGGGGGTCGGGTGTCCATAGATGACACGTGTGGCGAGGGCCGAGGCGTCCATACGGATTCCGCTTGTTTCCAAGCCCGCCCGGAGCAGCCGGGATGCGTTGATGACTTGCATCGAGTCAACACCCACGGTGAAAAAGTCGGTGTCCGGATCTAACTTGGGTGACTGCAACCGTTTCTCAAAGATGGCCTCGATTGACTCGGTCAACGCCTCCTTGGAACCGAAGTCCAGAACCGGGGCCTCGGAGGACGTGACTTCGTTGACTTGTTGATAGATTATATCAATCTCCTCTTTGTACATCCTGATGGTGCCGGTCCGCTGGACCGTCCCCTTTCCTGCCCGGAGGAATGGCTTGTCGGGGTTGGAGATGGCGATCAACTGACGTCCAATTTGGCCATGGGCCACCGTTTCCTCGTTGGCTTTGGTCACCGTCGGCCAGACACTGTCTATGAACTCCTCGGCCTCAGCTGTCGTTTTGGGTTGCTTCACTGGCTCAAGAATGAGCGCAGGCTGGAACCGGTTGCTGCCAACCACGACCGCTCCCTTGACTTTGGGATGGCCCGTCACGATTGTCTCGATCGAGACCGGGTTAAGCTTTTCACCGTTTGAGAAGACAATGATGTTATCGACCCGGCCTTGATACATCCAATGATCCGCGAGCGTCGGATGCGGCTTGAACAAGTCGTTGGTCCGGTACTCCTTGGCGTCGGGGAAGGTGTAGAAGAAGCCTTGATAGCCGGGGTCTTTGTCCTTGCGCACGACGACTTGTTCGAATACGTTTACTCAATAACCACTTTAGGGCTTAAGGTTAGGGTCAAAACAGTTAAAAGCTAAGTTACTTTAATTTATCTAAATAATACCTTATCTAATCTATATAGATCTGAAGTCCCTATATTCCTAGCTATTTTGGTTATTTAATTATATATTTCTAAATACTTTCCTTATTTTGTTGATTTCAGTGTGCCAAGATCCAAGGTCCACATTTTACCCAGAAAAAACCCAAACTAGCTAGCCGCCCCACAGCCCCACCCAGAAAAAACCTAAACTAGTTAGCTGCCCCACAACCCCACCCAGAAAAAACCTAAACTAGTTAGCTGTCCCGCAACATCTTGATGCACCCAATTAGACGGTATCCTCTCCCAGAAAAAACCGAGACAAGCGAACTGGCCCACAACATCTCGATGCACCCAATTAGATGGCATCCTCTCCCAGAAAAAACCGAGACGAGCGAACTGGCCCACAACATCTCGATGCACCCAATTAGATAGCATCCTCTCCCAGAAAAAACCTAAACTAGTTAGCTGCCCCACAGCCCCACCCAGAAAAAACCTAAATAAGTTAGCTATCCTATAATATCTCGATGCACCCAATTAGATGGCATTCTCTCCCAGAAAAAACCGAGACGAGCAAACCGGCCCACAACATCTCGATGCACCCAATTAGATAGCATCCTCTCCCAGAAAAAACCGAGACGAGTGAACTGGCCTACAACATCTCGATGCACCCAATTAGATAGCATCCTCTCCCAGAAAAAACCGAGACGAGCGAACTGGCCCACAACATCTCGATGCACCCAATTAGATAGTATCCCGATATCTTATGTAAGAATTTCAAGAAGCGGGGAAACCTCTTCCTCACCGATATATGCTACCCTTAATCTCTCAGGAATTAGAGAAATCACTCAAACAAACATACCTTTTTCAGATCACCAGTATCTAAGATGGGCCGACCGAGGAAATACCTGAATCCTAGCGATGCTAAACTTGCTAAACGCGAGCAAGACCGTAAAGCGGAGTTACGTCGCCCAATACGTACAGCTCCAAATCCAGGACTTCAATTCTGTTACTATCAACCTGTCCCCCCGCAAACTCAGATCAATGTGATAAACCCTCGGGTTGGACTTGCCGTTAACAACGACATTACGCTTCCTGAGCCTCCTCATGAACCGTTATCCTCTAGCCAAGCTCAACAATTTACACCATTTGGGTTTCACGCTGTAGATTATAACAGTGAGGACCTAATACCTGTAAGAAATCCAACCAGTGATTCTATAATAAACGTTGAATTAAGTTCTTCTTCCTAATACCTTTTCTATAGCTACAAGCCCCCATCCATCCGCAGTTTAGCACCGCACCGCCCGCTCCCGGACCGCCGGGTCCCGCACAGCGACAAGCCCCCATCCATCCGCAGTTTGGCACCGCACCGCCCGCTCCTGGACCGCCGGGTCCCGCACAGCGACAAGCCCCCATCCATCCGCAGTTTGGCGCCGTACCGCCCGCTCCTGGACCGCCGGGTCCCGCACAGCGACAAGCCCCCATCCATCCGCAGTTTGGCGCCGTACCGCCCGCTCCCGGACCGCCGGGTCCCGCACAGCGACAAGCCCCCATCCATCCGCAGTTTGGCGCCGCACCGCCCGCTCCCGGACCGCCGGGTCCCGCACAGCGACAAGCCCCCATCCATCCGCAGTTTGGCGCCGCACCGCCCGCTCCCGGACCGCCGGGTCCCGCACAGCGACAAGCCCCCATCCATCCGCAGTTTGGCGCCGCACCGCCCGCTCCCGGACCGCCGGGTCCCGCACAGCGACAAGCCCCCATCCATCCGCAGTTTGGCGCCGCACCGCCCGCTCCCGGACCGCCGGCTCCCGCACAGCGACAAGCCCCCATCCATCCGCAGTTTGGCACCGTACCGCCCGCTCCCGGACCGCCGGCGCCCACACCGCAACAAACACAATCAGGCCAGATGCAACCAGAAACCCACATCAACATCGGCCTTCAGGATCTATATCTCGATGATATATTTCCAATCCTTCCAGAGCAGCATACAGACCTCGAACAACTTATGCAAGAACGACAGCGAATGGACGATGAACTTGCCGAACTTGTTGAACAACAGCTTGCAATAATTTCTCCAAACGAAGGGCAACAAGAAACACAAGGTCAAAGCATACCTCAACCACCAATCTCTCGGACACCAACCTCACGCTCCCGACAGCTTCAAAAAGCAGCTCAAGGATCTCGCGATATTCGATCAATGTTTAATCGACAGCCATCACCTCGAAGCCAACAAACAGCGAGTTCCCCAATTCGCCCTCTACAACGTCCAAGCCTAGGAAGTGCAACTGGAGTCCTTGGGTTGTTACCCTCTAGCCCTATAGCCGGTATCGGCTCCCCAGCCCAGAGCTCCGCAGCTAGCTCCCGGGCCCAGAGCCCCGCAGCCGGATCCCGGGCCCAGAGCCCCGCAGCCGGATCCCGGGCCCAGAGCCCCGCAGCCGGATCCCGGGCCCAGAGCCTCGCAGCCAGATCCCGGACCCAGAGCCTTGCAGCCAGATCCCGGACCCAGAGCCCTGCAGCCAGATCCCGGATCCAGAGCCAGAGCCCCGCAGCCAGATCCCGGATCCAGAGCCAGAGCCCCGCAGCCAGATCCCGGATCCAGAGCCAGAGCCCCGCAGCCAGATCCCGGATCCAGAGCCAGAGCCCCGCAGCTGGTGTTGGTCTACCCCTTCCTACTTTTCTCATCCAACGCCTCAAACGATTTCCAGCATGTCAACTCATTAAACATCACGAGACTGATAGTCTAACTCCGGCCCATCTGGCATTGCACCACAAGGATGGAGTTTCACAAACTTGCGGGTCACTTCATACTATCGCCAACCATCTCTGGAGCCAGCCAAGCCGCTCTAATCTAGGAGACAATATCGACCCCGAGCCCCGAACTCTCCCAAACGTCCTAGACTCGGGACGTCTTGGCCTTGCAGAGTATCCACCAAACCTCGACTGTCGTACCGCATTTGAAGGGTTTGACTCCCGGGTCCCAGACACTACCCCACCTCGACTTTGCATGTCAACTCAGCACAGCCGAACAACTCAGACAACAGAGCCATTCTTTACATCTTTCGATATCGATAGTATCTGTGCCTTTAGCGACACTCTTGCTTCCTGCCGCCAGGGAATCCGATGGTTTGGCGATATGTACACCCATCTCAACATTACCGCCAACGTCCACCTTGGCCTATCGGTACCCCCAGAGGTAACCTCTACGGATACTCGATGGCGGACTGTCCCTCTCCATACGATCCCACATTACGCTTTTGGCCAAGTGTCTGGTTGGGATACGATGATCGTCCACATCTTCTTCCCTCGCCTCTATAAGGACGCCCATCGACAGAGCAAACCCCTCGAACTTACCCTACTATCTGGCGATCAGTATTCTCTCTGGGTTGATGCCGTCGTTCTCCCCGCAATTGCAGACGCTTGTAGCGTTAAAGACGAGAATGGAAACCTTGTTCCAGACGCCAACGTCCTACAACATCTCCCCCCATCACGCCAAGCAGCAGCCTACAACACATCGGCACCCACTGAGCATGCAGCTCGAACCTCGAAACAAAGTACCGAGAGCACCACCTCTCGACGCCAGATGGTCACAACCCTCATTGGAGCCTCTACCACGCAACGATTAACCGATTTCATCCGGAAACGGATAGAGGATAACCCGGAATGTCAGATCTTTCGAGACTTTGTACTCTATTTTAACTGTAAGAACACCAAGCTGCAGTTTATGGCATCCGATAACCTCGACCACTCCTCGCCACCATCTGGAGCACTCCCACGTGTCGGCCAGCAGTTCCTCGAATCCTGGGCGAAGTGCCTTGACGACGAGACATTAGACCCCACGCGCGTTTTTATCGACCTCGGAAAACAGGTGACCGCAACACCTTCAGCACTCCCCTATGATAGTGGGAGTAAGCCAGCCTCTACCTTTCTCTATCGGAAATGCTGCCTTCAAGCCGCTGTTGATGATCGAGAAGAGTGGCTTGCACAGCAAATTCCGCAAGCAGAGGACCACCAAGCCTCACCAACCCCGCCAAGCCCCAGAGCCCCGCAGCAAAACCCA